TTTCCAATGTTTTTGCTCTACCCGGGTGTCCTACCGCGGGTGCATCATGATGTGTTTTGACGATGAGTCTTCGGATGACGTCGTCTTTGGGGACGCATATGTGGCCGTTGCGTCTGGTGATTCCGTCTTCGTATGTCCAATGTCCCAATAATCCTCTCATCCCTTGTGGTCCTACTCTTAAGAGTTTTGCGAGGGCTACCCTCGTTAGGGCATCGTGTTCCGATTTCGAGTTTCGGATGAGGGAAATGAGGTTTGAGGAGGCGATTTCCGTGGATTTTATATGCCGTGTCGGGGACGGTTCTACCAATGTTTCGTCGGATTTGTTGAAAAGCTTGGCCGGGAGTAAGATTTGAGATTTGTTGTCAGATTCTACCCCCTCACTTAGGTCTGGACGCCTGGACAGAGCATCGGAGTGATTTGTTGATCCTGCTTTATAGCTGAGTGTAAAGTCGAATCTGCTCAAATAAAGGCTCCAACGGGCGTGTCGTCGTGATAGGTCTCGCGCCGTTTGGAAATGTTCCAGGTTTTTGTGATCTGTCCAAATCTCGAAGGGATGTCGTGCTCCTTCGAGGTAGTGATTCCAGTGTTCCAACGCTTTTATTATAGCCAAGAGTTCCCGGTCGTGAACATCGTAATTCCGCTCTGCTGGTGAAAATGATCCAGAGAGGAAAGCGACTGGGTGCCAGTCGCCATCTTTTCCTTCTTGTAGAAGGGTAGCTCCATAGGCGATTAGTGATGCGTCCGTTACTAATCGATATGGGTGCATGGGATCTGGATAGTTCAAGACGGGTTTACTGATAAAAGCTTTCTTTAACCGTTCGAAAGCTTCTTGGCATTTTGCAGTCCAGTTCCATTTCTCGTCCTTTTTGGTAAGGTCGTGTAGGGGGCGCGCGATGAGTGAGAATTTGTCAATGAAGCGCCTGTAAAAATTCCCTAGGCCCAAGAAGGAGCGAATGTCGCGGACTGTGCGTGGGATTGGCCAATCTTTTATTGCGTCCACCTTTGAGTCCTCCATGGCGACATGGTCTTTTGAAATTGTATATCCCAGATATTGGAGCTTTTCCTTGTAAAACTCACATTTTTCGGGTTTCAAATATAGATCGTTGTCGCGTAGGATTTGGAAAACTTGGTTTAGGATTTTAACATGTTCCGCCGTGGTTTTGGAGAAGACGAGGATGTCGTCCATATATACGGTTATCTTCCGGGCTGTGATGAGCTCCCTGAAGATCATGTTCATCATAGCTTGGAAGGTGGCTGGCGAGTTGGTTAGGCCGAAGAACATCACCGTTGGTTCGTAAGAACCTAACGGGGTGATGAAACTCGCCTTCCACTCATCTCCCTCTTTGATGCGTATATTGTTGTATCCCCATCGCACATCCAATTTGCTAAAAATGATGGCCCCTTTTATCACGTCCAGTAGTTCTTGGATTAGTGGAAGGGGGCACACATTCGGGATGGTGTGTGAATTCAAATGGCGATAGTCCTGTACCGGGCGTAGTTTTCCATCTTTTTTTCCTATAAAGAAAAATGGGGCTGCTGTTTGCGAGGTGGATCGACGGATAGTTCCTCTTTCCAGATGTTCCTTGATGAATTTTCCTAATTCATCGTGTTTTTCTGGGCTCAGGGCGTAGATTTTGGGCACTTGAGGTTTGAAGGTTGGTTTTAAGTCAATGGCATGATCCCAGTAAGTGTGTTCTGGGAGTCGCTGCGACTTTCGTTCGCTGAAGATGTCCAAAAATTCGTGATGCGCCTTGGGAACTCTTTCCTTTAGATTGGTGACGATGATTTCGTCTTCCAGGTCTTGGTCGAAGCTGGCAAATCCTGACGGTTCGGGGGCCAGTTTCCGAATAACTGGGTCCCGGGTGGCCTGTTTTCCTGAGGGTTTGTCTGGGAGATCAGGTTCTCCCTCGTTTGGTGAAAGAGATGGCTTGTCTTGCGCCTTTCGTTTCTCTTCTGCGTATTTCCTTATGTCCTTTAGGAGCCATTTCCTTTTGAGGTATGCTCGTAGTCGGACACCAAACGTTCCGCTATGGTCGCGGAGTCCTACATCTTCCGATAGTCTTCGGAGATGTTCTAGGCGCTGTTTTTCGCGCTCATTGATGCGTGGTTTGTGCCGTGGCTCCACGTCTGATAACCGCCTACTGTATGGCGGTTCTTCCCTTGCCCTGGTGAACCCATATGGTTGCTGGCATTTCTGGGGGCACCGATCAAAGTGCACTTCACGTCGCCTCCATTCGATGGAGGGATCGTGGTATTTCAGCCAATCTGTTCCCAGGATAAGGTCGTCTTTCCCTAGATTGGAGATAAACATCTGGACGCGCTCAGTATGCGTTCGTCCACTGATGTCCCGAATGGTGAGGTTCACGTCCAAGGCGGATCGGATGAGACCTGCTTTATTGATGGTGTCATCGACATTCCGGACGCGAATGGGGTTGTTGAGTGTGTAGGTGGGGAAACGATGTCTTTTGACCCAAGTTTCGTTTACTATAACCCCTTCGCATGCCGAGTCGATGGTTGCCTTTGCTCCAGCGTTTTGACTCCTGTTTGATACTTTCACGTTCAGGCGTATGGGGGTGATGATACGGTCGTTCATTGCTCCGATACGAATACAAGTGCGGGCATCAAACTCGGGTCGTCCTTGACCTCTCTCCTTCGCTGGTGAGGGAGAGGTCAGGAAAAACGCTCCGCGTGTCCCAAGATTACTTCTCTTGCTTCATCTTCCCCTAATTCTCCGAGTACTGCTCCGATTCGAGCAGAATGACTGACGCCTCCGTCTCCCCGTCGTCCGTTAGGTAGCATAGCGCGCTGCCCATGGTTCGTCTGGGGTCGTCCGGATGGGGTAGAGTGAGGATGTTCCATCGAAGGACCAGGTTGTGGTACCCGCTGGTTGTTGCGATGAACATCCTCTGTCTCCATTCCTCGATATATTCCCGCTTGGTTTCCCATAGCGGGTGCGTCGTCTTCTCCCTCCAAATCAACCGCGCGGTTTCCTCTCCCTGTCGTACCCAAGCGTCTTTTCGAGTTTCCTCGAACTGGTGGAACGCCTCTACGAGCGGATCGGCAGTCAGCGCTATAATGTCCCCTGCGCCCGCAGTTATAACATTTTGGTTGCTTGCCGTCAAACTTTCTCTTTTGACTTTCGGCATTACGCTTCCTGGTGGCGTCGATGTCCATGTCTACCACCTGGTTATTCATTTTTCGAGGGGCGTTTGTGGAATTGTAACGGGGAGAGATTTGGTTATGGAAACGATTCAGATAATCGCTTCGAAAGGAGGTGGAGTTGGCGAGGATGGCCTTTTGAGCGGTTCTGGCTCGCAGTCGTCCATCTATTTCGCAGGCTGTATTGATCCAGTCCTGAATAGTATCCTTTGGCTGAACTTCCTTGTCATATATTTTGTCCATGACGCGCGGGTCTAACCCGCGTTGGAAGTAAGGGACCTGCTCTTTATCGGAGATGTCGGCATCGGCGGCAATGAGAATGAATTGGTTGGAGTATTCATCAACCGTCATTCGTCCTTGGGAGAAGGCCATGAGTGCGCTTCGCGCTTTGTCGGTTTTGCCCGTCTCCCTGAACTGTAATTTGAATTTGGCTAAAAAGTCCTTCCAGGTGCCTAGATCGGTAGGTGGGTCTGCTCCTACTGATTTGAGGAGGAAGTTCTCCGCCCAAGCTCCTGCCGTGCCGTATCTCATGCATGAGAGCACAAGGGATATCTTGTCTTGATCGGTCTTGTACCGATCGGATTCTGCTGCGAAAAGAAGGAGGCATTGGAGCATGAATTTCTGGGATTCAATGCGGTCGCCTGTGTAATTGTCTGGGAGTTTGACTTTTCCTCTTCCGGGTTGTACTGTCGCGGAAGGGGTGTTTGTAGAAGTCGAAGCTTGTCCCGACATTTCGGCGAGTGGTTCGTTTCGGGTGTTGATCGGTGTTTGGTCTGGTGAGTCGGAGTCTGATTGCGAGGTTGTTTCCTCTTGCTCCGAGTCTTCGGGGATTACCGGCGCCGGTTCCCTGTATTGTGGGGCTAGTTCCCACTGAGCTTCTGTTTCGTTCCAAATATCCTCTTCTACTGTTCCGTCTTCAAGTGTGAAGTAATAACGCCCGTTTCGGTATGAGCAGTTATCGTAATTCGGAGGGGCAGTTCCGTTGTTGTCTTCGTAGACCCAGAAGTCCCCTTCGCGCCGGATAGGGCGATTGTTGTGACGGAGTTGGTTATTGATAAGTCTAGTGCCGGGTGGGTATTCCTGGCCTAGGTCTTGCTCCAGAGTGTGTGCAGTAACGCTCTCTCAATGGGGGTCTATATCCCCACTGAGCAAGGTTATGAGAGAGAGTGTGGCAGCAAGCTAGTGCGAGCAAGGTAGGGGCAGAAGAGTCTATTCTAGTGTTACGACTGCTCGTCGGTAACCCCAAGAGTAGGAGGTTCTTCCCTAGGTCACTCGTGGAGGATGTGTGGAACGGTGGTCTCGACTGTACGTGTAGCACAGGAGCCTGGAGTGTATTGCAGAGTAGCAATAGAAAGTACTGTAGGAAGACAGTACCAGAACGAAGATTCCTGTATGTGAAGATACAGGGGAACGAAGTACTGTGGTAGGAAGACCACAGTGAACGAAGAGAATAGACTGAAGATCCTCAGCCTATTCTATGGGCCTTTTATACTACTTTAGGAAGTAGGGCGTGAGAATACCGAATATGTATCTGTAGGTATTCTCTAAGTCGTCTCTCTCAATAACGACTACTCTTGTGCTTCTCCGTTGGTCTCCTTCCGGCCAGGAGAGACTAGGAGGTTCATGCCCTGCGTGTGAGTAATTTATAAGGCGGCGTTCCATGCCCGCTAATACAAGGCCCGTGATACTCGACCAATGATTGATGATCCATTGGGAGTGGATGACCAAGGTTAATATCTGTACCTTGGTGTACGCCTCAACCTGTGAGGCCGCGTGATATTTGTGATGATCGTATCGGTATAGACCGCCGTGTAGGCCCGATAGAACGTGATCATAACACCATGCACCGGTGTGGAGTGCCAGTGTGGTGGGTGCGCCCTTTGCACACCCTCACGACACGGACGACCATTATTCGTGTTCATGAGCCGATCTTGCCGATCATCCATTTCAGCTCGGAGACGGTGATGTCTCATCGTGGTCGCCAGTTGGTTGCACCGGACTTCATTGAGGCCAAGATTCTCGATGAAAGTTTACAGGGTTTCGGGGACATGCTTCGCCGATACAGCCTCACAGGCAAGCCAACCGTTCGACGCGCCGTTCCTGTTCTTGAGGTCGATCGTCAAGGACTAGAGGATCACATGATAGAAGAAGATACGGAGGCTGGGATGGCTGAGATCCAGCGAGGTCCGTGGGTCATTTGTGGGTGATAACAATCGAGACTGACCATGTGCCTACCAGATGACCATGTGGCCGGGGGCTCTCCAAGTGGTGCGTCATATGCCCTCATATGGATTTTCCGATGGCCCGATCTGACAGCCCGATGTAGACTCCCGAAAGAAGAGAAAGGGCCCCCGAAAAGGGCACCGGCGAGCCCCTCAAGCCACACGTCCGCCGGGCAACCGCCCGCATTGGATGTGTGAAGTAGCGAGTCCATGGAACGTCATTCTGGACGCGGCACCCGCACTGGCCAAACCGGATTCGAAGCGAGCCCTCACGTACATACTCCCTCCCTTGCATCTGTTCTTTGCCGAAGGCGACGCGCATGCCCAGAAGGTCCAGAACTGGCTGCGCATACGGGAATGGTGCCTGTTTAAGGCTTATGCCAATGTGGACCAGGCACCAGTGTTGATGACAGCCGCGCAATGGCGTATTGCGCTGGAGGGACGGTACTTTGCCGTACATTATCCTAAGGATGCGGCGATTCAACCCCAATCATCTCGCGAGGATATCGCATGTTTGCATGAAGCCCCGGAGGGTACCACCAGTCTGGGGAAGCGCGGGCGGGCAGATGCGCGGTCGGGCGACGGGGCGCAATTGAACACGACGGATAGGCGTCGGCTCCGGCGACTTATGGAGCGGGTGGACATACACGTTCGATTCGGCGTGCATGGTGAATTTAGCCCATATGTGCCTGACGACACCCCTCTGCCCAAGTGGGAGAAGAAGCCCATCGATTTCCATCAGGCCTTGGTGGACAAACGCCTGTGGGCGACATTGACATGGGAGATATCAGTCACGATGTTCCGCCTCGAGCTATTGGCACTCGACCAGGAGGTGGTACCAGACTTGTACAATCTGGCCAAGACCAAGCTCCGTCGTCCGCGCCACTTCGACATCATGAGCATATGGAACGACGAGTGCAGAGTGTGGGAAGAACCAGGGAAGGATTCCCAGGACTGGCTTACCTCGCCAGAGTGGAGAGTGCGGCGGGCAGCCATCGGTCGAATGCTGTTCGCGCTAGAGGCTTGGCCGATTGAGGAGCCCCGTCTCCCACGGTGGGATGAGCGCAAAGAGCGGCAGGACATGTTTGCAGAACTTGAGAAGGAGGTAGTATTGTACTACTGCCGACGTTTCTATTCCCTTCGAGGGTGATCCCCGACATTTCCACTCATGCGACCTTATTGGCTTCCCCCCACCAAAACCGTCCTATATTAGCGTTTCTACCTCCTCCACAAGATTTCATGTCAGCTTATTTACAGTGTATCAAGGACTTAAATTGTATAGTTCTGTTTCGCATTCGTTCGCCATGAAACATGCCGCGTAGATTGGATCACAAGAGAGCATTGCAAAACATCTCCCAAGAGTGATACGGAAACGCGGGAGAGTCGTCCTACCGGGCAGCGATGCTGACAAAATTTTCTGTAGTTGTCTGAGTCATGCCTATAAAATCTGGGTGTGCGACTCGCAAACAGGACCTTCCTCTCATCCTCCACCATGGCTATCAGGAAATGGCTGTCCTGCGAAGAGGAACTCATCCGCACCGTGTTCATCAGCCCCACGGCCCGCGAGATACTCCAGGACTCCAGCAAAGGGGCATTGAAGCGTGTTGCGGGCCTCATCACCACACGCTACAAAGAGGCTTTCAACAGACCTTTCGCGGCCGAAACCACCGCGGAGTTTGCAGTACGACAAGCTGCCGAAAAGCGGCCCCATCGTCGACATCTACTTGTCAAACGAGTGGCTGAGTCGGAGGCTGAGTGTGATAGCCGTTTGGAAGGGGTTTCCACCGTGAGTTCTTACGAAGAGGGCGAGTGTCCGCGCTTGACTGATGACTATTCAAGCGCATTTACAACTGGTGCAAAGCGCACAGCGAGAATCGCAAGTCCACCCCTGTTGTAGTGGTGCAGCCGGTAATCACAGGCGTCGTGAGGAACTACACCGCGCGCTCGTTGTTCAAGGCTGATCACCCCAAACGCCCGGAGGCGGTGGCTGGAGAATCCGTGGGACAGTGGTCGACGCGCGTCACCGTAGCATTCGACACTCTCACGGGTGAGGAAGTCGCGGAGCTGGAGGAACAGGCATTGCTGCTTAACTCGACACGCAAGGAGGCCGCTTCTGCGCCGCGCAGTGAATACTTACGTGGCAAGTGAGTGAGACTTTTCGTGTGGATTGGGATCGTCACTCAGTACATGCGATTTGCGGAATCGTGCACCTCAGGAAAGCCAAGAACATGCCCACGACAATTAAAAAGACGATGGAACATTGGTATGAGGAAACTGGATGGGTGGGGATGGTGATGATGGGGGGCATCGGCATCAATGGTGATATCAACGCGCACGTGTGAGTCCCCCACGCCCGATGGACCATACAATGTCATTAATAAGGATGCAGCGAATGCACTGGTGTGGATGCCGATTCAAAAAACTTTGAGCGGGCGTTCACGAGCAAATCGGGAGTTTCAAGGCAGCGTTTGCATAGTTTGTTTTGGGCATTCCTGGAAAGCATTTATGATCGTGAGTAGCTGGTCGTCTCGGGCTGATAATGACTGACAACCTTTGATAGGGCTTCCAAGCGAAGGTGTGCGCTCTTCTATTGCGGCGGGTTCATCTGCGGCGGACGCGTCGATTGCCGCAGCATCACCTGAGGCGGACTCCTCGAATGGCGCACTATCGGTGGTCAACAGCTCAATTGCCGTAGCGTCACCGGAGGGGGAGCACTCGAATGGCACACCATCCGAGGCGCACAGCTCGATCGCCGCAGCGTCACCGGAGGGGGAGTCGGGAGATTTTTGGCCAGGCGAGGTGGACGGCAGTGCTGCTGAAGTGAGGCCTTGGATGGAGCCTGGCCCTGCACAGACGAGCGACTCAGTAGACGGCGCGAAGACGGTTGGGATGGGTTCCCTGCCAGAGCCCCATGGCCAAGTAATCTCTGAGATGGGATTAAAGATTTTGGCACAACGCTGTGTGGCCGCTCAAAATGAAGACGGGCCCGGCTTGGTCGCCCACTCTAGTTTACCACACACACTTCCCGGGGTGCACGCTGCTGATGAGAACGTGCAAGGCGATGATACGGCATCAGAGTCGTCTGGAGGGTTGCACGACCCCAGCGTCGTCGGTGAGTTGGGATCAGCAGTCACTCGAGGACAAGACACGAGCATGCGCGAGCCGGCGCTGCGGGTCGATGGAGATGTGGGTCGTGGGCGTGGGCGTGGGCGTGGGCGTGGGCGTGGGCGTGGGCGTGGGCGTGGGCGTGGGCGTGGTCAGATTGGCGGGCGTGTGGGGACGATCAATGCTGCTAGGGCGGATGTCAGCAGTATGGGGATAGACACATCGGACGAGGACGAAGGCGGGGGTGTGGAGAGTCATGCGGGCGCACCTCGTGTGCGGTTTGTTGGCCCGGTTGAGAGTGTAGTGGGGAGCACGCAATCGCCGGTGATTCCACAGGGAGTTGAAGGACGACCACGCAGAGATCGTCAACCATCTAGCAGGCTGTTGGGCGAAGATCCGTAAGTGGGCAATGGCAAGGGGTTCTTGAAACGAGAGCTAACATCTGCGACAGGTTGGGGAAGCGGTGGGGCGGGTATTCGAAGGTGGAGGTGGATTAAGGAGCCTGGATGGATTGGAGACCGAGCTGGTGCAAAGTCAATGTGCGTTTTTAGAAAGAGAGTGAAATGTGCCTGTAAAAAGAGGGACCCGCCTGAGGTCCTGCAAAGACATGGTCCGCGCGCCGATGCTCGAGTATAAAAGGCACGTGCGGATGTTTTTTTCCATGCAGCATGGTGCGCACACGGTCCCCCGGTGTTCAGGCGACTCCCAGGCGCAGTCGCGCTGTTCCCTCCGTCTCTCGCAGCCGATACTCTGCTCGTCTCAAACATGCGTGCCAGGAAGGATCAATGTCCCGTCGTCCCAACACCCCTGTTGAGTGTCGCAGGTGTCGGGAGGAACGCTGTGTGTTTCTGCGACTCGTCTTCAAACAAGGTCATGCGGGAGAGTGGATCTCCATAGTGAGTATGTTCGACATCATTTTTTGTGTGTTTTCCACGATCAAATATACAGTGTCGTATTTGCGACGATCTATGGTACCCGCCTCAAGATCTACCGCCTGCCGAGCAGGTTGCGCGCATCGAAGAAATTCGTGCAGATGATGAAAGGATTTGCGGTGATGGCAAGCTAGCAAAAGTCCTCCAGAGGACATTCAATAAAGAAGTAAGTGCACATGGAGTTTCACATGCATACATTTTATTGACCGATGGTATGACTTGGAGGCGAAAATTTCGGGACGCGGAGGCGCTCGAGAAAAGACCGTGGCGCAATTCAGCCAGTCGCAAGGTACTACGATGAGCGAAGGTACCGAGGGAGGAAGTAGCCCGGTGGTAAGTGATGGACATTGTCTGAGGTTGGCACGCGCTCATCGCTTGCAGTGGGGTGGTCACACATTGACGAGTCCGGCGCCGTCGATGGATGACTTCTTCGGGGAGGGAGCGGAGGATTCACAGGACGAGGGAGGGGGGGTCTTGCACACAAACAACGGTCTCGACCGCTGGGTTCGAGTCGTTATGTGGACAGCCGTGAGTCTCACTTGCTATCGGGGCAATAGTGGTTTGCTGACATTGTTTCAGGCTAATGCTACGCCAGAAATAGTGTTGTGCAAGGCTCCATATTCGTTCTTCAAATTCACGGAGCACAGGCGCATCATGGCAGAAATGGGTTTGCGTCGGGATCAACGGTGGGACCGATGGAATGGAGAGGAGTGTAGGTGGGAGATCTGTTTGAACATTGACAAGGAGATTTGGGTGAGTGAGCGGGAACATTCTATTTTGGGCCGTCTAGCTGGGACTCCGGGGTGCGTAGGGTTGGGTGCAGAGATCCAGCGATTGGCGGATGGGATCGAGGGAGCGAAGGTGGGCGAAGACAGTCTGGTTGTGGAGCACAAAAGTGTCGGTGTACAGGCAGGAGAGGTGGGTAATAAGCGGGCTGGGAAAAAACGGGGGATTGAGGAAGTGGAGGTTATGGAAGGGTCGTCTGGATTGTCGATTGACGAGAAGGAAGTGGTCGCGGGACGGAAGGCACACGCAGCCGCAAAGGGCAAGCGCGCGATCAATGTCTATCGTGCTATATCAGAGGCCCCAGTCGCTGATGAACTTGTGACACCGCATTTGATTATAGAAGACGGAAAAGAGATTTATGATCTCACATGGGAATGGTGAATGAAATGTATTTTTTTTTCATTACTAGTGTAACCGGAAAGGTATAACAGCGATAATGGAGAATAATATGTCATGTTGAAATAGTGGAATGGTTAGCGCGCCGTGCGTGAGAGGGGTTAGTCTGCGAGGCTGGGGTTCGATCCCGTATAGTAAACAATATTTTAACTTATCATATTCATGGAACATCTTGCATATGCAGGTGTACGATATAACCGGATGTTGTGCGAGAGGTATCTGGCCATTTAACCTACGAATAAGTGTCATGTTATTGGTCATGGAGGTGGTAGGGGTAGGTCATCTAATATTTACCGCAACATTGTACAAGGCGGAGTAGCTGAGTGGCTAGGGTTGATTTAGTAAAGTGGGCTCACTCTGAGTGTGCTGGGTTCGATCCTGACCACGTGTAAATCTTTTAGAGTACGACTATGACCAATCATCTGAGCCTGTCTCCGGACGGTGATATCTGGTGTTAGACATCTCGGGGCAGTGTCCCGCAGGAATATTCAGTTTATATTTGTAATTGATTGAGTAAAGTACTGAGACAACCGGATATCTCCGGCTGTAACCGGCCATCTCCGGCTGATGTGTGTACACGTCACGGTAATATCCGGGTAACTGAACACCTACGACTAGGCTCACATTGAGTCTCATCATGTGATGGGACACCTGCCAGATCTATTTCATCATTGGTTTTCTCACCAACAACCTTGTTTGAATGCATCGTACTCACGGTATGCGTTCTTCGAACAGTATTCTGATGATCAATGTGTCTTATGTCTGACCCATAAAACTCACTTCGTCCTGGTCCTCAGCACTCATGCAGCCATGCCTTCCCTTATACCACTCGATAACCTGTTGGGTGTTGCTTTCGTTGGAGTAATCATATCTACTGCGCAAGTAGTTCATCATATTTATCTGTTCACGTCAATTTGACGAGGCTATCCTTTCTCTGCAGAATATATGGCGTGACGTGCCTACAGCTGTACTTGTACTACACAAAGCATTGCCAGTATGATGGTCGCTTCGTGAAACTCTTCGTCAGTTTCTTTCTCTCTACCTTCATGTACCATATCTTGTCTTATAGTCAAAATATGCCCTTAGGTCGCTGTTTTGATGTGAGTGTGCCTTCAAAATTGCACGAGTGTCATGACACACCTCCGTCAGGGTTCTCGATACCCTCAATCTGATTTTTTTGGCGCATGCCATGTACTACTACATGGTCACCAATTTTGGAGATTATCAGGCCCTTGTCCCTAACGTGTGGTAACGTACCTCACACTTTCCAGCTTACTCACAATAATAATCACTTTTATTGCAGGAGTATGCTAGTGCGTTGACCTCGCTAGCTACGGCTCATAGTTAAATTTGCGCAGATTCAGGTCGTGATAGGGGTTCGAGCGTTCTAGCAATCTCCTAGGTGATCATGAGTTGACGCTTCTCACAGCACTTGCTGAGTAGCTGTGTCCAATTGTGGGTATCAGTTTGTTTGTTTGCAGGCAATGGCTAACGATGCAATTCTGCTAGTTTTTTCGCATACCGAGTCTACTGCTGTATGTCTGTCTCAATTTACTTTATGACTCGCAAAGGAGGCTAAAATTGCTATTTCTAGTAAGCAGGAAGCGCCTTGCACTTCCGGTCATTGTTGTATGTCCCTCCCCCCCCAAAAAAAAAAAGTTTCCGCAGGGAAAAGCCAATTAATCATGGTTTCTCTAGTGTATTTTGAGCTTGGGACAGCTGTGTTTGTATCAAGTTGATACTTCGCAACCTCTAAGGCTGACAAAACACGATTTCCGGTAGCTTGCGCGATGGGTGACTTAACACGTTAGCGTTCCGAAATTCCAGTGCTGATTCCCATATAGGCTTCGTAGTTACCGCGTACGCCACCTCGGTTTAATTTCTCATCGCTGACCATTATGCTCACTTCCGCCTCTCAGTTTTAACCTGACAACATTCGCTGGTTCTGGTGTAGATATAGCTCCGTGATAGTCTGATGAATCCTCTTTTGAGAAAATCTAACGTCTGTTATTTTAGCCGTGGACTAGTGCTTCGATCTCCTCAGAGATTTCTTGCGATGCGTTGATCACAGGTCTAATGATTTACTACCTTAGTAGAGGGCGCACACATTTTGGAAGGTGTATACTCATCAGACCCTTCTCAAGCAACTACGTTTACTGAACAAGCGGTCTGTAGAACGAACAGAGCAATTGACTTACTGATTGAATATGCGCTGAATACTTGTAAGCCTCTACTCTAAAACCCTATGGCATCGACTGACAAATTGACCGTGGGCAAGCTCTCCTCACAACGTATCTGAAATCACTCTCTCGCAATCACATTTCTTGTTCATCGTTTCCGCAGGATGTTCGCTATCGCTACTCTGATCACGGTGGGATGTCCGGCCAACATCTGGTTTTTATACTACTGACCACCACACATAGTTTGTCACTATGGATAAGACCCTGGTATATACACCATTCTTCATGATATTGGTTCGACGTAAGTGTGCGGTCACTTACTCTACTGTCGATCTTCCAACTGAATCTTCTGAAGTTTACTCTTGTTCGTTTATGTCAACGTTCGTAAAAAAAAATCATCTCCGCTGGTCATAGATAAGTCACAGCCTGAATCATCTAGTCTCAACTCTCGAGATGTCGTTCGACAAGAACTCGACGGGTCGGGTAGTGAAGTGGTCGATTTGTCTAGGATGTCTGCAATGGAAGGAACAGAATCTCAGCTCAGAGAAGAAGCATTCCGTGGATGTACAAGAGAATGGTCAGTGGCGCCATCTTGTAAATCATATAACTCTAACGGTGACTGTTCAGAGAGTCGCTGGTGCACAGAGTTCTTCACACATATATGGTGCAGCATCTCGGACATTATTGTCTCGACTCTCAAAGTTCTTGAATTGGCTGGAAAACCCGTCGGTCGCTAATCGAAAGGTGCTATTTGAAAACACTTTATCCGAATTGATGATCATTGCTGTGTACGAGCGATAGTGATGATGAAATTGATGTTGGTAATAGGACTTATGGGGAACAGAAGCTGGAACTTGTCTTTTCTCGTAGTCTGAACAGATATTAGGAAAAGTTTGGATAGAGCAGCTCATCGATATCGGGAACAGATAATTCTGAACTGACATATAAAAAGTGCGTTAAACCAAGTGAAATGGTTGCACTACAGGTCAATTATACTCTTGTCACGACCTCAACCTGTCCGTGATTTGCGATATGGGTCGAATGGTGGAGCTCATCCATGCTGATGTCCCCCTCCGTGTCCGTACGTTGACTGTTGATTACGCCCGCCTCGAATACCATGCCTTGCGAGACGTGTGATGTATGAAGGTGGTCGACATGGGTGGAGTATCGAGTTCTGTGGTCGGCCACCGAGGTACGGATGCGGAGGAGCAAGCGGCAACATAGAATGCTATGAATTGTGCGAAGGAATCTATCGTAGATTGAGCACCGATAAGGAAGTAGAAGTAAGGCTCACAAACATGCCAAGGAAGTCTAACATCTCCGTCTGTTCCATGAAATCAGAACATATATCAGATATATTTCGTTCCAAGACGCACCGGAGCTAGAAGCAGGGTGAGGACAGCCCCCAAGCTGAGAGCTATATTTATGAGGCAGAAGTTATTGTTAGGACTACGGCCAGTATGATTGAATCGTGCCCCTTGGAAAACGTACGCAAGAGACAGAGATAGAAAATGATGCCTTTGATTGCCAGAATCTTTCCATCAAAAATGTCTCAAAAATGAAGGCACAATTTCACTCACCATCGCGGAATAGAGTGAAGAGCAGAGAGCTCTCAGATTGACGCGCTGAAAAGCAAGATCCGGCGCACCCGGGCTCCCGTCCATCCTAATCTCCACAATAGCCTCAGAAGCCCTGTGCGCAAAAGAGTCAAAGGGTGGCCGAGCCCAATTCGGATGTGAGGGCATCCAAATGGCAGACACTGCGATTTCGTCTTTAGAGACTGTCGTATCGTCGTCTGGCAACTTTGGGATCACAACAACCGTGATTCGTCCTCCAAAGTACATCGCTGCGCTCAACACCATGTGTTGGAAGTCTTCAAGATAAGGCCGTCCAGGCGTGTCGGCGTTATATGAGAGAGGCTACCAGCAAATTGAGCAAGATCCAAGTGAAACAACAGAAAACGGTCATCACAGACCTCTTCTAAGTTGATCATGGGGCCATTGATAAAGGCTCGGCGCAGCACTTTCAAAAGAGCTGGGACCCCATGGAGATTGGCGGTGCGCACACAAGCTTTGTTGCTGTGCATCTCGTACGAGAAGTGACTGTGATACGGGGAGATAAGAGGGCGGCGAAGTGTGTCTACCAAAATATGTTCTAGCACTTGCTTTCTAACCTCGAGCATCTGTATAAAAGCATGTTACGATAAATATATTTACAGCTGTGGTGACCTAAATGACCTACCATACGCACGCTGTGGACTATGGGCGAACGAGGGTTGTAAAGATATCCGAGCCACGTGGCTCATCAGCGCACGTCCCGCACGAGCATGCGTCCAGATTTGTCCTAGGCGTGGTCAGTAATATGTAGAAGGGACTGGCTCCAAAAACAGGTTCGACGGATTCGTGGCGAAATGCAACCACGCTCGCGCTTCACGTCTCCGAAATCATTCTACGAATTAGACGCACCCACATCTGCCTATCAGGCCCAATATCAACACACACAAAAAGAGAGATCGCAGCCAGATGTATAACCTCACGTCCTTGATCCCCAAGGCCCCGACTCGCTGATCGTCTCCAGCGTCTGGGTCCGTTCTCGATATTCTTGAACAAAGCATCTCACGAGGCAAGGGGCGGCGTCGCGGCGAGAAAAGTTTGTCAGCAACAGGGGGTCGGCGGGGTTAGGGTCCCACTCGGGCTTCGACCGTTATTGACTGTTTGCGCTGCTCGCACTGGTGGGAAGTCTGTGTAACAGGATTCCACGGAACATGTATCAATAGGGTCCATCCGCTGGGGCGATATTAAATAGCCATGTCGTGTTTCTCCCTGTTCGTTTCCGAAGTGGAGCCTATCTGCTCGTCCATGTCGGACCTGGTTGAGCGACGGTAGAAGATGAGGTCCATGGGTAGGAACTGCGGCCTTCCGACATCCAATGACGAGACAGGGAGATAGGGTGGTAACGAGTAGAACGGCTTCGTTGCTATGTGGTGAACGGTCGCAGCGAACGGCGCAAGCGCGGCCGCAATTTCGATGGCAGACAGGGATGCGCCTACCACCGCGACTGCCTTGCCCTTGCAGACACCGGGGTCTTTAAAGTTTGCGGCGTGGAGGGTAGGAATGCAAGTGTCAGTGAGACCGGGGAGCGGTGGCGTTGAGAAGAAACCTGTGGCGACGATGAGATACTCGAAGTCCTCCTCCTTTTCGTGTCCTTGGACAGAGCAGCTCTGGACTCGCCATTTATTGTCATGGAAATCGACACGGGTAACTCTCGTTCAAGTCCTCACGTCTTCGTCGTGCACGTACCGCTTCGCGTATACGCGAAGATAGTTTCCCAGCTCTCCCGAGTGAGCAAAGACATCCATTCGATGGTCGGGCACAGCTCCTTCAACGGGCCACGCAACGTCAGAGTACATGCATGCGTGTCACGATATGTTAGTTCTCATGAGTGGCCTGTGATATGGATGGTCGGGTGTCCACAATCCGCCTAGAGCCTGTAAACACTCGAAGAGCGTCGGCCTCAAGATTTCGTGGCGAACGACGTGCCGGTAAGCTGCGAGACCCGCTGCGCCACCGCCTGTAGGATGACACGAGTGGGGATAAATACGTTTAAATTGGTAAATGGTAGATACCTATGATCGCGACCCGCCGTAGTGAGTCCACCATGGTGGGGGTTCAGAGAGCGATTCGCGGTAGACGGTAGGACGGACGACGAGTCCAGGTATCAAGCAAGGATAGGTATGAGACGAAGATCGGAACTACTACAATCACGGAATAGGGGTGGAATCAGGGAATTGGAGCAGATAACGAGGGGGTGTCTAAAATTATAGGGTATCTGTGACATCCGTGCAGAATATGACGACCATGTCTAAAGAAAGTTAAGATGAGGGCACCTAATGACGATTCCATTTCGTTCTGACATCAGCCAATGACGATTAATTATAATTCAGACAACTCACAGACCTGATTCCAGACTTTGGACTGTGTTTCGATCTGGGCTTCGACAAGAAATTGGTATGTGACAGGATACCACCCAGAGAGAATGTAGGTGCACAGCCCGGCTCACTCCCTGCCAGATGGAAGCTGATGTTATGTTCGCCCGCTCTTGACCTCTTGTGGATGTCGCGATGGCGAGACACTTTCCGCAGCAGTTGGCCACGGATTGGCTGTTGGAACGAAAGATCAATCGTTCAAGTTGAAGCTCCGCGCCGACCGGTGGCCATGTCGTATCTGCGCGTATTTGCCAGACCGCCGGGTAAACGCGAGAGAGGTTTGGAACCAACCCCGACTACGACGAGCTCAGCCCTGCGCAGCCCAATTCTCAGAGATTACATTCTGAGCTCAGAGCACCACATCTTTCCGGCCATTAGCCAGTTTACAATCAGCTTTTGTTCGCAGCAGTGAGTGGTCGTCATCCCTCGCCTTCGACCGTAATTCCCCCAAGTCTATGAGCATTCATAGATCTCATGCTCTCAATATTCTAGGCTTTGAAGTTGCGAAACTCAAGCTCGGCCCAGGCCTACGCGCACTGCGGGGACGCAGATCATCTCCCCCCCAGTTCCTCTGCTTCCATCTACTGCGTGTCTCCAACGCGACCACGGATCTTCGAATCCGATCTAGTCAGCAATCTTTCGTTCCAACCTAACAAATTCGGAGTGAGTATGCCAGAAGAAACTCTTCGAACGACGCATCTGGAAGTCGAGGAAGATACTATCTCGACCTCGACTGTTCTGAAACCTAATAGCAAGGTAGGTTCCTCCGCTTCTGTTTCCTATGGGCATACTCGATGCCTTGAAGCTGGGAGATGACGGTATCATTGACGGCCGTCTTCCGCTCTTGGTTAGGTCGCTGGAAGCTGCATCGCAAAATTTTCCACGATACACAGGGGCCGCATAACATGAACGGGGCGTATGAAGGCGTTGTCACGTTCTACCCCGACCACCAAGCGCTTTGCCTTCTCCAGATCCATCAGAACATGACACGATGGAATACTTGTACCATGAGCAAGGCACTTTCACCTCTAGTTCGGGTATGGCGTTTGAGGCGCAGATGAAGTACGTTTACAGGTATCGACCCTCCTCGGATCGAATTTCGGTTTGGCGGGTCAAGTCAGGGGCAGCTTCGGGCCCTCCAGAGAATGGGGTGATCGAAGATTGGTTCCATGATATCACGACGGATGTTCCGCCATCGAACACGGATAAGACTTGGTTCATAGACCACAGAGAGAAGGGAAGTTGGGGGACACATGGTAGCGAACATCTCTGTGTGAATGATCTGTACAAACCGGTGTATAAGTTTTGTTTCGAGGGGGATACGGTGTCTTCGTTTGGAGTTGGGTATGATGTGAAGGGGCCGGCCAAGGGGTAGTATACGAGTGAATCATGGTTTGAACGAGCATAGTTCCCTTTGTATGTTTATTTCGGTAGTGTTGAGTTGCTACATGACAAGATTGAGGATGTTGTACAGTACGGGATCAATCCAAAGTGGTCAGGTTTCTTCTGCCTGGCCTAGTTGCCACGGATCCTGGGAAATCCTTTGACCTTTTCGAGATCTTTCCACATAATTTCTACTAAATACCCTAGAGGCTTTGTACGCTGGGAATGTAAATTTTCTTTCTTCGTGTTCAGACTTCGATCCATCTTGTCTACATCCGCGGGGTTTCTTCTTTAACGATTCGTGTGCCAATTGGCGTTTGGGAATAGTGTTAGGGAGTGCTGGTGTCGAGGTTGACATAGGTGTGCAATCATTTTGTGTTCAACACGCGAATGGCGTCACACTTCAGACCAACGTCTATATCAGAATTTCTCATTGGTTTTCGGCTTCCAAAGAGGCTTGTTCAATCGTGATTCACCTACCTTTTCGCATGCCTCAATGAAGGAGCTGCGATCTGTCAGGATGGGTCAGCAGCATGCAGGGGCCCATTAGAGCTGCTTCTATCTCCTCGTCCAACTGATCAAGCTTCGACGCTGGCCGTTTTTCCTGCTTATACCTTCGTTTCACATCCCCGTCCTATGCCCGATGCCCGATCGTATGCTCATGGTCTGCACGTGAGGAAATCGATTTTTGGAATATTTCCAGTGTATGCATTGTCAAGATATTCTCTGATCTCATATCGTGACATCGTGTGCTCCTGCCATGGACAATGTTACGCTCTGCATCGTTCAAAAACTGTGTGTGTAGCATGCCAAGGATCTGATTTCCTGGTACTGGTACGCTGTGCACCCTTCGTAAATGTCCCGCTGGTCAAGGTGCGTCACATTCGTTCGTAGAAGGTCTGAATGGTTTGGTAACACGTTTTCTTTTGACTAGACTTTGTGGAGTCGGATTGCGCACATGCGCCGAGTGAGCCGAATAGATGTATGACGTTCGGAGTTACTCGTCCTAACCGTCTTGTCTATCTGATCTACCTTACAGCTTTTTCGATATCGGATCATGCCTATAGTGCTTGATTTGCACCAGCGAATACGCCTTAGGTGATCCTGGACTCTCACAAAATTTGTTTCAGCTCTCGTGCTCCATTTGTTCAGCCGCGTCACTTCGTAAGACCGCTCCTGTCTTCGTGCAATTCGCGCGTCTAAGCAGGCCGATGACCACACCTTGACGCTCGCGAACTTTCCTCGCTTCCGCCCGGGTCAGGGATATATATGATCTCGGCATGTAGTTCAGAGTGCATAGCTTCCAAAAACAAAGGTCGGGGGTCGCGGCTGCCATCAGATGGCCTAGCCCTTGTAATGGGAGAATCGGTTCTTTGCATGGGGATAGAGGAGCGGAACTCTCAATCCGCATATGGGGTGAACAGGGACGCCTACTTCGCGCAGAAGTCCTGTCTCAGTCGGAGCTAGACTAGCCGTTGCTGACACTGCCTTGTGGAATAGGCATTGGACGCCGGACCACCTAGAGATTGGTAGGTACCTTAATCTCTCAAGCTCAGGAGTCACTACATCGGCCCGTCATTGTTCTTCAACCTTTGCAGCGCACGATACGGGCAAGTTGTACCCCACGCTTTCGGCTGCTCCTTCAGGAGCAATCCAGTATGCTCAGTTGGCGAAGTTTGAAGGACTTTCCATGAACGCATGCAAGTGGTGTATGGACCGACGTCGGCGGTGCTTGCGACCTTTCTTCGAGTTTCAGCAAGGTGGAGCACCTTCGCCTCGCACCATTCCGTATGTTCATCACTTTGTCTCACGATGCTCGCCTGACCGCAGCCGTCAGGATCAATACATGAAGCTTCGAGGCATGAATGACTAAAATCAAATTTATAGTTGCCCTTGATTGTTCAGTGTGCCTACAAATGGCTGATTGATTCAGTGCGGCCACCTCGCTGCGGAGCCGTCTCATCTAATGCTGGACCTTTGACGTTCGATGATACGATTGTCGGCCATGTAACATACGGGCATCCTCAACACCGAGCGTGAACCGGCGAGCATACTCCAGAGTAGCATGTTTGATAGATGCTGAAAATGGGCGAGGTCCGCACGCCGCTGTGGGCATCCAGGACTCTAAGGCATGTCTTGTCTAGTTCCCAGAAGTGAACACATTCTGACCACTTCGTATGACCCAGTGGGACAGGTCTTCCCAGGACGATTGTTATTAAACACCATCAGGCATCAAATGTTAGAACGTTGACGTGATCATCGACACAGAGTGAATTATTTATGCGAAACCGGGGCTTTCATTACAATTCCTCCTCCGTCAGCCCCACTCTTCCTTTGAATCCTAATATCCAGATGTGTGTTGCGGGTACCTCCATGCCGAAGGCTTCTGATCATCCCACCCTCAAATCTTTTATTGCTCACGATGTATCTCAGCATCTTGAAGTTAGTCAAATTGTTTAGAGACTATATTCTGACTGACCGCACATGTAGGTTCATGTCCACAGCTTGAAGTCCTCGATTTTGGCGATCAATTCATTACTTCCGGCTAACTGTGCTCAGCACTGCTCCGGTTGGTTCGATCTTCCGTCGTCAACCATCTTCTCCGATACTGCGGTCACGATCACACGATGCTAGCAACTTCTCTCAGCGAATCCCGCTCTATTGCAGAAACCGCTGTAGTGATCCAAAACGCTCTTGGCGCATATCGATCTTCGTTTACTCATACGTCAGTGAATGAGCGTCTACAATGATGAGGGGTCTCTCATACCGAATCAGTCTAACAAGATGTATAGCAATGGTGATGTGAACTCCAAAATAAGGAATATTGTTCATTGATGTATGTCACTCATTTCCAGTCATTCAAATCCAAAGGCACGAATGAGCGGCCGAGCAGAATATAATGATGCGAAGGTCGGAGCCCTAACCCCGCCTTGAGGTTTGGTAGTTACGACACCACAGGCCGATAAATCAGTTCGAGGTCGGTAACTCTCGGTAAGTTTGCCTCATTTCGTCGCAATTCTCACAGATTGATACTTCCCTCAAACCGATTGCGAGTCGCCTTCCCAATGCGTCACATTCACAGACTCAAAGATACGACAACATCTCGAACTTCAATTCTGAATACAAAAGACTCTTCAACTTCCATGAATAGCACAATAATCATCTCGCTATTGCAGTTGTCAATCAATAAACAACGTGTCCGAGATGCATCATTCACCTTTCATTGAGTTGCATCGTCCGTCAGGCTGCGGGAGTGGCTTCGGGTGTCTGGGTCCAGACAATGATTTGGGTGCTCGTGACGAAGAAAGGATACGTTTCGGCGAGACCCTTCACAAGGCGGGTGGCGGTAACGACAGCCGGGGTGCCAGTAGGGCTTGCGGCGTCGTCCTGTATGATGCTAAGGTGAAGTGCGGCGAGCGGAGTATTAGAAGAGCCAACCTCAGCAGCTCTCACGAGAGACAAGGAGGCGAAAACTGAAACGACGAAGGGGATGAACAACATCTGGACAAGTGTATAGGACTGGAGTGGACAATGTATGGGCAGAAGGTAAGCCTGAGATCTCTCTGTGCTGGACGCCAACCTTATAGGAAAGCCAAGACTCAGAAAGAGGCATCGGAACAAATACGCAGTACACTAGTCCGTTCAGGGCGGCCGATAGTACGCGGGAAATTTTCTCGGTCACTCGTTGAACCCTCTTTCCGACACTCATGAACCTCATACCAGCCCATACCCCAGATATCACCATCTATGGCGTCTGTACAGGTTTATACCTGTTCTGTTTAGATGCACAAAGGTATGCTGCGTTCCTCATTGTGACACTAGTTTACCCACGTGTCTCTGACAGCGATACTGCCGCGATGACGGAACCAGGCACACATGTTCTTGCTGAGCTCTGCGATCGAAGAGTGCGTCGGCCGCCGAGGTGTGTGAGTCCCGAAGCGGATTGGAATACTTACAGACTTACAAAGCAAATTAGATATACAGGAATGATGATGACGGTTCACCGTCCACATCAACAGGTTGCTCGATTTCAAAGAGAATTAGAAATGCGTCCCCTGACTGCGCAATCCATAGGCACCGGGACAACCGAGGGATCCATTCGGGGCCGCCTGGTGGCGCCCGTCCAAATAATGAATTACGACTTCGACCGACTTTCCGTGCTCAACATCTAGAATGACCAGTGAACATAGGGGCTCGTTGGAAATTGGGTGTCTTTCCGAGGACCTTTCAGCATGCTTCATCGGGTGAAGGATTCGCAAATTCTAGTCATCAGAACGCCGGTGCCACGATGATCGGCACGAGATCTAAAGAGGAAATTAGTCCAACTGCTCAACCTCCCCGTGCGTTATTCACTGAAATCGTACTTGGAGATTTTCACGGAGCAGTATTGCGATGCTTTATTATGCCCATGGCTTCTCTATATGCGAGAGTTGCAAACAGAATTTCGACCGGTCCCGGTATATGACGTCGTCTCATGATTTTAATCTGTTTACGTCGATCTCAAACTCCGCGAGTGCGGGGTTTTCTGTTGGTCGTTTCCGAACTGACCCCGAAAGATCCATCTCCAGAGTTAGCAGTCAGTTAGCCTGTACATGATCCTTTCATGGTCAGAGAGATGGCGGTTCGTTCAGTGAACATCAAACATTTCCATGGGGTGCTTATGCTTTTGGTCTCTTATCTAATACAGAGCGCCATGATCTCTGATAAAACCATTTTGCTAGATGCTCGGCATCGTCGATTCGAACAGGATTCAATCCGGCTACTTCCCGTAATATGCGCAGAAGTGCATCATGAAAAGATGTGTTTCTGCGCCGCTTCTAATCTACCTCCGCTTCCCCATCAGGAAGGAAGACAAACGTAAAGTGCGGTAAACCGATTCCGGCTATCCCCACGTCTTTATCTTTCTCACACCGGTGTACTCTCAGTGTATTATCCAGAATAAGTCTTCATGCTGCCGGTCCGTTGAACTTTTGGCGTGCCACTTTCCTCCGTGTGCTACCCCATTGACTGGGTGTTGTTCCTGGTCCTGACTTGTCATCCCCCACCTCGTTATCTCGCTCGAAAGCCGCCCTCCGCACGGTGTACCTGTGCGTACATCGTGAGACCCTGATCTTGGCATGTTCCTGTGCTCCCAGTTCGTTTTTGTTGAACGATCTCCTTTGTGCATACATTCGGGACACTCCGCCGAGAAAATCTCGGTGACAGATGCAGGAGATCATTGTCGGCCCAGACACCAATGCCGAGGCATTTACGAGATCTTGTCTGAGCCATTTTCTCTTGTAAGTCATCTGAGTCGTTGTGAGAACTCCGTCCTGGGACTGGTATAAGTACTGTCGACGTGATCCAATATTCTCTATCGAATTTACTTCGACTCTCCTACCTCACTGCCCCCATACCCCCACTGCTGACAATGTGGGCAAGCACACTCCTCCCACTCTTCTTGATATCACAGGCTCTCGCCTCCATCGGTCCTGTTGCCAACCTTCATATCACCAATACACAGCTTTCTCCCGATGGTTTCACGCGCGAGTAAGTTTTTTTCTACATCAGTCCTTGCGTGTTATTCACGCGTTTCAATCAGTACTGTTGTTGCTGAAAGTGTTTATCCTGGCCCATTGATTGTTGGCAACATGGTTAGCTTTTGGCTTATTTCTTGGGTGTACCGTCTGATCAGGGTTATAGGGAGACAACTTCCGCATCAATGTCACAGACCAGTTATCAGATGGAAATATGCTGAAGAGCACTTCAATTGTGAGAGTTATGGAGACTTGTATCCCTTCGTCTGCTCATTTTTGGTTTTTAATAGCACTGGCACGGACTTTTCCAGCACAATACCAACCAATACGACGGTGCTGCCTTTGTGAATCAGTGCCCTATCGCTCCCAACAACTCTTTCCTGTATGATTTCAGCGTCCCAGGTCAAGCCGGCACCTTCTGGTACCACTCGCATCTAGCCACTCAGTACTGCGACGGCTTGAGGGGACCTCTCGTCATCTATGACACGAATGACCCGCACGCTAGTTTGTATGATATTGATGATGGTAAACAAGCTGACGAACCATGAGGAATATGTGCTGATTATCGACGCAGAATCCACCATCATTACATTGTCAGACTGGTATCATGAATTCGCCCCTTCCGCAGGACTTGTACCGTGAGTGAATTATCGCCTACACAGCATTTGAAGCTCGACTTGATCTGGCTGCTCAACAGAACTTCTGATGCGACCCTGATCAATGGCTTGGGCCGCTATGTTGATGGACCGTCGTCTCCTCTTGCAATAGTCAACGTGACGTCTGGGAAGCGGTCAGCCCTCCTGTTTCAAGAGGCGTATACCATGAATACTGATGCTTCTTCATCTGATAGGTACCGATTCAGGTTGATCAGTATTTCTTGTGACCCCAACTTCGTGTTTTCAATTGACGGCCATAACTTGACCGTCATTGAATCTGACGGTATCAACACGCAACCACTTGTTGTCGACTCTATTCAGATCTATGCCAGTGAGTATCTCCGGTGCATCCCGTCTTCACTTTTCTCTCATATTTCAACATCAACGTAGGCCAGCGGTATTCCATCATTGTGAGTATTCTTAGATCATGATATGGAATGTTCACTGACGATGTCCCCGTCGTGAAATAGCTGGAAGCGAACCAGACGGTTGGGAACTACTGTAAGCACAGCATAATGACAATTCTCCCTCACCATCCCCATTTTGACACGATGTTCTCTAGGGATCCGGGCGCAGCCGAACCTTGGGACGACATCGTTTGACGGCGGTCTCAACATGGCCATTCTTCGTTATGCCGGCGCGGCTATCGCCGATCCGACGACGAACCAAACCACCAGTGTCATCCCCCTCAACGAAACAAATGTTCACGTATGTCTTGTGAATACATGTTAATTAATGACCAATAATGAAAGCACTGTTCCATTCAGCCCCTTGCCAGCCTGACTGTCGTGCGTTGTCCATTTTTTCCCTCGTATATAACCTTATCTGATAGTATGTAATCTAGCCTGGCACCCCGCAAAGAGGCGGGGCTGATATTCTCATCAATCTGGATGTTATATTCGTGCGTTAATTAGACGTTTTAATATGAGAAATCATTGACGGGAAAATGCTCACAGAATGCGACGCTTCTGGAGTTCACCGTCAACAACGTGCCTTTCTTGCCCCCCACCGTCCCTGTCCTCCTCCAGATTCTCAGCGGCGCGCAGAAAGCCTCGGATCTTCTTCCCACTGGGTCCGTCTATGGTCTGGCATCCAACAAGTCGGTCGAGATTTCTATCCCTGGTGGAGCTGTCGGCGGTGGAGTAAGTGGGAATCTCTGATGTTTCATCTTCGGGACTGATTGTATTTGGTGATAGCACCCTATCCACTTGCATGGCGTGAGTCATCTTCAGTCGTGAGAATTTCAAGATAGATAGCTGATATGCATTGCCACAGCATGCCTTCGACGTTATTCGTAGCGCAGGCAGTACATCCTACAATTACGTCAACCCGATCCGCCGCGACACAGTAAACATCGGTACTACTGGCGACAACGTCACGATTCGCTTCCAGACAGATAACCCCGGGCCTTGGTTCTTGCACTGGTCAGTGAGGTTCGCCTACTTCACCTAGCACCTCTGTTAACTCTTGCCTCTAGTCACATTGACTGGCATCTTGAAGCGTGAGTCTCAGTTTGGCTGTGCTTTCTTGGCCCTTCTCACTACGTCCTGCTCAGCGGTTTTGCTGTCGTCATGGCGGAAGGCGTTACAGAGACTAACACCGCGGATGTTGTAACAGGTATGTATTTTGCGCTCCATTCTATATATATGTTTTGACTTCTCTTTCCCAGCCGATTGGAACAACCTGTGCCCTATCTACGACGCGCTTGACTCTTCTGACCACTAGTTTGTGATATACTTGCGGAATGTCACGAGGTGGTGGATTTATTTCTTCCTCCCCTCTGAAGATGATTGTGTACACCAAAGGCAGGGACGCCGTTATATTTATGCAGCGGAAGCGATTATTTTCGATTTTTATGGAAAGCACCAAACTCATGAGGACAATTGCTGTTCTGCGTGTACTTGCCGATTTTTTTTTACTGGCGGTGGTGACGAAGGTGTCAGTGCTCGATTCAGATTGAACCGATCTGTGGCGATGTGAAGGGAATGTGTGAATGTTGGCGGCCCGTACTCAATGATCGTCATTCGCTCGATGGGAAACAGGGTCATACGAGATTCCTCTAAGCCTTGCAATTACTGTGGTCTGCATGGTTTATCATGACTATATTTTAGACGAAATCCAACACTGGGAACATGATGAAATTCGAATGAGTCGCTACTTGGCAGGATTCCGATCTCTCTATGATTAGTAGGCGGCGTTGGCTCGCGCACCACTTTGGTGCTGCTAATGTGTGCGCCAATATTTTCCATGCCCTCAAACCATAACACTTGACCACCTCAGCATCGGGTGTTGCACCTTGCGAGATCTGGGCTGTCTGGGACGACCGAGGTGTATCGCTGTAGGATGATATAGAGATGTGGGCGTCAGCTTGGTGTTTGACAGCCCCATGTAGAGTTGCGTGTCATCATAATGGCGACCAGATGTGTAGGGGTGGAATACATGCTAAGAGATGGACCTCCTTCCACCATTGCACGAAGGACGATAAATCACTGAGACCTACGTGCGAAAAAAGATAGAAGCGCTACGCACCTTCACCATGGCGTACAGGCCAAAGCCGCGTCCATGCCGCTCGCTTTATAGTCATCCACGTTGGCGCTACCCTTTCTCACAAGAATCTGGCCGTCCAGGGCGCACATCTGGAACCCGGTACGTGCAGATTGATCCCGGGATCTTGGCGTTGTGGCCTCGAGCAAAAACATAACATCCGGCGTGTGTGTAAAGCTTTACGAACCAGGTGAGACAAGTAACCTGCAGAGATCTGAGAAACACAACATTTGCACAAGGGAATAAGCAATTGGAAACCTTTGCTTTGCTCTTCTGGATTGTATCGTGCGGGGTCTTGTTTGTCCGCGCACCTTGAAGACCTCAGCGATGATCTTCTCAAGCTTGACTAGAAAACTCGTATATCGTATCAAGCGCGCCAATAAAATGGGTCGTAGTTGAACACGGAACCTCAGATATCGAAGTAAATTGGCGTATGTGGGCTCCCGTTCATCCCAATCTCCATGATGAGTCGATGACATCAGAAGGCCTGAGCTAAGAACTCCCAGGGCTGATCGAGTCCGATTCGAATTTGGGCTGCATACAGACGGCGACTGCTGTGATTTTGTTTTTTCCGTCCGTCGCGTCGTCGCGTCGTCGCCTGACGACTAAGAGATCGTGGCTCGTCCGCCAAAATACAGCGCCGCGTCCAATTTCGATTGTTGTAAGTCACCACGGTTACATCATCCATGCTATTTGACGTCGTTGGTGAAAAGCTGGTGAAGAGGATGAGTAAGAAAACGTTCAAAGGGAGGATGCAGACGATGGGGATATCACTGATCTCTTTCAAGTAGTTTATTCTAGCTTCCCCTGAAGGCCCGGCATAGGCCCGGCGTGATAGCCTTGCGAGAGCCAGGGTTTCTCGGCAGTCATAGGTGCGAAGTGACGGAGACATGGAAAGCGAGCGAGAGGGTAACGATGTCTGACGAATGAAAACCTGTAGGATGTGGGACGGTCCCCGACAATTGAGCTAGGACTCATCTTTCGATTGTAATTTCGCCTAGAACGACTCCAACATCACAGAACATGTCTCAGATTGGTGGTACGTAGCCAGAAGGGAGAGTCGGCGTCAGACCAGTGCGGGCCAGCGTCGGAACTTCAAAGCTTGTCTTGACCGCCAATCTGAGCTTGCATTGAGGCGTCACCAATTATACCTGCATTTTGGGATCTCAGAAATACCTACCATGGACACAAATATGTACATGGCTGACTGTAGACGATTATACAGATCCAGAGTTGCGTGAAACGATGCCATCGGAGATTTATGCGGATGCTCAAACTGAGTAGGAGAATATAATCTTGCACTGCGTGCACCGCAGGGTTTTTCTCGGGATAAACCGTGGATAAAACCGTGGATATAGATAAAAAATTTGCTTGGGTTTATTTGTGGAAACTACCGAAACAAGAGCTTAAGGTTTATTCAATATTTATTATTGGGTGTGATAAAATATCGGATAAACCTTAAGCTTTTGTTTCAGTGGATAAACTGGAACAAAAACTTTATCTATATCCAGAGTTAAATCCACGGTTTATCCCAGGAAAAAACCTGCGGTGCATGCAGTGTTGCCCGCTGCCCGCAACAAACCCGAAGTCACAGCTGTGCCTCCATTGAACCTTGACCTTACTTCCCTCTCGCTCCATAGCTGAAACAATATGTATACCGACATGTCCTGTTCCATGTAGGGTGATGTACATGTAGGGTGATGTCCAAACCTCACGCTCCGATGCCTCCACAGCACTGCCAGCGGACAGTCCGCTGGTAGCAGAAATGCTTCGTCTTCTTACCTCAAGCTCAACATTGCTGTCCAGAGTCAATGACTCAGCTATGTTAGACAGAGGTATTTTTAGTAAGTCTATCTTTATTTAACCTCGGAGATGATCACTTATGGGTGAAGAGGGACGCGCGCAAAGTGATACAGCCTTCGTTCTCATACTACTTGTTTGGTGTTCCGCGACGTTTTGTGCGCCTGAGAACTAAAGCAGTACAACCCAACAAAGATTCTGGAACGCCCTATGATGTCCTATCAGACGATATAGTTCCACTGAATCCCGATGCCGACCATGGAGGAATGGTGTGCTCGCAACATCATACGGTGTCACCAAACTCGGGATGTAAACTCGAAAGGTCTCGTTCATTGCTATCATGGCTGTCAACATGACTTACGACATCTTCTGTTTCCACGATTCGTTCGTTATCCCGATCTTCTGTACATGTATGGATAATTCAGCCCTGATCCAGCGTCGTCTATCTTCCTGGGGAAAGTTCAACCACTGATGCCACTATTCTTACTCTGGTGTTTCCTGCCTCCGACCATACATGGTCCGTCCCGACGTGCACTGATGATCGCCCCCCTTATTCCCCACGGATCGCATTCCCATATCAGAATTCTTCTATCATCGGGCGATTCTCGCCAATGTTGAGTAATGCGCCGCTTTGGGGACAAGCGATCTGCATTCTTATTTTGTCCCGGAAAACCGTCGGACCATAGTTTTTATAGTGCGTGTATCTCACTTTATAAAGTCCACCTCGTTCTTCTCTTAAAGTCAGCTTTCATCACGCGTACCTTCATTATCAGGCCTCTCTGCGCAGCCATGCCTTCACTCACCCCTCTGGATAGTCTACTAGGTGCCGCTTATGTCGGGGTTATCGTATCGACTGTGTAAACTTGTCACTCACCAATATTACCATCCGGCATCAGTTTGACGAAAGCGATCTTTTTTCCAGAATATATGGCGTCACTTGTCTGCAAGTGTATCTGTACTACACAGAGCATTGCAGCAACGACGGACGCTTCGTGAAAGTCTTCGTTAGTGCCATTTTAGACCATGATCATGTTCGAGACTGATGTGCAGCTCAGGTTGCTGCTTTGATGTAGGTCCATTATCTTCGCTCCCTGAGCTTCCGCATATGCCATTTTTTGCCAGGTTACTTGACACCCTCTATGTCGTATTATTAGCGCATTTTCTCTACCACTATACCATCACTAACTTCGGGGACTACGCGGCTCTCGTCCCTGATATGTGGTATGTGCTTGATACCATGATCACCCGGCTTTCGCATTGACCATGGTTTGTCGCAGGAGTATCTTGGTGAGCTGAATGACACTCTCTGCTTACCCCTCATGACTGACCAAATGATTCCAGGTTGAAGTTGTGATAGGGGTGCGCCAAGTCAACTGTTCACTGTATTAACTTCAATTGACGCAACCCCACTGACAGGATTTATTGAGCACCTTGGTCCAATTGTGAGTTTCTCCTCCATGTTAAGCAAAACTAGATTCACCTTGCCATACTAGCTTCTTTGCGTATCGTGTTTACTGTCGTACGTCGACCTTCACATGCCTTGTGTTCTCAAAAAAAATGTGAATCCCCCGCAGTCAGCAAGAAGCGCATTGTGATCCCGGCACTTGTGGTATGTACACGCCAGCTTTATATTGTAGCATGTAGTACTGTTAAGATCCATCGTTTTCAGTGCCTCCTGAGCCTTGGACAATTATGTTCGTGATTTATGGACTCTAAATTAAGTACTATGTGGCTGATGATTGCACCCCACGACAGCCTGCGCATTTGGTAATTTTGAATATGAAGCTTGAGGATACCTGTGCTCATTCTTCGTCTTCGTCTTACTCAGGCTTCACAATCACGAGGTATGCTGGTGTTTATTCAGGCTCTATCCATCGCATGTCTTTACTGATTACTTTGTCCTAGTTTCCATTTAAGATCTTTTGCTAACTCCCATTCCGATATAGTTTTGTGGCACTCATGCATTCCTCGCATTCAAACGCTCCTGATACTCCTTATTCTAGCCGTGGACCACTGCTTCGATCTCCGCTGAGGTTGCTTGCGACGCCCTTATCACAGGGCTCATGATTTATTATCTTCGCAAGGGCCGTACACAGTTCCAAAAGCAAGTCCCATCGTCCCTTTTCTTCCTAGCATAATTGACGGACATACTTCATCAGGACAAACCGGGCAATTAATCTGTTGATCACATACGCATTGAACACGTGTAAGCTTCCTTGTACTTTGAGGAGTGACTAGGACTGAAACTTGCCTTCAACAAAGCACTGCTAACAACGTAGTAACGATTTCGTCGTCTCCAGTCATATCTTCCATTCATTATATCCACAGAGTGTTCGCTGTCACTACACTGATCACGGTAGGACACACGTTCGATATCTGTCCTTCGTATCACTGATTGACCTCATATAGTTCATGGCTCTGCATGAGTCTTTAGCCTATGCGGCGTTCTTCTTCATCCTGGTTCGACGTACATTGTCTCAATTATGTACCAAAGGCTGCTGTCATTGAATGTTTTTCTAGTATATTCTTGCTCATTCATGTCAACGTTCGTGTATCCTTTCTCTGTACTGCTTTAATGCTTCATGTTGGAACCCGCTCGGCAGCCTCAACTCTCGGAGCATCGTTCGACAACAGCTCAACGGCAGGGATGACGAAGTGGTCACAGTGTCCAAATTTGCTGCAGCGGAAGCGCAAGCATCTCAATTGGGGGATCAAGCCGTCGGTGGCTTTGCGGGAGGAGTCAGCGGGTGAGAGCTACTCGTCTTCAGGCTCACATCGTACTGAATTAGACCTTGACATAGAGAATCAATCGAATTCAGATAGCTTGCCGCGGGATCCTTCTTCCTCAGGATCACATGTTCTTGTTCAGACGGTGCGCTCAACATCTTCTCGTTCTAAAATCCTCTCGAGCTCAAGATTTACATCCGTAGGACTCTTTTTACATTTTACTATGCTTGCTCTGCGACAATTTTGACTGATGTCTGTAACAAGCATCGTTTCGCTTCCCGCGTTGCATCTGCTGCCGGCCTGCTATACTCTATAAAACCTGCTTGTCACTTTTGGTAAAATGTTCGGGAAATCGAGGTGCGCTGAGTACAATCTAGATGAAGTCGTCCAATATTTCTCATCCATAACTAACCTGAACCAAGCGCGTGTAGTTCCTTTTTATTTTTATTTTTACAATCGGCTTTGATTTCTCTGCGCTTCTCCAAGCTCATTTGAGCGGAGTCTCCCAGAGGTGCCATCGATATGTACTATGTACCTTGGATTAGATGTTCGCTTTGTGCAGGTAACGTCAACCAATTGAAAATGTAACAGCAAAGCAAGTCGCCTCCGAAACCTTTGAAAGAGGCCACAATTGGCCTGTGATGAGGCGATGTGGCCGCCAAGCTGCACAAGCCACGATCCCGCATTGATACGGCTGAGATTTAAGCAACGCTTGCCACCTTTTCCTCGTTTGCCTTATAATGGACGCCGCCTCAGTCAACTTAGCATCCATCCTCCATCTAGCGACTGACTTGGATTCCGCCCACAGCTATTCATAGATTCCAGCAATATGAATCACAATCTCCTGTTCCATAACGACATCGGTACGTCAAACGGCTTGTACATCGCTGATACCTTCGAGCAAGCTCCGGTCTTGGGAAACATCGGTCAATCCAATCAGGTCGCGGTAAGCACGACCATCGGCGTGAAAGTCGACGACACACTCATTGCCGCTTGACAGCTCAATGCCACTCAAAACCACGACTATAATCTCGACATGAAGAGTGTACAGACGCCTTCGATGAATGCGCCACAAAATTCTGTGCCACGCACACCGTACGTCTCAAGCCACGAAGAATATCGTTGCTCCCAGATGATGCCACCGGCTGGAACGCAATACTACGGCGAAGTAGCATCGAGGGTGCAACTGCCTGAATTATGTGAGCCACCATTGACTACATCGGCTGGCGTCGCTCACGCATTCATGGTAACTAGCATGTGCGATATCTAGTCGAAATCTTTCAAAACACGCTTCGACGTCATTTGATGGACCATATCTCTCTAATAAGCTGACGGAGAATGGACACTTGTACCAAATGGCACAAGGTATGCAGAGGCAGATGTTTGGTAAGATTATAATGTCTCCATGCCTCCATTGGCACTCATGCGTCGCCATAGACGAAAGCAGGCCTCGAGGGATGTCTTCGGCGACGATATCAGGTCTTCGAGCATTCGGTGAGCCAGTATTGCCCTGCATGGTAGTCAGCACTCACACGTCACTTGAGCAGAAGCCAACGGGATGCTTGAGCAGATGGACTTGATAAGCACGAAAAACGCATCCAGTTATTCGTCCAATGAGACGTCTCGATGCTCCACTGCAGTGTCCGTAGGAGGTTGCAGTGTAAGGAGACAACATGTTCAGAACCCCCCATGTGAGTCACCATAACCTCTCATTGAATCTTTCACTCACCTTTACCTTTGCATTAGTATCCTTCGAAATGCCCGACCAGAGTAATATCGTCCCTGACTCCACTAAATCTTATCCTTCTAGGCGTGCCGATATAGCCGTTCACAGCATACATGATGGTCCTCGGCGTCCAGCATCAGACGACGCCATGCCGCCCAAGTTTGTTAGAATGGAACGAGTCCAGGAGGCCGGTCTCTGCGCAGGCAACAAACACCTACCCGACTGTAAGGATATCCCTACAATCAAAGGTGACTCCGTCGGTGTAGTAGCTTCGCAGAAAGGGTGTTCCCACTCGAAACCTGTCACAGCCACCAAGGGAAAAGATCGAAATACGGCTTTGAAGACGCAGAAGAAACCATCAAAAAATGCACGGGTGCCGTGCCCCAAGGAGGGATGCAACACGACCTTCGTGTCAAACTCAGAAAGGAACCGCCACGTCAGAACGAGCAGAGATCACGTTTCGCAGGGCGCATTCAAATGTGATTTTTGTGGTGATCTTTTGTCGCGCAACGACAGCTTGAGAAGACACGTGAGCACGCTGCACGAAGACGAGGACAAGCCAAGGAGAGGAGATGATGTGGAGTATGATGTGGAGTCAGAAGATGAGTAGTCAGAAGATGAGGAGATATTTGAGGACGAGGAGTGAACGATACAACACGAGTACGCACATCGCGTTGCCCTCCATGACACAATTGATCATCGCCTAAAGAACGATGCCGTCGTATGGCAAGGTGCCTGGGACTTTTTAGGTGTGGAAAGCCGAAAAGTACAAGAAATATGCACAATACTGTTCTGTTTTACTTTTATAGATGAAAATATTGCTTTGGAGATGACGGCGAGCGGCCTCGCTCAAATGAGAAGGTTTGATAGTGCAGGACAAGCCGAAAGTATCAAAACGATGGGGTCGGTAAAAACGCGCCCGACATTCCCTTGAGAATGGCCTGAAAAAGAACAATGCCATCAGAAACGTCTGAGATACGTGCCATCTTCGCCGACATGCCTTTCACTCAATGGATAAGATCCCTTCTCGCATGCGTCATCTTGTTTGTTGCCGCGTAGTGTACGAAGGGGCAGTGTTGGAAGTTGTGGTGTCACGCTGTCGACTCGGCTATGCTTTGTGATCATATGTTTTATACCTCAGTAGGATCATCGCGTGGTACCATTTCACTTACCTCGCGCCGATTGCACATTCATTCAAGGCCACAAACGAGCCCTAATAATAAGTGCATTCGCCAAAAAAATGGGGACGAGGCCCAGAACACCGCCTGGTGGCTGTATTGATGAAGGCGATAACGGAAGAAGCCCCGTATCAGAACTCGTGGTACGTACCTTTCTCGCTGCAGACACATGAGGCGATTGAATGAAACGAGGCGCCCACACCGACACATAAAAGACAAACAAGCACTGAGGCAACGAGTCACGAGCGCAACGGACTAGACAGGTAATATTTCGCCACCACTGCCCGTGCGCTAATATTTCTGCGATTATGAAAGGAGGCCACGTTAAGTACCGCCTCAAGTCCATCTCACTCTCACTCACCTTCCTCTGGATCCATGTCGCGCTCCCAGTCTCAAATGGAAGAAATATCTTCCGAATCTAGAGCAAGGCACTACGCCAATACTGCTATTCCCGTCAATCATGCACCCACCTACCATCCTTTGCCACAACCATATAATCCGCGGGCGCAGCATGGAGCGCCCCCACACCATCCGCATAATGGGCCGCACTATGGGCCGCCCCTGCGAACCGGATACCCACGATCTGGGCCACCCATGCAAAATCAACCTCCGCTATACCTACCACCGGCAAGTTCAATGTCTCCAAACATTGAAGAAAGATGAATCACTCACAGTGTTCGGATGCAGTATTCTGCGCCCAAATACTTTCAATCATACATGTCAAGCGGAGATCCTTATCGTCCCTGCTCGTACTGCTCTACAATAGCGCAAGCACCATCTATCGGTGCATATCGTTATGCTCATCAGACACTGCCGCCACCATCGGTCTGGCATCGTAACGAGGCAGAACCCTGCGCCTCAAACACAATGCACAGTAAGTAATTCTCCATCTTCATGTAAATATCTGCTTACGGATGATCGTTCTGTCAGAACAAAGAGAGCGGGTGATATCCCATGACCAATTCTCTGCCAATCCTCCACTGCCCGTCGCCGTGCCGGATCTGGAAGCCCCCATTGCTAACTTGAATACGCGCTCCAGGCCACCTACTACACCTCCTGAGTTCCACGGGCTGTTGGCGATGGACATAGCAGAGGAAGATGTCAACCCGATCATCGTAGATAATCCAACTCCACCAACGAGCATCCCCAAAATGAGCGTGAGTATAGATGTCGCGAGCAAGGAGCAATCGGGACCATCTAGTGCATCTCGTCCAAACGATCGGTCTTTCCGACCGGGTCCGTATGACCCGACGAAAAACCAGACTCCATCCAAAGGTGCAACCCTTGTCTTCAGGCGCTCCTCTCTAGACAGGTGCATTCCAAAACCGTTGGTGCCAGACCAAGGGAGCTTTTCACAGTACCCAGAGTTTGCTAAGAGACGCCGCCACACCCTGCATGGAACCACCAGATACAATTGCAACGAGTGTCGAGTGGGCTTTCGACGCAAGGCGGACTGGATACGCCACATGGAGAACGCAAAGGCGCACAGAAATCCCGCATTCCTGTGCAACAGATGCAAACGGCGCTACAGCAGAGAAGATGCGCTCGCTCGGCACGTTCGGGTGGTGTGTCGGTCATGATGATCATTGTTCGAAGGAGCCGGAAAGAAACGGCGCGAAGAGAGAGCGAAGGGAGAGGAAGGAGGGATCGTGAGTCTTTGATCTGACGTCTTCTCTATGGCCGAGGATTCAGCCGTCTTCACTCGTCCCTCCCTATCGACTGCACCCTGAGTTGCTGACGCTGGTACTCCTGCGCTGCCCATGAGCACTGCCATTCGCGACGACATCTATCTGAGAGCCGTACAAAGGTTTGCATGCTGATTTCTACAACGCTACGAGTTTTATGTTCGAGGCTCAGAGCCGTTCGAACTCTGTCGATATGCTATGGACCTATATGACTCATGAGATATGGATGAGAGGACGTAGGAGTGTGTCGCTTACAGGATGTCACAATTGTCTACACGGTGTTATATGCGTTGATCTATGATTTTGACTGCTTTTTTCAAAAGAACGAGGAGATGGGAGGTGCCAATGCATGATGTTGTCGGAGGGCGTGCGAGTGCTCCAGTCACATCGGGGGAGTGACATATGTGACATCCGCCGTCGTGTTTCGCAACTTTCCGACTCTGGTTCGACCGCCCACGGAAAAGAGTACGAGAGCCGAATGCAATACAACCTCAGCGTTCTTGAGATCCAGAATGGCCACACATCCACGTTCTCGGTGTTACCTTCTCTTCTGCCGAATGCCTATATATATCCATATATGCCCCTCTCCATTGCGATTACCCCAGAAGAGCAGTCGAACTTCACGGAAAATCAAGGACACCGAATCTATTGATGAAAGGGCAACAAAAGGGTGAGATCTATGTTCTCCCCGTTTTACGTCGTGGTATACCATATGTGTCGCTTCTCTCTACCGATCGCATCGACTATGCCAAGAGACCCATGTCGTTCTTGTGTAGCAATGAATCTCTATTGCTCGTGGCATATATCCCAGCACGAAACAGCCTCTAGCGTGGACGGCGTGCTAGGCTATCGCTAATGAGAATGCCCGGCACATCGTTGAGGCTTTCCCGGATGACGCAAAGGTCCAGTCTAGATCTGGACTAGTAAGCATTCCACGAGCGGGCGAGGACAATACCACGCACCAGCCTCCAGCCGTAAAAAAAATGGAGCAAATTTTCGAACAATGCACCACGCCGTGGATGGCCGCGGAAGCGCGGGTGGAGGCGAAGGTGGAGGCGAGATTCGTAGCCGAATACGTCTTTGATCTCGAGGAGCGACTGCATCGTTACCGCTGAATGACTGCGAAGTGTTCACTCAAACGTTGGGGCGTCGGGAACTAAGCCAATCATGTGGGTCGCATATCGTCCTTGGGATGAAGTGTGGTCGCCCACACAGTGGTCTGCTCTCGCCGCCCACCTTCGCTCGCCGTCGAAGTCAGGTCCCAGAAGCAGATCATCGTCAGGTGCGCCTTCTATTCGCCATTCATCAGAGAACATAGCGCGCCATTGGTATCACGACTGCCCTATGGAAGATCGATAGCAAAGAATGAGCGCGCCGTTGCATGGTCTCGCTCGCAAATGACTCCATTTCTCGCTGGCTGTGTACACGAGGCGGTCCAAATAAAAGAACAATGCAAGGTTGATCCGAGTCTGAGTTGGAAAAAAAAGAAAGCGTAAGCGAAGCACACCGATACGTGGCTTGTCCTCGCCACTCACCTTATTCGGACGACCAATAGCGAAGCGGTATTGGTGCCCCGAGTCGCCTCACGAAGTCATGCGCGAGAGGTAGATATGCTTGCCATCGCAGTGTGCCAGCTCGCTTAAAAGCCAGGAGGGAGACTTGAGACACTGACATTCCCACTTTGCCAAACGACCTACAGACATGGAATACACATACCCTCCAACATACAACACCCAGGGCTGGGAGGAAGGTCTTTCCTTGATGTCACAAGGGCAGTTCGCCTCCACCGATGTCGATGCTGGCAACCTCTCCGCCAGCTACCCCCTCCTCGCCGCGGAATATCCGACACAACAAACAATGGCTCAACATCTGTACGATCAAATGGTCTGTTCCCTGTTATTACAGTCAATTAGTAGGGCGCTGACCGACCCCTGTGTCATGCAGCCCATGGTTGAGCTATATCGACCTCCCAAGCCCGCATGGGCATCACCCCTTCCCCACCTCGGCCACACGGCCACGGGGCCTTCATATATCGCCAGGAACATTTTCTACCGACCTCCTGAGCCCGCATGGACATTGTCCCTCCCCCATCTCGGCTACATGGTCGCTGGGGCCTCTCATGTCGGCGGAGGCGACATCTACGTCTCCCAGCAAATGCTGCCGGCTGGGGGAAGTTATCGCCAGGCAGCACCAATTGCCTGCGAGCCCGCTGATGGCGAGTCCTTTCGTATCAAAGCTCTCTTCTTGACTGACGGTCCCAGCAGTCCAACAAGGGCCGGCGCCAGCGTACTGCGGCCCATCTCATGCCGTACAACCTCAGAGCAGCGACGTACAGCTGATGGGGCAACATATCGCCAGCTCGCGCGCGCGGCAGCATCACCTCAAGAGGGAGTCGACGCTCCCCATGCCATCATCTCAGGCGAGTATGGGTAGGGAGGTCACGGCCAGGACCACATTCTCCACAAGGCGATGGCGTCCGATCCTGCCTCGTACAGCGGGCACTGCTCCGGCCCAGGCGGGCAGCTTCGAGGGAAATACCCTTGACCATGCAACATTAACACCAAGAAAGTCCCTTCGCAGGAAGACTCCTGCGAACAGGATCAGTCCCAAGGCTGTAAAGGCGTTGGGCAAGGGGAAATCCCGCGCGAGGACCGCAACGCCGGTTCCCAGGACGGGAAGAAAGGAGACGCCGTACCTCGGTGCGAAGCACAGATGTGATCCCTGCAGGAAGGGTTTCGGGCGCAAGTACGAGAGGGCGCGGCATATGAAGTGGGGAGCCGCACACAGGGTGGGATCGATCGCATGCGACCAGTGCAACAAGACCTTCAGTCGGCCAGACTCGCTCAGGAATCACCAGCGCGCAGCCCATGACTGATGCCTGTGTGCAGAGGTGTGGATCGAGGGAAGGGGAGAGCGAGGTGAGTGTCTTGCCTTGTCCTTTTCATCGCTCTGTCATAGCACCCCGCTCGCTCGCCTTCATCGATCTCCTATTTTGCTCAACTTCCCTTCCTCCCTGTAGCACGCCATCCGTGGCATGTGAACGTCCATTTCTACGCCCGCATCGATCCGACGGCGAACCTCGGGGCTGTCTGCTAGTGCCGCGAGCCGCGAGCGCGTACGACGTTGGAAGGAAAGGCTGTACGATTTGAAAAGGTTCACTTACATGGGTGTCATCGCCCACTATCTCGCAATGCATCGTTTTTCTCTGTTGCCATCTCTGCGCCATCGGATCTAGCGAGGAATTCGAACGTTGCCGTCGTGTTGTGTGATGAGAAGAGTCAGCCCGATGCCGGGCCGGGCGTTTGCGTGCTGAACCGTTTCTCTCGCCACTCTCAGGCTTCTGCCACCAGAACGAAATTCGCTCATACCGCCGCAATTTATCACGCGAGCACAACAGCTTCCAAAAGCATCTGCAGCGACACTGACAATCACGACGACTCTCTTTTTCTTCTTTTCTTTTTTGTGTTTGTTCAAGTCGTTGCTTCTCTCCTGCGACAACCATGCAATGCTCTGATCATTTTTGTGCCCAGCTTCGAGATTCTTCACCCATCCAAGCTCGACAGGCTCTACATGATTCAGGGTCTCGACAAGCGCATCAGACGAGGGCTATTCCATTACGCAGGGCGTATCATCCTATGGCACATCCTGCTTTTTCAATCTGACTCTGAAGGAAGTCAGCAGTTTCAATTCTTAAGTCTCGTGTGTATTGAATTGCACATTCACATTGCTTGCGGTACTTCTGCAGAAGCAGCTGCATAGTGAAAGCCTAGCAACGCTGAGCAAGTCATCAAATTGCGCATGGGGACGGCGAATGGACAGTATCAGCTGTCAGCACCATCTGGGTTCTCCTCATGGTTAAACACAAGTGTAGTGTCTTACTATGAATCTCTGTTGCTGCAGAATTTGGTTGACTTTGCCAAGATAGTGCCACAGGCTTGGGCCATCAGTATCACACGTTCTTCCGGCAGAATAACGATAATTTTGTGGATCTGCGGAGTGTCGCAGGAGATCGCAGGACTGAGTGTGCTGGGAGTGGAGAACTCCAACATACCAGGACAACTGCCGGGAAAGACCGACGTTATCCGGCGGTCCGACTGCCTCCTCCGCTAGCCTCCGACCCGCTGAGTCCCCCGATGCACGTCAACACCCGCTCCATTCATCCCGCTCACACTTCCTCTTCCACCCTCACCGTCGACCCTCCGCAGCTTGTCTCTACGTACCGTCGACGAGATACCCCCGAAGACTTCGCTGCGACCTCCGATGCCGACCATGGAATCGCCATCCGACGACATAAAGACTCAGCCTCGGCCGACGTCCGACATCCCAGCTGACCTACCATCGCCAGACGTCCCCCCACACGACACCAAGGATCCTATCTCCCCTGATGCCGTACCTTCTCCCGCACACACCGTCGACACACCAGCGGCAGCCGACGCCGACGCCGACGCACCCGCGCCCTCGGAATCCCGGCGCTCCTCCTCTTCCCTCCCCCCCGAATCGCACCCGACCATCGCCTTCCTCTTCTCCTTCCCCGAGCCAGCCCATCTCCCTCAGAAAGAGCGCCACCGCCTCGCGGTGCCCCCCTTCGTGCTTTACGCCCCGCTCGCCGCCGCGCTCGTGAAGCCCGCCCCGGGCGCGAAGGAGAGCGTTGCGCACAAGGCGCAGCGCAAGTGACAGGCGGAGGAGCGCGAGGCGAAGCAGAAGGGGAAGGGGTTCAAGGTGCATGCGCTGCCGTTTTTCGGGCCTTCGAGGAGTGAATGTGCGGCGGAGCTAGGCGAAGGCGGTGGGCCTGATCGCGAAAGGCATGTCCGTGACGAAGAACAGCCGCATCGAGTTATTCGTCCGCACTCCCGGCAAGAAGAAGCTGCGTGAAGTAACTCCCTCCCTCCACAGACCGTCAACCGCGCCTACACGCGCGATCCTGACCGCCTCCCCAGCTCCGCCTCTTCTACCCGTCCAACTTTCCCACAGACAACCTCCAGGCGCGCTTCAACGCGCTCCTCAAAGCCGCCAAGTCCGGCGCCATCAAGCAAGGCGTCATCGCCACCGGCCTGCTCCCGTTCGTCCTCGCCTTTGACGTCCTCACATTCGTCACAGGACGTACGTGCACCCCTCCTTCCCGCCTCCTCCAAAGGCTGCCACACGCTAACGCGCGCCACAGCGTTCGAGACCAACGCAGTCTGGGCCGCCTCGTCGTGGACGGGCGCCGCGCGCGCGACGGCCATCACCAACGGCGTCACATCCTCCACCATCCCGCCCGCCTTCGTCCCCGACGCGCGCCTCGACCCCGTGTCCTACCGCCTACAGGAGGTCTGCTGGAACCGCGCGCCGCGCGGGCTCGTGCCCACGCCGCGGCACAGGGCCGCCGCCGCCGCCGACACCGCGAAGGGCAATCTCGAGGTCGACGCTGACAGCAAGCGCGCTGGCGAGCCGGGGCCGGGGCCGTCGACGCCCGCTCCTGCCGTCGTGGTCGTGGCGAAGCGCGGCGGGGAGCTGGCGGCGCTGGTGCTGGAGTTGCTGGGGGAGCAGCTGGGCGGGGACCTGAGCGGCGTGGAGACCGACCGGCGGCTGGTGGCTGAGGACCTGGAGAAGATGCTGGACAAGGGCGCGAAGGAGTGGGTCAAGGCGCTCAGGGCGTCGTGAGCGACGTCCGAGAAGAAGAAGTGCCTGTTGCGACGCGATGCGTGCTGTATCATAGAGTGTTTTTTTTGTATGGTAGCTGTCGGAGATAGTGGATGGGATGGGATGGGATGGTGCTAGCGGAGAGTCTTGGACTCTTTCGAGTGCGAGGTTGGAGGACGGGACCCGAGCAATCGGCACCGTGTCTTGGAGGGCACGTGCGCCAGCGCAGCTCCGCGGCGGTCTTCCCAGGGTGCGCAGGTTCCTTGTGCCGCTCGCGATTTCTGTGTTGCAGCCACGGGATTTCTGTGTTCGTTGTGTAGGGTTTGGAGATCAGCCCGGCCTCGCCCTGCAGGGAGTGCGTGAAATGTGGACGCGGTTCATGAACATCGACTGGTCAGTGTCCGAATGAGGCACGGGAGACCCGCTGAGGTATCGATCTTTGACAGCGCATGGAAATAGGCGTCCGGGTCCCGACGCGTCCCTTCTTGCTGACGGTGGCCAGGGACCGGAGGTTCGTTTCCCTGTCAGCTTTGTTGTCTATAAATGAGTTGACCCGTCATCAAAGAGAGAGCAGGCTTGATGGACTTCACCTGCTGTGGCGAGACATGCAAGACGTTGTGCATCGTTGTCGGCGATCCGTCGCACACCTCGGAAGACCTAGGACCCTGAATAAATTTCACCCGTCTTCCCTATAAGCCCGCACAGTCGAGCTCTTCATGAACGAGCTGGACGATGGCCTCGTCAACGACTTTGAACCCCCCCGGCTTGGATCGTGGGACAGGACGCTTGCGACCACCTGCGTTGACTCGTGCTCGCTCATGCACCAGTGTTGGTGGATCTCCATCATCTTCCGGGAGAGTCGCGCGTCAGGCTGGACATGTAGGTCAAGATGGGTCAACTGACGATGAAGAGTACCAGGACGGGATGCAGGTCTTGCACGGCATGCACGCTTGCGTGCTCGGTGAGTACAACGAGCAGATTCTGGATGTGTTTCGCGAAGATACAAGAGGATCCCGCCATCTGTCATACAATGCGAGTTTTGGTTTGGTTTCTGCGGACCTCGCTCTTGACCTACTCTGTCGGCGATGACGAAGCGCACGGCTAATGCGTTGTCTCTTCTCCCAAAGATTCTGCGTGCCAAGCGAGTACAGGAAAGGGATATGGGGCGCTTTGGTGTCCTAGCCAATTTCTTGACCGCGACGTATCAAGGCCGCGGTGTCGATATGAAGATGACCGTATGCGGCGCTTGCGATCAATTGTCTAAAGACCTTTGGAGTAAACCTCTGTCATGCGATGCATACTGCTCATCAATAGAAAAGCGAACTGCAATAATCCGGCACTCACAGATGCACCGAGTCGGAGCACAGGCGATGAAAAGGAATATTCGCATGCGATCTCCCAGAGCATAATTGTTATCAAACCAGTGACCTCCCCCGCGTATGCGCTGTATAATCTGTCGAAGACGGGAGACTAGTAACCGAGCGAGAGTTCGAAGCAAAGCTGTAAAACAAGTTTCAAGCTCTTCGATCGAGTGCGAAATTTGAACGCATTGCGACTGTACGGAGATCGAGGACACGCTTCAGTCCCTTACTTTCAATCAAGGCATAAGATCGAACGGGGACTGTGCTCGCTGCAGGTACACCGCAGTTGGTGGCAACTTGCCATCGGGTGCTGCTCACGTGCCGCTGCGACGCGTCGCATTCGAGACGGCGAACTCATTTGCTTGCGCTTGTCCGCTGGCACGATGCCTCCTCGGCGCGCTTCGAAGCGATTAAAGATTCAAAAATCCAGTACAGCTCAAAACAATGCGATATCCGACAGCCCGAACGAGGCTCTGGCTACCACCGGGTTTCTGTCCTTGCCACTTGAGCTCATTTTCGAGGTTCCACGTCGTTTGACTTACAAACATATCAATCTAACATCAATCTGATCGTCTTCAGGTCCTCCAATATCTATATCCCAAAGATTTATCGAGCCTTGTATACATCAACAAGTGGCTCCGCGCTCTGCTCTCCTGCGAAACTTCTGATTCTCTGTGGAAAACGGCCATACGACACGATCCCCACTTCCTCGGCTGTCCCAAGGGGATGTCTCACCTTTACTATGTGAGACTTATGACAGAAAATTTCTGCCAGGTGCGTCACAAATCTCGAACATCCTTCTCGATTCACGCACGGTGTCCGTAAAGGACCGGTCCTCATTGTTATTTCTCCAGAACTGCCTTTCCGAAGAGCTTACTCAAATTTATATCCCCACACACGTGCGCCTCTGTGACAATTGCGTCGACGACTTGTGCGTTTTCATTGCGGTGTTCACGCCTGTCTTTCCATACTGAGGAACCTGTTATTGAATCAGATTTTACAAAGCCCCGTCGAGCCCTCAGGGAATCAGTAAAGATGTCTGGAAAAAAGCCATGTCTGTCATAGGAGTCCCCATTCAACGCGGGGACAAACGGATCGTTCTTGTTCACAAAGTCTTCGTCGCGCACCTACGCAAGCTCTTCCGATCGCTCTCCCCATTAAATCAGGAGTGCCATGTTCTTGATATGAGAAGCCAATTAGACCCCAGGGTTCGTTTATTTCCGTGATTTCGGGCATCACTGATAGCTCACGCATCTTGAATATCTCTAGTTCATTCTCTGGGTGAGACAAGTGAGCATGCGCAGGGTCCAAGGACGCAAGGCCTTGATCGAGAGGAAACGAAAGGCAGACCAATTGGCCATCAAGCAAAGATACAAAGCGTCAGTCAGGTTTCAACCGACGAGACCCCCTTTTGAGACCCTTTTGCTTTCGGGATCAGCAAACGCCTCAATGGTATGGGCTACCAAGAGCTAGTTGCTATGTACGAGGTGGACCGAGCACTAGGAGACCATCATTTCGTCAACGTTCCCCGCAATCTGGATGATAACGGTGCAGTCAGGTTCTTCATTCACCCAGCTCTTCTCGACTGAGTTACCTACTTAGAATGGCTCCGCATTCAAGACGTCATCGTGCAATTCATGGAGGACGTTCGAACGGTCTTGGCTCTCCAAAGCCGATTTAGCGAGTTGGTGTTGCGACTGAATTTGATGGCTCGCGAGCTCCCCGATATTGTATACAACAACTACGTCGACATCTTGCTCTTTCCTGAAGCCCAGAAAGTTCTCAATGTGCCGATTTCCGAAGACATAGCGCAGTCTTCCATGGATCGACTGTGTAAGACGGTTCCCAAGTTGTTGTCCGAGTGGCGTCTGTCGAAGGAGGCCCGCCTGGTCAAATCGCTGGCTGCGTTCGCGCCTGTCTACAAAATGTACAAGACGCTCGACCACCCCGCGGCCATCTTCGCTTGCACAGAATGCAAGGGATATTTTCCGTTCTCGGCCATGTTCACGCACTCGTGCCTGAACGCTATTTTCCGTCCTGTCGCCATTGGGCCGAATTTGGGATGCTCTGTGTACGAATACGCCGCGAAGTGGGCGCTCGGGCGAGAGCCGTGGTCTTCCGAGCACCTGAGGGTTTCTCCCATCTCGGAGCGGGTGAAAGACATCATGCGCGCTGGCGGCATCAACCCCGAGAAGGCGACATGGGGGGACATGTACAAGAAGGACGCCCGGATTCAGTGCATTGCGTGTGAGCCTAAAGTGAAGGGCGTCACGATGGGCTAGCACACAGCGGTACGTCTTGCCCTCGCACCCGATGTAAGGTATGGATATTGACTGTTTAATCACGTCCGCAGATCGATCACGCTCTGACTAGTCACGGCCTCGGCGAAATCAAATGGGTCAAAGCGAGCGACGCTGCATCTGCATTGGCACGTCGATTGGAACAGCAGACAGATGCGCTGTCTCGTAAAGAGTGGGCCACGAAAGCGAAGAAGATGAAGGATATGTATGCCAGGTAGAGAAGCAACGCACGATACCGCGACTGTTGGCTTACTTTTTTTCTTAACTTCTAGACCCGGGAAGATCGAGTTGAGACACGACGTACCGAGGAGTGATCCTAGAGTGTTCCCCCACGCGCCTCTACCTGTATCCATATTGCCAGAAGGTGAGACCAAGTTCAAGGTCAAAGAGTACACGTGGTTATGCAAGGGCCTTGCGGGAGTGTTGGGGACTGATTAGATAGGTCCATGTATGTCCTGCAGCATGTTCGAACCGAAGCCTGCGCGTGAGGGTGATCCCGTTCGCATCTCTCTATGTCGGCACTGTCGAGACTGATTGGCCGTGCACTTTGATGTGCTGCAAATCACTGAGACAGTGGACATTACGAAGCAGCGAAGATCGTACGCGCGCGAGAGCCGAGCTGATAGGGCTATATCGCTGTGAATTTGACGCGTATCCGGAGCAGTCGAGACTGTGCCAGTCGTCGTTGAGAGAGGAATGAAGCTCGTACATCGTCTGCCAGGACTCGTTTACAGTGTCAGAGGCGCTTGTACCGCGTCATTGTCGAACGTCCGAGCCAATACAGTATCAATCGAAGACATCATCCATGCACAAAAACAGGTTTCGTGCGCGACTGATATCTTCATGGCACGAAGCTTGAAAAGAGAGTGGGGGGTGTGGCGCAGAAGAAGAAACCATCGGACCTGGCAAAGTCGCGAATGCCCGGCCCGGCGAGCTGACCGAGTCTTCTCATCACACACCACAATGATCGCAAGACACGACTTTTCATTTCCTCGCTGGATTCAACAACGCACCCGGAGAAATACAAACAGAGAAGAATAATCTTTCGAGAGATCCACAGAGCTGGAATATAGGTAAGTCAAAATGTCAAATATCTGTGCCCATGCCAGCGCCGCGATTGCTCGCGCTGACAGACAGTCCCGACGCTTCCCCTCGGATCGATTCGGACGTGGACGCGGACGCTCGCTTCGCAGAGAGGGTGGTCTATGGAAGGAAAGAGAGATTTAACAAAGGTGGAGATCGATGAAGACTAGCGAGCGGGATGCGACGGCAGAGGAATGCAGAGGGGATGGCAAGACAAAAAGGTACTCACATCTCTCCGATTGCAGACGACTCCATCCCCCCTCCCATCCATCCACCGCGCGCGGACATCGTCCATCAGGGCCACCCGTGGAATGCCCGCTTGTGAGTGAGGAGCGCGTCCGGCCGGCTGAACGTGCCGCTGTTCTTGCACTGGTCGCACTTCAGCGACGCTTCCACGTGAGATCTCGTGGTGCTACAGTGCCGCTTGAGCTCGTATTCCCGCCCATACCCCTTCCTACAGTTGTGGCAGTTCCGCTCCGTGCTCAAGTACGGGGTCTGCCTCTCGTCCATCTTGGGCGCCCGCATAGTGGCCTGTCGGCGGGTCCGCCCTCCGCCCGACGACTGTACAGCCTCGGGACTCTGTCCGTTCGCGGGATCATTCCTGCGATCGGACAGTCTTGATGTATCTGTTGTCTGGCTGAGGGTGTATCCCTCAAAGCCTTCGTGGGTACCTGCTTCACCCACAACAGTGCCCTCTGATCGCGCTGCGGCCGGCCTGGGTCGCTGTTCATAGGGTGCGTACCTCACACCCGTTCTGCTGCCAGTGGCCATGCACAGTGCGTGCGAGATGGGGACCGGCTGCCTCGACATCTGTACGGCACCGTAGTTGGGCTGTACGATGTATGGTAAGCGGTATGGGCGCGTTAGCCCTTCCTGGACTGCCGAAACCGTTAGTAACGCAGTACAATGTGAATAGAAAGGTTGACTAACCATACGCGGGGCCGTATGCGATGGGAGCTGCCTGGTAGTACATTCCCCCAACGGGCAGCATCCGCCGAGGGAAGTAGACGTCGTCACTGGCCACGTAAGACGGCCCCGCCATTGCGTGGCCGAACTGGAGTTGGGAGGAGGTTGGAGCCCACTCGGGCTCGACCGCGGTATACTAACGATGGGAGCTAGTTAGTATCAGGCTGGTGAACTGTCAACACGCGATGAACATACCATCGGCTCATGTTGATACTGAGCCGCCATGTTTTGTTGCGCCGGGTAGCCGACGGCGAGGAGGGGGTAACTGGCGGGATCGACATTGGCGTCGGTGTACATGGCATCCTGCCAGTCGCGAGGGCTGTACGATGGGTAGTGGGCGTATTTCATGACGGTAAGTATGTCGAGGTGAATAGATGAAGTGGGAGTGTGAGTTGACCTCGTTCCAAGCTCCATTAGCTTATAAGCGAGCCGGGCAAGGGAATGGCAAACACGTCTGCTTGTCGTGCCTTCTTCCCAGACCTGGTTGTCCGAATCAGGTGAGTGGCGGGGCCCATGTGTCTTCGCAGCGTGCTTCCCTTCATTCTTTTTTCTTCAACTCAGATCCGAATCAATCTCAAGATTCGCCGTTCGTTATTGGTGCCGCCTCGTGTCGCCGCCCCCTGACGTACACTGGACAGGGTTTACCCCACGAGAGGGACAATGGCGCGTCGGGAGCGTTCTTTTGTTATCGCATCCACATCCGAAGCTCGACTTCGCAACAGCTTGTCCCGCCTCGTCTTGGCTCTCTGACAGATGACTGAAGAACGGCGCATCTGGAGAAATATGCCTCTCAATGCCCGAAGGCAACGCCGGCGAAGACATAAGTATTCCTGGTCATCTGCACTTCATTTTTGCAACGATGCGCGACCCCGAAGATTGGCGTTTTTCCCGGCGCCGTAGCCATTTAGCGTGTGAACAGGCTGTGCTTCTGAGGCGATAGCAGTGCGGTCACGCCTGGTTTCCTGTGATCAAAGACGTACTCGGCTACATGCTGTTCGAATTCTGGCTCGAATGCGGTATCGGTCTCGCCTCCTCACAAATCAGAGTTCTTAGTGGATGCATTTCCACAGGCCTTTAGAGCGAGTTCTAAATGCTAGATTCTTCCGATGGCTTGGTTGCCGCGTCGGCACGAGCGAATCCATTCTGTCGGAGCTTGAGACCCCCCTTCTAGATTTTGGAACTGGAAGGGGGGCTCCCCCCCCCTTTCCAGTTCAGATTCGCCATTGTAAACGCGTTTTTTGAACTCCGCTTGAACCTTGTCGTCGCTATCCTGCGAGCTAAGGCGAAAACACTGACACAGACAAGAGCTTCGCTCCATAACACCTAATCATCATTGTGATACCAGAGTCTAGCAAAACCAAGTCATCAAGATCCACTGCATATGCCATTATCCAATGTTATCGAAGCTGAACAGTAGATGGTGGGCTTGTGGTGTATCTGCGGTGGACTTATCCGTGCTGGCTGCACGGAGGCAGATCGTGATTGAAGCTCCGCTTATATCAAGTGCGTGCGTTCACCAAGTCATAGATGGTCTTATGGTTCTGTAAGATTTCTAGTTTCAAATCTAAAACAAGGTTCGACTCCGATTTATTAATCTAGAACTGCTCCAAAACCTGTGGAAATGCATCCAGTAATCTCGGGATAGGACGATTTACGGGTCGTTTTTTCTTGTTTCGCCCTGCCTTAGTAGAAGGCCTTTTTCACAAATAGAGAGATGATGCGCAAATTAATTTTCGAACGAGTGAGCAGGAGTAGTAGCATATACATGTGTTTGGGCAAAGATGGACGCAGCTTTGCGAGTCTTCATCCACCTGGACATGTCGTAGAGAGACAATAACATGATAACACTCCAGCAGAATGACAGTCATGATCATGCGCACATCACATCGTTGAAATCATTCTTCGAGCCGGCTCTTGACGATAGCTCTTCACCTGTTCATCGTCGGTGACACAAGATATCCACCCACCCGATGATTGAGCCTCCCGTTCACAGTCCCTGACCCACCGTTTCGAGGCTTTGATCGCGCGGCGGACCTGTTTCCTCTCAAATTCTGCGTACACCTCAGTATCTTCGGTATCCCATCCAGAATCCCCTACAATCAAAGCATCCGATCCACATGGAGAGACATGCGAGAGGCAGGTCACATATCGAACAACATTCGACTGCGGGCACACCGCGTCCATCACCTCGCCAGTCGTCCTGGTTCGCTTCTTTGGACGGCTAACACGCTGTGATGCAGGGTTCGGTTGGCCGGGCCTAATGAGACCAGAGCGCGACCTCGAATCATTTGTTCGAGGTGAAGTCACAAACGTCGCAGGGTGAACATGGTCATTCCATATGCGAAATGTTTGAAGCACAACCAACTTCGCGAGGTTGGCCGTTTTCTGGGGGACTCCATAGATACGAGCCATAGCAGAAGTGGTGGTGCAACATTTGTAGGAAACCACGTCGAGCTTTCTGCCAGCATCGCATACCACAAAGTGAGGCTTGGCTCTTGAGAAAATTGGCGGTAGAGTGTCGAATGGATACGAAAAGACGGAGGCGCCTGCAGTATCATCCCTCTTCCCCTCCGAAACATGTTCAGCTTTGTTGCAACGGGAAACGGGTGGAAGATCGGAGAGTAGTGGCACTAAACGGTACTCAAAAATATCCGCACCGTCGTACATCTGAGATAAAGTCAGGCCGTATACGGCGACGCAGAATCGATGAACGCACGCCCTCGATCGAAGGAACATTGCCCTCATGAAGAGGAAATCGATCCCAGCGGTCCCACAGCTTGTCGATCATATCCATCGAGGGCATCAGAGCCCAGCGATCAGATTCAAATAAATTACGCTAATTATGACGAACTGAATTGTATCATGAAAAGAAAGAGTGTCACTGGAACGAAGTACGCACGCGATATCATGTTCGTGTCTACATCCATTTGAATGGTATCATATTTCATCCCCCACGCCCATTCGAGACACGATAGCTTGATGAATTGGCGAGATTAGCTTAGATGCAAGAGACGTCTCACGAAGTCGACTGACCATAGGGTGATTGCTCCAGTAACATTCATGGAAGACATGGCAGAGATAGACCGGAGACTCAGTCGCTGATTCTCCTGTCAAAAGGCATTTCGCTACTTCTTGAGCCTCCGGTGGAAGGGTGTTTTTTACTTGGGCTTCACGCCATTTGGTGATTAAGAAGAATGAGGACCTTGCGCTGACAGCTCGAAAGCGATCGACGTACCTGGAGAGCCACAAGAAAGAATCCCGACGTTATCTATGAGTATAGGAGTCATTAGAATAAATTTTCAGAAAGAGAGATCAGGACACTGAAACTCAAGCGCTCGAGTGTAGCAAAGTTGAACCAGTGCACTTAAACGCATCGCGTGCGTTCAGCCTCATGGTAAATTTATGGTCGTCGAATTTCTAGCCCGTGTCGATGTGTGATAATACTCACTGTTACAAGATAGGTTTGTGACGAAGCGGCCAGAGAAGAGAGGACACTGATGAAATGAGCTGCCACTTTTCAGGACAAGACAGTGTGCGACGAGCAAATAGAGATCGCATAGCAAAGATGACACAAATATTACCCACCGCAGAGTAGAAATTGGATGTTCTACGTGCAAGAGAAACACGTTCCAAAGAAAGCAGCGAGCATAGAGATGTATGAAGTTCGAAGAGAGTAACAAGAAGAGTAGGGCATGTCTGATGTCGCCCTCTTTGGGAGCAGTTCTGTAGACTTGACGCATAGCAATGGCCGTCGAGAGCAGTAGGAAGAGCCAAGTTTGCAATAGAGAACAGCGGGTTGCCCACTCGGGAGCGCAGACGTGTTAGCTGGTATTCACAAAAGCAGCAACGTACGAAACACCGCAAAGAACATCGTCGTCGAATTTAAAGACCAAGAAGGCACCGAGTAAAGACATATTTCACCAACAAACGAGTCTGAAAGGCTTGTTACATCGAGCCTGAGGGAAGAAGTTGGAACGCAGCGGAGGATGCAGACCGGGCAAAGGTCCGGCCCGGCAACGGCTGACTCTTCTCATCACACACCACGATGGCAAAAATCTCTGCTTTTCCTCACTGACTTCGAGCGCGCACAAGGAGAGAAGTGATCAGAGAAGACAGGTGTATTGCGAAAGATGGAGTGTAGGTAGGTAGCTTCGCCAGGATCTCATTCCCTCCCACGTCGCGGACGCTTGTAGGAGCATCGACTTCGGATCGATTTGGGGGTAGACGTCGACGTTCGCTTTGCTTGGAGAGGATTGTATAGTAAGAAGGAGGAGTTGAGAAAGGAAGAAGATCGATGAAGGTGGGTGAGTGAGACAGATAGCAATGTGATGGCTACACAAACGACACCACTCACCTCTTTCCCCACCTCCATATGACTCCATCCACCCCCCGTCCATCGAATACGCGCAGACATCGTTCATCAGGGCCACCCGTGGAACGTCCTCTTGTGCGCGAGCAGCGCGTCCGGCCGGCTGAACGTCTCGTCGTTCTCGCACTCGTCGCATGTCAATGACGCCCGGACGTGCACGCTTGCAGTCCTCCAGTGCTGCCGCAATTCGTAGACTCGCACAAAGCCGCTCTCACAGTGGTGGCAGTTCCAGCACGAGCTCAGGTATGGAGTCTGCCGCTTGTCCACCCTGGGTGTCCGCGTGATGGCCTTTCGGCGGGTTCGCCCTCGGCCTGCTGCCTTTACAGACTCCGGAGTAAGGCCACTCGCAAGAGCATCCCTGCGGGCGGACGTTCTTGACGTGAAGTTTGGTTGGTTGAGGGCATTGTCCTCGAAGCCTTCGTCGTCGCCCGCTACACCCGCGACAGCGCCTTCTGTCCGCCACAGTCGCTGCTCATAGGGTGCATACCTCGCTGTCGTCCTGCCGCCGGTAGTCCCCCTTGGCATGTTTGGTCTGGCTGCAGGCTGCCCCAGCGTTCATACAGCTCCGTACCGAGGCTGTGTCATATTGCCTGACAAGTAGCATGTGCTCGCCGGCCCTTCTTGAGCTGACGGGGGGTTTTGAACAAAGAATACATCAAAGAAGGGAATGACTCACCCCATATGGGGCCATTTGCCATTGACACTGCCTGATAGTAGCTCCCTCCAGCAGGCAGCATTGACTGGGGAGAGTTGAGGCCGCTGTTGGCGACGTACCACGACCTCGCCATGCCGTGGCCGGGCAGAGGATGGACTGGTGCCCACCCCGGGGCGGAGTAGTGCTGGATGACGCAGGTGAGTATCACGGTAACGATATGTCAGCGGAATGTAAGCGTACAATCGGCTCATGTTGATGAGCCGCAGTGTGTTGCTCTGTGTTATCCACGGCGAAGGATTGAGGGTCGGCGTGAAACGCACTGACGTCGGGAAAGCCCATATTGATTTGCCGTTGTGCTGTGAGGAGAGTCCTTCCGGTTTCGAGGGTCGTACGACAGGTGGTTTGGGTAGGGCATGAGTGTAAGTATCTTGAGGTCAATGGACAGGGTGAGAGTTGTGCTTCTGTTTCAAATCCCTTGTTCAACTTATAAGCGAGCCGTTCAAGGGAATGGTAAACGCGTCTGCTCGTTGCGCCTTCTTTCAAGACCTGACTTGGGACTCCATTTCGCTTCGAGACTGGGCGTCCGAATTAGGTGAGTGGCGGGAGCAGCCTTCGGATTGTGCTTCATCTTCTCTTCCTGTTTTTCAACTCATAGCCGAATCAAACATAAGATTTGCACTCATTCGCAAAGCCTCGTGTCCCTCGCCGCCTCCCACGTAAAACGGGCAGAATACAGCTTACGAGAGGGACAGTGGATCGTCTGGTGCGTGGCATCCACATCCGAAGCTCATCCTCGCGACAGCCTGTCCTGCCTCGTCTGATTGGTGACTGATGGATGGCGCATCCGACGGCATCGATATCTCAGGGCCAAATGCAAACCCAGAGGAGCCACTCTCCTGGCCATTCTCGCTTCATTTTGGGGGCGATGCGTGACCCCCAAAATTGGCGTTTCTCCCGGAACCGTCGTCTTTTAGTGTGTGAACAGGTCATGCTTCTGAGCCGGTGCGCCCCCTCCCCTACTGTATTTGACTACAAATTCGTCTCATTTCCCCGGCATTGCCGAGGCCCTGCACGGCGTGCCGCTCCCTTCTATCTTTGTGCTCCATTGATCAGTGATGGCTTATACGTGGTATGAGTCTTGTCGTTCCACAAAAATGAAATAGAGCAGCAGATCGTACCCAGGGCTTCTGGCTTGGTTTCAATCTTCGTTAGCACATAGTCTGGCTGAATTGTCCAAGCGAGCTTTTGGCCTTGTCGATAGTACGCACACGCGTTAGTTATTTGAGAGATTTGAATCAAAGATCGAGATGTATTCACGGCTGCGTTTTCTTTGTTGGAGGCAAGGGTGGATAAGAAAATCCAAGGGATTTCGCATCGCTCTTGAGGACAAGCATTGACTATATTTTCTGCTTCTCACATATCATAGCAAGTCCATAGTTATCATTCAGTGCATAGAGGACATAATCAACATAAGTGGCTGTCGACATTCTAGTACAGCGACGGACCATACCGTCTGACCAAATCAATGATAACAAAAAACTACATGCCTATAATCAAAGAGACTACAACCGATTCTTTCGCGCCGATACTCACAGAACACATCAGTCTGTTTAGATTGTCTCGCCCAATGACCGCCTAGAGTACCTCCTCTTCTTCCCGGATTTAGATGTCTCACGACCCTTACCGTCTTGCCCATTGTCGTCCGTGTGCTTCGACCCTGAGTCTCTCCGGTCGCCCGTGGTTTCGTCCTTGTCTTGCGTGCGTGTCACGTTCACAGGCATTTTCTCATTCATACCTTGTGATCCAGATGCTACGGGAGGATCCTCTCCTTGGTCTTGAGCGAAGGAGACCCTCCGATTCGACATCGAAGGCGTCATCTTAGGCTTCATCCGGTCTACGAACTTCTTGCTCTTCGCCGGCAGTGGAATACGGGAACTTGGCAGGACCGCTTCGCCTTCTGATGGCCGCGCGACTCGCCTCCGTTTCTGCTCCGGCGGATTCAAGGCTCCTTCGCCTCCGCTCTTGGTGGATTTGTGCTTCGAAGAGTGCTCGTTCGTTCGAGTATCTTGACTGGCCGAGGCAAGTCCTAGTGAAGGGGCCGGCAAACGTCGAGTGATCCTCTGGCTCTGGGGGTCTCCTTCGACGCGCACAGGCACGTTGAGCGTTGCACTTGCGCCCGTGCGAGGTAAATTGGTCCTAGGGGATACTTTACCTTTTCCCGGATGTCCTGAAGCATGTCCAGTGCCCTTGGCGTGTGACTCACTTACAGCCTGAGAGCGTTTCGCTGTTGTCCAAGTTGTGTCGTGTGAAGCTATCTCTCCAGCGTCAATAGCACGAGAATTGGCTGGTACCGAGTCACGTCCAAGAGATCCTGATGCACGACGAGAGCCCTTGTTCTTGGATCCAGCCGGAGAAGAACGGTGCCTTACTGTCGTCCAAGCCGAGTTTTCCTGCGCGACTGTCTTGTTCTGTATGAGTATGCCGCTACCAGCTGTCAGTTTCCCAGATTGAGTGAGGTCCTGTTGAAATGGTCCTGATACGTCAGCCCTGTTCCGCGCACTGGTCTGGATGGCCGTCGGAATCTTCGTCGGTATACCACGATGTGTCTGGCCGGATGTACCGATTGGGGCCTTCCCGGATGTGACTGACTTCCCCGCTACCGCCACTTGGCTGTACAAGGGTACTTCGGTGGGCTCGACCGGAGCAGGTGCGGCAAGACCGATAGCCTCGGCGGATTCGATGGTTCCAGCGGGTGCAGCGGGTACGACGGATGAAGCCGCATGGTTAGAGTCCAGAGCAGGGGGGGAAGCGGACATGGACGCGTGAGAAGGCTCTCTGGATGCCTCCGTGTTTGCGACGGATGCATGAGTTGGGAGTTCCGCATCTGTGACTGCGCCCGCAGGACTATGGCTAGCTGGGCCGTCTTTCTCATCTTGGCGTCTGTAATAGCGCTTACTCCTGTCGGACTCAATCTGACCGTCATTGTGCTCTGACCTAGGGCCTGGATGATTATTCATGTCCGCGGCACCTGCTCTAAGTGTCTTGGATATGGTATTCTTTGCTTTGGCTTGTTCCTGTTCCCCTCCTAAATTTGTAGTCTTGTTCGTTGATGACGGAAGCTGTGGCTTCAGGCCAAATGGCGATGGAACGACTGCGTGGACCCATGAATCATAGATGTTGTGTAAGTTGATCAACGAGTCCATCGCTCGAAACTCGTGAATCTTGAAGATACGAGCCACTACCGATGCCAGAGGTTGCAGTTCTCGTTTTTCAAGTTTCTCCCCCGCGTTCAAGAGAACAAAATGCGGTAGGGCATGAGAGCGAAGAACCGGCAATGTGTCGAATGGATAACAATGGCATGACCAATTTGATTTGGATGCAGGACGATTCATCTTCGATGTACTGTCTTGGGTGGCAGGGATTTCTGTCTCATTTGAAGGATGGTCTATGTCGGCTTCAGTGCCGACATCTACGCGTAAATGATTCGTGTTGGATGCTGGGGAGTCTCCATCGGAAATAATGTTGTCGCGTTGCCCAGACAGCTGAGGCTGGGGCTCAGGAGGTCCGAGGTCCGATGCAGGACAATCGACTTCAGAAGTGGCAGGCGGTAAGGCATCGGATTCGGATGTAGTGTGATCAATCACTGAGGGAGTGGTGGGCAGTAAGGAGTCGGAAACGGATGCAGTATCATCTGCCTGGGAAGTAGTGGAGAGTAATAGCTCGGAATCTGGTGCAGAATCACCACCATCAGAAGTAGTGGGCGGTATGGGGTCAGCCTCGGACTCGGATGCACGTTGATCAGCATCGGGAGTGGTGGGCGGTACAAGGTCATCATCCCGGTCGAACCGAAAGATATTTGTGATATCTTCCGTAAGGGGAACGAGGCGGTACTCGAAGATGTCCTCCTCGCCATACAGCTAGAGCGTAAGATCAGCAACAATTATAATCGAGCCGGATGAATAGCTTACCGACATGATGTCCGGGCAATCGTCGGATTCTGATTTATTCAGAGCCACTCTTCGGGATTCAAAGGCATCGATGGTCTTCAAAGGAGGCATTAAGAGGAACATATCCTGGTCATAGTTCCAGTGCCAGTCCTTACGGACTAAATAAAGTAAATTGAGTCAGGAAAAGGAAGCGCAGGACAACAAAAATAACATCTGCTCACTTTTGACCATGTCCCTAGGCTCGTCGACGTGGAGACTTTTGTACCTTTGGCCTAGAGCCCACTCGCACCTCGTAATCTATAAATCAATCAATCACGGTTCATACTTGCTCAAACCTGATAAGAAGTACTCACCAGTTCAGGATCGTTGTTCCAGGCTTGAGGGAGAAGATGAGTGTTATCAATCCCTGTCTCCTTCACGAGGTCACGGGTGAGCAAATATTATCCACAGTTTGGATCTAGGTTGTTCACATCTTTCTTGCTTCGAGCGCTAGTAGACACGCCAAAAGGCCGTCTGTGGTCGAAATGTAGTAATTCGGAGCGATTGCCGTTCGGAGACCTGTCTCCAGGACTATATGCAGGATCGTCAGCCCTGTCCTCTTCTTCGTCAGAGTCAGTAGACGAACAATCTTCTGCATCGACCAGAGAATTGGGAGAATTCGGTTCGCATTCGTTGAGTTCACGAACGTCGCCGTTATTCCTCGCCGATACGGCTTCATCGACGTTGGCCGAGCCGGAATCGGATCCTTCGTTTCTGGGCACATCACGAGCGCTGTCTTATTGGGTGGTTGTGGAAAGGAGATCGCGGACATGATGACAGGTGGGTCAAGTTAGGAGAATTCGAGTGAAAAGTTCACGGAGCGAGTTAAAGGGGAGGTGGGGTCCAAGGCAAGGCACTTTATACTGTCGCTATGTATGCCACATTGCCACAGACACAGGAGGCGCGTGGTAGAATATCACGCAGGACTGAAAGCCACATTCTCTGATTGGACCGAAACTACCTCGATTATGGCCGGTATCTATGGAGTCTCTTACGAAAAGGCCAACTTTGCCAATACGGTGGTGTTTCGGACGTACTGCACATGGGATCGCCCTGTTTAACCTGCAATCTTTGTGACATCGCCTCGAAGGAATGATTCGAGGTCGCGCTCTGGCCCTATTACCCTTGGCCAACCAAGCTCTGCATCTCAGCGTGCTAGTTGTCCGCCGAAGCGATTCAGGACAACTGGTGGCGTTGGGATTGTGTGCCCGCAGCTGCACGTTGTCCAATATGCCACCTGCCTCTCGCGTGTCTCTCCATGTGGGTGAGACGTTTCTATGGTAGGGGATTCTGGGTGGGATACCGAGGTGGACACGGAATTAGAGAAGATACAGCTCTGCCGCGTAATCAAAGTCGCGAAACGGTGGGTCAGGGACTGTGAACGGGAGGCTCAATCATCGGGCGGGTGGGTATCTTGTGTCATCGACGACGAAAAGGTAAGAAGATACCGTGAAGAGCCGGCTCAAATTCGTACATGATCGTGAATATAATTCCTCTGGACGGAAATCATGGTCTCTGAGATGTGATGAGCCGAAGCAGCAAAGAATGAACAATATTCTTCACCTTAATACAGGGCCTTCTCTTCAGGAAGAAGAGAGCCTTTCGAATCATTCTCTTCTGTGCAACATAGACGAAATAATGATTACAATCTGTGTTACAGGAGCAGTGATAGGGCGCGGAACACACCGTCCCGAGTTGCTCATCAAACATGTACATATACCCTTCTTGTACGAACTGGTACACATATGGGATCAGCGTGAGCGGATAAACGTGGTTGAACTGTGATGGGTTGCCCGCGTGTACGAGAGGGCATGTGCGAGATGGTAAGGGGGGGATTTGCGCAAGACGGGGCTGACACAGTTCTCGACCTCGACTGGATCAGACCGCATCAGATCTACAAAACAGGAGTATGGTACGGTCAGCGACATTCGTGGCGAACCGCATCAGACGCCACGAGGACGCTACTATACTTTTGTTGAAACACCTACATTTGATGTGAGAGAAGAGGCGCGGAGAGAGACCACCAGGGAAAAGGTCGTATACTTCGCGTAGAGACCATATGCCTGTGAAATCTGCCTATCCTCGTGACGCCGCGCAGAATTGCACTTGGTCGTGATGAGGATACGAGTGATACGTGCTTCCTGAGGGGCTCCAGGAGGCTCCAGGACTCGCCATAGGTATCGTCGCGTACCTTTCATAGGATAGCGATAGGATTTGTGTTGGATTTCTCCAGCAAGGCGTGGTCGCAGTCGCAGAGGACCTTCATATTGGATTTGGGGAGGTGCTCGCAGTGCATGGGCTGCTCGCGACAATCCATCGTTGGTCCAGTTCGTCGCGTGTCATTCCGGCAGCATTCTTGGAAAGGAGAGAACAGAGGGGAGAGAGATAATAATAAAAACTAGAAGCTTGTAATACAACGCTGTAGGTTGGGTAGAAAGAGAAGGGGATGATTCCAAGCACTTCTTGAGGTGTGTGTACTTACTCCCGCTAATCGTATGGTTTTGTCTATTCCTGCGCCTCGGATCTGGTCTTCTGTGGCTACATCTGATGCCCGGTGATCGTTTCCAGACCGCGAAGAGTGTGCCCATTCGCGAATTCGCCCTCGCAGACGGAGATTATTGATTCCCCTTATTCTTTGCTTGAGTATATAACCCTCAGAGTTGATCTAGGTATACGATGGGCCTTTGGCAGGCGCATCGATGTGAGATCGCTTGTTCAGCCTTTCTGGCCGCCTTCTGCCTCTTCAGAGATAGTAGGTACAGCCGTGGAGGTGCCGGTCTCATTGACTTGCGCCACGAGATCCGTGGTCCGATTCTTGCTTTGTGGGTATTTGTGGCAGTATCGTTGGGGCTGTACATCCCGCAATAGCGAATGATCCATGCCCGGCCGCGAGAAAACCTGCGAGCTATCGCAACTGAGAATTCGTGAGCTTTATGTCGTTTGCATCCTGAATTACGTCCCCTGGTCGCATTTGCCAGGCTTTGGTGCCCTTGCGATATCTGCAGTGACATCAATCTCCAAGGTCGAGGGGACACCTAGTGATGGCGCTCCTCAGCATCTCTCCTAATCATGCGTGGCCTTCATGGCACCAACGTTGAGTGCAACCCTTTCCAGACCTCTGCCACAGTGACCAACCATGGATCATGGCGCAAGACTGACATAGGAAGGCGGAAAGAGACAGTAGTCACAATGACCGCTGCAGTGTTTGTCCGTTGCCGTTAGTTTCAAACCTCGCTCATGCTGATGTCGCCCACGAATATGCTAATAGAGAAGAGGCGCACACATCAGTCTGTTTATAAATCTATCCTAAGTGCTAGCATGCTCACTATTCACAAGTATTGGCGAGGTGAGCAACGACACCTGTCTGCATGCGCCACGCTCACTTCCATCAGAACACAGCCCACCTCAGGACATGGATACACAGATCGATCGGCAACGATGATGCCAACGGGAATGGCTGCGATGGCTGCCGCTCAATATGGAATGAGCACCTCTGACAATTGTCATCTATACAGATCCTATGCCACTACGCGATGACACCTCACGCTGTACTATCTACCTGCATCATGTCGCGGCACTGGTGCACTCTAGATCACATGAACCCGATGCCGGGCATGATCGCGACCTCCCTCGGTGAAGACTATGCGAAAGCAGATGGATTAGCGATAGAAGGCCTCGTTGGACAGTGACTAGTAAACGTTGAGGGTATCGTCGAAATAGATTGTTGAATCACGCCCAAACCGGATCCATTGATACTGTAATGAATCGACATAGACACTATGTGTCCATCATCTGAACATCCACGACTTGACTAAACCGGCGTCTCTCGGTGGTGTACTATTGCATCGTCTTAAGGGGAGGATCTGTGTTGTAAAATGTTCACCACGTCACGCGCGCACGTGGTCGGATACGAGGACGTGACACTGCGATTCAGATGTTCAACTTCTCCGTCAAGTTTCAGTGTAGTTCACTGTCTACATCTTCCTCTCAAATTTCTCTTCAATGGCCACCAGCCTGTCTAAGAATATTGAATCCAAATATTCTTCCTGCACCTCTCCAAGTATGTCTCTATCCTTATTCATACGCGAAATGCTCACCCTTTCTAGACAAGAAGCGGTGCAGAGCTAGTTCGAAGAACCATATTCCAGATGAGCCCTCTAAAGATACAGAGAAATGTCTCGTAACAGGAGACTTGGAGACTGAGTCTTCGGTCCATCTCTGCTATGTCTTTCATGAGCGCCACTGGAACAATCATCCTCTGGTCGGTCTTTGCAAGATTCTCCTGCGCCTAAGCTAATTTTAACCGATCCATCAAGCTATCGCGTCTTGAATGGGCGTGGGGAATGAAATATGATACCATTCAAATGGATACAGACTCTAACGCCATATCGCGTGCGTACTCTTCATTGCCAAAAATTCTTGTCCTCACAGTCTTCAGTTCGTCATGATTGGCGTGATTTATTTGAATCTAATCGCTGGGCCCTGATGCCCTCGATGGATATAATCGACAAGCTGTGGGACCGCTGGGAAAGGTTTCTGCTGAGTAAGGGCAATGTTCCCTCGATTGAGGATGTACGTTTCTGAATTCTGCATTGCTGTATAGAGCTTGACATATTCCTTAGATATATAACGGTGCGGAAACTTTTGAATATCGCCTCGTGCCGCTGTTTCCCGATGTTCCTTCTGTTTCCCGCTGCTGCCAAGCCGAGGATGGAAACGACGAGACTGCAGGCACCTCCGTCTATCCATATCCATTCGACACTCTGCCGCCAATTTTCTCAAAAGTCAAACCCCACTTCGTGGTATGCGATGCTGGTAGGAAGCTTGTGTCGATGTTTCCCAAACTGGACACAACTACCTTGCTTCTGGCCCGTATCTATGGAGTCTCTCACGATAAAGCCAACTTTGCCCTCATCGTGGTGTATCAAACGTATTGCACATGGAAACGCCGTGTGCATCCTGCGACCTTTGTGACATCACCGCGAAGGACTGAGTCGCAGTCGCGCTCTGGCCCTATCGAGCCCGTTCAACCAAGATTTGCATCGCAAGGGGCTAGCCGCTCGGGGAAGCGAATCAAGGCAACTGACAAAGTTATCGACGCGGTGTGCCCGCAGTCGAATCTTGTCAGATATGCCACCACCTTCTCGCGTGTCACTGCATGCCGACCGGACGTTCTAATCGTAGGAGATTCTGGGTGGGATACCGAGATGGACGCAGAATATGAAAAGATCCGGCTCCGTCGCGTGATCACAGCCTCAAAACGATGGGTCAAGAACTGTGAACGGGAGGCTCGATTATCTGGCGGGTGGACTTCTTGTGTCGCAGACGATGAACAAGTGATACTATACCGTCGAGAGCCGAGTCGGAGGATGCTTTCAACGTAATGTATCCCTTGTGCGACGCAATTGTGACAGTAACCTAGCTGGACTAGACCCTCTACGGTTGAATACTATTATCTGTATATGGCTTTCGATCAAAGCGATCATGTAACCCGAGATGTCCATTAATGGTGATCAGCATTGTTCGAGGTGGTGCGTTGAGCTTTGGTGACCTCCGCTTCATCTCCGTATCTAGATTGCCGTTGATGTGAAGGTCGGCGATGGGGCTTGAAGGTATGAAATGCTTTATTGTGATTGAGGGCTAGTACGTTGATCACCAATGTGCGATCCCTAGAATGAACCTTTGTCCACAATGTGGCTTTTACTTCGGCACCCTATTCCGCTTGACGCCTCAAGGCTTCATGTGTCTGTGGCAAGGTGGAAAACATTGCGACAGTATAAAGTGTGTTACCTCTGACTCTGCCTCTCAATCAACTCACCCCGCAACTTCCCTTCCCTTCCTTCCACTTGACTATTTTCTGAATCATGTCCATGACCCCTTCCATCCAGTCATCTATTCCTAGCCCTGCTCTTGCGCACATAGGTGTGGAATCTGATCCGAGCTTGGCCAACACCACATTCAATGAAGACCCCGTAACGACAAGGCCTGATGGTCCCGACCGTGAACAGCCCAAGGGCGAATTGACACCTCCTACTACCCTTGGTGAGGAGGAGGAGGAGGAGGAGGAGGAGGAGGAGGAATCCTTTGGAACGACAATGAAGGTGGCTCCGCCGAATGATTCGCAAGAGGAGTACACCAGTGAGTCGGATGAAGAAGTGGACAGAAGCGATGACCCTTCCTACAGTCCTGGAGGCAGGTCTCCGAACGCTAATCGCTCCGGATTACTACATTTTGGACATAGGCGTCCCCTTGGCATGTCTACAAGCGCCGCCAGCAAGAACAATGTGAAGGAATTAGATCCAAACGGTGGACAATGCCTGCTCACCCGTGACCTGGCGAAGGAGACAGGGATTGATAACGCTCATCTGCTCCCCCAAGCCTGGAACAACGATCCTGAACTGGTGAGTAGATTCCTGTTGCCGGGTATGAAGTGCGATTGATTGCTTTGTAGCTCACGAGGTGCGAGTGGGCTCTGGGCCAAAAGTATAAAACTCTCCACGTTGACGAGCCTAGAAACATGGTCAAATGTGAGTAAATGTTCTTCTTTCGTCCTGCCCTTCCTTTTCTGGTTGATTTTACATGATTGTTAGTCCGAAAGGATTGGCATTGGAACTATGACCAGGACATGTTCCTCTTAATGCCTCCATTGAAGATCATCGAGGCCTTTGATGCCCGTAGAGTGGCTCTCGAGGAATTATCATCTGAAGACCCCCCAGACATCATGTCGGTAAGCCCTGATTCGTTATGCTCAATGAGTATCATTGTTGATCTTGTACACTAGTTGTATGGCGACGTGGACATCTTCGAGTATCGCCTCGTTCCACTTACGAATAAAATTACAAATATATTTCGCTTCAACAGGGATGACGACCCCATTTCACCCACCACTCATATTTCCTCGACTTCTAACCCTTCGCTGCCCCCCACTACTGACACTAATCAGGATGTATCGAAGTCCGAGGCTATCCCCACATGGCCTACCACTTCCGATGGCGATCATTCTGCATCTGATTCCCACTCCTTACCATCTGTCACTCCTTTACTTACTGGTCACAGTGTGTCCAATCCCAACTCCTTATCGCCCGCCACTTCTGAGGTCGACTATCCTGCATCCGGTTCCAACGTCGCTGCATTAAATGTCGGTCTTTCTGAGCCCCAATCCAAGTTATCTATCCAAAGTGACAGCTTGATTTCTGATAAAGACTTTTTAGTGTCAGACACCGATCAGCTACTCGTAGATGCCGGCGATGAAGCCCGTGTGGGACTTCCTGCAAGCGAAACAGGAATTCCTGCCACCCAAGACAAGACATCGAAGATGAATCGTCCCGCAGCCAAATCCGATTGGTCATGTCATTGTTACCCGTTTGACACATTGCCGATTCTTCTCTCCCATGCCCTACCCCATTTCGTTCTCTTGAATGCAGGGGCGAAATTGACAGGGACGAAATTGGGAGGAAAAAAATTGGTAGGGGAGGAATCGGCGGAAGAGTCGGCGGAGGAATCGACAGGAGAGGAATCGGCAGAGGAATCGGAAGGGGAAGTACTACAGGAACTGGCGCTCGTGGTCGCTGACATTTTCAAGGTCAACATTATACAAGCGATGGAGGCGCTGTTCAAAATGAAGAAGGTCTATGGTTCGTGGATTAACGCAGTTGTTCCATCGACGTTCCACATAAAGTCACAGCGTTTGTCATCGGAAGACGAGACCACTGACTCAGAAGGGGAACAGGAACAGCTCGACCACCCGGGCCTGAGGCCGGGGCACAATGATGGTCAGATTGACTCCGACAGGAGTAAGCGCTATTCCAGACGTCAAAATGATAAAGAAGCCCAAGATAGCCATGATCCTGTGGACAATGTCACAGATACAGAAGTCCTCCTAACTCACGTATCGGTCGCAAACCCAGAGGCATCCGGCGAGCCCAGCGAGTCTTCTCACGCATCCATTCCCACTTCCACCTCTGCTCTGGACCCCGACCAGACTGCTACATCCATTGCACTCGCTGCACCCGCTCAGACTATCCCGCCTGCTCAGACTATCCCGCCTGCTCAGACTATCCCGCCTGCTCAGACTATCCCGCCTGCTCAGACTATCCCGCCCGCCAATATCATCAATCTTGCTGTACTTGCTCCAGTGGTGCCCATCGAGGCCCCCTTGTACAGCCAAGTGGCGGCAGCGAGGAGGTCAGTCGCATCTGGGAAGGCCCCAATCGGCACATCTAGGCAGGCAAGTCGTGGTGTACCAATGAAGATTCCGACAGCCATCCCAAGAAATGCATGGAATAGGGCCGGCGTAGCAGGACCATCTCCACAGGAACTCATTCAATCTAGGAAACTGGCAACTGGTAGTAGCATACCCATACAGAACATGGCGACCGCGCAGGAAAACTCGGCTTGGACGACAGTAAGACACCGTTCTCCTCCGGCTGGATCTAAGATCAAGTACTCTCATCGTGCCTCAGGGTCTCCTGGACGTGGCTCGGTACCAGCCAATTCTCGTACTCTTGGCGCCAGCAAAATGGCTTCACACAATACCACTTGGACGACAGCGAAACACTCTCAGGCTGTAAGTGCATCGCACGCCAGGGGCACTGGACATGATTCGGGACATCAGGGCAAGGGCAAAGTATCTCCTGGGGCCAGTGTTCCTCGCACGGGCGCAAGTGCACTGCTCAACGTACCTGTACGTGTCGAAGACGACTCCCAGAGCCAGAGGATCACTCGACGTTTGCCGGCCCCTTCACTAGCAATTGCCTCGGACGGCCAAGGCACTCGGACGAACAAGCAGTCTTTGAACCACGGATCCAGCAAGAGTGGAGGCGAAGGAGCCTTGGATCCGCCAGATCAGAAACGGAGGCGAGTCGCGCGTCCATTAGAAGGCGATGCGGACCTGTCAACTTCCCGTATCCCACGGCCGGCGGGCACACGGGTCATCGACCGGATGAAGCCTAAGATGACGCCTTCCCTATCGCATCGGAGGGTCTCCTTCGCGCAAGACCAAGGAGAGGATCATCCCGTAGCTTCTGGCTCACAAGGTATAACTGAGAGGATGCCAGCGAGTGTGATGCATCCAAGCAGCCAGAGAGACTCGAGGTCAACGCACGCGGATGATGAGCAAGATGAGAAAGGTCGTAAGTCAACTAAACCTGGGAAGAAGAGGAGGTACTCTAGACGGTCGTTGGGGGAAACGATCTAAACAGATTTGTTTATCATGTGAGTATCGGCGCGAAAGGGTTGGTCTGAGTCTCTTTGATCATAGGCATGTAGTTTTTTGTTATCATTGACTTGGTCAGACAATATGCGTCGTTGCTGTACTAGAATGTCGACAGCCGCTTATGTTGCTTATGTCCTCTATGCACTAAATGATAATTATGGAATTGCTATGATATGTGGAGGGACTTCACTTACCCGGATATTACCGTGACGTGTACACACATCAGCCGGAGATGGCCGGTCACAGCCGGAGATATCCAGTTGTCTCAGTACTATCGTTGCACCGGAGTGGCAAAAAAAAAAAAGATTTCTTCGTAACATCTTCAATTAAGCTTCCTTTCGCTCCAATTTTTTATCATACCTGCGGAAGCTTCTTAAAATGTGTTCTGTTATTTTTTTATATTTTAGAGTGAACTGAAAGAATTATTGTGATATGATTGAGAAGGTGTGTCCGAAAATGAGCAAAACTTGGGAGTTGCAAATCTTTCCGACGATCGGGTCACATGTTGTCACATTCAAATTTGAACTCCGGCAGCCTGTAATTGTACCGGCACACAGCTTGAAGCTCGAAGTTTTGAGACACAACATGAACAATGGATAAATTGATACACAAATAAACACAGCAAGAGTCAAGTAAGACATTGGAATGATTTGAGAACAGGATCCTGGCTAGTAAGAATGGTCAAAAGGAGGATAGCTGTAAGGGAAGGGCATGGAATTCTGATCAGGGTACAAAACATGCGAGTGCGTAGGTGTGTAATAAGAAAAGGGCTGTAAGGCCGTCAGGAGACTGACCGGATGGCGAGAGGGCCCTGCCTCTGGTGTCATCGAATAAGACTGCCATGGCAGAGGCACTGATTCCGGCAAAGGGATATTAGCCAATGCGGGAGGGGGGGATTTTGCTTGGTAGGAAATAATGGTGCATGGAATCGTCGACATTGTGATGGACGTTCGGACTCATGTGAGACTGATGGACCGCGCGCCATCTGGGTGTCATCAAGTGGGGGCTGCATACGCTCAAAGTCTCGCGCGGCATGTTTGCAACCTCGTGTACGGCGTGCAAAAAGACCAGCAAAGCGGGGGTCATCGGCGAGGGAGGGCATTGCGTCAAGATGGGTTTGAATGTGTTCTATGATGACCTTGTTAGTACCTTCGACCAGCAATCCTAGCGCGCTCGCAATGTCCCCCAGTTCCTCCTTGGCCTTTGTCTTCAAGCCCCCACTGAAGACTGTTGACGTTACTGCACGTCGGGCTTCACAGTCTCGGGCTGCATCCTTTTTCTTCTTCTCATCTTCCTGCTTTTTTGCTTCTTTTGCGGTGCGCGCAGTCTTCGCGAGCTGCCACTCTGCTTGAGCTTCAGCCGATGTGAGGACTCGTGACGTTGTGTTGAAATGACGTTCCCCCTGTGTGTGTGTCTTCAAATTGAGTTGGTGTTGGACCACACCAAAGTGCCGCTTCATGAGGGCACAGTGAGCCTTGGAAGCGTTGAGCTGTATCGCCATCTCCGACATCTCAAACTTGCGCTGCCGCAGAATATTTTGGAGGTGCTGGATTTCAAGTTGATCTCGGGTTTGTCGAGAGGAGGATTGTGATGGGTAGGGTGAGGGAGGGAGTGCAAAGGCGGTTGAAGAAGGGGTGGAGAGTGCGGACGTCATGGAATGCGTGCGCCATCTGCTGCTGTTGCTGTGGGATGGCATTACTGAGTAGTCTTCTGTATAGATTAAAATAGAGTAGATCAGTGAGAATGCAATTAACGAAAGAAAGAAAGAGACCGGACGACGCACCAGCGCGCTCACTATCAGATCGTGACAGGGCAGCGTATGCTCCATGCCTGTGCAAGATTTCCAGCCTGTCCAAGCCCTCCTTTGAGTCTCCTCGTTGTCATTGTCGTTGTCATTGCTGTTGTCGCTGTCCCTTCTGCCGCCGCCTCTGCCTTCCCTTCTGCCACCACCTTCGCCGTCCTTTCTGCCACCAAGGCCATCATCCCCACTGTCGTCGTCCCCGCTGCTGTTGTCTCCACCGCCATCCCCGCCACTGCCATCTCCACTGCCGTCCCTGCCGTCACTGTCTCCACCGCCATCGCTGTTGCTGCTGTCTCCACCGCCATCGCTACTGCTATCGTCTCCACCGCTGTTGCCACCGCCATCGTCCCCACTGCGACCGGTCCCGCCACTGTCCTTCTTGTCCCTGTAATGCTTGTGGTTGTGGTTGTGCTCGTGGTTGTGCTCGTGGTTGCGCTCGTGGTTGTGGTCGCACTCGTGGTTGTGGTCGTGCTCATCTTCGCGCTCATGCTCGTCTTTGTGCTCGTGGTTCTTGTTGCCATCGCCATCATTGCCATCATCGGAGTCCTCTAAACTTGCGCAGGAGTCTTTGCGCAAGTCCTCTCCAGCCATTCCTTCGTCGCACGTGCTGCTGTTGTCCAGCTTGTTTGAAAAGTTGTCCAAATCGTCGTCAGAGCTTGTGTCAGAGTTGTCCCATGGGATGAAGGTATCGTCGGATGAATCAGATGAAGGATCATCACTGAAGGAAGGCATGATGGTCGGATATGATGAGGGAACATTAGCGAGGCGTAACGTTGCGTGACTAGGTGCGAAATCCTCATCCGAAAAGACTTGAGGATTGATGGGATGGATCCCGCTCTTTTGCCATGTGGACAAAATTGTATCCACCTTGAAGGCATGATTCCGTGCCACGAGATAGACATGAACGACATCTTTCAAGGCAAGCTCCCGATTCTTGTCCTCAAGAAATGTTATGCAGCATTTCTTCCATTCCCGCTGAAGCGGTCCAAACACTCCAACATTGAGTGGCTGAAGACGGTGGGTTGTGTGAGGTGGAAGGCAAAAAAGATGGATGCCATGTTCTAAAGCAAGCTCTCGCATTCCATCTGCTTCATGTGAGCCATGGCCATCATATATTAGCAGAATAGGTTTCTTTGAGATATTTCGGGCCTTCACCTGAGGAATGAAGCCCTTCGCAAACCACTCAGTACATATGTAATCAGAGGTCCACCCATTTTCGGAGGTTGCAATGCTAGAAATAAATTAATTCTCAAAAAAAAAATCAAAACAGAATGATAACGCACATGATTCTCTTGTCGGTCCCTTCTGACCACTCCGGGCACTGCTCCACACCGGGAAAAACAAACCCCGGTAAGATATTCCCACCGTCGGCAGAGACACATTCGATCACTGTCACGAGTTGCAAATTTGCACTCTACAACACTGTGTGTGACCTCTGACTACGAGAAAAAAACAATTTTTCCCTTCCAGCTTTCCTTCCACCTCCCAACTGTAATCCCTTCTCATCCATGTTGTATATATTCTCCCAGGGAATCCTGTGCTCATCAATAAAACTCTTCAGGAGCTTGAAGTGATGATCAGTGGTAGGGAAGTTGAACGCTTGCGCGCGCTTCGGATCTAGACCAGTCGGTCGACCAAGAACCAGATCAGGGTGCTGCTCCAGGAACCCCTTGAGCCAAGTTTTGGAAGGAGTTCTTCCGCACAGCGCCTCAACTTTTGGACCGATCGTGCACTTGCTAACTGCATGGCCCGTGTGACCTAAATAAACTAACCAATCAGCAAGCACCTTCTCTTGTGCATTGTTCAACAATTGTTGGACTTCATGGGCCTCAACAGGCCTCCGAGTGAGGCCTAGATATCGGTTCCGCAGCGTGTGGTAGTTAACCTCGAAAGCTTCAGCAGCAGAACTATAGGATTTATGGACATTACTTTGTAGAGATTTGCATGCCTCTTGAAGGCGGTGTTCTACATCGTCCTTCTGTGTCCTAGCGCGCTTTTTTGCTGCACTTGCCATGTTTTGACAAGGTTTTACGGCACGCGCTGTATTTGCGAGCAGTTGCAAAGTTGCGGCTTGCCATGCGGAGATTCAAAAAGATGACCAAGCATCACGTGGCCCGAGGCTCCCTGTCACTCTGCCTGCCATCAGACACTGCCCGTCAAAAACAATTTGGTGAAGAGCATTGGAGTCTTCAAAGTCAAATAAATTTGTCTATATGTTTTCAGTAGTACCTGTTCATCTTCCCGATTTTTTCTTTTGGCAATTGAGCTCAAGGATCTGAGAGATCTTGAGCATCTTTTAGAGAACACTGTCCTAAAAACCATTATCCATTGCTTCCTCACTGCTGCACCCAATTTCTGTTCTTAAAAAAACTACACTACTTGAAGAGTACTTACATGAACAACTATGAATTTTTTTGAAAGGTGCCGTCAAAAAATGCTGCGAGGAGCTTGATTTTGAACCTCCCATCCCATTTGCAACTCCGGTGCAACGATAGTACCATACCTAGCACCGCGGCCCGGATCCCTCTGATGCGCCTGGTCAGCCGGATATCTCTGGCGTGCTGACCTCAGCATGCGGCCACTGCAGTCAAAATAGTGAAGCAAACATGTCAAAGTGGGGAATCGAACCCTACATCCCAAGGATCCAAACCACTATCAATCACACAACATGACCACTATACCACACTCCCTTGCATAAATTTAAAGTCCACTCTACTAAGTACACACAGTATGAACAAGTGATTAACAAGAAACAGTGACTGGCCAGAGACATCCTGCTGGGATATAACTGGTTTTTGGCCCTGTAATGCCAGATAAAAGCAATGAAGGGCCGGAAAACATACAGCTTGACAGACCTGTAGAGAAAATTACATAATAAGAGACGTCTTCATGTATTAAATAACTCAAAACCCTACCTCATGCTTATTGTTGATACACTAGAGGTAGCTCTAAGTGCTGAGCACAACACCAAAACAACCTCTAATGCAGGGGTGCTGGAGCTAGTATCTGATACACAAGGAATTGTTAGTGAGGACTTTAGAAATAGATGGCGCACTTGAGCAGCAGCAATGAGTGTGTAATTATAGCGCCCAAACAGTTTTGGGACTGCACCGAATACCGACCGAATGTTTGGTTGGTCATGTTGGCAATTCGGTTGGTAACAAGGAGGTAGTGTTGCAACCGACAACTACGTGCTTCAGGAGCCATACGGGACTCTGACAATATACGAGGGAGGATGAGGGGTACGAGCAAAGAGACAAGTATGTACATGAACAAGGCCAAACAACAAAGATGACAAGTTTTTGGGAGTCGATGGAGACGATTTCGATGGTTGAGACAAGTGCGAATGAGCTCTGAATCTGTGGGGTGCGAAAGCTGGTTTATTCCAGAGTTGTATGTAGGTTTTTATAGTAAACAGAGCCTCTAAGTAAAATATTAAACAAGAAATGAGAGTAGATGTCGAATGAGTGCCAAGCCTTAGCAATCAGAGAAGATAAGAAGGTAGGTGAGATGTCCATATGGGTTCTGAAGGTGATAAGGTGAAAGTTAATCAGTGATGGCAAAATCCCAAACATTCAGGATCTATTACCCGAGCATAGGTAGCAGGAAAAGGCATTGGAAAACCAATGAAAATAAAAAAGAGGTATTATACGACCAGGGTAGCCAGGTAATGGTGCAAGATTGCGTTTGACTGACCATGTGGAAGCCGGGAAGATAAGCGATAAGGACCAACCGACTTATGGAGGACATCGGCCAATATGGACTACTGGCTCTGATCTTGTAAACACTTATTATAACACTCCTGTGTGGTCATGGTAAGTATGTGAAGTGTGGGTGAACTGACCCAAGTGCTGCCAAACATCCTTTGGTGGCTTGTTGTTGATCAGGTAGGGACTGACCATGTTTGGTAAAAGTTGGTGTCTTCGGTACTTGTCGAGCGCTGTTTGGTATCTCCCCAAAGCTTCCTGAATACCTCCCTCAGACCCTAGCATGGGTGCATGCTCATTATCATACTCCCACTTGGGCATTGCAACTTACCACTTGACACTCTACATTCCAGTATCTCATCTTAGTCATGTATTGTCACACGCAGTCTATAAGTGTCCATGTCCTTCTTGTGACATCTCACCTTCACTTCTTATAGAATGTCCACATGGGTAGACCAAAGCACCCTGTCCGTGGCCCCCCACCCATCAACCGACCACCCTCCAAAGGCAAAACGTCCGCCAGCAAGATGAAGGGCAGCAACACGAGAGACCCAAGGGGTGACAACCCAAGCGCACGCGATGCGTCACCTGGCAGCTCCATAGGTGGCTGCGCCAGAGACCTCAATGCAAGGACCCTTTACACAAGAGGTATTGACGTGTTAGTTGGCCATGCCAGAGACCACAATGTGACAGGTGGCAATGTGACAGGCAGCAACACGACAGGCGGCAACTCAGCGTGCAAGTATGTAGCAGGATGCGGCAATGCAACAGTTGGCCATGCATTGGGTGGGAACTCTGTGAGTGAGCACATAGCAGGAGGCAGTAACATGTTGGGTGGGAACGTGTTAGTCAGTGATGCATTGGGCAGGAACTCAGGGGGTGGGCACATATCAGGAAGGATTGCCATGGTGGTCAAGGGAATGGTCAGCATCTAGGAGACGATGGCTGCCAACTGCGGATACTGTGGTGAGTGCACAGTCCTTGGCAAATTATCATGATTGGCTCACCTCTTTATCCTATAGCAGGTGGTTCTGTGTGAGCAGTGAGTGAGAGGTCAGCATAGGGAAATATGACCTCATCCATGTCACATGCTTGAAGGGGTCTCTTTCTCCAACATATATTCGTTGATCCCACCATTTTTTGACTCACATCCCTCTCTTCCCCACCTGTAATGACATCTTCCCTTTTCCTTTGTCCAATGACACATTGTTTTCCATGTTACCCATGTGAGAGACAACACATGCTCCAAACCACCTGAGCCATGGACCATGTACATCAACCTTGTCCTGTCTCCTCATATCATGCCTCGGACCCATGCCATCCTCCCCCAAGTCATCCTCCTTCTTCATCTGCACCAATCTGCTAGCGACCACAAACACATCATTGTCAAACAGAGCGGGGAACATTGTTGCATGCCTATATTTCTATGGTGGGGCTGACCTTATTCTCTCCTGCAACTGGCCTCTGGCATATTCCCTCCTTCCAAGCGACCCTTCCTTCCTGCCTTATGCAGTCCCTCTCTCAAGTTTCCATCAGCACAGGACCATAACCTTGCATGCGACAGTGAGATGACCTGACTGCCATATTCTCGTCTGCTGCATCCTGTTCAGTTCAACGTGAGCACACAATTGGCAAGCTTGATAGATCACAATGCCTGCATTTTTCATGCTGGACGAATGACACATGATGTAAAAATCTTGTTAGAGTGATTTACCTTGAACATGGACCTTGGTGCGCCGTCCCTAATTTTCTAAACTATACGCTCCCTATGCAGCCATCCCCCAACACTTGGATAGTCTCATCGCATGGCACGCCACATTCAAGCGCACCAGGGCTGTTGAGCCTCCTGCAAGCCAAGAGGTCACTAGCACATGCAAGGTGGCGACTTGAGGGCAGGTGGAATTAGGCCCACGAACCTGTTAGGACAGTGGGACGAGGACTCCACAGGAGTGACGTGACAGCCACAACTGTTTCAGGCAGGGGGGATGAAGACTCCACAGGAGGCGATGTGATGGCCACAAATGTTTCATACAAGGGGGATGGGGGCTTGAGGGCAGGCGACACAATAGACGTAAATGTGTTAAGAATAAGGGGCGGAGACTCCACAGCAGGCAACACAATTCACGCATCTGAGGCAGATAGGTGGGACCATGACTCTGATGGGGGAAATGACATGCTGATGAGCATGCACCCACGCTAGGGTCCGAGGGAGGGATTCGGGAAGCTTTGGGGAGATACCGAACAGTGCTAGACAAGTACCGAAGATGCCGACTTTTACCGAACACGGTCGGTCCCTACCCGACCGACGACAAGCCACCAAAGGACGATTTGGCAGCACTTGGGTCAGTTCGCCCACACTTCACGTACTTACCATGACCGCACAGGAGGGTTACGATAGGTGTGTATGAGATCGGAGCCAGTATTCCGTATCGGCCGATGTCCTCCGTGAGTCGGTCGGTCCTTATCGCTTATCGTCCCGACTTCCGCATGGTCGGTCAAACGCGATCTTACACCATTGCTTGGCCACCCTGGTCGTACGATACCTCTTCTTTATTTTTCATTGGTTCTCCAACGCCGGTTCCTGCTACCTACACTCGGGCGATGGATCCCGAACGTTCGGGATTTCGACATCACTAATTACCTTTTACCTTATCACCTTCGGAACCCATATGGACATCTCACCTACCTTCTTATCTTCTCTGATCGCTAAGGCTTGGCGCCCATTCGACATCTACTCTCATTTCTTGTTTAATATTTTAATTAGGGGCTCAGTTTACTATAAAAACCTACATACAACTCTGGAATAAACCAGCTTTCGCACCCCACAGTTCAGAGCTCATTCGTATTCGTCTCAACCATCGAAATCGTCTTCGTCAACCTCCGAAAACTTGTCATCCTCGTCGTTCGGCCTCATTCGTGTTCGTACTTGTCCCTTCGCTCGTACCCCCGTCCTCCCTCGTATATTGTCAGGGTCCCGTGTGGCTCTTGAAGCACGTAGTCGTCGGTCACGACACTACCTTCTCGTTACCGACCGCATCGCCGACACGACCGACCGAACATTCGGTCGGTGTTCGGCGCAGTCCCGAAACCGTTCGGGCGCTATAATCTCACCCTCCCCGATTGCTTCTCAGTACGCCTTCAATTTCTAAAGTCATCACTAACAATTCCTTGTGTATTAGATACTAGCTCCAGCACCCCTGCATTAGAGGTTGTTTTAGTGTTGTGCTCGGCACTTAGAGCCACCTCTAGCGTATCAACGCGCACATTTGCATTAGGCAGGGACACAAAAGATGGGCACATGCTAGTGCAAGATGCAACTATCAAGGAGCGGAGTCTCCAAGTTAGCTCCCTCCGGTGAGTGTAGAGTCATCCAGCCCTCACAATCTACTCACCTCAATGTCTTCCAGCCCCTGCCTCTGCGTGAGGGGGGAGTGATAGATTTTGGCAAAAGGCATTGTAACATTCTCCCCATCGCATAATCACCTACAACATTAATGTTGTCTGGCCCCATCTGTCTTGCCTCTCATTTGTCACTCTGCCCCATATAATCATATCTCCTCTTTTAGTGACCCAATCATATCCTCTTGCTCTTGATATCACCAAAGCAAGAGCTAGCTTTGTGTTCTTGTGTCCTACAACACTCTCCGCCAGCACATTCCCTCTATGAATGCCCAACCCTGCATTCTGAGCATCTTTGCGCCATTTCAATCAGCAGTTCTCAACATTACCCAGACAACAAGTGGGCATGCAGTGGACAGATGTTCTGCTCGCTACATTCTCATGCGTTACGATGTTCACCTGCCACACCATCAATGTAACAAGACTGGCAGCTCATATACCCGTCACTCATCCATATCCCATTGCACTAAGTTGCCACCATTGGCTCAATCTCAATCTAGTAGAGCAACTGATCCTATGAGTCTGTCTGCTTATAATTTGCACAGAATGCGCACATCCCACAAAGCAGGATCTGAGGATCAATGCCCCACAAGCTCTCCAGCACATCCAGAACCCATCTTGCCTGTCAACCTGATCCTGATGGTGCCGTATGCGCCATAGGTGAATAGGCCTCGCTCCATGGGGGAAATTGTGGCCATCTTCACAGGAAAGGGCAATATTCTGAGAGCACCTCATGGCACTGTCCTCACCCCATCACAGTCCCATTTATCTAAGGCACAGCAGGTTAGACAAAGTGAGGGGGGGCTGAGAAACAAGGCAACCCTACAACAGATATGCTTGTACACCCCCCACTCTGGCTCATGATGAGTAGGGAGTGAATGATGGGTTGGGCACCCATAAGTCTCAAGAGATTGCCTTTTTACTGCTTGTGAGGGGGACGTTACAAGGAGGGGACACAGCTGCTGATCAAGTATATGATGGAAATAGCTGCTCTGACATTTATATTGGCACACAATCATCTAAATCACATGAATCCTTTTTGAAAACTCCACAAAGCTGTTGTGATAAAGCCATGAAGACTGGGCTGCCTGTCTGATGCAAAGCTTAATTTTAACTCCAAATGCTAAACGTAGCACTTACTTGAATGCATAGGCCGAGAGCCTAGCCATTTCCCCCCTGACATTACTCAACTCCTCCATAACTCTTCATGGTAGTTAAAAAGTGTAAGATCTGACACATCTCTTCTTCGACCAACATGAGCTGCTCTTGCCACCGTGTTTTCAACATGCTTCGACAGAACCAATGCACCTTCAACATTACAAGACCATAAGTGATGAGGCTGACGTAATATAGGGATAGAATGCATTCACTCTCCTCACAGTATTGCTGGATTTCTTCATTCTGGCCCTCAACAAAGCAGAAGTCCGACCAGATCCAGAATGGCAGTCTCTTGTTATCTCCCAGTTGTTGATCCACAGTATACATAGTAAAGGGGATGACATCAGAGACTTGGAGTTCCCTATATGTGGGGTCGTGGGGTCTTCTGGTGAGAGACCGAGACTTATGAGTTTGCTACATGCAAGCCTGTACCTTGATGCTGCAGCATGGATGGCCTGCTTATGATTTTTTATCTTTAGGTTCACACATATGTTGTGGATCTGACTAGACTCTGCCCATTTTTCCTGCTTCACCGCATAGGATGTGATGACATAAGCCCTCAAATCATTGAGGGCATTGTTGGCTTGCCCTTGTCATAATCACCTCTTGACCTCTGCAGCCTGAGACATAGCACTATAGGTGGTAATTGCTAAAGCATAATCGGATGGCAGGTTGACAGCCATGGCTTGGACCCTGTGACACACTGCACTCCTCAATGATTGGCTTGATATGGTGCCAGGCTGCTCTGTGTGTAACAAAGCAGCATTATGTTTTGCCGAGTATGGACGAGCGCCTGCATTATTGTGTGCCATGTGCTTTTCTTGTTTGATTGGCGGCCCGTGAACATTAAATTTGATGGACGAGCAGTTCACTGTGTCACTATCCTTCATGGCTTCATGAATCATGGGCTGAACATATTGTTCATGTAATGCACACCACATCTGATGTTATATCATAAAGCGGTGTCCCAGCTCCGAGTCCTCTAGCAACTTCTCATCAGCCAACTCCAACTCGTTCAGAAGATCCTCCCTACATTTAATAAATCAGACCAGGACACCTAGATAACAAGGATGTGACTTACCTGAGCTTTTGCAACTCCATACCCTCCACAACTGCTCCCACCATCCCTGTGCCCATGGCATCTATACCATCTTCATGCCTCTGCAGCAAGTTTGATGCTTGTCTCTAAGTGAGCCCTACAGAGGGGTCAGCAAGTGGTTTAACACAGCCCACTTGAGTGATGGACCTTTGTCCTTCTACGGCTCATATGGGTTGTGCAAGATATCATGCTGTTTCCTGTCTACCACCTTCTCTAGCCAATTCTGTTCCTCAACCTTCCATTGAGCCAGAGTCCCAGGCTTGATTTGAGTTTACAAGCACTGCAGTGCATCCTTCGCCCTGATGTACTCTGTCCATGCTTAGTCATACTTCTTTGATGTGGCCTCCACTAGTATGGGCACCTGAGGGTTAGACTGAGGATAAAAAGATGCACAGGTCCACACCTACCAATGCTGTGGGTTCATCACACATTCATGTCTGAGTGGTGATCATTGATGATGTCGTGACAATGTCCCAAGGTCATCTCATGAGTGCTGCCTCCGGTATTATTTAATATCGCCCAGATTTGTTCAGGGGCCTTGTCATCTGTCATCCCCATGCCGTGCAACCAATGGTATAAGAACTTATACCAACATGATGCTTTGTGCACCGGGAGATGAAATTTCGCGACAGCTGCCACTATGGTAGGGAATCGAGCCCCAGATACAGCTAGAAGGTGCTCTGTGTGATCGCCCATCCATGCCATTCATTTGTCAAAGTGGATCCAATACTAACAATTAATGTCGTAGTCTGAGACGTGCAAGCGCAGTTCCATCCAATGCTTCAAGCCAGATGCCATTGCAAAATCAACATTGGCAAATCTGAAGAGTGGTGACATCAATTTAGGGCATAATTGCTAAGCGCACTTTAGGGCATACCTTTCCCCCTTTTGTAGGTCTACCCTCCCCAGTAACACAAAAATGTGTTGGGCACAGGAAAGACCAACTGTTCTGGATACCTTACCCTAATACCCTCCATAGCCCATGGCTCCAAACTGATGGCACATAGATAGCTGGAGCATGAAATCAGACAGAGTGGGACCGCCATAATAGATCAGTGCTGTACCTCGCATTCCATTGGTCCTAGTAGTTTCTGATATGCTTCAAAGTCTCCCTCATACGCAAAATAGCCTACATGGCATCTAGAAAACCATCTCTTTGTATTAAGCTCTAATTAGTTCCATTTATGCATAATTAAGAACAATTAGGATTAGACATTTTTAGCTTACCCCTTCTCTAAACCTGTTCTAATTAGATATAATTTTCCTAAATTAGAAATTATTAGGATTGATTATAACTTGAAATTTCGGAAAAATCATAATAAATCAAGCATCACAGTTTTCATAGCCTTCTTATAGAGTCATGTCTATTAGAGCACTAGTTCAATACCTAAACACAGAATATACCTTATAACAAACTTGCCTTCTGCCAGAGTTGAACCAACAACCTCATATATGCAAGCACCAGGGACAAATGCTCTAAGCCACTAAGCCACAAGGTCTAAGGTATGAACTTGGTAATCTAAATAAGTAGACATAATATAGGCAACCTCAACATCTCTGATTTTATTCAACATTTATCTTTCCTCTATCTTATAAATAAATAGGTCAATAAATACCTAAAAAGTCAGGTCTTTCAGGATTTAGTTTAAACTCTAGCTAAGAAGATAATAAACCAATGGAAAATCACTAATATACTTTATATAGGATAAAAATAAATTATGGCACTTACACAATTTAGACTAAGAATGTATAAAACTATGATTGAGTGTAATATTCAATGGGACTCTACTAGTATAGGCAATGCTACCTGAATTTGCAAATTTGATCAAAAACATGATTATGAATAATTAAGATCCAATAAGAGAGAGGGGTTTTCCAAATAGCCACTAGTGAGGTAGAGGGTGGGGACAAGAGTATATGTATGGCATGCCTATATATAAATAAGCACAAGATTGTTGGAGGTGATCTTAATATGCTTGGTGCACATATTTCCTATATGGCAGGCAAATATATTATTCTGGCACCACATACCAACATAACTGTCTTTTCCACAGCCTAATAGCTAGAAGAAAACACCAAGTTTGAGCATCTTCTGTATAACAAGGCAATAAACAATATAAATAGTGCTAAAAATTGTAATATCAATAGTGATGACGATTGTGTGCTGCACAAGACAGTATTAGCCACTGTACTAATAGACAAGATCTATAAGGCTGCATATAGCATATCCCTAAGCCCAACCCACATGTTGTGTCCTATAATGACCAGTAGCAGGCATTGGCTAACAATGACAACTTTAATGATCTTGTGTGCAAGGACAAGGTACCTAGGTCTTCATAGCCTCTTGTGGCAGCTGCCAAGCTGCCAACAAAGTGGCTGGGGGCATCAATGCACATTTTTCTCTTTCTATATCCCTTATAAAAGCAGCTGGAAAGTCAGCAGAAGAGCTACAAGATCATGGTGCAGGCATATATAAAAGAGAGTAATGTGCTGAAACAGTATTTAATGTGCCACATTTTTATCTTCTCACTGATAGAGCAGTAGTACTTACTATTTCCTACTAATAATTAAAGACTTTTTAATATAGAATTAGTGCTAATATCATGAAATTAGAAACCAATCCAATGCTCACAATGTGTTGCTCCCAATTAGGAAATTAGACACTTTTAGATACTATTAACACTTTTAGATACTTTTAGACACTATTATATATAATCTGGAGCTAATAGAAGGGGGTGGTTTTCCAAATGCACAACTATAATGCAATACCTTGACAGCCCCAAGCCGCTTGCTACAGCCAAATTCATGTAAATCCAAGTTGATTCAAGCCTGGCTGTGCAAGCAACAATAGGAGCCCAAGTGATGAAACAAAAAGATGAATTATAGTGGACTAAAGTTTTTGCAGAATGGAACACCTTTGTCATCAAGGGCCTTGTTCTCTAGCTATGAATGATTGTCGGAGTTGCACTCATACTTACCCGACTTGTTTGTGTTGCTATCGTCGCCACTGCATTGTCTTCATTGTTGGCTTATCTTCATTGTTGTACAAGATATTTGAGCTGCCTTTTGGGTCAAGATTCTCATCTTTAAATGGATTGTGAGAAATCATATATATGAAGGTGGAGTAAGATAAGCTGAGTGTGAAGGTAAACATAAAAGCATTGGGACCAGGGTAAGGAAGTGGTAAGGAGGTAAGACAACACACAAAATCATGTCAAAATGACAAGTTGCATTTGCAAAGACGCATTGCTCACACGTCGGACTTTGAAACACATCTTACTTGTATCCTTCATGTTGAGTGTCGCAAACAAGGCACTTGGTACTATACAGTATGTTGTTATCACTATATGCACTGAGAATCACTTACAATGTCACTATATGCACTCATTTCCACCATTTACCACTGACTATGCTTTCTCCTCCCTTTGTCTTAGGTGCTCTCAAGTTGCACATTAGCTGTTCAAGATTCAGTGATAACTATATGCTTTTAGGCAAGTATTGCATCATACTTTGAGTCAATATCATGATTCTCCCAGCTGAAAGTCGCTGGTTGGCATGGCATGAACAATGCATGTATATCCTCATGTGATGCACACTTAAGCGGTATGATCACATGGGCCAGCAATGCTGCATGCCAGGGTACGAGAAACACAAAGACAAGTTGTACCGTGCATCTGGCTCTTTCTTCCGTCTTCTCACTGTTCACTGATCTTGTCTCCACTGGTATATAGATGGGTATGTGATGTATGTGGCTGAAGTTGCACATGCATAAGGCCCTCCCTGCACAAGAAAACCTCTGCCAGCTTGCAGTTGTTGTATAAGTGAGTGCTTCGGTAGGTTATTGCCTGTGGGCATGCTTCAGAGCCACAAGTGGGTTAGGTGAGATGTTGTGCAACATGGAGGGTATCAAGTGTCTGTGCATTGTGCTCATGTGCATCAGGAAGCCACCAGACTAGCTAAGTTGGCAGGTTCGGGATTTGATGAGCAGAATTGTGCACTGCCCATCTCGTGTTCTGCACGCAGAAAAATTCCTCAATGCAGGTTCTGTGTTGAGAAGCTCATGGGCTCTTTTCTTGGTGCATGCTTCTCTTTCCTACCTTACTTTGACTTTATATCTGACCAGAGCTGTGTGCACTCAATCTTGTATTCACTATCCAGCAATGGCTCTCATCTGAGGACTTTTTCAGACCACAAGCAGCTATTCACGATCCGGATCCACCATGAAGTGCCCAGCAAGAATACAGCCGGCGTGCACTGCCTAGGGGCTGGGACTTTATTTTTCACACCTGTTGTTCTGAAACGACAGACATATGGCTTTATGTATTATTATGATAGCATGTATGCCATAGAATTATAAAGAATTACAAGGTATCTTGATCCTCAATCAACTGCTTAGTCGGAAGGAATCTGATATGACAATGTTAATCCTGCTGAGATTGGCCAGACTGACCAGATCTCGTCAGACTGGCCAAATCTCATCAGACTGTCCAAATCTCGCCATAATGGCCATTTTCATGTTACCCTTCTCGACACTTACAAGACCGGTGGCACCTGGCGAGGCTGTGTCACTACCCCCTGCTTACATAGCCTTCCCAGGCTGTGTCTGGCCGTGGAAGATCCGCGCGCTTTTCCTGATGAAGGCGTCTGATCTTTTGCCTGCTGGGTCTATCTATGGTCTGGAAACTGGCAAGTCCGTCGAAATATCTATTCCCGGAGGCGCTGTAGGAGGTGGAGTAAGTCTGGATACATCCTATTATGATACCCGCCAATGACTTGATTGTATTCCTCTATAACATCCTATTCATTTGCACGGTGTAAGCCATATATACAGCCTTCGCATAGTATGATTTATTAACATGTTTTTCAGCATGCGTTTAATGTTATTCGTAGCGCTGGCAGCGATACTTACAACTACGTCAACCCTGTACGCCGCGACACTGTCAATATTGGCACCACTGGCGACAACGTCACGATCCGTTTCCAAACCAATAATCCCGGACCTTGGTTCATTCATTGGTATGTTCCGGATAGGCGCACTTTAAATTGTTGTCTCGCTGACCCATCTCCAGCCACATCGACTGGCATCTCGAGGCGTAAGTCAATACATCTGATCCCTCCCTGCTAGGTGCTCATATGATTTTCTCTTTGAAAGGGGGCTTGCCGTCGTCATGGCTGAAGGCATTGAAGAGACGAACACCACTAACATCGTTCCTGGTATGTTCTCAATCTGCTAACTAAAGAAACAAAAATGATTGAACTGATGTCGTGTACAGCTGATTGGAGCACCCTCTGCCCTGTCTACGACGCTCTCAATGCTTCCGATCACTAGGTTGGATGCACATCTCGCACGCTGTATCTTCCTGTGTAAGGTGCAGTGTAGTCGGGCGGTAGTAGTTATCGTTTTCTTCTATCTCCTACTGTTGTGAATGGGGACCTGGGCTTTTGAATAAAAAGTAACTGCAGTAACAACTCATCTCGACCTTAACGAGCACCTTGGTTTCGACGAGTTGAGGAAACCTCTGGGAGGATGTCTCAAATCCCACGCATAGTTATATTAACTTTTCATGGGACTCAAGACACATCATCTTCGACGTCTGAAAACAGAGGTCGTTCATCGTCAAAAGTCGATGCCATGTCATCAATCCAATCCCAGAGATGCGCAGATGTAGGATCTGTGTTGCCTGTTGTTTTTTCAATGTCGGCGCCGTTGGCGATGAGGAGTTGGACTATTTCTTCGTCTCCTATATATCTGGCTGCGCCAAGTGCAGTTCCGTTTCCTCCTGGATCCTCCGCGTCTACATCTGCACCCCCCTCCAAAAGTAGCTGTACAACGTCTATATGGCCTCTCAGCGCCGCGGCGTGTAGGGCATACCGACAATTGTCCCCTCCTTCGGCGTTGACATCTGCTCCTCTTTCTATTAGCAACTGCACTGTCTCTTTATGACCACAACAAGATGCCGCATACAACGCTGTTCCAAAATCTCCTCCGAACATATTGACGTCCATGCCCCTCTCCAACAAGAGCCTCACTATGACCGTGCTGCCTGCGAAAGCCGCTGCCTGCAGCACATTTCCAAAACACCCTTCCTGCGAATCTACACTTGCGCCTCGTCCTAAAAGCAAACGGACGATGGACTCGTGGCCACCCGCCGCGGCCGCTTGAAGTGCATTTCCAAAATATCCTCCTTGCGCGTTGACGTGCGCGCCTCGAGTCAATAGCACCGATACAACAGGTTCATGGCCTTTGTGAGACGCTGCCTGTAGCGCGTTCCCGTAGTCCCCTCCGCACACATTGACGTCTAATCCCCTGTCCAATAGTATATTGACAACACCTTCGTGACCACCATAAGACGCTGCCTGTAAAGCATTTCCTAAGGTGCTTCCTTTCGCCCCTATGTCTGCGCCTTGTCCTAGCAAATGCCGTGAAATCTCGACCCATCCGTATAAGGCAGAATAATACAGTGGATTGGGGGTTTCCTCTGTATCGCGCTCCGAGGAGAACTGCGTCATGTCATTGGGACGAGGATCTGGATCTTTGACTCTGATCCAGTTAAGAAATTGTTCACAGCGCGGATGGTGAAGAAGCTCTAAGGCTAATTTCCGCAAAGGAATACAAGCCTCTGCACCGCCTGCCTGGAAGTGCTCCATCCAATGCCAAGACGCATACGGTGACAACGCAACTTCAGAGTCACGATGTGTCATCCTGTTAGTGTCTGATCCATCCGGACCATCGAATCGCAGGAGATAGGCAATACAAGTCAAACCCATACTTCGGTGTGCCAAGCCTGCATTGATACCATAATTCCATGCCTTGCCTGCTTGTATCCGTTGTGAGATGAGAAACTCTTGTACGGAGAAATGGGATGGTCTCAGTATCTTCCCGAAAGAGCTATGAGCGGGGTCAACAGGTGATGTGCTCCAACCAAACATGCCCCGAGTCACGGTCTTCGACGACAGTGAGACTAAGCTTCCGCAGAGTGTCAGCACGTCCTCGGGACTGCGAAGTCGGCGACGAGGTTCATAGCGTGCAACAGTGAGAGAATCCTCTTCGATAGTAACGACTTCAGCAATTTCCTGTAGCGTCATAGGGGATGCAGAGAAACAGAGAAATTGCAGGATTGTATGAACTCTGGGCTGGTGATCTTCCGGAATATTCTGAAGTATGCGTTCATAGGTTGCGTCCAACGTCTTTGGAAGGCCTACTAGGGCCGCCTCGAGGTCAGCGTAGGAGACACACATCCTCAAAGTATCGAGTTGACAGCGAATCCATTGGAACCTAGAGTGCTGAGTGAGTTGTTCGCATGGAAGCTATCAGATAAGATGAACTCACATCCCACAAGCACGCTCGAGGAGAGTCTCACTTATCATCGCCTTTTCTTCAGCCCCCCACTTTCGAAGGGAAAAATCACGACTCAAAAGACTGTCAAGGTACATTTGAATGTCTTGATTAACGAAGCGAGCCTCAGTCTGGAGGTCGAGTCGCCAATCAACTTGGGATGCGATGGCGTCCTCGATTTCCAATACCGATCGGCTTGTGACCAACGTGCGAAGACTCGCAAGACCCCAGTCTTTCATTTGAGACAAAAATTGCAGAAGACTCGTCCGTTCCAATCCAGCACACTCGTCAAGGGCATCAAGCACAATGAAAGTGCGGTCAAAACAGGCAGCCATTTCCTTGAGTACCATGGTCAGATCATCGTAACTGGGCTGCTGGGTGCCATTGTAGCATCTAGTATAGATGTTCTTGACAGTAATCGGAATGGTTCCGTGGCATTGAGCCACGAGTTGGGTGATTAGAGAATTGATAGCAGCACGAAATAGCATCTTTGCGTGATCGTTGAAGTCAAAGTAGAAATAGGCGACGGCCACAGATGCGTCTCCGTGATATCGGTGTTGCAGAGTATCGATGGCCTTGGAGCTGCGTTCAGTGGAACAAGCATTGACATCAGCGGATGATCCAATGTGCGAAGTCAGTGATGCCTTACCATAGGACTGTTTTCCCATTGCCAGCTATCGAACAAGCGTCAGAAACAGTCTATCCCAGCGATCAACGACGCACGAATACCACGAATCCATATAAAGGAGTTGGGGTCCTGCGTCCAATTTTGAAAATCATCTCCGCCAACGAACCACTCGCCAGTTCCACTCTGTCGTATGTGAGAGGCTGTGTTGTGGTTTGTGGATGGGTCAGGTGGACTGAGCCACGCGCGAATTTTTGTTTCAAACTCGTCTACGTAGAATATCGAGGTTATCAAGACACCCGGAAAACGTTTATTCACACAAAGAAAGCACACCTCGAAGTTTGTTGACTATCTCTGTGGTGTTCACCAAGGTGACCGTAGTAGCCATTTGGATTTCCTGGTTCGACAATCCTCTTAACTTCTCCAATTCGCCCTTCACATCATCCATACCAACGAGCCCCCTGAAGTAGTGAGCTAATGAGGGTATCACCGTGTAACTCTTTGAACACTGCCATCAAATTGCTCACTAAGACGATTTCGCTTCATAAATTTTGTGAATATTCCGAACGTCCTCAGCATTTGTGATAGTATCTCGACGAAGATCTTCCGCATTGGTGCTGTGACATCCTGTTGCATATAGACCCGCAAGCGATCGAGGAAATTTCCCATCTCCTCAAACACATCGATGATCGCATCATATTTAGCGGTCACATTTTTGGCCGCCTGCGATGGTGCCGTGTCAGAAGTCGTGTCAGAAGCAGACCCTCCAAAGGAGCATGTCGCAAAATACTCACTCCAAGTAGTACGCGAATGGCGACAAAAATTGCTTTCGATGGTAGAAATGTCTATAGATGTTGAGTTAGTCACCAGCGATTGTCGCAACACAGTCGCAACACTCACCAGTGCCGTGCCTTCCCCGGCCGCCTCAGAGAACAGAAGTACCAGTTCTAATATAGGCTTGAGAACTCTCCTGATCTTTTCTCCCTTGCTTCGATAATGTTTGAAAGTACGTTGTTTTTCATCGATGACCGCGAGAAGCGCATCGGGAGAATCGGCCTCGAGTGGTGTCGAGGTGGGATCCTTGTTGGTGTCGCTCCTGTATTCCTCCAGTGCCAACGCCCAGATAGCAGAAAATCGAGTGTTCGATTCAGATTCTGCCATATACACGTGCTATGTGTGAGGTGAAGAAACAGGTTTTTGAGGTCGACCACGAACCAGGCCGGCATTCAAGATTGTTCCACGTGAGAGCACGGGAGCAAGCCTCCGCGCCTTGTCAGGAATCGCGTCAACAAAAGACCTCAAAACACCCTCTGTTCTCAGTTAACTTATGGATTTTGTTTGACCTTTCCACCCACACTCCCTGAGCATGTACTCTCTGCTCTTCTTCAATCACAAAATGATATGGATGGCCGTTACGCTGCTTATCTATACACAGGCCTCCGACTCGTTTGACCCTCTAAACTGAATGCGCGCCATTCTCGCTTCCAACCGCAGAACTCTCATGGACCTGGGTGCCATTTGAATCGTTAAATTTGGAACGGTCGTGCAACTCATCGCGGCTTCCAAATGAAAGGGGGATTCCGTTCCTTTCAATAGTGCTCAAGATCGTGAGTGATTTTTTCTTTGAATTGAAAAAAATTAGCTATGTATGCTGTCATATTCTGGTGATGTTTTAGGGCGATGTTCGACAAATGTTTATCTCGCCCACTGACGCCCTCCTTTCCGGCAGTCTTCAATCATTACTTCTGGTTTGCCCACAATCTGCGTCCTCGTGCCCTCTGCGGACAGCCACGCGATCTCAGCATTCGTGTCTACCTCCTCATCATCCAGCCCATCGCCCCTTTTTCAAGGCACGTAGTCTCTGGCATCCACGACTTACACGATATTGCTGAACAGCTCAAGGATCAACGACTCGTCAGCCTTCTTTTTGACCGGAGTCTGCTATGCTAAATGTCAAGTTTGGTTATCGGAAGGCTATGGCTCGACATCGTGAGCACTTGATCTATAAGGAGCTGAGGCGTGTCATTCCGATTACGCCTCGCTCGGAGGCGCCATTACCAGCCTGCTCTGTGTGTCGGCCAATGTCATGGACGCGATCGGAAGCGGATCGGACGTCTTGATTATCGTCACCGTCATCTACGACTGATTTCTCATAGAACATCCTTTCGCTCCCTGGGTTCCTTCCTTCATCCTCCTAAACAGGGAAATTGGTATGAGGATGAGCCGCTTAGCATGCACACGTTTATCGAGGTATGTACATCCTCAAAAGGCTCTCTTCAGCTGCCCGAAAATAGCTGGTATGGGTGACTTTACCTAGATCATTCGATCCAAGGATTCCAGGCTGCAAACTCGACACTGAATCTGATCTGGGGCCGGGCGTCGTGCTCGTACAACAGTTCAGTATTGATACCATGGCAAACACACAGTACGATGGGAACGATCACATTTTCTTTCGGGACTGAAAATAGGGCGGGTGTATTAAGTATGCCATGGCAATGATTTAACAGCTCAGTTTCGGCGCTGTCGCGGATCCGTACGTACTTGCACAAACGGTAGTGGACTTCTAAACTCAATTGACAACGCGAGGGCAGCAGGACGCCCACATTCTCTAACATCTTTTGTCTTCTGTTTTCCACAGCGAATTCCTTGCGAATCTGTTGGCCTATCTCTACAATATCCGTGATGCTGCCTTGTAATGAAAAACGGACAGCTTTACATCGACATGATGCAGTAAAGTGTATGCGATCCAATTGCACGCGAATTCTTCCGTTGTTACATGCCTGACAATACGCCGCCAGTCCTGACTCTGGGCGCGCGTGATGTCGGACGCGGGAAGTGTCTTGGGTAAGTGGTTCTTTTTGCTGATACAACTGGCTACCATTATTCATAAAATAGACGCACAGTAAATTCTCCGATGGCGTGCGCCTGCCACACTTCGTGGTCCCCGAGACGCCCTAAAATCTTTTGTGCAATGGGCCTCTTCGGAGCTCTGACAGGAGAAATCCGGACTGGAAATTGGCTCCTCCTTTGTTAACACTTCCCTTGAACCATTGTATCACAGCCTCGTCTGATGTCGACCAGATGGGAGCTTTATCACTGCTATCCTACGATTCATCCTCCGACATTCTATGCCCTCAATCAATGACGGCTTTAACCCACAGATACTCCACTTATTTCATTTGTAGAATGTAACCCTTTGTCAGGGCTAGTTGACAACCGGTGTTTCTCGTTAACGACCCAGAAGATGATATGTACGTTTCTATTTATTCAGATTCGCCGAATCATATGCCTCCGTCATGTGTGCATCTGACCTATAAAGCCGACCTGAGTCCTTTCCACAGCGGTCTTCATTGAAGCATTTTTATCGACTCAAATCACCAGATCGCTCACGACCATGCCTTCTCTCCTTCCGCTAGACAGTCTGCTTGGCGCTGCTTATATTGGAGTGATCGTGTCTACCGGGTGAGTTTGCTCTTCGACAAAATCACCATTCTGCGAAACTGCTATGCCTCTGTCCAGAATATATGGCGTGGCCTGCCTACAAGTATATTTATATTACACGCAACATTGCGGCAACGATGGCCGATTCCTGAAGGCTTTCGTCAGTTCTGTTCATGGTCGTATGCTCCACTTTCGAAACTAACATCCCTCCAAGGTTGCCATTTTGACGTAGGTCCATTGCGTCCGCTCCGTGGATCTCAACAAACATCACTCTTTTCTCTCTTTCAAGGCCCCTCGACACTTTCCACGTCGCGCTCTTAGCGCACTTCATGTATACCTATACGATCACCAATTTCGGGGATTATAGGACCCTCGCCCCTTTGTAGTAAATGTCCCTACTCTGCTCGCTCGGTCTTCGCGTTGACTATCTTTGTTGCAGGAGCTTCTTGGTGCGTAGATTAAGTCAACGACTCGTTCGTCTCTCTTGACTAGCTGACTTTCCTAGATCGACATTGTGATAGGGGTACGATCCGTATTCAGCCTTCCATGTAACCTTCGATTAATGTTTAACGCTGACAGGATCTGTTGAGTGTCTTTGTGCAGACGTGAGTTTTCTTGTCAGTCTCACATGTCGACGGCTCTGGGCTCGCTAAAATCGTCCCTTGAGGTTCTTTGCATATCGGATATATTGCCGTGCGTCTCTTTCTATCTATTTCAAATATTTGAAGTAAGGACCGACATTTTTGAAGTAAATGGGAATCGCAGACCAATACTACCTGCCTTGATAGTATGTGTCCGTTGACTTGGTATCTGCGCCGTCATTAATCACCCGCGCAATACCCACAGTGCGTTTTGAGCCCCGGACATCTATGTTCGCAACCTCAGATTTCTTGGGACGACCCAAGGCTGATGAATTCAACATCACGACAGCTGGCTCGCTTGGTGAGGTCTCAGGTCAATATTCGATCTTTGTGTCCTTATCATCCGTTACTTTCGACCTTGACAGGTTACACGGCCATTGGGTATGATACCTCCGTCCGGGCTCCTTTCATCGCTCTCACCACTGTGATTCATCGTCTATAGTTTCAGTGCTTCAACATTTTTCATTCAGCGCCCTAGGATTTTGGTCTCGTCACCCAGTACATCATCTTTGAAACTCTACTGACTTTGTATACCAGCCGTAGACCATCATTTCAACTTCAGTAGAAATTGCTTGTGACGCCCTCATTACGGGATTCATGATCTACCACCTTCGCAAGAGCCGTACGCAATTCGAGAGGTGTTTCTCCTTGTCTCACCTGCAACCTATTCTCGTCGACTCATTGTTCGTCAGAACGAACCGGGCCATCAGTCTACTAATTATTTACACTCTGAATACGTGTGAGCGTCCTCTGCATCTCCGAGATAGCACTGGTTGAAATCCCTTCAAATTGAAGCATTGTTAACAACGTAGTAGCGTTGCCTTCCTCTCACAATCTGGCTTCATGTTGATAATGAGTGCAGGATATTCGCTGTCACTTCACTGATCACGGTAAGATAGGGGGTCGATATCCTACGCTCTGAACAGCACTGACCTACCTTATCAAGTTCTTGACATTGCGTCATTCCCTCGCCTTCACCGTGTTCTTCTTCATCTTGATCCGACGTGCGTATTTCCAGATTGCTTTAGTCACTTGTCCTGCAATCGGATTGACAACTTTTCTAGTCTATGTCTGCTCGTTCATGTCTTCGTTCGTGTATCTTTCTCTGTTCGATTATCCTCTGACCCGTCCTTTAGCCTGAATTCACGAAGCTTCGTTCGACAAGAGCTCAACGGCAAACAAGATGAAGTAATCACTCTGTCCAGATTTGCTGCAGCGGAAGCGCGATCATCTTCACAGAGGGATGACACTGTCGGTAGATCGGTGGACAGTCACAAAGGGTTAGGATGGTCACATTCGATGTTGCATCATGCTGATAATATCACTACAGAAGATCAAACCCAGAGGTTTAATTGTTGCCCAAGTGGTCTCCTCAATGATTATTAGACACATGGTGCGTTCACTGGCATTAATAAAGATTAGTTGACGTCAAACACTGTTCCCTCCAGGGTTCATGGATCGCCGTACATTTCGTCCTACAACTTTGTATTTATCAGCCTACTTGCCAAACCAGATGTTACCAGGACTTGCTAGTGAGCTCAAGCACCTCTTGACACTTATGCAGTAGAAGCTCGCTACTGGCGCGTAGATGTACAGCGATGACTGTGCAGTTCCCGATAACGGTCGGGGTTTGAGGCTCAACATCATATGCAGATGTGGATGTCACTCTTTTACGACATCGATGAGCTGTATTCTTGGTGCGTAAATGATATCTCTCACGTAGAGAACGCCTGATAGCTCTTGGAATGAATGCGTTGTTCGCTCGCGTCGCATGCGGCATCTCACTACATACCGTGCGTCGGTGTTTTGCAACTCATATGCTCAGGATCTAAGGCGGAATTGAATAGGGATTAGGCTCACATTGAGTCTCATCATATGATGTGACCCCTGTCAGATCTTTTCGATCATCCATTTTCTCACTAACAACCTTGTTTGAATGCATCGTACTCACGGTACGCATTCTTCGAACAGTCCTTCTGATCATCACTGTGTCGTATTTCTGACCCATAAAGCTCTCTTCGTCCTAGTCCTCAGCCCTCTACAGCCATGCCTTCCCTTATACCACTCGATAACCTGTTGGGTGCTGCTTTTGTTGGAGTAATCATATCTACTGCGCAAGTAGTTCACCACGTTCATCTGTTCCCATCAATCTGACGAGGCCATCCTCCCTCTACAGAGTATATGGCGTGACGTGCCTACAGCTGTACTTGTACTACACGAAACATTGCCAGCATGATGGTCGCTTCGTGAAAATATTCGTCAGTTTGTTTCTCTCTACTCACATGTGCCATATCCGATCTTAATCCTTGAACTGTGCCCTTAGGTCGCTGTTTTGATGTGAGTGTATCCTCAAAATTACACGAGTGTCATAACACGCCTCCGTCAGGGTTTTCGATACCCTCAATCTGATTTTTTGGGCGCACGTTATGTACCACTACATGGTTACCAATTTCGGAGATTATCAGGCCCTTGTCCCGAACGTGTGGTAATGTACCTCGCAATTTCCGGCTTACTCACGATAATAATCATCTTTTACTGCAGGAGTATATTAGTGTGTTGACCTTGCTAGCTACGGCTCTCAATACTCAGTTAATATTGCGCAGATTCAGGTCGTGATAGGGGTTCGAGCGTTCTAACAATCTCCCAGGTGGTCATGAATTGACGCTTCTCACAGCACTTGCTGAGCAGCTGTGTCCAATTGTGAGCACGGTTGGTTTGTCTGTAGGCGATGCTAATGACGGATCAATTCTGCTAGCTTTTTCGCATACCGAGTCTACCGCTGTGTGTTCGTCTCAATTCTATGACTCGCAAGGGGGTCTAACATCTCTGTTTGTAGTGAGCAGGAAGCGCCTTGCACTTCCGGTGATTGTTGTAGGTTCCTCCCCAAGATGTTTCTGCACGGACAAAGCCATTAGTATTATGATTTTTCTAGTGTATCCTGAGCTTGGGACAATTGTGTTTGTGTCACCTTGATACTTTCAACTTCCACGGTTGACAAAACACAATTTTTTGGCAGCTTGCGCGACGGGTGGCGTGACACTCTAGCATTCCAAAATTCTATGTGCTGATCCTCACATAGGTTTCGTAGTCACCGCGTACGCCAACTCTGGTTTTCACTCACATCTCTAATCATCATGCCCACCTCTGCCTCCCAGTTTTCGCATGACAGCATTCGCCGAATCTGGTGCAGATATAGCTCCGTGACACTCTGATGAATCCCCTTTTGAGAAAACCTAACGTCTGATATTTTAGCCGTGGACTACTGCTTCGATCTCCTCAGAGATTGCCTGCGATGCGTTGATCACTGGTCTAATGATTTACTACCTTCGTAGAGGGCGCACGCATTTCGGAAGGTGTGTACTAATCCGACCCTTCTCAAGCAACTACACTTACTGAACAAGCGGTCTACAGAACGAACAGAGCAATTGACTTGCTAATTGCATATGCATTGAATACTTGTAAGCCTCTACCCTAGAAGCCTATGCCATTGACTGACAAATTGACCGTGGGCAAGCTCTCCTCACAACGTATGTGCAATCACTCTCTCGCAATCACATTTCTTGTTCATCATTTCCGCAGGATGTTCGCTATCGCTACTCTGATCACGGTGGGCTATCCGATCAACATCTACTGTTCATACTACTTACCACCACATATAGTTTGTCACTATGGACAAGACCCTGGTATATACACCGTTCTTCATGATATTGGTTCGACGTAAGTGTGCGGTCACTTACTCTACTTCAGTCTTCCAACTGAATTTTCTGAAGTTTACTCTTGTTCGTTTATGTCAACGTTCGTAATAAAAAATCATCTCCGCTGGTCATAGATAAGTAACGGCCTCAATTATCTAGTCTCAACTCTCGAGACGTCGTTCGACAAGAACTCGACGGCTTGGGTAGTGAAGTCGTCGATTTGTCTAGGTTCGCTGCAATGGAGGAAATGGGATCTCGGCTTGGAGAAGAAGCGTCCTGTGAATGCACAAGAGAATGGTCAGTGGCGTCATCTCGTAAATCATATACCTCTCACAGTAACTGTTCAGAGAGTCGCCTTGTGACCGACGAGTCGCTGATGCATGGACCTCTTCGCACACGTATAGTGCAGCATCTCGGACATTACCGTCACAACTCAAAGTTCTTGAACTGGCTGGGAAACCTTCCGGTCGCTGATCGAGAGGTGCCATTTGAAGACGCTTTATCTAAATCGATGATCATTGATGGTACGAGCGATAGCGATGATGAAAAATGATGTTGGCGACAGGACTTGTGGTGAACAGAAGCTGATACTTGTTTGTGGTCGTAGAACAGCCGCCTTCTGAACAGATATTTAGGAAGTCTCTTGATAGAGCACCTCATCAGTATTGTGAACGAAGAATTCTGAAATGGCATAAGGAGTGCATTGAAACAAGTAAAGGGGTTGCATCACAGGATAATCATAGTCTTGCCACGACCTCAATCTGTCCATGATCTGCGACATCGGTCGAATGGTGGAGCTCCTCCATGTCAACGCCCTCCTCCGTGTCCGTACTTTGACTGTTGATAACCCGCGCCTCGAATATCATGCCTTGCGAAATGTGAGATGTATGAAGGCGGTCGGCATGGGTGGAGTATTGAGTGCTGTGGTCGGCCACCGAGGTACGGATGCGGAGGAGCAAGCGGCAACATAGAATGCTGTGAATTATGCGAAGGAATCTATCGTAGATTGAGCATCGATAAGGAAGTATAAGTGAGGCTCACAAACATGCCAAGGAAGTCTAACATCTCCGTCTGTTCCATGAAATCAGAACATATATCAGATATCCTTTGTTCCAGGACGCACCGGAGCTAGAAGCAGGGCGAGGACAGCCCCCAAACTAAGAGCTATATTTGCGAGGCAGATCTCTTTGTTAGGAATGCGGCCGGTATGATTGAATTGTGCCCCTTGGAGGACGTACGCAAGAGACAGACATAGAAAATGATGCCTTTGATCATCAAAATCTTTCCATCAAGAATGCCTCGAAAATGGATGCACGATTTCACTCACCATCGCGGAATAGGGTGAAGAGCAGAGGGCTCTCAGATTGACGGGCTGCGTATATGTAACCGGTGTCCGAAGGTCAAACGGTGATTATTATGCAACCTCCATACGCACTTAGCTGGAGTGCCTTGCGAACCGTGAGGAGCACGATTACTACGATGATGTAAGTCTTGCGCATTGCGAAAACCGCTTTCTCTGCACACCTGTTTCATGGAATAGTAAGGAAGCAAATGAAACGAAGACAATTGGGTCTGCGTGAACAATATAACATCCAGGTATTAATGGTGAGGGGGGTTTGGCGACTACAGAAGTCATGTCGATGGACACATCAGCACCAGTAGAATGAGCATAGGATATATAGGTTGGTACGAACAGACCAGAGAGTCCATCCATTTTACAAGTATCCAAATGTTGACAGAAACCCAAATCTATGCCATGGAGGAATTAGTTAGATAAGTGCCCAAAACATAGATTCAACAGATTGCATACAGCCCACAAAGAACCTAAGCTCGAAAGTATCTTTTTCGAGTTCGCATACAGGGCGTAGGTCCTGAATATCAATATGACTGGGGAATTCTAAGGCTTAGAAAAACTTGTACAACAGATTTAAATGCAATGCCCTCACGTTCCGAGGTTGCCAGTCCGATGCCCATAGAGACTTTGCGAGGAGCATAATGGTAAGCGAGTGAGATGAGACCCGACACCAAGCGTGTGCACACCTGTTGCGACATCGAAAGTTGCGTGGCACGTCTTTAGGGTAAAAAATGAATGATCAGTAGCTACGTGTATTTTCAAGAGGAACGGGACTTTCCTTGAAGGCTGACTCCGAGTATGCATTCTGCGTGAGCTTCTCTGTTATGGACTCAATGAAGAACTGAACAGCGAATGCGTAAATGCAATTTGTTACGAACGTTTAATCGACAAGCTCATGTCGAGAACAGGTGTGTAGCGGCTCAGCAAATACAGAACTTTTGATAAGTTCCAAGGAGAGTTCCATATCATAGAGACCTATAGTCGATTAAGTTCTGTCGTATCAAACGAGATGAGGATAAAGCCTGACCTCCTGATCTAGAAGCATCGCCCACTCATAGCCCTGTCGAGGAAAGAGAATTTAGAGATGAGTCTATCAGTCGATGATAAAACCAGGGATTACAAGGAGGGTGGCGCTGACGACTGAGACAAACGATGTGAGTTGTGTGAAACGCGATTTGAGTGCTAAAGACGAAGGCTCTGACCATGGACGTACTAGGAATCTGTCAGTAGACAAACCTGGATGTTCGAGCAAAAGAGACACACCCCGACAACACGCAAGTTGAAAACGGATGATGCAGGGTTACTCATGATGGACTGCGGTATGCAAGCAAACTACGAAAGCCACTAACGTGTTGGCTTCAGCCCGTAGTGAGAGTCAAAGAGGCTGGCAGGGATGTTATGCAGAGACATGGGCATATATACAAACACACAAGCCTAAAAAATTCATCTTGTAAGTCCGCAAAATGCATCAAAAAAGGGATTTCAGGTATCAGCATTGCCCAAGAGAGAATGCATCAAGGGTGGAGAACTGCGACGGAGGCGTTAATCATCATCGTCGTGATGGTGATTGGGCAAGATGTCCAAAAAGCGAGTCATCCGAAGTTTAACTGTGCGATGCGATGCATTCTCTTATCGATCAGACATGGCAACTCCAAGCGTGATAATGATCTGAAGTGTGCGTTGAGCTGTTTCCCCACTCTGACATCCTTCCAATATTGCACGAAGAATGATCATGAGCTGAAAAAGGAAGTAAATAGAAGTGGCCACACACCTTCATAGCATGCAGGTCAAAACCTGCCGCATCCTCACCGCTGGCTCGATAACTGTTCATCTCCGAATAATACTCTTCAATGTAAACAGGGCTTTTAAACTGCGGCTTATTTTAAGTGCGTACAAGAGAACAGTTCCGTCAAGGTGCGTATCTGGAACCCTAGATACCCCCAAGATGGGCATATTGATCCCGAGGTTTCGGCGTTCTAGCCTCGAGCAGGAACGTGGTATCATCTGGCGCGCGCGCAAAAGCTTAGAGCCAGGCAGGACAGGTAGCGTGAAAAGATCCAAAACATCAGAATCCAAGCAAATAAATCGACAATCGAGAAGATTGAACAATCCTTTGCCTTCCTTCTCTGTATCTGTCGCAGCAATATGAAGGTACCACGCGTTGTGCTCCGTCTCGTTTACTCCGCGTCTAATTCTCGGCGAACACTTTTTTAGCTCGATTCGGGTACTTGAATCCTGCGCGCTGAGAATACGAGTTGTAGCTACACATGAGACGTCCAATCAAGAAGCAAGATTTGGCGCACCCGGGGCTCCCGTCCATCCTGATCTCCACAATAACCTCAGAAGCCCTGAGCGCAAAAGAGCTTAGGGGTGGTCAAGCCCGATTCGAATATGAGGGGGCATCCAAATGGCGACTGCCGCGATTTTGTCGTTATAGACTGTCGCGTCGTCGTCTGACAACTTTGGGATCACAACAACCGTGATTCGTCCTCCAGAATACATCGCTGCGCTTAATACCATGTGTTGGAAGTCTTCAAGGTCACGTCGTCCAGGCTTTCGGCGTCATTTGAAAAAGGCTACCAGCAAACTGAGCAAGATCCAAGTGAAAGAACAGACAACGGTTATTACGGACCTCTTCCAAGTTGGCGATGTAGTTCATCATAGGGTCATTGATGAATGCTCGGCGCAGCAGTTTCGCAAGAGCTGGGATCTCACCGAGGTCGGCGGTTACCATACGCACGCTGTGGACTATGAGCGAACGAGGGTTGTAAAGATCATCTCCAAGCCACGTGGCTCATCAGCGCGTGTGCTATTCCTCAATCACGACTAGCGCCTCCTCCCTCGGGCGCTGTTCTATATATAAGGCTGAGCGCTGACAGCGCTGACAGCTCACCGATCTCTACTTTACCCCTCCGCTCTCTTCTCTGGCGTATATATACCGCCCGAAGAGTATTGGGTGTATGTCCGAGCCCTCTTGGACCTCCCGCATCCGAGCTGGTAGCCAAACGAGCTCTCAGAGCCGTCTGCCTATGAATGCGACGTGGATTCAAAGGCTCCTTCTGACGATCCAGGCTGACAGTTCAGTACCGTGTCGCAGGGGGCTGGAGAACACTCCGTTGTACTTGATTTGGCAGTGAAGGCTACTCTCCGGTGACCGTACGATATGACGTAGAACTGCAAAGAAGTCCGCTATTGTTGTGTTGGTTAGCGTTGCTGGGCCACGGCGCTCTGTCTGACTTTCTCTCTCTTGCACCGAGATACAAAATAGTCAGGCGAGAATGCACAGGTACAGTGCGGACTGTGACAATTTGTGCTTCAAGAATTGGTCCGATGCTGTGTCTGAGTTTCGGCATTGCCAAACCTAACGCACAGTCGCGTCTGCCGCTGCGCCTACAAAGGGGCACACCGGTATGGGTGCGAGCAACCATCGTTCTTCGTCTTTGAGAAGGCGCTTCTCCAGAGGCGAGGATAATTCGGTTGCCGATGTCATTGTCGTGAAGAGGCACACCGCGCCGCACAACTCCAAGTTTGCTTGTATTGTGAGATCGACTGTCTACATAAGATACAACGCGTCAATGGCAGAAACAACTTGGAATGACGAAAGCCGAGCTATCACTTACCCATAAGACCCGCGATGGTGGACCCGGACGGATACGGCTGCGCGATCTTGCTGAAATACTCGAGGTACCTGACCATCTCGCCCGAATAGACGAGCTTGCAGTGAGCTTGCCCTGAGCGAGTAGGATGAGTCGGTCAAACAACTCGACGATGCTACTGCGAGGCCGGTAGATCATGAACACGACAGTGCGGTTGTAATCCAGCACGAGCATGCTACATGCGTCCAGATTTGTACCCCGCACACCCGCCTTGATCGGTTGTACGAGCCCCCGCAATATGGGGAATCAGATGGTGGAGGATTTACTCACTTGCGTGCATTCCAGCTTTTACAATAACATTCCAATACACATTTCTAACCTTTTGAATCCGCCTTTGTGCATGGTCGAAGTCAGAGAGAAAGTGAAGAGGTTTTTTGTGATCGCGGTGTGCGATGAGAAGAGCCAACTCTTGCCGGGGCGGGGCCCGGCCGGGCATTTGCCAGGTCTGCACCTGTCTGCGTTCCATCTTCCTCCTTCAGGCACAGTCTCTGCGATGTGATGAGCCGAAGCAGCTGTATTGCTGCGAACGAATTCTCTTCTGTGCAACATGGATGAAATAGTGATTACATTCTGTGGTATAAAGTAGTGATTTGGCGAGGAACACACCGTCCCGAGCTGCTTATCAAACATATACAGTCCCTTCTTTCACGAACTGGTACACACATACGATAATCATGAGCGAGCAAACGTGGTTGAACTGTGGCCCGCGCGTGCAAGAGGGCATGTGAAAAATGGTAAGGGAAGGACTTTGCGCATGACGGCGCCGACGAAGAGCTAGCTGGCGCCACGGGGCTGACGCAGTTCTCGACCTCGACTGGATCGGACCGCATCATTCTACAAAACTGGCCTACATTTAATGTGAGCGAAGAGGCGCGGGGAGAGACCACCAGGACAAAAGGTCGCATACTTCCCGAAGTTCCCGTAGAGACCATACGCCTGTGAAATCTGCCTACTCTCGTGATGCCGTGCAGAATGGCAAGGATACGAGTGGTGTAAATACAAGGATGCATGGACGGCGAAGCTCGCCTGGATTTGAGTGCTAGACGGTCTGAAGACTGAAATGTCCCCAGTCCACCGTATCACCCTACACGCCGACATCGCCCAGAGAAACCAAGAAGAAGACAGCCGAAGAGCATTCCATCCTAGAATGAAACACTCAATAAGCAATCCCAAGCAAGAAAGAGAACGAATTACGTGCCATCAAGATGTAGCTAGTCGTGCACGCGCCACGCGACCGTGCTCGAAGCTCGAAGAAGTCCCAGGATCGCCACAGATATTCTTGCATATCTTTAATGGGCTCGCAATGAGCTATGTGTTAGATTCCTCCAGCGAGGCGCGGTCGCAGTCGCAAAGGGCCTTCATATCGGACTCGGGGAGGTGCTCGCAGCGCATGAGATGCTCGCGGCGACCCATCGTTGGTCCGACCCGTCGCGTGTCATTCTAGCAGCATCCGTGGAAGGGAGAAAACAAAGGGAGGATAGATAAAAAAATCGACAAGCTTGAAATAAAACGCTATAGCTTGGAAAACAGGAAAAGGGGATGAGAGGAATGCGTGTGACGTTGAGGAGATGCCCGGTGGCGTTCAAGTTCAGCTCGGCTACGCTTGTCCGTCACTTCGCCCACAACACAGGCTCCCACAACATCCGGCGTGCGCGCAATCAAAATCCCTCAATATTCTGCTCTAGGCATTTGACGTCTCGCATACACAGGATTTTCTCTCACTCATCCTATGCCTGTCCCTAGCCATCCCTACTTGAACAGAACATCAGAAGCGACCATGCATTCAAGTCGCTGAATCTAACTTGGATTTGGCTTTCCCTTGCCTTCGGGTCTATTCGGATGCACATTGCAAAGCAAGCGCACAGTAACGGTGACGTTATAACCGAAAAATAAAGCAAGAGCAGAGGGTACGATCTGCATGATCAAAGGCAAGGGGCACTCGAGTAAGTCAAAAGCAGCACTCAGGTCCCCATACATTGCACTCACCGTTCATCGATCATCCTCCACACCCTTCCTCTTCCCAGTGCTTTCAGACAGCTCCAGACACCCTTTTCACGGCATGCGTTCTGTGAATGTCGAGGGCCCCCGGTCGAAAGAGTGCTTCGTTGCTCGCAAAGGGTCGTCCTATGCACGCCTTCCAAGTACTTCTTGAGGTGTGTGTACTTACTCGCACTAGTCGTATGGATTTTTTCTATTCCTGCGCCTCGGCTCTGGTCCTCTGTGGCCACATCTAATGCCTGGTGAGCATTTCCAGACCATAAAGAGAGTGCCTATTCGCGTATTCGTCCTCGCAGACAGAGATTCTTGATTCCTTCTAGTCTTTGTTTGAGTATATAGCCCTCACAGTTGCTCTAGGTATCCCGATGGGCCTTTGGCAGGCGTATCGATGTGAGATCGCTTGTTCAGCCTTGCAGGCCGCCTCTGCCTCTTCAGAGATAGCAGGTACAGCCGTGAAGGTGCCGGTCTCATTGACTTGCGCCACGAGATCTGTGGCTCGTGCGTTGACGTGCGCGGAACACGGGTGATGCACGACTCCGTCATGTATGATCGCTCGATATTCCGTGAAGAGTCTCGCAGCTTGCGATCGAGCAGCCAGGGCTCTCTAGTCTATGCTTCCATGAAGGTAGATTCAATATAGGCATGAGACGAGTAGGATGAGTTACGCACCCTGTACGGTGAGCGCTGCATTGAACCTGTTGTTCTCTGGGGTCGGCATCATCTCCTGGAAATGAGTCCTTCGCGGCATCTTAGAATGGCCCCTGTGCCGTTGCATACGCGGGATGAAGTAGCCGTCCGCCTTGACGATTCAAGTAGCGCCTGCGCGTTCTACAAATAGAGCGTTCAGCATCGCCTTCGCTACCGGGAAGTGTGCAGAATGTCACAAAGCACCAAGCGTTGCGTCGCGTGTGTTGTGGCATCCAGTGCGCCAGCACTGGCGAAGACGTCGATGAGCGCGGTCCATGGGAATGACGCCTAGCCGAATTGGCTGGTGGATTGGCAAATTGGGAAGACATGGTATGGCTGTAGGTGAAGAATGCGGGCAGTGTTGGGTAATGGTTGAAATTCCAGTTCAAGCTGACGGCCATTGCTCACATATCCCCTTATCTCCGGGAGAGAAGCGATGATGGAACGTTGGCTTCTTGAGCTTTGCCACTGCGCTCAGCTGAGGGTAGATCGTTTTGTGGCTGAGGGCCACCGTTACCATAGGCGTGCTGCCTGTTCATCTTTGGTCTTGGTTCGAATTGAACACGTATGTTCTTGCTTTGAGGGTCTTTGTGGCAGTATCGTTGGGGCCTGCGCATCCCGCGATGGCGAGGGATCCATGCTTGGGCACGGGGAAACCTGCGCGCTATCGCAACTGCGGTTTTGTGAGCTGCCATCAGTCACATCCTGAACCACGTCCACTGATCGCATTTGCTGGGCTTGGTGACCCTGCTATCCCTGCCGTACTTAAAATGAATTTCCGCGGTCGAGGAGACACTCGGTGATGGCGCTTCTCAGCATCTCTCCTTGTTACGCGTGGCCCTCCTCGACGGTGAAGAGTATGCGAAAGTAGCTAGGTTTGTGAAAGAGGGCCGAGTTCGCTAGTGAAAATGAGAGTATCGAATCATGTTGTTTACTTATGTCTGAATCAAACCCATTATCACTGTAATGACTCGGCATAGGCACTGTGTATCCATTTTCTGCGCGAAGGTCTGGACAGATGTGCGAATTGAAAGACGGACGAAGAAAGGTTTTTCTCTCGATGAGGGAACGCGCTCGGGCCTTAAATGAGTCATGCGCAGTCACGCTGCATAGCGTACTTGTACACCCCCGACCGCCCCTGGCTAGCGCTGCGCGGTATATAAATGTTTGATCAAAAAAAAAAAAAAAGATGTGCGAATTGAACACGTCGGTCACGCGCGCACGTGGTCCTATACAAGCCCGTGACACTGCGACTGAGATGTTCAACTTGACTTCGCCATTAAGTTTCAGTGTAGTTCACTGTCCTCATCTCCTCTTCTCAAGGTTCTTTCCAATGGCTGCCAGCATTCCTAAGAATATCGAATCCAAATCTTCTCCAAGTATGTCTCTACCCCCGTTCATGCGCGAAGTGCTCATTCTTTCTAGACAAGAAACGGCGTAGAGCCAGATCAAGTAACCCTGTTCCAGCTGGCCCTGAAGCAACAGAGAAATGCCTGGTAACAGGAGACTCGATGACTGAGTCTCCGATTCATCTCTGCCATGTCTTCCATGAGCGCCACTGGAGTAATCACCCTATGGTCAGTCGTCTTCATGAGACGTGTCTTGCGTCTAAGTTAATCTCAGCCAATGTCTCAAGCTATCGCGTCTCGAATGGGCATGGGGCATGAAATACGACACTATCCAGATGGATCAAGACTCGAACACGATATCGCGTGCGTCTTCTTCTCTGCGGTATTTCCTTGCTCTGACAGTCTCCAGTCCGTCATGATTGGCGCGATTTGTTTGAATCTGACAGGTGGGCTTTAATGCCCTCCACTGATATAATCGACAAGCTGTGGGATCGTTGGGTCAAAATTTCTCTCCGGGACGGCAATGTTCCATCGATCGAGGATGTGCGTTTCCGAATTCCGCTGCGATATGTAGAGCTTGACTCTTCCTCAGATTTACGACGGTGCGGAGATTTTCGAGTACCGTCTGGTGCCGCTATTCCCCGATGTTCCTTCTATTTCCCGTCGCAACAAAACTGAAGATATACTGGAAGGCGATGAATTCTCAGGCACCTCTGTACATTCGTATCCGTTCGACACTCTGCCGCCCATCTTCTCAAGAGTCAAGCCTCACTTCGTGGTATGCGATGCTGGCAGGAAGATCGGATTGATTTTGCTCCAGTCTTATAGGACCACCTCTGATATTGCTCGTATCTATGGAGTCTCCATGGAAAAGGCCGAACGCGTGATGTTAGTGGTATATTCAACATATTGCACATGGAACGACCATGTTCACCCTTCGATGTTTGTGACTTCACCTCGAACAAATAATGCGAGGTCGCGATCTGGTCTAATCAGGCCCGGCCAACCGAATTTTGTGTCACAGCGTGCTAGCCGTCCGAAGAAGCGATGCAGAGCGACTGGTGAAGTGATCGACGCGGTATGCCCGCAGCCGAATGCTGTTCAATATGCGACCTGCCTCTCGCGTGTCACTCCATGTGGATCGGATGCTTTGATTGTAGGGGATTCTGGGTGGGATACTGAAGATACCGAGGTGTACGCAGAATTTGAGAGGAAACAGGTCCGCCGCGCGATCAAAGCCTCGAAACGGTGGGTCAGGGACTGTGAACGGGAGGCTCAATCATCGGGTGGGTGGATATCTTGTGTCACCGACGATGAACAGGTGAAGAGCTATCGTCAAGAGCCGGCTCGAAGAATGACTTCGTCCATGTAACGTATCCTCAACGCACGCACAACCATAACTGTATCTTTGCGGCACTGCAATGTGTATTCTTTGTGACCGAATTGTACCATCTACGCTTGTTCGTCAGTCACCTTGGCGTCAATTTATCACTGAGTGCTACTTCATTTGATCACCGCGCCTCTACATTCTCTGTGTAACCCGATCGCCATAGGCATGGACCCATGTGTTGTGGCGTACAGGTAATAATTTCTTTGTTGAGACCTGGCTCTACTTCCCTCATGTGTCGATCCCCTAGAATAAGCTCTTGTCCACGATGTGGCTTCCAGCTCGGCACGACATCCAACCACACGCTTCATGTCTGTGGCAAGGTGGCAAACATTGCAACAGTATAAATTGTGGTACCTTCCCCTCTGCCTCTCAATCAACTTGATCCTCAATCCTTCCCTTGGCCTCCTCCCAACTTGACTATCGTGCAAATTATGTCCACGACCCCTTCCATTCAGTCATCTACTCGCACTCCTGCTCTTGCGCGCATAGGTATGGCTTCCGATCCGGGCTTGGCTGACACCGGACTCAACGACAACTTCGGGACGGCGAGAACACAGAGCCCGAGCCATGAACTCAACGACGGCCAATTACGCCCTCTTCCTCCCTTGAGTCAAGAGGAAGGGGAGGATCCCTTGGGGATGAACGCAGGTCCACCGGACATTTCGAAAGAGGAATATGCCGCTGAGTCAGACGAAGAAGTAGAGGGGAGCGACGATGACCCTCCATACAGTCCTGGCGACAGGTCTCCGGACGAGGACGAGCCCCCGTCTAGATTACTGCATTTCACATATAGGCGCCCCCTTGGCGTATCTACAAGCACCTTCAGCAAGAACTATGTGAACGATTTAGATCCAAACGGTGGACAATGTCTGCTTACCCGCGACCTGGCGACGGAGACAGGCGTTGAAAACGCTCATCTTCTCCCTCAAGCCTGGAACAGCCAGCCTAAACTGGTGAGTCAATTCTTGTTGCCGGGTATGAACTGTGATTGATTGATCTGTAGCTCACGAGGTGCGAGTGGGCTCTGGGCCAAAAGTACAAAAGTCTCCATGTTGACGAGCCTAGAAACATTGTTAGAAGTGAGCAGAAGAGCCCTCTACCCTGCGCTTCCTTTTTTCTGATTGGTTTTACTTGATTGCTAGTCCGTAGGGATTGGCATTGGAATTATGATCAGAATATGTTCCTCTTGATGCCTTCATTGAAGATCATCGATGCCTTTGAGGCCAGGAGAGTGGTTCTCGAGGCATCACCATCCAACCACCCCCCGGACATCATGTCGGTGAGCCTTGATTCATCATGCTCGTGATCCTTGTTGCTGATCGTGTGTTCTAGCTCTATGGCGAGGAGGACGTCTTTGAATATCGCCTCGTTCCACTTAGGAAAGAAATTACCAACATCTTTCGGTTCAAGCGGGATGATGAACCCATCTCATCAACCACCTCGAATGCTTATCATAGCTCCTCCAGATCTAACCCCATACCGCCGACCACCTCGGACGGTGACCGCACCACATCCGAATCTGACCCGTCACCGCCTGCTGTTTCTGTGGTCAATCATCATGCAGTCGATTCCCATGTCACTGCATCGCATCTCGGTCCTCCTGATCTTCGGCCTCAATTATCTGCGCAAAAATCCAACTGTATTGCTGATGGAGACTCCCCATCATCAAACACTCGTCATTCATATGTAGATGCCAGCACTCAAACGGAACCAGGCCTTCCTACAACTGAGACAGAAATCCCCACCACTCAAGACAGTACATCAAAGATGAAACTTCCCGCTGCCGGATCAAAATGGTCATCCCATAGTTACCCATTCGACACACTGCCGGTTCTTCGCTCCCATGCCCTACCGCACTTCGTTCTGATAAACGCAGGGGAGAAACTCAGCCGGTTGAACCTGCGGGACCTTGCAGTCGCGGTCGCTCCCATCTTCAAAATTACTGAATATCAAGCAATGCGGTCGCTAATGAAGCTGCACAAAGTCTATCTTTCGTGGGTCAATGCAGTGGTTCCATCAGAATTTCACTCTAGGGCCCCGCCGGCGGCATCAAACGACAAGAAGAAAAAAGGCAAGGAGCAGGAGCAAGCCAGTATAATGGTATCTGGAACGCTTGGAGACGGTGCCAGCGTGGACATTACCGATCATCTACACGCGAAGACAGAGCGGAATGATGGCCCGACGGAGTCCAACAGGAGTCAGCGTGCTTCTGACCGCCAAAAAAAGAAAGAAGAAAGAACAGGTCATTCCATTACGGATGCCTTGGATGCTCCAGAAATCCAAACCCCTGCGCCGGGCTCAGACCCGGCAGGATCAGGCCATCCTACCGAGCCATCTCACTCATCCATTGCCGAATCCCTCCCTGCTCTGGACACCAACCCCGCTGCTTCATCCGTCGTTCCCACCGAACCCGCTGAAACCATCGCACCCGCCGGGGCTATCAGTCTTGCTGTACCTGCTCCGGTCAAGCCCATCGAGGTCCCCTTGTACAGCCAAGTGGCGGCAGAGGGGAAGTCAGTCACATCCGGGAAGGCCCCGGTCGGTACATCCGGCCAGGCACGTCGTAGTATACCGACGAAGATTCCGACGGCCATCCAGACCAATGCGTGGAACAGGGCTGACGTAGGGAAACCATTTAGACAGGAAATCACCCAATCTGGGAAACTGACAGCTAGTAGCAGCATACCAATACAGAACACGACGACCGCGCAGGAAAACTCGGACTGGACGACAGTAAGGCACCGTTCCCCTCCAGCTAGATCCAAGACCAGGGACTCTGGTCGTCCCTCAGAATCTCTTGGACGTGACTCGCTACCAGCCAAATCTCGTGCTCTTGGCGCCGGTTCAATTGCTTCACAAGACAACATTTTGACAATAGCGAAACGCTATCAGGCTGTAAGTGGATCGCACGCCAATGACACTGGACACACTTCAGGACATCTGGGCAAAGGTAAGGTATCACCTCGGGCTAATGTTCCTCACACGAGAGCAAGTGCACCGCTCGACGTACCTGGACGCGTCGGAGGAGACCCGCAGAGCCAGAGGATCACTCGAGGTCTGCCGGCCTCTTCACGAGGACTTGCCTCTGCTGACCAAGATACTCGTACGACCGAACACTCTTCGAACCACAAATTCAGCAAGAGCAGAGGCGAAGGGGCCATGGAGTATCCGCCGGAGCAGAAACGGAGGCGAGTCACACGGCCATTAGAAGGTGGAGCGGGCCTGTCAAGTTCCCGTATTCCACTGCCGGCGAGGAGCAAGAGGTTCATAGACCGGATGAAGCCTAATATGATGCCTTCCATGTCGAATCGGAGGGTCTCCTTCGCTCAAGATCAGGAAGAGAATACCCCCGTAGCATCTGGATCACAAGGTATGACTAAGAGGATGCCTGTGAACATGACACGTACGCAAGACAAGGACGAATCCACGGGCGACCAGAGAGACTCCGGGTCGAAGCACACAGACAACAATGAGCAAGACGGTAAGGGTCGTAAGTCATCTAAATCGGGGAAGAAGAGGAGGTACTCTAGACGGTCGTTGGGCGAAACGATCTGAACAGATCGGTTCATCGTGTGAGTATCGGCGCGAAAGGATCGGTTTTAGTCTCTTTGATCATAGGCATGTAGTTTTTTCTTATCGTTGACTTGATCAGACGGTATTGCGGTACTAGAATGTCGACAGCCACTTATGTTACTTATGTACTCTATGCACTGAATGATAATTATGGGCTTGCTATGACATGTGAGAAGCAGAAAATTACCGTGGCCTGTCAATGCTTGTTTATTGTCTTCAAGAGCGAGGCAAAAGCCCTTGGATTTTCCCAATCATCCGTTTCCTTCAACAAAAATAACGCTGCTCTGAATGCATCTCAATATTTGATTCAAATTTCTTAAATAACTAACGTGTGCGTACTATCGACAAGGCTCAAAGCTCCTCTGGCTCTAATGTAAGCTAGCTGATAGTCTGAATGAATTGTCCAAGCCGGAAGCCCTGGATATGGTCTACTGCTCTATTTCCATTTTGTAGAAAGGCGAGACTCATACTGCGCACCCGCCATCGCTGAACAGCGGAGCACAACAATGAAGGGAATGCCGATGGGATGAGGCGAAATTTGTAGTCAGGTTCGTCCCGAACCGTAGAGGGGGTGCATCGCCTTAGAAGCGCGAACTGTTCACACACTAACACACTAAAAGATTCCGGTGCCGGGAAAAAACGCCAGATTTGGGGGGTACGCATCGCCCCAAAAATGAAGCGCAAATGGCCAGGAGAGCGGCTCCTCCGGCGTTGCATTTTGCCCTGAGATATCGATGCCGTCAGATGCGCCATCCATTAGTTACCAATTAGATGAGATGGGACAGGCTATCGTGAGGATGAGGTTCGGACGTGGATGCCACGCACCAGACGACCCATTGTCGTTTTCATAAGCCGTATTCTCACCTAATTCGGACGCCCTGTCCCGAAGCGAGACTGCAGCTCCAAGTCAGGCCTTGAAAGAAGGCGGGACAAGCAGACGCGTTTGCCATTTCCTTGAACGGCTCGCTGATAAGCTAAAGGAGAGACTTGTAACAGAGGCACTCCCACCCGGTCCACTCACCCTCAACATACATGTCCCAGTATCATGCCCAAACCACCAGTCATACGACCCTCGAAACTGGAAGAGGACTCTCCTCGCAGCACAACGGCAAATCAAAATGGACCTTCCCGACGTCAGCGCGTTTCATGCCGACGCTCAATCCTTCGCCGTGGATGACACGATGCAACACATTGTGGCGCATCAACATGAGCTAATTGTACGCTTCCACTCTGTTGACATATCGCTACCGTGAGACTCGCCTGTCTCATCTAGCAGTGTGCCAAGACGAAGTGGGCATCAGTCCGTCTCTTGCCCGACCACGGCATGGCCGGTCCATGGTCCATTGCCATTGGCAGTATCCACTCTCCCCAGCCGATGATGCCCGCTGGAGGGAGCTATCACCAGACAGCATTGCTCGCGAACGGCCCTATGTACTCGTACGGTGAGTCATGCCCTTCATCCAAATATTCCTTATTCATAAGTTCTTTCGTCAGCTCAAGGGGGCCGGCGATCCCATACTACTCGACATGCGATGTCGCACAGCCCCAGTACGGCGCAGTACCGATGCTAGATCAACCTATAGCCGGCCTATGCATGTCAGGAGTGGCTACTGTTCACAAGATGACGGCAAGGTATGCGCCCTATGGGCAGCGACCAAGGCGGCCAGAAGGCGTTGTCACGGATGTTGCGGATGGCTGCGAAGACTTTGAGGGTAATACCTTCAACCGACTGATAACCATTACATCAAGAATGTCCGCCCGCAGGGATGCTCCTGCGAGTGGACTTATTCCGGAGTCTGTAAAGGCAGCCGGCCAAGGGCAGACCCGCCAAAAGGCCATCTCACGGGCACCCAGGGTGGACAAGCGGCAGACTCCATATCTGAGCTCGTGCTGGAACTGCCACCACTGTGAGAGCGGATTTGTGCGAGTCTACGAATTGCGGCGGCACTGGAGGACTGCGAGCGTGCACGTCCGGGCGTCATTGACATGCGACGAGTGCGAGAACGACGGGATGTTCAGCCGGCCGGACGCGCTGCTCGCGCACAAGAGGACGTCCCACGGGTGGCTCTGATTAACGATGTCTGCACATAATCGATGGATGGGGAGTGGATGGAGTCATATGGAGGTGGGGAAAGAGGTGGGCGTTTTTTGCGTAACCATCACTCTGCCGTCCACCCAGCTCACCCGGCCTCATCGATGTCCTCCATTGCTAACTTTCTCTTTCTCGCCATATAACATCCTCTCAGGAAGGCGAACGTCTACGTCTACTCCCAAATCGATTCGAAGTCGACCCTCAGTGTCGGCCCGTACGAGCATCTATGAAGTGGTGGGGAACAAAATTTTGGAGAATTTACTTACCTGCATTCCAGCTTTCACAATAGAATCTCAATATACCTTTATTTCCTGTTCACATCTGTCTTTGTGCACGGTCGAAGTCAGTGAGGGAAAAAAGTGATTTTTTGCCATCGTGGTGTGTGATGAGAAGAGTCAGCCGTTACTGGCCCGGCTGCGCGCAGATTCCCGGTCTGCACACTGTTCTGCCTGTCTGCATCTTCCTCCCTCAGGCTTCGTGTATCAAACCTTTCAGACTTGTTTGTCGGTGAAAGATGTTTCTACTCGGTGCCTGTTGTGTCTGGAGCCTTGACGATGACGCTGTAGTCTGGAGTGATATGTTCTTTGCGGTGTTTGTACGTTGCTCGTTTTGTGAATATCGGCTAACACATCTGCGCCCTCGAGCGGGCCACCCGCTGTTCTCTATTGCGACCTTAGCTCCTCATACTGATCCCCACGGCTATCTCTATGCGTCAAGTCTACAGAACTCCTCCTGAAGACGGTGGAATCAGATATGCTGTAATTTTTCCTGTTACTCTCGTCGAACTCCATACATCTCTGTGCTCGCTCTATATCATGTCTTTCTTGCACATTGAACCTTGAATTTTACTCTGTGGTGGGTAATATCTGTATCAGCCTTGTTATGCGATCTCAATTTTCTCGTGGCACACTGTCTTGCCTTGAAAAAGTGACAGCTCATTTCATCAGTGTCCTCTCTTCACTTGCCGCTTCATCAGAAACCTAGTATTTTGTATAAGCGAGTATGATCATACATCGGCATGGGCTGGAAATTCGATGACCATAACTTCACCATAAGGCTAAACGCACGTGATGCGTTCAGGTGCACTGGTTCAACTTTGCTACACTTGAGTGCTTGAGCTTCAGTGTCCTCATCTCTCTTCCTTATAATCTCTTATAATGTCTCCAATACTCTCAGATAACGTCGGGTTTCTTTCCTGTGGCTCTCCAGGTACGTCGATCGCTCTCGAGCTGTCAGCGCAAGGTGCTCATTGTTTTTAGACGACACGAAACGGCGTGAAGCCCAAGTAAAAGAGGCACTTCCACCCGAGGCCCAAGACGTAGCGAAATGCCTCGTGACAGGAGACTCGGCGAGTGAGTCTCCGGTTCATCTCTGTCATGTCTTCCATGAGCGCCACTGGAGCAATCATCCTATGGTCAGTTGTCTTCGTGAGACGTCTCTTGAGTCTAAGTTAATCTCAGCCAATGTCTCAAGCTATCGCGTCTCGAATGGGCATGGGGCATGAAATATAATACCATTCAGACGGATACAGACTCGAACACGATATCGCGTACGTCTTCTTCTCTGCGGTATTTCCTTGCTCTGACAGTCTCCAGTCCGTCATGATTGGCGCGGTTTGTTTGAATCTGACAGGTGGGCTTTAATGCCCTCCACTGATATAATAGAAAAGCTGTGGGATCGTTGGGTCAAGTTTCCCCTCCGGGATGGCAATGTTCCATCGATCGAGGATGTGCGTTTCCGAATTTCTCTGCGCTGTGTAAAATATGACTCTTCCTCAGATTTACGACGGTGCGGAGATTTTCGAGTACCGTCTGGTGCCGCTATTCCCCGATGTTCCTTCTATTTCCCGTCGCAAAAAACCTGAAGATGCACCGGAAGGCGATGAATTCTCAGGCACCTCTGTACATTCGTATCCGTTCGACACTCTGCCGCCCATCTTCTCAAGAGTCAAGCCTCACTTCGTGGTATACGATGCTGGCAGGAAAATCAGATCAATTTTGCTCAAGTCTTACAGGACTACTTCTGACATTGCTCGTATCTATGGAGTTTCCAGGGAAAAGGCCGATCGTGCGAAGATCGTGGTGTATTCAACATATTGCGCATGGAATGACCATGCTTACCCTGCGACATTTGTGATTGCACCTCGAAGGAATGATTCGCGGTCGCGCTCTGGCCTAATCAGGCCCGGCCAACCGAATTCTGCATCACAGCGTGCTCGTCGCCCGATGAAACGATCCAGAGCGACTGTTGAAGTCATCGACACGGTGTGCCCGCAGCCGGATGTTGTTAGATATGCCACCTCCCTGTCGCGTGTCTCTCCATGTGGATCGGACGTTTTGATTGTAGGGGATTCTGGGTGGGATACCGAAGTGGATGCGGAATTTGAGAGGAAACAGGTCCGCCGCGCGATCAAAGCCTCGAAACGGTGGGTCAGGGACTGTGAACGGGAGGCTCAATCATCGGGTGGGTGGATATCTTGTGTCACCGACGATGAACAGGTGAAGAGCTATCGTCAAGAGCCGGCTCGAAGAATGATTTCAACGATGTGATGTGCGCATGATCATGACTGTCATTCTGCTGGAGTGTTATCATGTTATTGTCTCTCTACGACATGTCCAGGTGGATGAAGACTCGCAAAGCTGCGTCCATCTTTGCCCGAACACATGTATATGCTACTACTCCTGCTCACTCGTTTGAAAATTAATTTGCGCATCATCTCTCTATTTGTGAAAAAGGCCTTTTACTAAGGCAGGGCGAAACAAGAAAAAACGACCCGTAAATCGTCCTATCCCGAGATTACTAAGAACTCTGATTTGTGAGGAGGCGAGACCGATACCGCATTCGAGCCAGAATTCGAACAGCATGTAGCCGAGTACGTCTTTGATCACAGGAAACCAGGCGTGACCGCACTGCTATCGCCTCAGAAGCACAGCCTGTTCACACGCTAAATGGCTACGGCGCCGGGAAAAACGCCAATCTTCGGGGTCGCGCATCGTTGCAAAAATGAAGTGCAGATGACCAGGAATACTTATGTCTTCGCCGGCGTTGCCTTCAGGCATTGAGAGGCATATTTCTCCAGATGCGCCGTTCTTCAGTCATCTGTCAGAGAGCCAAGACGAGGCGGGACAAGCTGTTGCGAAGTCGAGCTTCGGATGTGGATGCGATAACAAAAGAATGCTCCCGACGCGCCATTGTCCCTCTCGTGGGGTAAACCCTGTCCAGTGTACGTCAGGGGGCGGCGACACGAGGCGGCACCAATAACGAACGGCGAATCTTGAGATTGATTCGGATCTGAGTTGAAGAAAAAAGAATGAAGGGAAGCACGCTGCGAAGACACATGGGCCCCGCCACTCACCTGATTCGGACAACCGGGTCTAGGAAGAAGGCACGACAAGCAGACGTGTTTGCCATTCCCTTGCCCGGCTCGCTTATAAGCTAATGGAGCTTGGAACGAGGTCAACTCACACTCCCACTTCATCTATTCACCTCGACATACTTACCGTCATGGAATACGCCCACTACCCATCGTACAGCCCTCGCGACTGGCAGGATGCCATGTACACCGACGCCAATGTCGATCCCGCCAGTTACCCCCTCCTCGCCGTCGGCTACCCGGCGCAACAAAACATGGCGGCTCAGTATCAACATGAGCCGATGGTATGTTCATCGCGTGTTGACAGTTCACCAGCCTGATACTAACTAGCTCCCATCGTTAGTATACCGCGGTCGAGCCCGAGTGGGCGCCAACCTCCTCCCAACTCCAGTTCGGCCACGCGATGGCGGGGCCATCTTACGTCGCTAGTGGCGACGTCTACTTCCCCCAGCAGATGCTGCCCGTTGGGGGAATGTATTACCAGGCAGCTCCCATCGCATACGGCCCCACGTATGGTTAGTCAACCTTTCTATTCACATTGTACTGCGTTACTAACGGTTTCGGCAGTCCAGGAAGGGCTAACGCGCCCATACCGCTTACCATATATCGTACAGCCCAACTACGGTGCCGTACAGATGTCGAGGCAGCCGGTCCCCATCTCGCGCGCACTGTGCATGGCCACTGGCAGCAGAACGGGTGTGAGGTACGCACCCTATGAACAGGGACCCATGCCGGCCGCAGCGCGATCAGAGGGCGCTGTTGTGGGTGAAGCAGGTACCCACGAAGGCTTTGAGGGATACACCCTCAGCCAGACAACTAACACATCAAGACTGTCCGATCGCAGGAATGATACCGCGAACGGACAGAGTCCCGAGGCTGTACAGTCGTCGGGCGGAGGGCGGACCCGCCGACAGGCCACTATGCGGGCGCCCAAGATGGACGAGAGACAGACCCCGTACTTGAGCACGGAGTGGAACTGCCATGATTGCCAGAGGGGGTATGGGCGGGAATACGAGCTCAAGCGGCACTGTAGCACCACGAGATCTCACGTAGAAGCGTCGCTGAAGTGCGACCAGTGCAAGAACAGCGGCACGTTCAGCCGGCCGGACGCGCTCCTCACTCACAAGCGGGCATTCCACGGGTGGCCCTGATGGACGATGGCCGCGCGCGGTGGATGGATGGGAGGGGGGATGGAGTCGTCTGCGATCGGAGAGATGTGAGTACCTTTTTGTCTTGCCATCCCCTCTGCATTCCTCTGCCGTCGCATCCCGCTCACTTGCCTTCATCGATCTCTTCCTTTGTTAAATCTCTCTTTCCTTCCATAGACTACCCTCTCTGCGAAGCGAGCGTCCGCGTCCGCGTCCGAATCGATCCGAGGGGAAGCGTCGGGACTGTCTGTCAGCGCGAGCAATCGCGGCGCTGGCATGGGCACAGATATTTGACATTTTGACTTACCTATATTCCAGCTCTCTGGATCTCTCGAAATAATATTTTACTCTGTTTGTATCTCTCCGGGTGCGTTGTTGAATCCAGCGAGGAAATGAAAAGTCGTGTCTTGCGATCATTGTGGTGTGTGATGAGAAGACTCGGTCAGCTCGCCGGGCCGGGCATTCGCGACTCTGCCAGGTCCGATGGTTTCTTCTTCTGCGCCACATCCCCCACTCTCTTTTCAAGCTTCGTGCCATGAAGATCATCGGTCGCGCACGAAACCTGTTTTTGTGCATGGATGATGTCTTCGATTGATACTGTATTGGCTCGGACGTTCGACAATGACGCGGTACAAGCGCCTCTGACACTGTAAAAGAGTCCTGGCAGATGATGTACGAGCTTCATTCCTCTCTCAACGACGACTGGCACAGTCTCGACTGCTCCGGATACGCGTCAAATTCACAGCGATATAGCCCTATCAGCTCGGCTCTCGCGCGCGTACGATCTTCGCTGCTTCGTAATGTCCACTGTCTCAGTGATTTGCAACACATCAAAGTGCACGGTCAATCAGTCTCGACAGTGCCGACATAGAGAGATGCGAACGGGATCACCCTCACGCGCAGGCTTCGGCTCGAACGTGCTGCAGGACATACATGGACCTATCTAATCAGTCCCCAACACCCCCGCAAGCCCCTTGCGCAACCACGTGTACTCTTTGACTTTGAACTTGGTCTCACCTTCTGGCAATATGGATACAGGTAGAGGCGCGTAGGGAGACACTCTAGGATCACTCCTCGGTACGTCGTGTCTCAACTCGATCTTCCCGGGTCTAGAAGTGAAGAAAAAAAGTAAGCCAACAGTCGCGGTATCGTGCGTTGCTTCTCTACCTGGCATACATATCCTTCATCTTCTTCGCTTTCGTGGCCCACTCTTTACGGGACAGCGCATCTGTCTGCTGTTCCAATCGACGTGCCAATGCAGATGCAGCGTCGCTCGCTTTGACCCATTTGATTTCGCCGAGGCCGTGACTAGTCAGAGCGTGATCGATCTGCGGACGTGATTAAACAGTCGATATCCATACCTTACATTGGGTGCGAGGGCAAGACGTACCGCTGTGTGCTAGCCCATCGTGACGCCCCTCACTTTAGGCTCACACGCAATGCACTGAATCCGGGCGTCCTTCTTGTACATGTCCCCCCATGTCGCCTTCTCGGGGTTGATGCCGCCAGCGCGCATGATGTCTCTCACCCGCTCCGAGATGGGAGAAACCCCCAGGTGCTCTGAAGACCACGGCTCTCGCCCGAGCGCCCACTTCGCGGCGTATTCGTACACAGAGCATCCCAAATTCGGCCCAATGGCGACAGGACGGAAAACAGCGTTCAGGCACGAATGCGCGAACATGGCCGAGAACGGAAAATATCCCTTGCATTCTGTGCAAGCGAAGATGGCCGCGGGGTGGTCGAGCGTCTTGTACTTTTTGTGGATAGGCGCGAACGCAGCCAGCGATTTGACCAGGCGGGCCTCCTTCGACAGACGCCACTTGGACAACAACTTGGGAACCGTCTTACACAGTCGATCCATGGAAGACTGCGCTATGTCTTCGGAAATCGGCACGTTGAGAACTTTCTGGGCTTCAGGAAAGAGCAAGATGTCGACGTAGTTGTTGTATACAATATCGGGGAGCTCGCGAGCCATCAAATTCAGTCGCAACACCAACTCGCTAAATCGGCTTTGGAGAACCAAGACCGTTCGAACGTCTTCCATGTATTGCACGACGACGTCTTGAATGCGGAGCCATTCTAAGTAGGTAACTCAGTCGAGAAGAGCTGGGTAAATGAAGAACCTGACTGCACCGTTGTCATCCAGATTGCGGGGAACGTTGACGAAATGATGGTCTCCTAGTGCTCGGTTCACCTCGTACATAGCAACTAGCTCTTGGTAGCCCATACCATTGAGGCGTTTGCTGATCCTGAAAGCAAAAGGGTCTCAAAAGGGGGTCTCGGCGGTTGAAACCTGACTGACGCTTTGTATCTTTGCTTGATGGCCAATTGGTCTGCCTTTCGTTTCCTCTCGATCAAGGCCTTGCGTCCTTGGACCCTGCGCATGTTCACTTGTCTCACCCAGAGAATGAACTAGAGATATTTAAGATGCATGAGCTATCAGTGATGCCCGAAATCACGGAAATAAACGAACCCTGGGGTCTAATTGGCTTCTCATATCAAGAACATGGCACTCCTGATTTAATGGGGAGAGCGATCGGAAGAGCTTGCGTAGGTGCGCGACGAAGACTTTGTGAACAAGAACGATCCGTTTGTCCCCGCGTTGAATGGGGACTCCTATGACAGACGTGGCTTTTTTCCAGACATCTTTACTGATTCCCTGAGGGCTCGACGGGGCTTTGTAAAATCTGATTCAATAACAGGTTCCTCAGTATGGAAAGACAGGCGTGAACACCGCAATGAAAACGCACAAGTCGTCGACGCAATTGTCACAGAGGCGCACGTGTGTGGGGATATAAATTTGAGTAAGCTCTTCGGAAAGGCAGTTCTGGAGAGATAACAATGAGGACCGGTCCTTTACGGACACCGTGCGTGAATCAAGAAGGATGTTCGAGATTTGTGACGCACCTGGCAGAAATTTTCTGTCATAAGTCTCACATAGTAAAGGTGATAAATCCCTTTGGGACAGCTGAGGAAGTGGAGACCGTGTCGTATGGCCGTTTTCCACAGAGAATCAGAAGTTTCGCGGGAGAGCAGAGCGCGGAGCCACTTGTTGATGTATACAAGGCTCGATAAATCTTTGGGATATAGATATTGGAGGACCTGAAGACGATCAGATTGATGTTAGATTGATATGTTTGTAAGTCAAACGACGTGAAACCTCGAAAATGAGCTCAAGTGGCAAGGACAGAAACCCGGTGGTAGTCAGAGCCTCGCTCGCGTTCGGGCTGTCGGATATCGCATTGTTTCGAGCTGTACTGGATTTTTGAATCTTTAATCGCTTCGAAGCGCGCCGAGGAGGCATTGTGCCAGCGGACAAGCGCAAGCAAATGAGTTCGCCGTCTCGAATGCGACGCGTCGTAGCGGCACGTGAGCAGCACCCAATGGCAAGTTGCCACCAACTGCGGTGTACCTGCAGCGAGCACAGTCCCCGTTCGATCTTATGCCTTGATTGAAATTAAGGGACTGAAGCGTGTCCTCGATCTCCGTACAGTCGCAATGCATTCAAATTTCGCATTCGATCGAAGAGCTCGAAACTTGTTTTACAGCTTTGGTCTGAACTCTCGCTCGGTTACTAGTCTCCCGTCTTCGACAGGATATACAGCGCATACGCGGGGGAGGTCACTGGTTTGATAAGAATTATGCTCTGGGAGATCGCATACGAATATTCCTTTTCATCGCCTGTGCACCGACTCGGTGCATCTGTGAGTGCCAGATTATTGCAGTTCGTTTTTCTATTGATGAGCAGTATGCATCGCATGACAGAGGTTTACTCCAAAATTCTTTAGACAATTGATCGCAAGCGCCGCATACGGTCATCTTCATATCGACACCGCGGCCTTGATACGTCGCGGTCAAGAAATTGGCTAGGACACCAAAGCGCCCCCTATCCCTTTCCTGTACTCGCTTGGCACGCAGAGCCGCGCGCTTCGTCATCGCCGACAGAGTAGGTCAAGAGCGATGTCCGCAGAAACCAAACCAAATCTCGCATTGTATGACAGATGGCGGGATCCTCTTGTATCTTCGCGAAACACATCCAGAATCTGCTCGTTGTAATCGCCGAGCACGCAAGCGTGCATGCCGTGCAAGACCTGCATCCCGTCCTGGTACTCTTGATCGTCAGTTGACCCATCTTGAGCTACATGTCGAGCCTGACGCGCGACTCTCCCGGAAGATGATGGAGATCCACCAACACTGGTGCATGAGCGAGCACGAGTCAACGCAGGTGGTCGCAAGCGTCCTGTCCCACGATCCAAGCCGGGGGGGGGGGGGGGGGGGGGGTTCAAAGTCGTTGACGAGGCCATCGTCCAGCTCGTTCATAAAGAGCTCGACTGTGCGGGCTTATCGGGAAGACGGGTGAAATTTATTCAGGGTCCTAGGTCTTCCGAGGTGGGCGACGGATCGCCGACAACGATGCACAACGTCTTGCATGTCTCGCCACAGCAGGTGAAGTCCATCAAGCCTACTCTCTCTTTGATGACAGGTCAACTCATTTATAGACAACAAAGCTGACAGGGAAACGAACCTCCGATCCCTGGCCACCGTCAGCAAGAAGGGGCGCGTCGGGACCCGGACGCCTATTTCCATGCGCTGTCAAAGATCGATACCTCAGCGGGTCTCCCGTGCCTCATTCGGACACTGACCAGTCGATGTTCACGAACCGCGTCCACATTTCACGCACTCCCTGCAGGGCGAGGCCAGGCTGATCTCCAAACCCTACACAACGGGCACAGGAGTCCCGTGAATGCAACACAGAAATCGCGAGCGGCACAAGGAACCTGCGCACCCTGGGAAGACCGCCGCGGAGCTGCGCTGGCGCACGTGCCCTTGTCCCGAGATCCAAGACACGGTGCCGATTGCTCGGGTCCCGTCCTCCAACCTCGCACTCGAAAGAGTCCAAGACTCTCCGCTAGCACCATCCCATCCCATCCCATCCACCATCTCCGACAGCTACCATACAAAAAAAACACTCTATGATACAGCACGCATCGCGTCGCACCAGGCACTTCTTCTTCTCGGACGTCGCTCACGACGCCCTGAGCGCCTTGACCCACTCCTTCGCGCCCTTGTCCAGCATCTTCTCCAGGTCCTCAGCCACCAGCCGCCGGTCGGTCTCCACGCCGCTCAGGTCCCCGCCCAGCTGCTCCCCCAGCACCTCCAGCACCAGCGCCGCCAGCTCCCCGCCGCGCTTCGCCACGACCACGACGGCAGGAGCGGGCGTCGACGGCCCCGGCCCCGGCTCGCCAGCGCGCTTGCTGTCAGCGTCGACCTCGAGATTGCCCTTCGCGGTGTCGGCGGCGGCGGCGGCGGCGGCTCTGTGCCGCGGCGCGGGCACGAGCCCGCGCGGCGCGCGGTTCCAGCAGACCTCGTGCAGGCGGTAGGACACGGGGTCGAGGCGGGCGTCGGGGACGAAGGCGAGCGGGATGGTGGAGGAGGTGACGCCGTTGGTGATGGCTGCCGCGCGGGCGGCGCCGGTCCAGGAGGAGGCGGCCCAGACTGCGTTGATCTCGAACGCTGGGTGTGGGTTAGCGCGTGTCCCGTCGACGGGAAGGGAAGGGGAGAGAGGGGGAGGGGGAGTGATGGGAGGGAGGGGGGGAAGGGGGACGTACGTCCTGTGACGAATGTGAGGACGTCGAAGGCGAGGACGAACGGGAGGAGGCCGGTGGCGATGACGCCTTGCTTGATGGCGCCGGACTTGGCGGCTTTGAGGAGCGCGTTGAAGCGCTGCTGGAGGTCATCCGCGGGGAAGTTCGACGGGTAGAAGAGGCGGAGCTGGGGAGGGGGTCAGGTTTAGAAGGGTGGGGAGGGAGGGAGGGAGGGACAGAGGGAGGAGTTACCTCGCGCAATTTCTTCTTGCCGGGGGTGCGGACGAGGAACTCGATGCGGCTGTTCTTCGTCACAGACATGCCTTTCGCGATCAGGCCCACCGCTTTCGCCTAGCGCCGCCATGAGCACAGCAGCGGCCGACGCCCGCACATTGGTCGCTCGAAGCGCGAGCGCCGGGACGGCGGAGCACGCACCTTGAACCCCTTGCCCTTCTCCCTCGCCTCGCGCTCCTCCGCCTGCCACTTACGCTGCGCCTTGTGCGCGACGCTCTCCTTCGCGCCCGGGGCGGGCTTCACGAGCGCGGCGGCGAGCGGGGCGTAGAGCACGAAGGGGGGCACCGCGAGGCGGTGGCGCTCTTTCTGCGGGAGGTGGGTGGGCTCGGGGAAAGGGAAGAGGAAGGCGATGGTTGGGTGCGATTCCGGGGGGAGGGAGGAGGAGGAGCGCGGGGAGCCGTGTGCGTCAGGGTCGGGGTCGGGGTCGGGGTCGGGGTCGGGGTCGGCTGCTGCTGCTGGGTTGACGGCGTGTGTGGGTGAGGGGGAGGGAGAGGGTACGGTATCGGGGGGGATGGGAGCCTTGGTGTCGTGTGGAACGTCTGACGAGGGTGGATATGCTGGGACGTCGGACGAAGGCCGAGGCTGGGCCTTCATGTCGTCGGATGGCGATTGCATAGTCGGCGTGGATGAATCAGACGCTGTCTTGTTGGGTATCTCGTCGACGGGGGGTCGACGGTGGGCGTGGAAGCGGAAGTGTGAGCGGGATGAGTGGAGCGGGCGTTGACGTGCATCGGGGGAGTCAGCGGAGCGGAGGCTGGCGGAGGAGGCAGTCGGACCGCCGGACAGAGCCGGACCTCCCCGGCAGCTGCCGCAGTATGTTGAACTTCACTGCATCGATTCCCAACACGCCGACTCCTGCGACCACCTGCGACCCCATGCAGATTCAAATAATCCTCGTTCAATCCTTATTTTTCCTGAACAGAGGCACAATCTTGATGGCCCGCGCCTTGCTATCAGAACCTGCGATACTGTTTCGGTCTGCGCAGAGGATGGAAGGTACGTCCATCCTTCATTTCATTTCTCCACCCAAGGTCATTTTTATCAACGATCTCTTGGTATTTACCCTAGAACGATCTCCTTTCTCCTAGCTACAACTGCTTGAGACATAGCCCTATGCTCTCATGGTGAACAACAGTACCAAATCAGCACCTTGTCGACAATAAAAGTGAGCTCTGCCATGTATCGAAATACTTTGGGCTACATACTCGGAAGTGCAGACGCAACTTCGCGGCATTGGTCCAGGCAAGCGAACTTTGGTCTTCGACCAGCCTCGAGCGTGTTTCATGCAAGGCCTCGATCTGCGGCTCTCATCCTCCCTCGACTTGCCCCGCCAAAACTGTAGGCCTTGTACCTTTAGTTTAGCCCACGGTCTGGCAGCTACAGCGCCCATCGTTGGTTTATTGTTGCAGGAAAAGTCTCTGCGCGGCGGTCAAATTCCCGATGCCGACTGTCGAAGCTCGACTGTTCCAGCTAATGAATCCGCCAGATCGGTATGGTCCATTAATTCCTGGGCATGATGTCTAACATCGCTACTGCGTATTCACGGACGCATTCTATGTAGCACTGCAAGAGTCACGGACGCATTCTATGTAGCACTGCAAGAGACTCTGAAATGTGACGAATTTATTGAGGTTTCCAACCCATGTCCCTCTTGTCTGTGTCAATTTCCCTACTGGAGTCCCTCAAACCTCGCTACAGCGGTAAGTCGCAGAATCTATTCGGGGATTTTGACCCAGGATCTGCTGATCTTTGCGGGGCAACTGTTGCCATCCGCGCGCGCGAACAATGCGCACCACTATATTCTGTGATCCCAAATTTCGGTCTTCTGAGTCTCGACGGGCTCTTTCGCTCCTAGGAAATCACTATCTGATGCCGCGTCAATTATCCCGTTCAGGGAGAGGTCTCGTTCGCAAAACCGGCATGTACGGATACCGACGATTTTCTCCACTCCGCCTCCCTTGAGCCGAAGAGCAGCTTTTATGCCAGCCTGTACACTAACAAGGCTCGGCGGCCTTCTTCGCCGAGCATCCTTTTGAATTGCGCTGTTGCACGGGAAGGCGCTTGCCCACAGCACTTTCGAGACTATGGTGATGCGGCGGTGATGCGCCATGACGAGAAGCCCTTTGTTCTTGTCCTTACGTCAAGGCACAGGCATGACCTGGCAGCCCGAGAACCTGCGTTTCAAACCCTCAGAGGACATCGATAAAGGCGCACAGCACCGCTATGTCTAGGTGCGGCTAACGCCCCACTCACGAGCCGATAGCCGCACAGGAGGCACGCGAGTGGATCATCGAAGAAGTCCAAAGCATGGAAGGACGTCGAAAAGGAGGGGCGAGGGGCACGTCAGGATGTTGGTCTTCTCTGTGTACCTTGTTTTGTGTGACGCGTGCCGCTCGCACCCACCGCCGCCCGTTTGTATTTGACATCGTTTGGAGACCCACCTCAGAGTCAACATTTGAGAATCGTATCATTCTGTATAGATGCTTTGAAGGGGGAAAGTCTGGCCGAAGTATACACGACATTTGCTTGCGCCTCAAGGCAAGGATAGCAACCCCGCAATACGTAGCTCCCTGGACAAGGCTGCGGTCAGAACCGGCTAGAACCTCGCGTTTATTTGTAAGTATCCCAGAATGGTATCTCGCCCCAGCCACGGAAGCTACGAGACGAAGCGAGCCAGAGATCGAGCAGACCACGGCTTGAAAGCCTCGGCAGCGCGGAAGGGGGAGGCGAAACCTTGTAGCCGGATACGTCTTGATGGGACAATGCTCCCGGTGTCTCCGCACGAATGCGATCCGTTCACGCGCTCGTGAATGGGAGAGTCGGAGAGGGCCAGTCCTTAGGGTCGCGCATTGTCCCAAATTCCAAGAAAAGGCTCCGTCGCCTCCGATGTTGTCATGTGCGCGACTTTATTAGCCATCTGTCGGAGAGCCCAGACGATGCGCGCAGACCATGAGTTGCGGATTGTAAGAGCGATAACAGGGAGACCATCAGCGTACCATTGTCTCTCTCGCGATGCGCATTCCGCATGCCGTGCGCGCAGGAGCCGTCGCAAGGGATGGACAATGAAAAATTGATAGGGGTCTGAGTTGGAAAAAAAGAAGAGGAGATGAAGCGTGCTCCGGAGGCGCATGGATTGCTCCCGCCACTCACCTAACTCGGACACCCACTCGCGAGGCGGAAATGTAGCCCTCTTGCGACGAGGCGCGAGAAGCGTACGATTCTGCGGCCTGCGCCGGCCCTTTGAGAGCTTGCGAGAGGGGCTTGAAGCGAGTTCAATAACCCTCCCTGAGCCAGACCACCACGTCTATGTCTTACCACCTCTACCCCACATTCAACACTCAAGGCTGGGAGGAGAGCCTCTCCTCGATGCCGCAAGAGCAGATGGACTTCGCCTACACCGAGCCCTTGGATGAGCACCCTCCCCTCGCCATGAATCACTATGGGCCACCAACGGAGGCTCTGGGGTACGAGCAATATGTATGATTACTTCTCGTCAACCGTTTTCCAGCACAACACTAATGAACCCTGCTCAGTGGCACCCCGCTGTCGAATGACGATAGGCTGCATGCCACCCCCAGCCTGGATACACAATGGCGGGGCCCTCACACGTCGTCAGTGGCGATGTCCATTGCCCCCAGCAGATGCTGCCGGCTGGGATAGCTACTATCAAGCAGCACCGCCAACGGCGTACGCGCCCACATACAGTGAGCCATCCTTTCCTCTGAGTGCTTCGTACTCGTTGACCGACAGTCGCGTCGGCTCTGGAAGGGTCGACGAGTCACGCCGTACAGCCCCAGTACGGTGCCGTGGAGATAATGGAGCCATCTACTGTCGGTTCAAGCGCGCCGCCCACAGGTACGAGCGTAGAGGTCGTCACAAGCCTCAGACGCTCACAACCGGGCGTGCACCCGGTCCTATCGCAACTAGCGGGCGCTGTCGCAGGTCCAGCGAGGTCCAGCAAAGGCTTCGAGGGTAGCACCCTCAGCCAGAAAACCAATATATCAAGACGATCCGTCCGCAGGAAGACTCCTTCGAACAAGAGCATTCCCAGGGCTGTAAAGACGCAGTCCAAAGGGAGGTCCCGCACGAAGGCTGCAACGCCGGCGCCCAAGACGAGATGAAAAAAGACATCATGCCTCACCGCAAAGTACAAGTGCGTTGAATGCACGACGGGCTTCGGGCGCAAAGCCGAGTTGGCCCGACATATGCAGTGGGAGAAGGCGCACAAGAAGGGGTCGCTCTGGTGCGATCAGTGCCACAGGGAGTTCAATCGGCCGGACTCTCTCAGCAATCACAAGCGCACCATTCACAGCTGATGCCTGCGTGCAGAGGGGGTGGGTGGAGGCGGACAGTGAGGTGAGTGTTGTCTTGTCTTGTCTTGCCAATCCATTCCATCGCTCTGTCGTCGCACTCCGCTCGCGCGCCTTTATAGATACCTTCCCTTGCTCAACTTCACTTTCTCTCTGCAGCAGGCCATCTGCGACATGTGAACGTCCACGTCTACGCCCGCATCGATCCGATGGAGGCTGTCTGCCAGTGCCGCGAGCGATGAGCGCGTACGACGTTGAGGGGAAGGGCTGATTTTTCAAAGTTCACTTACATGGGTTTCGTCCTGCAATACATCGCTTTCCTCTGTTGCCATCTTTGCGCCATCGGATCTAGTGAGGGAGTGGAATGTTGTCGTCGAGTTGTGCGACGAGAAGACTCAACCCGAGACCGGGCCGGGCGTTTGCGCAGTGTTTGCGCGGAGTGCTGAACGTCTGTTTCCTCCGCCGCTCTCTTCCGCCATCTTTCGCCACCTATCGATCTCGTTGATGCCGCCGCAATTTTCAAGGCGAGCACAGGAGATCCTAAAGCTTGAACCTGAGACACATATCTATGCTTTCATCTTTTTCAATAATTGTTCTACGCTCTGATTATTCGAGCACAAACCTGCACAAACTCGAAAAAAGGTCAAGGGTTCCTTTATCATGCAGAGCGTATGGCCCATCCTGCTCTTCAAATTTCAATCTGATTCTCCGAAGTCATCATCTTTTGTATATCTCCTTTCAACGTCGTATCCGATGCATGTTGCTTCTCTCTCCTATAGTCACTCGCCACCTCGACCGAGAAGTATTTGTTGGATAGTGGTATACTATATTTATACAACTGATATTATCCCTCCGATCATGATACAGCTTCCAACATTGAGGACATGTAACACTTTCTTGCATAGCGTTCATGAGGCAGCGTACAAAGGTATCGCCTATGGAATGCCCTGCAGATCGTCGACGTGTCCCCGGAAGGCGCAGGTAAGTATTCCGTAAGTAGGTGAGGACAGACCACCAGCCATCGATTGAACCGAACAAAAGTCCAAACAAAGCACCACGGCATGGGGGACCACAGCAACACGGCGGGAGGGGGAGGCGAGATCTGTAGCCGAACACGTTTTTTCTCTCAGGGGGCGACTGCATCGTTGCCGCTGCGTAAGCGGGGAGTGTTCACACACTAGAAAATTGGGGCGTCGGACAGTAAACCAATCTTGTGGGTCGCAAATTGTCCTAGAAATGAAGCATGGGTGTCCAGGAGAGTGGTCCGCTACCGTTGCCCATCTTCCCCCGCCGTCGCAGTCAGGTCCTAGAAGACCGACATTGTCAGGTACGCCGTCTGTCAGCTGTCTGTGAGAGGGCCCAGACTAGGTGTGTTGAGCACGAGCTTCGGATCGGGAGAGTGATAACAGAGAAAGCGCCAATGCCCCATTGTCTCTCTTGCGAGGCATATTCCACCAGCCGTGCATATGGGGGTCGTCGAAAGGAATGAACAATCTAAAGTTGCTCGGAATCTGGGTTGGAAAAAAAAGAAGAGGGGATAAAGCATACTCCGGAGACGCGTAGATTGTTCCTGCCACGCACCTAACTCGGACACCCACTTGTGAGGCGAAAATGGAACCCTCTTGCGACAAGGAGCGAGAAGCGTACTTCTCTGCTATGCCGGCTCTCTTAAATCCTGGGAGAGGGATTTGAGGCGAGCTCAACAATCCCCCTCAGCCATACCACCTGAGCCACACCACCTTATTCCATGCCTTACACCCACTACCCCACGCACAGCACTCAAGGCTGGGAGGAGAGCCTCTCCCTGATGTCGCAAGGGCAAACGTCCTTTGCCTACACCGATCCCCCAGCGGAGCAGCCTCCTACCCTCGCCATGGGTCAATGGGGGCACCACGCGGAGGCTCTGGGGTATGGGCCCATCGTATGCTTCGTTTTTGCCCACCGTTTGCCAGCACAACACTAACAAATCTCCATTCTCAGTACCCCACGATCGAGCCCGAGTGGGTTCCGGTCCAACCCCTGCCGATGTACGCAATGGCGGGGCCCTCACACGTCGTCAGTGGCGATGTCCATTGCCCCCAGCAGATGCTGCCGGCTGGGGGTAGCTACTATCAGGCAGCACTGCCCATGGCGTACAGGCCCATGTACGGTGAGCTACCCTTTCCCTTTTAGCACTTCGAACTTGCTTACTGACCGTCCCATTAGCGCACGAGGAGCCTGCAATCCCTCACTACTCGCACTACGCCGTCCAGCCCCAATACGGTGCCCTGGCGATGTCAGAGCTGCCAGTCGCTGGTCCAAGCGCGCCGCAGGCTGGTACAAGCGGAGATGTCGTAGCGAGGCTTGCGACCTCTAAACGGCGCCTGCGACTGATCCCGCATCAGCCAGCGGGCACCAGCGAGGGCTTCGAGGGTGATACCCTCAACCACACAAAACTTACATTAAGAAAGTCTGTTCACAGGAAGGCTCCTGCGAACAAGAACATTCCTAAGGCTGTAAAGGCGATGGCTAAGGGGAAGTCCCGCACGAAGGCTCCAGCGCCGGCGCCCAGAACGGGAGGAAAAAAGACGCCATACCTCACCGCAAAGCACAAGTGCATTGACTGTACGACGGGTTTCAAGCGCAAGGCAGAGTTGACCCGGCACATGCAGTGGGGGAAGGCGCACATTGAGAGGTCGCTCAGGTGTGATCAGTGCGACAAGAAGTTCAGTCGACCGGACTCGCTGAGGAACCACAAGCGCAACGTTCACGATTGATGCCTGAGCGCAGAGGCGGAGCGGGAGGAGATGGAGAGTGAGGTGAGTGTTGTCTTGTCATGCCAATCCATTACATCGCTCTGTCGTCACACCCTGCTCGCCCGCCTTTATAGATCTCTTCCTTTGCTCAACCTCCCTTTTTCTCTGTAGCGCACCATCCATGGCATGTGAAGGTCCTCATCTAATCCCGCATCGATCCGATGGTGGACCTCGGGGCTGTCTGCCAGTGCCGCGAGCGAGGAGCACGTGCAGTACGACATGGAGGGGAAAGGCTATAGATGTTTCAAAGATCACTCACATGGATTGTATCTTCCACTATCTCACAATGCATCGTTTTTCTCTGCTGTTGCCTCTGCGCCATCGGATCTAGAGAGGGGATCGAATGTTGCGGTCATGTTGTGTGATGAGAAGAGACAGCTCGTCACCGGGCCGCCGCCGAGCATTTGCGTTCCTTTCGACTTTTCTTTCGCCACTCCCAGCTTTCCGCCACCAGTATCAAACTCACTTGTACCGCCACCATCTTCCACGCAAGCGCAGCAGCTGCAAGATCTCTAACTTGAGCATCAGCAGCGATACTGACAGTCACGACGATTGTTTTCTGTTTTGTGTTTGTTCGAGTCGTTGCTTCTCTCCTAAGGCTGTGATTGCCATGCAATGCTCTGATCATTTTTGTGCCCAGCTTCGAAGTTCTTAATCCATCTGAGCTCGGTTGGCTCTATCTTATGAGTGATTTAGGATTTCGACGAGCACATTGGCCGAGGGCTTTTCGTTCCGCAGGGTGTACATCCTGCTCTTCCAATCTTACTCCGAAGAAAGCCGGCAATCTCGATTCCTAGACCTTGTGTGTATTATGCTCACGTTATTTCCGATATTTTTGCAGAAGCAGCTCCTTTGAGGAATACCCAGCGACACTGAGCACTGCGCTCCCACGAACTATCCTGCGTGAACCACATCCGATTATTCTCGTTCGTTTCACGCCAGGCCTTCATCAGAAAATCGGCAGATCTCTTAGGTGGTCTGAGATGTCTGATCTCTGTCTGAGAGTTCTGAGGGCTTCTGTCGCCTCTGGGCATTCTGAACTCAGATATTACTCAGAACTATCCAGAATGATAAACAGGAATTGAGAACTGGCAGTAGCATACTTGTAAAGTACTCAACCTTTTGAACTTGATCCGCGCGGACATCGTCCCGCCCTCTACTATGGATAGTCGATCGGACGGGATCCTGGATTCTTCTTGCGTGTCTCGTCCTTTTCCGGGTGTCTGTCGATAATCTGAGTGAGCAGTTGCCGATCAAGAAAAACCCTTTCGGTCTGTACTCTCGGATTTTCCTCTCCATGCGTTGGAAACGAGAAGCTATCGATCGTCGTCACCAAGAGTGCAGCCATGGACGTAGGGACGAATGTTGTGGAACTTATCTTATTAATCCCTCTCGCATCCCTATTGACGCGCATACGGATTGATGTCGACGTGATGGATCTATCAGCGAAAGCGCACATATTGTTTCGTTCAAACCGGATCGGAAATGATGAAAAGAAGTCAATAAAGCTCACTGCAGTCAGCTGGTTGTACGCCTCTCGCCTTATACTCTCCAGTGATACAAATCCTGCGACTCGACATTGTCTTCCACGACGTTCGTTTGCCGAGGTCAAGGTCGCAAGCGCGGAGCATCATGGTATATCGTCCTTTCCGAGCTAGGGTGGAGACCGACGCCCCTGAGTTCTGATAGCCAATACTGACAGCCAAACACTTTGTCGCATACGTGTACATACAACGATGTACACGATGCTTTGAAAATTGCGACGACCCAGCCAGTGACAACGTCGACAGTCGACACGACTGAGTCTAACACACTGCGCAGAGCCAGACAACCGGATCCTGCCGTTCATGCCGACCTTTACAAAACAAGACTGCCGAAGCTCCGAATTTGGACCTGGACTGCCAGTGGACCGCGTTGACCGTCTACCTCAGGGGCTTGTACAGTGCGTATCAGGACCCCCGACAATCCCGCCAGAGGTATGTTTTTCCCACGGTAGTGGTGCGGCGCGTAGCGCCGCAGCTCTGAAAATTTCCGGTAGTGTAGAGGCCCATTTTGGGACCATAGGTCTATGCTATTTCCCGGTAGTTTTGCCCATTTCGGTAAGGTATGATACAGTTCCGGTAGTCAGAATCTGGTTCAAACAAAAAATATACTCCATATTTACTGTGATTTTAGCCAAAATTCTGTACAATGAAGTTTGCCTTAATCATCATAACCCACTTCGCGTCCGTCACATTGCACAACACCCTATATCGCCTCGCTCATCTCGCAGCTTCGCAGCTTCTCAGCTTCTTTACCTCAGAATGGAAGTCTTGATTCTTGACGATGACGAGATCCCTACACTGGATGTTAAGCAATGGATCGGTGTTGGCCAAAAATTTCCTGCCAACCCTATTGATATTCCTCCCGAGCTCCAGGCATACATCGACAACCACATGCAGATCCCCAACCACCACGCAGTTGACCTCTTGCCTCGAGATCATCTTACCATACATCAGTTCATTCAACTCCCTTTACCATACCAAGATTACAGCATCGTAGAGCAGCCTGCAAGCACCATCTTCCGACCTGACCTGCCAAATGTATCAGCATCTTGTTTGTCTGATAGAAGTATCCCACACCGAGAGTTCATTCATGCCGCTGTGAAACTAGCTAGTCAAGCCATCCTTGATGGTGCACAGGCGGTTCAGGATCCACGATACCTAGGGGCGCGACTGCCTTTATGGACAGTCACATACTGGCGCAAGATGGATCGAATTCTCGAAAAGCAGAGGGCATGGGAAGATGCTGAAAGATGGGTGTTGAATCAGCCATTCAGCGATACCACTCGATCGGTCGCGACTCAACTGAGGACCCTTTCCTGGTCGGCTACCACTCCTATCCCCGGTGCTTCGACATATTCATGTACGGCAGATTTTGCGATAATCCTGTCCAATAGAATGGTCAGTACAGCTATTGTCGACATGATGGCCCATTGGGTCGCCAAAAAAGTGTCAACTGAGAACGTTGATGCGCAAGTTACCGTCGTGGGCCTCGAGTTTTGGAATGAGCTCGAAAAGGCCAAGAACCGGACCTATTACTCTTCATCACCATCGCCGCGGTTCCTCAATAAGCTGGAGCAGACACTACGTTCGGAAAACCGCCGCTTGGTCTTTCCGGTGTTTTTGGCAAAAGAGAAGCATTTTATCGCAATGCAAGTGTGCTGTAAAGAGAATACTATAGTTAGTGGTAAATCTACACATTTGCATCATCTTAAGAAACAAAGACTGAACCAGACCTGCAGGTGATAGCTTGTATCACCAAGGCTTCATAGTCCCTGCCGAAATCGTGCGCAAAGTGCAGTGGTGGGCGGAGGCGCGACTGGGGGGAACATTCAAGTGGATGGGTGACACCCTGTTCCACGCTGATCAACCCGATTGGACATCCTGTGGGTTTTATGCTGCGAGCACGATCCATTATGCTATCTTGAAAAGCTTTGTGATGGAGGATGTGCCGCCTGCCATAGAACGACTGGTTTGGTTCAGTCGTTTGGTAGACTTGCACTTGGAATTGGTGAGCACTTACCTTGTCATGCTCTCGACACCATCTCAACTTGGCATCGTGTCTGCAGATTGACACCCCCGGTCAAGAAGCACTGAATCCAGTGTCACTTGTGGCGCTCGCAGCAGATACAAATCTTCAAGGCACAGAAAAAGATAGGCTTGAAGAACTCGTACCTCGTCAGATCCATACAGATGCAGGGGAAGACCAGGAACGTACTTGGGAGCAGACATCTGAGGACGATATTGACTGGGAACCATCGCAAGCCTCTTGGCTATCTGACAATGAGCTGACTACTGTGACCCACCCGACATCCACAACGACATCCCTCGACAATGTAATTGGTGGACGAGATTCATCTTCAACTATAAATTCGACATCACCACTTGTTGCGCACAGTCCTGCTCAAAATACACTCACCAGGGCCTCAAAGCGCCGGGAACACTTGACGATTGATGACTTCTTTGCTCGGAAGGGACAGGTGTTGCAAGAGACATCTGGTGTTCAAATAGATCAGCAAGAAAACGAAGAAATAGCAAAGAAACGCACACGGAGCGCATCCACCGCAGCACAACCTGGGAGGGAAGCCAGTTCAGGACACGCGGCCTCTTCCCACACGAAGCGCCCACGCAATGGGGATCTCGAAATGAACACTCTGCGCAGCACAAATACCCAAACTCACACTCGTCTTGTCAATCAGTCTCTGAATGACCATAGTTTTGTCTTGAATCTGCGCAAGTGGGAGAAGTTCCGACAATCAATCCTCGAGCTTGATCCAAGGGCAGTGTTTCCTCGAGTAACTCCAGAGGACCCATGGCAGGTTCGTTTCGTCACTCACTTCCCCTGTGGTCGTCAACTTGAGATGAGGGAGCCATATAATACGGTTGCCTTCAAAAATCATGTGAAAGGGACGAACAAACAACGTCCATGCACTGGACCCCACAAAACTCTGCCCTCTAGCGGTGGATCACATCCATTGACACTCTACTTTGCCCCCACTCCAAAATCCTCATCAGAAGCTTCTCCCTTGATTGATCGTCCATGTCCTGGTCTACGAGCACAGCACTTTCCGGCAGTTGAGAAATATCTTGCTCGCTCGCGTGCATCAGGTGGCGGAGGACCGTCGTGGTCCCAGATCACGAAGGAGATCTATCCTTCGGTTCAAGGCTACTCAAAACTCTCAGATGCCACAAAGAAAAATGTGCGATTGGTGCAGCGCACTCAACACCAATGGCAGAATCATCATGACCTAGAGCGAGTCGTATCGACTTCATGTTTGAACTTGGTTCGTGTATCTAAGAACATCAAGGAGGCTCGCCTTCCTGCATGCGCCTCATGCATGGCAATCCTTGAAATTGCTGCCTTTAAGACAGCTTCATCGCTTCCTATTCCCGATGACAGAAACCGTAAATTCACACCGCTTGTACATACAGACTCAGATGCTCGTGCGGTCGAAGTATGGAGCAGAACACATGGTATCCAAGCTCTCATCACGGCCTTCAAAAAGGTGTGATTTGTATATCTTCGTGCTGCTCTTATTCAAAGCTTATCGTTGTTACAGGATCCTTCTAGCCCATGCATCTTGTTTGCGAAGGGTGTGACAGAAGGCACATTTGACAATGAGAGTGTCTTTGTCGATCTCGTGAGCGCCATGGTTCAAAAAAAGGACAGAGAATTGCGAAGCATTGGAATGCAGGGATTCAGATATGCACCCGACGTCGTACAGTTTGCGCACATCATCAATATTCACAGCCCTCGTGCATATCAGGCCATCCGACATTCACTACCACTTCCTGACCCTCGGACTCTCCAGTATGTTGTCTTCTTTGCACATTACTCATAATTCTCATTACTCTATCACTTAGGAGGCATCGAGCCATTGAGGCAAGATTTCCAGTTGGTATCACCGACCGCACACCAAAGCTCATCAAGGATTATCTTGACAAACTCGGATGGAAAGGCCCTGTTGGACTCTCATGCGATGACACCAAACTTCTGCCCGCTCTACGGCCATATCTTGATCATGACGGTAATTACTATGTTGTAGGAGGTGTCGGACCTCCGAGGCTCTTGACCGAACCCAACATCCTCACCAATGCCATACGTCGAGGAGAGATCGAAAAGGCTACGAAGGTCAGTTTTATTGCAGTGGTACGCTAGATCACATTAAAACCAGGGTCTCTGATATACCTAGATTCGAGTGTGGTGTGTACAAGTGCCAATGCCGAACATCCCTGCCATTGTCACTGCTGCCCTTGGTATTACAGACAGCCTTTCAGCCAAGGATTTACTTCCTTACCTCCTTGAAATTGTTGATGGGCTGCTCAAACAAGACATCAAGGTAGTCTCTTATGCTGCCGACGGAACAGGGACCGAGCGCTCGCTTCAACGACTATTCTGTAACACAGCCACAGGCACTCATTCATACATCATACGCCATCCCAATAACACTTCAGGTCGAGATCTAGACCTTCGGATTTCGCGGTTTGGGACTCAACGACGCCCAATAGCAATGGTCCAGGATCCGCCACATCTGCGAAAAACCCTTCGGAACAATACTTACTCGGGTGCGCGGTTGTTGACCCTAGGCAACTTTCCAGTATTATACTGTCACTTCCGAGAGGTAGCGCAAGCAATCGATGGTACGTTGTACAACAGGGATGTCGAGAAGACCGACCGGCAGGATGACAATGCTGCCACACGATTCTTTTCATCGCATACGCTCGAGTGGATGGTCAAAAACCGGCCTGAGTGGGTGGGACCCATCATATATGTATTCGTTTTTGGTGACCTCGTAGATGCCTACGAAAATCGTCACCTCACATTGATCGAGCGCGCGCACATGGTGCTTCGTGCACATTTTTTTATGGAGGCTTGGGAAGATTTCTTGGATTCTGCTGGCTATCAAAAAGGAAAGCATCTCTTGTCCCATGAAGCATGCGATATCATTCGTTTTGCAACGCGCGCTCTGCTCCAGCTCATCATCATCTATCGTGACTATTTTGATGGTACTGTCTACCCTCTCCTCCCTTGGCTTCTCTCCACGGCCACTTGCGAGCACGTCTTTGGGATCTGTCGACAGATAGTCAAGGATTTCACGCTTGAAGAATTTCATTATATGGTACCAAAGCTCAATGTCCGTCTGCGCGAACATTTTTTCTTTTCAGAAAGCTCCGATGGCAAGGCTCGTGCTAACGGATATAATCATACCTATACTGACAGCCGTCAAATCAATCTGGGGGCTCTGGCGACATACCCAACTGACGCAGAAATCCAGCGTGCAGCAAATGCGGCCTTCGAGGAAGCGCACTCTCTCTGGGAGGTTCTCGGAGCCGACAACCTTCGCACCCATCAAGCTCTCGTCCCTCGTCTACCCTCTGTTAGATCATGGTTCAATCCAGATCTTAACTCTCACCACGACGGCCTTGCTACACATCTATTGCACCCAGATTCTGACAGCGATACCGACGATAAAATTGAAGATTCTACAGACAGTGATGATACGTTAGATGGAATATTGGATGCCACCGGAACAGAGTCAGAAATGCACCAACTCCTATCCGCCATGGAGTTCCTAGAAGACGAAGTCACATCGGTCCAAGAAGATCAGCAGGTCAATTCCCTAGCATATGCTGCTACGGCTCTCGCGGTTCAGAACACCATGGATATGTGAGTTACAGGTACTCTCTCCTGATGTGTTCTATTCACGTAGATTCATTTCAAGACAAACTCTTCCAGAAGACCCTCCTCAGATGTATAAGCGGGATGCTGCGGCGCTTGGTGAAGCATTAGCGGAGTGTCTGTCAGCTGTCGACGACCCGAATCAGCACACATCTTCAGCCAAACGTTACACCACTATCGACTTCTCGACGATGGTCAAGCTTCGAGATGCTCACCAGACTATCCAAGCCGACAAGGGCATTCGTTCCCAGGGCAAGGGCAAGACACGGGCACCGGAGGAATCAGAACGGCAAGCACTGCTGCGGCAGTACAACGAAATTCTCAAGATTCGGGAAGATCGGGGCATAGGTACAGGTTTGGAGCGCATGACGAGGTGGCGGCATCCAGCTCCTGGCGGACGACAAGGACACATCAACGGATTACCTGCCCAAGAACCAGCGCCAGGTGCAGCAGCAAATGCCGCCGAGGTCTCTACAAGTAAAGCTAAGAAGGTAAGTGTTGATTCTCCGTCGTATCCGTTGGTTGTGAGGTGTGCTAACTTCTCGCAGATGCAGATGCAAAGGAGGACGATTTGTCGTAAGCATAAACTGCCGTCTTTCGTAGAGAATGCCAATATCACACCGGCACTTCCACTTGTGCAAGCAAGTCATACCTTGGAACAAGGTAATGATGTTGAGCTTAGTGCCGGGGCATCCTTCGGGTTTGTCTTCCACAATCGAGAGATCTGGCTTGCTCAGGGTAGGTCTATTATCTTCTGAACCTCCTTGCAATCTGTTTACTCACGTGTTGGTTAACAGTGCTCTCTATCTACGCAAAATCGACTGGTAAGAACAGTCCCCACAGCTGGGTGACTGATTCCTCGAACATCTCGGCCGTGTCCTATATAGCTGCACAGCTATTCAAGCCTTTTGCGGCACGTCAATTCTCATCAACCATGCGTCACGCTACAGGCCTCAAAGTATCGACTTTCAAGCTCATTAAACCGAGCTCGTTTCTTGCCGCTCTCCTGGCAAATCCCACACCGCTGGGCCAAAATATAGCTATTTCACTACAAGACTACGAGTACTACAAAGCATTGAAGGGAAAGAGGGAGAGCATCGAGAGCACCATCAAAGAGATTGAGGGTCGGTCGCCTAAAGTGGTGGAAGATGCACAAGATACGGACTAGTTCTCTACTATACGCACTTCGTGATAGGTCCGCCGCATTCCTGACATGTATCGTGCTATCACGCGATTTTTTTTTGATTTCTCATGATTTTTTTCCGATTTTTGGAGGTCTGATCATATCTCCGGTAGCGGGAGGGCCTGTACTCAAGGTCTGATTAATTCCCGGTAGTCAAAGAGGGCCGCAGGCCCCGAAAAAAGTCCGGTAGTTTACCCCTTTTCGCCAAACATACCTCTGGCGGGATTGTCGGGGGTCCTTGCGTATCTCCCTTTATCCGTGCCTGATCCCGTCTCACACCGCCACTGTATAGAGATAGACTTTCCTCAACGGCGTCCTCGTCTTTTTCTATAACAGTCGACGTCCCACTATCTCTGTTTGCTTCTCATGGCGACACCGAGCGATTTTACGATAGAGGAGGTACAAAGCAAAGTCGCACTACTACCCTCGAAGGAACGGGGAGCTCCAATGTTGTCTGATCGGATGGCCTCATTGATGCCGAAGCTTTGTATCGCAGCCGCACACCAAGAGCTCCTCGCCATCGGATCGATGCGGGCGTGGACGAAGACCTTCACATGCCGCAGATGACGTGCTACAGAGAGAGAGAGAAATTGAGCAAGGGAGCGGATTGGTAAAGGCGAGCAGGATCTGACGCACGATAGGAGGAATGGCAAGACAGAAGACACTCACCTCACTCTCCATCTCCACCCACTCCTCTCTGCACGCAGGCATCAGCTGTGGATGGAGCGCTGGTGATTCCTGAGCGAATCTGGCCGACTGAAAGTCTTGTCGCATTGGTCGCATTCGATCGACCCCTCCCTGTGCGCGATCCCCCACTTCATGTGCCGCGCCCTCTCGTACTTGCGCCCGAACCCCTTTCTGCAGGGATCGCATTTGTGCTTCGCACCGAGGTATGGCGTCTCCTTTCTTCCCGTCCTGGGCACCGGCGTCGCGGCCTTCGCACGGGACTTCCCTTTGGCCGCCGCCTTTACAGCCTTGGGATTGATCCTGTTTGCAGGAGTCTTCCTGCGATCGGACCTTCTTAATGTAACTGTTGAACGGTCGAGGGTATTCCCCTCGAAGCTCTTTCTGGTGCCCGCCTGGGCCGGGACAGTGCCCGCTGGCCGGGGCAGGATCGCACGCCATCGCCTTGCAGAGGTTGTGGTCCTGGCCGCGACCGCCTCACCCGTACTCGCCTGCGATGACGGCACCGGGAGCGTTGCCCCCCTCTTGATGTGAGGACGCCGCACGCTTGTGCTGGCGATATGCTGCCCCATCAGCTGTACGCCGCTGCTCTGAGGTTGTGCGATATGCGACGGGGCACAGTACGCGTGCGCCAGTCCTTCTTGAAATGATGGGACCGTCAGTGAAGAAGAGGGGTTTGATACGAAAGGACTCGCCATCAGCGGGCTCGCAGGCAACTGGCGCTGCCTGGTGATAACTCTCCCCAGCCGGCAGCATTTGCTGGGGGACGTAGATGTCGTCTCCACCGACATGCGAAGGCCCGGCGACCATGTGGCCGAGCTGAGAGAGAGACAATGCCCATGCGGGATCAGGAGGTCTATAGAATTCGTTTCTGGCGATATATAAAGGCCCCGTGGCCGTGTGGCCGAGCTGAGGGAGGGGCGATGCCCATGCGGGTTCGGGAGGCTGATATAGCTCAACCATGGGCTGCATGACACAAGGGTCGGTCAGCGCCGTACTAATTGACTGTAAGAACAGGGAACAGACCATTGGCTCGTACAGATGTTGAGCCATTGTTTGTTGTGCCGGATATTCCGCGGCGAGGAAGGGGTAGCTGGCGGAGAGGTTGCCAGCATTGACATCGGTGGAGGCGAACTTCCCTTCCGACAGCAAGGAGAGACTTTCCTCCCAGCCCTGGGTGTTGTATGTTGGAGGGTATGTGTATTCCATGTCTGCAGGTCGTTTGGCAAAGTGGGAATGTCGGCGTCTCATTTCGCCCACCCAGCTTTTAAGCGAGCGGGCGCACTGCGGTGGCAAGTATATCTGCTTCTCGCGCATGACTTCATGAGGCGACTCGGGGCTCTATTCCCGCTTCGCTATCGGTCGTCCGAATAAGGTGAGTGGCGAGGACAAGCCATGTATGGGTGTGCTTCGCTTACGCTTTCTGTTTTTCCAACTCAGACTCGGATCAATCTTGCATTGTTCTTTTTATCTGAACCGCCTCGTGTACCCAACCAGCGAGGAACGGAGTTATTTGCGAGCGAGACCATGAAACAGCGCGCTCAATCTTTGTTATCGGTTTTACATAGGGCACTTGCGATACCAACGGCTTCTCTGATAGATGGCGACGGCGGTCCTGACGACGATTTTCTTCTGGGCCTGACTTCGACGGCGAGCGAAGGCGGGCGGCGGTAGCAGACCACTCTCCTGGGCGACCACGCTTTACCTGGGACAATATGCGACCCACAAGATTGGCTGAGTTTCCGACGCCCCGACGTTTTAGTGTGAGAACAATTCGTGGTCATGCGGCGGCAACGATGCAGTTGCCCCATGAGATCAAAGACGTGTTCGGCTACGAATCTTGCCTCCACCTCCATCCGCGCTTCCGCAGCCATTCACGGCGTGATGCATTGTTCGTTTTGCTTCATTTGTTCACGGCTGGTGCGTAGCATATTCCTCGCCCACTTAAGTAATGCTTAGCAGTTCTAGCTCTAGACTTGACACCCGAGACATCCGGGAAAGCTTCGACGATGTGCCGAGCATTCTCATTAGTATATATCCAGGCAAACCCTTCACGTCGTCCATAGTCGATACTAGCGGTGGAGAGAAGCGACACACATGGTAGACGACGACATTCAAAAAAAAGAGTGAAGATATAATTCCACCTCCTATTTCTCTTTCATGCGTCGATAAACCCAGTCTCCTTTTTTCGTGAAGTTCGACTCCCCTTCTGGGAGACTCACAACGGGATACATATCGGCATTTGATGCTCTCTGTAGAGGGGACAATGACATCGAGAACATGGATGTGCGCGTTTGGACTTCAAGTACACTTTTTACAACCCTGGTTTTCCTCAAGGTAGGTGATCTCCCCGATAACGTTGGTTCTTGTGTTTTAACGTGCAAGAGAATGCGCGCTGAACAGTCGAACGACTGAACAAGAAGTCGGAAAGCTGTAAAACTGGACGCGATATGTCACATGTGTCACACCGCCAACGTGACTCTAGAACACTCGCTGGCACGCCCTCCGACAACATGCATTCGCACCTCCACCATCTCGTTGTTCTTAAAAAAGCAGTGAAAGTCATAGATACATGCCTACAGCATCGAAAACATGGGCGACAGCTTGTAAGCGACATTCCCCTACTTCCTCATCCATAAATCATGAGTCATATAGGTCCACATACATCAACAGAACTCAAACGGCCCTCTCAGGCCTCGAACGTAATACTCGCAGCAATATCTGATGCATGTAAATATCAGCATAGAAAACTCCTATCGGGCTCTCCGATAGATGATGTTGTGGACGCCAGTGCTCATGGGTAACGCAGGGGTGTCAGCGTCAGCAATGAGTGCAATCGATAGGGAGGAACGAGTGCGGCCACAGATAAACTTCAGATTCAAGACTCACGATCCTCCTTCCGCTCCCTTCGCTCCCTCTTCTCGCCGTTCACGTCGGACTCCTCCCATAATGACCGCCTTGACCGACACGCAACCCGAACGTGCCGAGCGAGCGCGTCTTCTCTGCTATAGCACCGTTTGCATCTGTCGCACTGGAACGCCGGACTTTTATGTGCCTTCGCGTTCTCCATGTGGCGTATCCAGTCCGCCTTGCGTCGAAAGCCCACTAGACACTCGTTACAGTTGTATCGAGTGGTTCCGTGCAGCGTGTGGCGGCGTTTCTTTGCAAGCTCTGGGTACTGTGAAAAGCTCCCTTGGTATGGCACCAATGATTTTGAAATGCAGCTGTCTAGAGAGGAGCGCCTAAAGGCGAGGGTTGCACTCTTGGATGGAGCTCGGTCTTCTGTCGGATCATACGGGCCTGGTAGGAAAGATCGATCATTTGGACGAGGTGCACTAGAAAGTCCCGATCGCGCCTTGATCGCGACATCTATACTCACACTCGATTTGGGGCCGCTCTTTGGTGGCGTCAGACTATCTACGATGATCGGCTTGACGTCTTCATCTGTGATGTCCATCGCTAACAATCCATGGAACACAGGAGGTGTAGTAGGTGGCTCGGTGTGCGGGTTCAAATTGGGAACCGGGGCTTCCAGGGTCGGTGCGGCGACGGATCGTGGAGGGGGACTAGCAGAAAACTGGTCAGGGGACATCGCTCGCTCTCTTGATCCTGACAGCATGATCGTCTGTAAGCATATATTTACATGGAAATGGAGCATTACTCACTGTGCATTGTGTTTGGGGCGCGGCGTTCTGCCTCGTTACGATTCAAGATCGGTGGTGCCTGTTGTGTCTGGCGAGCCGACCGATATGCAACGACAGATGATGCTTGTGCCATTGTAGAGCAGTACGGGCAGGGACGATAGAAATCTCCATTCAAAATGTATGATTGGTAGTATCTGGGCGCAGAATACTACGGCCGAACATTGTGAGTATTTTATTATCTTTCAATAATGGAGACATTGAACTTGCCGGTGGTAGGTGTAGCGGAGGTTGATTTCGCATGGGTGGCCCAGATCGTGAATATCCCGCTCGCACGGGTGGCCCATAGTGTGGGCCATCATGAGAATGGTGCGGGGGCGCTTCATATTGTGGGGGCGGTCCATACTGTCGGGGTGGATTATATGGTCGTGGCAAAGGATGGTAGGAGGGTGCATGATCGACGGGAATAGCTGTATTGAAGGCGTAGTGCCTTGCGCGGGGTTCGGAAGATATTTCTTCCATCTAATACTGGAAGCGCGACATGGCAAGGATTATCGAACCAGAGGAAGGTGAGCGAGGGTTGAGATGAACCTGAGGCGGTACTTAACGCGGCCTCCTTTTATAGTCGCAGAAACATTAGCGCACAGGCCGTGGCGGCGAAAACATTACCTGTCTAGTCGATGGCGCTCGTGATTCGTGGCCTTAGTGCTTGTTTGTCTCTTATGTGGCGGTGTGGGCGCCCTGTCTCTTTCAATCACCTCATGGGTCTGTAGCAAGAAAGGTACGTACCACGAATTCCGATTCGGTACTTCTTCCGTTATCGCATTCATCAAAACAGCCACCAGGCGGTGTTCTGGCCTCCGTTCGCCCTTTATTTGAGTGGCTGCACTTGCTAGGGTTCGTTCGTGGCATTGAACGAATGTTCAAACGGCGCTGGGTAACTAAGATACTGCAACATAACGATCTGACTGAGGTATCAGCATATGGTCACGAAGCATAGCCGAGTCGACAGCGTGACATCACAACTTCCAACACTGCCCCTTCGTACACTACGCGGCAACGAACAAGATGCCGCATGCGAGAAGGGGTCTGATCCATTCTGAGTGAAAGGCATGTCGGCGAAGATGCCGCGTATACGTTTCTAATAGCATTGTTCTTTTTCAGGCAACTCTCAAGAGAATGTCGGGCGCGTTTTTACTGACCCTATCGTTTTAATACTTTCGGCTTGTCCTCCATTATTCAACCTTCTCACTCGAGTGAGGGCGCTCACCGTTATCTCCAAAGCGATATGTTCATCTATAAAAGTATAACATAATGGTATTGTGTATATTTCTTGTACTTTTCGGCTTTCCACGCTTAGAAAATCTCAGACACCTTGTCATACGATGGCGTCGTTCTTTAGGCGATGGTCAATTGCGTCATGGAGGGCAACGCGATGTGCGTACTCGTGTTGTATGGTTCACTCCTCGTCTTCGAATCTCTCCTCATCTTCTGAATATTCATCTTCTGAATACTCATCTTCCGACTCCACATCATACTCCACATCATCTCTCCTTCTTGGCTCGTCTCCTTTGTGCTGCGTGCTCACGTGTCTTCTCAAACTGTCGTTACGCGAGACAAAAATCGCCACAAATCTCACATTCGAATGTGCCCTGCGAAACGTGATCTCTGCTCGTTTTGGCGTGGCGGTTCCTTCTTGAGTTTGACGCGAACGTCGTGTTGCATCCCTTCTTGGGGCACGGCACCCGTGCCTTCTTTGACGGTTCCTTCTGCATCTCCAAAGCTGTACTTCGGTCTTCTTCCTTGGTGGCTGTGGCAGGTTTCAAGTGGGAACACCCTTTCTGCGAAGCTACTACACCGACGGAGTCGCATTCGATTGTAGGGATATCCTTACAGTCGGTTGACTGCGTCCTTGGTTCTTTATCAGGGGCGTTACCCTCGAAATCTTCCGTCGAGCGTTCCAAGGTCCAGCTTGAACTTGCCGCATGGGCATCCCTATTTGGCGGGACTACTCGATGGTGTGTTCGTGGGGACATGTCGAACGTTTGGGCCACACTTGAACTCTCAGGAGGTAGCTGTTTGTTGCCTCGCTCCATTCTGACAAATTTGGGCGGCACGACATCATCTGATGCAGGATGCCACAGACCATCATGTGTGCTGTGGATGGCCACATTGGCAAGGCTGGAGGGATAAGATTCGGTGGAGTCGAGGGCGATATTACTCTGCTTGGGCATTTCGAAAGCTACTCGTGCAAGGTAAGGTGAGTGAAAGATTCGACGAGAGATTATGGTCACTCACATAGAGGATTCTGAACATGCATCCCACTGCGTTGTAACCTCCTTCAGACACTGCAGCGGAGCATAGATGCGTCTCGTTGAATGAATAGCAGGATGGGTTTTGCGTGCTCATCAAGTCCATCTGCTCATGTATGCTGTTGGCTTCTGTCCAGGTGACGTATGAGTGCTGACCGCCCTGCAGAGAGGCAATACTGGCTCACCAAATACCGGCCCCCGAAGGCTTGATATCGCCACTGAAGACACTCGAAGCCTATTCTCGTCTATGGCGACGTATTAATGACAATGGAGGCATGTAGGCATTACAATCTTACCAAATATCTGTCTTTGCATACCTTGTGCCACTTGGTACATGTGTCCCATCTCCGTCGGCTCATCAAAGAAATATGGTCCATACGTCGAAGCGTCTTTTGAAAGACTTGTACCAGACATCGCGTATGCTAGGGACCATGAATGCGTGAGCGACGCCAGCCGATGTGGTCAATAGTGGCTCACATAATTCAGACGGTTACACCCCCGATGCTACTTGCCCATAGTATTGTGTTCCAACCGGTGGCATCATCTGGGAGAAACGATATCCTTCGTGGCTTGAGACGTATGGCGTGCGTGGCACGGAAGTTTGTGGCGTGTTCATCGGCAGTGTCTGGAAACTCTGTGCGTAGAGGTTATGGTTATGGTTATGGGTGGCATTGAGCTGTCGAGCGGCAATAAGTCTGTCGTCGACTTCCACGCCGAAATGTTTGCTTACCGCGACCTGATTGGAATGACCGACGTTTTATAAAACTAGAGCTTGCCCGAAGCTATCAGCGATGTACAAACCGTTTGACGGATCGAATCCTATTTCGTCGAATAACAAGACATTGTGATGCAGGTTGCTGGAATCCATAGATAGCTATGAGCGGGATCTAAGTGAGTCTGTAAATGGTTGGATGAATGGTTGGATGCTTGAAACGACTGAGGCGTCGTCACTTATAAAGCACCGAGGAAAATGTGGCAAGCGTTGCTTAAATCTCAGCTATGTCAATGCGAGATTGTGGCTTTGTGCAGCTTGGCGGCCATATGAGTGTTCTCAAAGCTTCCGAAGGCCCCTTGCTTTGCCCCTGAATATTCAATTGGTTCATGTTACCTGCACAAAGTGAACGCCTAATTCAAGGTACATATCGATGGCATCTGGGAGACTCCGCTCCAATGAGCTTGGGAAAGCGCCGAGAAGTCCAAGCCCATTGTTGTGTAGACAGGGGACTATATACGCTTGGTTCAGGTTAGTTCCGGATGGGCAACAATGGAACGGCTTCATTTTGGTTGTACTCAGCGTACCTCAGACTCCCTGAACATCTTGGTAAAGGTGACAAGCAAGCTTGAATAGTAGATAGCAGACCAGCAGCAGATACAACATGAGAAGCTAAACAATGCTCGTTATAGACATCAGTCAGAATAGTAGAGGCAAAGCGAGCATTGGAAGATGCGAGACGGATCCTGCGAATAGAAGCATGAGCTCAAGGTTGCAAAATGATAGATTTCTGGGCGCACCAAGTGAACAAGAAATATGATCATGAGGAAGAAGGAATCAGCGACAAGCTATGAGGCTTTGATTGACTCTCTGTATTAAGATTCAAGTCAGTACGATGTGAGCCTAAAGACGAGTAGCCCTCACCCACTAGCCCCTCCCGCCAACCCACCGACGGCCTTATCCCTCGATTGAGATGCTTGCGCTTCCGCTGCAGCAAATTGGGACAGCGTGATCACTCCATCGTCGTTGCCGTTGAGCTGCTGCCGAACGATGCTCCGAGAGTTGAGGCTGACAAGCGAGCTCAAGATGAAGCGTCGAAGCAGCACAGAGAAAAGATACACGAACGTGGACACGAATGAACAAGAATATACTAGTAAAAAACGTCAATGACAGCAGCCTTTAACACATAATTTTCAAAACGTACGTCGAACCAGGATGAAGAAGAACGCCGCATAGGCTAAAGACTCATGAAGAGCCATGAACTATGCGAGGTCGATCAGTGATACGAAGGGCAGATATCGAACGTGAATCATACCGTGATCAGTGTAGTGACGGCGAACACTCTGTGAATGTGATAAATGAAAAATATAACAGGAGACGACGAGATTTTTACTACGTTGTAAGCAGCGCTTCGTTAAAGACAAGCCTCAGTCACAGTCACCCCTCACACATAGAAGGAAGCTTACACGTGTTCAATGCGTATGCGATCAACAAACTAATTGCCCGGTTTGTGCTGAGGGAGGATGTTCGACGAGCATACCAAGAAAGAATGAGGCGACGGACTTGCTTTTTGAACTGTGCACGACCCTTGCGAAGGTAATAAATCATGAGGCCAGTGATAAGGGCGTCGCAAGCAACCTCGGCGGTGATCGACGCTGTGGTCCACGGCTAGAACGAGATATATCAGGAGACTTTGGAAGGCAAGCGATGCATGAACACTACGAAACTATATCGGAATGGGAGTTGGCAAAAGATCTTAGATGGAAACTAGGACAAGCAATCAGTAAGGACGTGCGATTAACAGAGCCTGGATGAACACTGGCATACCTCGTGACTGTGAAGCCTGAGTAAGACGAAGACGAAGAATGAGCATAGACATCCACAAGCTTCAGATCAAAAGTTACCAAATGCGCAGGCTATCGTGGGACGCTATCATCAGCCATATAGTTATTGGTTTAAAGTCCAGAAATCACGAACATAATTGTCCAAGGCTCAGGAGACACTGAAGACAGGACGGATGTCAACAGTACTGCATACGACAATATCAAGCTAGCGGGTATATACCACAAATGCCGGGATTACAATGTGCTTCTTGCTAACTGCGGGGATACACAGTTCTGTTGGGGACTTCCTTTCTAGGCAACCACCACCAGCACCCTAAGCGACAACTGGACGTGGCGATCTCTTTGCTTCCTTACTCACAAAATACTACTCTAAGCTGCACTTAATTACACTTAAGGTCATTAAGAGCACGACCCGACTATGTCTAAACAGTCTGCCCTGCCTTCCAAGGCCGGGGGGACGAGAAGCTCCCTAAGGAGATCTGACGTGTCGCCGTTAGATGACATAGACGAGCTCAGACGACAGTCAGGATTTGCGAACGCAACAGCGGCAGGAGATTTTCTCCATAAGAGGGGCTATATTCCGAGCAGAGATCCGAAAGAATTGGACGGGATAGCGGTGAGCAACGCTCTCTTCGGTATAGCGGCGTACGCGCAGGGCAAGGAGCTGTTAGAGGGAATAAACGTCACTGCCCACGCATCCCACACATCTCCCATGTCGCCATCCTTCCATACGCCTGACGTACCACTCAGCAATCCGTCATACGCCTCAGTAGTACATAGCCACCTACCCACATCTCACCTATCGAACCTCGCCAGGCAGAAAACTCAGCGCAAGCGCATCTTGATGGACAGCACCGCTGATTCGACACGCAGCATCAGCGACCTCTCAGAGGCACAGATTGTCGCTAAGGCAAACATCGCACTCGAGCAGATGCGAGATGAAACTACACCGGCTGGTCAATTCACGGGCGCCAGGATCTTACGCAATGGAGGAGTACTCATTGAAGCGAACGAAGAGGCTCTCATAGCTTGGATCCAAGACGACCTGAGACGGGAAGAGTTTCAAAACACATTCGACGGTGGCCAAGCACAAATCAAAGACAAGACTTACAGCGTCATAATAGAATTCGTCCCCATCGCCCACAAGACTGGCAACCACACCGAGTACAGACACATCGAGGGCATATCCCACATCGACCCGGGACATCTGGTTAGCACGAAGTGGATGAAACCGGTAGAAAGAAGGACGGAAGGTCAAAGAACGGCGCACCTCCTCACACAATTCAAATCTGCAAATGCAGCCAACAAGGCAATACGCGAAGGACTCACGATAGCCGGGAAGCTGGTGTATGGAAGGAAATCGCAGCAAGAACCGAGGAGATGTCTGAAGTGCCAGCAGATAGGGCAGCATTTCACGGTGCAGTGCCACCAGGAGGGAGAATCATGCGGGACATGCGGGAAGAATCACGCAACGAAGGACTGTCGAGAGCAGAATCCCGATCACTTTTGGTGCGTAAATTGCAAAGTTGGAGGCCATGCCTCCTGGGACAGAATGTGCCCACGCTTCCGTGAAGAGGCAGAACGCTTAAAGCGACGTGACCCAGAATCCACTTACCGCTTCTTCCCAATAGATACCGCACAATGGACATGGGAACAGAATCCCACGATGCCGAGGAAACCACCCCAGCAACACAACGTGGGAGAATGGATGACAGTACCAAGACGCCGATACGGAACCACGACACAGGATCCAAACCCGCCCATAGGATCGCAAGGCAGAGGATGGTCCACAGCACCGTCCAGACAGAATACACCAATGCCACACACGCAAGAGATAGAGACTAGAAGGGGCGCGAGCACAGAGCCCAACGACGGTAACAGATTCCTTACCCCCTCCCAATGAACGACACACCTTTATCCGCACCCATACTACTGAAAATTTGGCAACAGAATACGAATAAATCAATGTACGCACAACAAGATCTACTAAAAACCCTGCAAGAACAAGACATAGACATAGCGTGCATCCAAGAACCATACCTCGACCACTGGGGTAACATGAGAGCAAACATGCACTGGCAAACAGTATACCCCCCGTCACACCGTAAGGACCACACAAAGACACGCTCTGTCATTATGATCAGGACCCGCATCAGTACCAACCAATGGACGATAGTACCAATAGACTCCCAAGACGTGACAGCAATCCGCTTAATGAGCGCTGCAGGCACGCTGGAGATAGTCAACATTTACAATGACTGCACCCACTCAGAGACGATACGCACAGTAGACACATACGTGCAAACTAGGCGACGCAATGCACCAAGTGAAAGAGTCACTTCCCTATGGGTAGGAGATTTCAATCGGCATCACCCCATGTGGGATGAGCCACGCAACCAACACCTGTTTACGTCGTTGAACCTGGAAAGTGCGGAGGAACTGATCGAGATCACAGCAAACCACGGCTTAGTGATGGCTTTAGAGAAGTATATCCCTACCTTACGTGCCATGAATTCCGGAAATTACATGAGAACGGATAATGTATTCATTACTGACGACTTTCGCGACAGGATACTTCAATGTAAAACGTTTCCCGAACTTAGGCCACCGAAAACTGACCACATCCCAATCCTCACGAGCCTGGACATCGAGCGGCACCTCGAGATCAACACCCCAAAATTCAACTTTCGCAAGGTGGACTGGAAGGACTTCAAGGACACGCTACGCGCCCATCTCCCAGACACACGGGACAGTGTACCACCGGAGCTACAAACCCCACAAGAATTTCATGCTGTACTCAAATGTGTCACGGAAGCTATCGAAAAAGCTGTCGAGTGTAACGTTCCCAAGTCCAGGCCATCCCCGTACTCAAAAAGGTGGTGGACGACAGAACTCACCGAAATGAAGAAAACAAACAAAACACTCGCAAGACGAGCCTACAGGCACAGAGATGACCCGGAACACATGGCGCATGAGGAGCATGAGCAGGCACGGAAGAACTATGCAGATGCAATTGAAAAGGCAAAGAAGACACATTGGGAGGAATGGTTAGAGAACCTGCAGGGCGAAGAAATATGGATAGCAAATAAGTACGTGGATAAAACTTCATCAGATGGGGCTCAGGTGCGCGTTCTGATGCTCAAGTGCAAAGAAGAGAATGGCGAAGTAGTAGAAGTGGAGACTAACGAGGCCAAGAGCCATTTTTTATTCAAAAGCTTCTTTTCACAGGACGAGGCTCAGACACCCAGCCCGATAGACCACAGCTACCCTGAACCAGCATTTCCCTTCCATCCTATAACCAACGCTCAAATCTACAGAGCCATAGAGAGACTCCATGGCCTCAAAGCCCCCGGCGACGACGGCATCCCAAATATTGTCTACAAAAACTGTGCAAGCATCCTAGTTCCATTTCTTGGACCCATCTTCCGAGCCACATTCTCGCTTGGTATCTACCCTCAGGACTGGAAAGACTCGCGGATGCTCGTACTACGAAAACTTGGCAAACCAGACTACTCCAATCCTAATGCGTACAGGCCAATCGCCCTACTCCGCACTATCGCCAAAATTCTTTCAGCCTGCATTGCGTCTGAACTAATGCAACTAGCCGAACTCCATCACCTCCTTCCCGACACACATTTTGGCTGTAGAGCTGGCCGGAAGACGACAGACTCACTTCACTACGTCACGCGCAAACTACACGATGCCATGGACAACAAAGAAGCGGCATGTGTCCTTTTCTTGGACATAAAGGGAGCATTTCCAAGCATTAATTTAGACCGTCTCGTCCACAATATGCGAAAACGAGGCATCCCAAAGGAGTACACGGAGTGGATTCGTATCAAGACAGGACACAGATGCACAAAACTCATCTTCGATGGATACACATCAGACTGGCTCACATTCCCTTGCGGTGCGGACCAGGGGTGCCCGCTGTCCGGAATTTTATTTCAGTTTTACAATGCTGACCTGCTAGATGTCCCAAACAGGGCTAATCGAGAAGACGGAGTGGCCTTCGTAGATGATACCGCATACATCGCAACAGCTGAGACGATGGCAGAGGCAGCTGACAAGCTGCAGGATATGATGGAACGAGCAGGCGGAGCCTTCGACTGGGCTGACACACACAACTGCACTTTCACTGTCGATAAGTTTGCATTGGTGGGGTTCACAAGGAAAAAAGAGAAGGTGAAAGCGAGACATCGTGTTCGCACGAGAGAGGAGGCACGCAACAGGGAAAAGAAGGACAAGAAGTTCGAGTACAGGGCGCTGGAAAGACCAAGCATCACTCTGAGAGGTACGCACATCCACCCGTCAAAATCTCACAAATTCCTCGGCATTATAATCGATCAGGAGCTAAATTTCAAGGAGCACGCCGCGTCTGCACTAGCCAAAGGCACAAAGTGGGTGACACACTACAGACAGCTGGCGCGCCCTTCTAAAGGCGTCTTTACGAGATACATGAGACAATTTTACACCAGCATTGCACTGCCAAGAATGCTGTATGGGGTGGACATTTTCTTGTCCCCACCATCGCGTAAGGGAAAAGGCTCCAAAGGCATGATAGAGAAGCTAGCTAGAGTCTAGAGACAGGCAGCCATATACATAACTGGTGCCATGCGCACCACCGCTACTGATATTCTTGACGCACACGCAGATCTTTTACCATTCAGCCTATTGGTCGACAAAAAGTGCCATGACGAAGCCACCAGACTAGCAACACTAGCCGATGAGCATCCCCTCTACAGACACACCATAGCGGCCGCAGACGCAACAACCCGTACACCAGATCGCTCCCCTCTCCATAGGCTCCTAAATGAAGCCTACGCCATCTTTCCGAGCCAATTTGAAGACATCAAAGCCGTGCGACTCGATCCAAAGTGGCAGTCAGCCATCCAAACAAGCATTGCACCCAACAAAGATGGAGCCATCGAAGCCGAGAAACAAAACAGAGACGAAATACAGGTATATTCAGATGGATCTCTAATAGAAGGGGGAGTAGGGGCAGCGGCAGTCCTGTTCAGACACGGTAACAAAAAAGCGAGGCTGCACAAGCACCTTGGCAGAGCAGAACATCACACCGTATACGAAGCAGAACTTACAGGCATCCTTCTTGCTTTACAGCTCATACAAAACGAACCACCGCATCGCTCGGCATTGATAGCACTGGACAACGTCGCTGCGATACAGGCCACAAAGATAGCTAGGAACACCCCAGGATCGTATCTTGTCGACGCAATTCACGACAAAGTAGAGAAGGAGTTTGGAGGCAGAGGCAGAGGACGACTGACCTTACGATGGGTACCAGGGCACGTCGATATTGTAGGAAACGAGAGAAGCGACGAGGAAGCGAAGGCAGCAGCAAGAGGACTCACGAGCATGGATACAGTACTACCAAAGGCAATCAGGGGACAGCTTCCCTTCAGCCGGTCGGCGGCAAGGCAAAGGTTCAACGATGGACTCAAGAAGCGCTGGAAAAAACTCATGGAACAGTCACCGAGATGGCAAAAGCTGCAAAGGATAGATCCCACAGCACCTTCGAACAGATTTCGGAAAATCACCTCTTCTCTCCCGCGTCGACATGCCGCTACCCTTATGCAACTACGCACTGGCCATGCACTATTACAATGTCATCTACACTGTATACGTCCAGATGAGTTCGAGAACCCCACCTGTCCCGCGTGTGGGCAGCGCGACGAGACGGTGGCCCACTTCCTTCTCGAATGCTGAAGCTATACCGACAGTCGACACTGCCTTGAGCAAGCGGTAGGGCGAGCGAGCCGTAACCTTTCCGAACTATTATCCAACCCATCGATGTTCAAACACCTATTTGAGTTCATACACGAAACCCAGCGCTTCAAGAAGACATTTGGAGACCTGAACCTGCCAAAGACCATGGAGACGGAGCTGGACAGACCTAGGAGCCGAAACGAGCGATGAACACAAGCAACCACACCCCGAGCACGAGGAGGAGGCGGACATAGAGGAGCAATGAGACTCGTGCAGATTCGAACCGCGGAACAGAGACAGATGGCGGCCACGTTACGCAGCTGGTTAAACACAGCATCTGCTACCGGACCAAACAACAGTTAAGTACGATACCATAATTCTCGCCATGCGACCCAACCTCCCTGAGGTAAACACATGCCCCTTGAGGGCCAATGCAGAGCATAGAGCTGGATCAGGCTTACATACATTCACACTACCGCAGAGTACATACAGCTACACGTCTAGACATGTGGCACGCCGCCACTAGACGTTAATACATGACTTCACACACACAGTTCTGTTGTGAACGTAAGGCATGCAAAGGTTGACGTACGACAGTAGACGCGATACGCGAAGAAGCTAGTATGGCAAGGTGAATCTGGAGTTGTTTAAAATGCAGAAGAAACTCACAATTGGACCAAAGTGCTCAATAAATCCTGTCAGCAGAGTAGAGTCAATTGAAGTTGATGCAATGGACAGAGTCGACCCAGCGCACCCCTATCACAACCTCAACCTGCAAGCCTTCAGTCAGCCACGAGAGGTGATCAGATAAAGTCATTCAATTCACCAAGATACTCCTGCGAAAAAACATAGGCAATGCGAAAGCCGGGTAATCAGGGTACAAAGCACATACCACATATTAGGGACAAGAGCCGCGTAGTCCCCGAAGTTAGTGATGGTATAGTGGTAGAGAAAGTGCGCCAACAGTACGACGTGGAGGGTGTCAAGTAACCTAGCAAAAGATGGCATCCACTGAAGCTCGGGGAGCGAAAACAAAGGACCTACATCAAGGCAGCAACCTGAGCTGTGCATCAGTCTCGAACATAATCATGGTCTAAAATGGCACTGACGAAGGCTTTCACGAAGCGACCGTCATTGCTGCAATGCTCTGTGTAGTACAAGTACACTTGCAGACAAGTGACGCCATATATTCTGGAAGAAAAAAGAGCACCTTCGTCAAACTGATGCCAGATGGCAAGTATAGTGAGCGACAAGCTTACACGGTGGATACAATAACTCCAACATAAGCGGCACCTAGCAGACTGTCCAGAGGAACGAGTGAAGGCATGGCGCAGAGAGGCCTGATTATGAAGGTAAGCCCGATGAAAGCTGACTTTTACAGAGGGGTGAGGTGGGCTTTATAAGGTGAAATACGCGCACTATAAAAACTGTGGTCCGCAGGTATTCCGGGACAAAAGAAGAATGCAAATCGCTTGTCCCCCAAACGGCGCATTGCTCAGTATTGGCGAGAATCGCCGGTGATAGAATATTTCTGATAGGGGAATGCAATCCGTGGGGAACCAGGTGGACGATCATCAGCGCACATCGGGATGGACCATGTATGGTCGGAGGCAGGATACATCAGAGTAGGAATAGCGATATCAGTGGTTGAACTTTCACCAGGAAGATAGACGAGGCTGAATCAGGGCAGAATCATCTATATATATATAGAAGAAAGGGACGGTGAACGGATTGTGGAAACACAAAATGTCGCAAGTTGTGTTGACAGCCACGATAGCAATGGATGAGACTTTTCGAGCTTGCATTCCGAGTTTGGTTACACCGTAACATGATGTTACAAGCACAACATTCCTCCATTGTCAGCACCGGGATTCAATGGAACTATATTGTCTGATTGAACATAGAAAGGTGTTCCAAAATCTTTGTTGGGTGTACTGCGTTGAGCCTCATGCACACATAACAGCGCGGAACACCAGACAAGTGGTATGAGAACGGAGGCTGTATCTCTTTGCTCTTCACCCATAAGTAGCCATCTCCGAGATCAAAGAAAGATGGACTTACCGAAAATACCTCTGTCCAACACAGCTGAGCCGTCGACCCTGGATAGCAATGTTGGGCTTGTAGTAAGACGATGAAGCATTTTCGCTACTAGTGGGCTGTTTGCTGGCAGTGTTGTGAAGGCATCGGAGTATAAGTTTTAGATATCAGCTTACATGGACCAAAGCATGTAAGGATAAATATTTCAGTATTGTATGGCATCAGGGATGCCGCGCTTTGACATAAGCGGTATGGCATATGACCCCAGAAACCCCTCGTTTAAATCTTTATAATTAAATTTTCAACTCTCAGCACTAGTGAATGTACCAGCCAGGTCTGAAATTCCATAAGTGAGGTATGGAATAATACTAGCAAGGTATAAGTACTAGAGATTGGACAAAGCAATCTGCCTGAGTAATATTGAGCTTCTATCACTTGTAGACCACTTATGTTTATATGAAGAAATAAACATCATATTCAGAAATAAGGACAAGGGTCAACTCTATGCCCTTTGGTGATTGGCTAGAGGAGGGAAAATAGAATGATCAAAAGTGTCTTGTCTATGATATTAATGTTGAGTATACTCAGCAGGTCAAGAGGAATGGGAATTAGCATAGTAGCAACTTGTTTATACAAGTGAGATCTTTTTGCAAAGTTGAGCTCTAGATAGAGGGATATTCAAAACTAGTCTATTGCAGCATCACAAGTAGGTATTTATAGTAAATTAAAGTAAGTAAATTAAACACAACATTATAAGGTAAAGTCTAGTTGACATCACACTAAGACTAGAACTCTAAAAGAGAAAGAAAAACCATGTGCAGAGGTGCTCATGGACTATGAGGTTTTATTGCACCATAGCATCTAGAAAACCACCCCTTTGTATTAAGCTCTAATTAGTTATATTTATGCATAATTATGAAAGATTAGGATTAGACATTTTTAGCTTACCCCCCCTCTAAACCTGTTCTAATTAGACATAATTTTCTAAATTAGGAATTATTAGGATTGATTATAACTTGAAATTTCGGAAAAATCATAATAAATCAAGCATCACAGTTCTCATAGCCTTCTTATAGAGTCATGTCTATTAGAGCACTAGTTCAATACCCAAACACAGAATATACCTTATAACAAACTTGCCTTCTGCCAGAGTTGAACCAACAACCTCATGTATGCAAGCATCCGGGACAGATGCTCTAGCCACTAAGCCACAAGGTCTAAGATATAAACTTGGTAATCTAAATAAGTAGGCATGATATAGGCAACCTCAACATCTCTGATTTTATTTAACATTTATCTTTCCTCTCTCTTATAAATAAATAGGTCAATAAATACCTAAAAAGTCAGGTCTTTCAGGATTTAGTTTAAACACCAGCTGAGAAAATAATAAACCAATGGAAAATTGATAATACACTTTATATAGAATAAAGATAAATTATAGCACTTACACAATTTGGACTAAGAATGTGTAAAACTATGATTGAGTGTAATATTCAATGGGACTCTACTAGTATAGACAATGCTACCTGAATTTGCAAATTTGATCAAAAACATGATTATGAATAATCAAGATCCAATAAGAGAGAGGGGTTTTCCAAATAGCCACTAGTGAGGTAGTGTTACGAACTGCTCGTTCAGTAACCCCAAGAGTAGGAGGTTCTTCCCTAGGTCACTCGAGGAGGATGTGTGGAACGATGGTCTCGACTGTACGTGTAGCACAGGAGCCAGAGATGTATTGCGATGTAGCAATGTAGACTGCAGTAGGAAGACTGCAGTAGAATGAAGAGTCCTGTATGTGAAGATACAGGAGAACGAAGAGAATAGACTGAAGAACCTCAGCCTACTCTATGGGCCTTTTATACTACTTTAGGAAATAGGGCGTGAAAATACCGTATATGTATCTGTAGGTATTTTCTAAGTTGTCTCTCTCAATAACGACTACTCTTGTGCTTCTCCGTTCGTCTCCTTCCGGCCAGGAAAGACTAGGAGCTCAATGCCCAGTGTGTGAGTAGTTTGTAAGGTGGCATTCTATGCCCGTTGCAATATGGCTCGTGATACTCGACCAACAATAAGGTGATCCGTTGGGAGTGGATGACCAAGGTTACTATCTGTACCTTGTTGTACGCCTCACCTCGTGAGGCCACTTGATATTTGTGATGATCGTGTCGGTATAGACCGCCGTTAAGGCCCGACAGAACGTGATCATAACAGGTAGAGGGTGGGGACAAGAGTATATGTATAGCATGCCTACATATAAATCAGCACAAGATTGTTGGAGGTGATCTTAATATGCTTAATGCATATATTTCCTATATGGCAGGCAATAATATTATTCTGGCACTAAATACCAATATGACTGTCTTTTCCATAGCCTAATAGCTAGAGGAAAATACCAAGTTTGAGCATCTTCTGTATAACAAGGCAATAAACAATATAAATAGTGCTAAAAATTGTAATATCAATAGTGATGATGATTGTGTGCTGCACAAGATATTGTGTCCTGTAATGACCAGTAGCAGGCATTGGCTAATAATGACAACTTTAATGATCTTGTGTGCAAGGCCAAGGTACCAAGGTCTTTATAGCCTCTTGTGGCAGCCACCAAGCTGCCAACAAAGTGGCTGGGGGCATCAATGCACATTTATCTCTTTCTATGTCCCTTTTAAAGGCAGCTGGAACATCAGCAAAAGAGCTACAAAATAATGGTATAGGCATATATAAAGGAGAGTAATATGCTAAAACAGTATAGAATGTGCCACATCTTTACCTTCTCACTAATAGAGCAGTAGTATCTACTATTTCCTACTACTAATTAAAGACTTCTTGATATAGAATTAGTACTAATATCATGAAATTAGAAACCAATCCAATGCTCACAATGTGTTGCTCCTAATTAGGAAATTAGACACTTTTAGAAGCTATTAACACTTTTAGATACTTCTAGACACTATTAGATTTAATCCAGAGCTAATAAAAAGGGGTGGTTTGCCAGATACAAAATGACACTTGCTATATAGCCTAACTCCTGAGCAAGCAGAATGATCTTTTCTTTCAAGAATCCTTTCTCGAGCAGAAATTAAAAGCTTGAGGTCATATTTGCATCTTTCTTCTAAAAATCCATTGTAAGCTTAATCCTATTGAGATAGTTAGTTCCTTCATTCTGTTTTTTTATGGTATGCTCATATTATTCAGTACTAGGGCTAGGGCAAGCATTGGTACTGTGAAATTTACAAAGTCAAATTCGAGGATGCAAAAAAAGTGGCATAGCAATGCCTTGATAAGTATCCTGTTGAGGTGATTTACCAATTTTTTAATCAATCATGGTGGTTCATAGATGTATATTATATGGGGCTTACAGGGAAAGTAGCAGAGTGGGCTATATGTAAACAGAAGTCACACAGAAGGGTTGGGCAGTGCACAATAATGTCTGTTGATGCAATGCTGACCTGAGATTGGCTCAGATTGACTCTGATGCCATTTTAGGCCTAATTGCATTTTGTTTTTTTGCTCAAAAAACTGGCCACCCCCATTTTACTATGGGAACTTCCATAAAGGGCATTTTTCGACTCCCTTTCCTTCCCTGAGTCCAAATCTGAACTCAGTTTGTCCCAAAAAATTCCGCCTGGGGAGTTAGCAAAATTGTCGACTTCGCTTGTCTGGCACTGTACATGCAACTTGAACACGTTGGTCACGTGGTTACATACAAGTACGTGACACTGTGACTGAGATGTTCAACTTCGCCATCGAGCTTCAGTGTAGTTCACTGTCCTCATCATCTCTCCATCTCAAGTTTCTATAATGTCTGCTAGCATTTCTAGGAATACCGAATCTGAATCTTCTCCAAGTATGCCTCTGTCCCCGTTCGTGCGCGAAGTGCTCATCCTTTCTAGACAAGAAACGGCGTAGAGCCAGATCAAGCAACTCTGTTCCAGCTGAGCCTGAAGCGGCAGAGAAATGCCTGGTGACAGGAGACTTGGCGACTGAGTCTCCGGTCCATCTCTGTCATGTCTTCCATGAGCGCTACTGGAGCAATCACCCTATGGTCAGTCGTCTTCGTAAGATGTCTCTTGTGTCTAAGCTAATCTCAGCCAATCCATCAAGCTATCGCATCTCGAATGGGCATGGGGCATGAAATATGACACCATCCAGATGGATGGAGAATCCAACACGATACCACGTGCGTATTTTTCTCTGTGATATTTCCTTTCTCTGACTGTCTCCAGTCCGTCAGGACTGGCGCGAGTTGTTTGAATCTGACAGGTGGGCTCTAATGCCCTCAACTGATATAATCGACAAGCTGTGGGATCGTTGGGTCAAGTTTCCCCTCAGCAAGGGTAATGTTCCATCGATCGAGGATGTGCGTTTCCCAATTCCGTTGCGCTATGTAGACCTTGACTCTTCCTCAGATGTACGATGGTGCGGAGACTTTTGAGTACCGTCTAGTGCCACTATTCTCCAATGTTCCTTCCATCTCTCGTCGCCAAAAAACTGAAAATGTCCCGGAAGGCGAGGAATCCTCAGGCACCTTTGTCTATTCGCATCCATTCGACACTCTGCCGCCCATTTTCTCAAGAGTCAAGCCGCACTTCGTGGTATGCGATGCTGGCAGAAAAATTGAATCAATCTTCTCTACATCTTTCAAGATCCATCCCTTCATCGCCCATATCTATGGAGTCTCCAAGGAAAAGGCCGAAAATGTGTTGATAGTGGTGTATGCAACATATTGCACGTGGAGCAAACACATTCAACCTGCGACATTTGTGACTTCACCTCGAATAAACGATTTGAGGTCGCGCTCTGGTCTTATTAGGCCCGGCCAACCGAATTGTGCATCACAGGCTAGTCGTCCGAAGAAGCGATGCAAAGCGACTGGCGACGTTATCGATGCGGTGTGCCCGCAGCCGAAAGTTGTTCGATATGCCACCTCCCTCTCGCGTGTCTCTCCATGTGGATCGGACGTTTTAATTGTAGGGGATTCTGAGTGGGATACCGAAGCGGACGCGGAATATGAGAAGAAACAGCTCCACCGCGTAATCAAAGCTGTGAAACGGTGGGTTCGGGAGTGTCATCGGGAGGCTCTGTCATCGGGCGGGTGGGTGTCTTGTTTCACCCACGATGAACAGGTGAAGAGATATCGTCAAGAGCCGGCTCGAAAAATGATTTCGGCAATGTAGCGTATTCCCAACGCACACACCGCCATCACTGTATCTTTGCTGGACTGCAATGTGTATTCTTTGTGACCGAACCGTACCATCTACGCTTGCTCGTCAATCAACTCGGTGTAAAATCATTCCTGGATACTATTTCATTTGATCACTGCGCTTCCGCTTCCTCTCTTTGTAACTCGATCGCCATAGGCATGGACCCATACGTTGTGGCATGCAGGTAAGAATTGCTTTGTTGAGCTCTGGCGCTACTTCCCTCATGTTCCGATTCCTTAGAATAAGCCCTTGTCCACGATGTGGCTTTCATTTCGGCGCGACGTTGAACCACACGGCTCGTCTGTCTGTGGCAAGGTGGCAAACATTGCGACGGTATAAATTGTGGTACCTTCCCCTCTGCCTCTCAATCAGCTTGCTTCTCAATCCTTTCCTTCGCTTCCTCCCAAATTGACTATCTCGCAGTTATGTCCACGACCCCTTCCATTCAGTCATCAACTCGTACTCCTGCCCTTGTGCCCGTGGGTGTGAATTCCGATTGGGGCTTGGTTGACGCTGGATTCAACAACGACTCCGAAACAGCGAGAACACATAGCCCCAGCCATGAACTCAACGATGGAAAACAAGCCCTCTTACCCCACTGGAAGAGGAGGATCCTTCCGAAACAAATACGAACGTAGCTCCACTGGTCATTTCCCAAGAGGAATATGACGCTGGGTTGGACGAAGAAGTGGAGGTGAGCGACGATGACCCTCCATACAGTCCTGGCGACACGTCTTCGAGCGAGGACGAGACTCCGCCTGGATTATTATATCACGCACATAGGCGCCCCATTGGCGTCTCTACGTGCGCCATCAGCAGGAAGGATGTGACCGATTTGGATCCAAGCGAAGGACAGTGTCTGCTCACCCGTGACCTGCCGACGGAGACCGGAGTTGAAAACGCTCATCTGGTCCCCCAAGCCTGGAGCAGCAAGCCTGAATTGGCGAGTGAGTTCGTGTTGCGGGTATATATCGAGACTAGTTCCTCTGTAGCTCACGAGGTGCGAGTTGGCTCTGGGTCAAAAGTACAAAACGATCGTTAGGCAAAACGATCTAAACAAGTTGGTTTATCATGTAGTTTCTTGTTATCGTTGGTTTGGTCAGACATTGGGCCTCGTTGGGTTACTAGAATGTCGACAGCCACTTATGTTGCTTATGTCCTCTATGCACTGAGTGATATTTATGGAATTGCTATGATATGTGAGAAGCAAACCTGTCAGCTCAGGCAGAACACCCAGCATCAATTCCCAAGAGCATCGGAGCCAGTCGATATCCAAGATTCAAGACTCATTTATTGTCCTCAAGAGTGATGCAAAAGCCCTTGAACCCTCCCATCTGTCCCTTGCCCCTAACAAACATAACGCTACTATTAACACATCTCAATTACGAACAATTCTAGATTCGGAAAACAAGCGGCCTTGTCGATGGTATACACACGCGTTGATTATCCGAGACATCTGAATCAAAGCCGGGAAACCTGGATACAGTCTACTGCTCTATCTCATTATTTGTAGGGAGACGAGACTCATACAAGCCATCACTGATAGATGAGCACAAAAATCGAAGGGAGCAGCACACCGTTCAGGGCTTCGGCAATGCAGAGATGAGGCAAAATTTGTAGTCAGATATGTCCCGAATCGTAAGAGAGGTGTATTGCTGTGGAAGCAAGAAATGGTAATGATCACACACTAAAAACGATCGTGCCGAGGAAAACGCCAGGTTTGGGGGTTATGCATCACCCCATGAAGCGCGGATGGTTAGGAGAGCTGCTCCTCCGGCGTTGCATTTGGCCTTGAGATATGAACGCCGTCAAATGGACCGTCTGTCATTCATAAATCAGACGAGGCGGGATAGGCTTTCGCGAGCATGAGCTTCGCATATGGACAGCATGCACTAGACGACCCACTGTGCATTACGTAAGCCGAATTCTGCTCGTTTTGCGTGGAACGCAGCAATAGACACCAGGCCTTGCGCTTGAGAGAGAAACTTATGTTTCGTTCAGCTCCGAGTGGGAAAACAGGAAGAAAAGACATTTCGAAGGCTGCTCCTGCCACTCACCTAAGTCAGACGCCCAGTCCTGAAGTCAGGATGGTGCCCGAAGTCAGGCCTTGAAACAAGGCACGACAAGCAGACGCCTCGTCCTCGGTGGTTTCCAGTTTACGAGCTCCTGTCATCGTCGGCTTCATTCGGGACTGCAACGTGAGAGGGCGGAGGGTTGCGGTTGCGTCTCTGACATACCCTGAAATAGCTCGCTTATAAGCTAAACGAGAGACATTAAACAGAGGCGCTGCAACTACTATAACAGTATGACAGCGAGGTATGCATACTGTATGCATCCTAGGAGCAGCGACTGTGGCGGACAGAAGGAGCTGTCGCGGAAGCAGCGGGTGACGACGAAGGCTTCGAGGATGACACTCTGAGACACATAAGAGTTTCTGTTGACCACAGGCATGCGCCTACGAGTGGACTGGTTCCGGAGTGTGTAAAGGCAGCAGCCAAGGTCAGACAAGCTGAAAAACTATCTCGAGGGCACCCAGGGTGGAGACACGGAAGACTCCATGCCTGAGCTCGTCCTGGGGCTTCCACTACTGTGAGAGCGACTTTGGGAGAGTCCACGAATTGTGGCAGCACTGGAGGAGTGCGAGCACGGCCGAGCGTCATTGACATGCAACGAATGCGAAAACGACGAAACGTTCAGCCGGCCGGATGCGCTTTTCGTGCACATAGGGACGGTACACAGGTGGCCCTGATGGACAATGCCTGCGCGTATTCGATGGAAGGAGGTGTGGATGAAGTCAGATGGTCGGAGGTGGGGAAAGAGGTGAGTAGTGTCGTTTGTATGATCATCACATTGCTATCCACTTCACTCACCCGCCTTCATCGATTTTCTCTCTTGCTCAACACCTCTTTCTCGCCATCGATCTGAAGTCGATGCTCTTACGAGCTTCCGCGACGTGGGAGGGAATGAGATCCTGGCGAAGTTACCTACCTACACTCCAGCTTTCACAATACACCTGTCTTCTCTGATCACTTCTCTCTTTGTGTGCGGTCTAAGTCAGTGAGGAATACAAGAGATTTCTTGCCATCGTGGTGTGTGATGAGAAGAGTCGGCCGTTGCCGGGCCGGATGTTTGCCCACCGGTCCTCCTTTGCGTTCCGTGTCCCTGCCTTTGGGACCTTTGGGACTCGTTTGTTGGTGAAATATGTCTCTACTCGGTGCCTTCTTGGTCTAGAATTCGACGACGATGCTGTCGTGTTCTGGAGTGATATGTTTTTTGCGGCGTTTCGTACGTTGCAGCGCTGCAGCTTTTGTGGATACCAACTAACTTCACGCGTCTGCGCTCCCGAGTGGGCAACCCGCTGTTCTCTGTCGAAACTTGTCTTTTTTCACTGCTCTCGACGGCCATCGCTATGCGTCAAGTCTACAAAACTCCTCCCAGATAGGGTGACGTCGGACATGCCCTCATTCGTCTTGTTCCTCTCTCTGAACTTCATACATCTCTATGCTCTCTGCTCGCCCTGGATCATGTCTGTTGCACGCAGAACATGCCATTTTTACTCTGTGGCGGGTAATATCTGTGTCTATGTGATCTCTATTTACTCGTGGCACACTGTCCTGTCCTGAAAAAGTGGCAGCTCATATCATCGGTGTTCTCTCTTTTCTAGCCACTTCGTCATGAACCTATCTTGTAACAGTGAGTACGATCATATATCAACATGGGCCAGAAATTCGACGACCATAACTCAACATGAGGCTGAACTCACGTGATGTGTCCAGGTGCACTGGTTCAACTTTGCTACGCTTGGCCTTGGGCTCCAGCGTCCTCATCTCTCTTTTTTAGAATTTTTTCTAATGTCTCCGATAATCTTAGATACTGTCGGACCTCTTTCTTGTGGTTCTACAAGTACGCCGATCGCTTTTCGAGCTGTCAACGCAAGGTACTCATTCTCCTTAGACACCAAACGGCGTGAAGCCCAAGTAAAAGACGCCATTCCACCGAACGCTCAAGACGTAGCGAACTGCATCGTAACAGGAGACTCGGCGACTGAGTCTCCGATTCATCTCTGCCATGTCTCCCATGAGCGCCACTGGAGCAATCACCATATGCTCAGTCGTCTTCGTGAGATGTCTCGTTTGTCTAAGCTAATTTCAGCTTGTCATCAAGCTATCGCGTCTCGAACGGGCGTGGGGCATGAAATATGACACCATCCAGATGGATGGAGAATCCAACACGATATCGCGTGCGTATTCTTCTCTGCGGTATTTCCTTTCTCTGACAGTCTCCAGTCCGTCATGATTGGCATGATTTGTTCGAATCTGACAGGTGGGCTCAATGCCCTCAACTGATATAATCGACAAGCTGTGGGATCGCTGGGTCAAGTTTGATCCCCTGGACGGCCATGTTCCATCGATTGAGGATGTACGTTTCCGAATTCCGCTGCGTTGTATAGGGCCCGACTCTGCCTCAGATGTACGACGGTGCGGAGACTTTTGAGTACCGTCTGGTGCCGCTATTCCCCGATGTTCCTTCCATCTCCCATCGCAACAAAGCTGAAGATGGTCCGGAAAGCGATGAATCCTCAGGCAACCCTGTACATTCGTATCCATTTGACTATCTGCCGCCCATTTTCTCAAGAGTCAAATCTCACTTCGTGGTATACGATGCTGGCAGGAAAATCGACTCGATTTCTCTTCAAACTTACAGGACTACTTCTGATATTGCTCGTATCTATGGAGTCTCTCAGGAAAAGGCTGAACGTGTGACGACAGTGGTGTATGCAGCATATTGCACATGGAGCAACCACGTCCACCCTGCGACGTTTGTGATTTCACCTCGAATAATTGATTCGAGGTCGCGCTCTAGTCTTATTAGGCCCGGTCAACCAAATTGTGCACCGCAAGCTGGCCGTCCGAAGAAGCGATGCAGAGCGACTGGTGAAGTGATCGACGCGGTGTACCTGCAGCCGAATGTTGTTCGATATGCCACCTCCCTCTCGCGTGTCTCTCCATGTGGATCGGACGTCTTGATTGTAGGGGATCCTGGGTGGGATACCGAAGTGGATGCGGAATATGAGAAGAAACAGCTCCACCGCGTAATCAAAGCCTCGAAACGGTGGGCTAGGGAGTGTCATCGGGAGTCTCTGTCATCGGGCGGGTGGGTGTCTTGTTTAACCCACGATGAACAGTTGAAGAGCTATCGTCAAGAGCCTTCTTGGCCGGTGCTTTCAACGATGTAATATACACGTGACCATGCCATGACTGTCACTCTGCCAGACCGGTATCATGTTATTATCTCTACACAATATGTCCAGGTGGATGAAGACTCGCAAAGCGGCGTCCATCTTTGCCCAAACACATGTATATGCTACTACTTCTGCTTCCTCGTTTGAAATTTCATTTCATCATCATCTCTCATTTTGTAAACAAGGCCCTCTACTAAAGCAGGACGAGACAAGACAAAACGACCCACAAACCGTTCGATCCCGAGGAGGCGAGGCGGATACCACAGTCGAGCCAGAGCTCGAACGGCATGTAGTTGAGTGAATATTTGATCATAGGGAACCAGGGGCGATCGCACTGTGACCGCCAGCTAACGCATCAGAAGCACGGCTTGTTCACACACTAAATGGCTACGGCGCCGAGCAAAACACCAATCTTCGGGGTTGCGCGCCGTTGCAAAATGATGTGTAGATGACCAGGAGTACCAATGTCCTCTCCGGCGTTACCTTCGGGCCTTGAGAGGCATTTGTCGCCTGATGCACTTCCCTTCAACCATCTCTCAGGAAGCCAAGACGAGGCGGGAGAAGCTGATGCGAGGTCGGGCTTCGGATGTGGATGCGATAACGGGAAAACACCCCCGTCGTGCCATTGTCCCTCTCGTGGGGCGAATCTTGCCCAGTGTACGTCAGGAGGCGGCGACACAAGGCAGAACAGATGGTGAATCTTGAGATTGATTCCGGTCTGGGTTGAACAAAAAAGGAAGCGAAGCACAATGGGTAGTTCCCGCCACTTACCTGATTCGGACGACCAATGACGAGGCGAGAATGGAGCCCAAAGTCTGGTCTTGTGAGAAGGCGCGACAAGCAGACGTGTTTGCCATTCCCTTGCCCAGCTCTATTATAAGCTAGAAGAGGGACTTTGAACGAGATCAACTCGCACTCCCACTTCATCCATCCACCTCGACATACTCACCACTATGGAATACACCCACTACCCATCGTACAGTCCTCGCGACTGGCAGGATGCCATGTACACCGACGCCAATGTCGATCCCGCCAGTTACCCCCTCCTCGCCGTCGGCTACCCGGCGCAACAAAACATGGCGGCTCAGTATCAACATGAGCCGATGGTATGTCCATCGTGTGTTGACAATTTATCAGCCCGATACTGACTAGTTCCCACTGTTAGTATACCGCGGTCGAGCCCGAGTGGGCTCCAACCTCCTCCCAACTCCAGTTCGGCCACGCGATGGCGGGGCCATCTTACGTCGCTAGTGGCGACGTCTACTTCCCCCAGCAGATGCTGCCCGTTGGGGGAATGTATTACCAGGCATCTCCCATCGCAAACGGCCCCACGTACGGTTAGTCAACCTTTCTATTCACACTGTGCTGCTTGATCAACGGGTTCGGCAGTCCAGGAAGGGCTGACGCGCCCATACCGCTTGCCACACGTCGTACAGCCCAACTACGGTGCCGTACAGATGTTGAGACAGCCAGTCGCCATCTCAAGAGCGCTGCGAATGGCCACTAGCAGCAGAATGGGTGTGAGATACGCACCCTACGAACAGCAACCCAGGCCAGCCGCGGCGCAACCAGAGGGCACTGTTGTGGGTGGAGCAGGTACCTGTGAAGGCTTCAAGGGAAACACCCTCAGCCAGGCTACTATTACATCAAGGCTGTCCGCTCGCAGGAATGATACTGCGAACGGACAGGGTCCTGAGGCTGTACAGTCGTCGGGCGGAGGGCGGACTCGCCAACAGGCCACCATGCGGGCGCCCAAGGTGGACGAGCGACAGACTCCGTACTTGAGCACGGACTGGAACTGCCATGATTGCCAGAGAGGGTATGCGCGAGAATACGAGCTCAAGCGGCACCGTAGCACCACAAGATCTCACGTGGAAGCGTCGTTGACGTGCGACCAATGCAAGAACAGCGACACGTTCAGCCGGCCGGACGCGCTCCTCACTCACAAGCGGGCATTCCACGGGTGGCCCTGATGGACGGCGAATGGAGGGGGAGGGAGATGGGATCATCTGCGATAGGAGAGAGAGGTGAGCACCTTTTGTCTTGCCATCCCCTCTGCATTCCTCTTCCATCGCGTCCCGCTCGATCACCCCCATCGATCTCCTCCTTTGCTCAATCGCTCTTTCTTTCCATAGACTGCCCTCACATGAAAGCGAACGCTTATGTTCACGTCCGAATCGATCCGAGGGGATGCGTCGGGACTGCCTGCCAGTGCGAGCCCCCGCCGCGCTGGTGTGGGCATAGTATTGGACATTTTACTTACGTATATTCCGGCGCACTGGATCTCTCGATAGAGCCATCTACTCCGATTGTATCTTTCCGGATGCATTGTTGAGACCAGCGAAGAAAGCAAAAGTCGAATTTTGAGATGGTGGTGTGTGCTAACTGTGTGCTAGGAGGAGTCAGCTCGCCGGGCCGTTCTTCGCTGACGCACGTGCCTTGTCAAGCGCAGGGATTTTGGCTCGCCGTCGAACCAGGAAGACACGGTGCCGAGCTCTCGGGTTGTGTTTTCCACGCGCAAATCGACCTACCTCGCGTTCGACAGGCCCCATGGAACGTAGCTGGCACGATCGCACTACCATACAACAAGAACTCTACTGCAATACAACAAACATCACACCCAAGCAAGTCGACGGTCGCGGTCGACGTCGCTCACGACGCCTTGAGCGCCGCGACCCACTCTTTCGCGCCCTTGTCCAGCATCTTCTCCAGGTCTTTGGCCACGAGCCGCCGGTCGGTCTCCACGCCGCTCAGGTCCCCGCCCAGCTGCTCCTTTAGCACCTCCAGCACCAGCGCCGCCAGCTCACCGCCGCGCTTCGCCACGATCACGACGGGGGGTGCGATGGCGGCGGGGGGCGTCGACGGTCCTGGCCCTGGCTCGCCAGCGCGCTTGCTGTCGGCATCGACCTTGAGATCGCTCTTCGCAGTGTCAGCCGCGGCCCTGTGCCGCGGGGCAGGCACGAGCCCGCGCGGCGCGCGGTTCCAGCAGACCTCGTCTAGGCGGTAGGACAAGGGGTCGAGGCGGGCGTCGGGGACGAAGGCGAGCGCGATGGTGGAGGAGGTGACGCCGTTGGTGATGGCCGTCGCGCGCGCGGCGCCCGTCCACGACGAGGCGGCCCAGACTGCGTTGATCTCGAACGCTATAGCGCGCGTTAGCGTGTAGCAGCCTTTAGAGGAGGCGGGAAGGAGGGGTGCACGTACGTCCTGTGACGAAGGTGAGGACGTCAAAGGCGAGGACGAACGGGAGAAGGCCGGTGGCGATGACGCCTTGCTTGATGGCGCCGGACTTGGCGGCTTTGAGGAGCGCGTTGAAGCGCGCCTGAAGGTTGTCTGCGGGAAAGTTGGATGGGTAGAAGAGGCGGAGCTGGGGAGGCGGTCAAGATCGCGCGTGTGTGCACAGTTTACGGCGTGAGGAGGGAGGGAGTTACCTCGCGTAGCTTCTTCTTGCCGGGGGTGCGGACGAGGAACTCGATGCGGCTGTTCTTCGTCACGGACATGCCTTTCGCGATCAGGCCCACCGCCTTCGCCTAGCTCCGCCGCACATTCACTCCTCGAAGGCCCGAAAAACGGCAGCGCACGCACCTTAAACCTCTTCCCCTTCTGCTTCGCCTAGCGCTCCTCCACCTGCCACTTGCGCTGCGCCTTGTGCGCGACGCTCTCCTTCGCGCCCGGGGCGGGCTTCATGAGCGCGGCGGCGAGCGGGGCGTAGAGCACGAAAGGGGGCACCGCGAGGCGGTGGCGCTCTTTCTGAGGGAGACGGGCTGGCTCGGGGAAGGGGAAGAGGAAGGCGATGGTCGGGTGCGATTCGGGGGGGAGGGAAGAGGAGGAGCGCCGGGATCCCGAGGGCGCGAGTGCGTCGGCGTCGGCGTCGGCTGCCGCTGGTGTGTCGACGGTGTGTGTGGGAGAGGGTACGGCGTCGGAGGAGATAGAATCCTTGGTATCGTGTGGTGGGACGTCTGGCGATGGTAGGTCAGCTGGGATGTCGGATGTCGGCCGAGGCTGGGCCTTTGTATCATCGGATGGCGATTCCATGGTCGGCGTCGGAGGTCGCAGCGCCGTCTGGGGGGGGTATCTCGTCAACGGTGTGTAGAGACAAGCTACGGAGGTTCGACGGTGAGGGTGGAAGAGGAAGAGTGAGCGGGATGAATGGAGCGGGTGTTGACGTGCATCGGGGGAGTCAGCAGGTCGGAGGCTGGTGGAGGAGGCAGTCGGACCGCTGGATAACGTCGGTCCTTCCCGGCAGCTGTCGTGGTATGTTGGAGTTCTCCACTCCCAGCACACTCAGTCCTGCGATCTCCTGCGACACTCCGCAGATTCACAAAATTATCGTTATTCTGCCGGAAGAACGTGTGATACTGATGGCCCAAGCCTGTGGCACTATCTTGGCAAATTCAACCAAGTTCTGCACCATCACAGAATCACAGTAAGACACTACACTTGTGATCATGTAGAGCCTGTCGAGCTCGGATGGGTGAAGAATCTCGAAGCTGGGCACAGAAATGATCAGAGCATTGCATGGCTGTCGCAGGAGAGAAGCATCAACTTGAACAAACACAAAAAAGAAAAGAAGAAAAAGAGAGTCGTCGTGATTGTCAGCATCGCTGCTGATGCTCAAGTTGAAGGTCTAGAAGCTGTTGTGCTCGCGTGATAAATTGCGGCGGTATGGGCGGATTTCGTTTTGGTGGCAGAAGCCTGAGAGCGGTGAGAGAAACAGTTCGGCACGCAAACGCCCGGCCCGGCATCGGGCTGACTCTTCTCATCACACAGCACGACGGCAACGTTCGAATTCCTCGCTAGATCCTATGGCACAGAGATGGCAACGGAGAAAAACGATGCATTGCGAGATAGTGGGCGATGACACCCATGTGAGTGAACCTTTTCAAACCGTACAGCCTTTCCTTCCAACGTCGTACGCGCTCGCGGCTCGCGGCACTGGCAGACAGCCCCGAGGTTCGCCGTCGGATCGATGCGGGCGTAGAAATGGACGTTCACATGCCACGGATGGCGTGCTACAGGGAGGAAGGGAAATTGAGCAAAATAGGAGATCGATGAAGGCGGGCGAGCAGGGTGCGATGACAGAGCGATGAAAAGGACAAGGCAAGACACTCACCTCGCTCTCTCCTTCCCTCGATCCACCTCTCTGCACACAGGCATCAGTCATGGGCTGCGCGCTGGTGATTCCTGAGCGAGTCCGGCCGACTGAATGTCTTGTTGTACTGGTCGCATGCGATCGATCCCACCCTGTGTGCGGCTCCCCACTTCATATGTCGCGCCCTCTCGTACTTGCGCCCGAATGCCTTCCTGCAGGTATCGCATCTGTGCTTCGCACCGAGGTACGGCGTCTCCTTTCTTCCCGTCCTGGGAACCGGCGTTGCGGTCCTCGCGCGGGATTTCCCCTTGCCCAACGCCTTTACAGCCTTGGGACTGATCCTGTTCGCAGGAGTCTTCCTGCGAAGGGACTTTCTTGGTGTCATTGTTGCATGGTCAAGGGTATTCCCCTCGAAGCTGCCCGCCTGAGTCGGAACAGTGCCCGCTGGCCGAGGCAGGATCGGACGCCATCGCCTTGCGGAGATGGTGGTCCTGGCTGCGACCTCCCCACCCATACTCGCCTGAGATGATGGCACGGGGAACGTTGCCTCCCTCTTGAGGTGATGCTGCCGCACGCCCGAGCTGGCGATATGTTGCCCCATCAGCTGTATGTCGCTGCTCTGAGGTTGTACGGCATGAGATGGGCCGCAGTACGCTGGCGCCGGCCCTTGTTGGACTGCTGGGACCGTCAGTCAAGAAGAGAGCTTTGATACGAAAGGACTCGCCATCAGTAGGCTCGCAGGCAATTGGTGCTGCCTGGCGATAACTTCCCCCAGCCGGCGGCATTTGCTGGGAGACGTAGATGTCGCCTCCGCCGACATGAGAGGCCCCAGCGACCATGTAGCCAAGATGGGGGAGGGACAATGTCCATGCGGGCTCAGGCGGTCGGTAGAAATCGTCCCTGGCGATATAGGAAGGCCCCGTGGCCGTGTGGCCGAGGTGGGGAAGGGGTAATGCCCATGCGGGCTCGGGAGGTCGATATAGCTCAACCATGGGCTGCATGACACAGGGGTCGGTCAGCGCCCTACTAATTGACTGTAATAACAGGGAACAGACCATTGGATCGTACAGACGTCGAGCCATTGTTTGTTGTGCCGGATATTCCGCGGCGAGGAAGGGGTAGCTGGCGGAGAGGTTGCCAGCATCGACATCGGTAGAGGCGAACCGCCCTTGTGACATCAAGGAAAGACTTTCCTCCCAGCCTTGGGTGTTGTATGTTGGAGGGTATGTGTATTCCATGTCTGTAGGTCGTTTGGCAAAGTGGGAATGTCAGTGTCTCAAGTCTCCCTCCTGACTTTTAAGCGAACTGGCACACTGCGGTGGCAAGCATATCTGCTTCTCGTGCATGACTTTATGAGGCGACTCGGGGCACCATTCCCGCTTCGCTATTGGTCGTCCGAATAAGGTGAGTGGCGAGGACAAGCCATGTATGGGTGTGCTTCGCTTACGCTTTCTTTTTTCTTTTTTTTCCAACTCAGACTCGGATCAACCTTGCATTGTTCTTTTATTTGGACCGCCTCGTGTACCCAGCCAGCGAGAAATGGAGTCATTTGCGATCGAGACCATGCAACGGCGCGCTCATTCTTTGCCATCGATCTTCCATAGGGCAGTCGTGATACCAATGGCGCGCTATGTTCTCTGATGAGTGGCGGATAGAAGGCGCACCCGACGATGATCTGCTTCTGGGACCTGACTTCGACGGCGAGCGAAGGCGGGCGGCGGGAGCAGACCACTGTGTGGGCGACCACACTTCACCCCAAGGACAATATGCGACCCACATGATTGGCCTAGTTCCCGACGCCCCAATGTTTGAGTGAACACTTCGCAGTCATTCAGCGGTAACGATGCAGTCGCTCCTCGAGATCAAAGACGTATTCGGCTACGAATCTCGCCTCCACCTTCGCCTCCACCCGCGCTTCCGCGGCCATCCACGGCGTGGTGCATTGTTCGAAAATTTGCTCCATTTTTTTACGGCTGGAGGCTGGTGCGTGGTATCGTCCTCGCCCGCTCGTGGAATACTTACTAGTCCAGATCTAGACTGGACCTTTGCGTCATCCGGGAAAGCCTCAACGATGCGCCGGGCATTCTCATTAGCGATAGCCTAGCACGCCGTCCACGCTAGAGGCTGTTTCGTGCTGGGATATATGCCACGAGGAATAGAGATTCATTGTTACACAAGAACGACATGGGTCTCTTGGCATAGTCGATGCGATCGGTAGAGAGAAGCGACACATATGGTATACCACGACGTAAAACGGGGAGAACATAGATCTCACCCTTTTGTTGCCCTTTCATCAATAGATTCGGTGTCCTTGATTTTCCGTGAAGTTCGACTGCTCTTCTGGGGTAATCGCAATGGAGAGGGGCATATATGGATATATATAGGCATTCGGCAGAAGAGAAGGTAACACCGAGAACGTGGATGTGTGGCCATTCTGGATCTCAAGAACGCTGAGGTTGTATTGCATTCGGCTCTCGTACTCTTTTCCGTGGGCGGTCGAACCAGAGTCGGAAAGTTGCGAAACACGACGGTGGATGTCACATATGTCACTCCCCCGATGTGACTGGAGCACTCGCACGCCCTCCGACAACATCATGCATTGGCACCTCCCATCTCCTCGTTCTTTTGAAAAAAGCAGTCAAAATCATAGATCAACGCGTACAATATCGTGTAGACAAGTGTGACATCCTGTAAGCGACACACTCCTACGTCCTCTCATCCATAAATCACGAGTCATATAGGTCCATAGCATATCGACAGAGCTCGAACGGCTCTGAGCCTCGAACATAAAACTCGTAGCGTTGTAGAAATCAGCATGCAAACCCTTGTACGGCTCTCAGATAGATGTCGTCGCGAATGGCAGTGCTCATGGGCAGCGCAGGAGTATCAGCGTCAGCAACTCAGGGTGCAGTCGATAGGGAGGGACGAGTGAAGACGGCTGAATTCTCGGCCATAGAGAAGACGTCAGATCAAGGACTCACGATCCCTCCTTCCTCTCCCTTCGCTCTCTCTTCGCGCCGTTTCTTTCCGGCTCCTTCGAACAATGATCATCATGACCGACACACCACCCGAACGTGCCGAGCGAGCGCATCTTCTCTGCTGTAGCGCCGTTTGCATCTGTTGCACAGGAATGCGGGATTTCTGTGCGCCTTTGCGTTCTCCATGTGGCGTATCCAGTCCGCCTTGCGTCGAAAGCCCACTCGACACTCGTTGCAATTGTATCTGGTGGTTCCATGCAGGGTGTGGCGGCGTCTCTTAGCAAACTCTGGGTACTGTGAAAAGCTCCCTTGGTCTGGCACCAACGGGTTTGGAATGCACCTGTCTAGAGAGGAGCGCCTGAAGACAAGGGTTGCACCTTTGGATGGAGTCTGGTTTTTCGTCGGGTCATACGGACCCGGTCGGAAAGACCGATCGTTTGGACGAGATGCACTAGATGGTCCCGATTGCTCCTTGCTCGCGACATCTATACTCACGCTCGGTTTGGGGATGCTCGTTGGTGGAGTTGGATTATCTACGATGATCGGGTTGACATCTTCCTCCGCTATGTCCATCGCCAACAGCCCGTGGAACTCAGGAGGTGTAGTAGGTGGCCTGGAGCGCGTATTCAAGTTAGCAATGGGGGCTTCCAGATCCGGCACGGCGACGGGCAGTGGAGGATTGGCAGAGAATTGGTCATGGGATATCACCCGCTCTCTTTGTTCTGACGGAACGATCATCCGTAAGCAGATATTTACATGAAGATGGAGAATTACTCACTGTGCATTGTGTTTGAGGCGCAGGGTTCTGCCTCGTTACGATGCCAGACCGATGGTGCCGGCAGTGTCTGATGAGCATAACGATATGCACCGATAGATGGTGCTTGCGCTATTGTAGAGCAGTACGGGCAGGGACGATAAGGATCTCCGCTCGACATGTATGATTGAAAGTATTTGGGCGCAGAATACTGCATCCGAACACTGTGAGTGATTCATCTTTCTTCAATGTTTGGAGACATTGAACTTGCCGGTGGTAGGTATAGCGGAGGTTGATTTTGCATGGGTGGCCCAGATCGTGGGTATCCGGCTCGTAGGGGCGGCCCATAGTGCGGCCCATTATGCGGATGGTGTGGGGGCGCTCCATGCTGCGCCCGCGGATTATATGGTTGTGGCAAAGGATGGTAGGTGGGTGCATGATTGACGGGAATAGCAGTATTGGCGTAGTGCCTTGCTCTAGATTCGGAAGATATTTCTTCCATTTGAGACTGGGAGCGCGACATGGATCCAGAGGAAGGTGAGTGAGAGTGAGATGGACTTGAGGCGGTACTTGACGTGGCCTCCTTTTATAATCGCAGAAATATTAGCGCACGGGCAGTGGTGGCGAAATATTACCTGTCTAGTCCGTTGCGCTCGTGACTCGTTGCCTCAGTGCTTGTTTGTCTCTTATGTGTCGGTGTGGGCGCCTCGTCTCATTCAATCGCCTCATGGGTCTGCAGCGAGAAAGGTACGTACCACGAGTTCTGATACGGGGCTTCTTCCGTTATCGCCTTCATCAATACAGCCACCAGGCGGTGTTCTGGGCCTCGTCCCCATTTTTTTGGCGAATGCACTTATTATTAGGGCTCGTTTGTGGCCTTGAATGAATGTGCAATCGGCGCGAGGTAAGTGAAATGGTACCACGCGATGATCCTACTGAGGTATAAACATATGATCACAAAGCATAGCCGAGTCGACAGCGTGACATCACAACTTCCAACACTGCCCCTTCGTACACTACGCGGCAACAAACAAGATGACGCATGCGAGAAGGGATCTTATCCATTGAGTGAAAGGCATGTCGGCGAAGGTGGCACGTATCTCAGACGTTTCTGATGGCATTGTTCTTTTTCAGGCCATTCTCAAGGGAATGTCGGGCGCGTTTTTACCGACCCCATCGTTATGATACTTTCAGCTTGTCCTGCACTATCAAACCTTCTCATTTGAGCGAGGCCGCTCGCCGTCATCTCCAAAGCAATATTTTCATCTATAAAAGTATAACAGAACGGTATTGTGCATATTTCTTGTACTTTTCGGCTTTCCACACCTAAAAAGTCCCAGGCACCTTGCCATACGACGGCATCGTTCTTTAGGCGATGATCAATTGTGTCATGGAGGGCAACGCGATGTGCGTACTCGTGTTGTATCGTTCACTCCTCGTCCTTAAATATCTTCTCATCTTCTGACTACTCATCTTCCGACTCCACATCATACTCTACATCATCTCCCCTTCTTGGCTTGTCCTCGTCTTTGTGCAGCGTGCTCACGTGTCTTCTCAAGCTGTCGTTGCGCGACAAAAGATCACCACAAAAATCACATTTGAATGTGCCCTGCGAAACGTGATCTCTGCTCGTTCTGACGTGGCGGTTCCTTTCTGAGTTTGACGCGAAGGTCGTGTTGCATCCCTCCTTGGGGCACGGCACCCGTGCATTTTTTGATGGTTTCTTCTGCGTCTTCAAAGCCGTATTTCGATCTTTTCCCTTGGTGGCTGTGACAGGTCTCGAGTGGGAACACCCTTTCTGCGAAGCTACTACACCGACGGAGTCACCTTTGATTGTAGGGATATCCTTACAGTCGGGCAGGTGTTTGTTGCCTGCGCAGAGACCGGCCTCCTGGACTCGTTCCATTCTAACAAACTTGGGCGGCATGGCGTCGTCTGATGCTGGACGCCGAGGACCATCGTGTATGCTGTGAATGGCTATATCGGCACGGCTAGAAGGATAAGATTTGGTGGAGTCGGGGACGATATTACTCTGGTCGGGCATTTCGAAGGATACTAATGCGAAGTAAAGGTGAGTGAAAGATTCAATGAGAGGTTATGGTGACTCACATGGAGGGTTCTGAACATGTTGTCTCCTTGCGCTGCAACCTCCTACGGAAACTGCAGTGGAGCATCGAGACGTCTCATTGAACGAATAACTGGATGCGTTCTTCGTGCTCATCAAGTCCATCTGCTCAAGCATCCCGTTGGCTTCTGCTCAGGTGACGTGTGAGTGCTGACCACCATGCAAAGGTAATACTGGCTCACTGAATGTTTGAAGACTTGACACTGTCGCCGAAGACATCCCTCGAGGCCTGCTCTCGTCTATGGCGACGCATGAGTGCCAATGGAGGCATGGAGACATTATAATCTTACCAAACATCTGCCTCTGCATACCTTGTGCCATTTGGTACAGGTGTCCATTCTCCGTCGGCTCATCAGAGAGATATGGTCCATCCCATGACGTCGAAGCGTGTTTTGGAAGACTTGGACCAGACATCGCACATGCTAGTCACCATGAATGCGTGAGCGACGCCAGCCGATGTAGTCAATGGTGGCTCACATAATTCAGGCAGTTGCACCCTCGATGCCACTTCGCCGTAGTATTGCGTTCCAACCGGTGGCATCATCTGGGAGCAACGATATTCCTCGTGGCTTGAGACGTATGGCGTGCGTGGCACAGAATTTTGTGGCGCGTTCATCGAAGGTGTCTGTACACTCTTCATGTCGAGATTATAGTCGTGGTTTTGAGTGGCATTGAGCTGTCAAGCGGCAATGAGTGTGTCGTCGACTTTCACGCCGATGGTCGTGCTTACCGCGACCTGATTGGATTGACCGATGTTTTCTAAGACCGGAGCTTGCTTGAAGGTATCAGCGATGTATAAGCCGTTTGATGTACCGATGTCGTCATGGAACAGGAGATTGTGATTCATATTACTGGAATCTATGAATAGCTGTGGGCGGAATTCAAGTCAGTCGCTAGATGGAGGATGGATGCTAAGTTGACTGAGGCGGCGTCCATTATAAGGCAAACGAGGAAAAAGTGGCAAGCGTTGCTTGAATCTCAGCCATATCAATGCGAGATCGTGGCTTTGTGCAGCTTGGCGGCCACATCGCCTCATCACGGGCCAATTGTGGCCCCTTTGAAAGGTTCTGGAGGCGACTTGCTTTGCTGTTACATTTTCAATTGGTTGACGTTACCTGCACAAAGTGAACATCTAATCCGATGTACATAGTACATGTCGATGGCACCTCTGGGAGACTCCGCTCAAATGAGCTTGGAAAAGCGCAGAGAAATCAAAGCCGATTGTAAATAAAACAAAATAAAAGGAACTACACGCGCTTGGTTCAGGTTAGTTCTGGATGAGCAATATTGGACGACTTCATCTAAATTGTACTCAGCACACCTCGATTCCCCGAACACCTTACCAAAAGTGACAAGCAGGGTTTATAAAGTATAGCAGGCCGGCAGCAGATGCAACGCGGGAAGCGAAACAATGCTTGTTACAGACATCAGTCAAAATCGTCGCAGAGCGAGCATAGTAAAATGTAAAAAGAGTCCTACGGATGTAAATCTTGAGCTCCAGAGGATTGCAGAACGAGAAGATGTTGAGCGCACCGTCTGAACAAGAACATGTGATCCTGAGGAAGAAGGATCCCGCGGCAAGCTATCTGGATTTGATTGACTCTCTAATTTAGTACGATGTGAGTAGCTCTCACCCACTAACTCCTCCCGCAAAGCCACCGATGGCTTTATCCCCCAATTGAGATGCTTGCGTTTCCGCTGCGGCAAGTTTGGACACTGTGCATCAGGGAAAAGCTCCATATTAAATTAACCATAGTTAAGCATAAATATAGCTATATTTTTACCAATTACCATTAAGAATTTTTAGCTTACTCCCCCTCTGATCCTGAAATTATAAGATCTAATTGGCTGAGATTGAAGCAGTGGTCCATGGCTAGAATGGGGAGTATCAGAAGTGTTTGAATATGAGGAATGGATGAGTGCCATGAAACTATATTGGAATGGGAGTAGGCAAAAGATCTTTAATGAAAACCAGGACAAAGTAATCAGTAAGAACATGTGATAGATAGAGCCTAAATAAACACCCACATACCTTGTGATTGTGAAGCCTGAGTAAGACAAAGACAAAGAATGAGTATAGGTATCCTCAAGCTTTATATTCAAAATTACCAAATGTGTAGGTTGTTGTGGGGTACAATCAACAGCCACATAGTACTTAATTTAGAGTCCATAAATCACAAACATAATTGTCCAAGGCTCAGGAGGCACTAAAAATGATAGATTTTAACAGTGCTACATGCTACAATATAAAGTTCATCTGGAAAAACCTCCTTTCTTAATGAGATCTAATTATTCAAAATGTTAATCTGAGCTAATTAGAATATATTATCCATAATCAACTTTATGGCCAAATTTGTAAGTAAGGGAATATTGTTTATACTAATACAGTCCCATTGAAATCTACAATCTAATAACAATTTTACATATCCTAAATCCAAATTATGTGAGTACTACTATTTGATTTTTAGTATAATATTTATTTTCTATTGGTTTACTATATTATAGTCTAGTACCTATATTTAAATATTAAAAGCCCTAATTTTGAGGGTATTTATTGACTCCTTTATATATGGAATAGATAAAAGATGAATGTGCAATAAAATTAGAAATGCTGAAATTGTCTTATTTATATTGTCATATTTAGGTTACTGGGTAAATAACTTAGACCTTTTAGCTTAGTGATTTAGAGCAGTGATCTGAGGTGTGTAGGTATGAGGTTATTAGTTCAACTCTGGTAATGGGCAAGTTTATTACAAGGTATGACTTTAGTTTGATTAGTGAACTCTATAGATACTCTATAATTAAAGGTATAGTAATAATAGAGGAATCATAGGACTTGGTTGGTTGCTATTTTCACAAAAATCCTTATGATAAAATAGCTTTAATCAGCTCTAATTAGCTCTAATAATTTCAGGATTAGATTAAGGGTAAGCTATATTTATGCTTAACTATGGTTAATTTGATGTGGAGCTTTTCACTAATATATGCATGTTTAGCAACCTATAATACTTATGCAATGCCAGACTGTCAGTGACAATCTGCAATAACTAGCAACAACTGTCTGACACTATGATACTCTAACAGTCTGGTATCACAGTGTTTGATAGTTGTCACAGGTTGTCACAGCCTCTAATGGTCTGGTATCACAGTATTAGACAGTTGTCACTAGTTGTTGCTAGCTGTCATAGATTGTTGCTGGTTATTACTGATTGTTGCTAGCTATCATAGGTTATTGCTGATTGTTGCTAGTTGTTGCTAGTTGTCACTAGTTGCCACTAGTTGTTATATCCTCTGATGGTCTGGCATCACAGTGTCAGACAGTTGTTACTAGCTGTTGTAGCCTCTGATAGTCTAGCATTGCAGTATTAGACAGTTGTTACTGGTTGTTGCTAATTGTCACAGGTTATCACTGGTTATCACAGCCTCTGATGGTCTGGCATCACAATGTCAGACAGTCGTTGCTAATTGTCATAGTCTCTGATGGTCTGGCATTACAGTACTAGATAGTTGTCACTGGTTGTCATAGCCTCTAATAGTCTGGCATTACAGTGTTAGACAGTCATCACTAGCCATCACAGGTTGCCACTAGTTGTTGCAGCCTCTGATAGTCTGGCATCACTGTTAAGCCACTAGGCTTATTTCATATGCCTAAGTGCTAAATGGGTTCTCTAAGCTAAAACTGATATTGACGGCCCAACAAATGAAGACTATTGCTCTTCTTCTTGCATTATCCAGGAAGTCTTGATTACTGTCAATCTAGTCCTCAAAGAGGTGGAGGAGATGGTAGTTAATGATGTGTCAGTGTTTGTCTGGGATGAACAAATCTTCTCCTATGGAGCAGATAACTTCTGATGGATCCCAGCATATAACTCAATAGGCTGTGAGTCCTTGATAGGTAACAGAGGGGGGAGGATGATGAGAGCTCTGAGATGGATCCAGTGCTTTGTCAGACTAGGTATGATTCAATTGATCTGACAGAGGTTGCAATGCGTGGGCTGAAGGGAGCTAGACACTGGGTGCAGTGTAGAGATCAAGATGTATATGAAGTGAACAAGCTGAGTCTTCTAAGAAACCCAACTTGGCTATTTATACATACAAGTTATTTAGTGCAAGACAGATATATGGTCTATGCTTCTAGCTGTAAATATGATCAATGATTGACCTTTGTAATCTGTAACCACAGTTTGAACTCTGCGACCATTTTGTCCTAGCCATATATAGTAAATATATCAAATGTCTGTCTGCATTAGTAATCAAACAGGAACTGATCAGGAACACATCATAATGGGCATATGTAAACATTCAAGCCAAAGCTTGTAAATGAGTCACCGATACATAAGCATTCATGCCAAAGCATGTATATAGTAGTCAGCCTTTGTCATCCACATAGATCTACATTAATAGTCCAAATCCCAAGCTTATGCTCATCACCTGATTTCTTTCCTAGACCACATGCTAAGCATGTGTTAGGAAGCAGTCCTAACAATCACAGTGTTAGACAGTTGTTGCCAGTTGTCACAGATTGTCACTGACAGTTTGGCATTGCATAAGTATTATAGGTTGTTAAACATGCATACTTGACTGTCAAATCAAACACTCTAATTCTACACTCTTTTTTATTTTAAAATCCAAGGGCTATTGTCATAAATTTTGATTTAAGCTGGCCCTTGTACAGTCTTGATAACTGCAACCATTGAGGTATTCACTATTTTTATGTGGCATTTTTTGCATTTTATTGTGTGCAACAAAAGTCCTATAACATAACAGTTAAAGATTATCCAGAGTTTTATCCTGGGATTTACTGTAGGACAAACTTGAAGAAAATGTCTGAGCTTAAACTTAATGTTATGTTGCAGTTTTATTCTAGGATAAAACCTTGGATAAACTTTAAGTTTTTATTTAGGTAATTTCCTTGGACAAACCCAAACAAAAACTTTATTATTATCCAAGGTTTTATCCACAGTTTATCCCGGGAAAGACTCTGCAATACATGTAGTGATAGAAAACTGACACTGCATGCACCACAGGGTTTTTCCCAGGATAAACCATAGATAAAAATATGGATATAGATAAAGTTTTTGTTCTAGTTCATCCACTAAAACAAAAGCTTGGGGTTTACCCAATAATTTATCACACCCCATAATAAAATATTGTATTAACCTGAGTTTTTATTTTCGGCAGTTTCCACAAATAAACCTAAGCAAAAACTTTGTTTATATCCATGGGTTTATTAACGGTTTATCCCGGGAAAAACCCTGCAGTGCACACAATGTGAGTCAAGGTGCGAATCAGGCCATTGTGTCGTAACTGCAGAGGTGACCAGATAACACCGAGCAGCAATTGAATATTGGAGGCAAGACGATTGTCATGGCTGTTGAAGCATTCACAGTCAGTCTTCCCCTCCATCGCAGGATGCTGTTATAGTATCGCTTGATCTTCCTCTAAATTTCTGATCGCACCTCTCACAGTCTCAGTATGAACAGGTTATGGTGAGCCTGTGATGAGTGCACTCAATAGCCTTTTATTAATTTGCCATGCAGGGTGCTCATCAATGAATACAGGGCTCTATAAGACATTCGAGAGGATAGATTTTGGCCATGATTATGGAGCAATATCAGATGGTGGAGAGCACATGGGAGACGTGTTATATTATCATTCGAACCTGAGAGCGGCTGGCCACCAGATCGATCAGCGAAATCTGATCATTTTAGCGCCAAGTCCGAAGCCTGGGAGCGCCGGGGACCCGAGGGAGCGTTCTTGCTACATCGCCCGGGGCGCTCCTCTGCATAGCCTGCATTTCCCCACGTGATTACTCTCCGGACCTTGACCGTAGGGGCCTACAGGTGCGCTTTCTGTGCTCCGTCGCAATGCCTCATGGTATCAATCTCCGTCGCGCCCCTCGCCGGTAGACCGAAAATTCCTCTTGGAGCGAAGAACCTCCATCACAATGACCGTAATCATGACTATCCTCCTCGCAGTTGGTCTCGTCTGCTTGTTACTTTCACTCTATGTTCAATGCGGCAAAAGACGCAAGCCCGCGCCACTGCCTCCTGGTCCAAAGTCTCGTCCACTACTCGGCAATGTCACGGAACTGCTGCGATCCCAGCAATGGGTGATGTTCTCCAAGTGGGGTGAGATCTATGGTGTGTGAATGGTCTTGTTTGCGCAAACCCCATCTCACCACTCACACACGTTTTCGGGCAATGGTCATCCATCACGGAAACAGGCGGAATCGTACACGTCAGCGCGCTAGGCCAGTCGATCGTCGTCCTAAACGATGCCAAATATGCGCTCGACACGCTCGACAAGAAGGGCCGCCTCTACAGCAACCGCCCGACACTCATGATGGCTGGCAAGCTCGTGGGCTGGGACGAAGGACCTGCCCTCATCCAGATTTCGAAGACCTGGGGCGAGTACCGCAGGCTGTTCGCCCAGTTCATGGGAACGCGAGCCAAGATTGACGTGTTTCAGGACGTTCTTCAGCAAGAGACGCACACTTTTTTGAGGCGCACGCTTGTGGATCCAGAGGGATGGGTAAAGCACGGTTGCAAGTACATCCTCTTGCTATATCTTCATTGGGACCATCTCACGTGCTTGCCCTAGATTTGCAGGGTCGATTGTGCTGACGCTGGCATACGGTTATAAGGCGGTGGGTGACGAAGACGACCGGATGGTGAGACTGGTGGACGAAGCAGTCGAACCATTCTCCAAGACAACGGCGAGTAACGCATTCCTTGTAGACGTGTTTTCTATCCGTGCGTTCGATCCCTCCGATCCTCTTGGCTCTTGTACTCGTTAGTGTTGTGAATGCAGTGCGCCACGTGCCCGAGTGGTTCCCCGGCGCTTCATGGAAGAAGAAGGTGCCAAAATACAGGAAAACACTGCAGGACATGTTGAACCTGCCATACGACTGGGTCAAACAGCAAGCGGTGAGACTGTCTTCACGATACGCTGCTGATATCGACTGACAATGGTTTTCAGGCCACAGGAGCCGCGCGCGCATGCTTCGTATCGAGTTTACTCGAAAAGGAGAAGCTCACCGCCGAAGAGGAACACGTCATTAAGTGGGCCGCGGCAGGCATATACAGCGGTAAGTTCGCGAATAAACTTCAAAATCCCGCTTTTTTGACTGAAAAAAACTTCCAAGGCGGCGCTGACACGGTTCGTCGTTTCCTGGCTGGATTTTGGTCCTCGAGTCCTCATATCAACACGCGCGAGGACAGACTGTGGCTGGAATCAAATCGCCCTTCCCCGCTGTGACATTGCACGTTGTAGAGCAGCGGAAGCTCAAGAAGAACTCGACAACGTTATCGGAACCGACCAGCTACCTACCCTTGCTGACCGCGTGCGACTGCCCTATTTTGAGGCGCTGTTCACTAAATACTTCGTGTATTCGCCATGGGGCCCATAGGTGTGTGCACCTAATACGTATCATCACCATCGATCTGGCTGATTGAATTCACGGTAGGCCTTCTACATGTCCTTCGCGAAGACGATGTCCACAATGGATATTTCATCCCCAAGGGCTCGATCGTCATCGCCAACGTGTGGTTCGTCCATTTCCGCTACATTCCTGCTTGACACACAAAATGCAAAGTTGCGATTCGGCCCTCGTCTTACTCTTCTCAGGCAATTCTTCAAAGATCCCAAGACATACGCGGCTCCGGAAGCATTCTCACCAGAGCGATTCATAGCCTCTGAAGGGCATGCCAAGGAGAAAGACCCACGGGAGTATTTGTTCGGCTTTGGTCGTCGGCGCGTCTTGATCACGAGTTGTCCGCGTTCTGACGCTGGCTTGTTCACCGTGATCCCCTTCTTCGCTCCGTCTTTGTCTGATTCGTGGCACCTAGCGCTTGTCCTGGTACGCTTCTCATACTTCCCATCCCTAAAATACTGATCTCACTCACCGTCACTGGGACCACCAGGAATCCCCTTGCTGATGCATCGATGTGGCTACTATGCGCATCGGCACTTGCAGCATTTGACATCCGTCCTCCTATGAAGGACGGCAAGCTTGTCCTGCCATCTGGAAAGTACATGGATGGGTCGATTAGGTACGCTGAGCTTTTTCCTGCTTATATTGTTTGTCCATTTTTTGCGTTTGCTCACCTTGCGCTGCTTCGAAATGCGTGTCTGTTAGCCATCCTGAGCAATTCGAGTGCGTGATAACTCCTCGGACGAGAGCCGCAGAGGCGCTCGTTCATGCGGCTGGATGATATACGTGGCTGGAGTAGGTTAACATACCTTCAGATGCAACCTGTTCCCACTAAGCACAGATTTTTCATTCAATCTATGTGGCAGACCTCATCAGCACCGGTGGACGAAACATCGTACGTTAAGAACGCAACCGGTGTCACTGTATTACCACTAGATGTCAAAGAGACCGAGAAACAATCTGCTCGGCAGACACCCACCTTGGCGATAGCCAACACGTCGACCCCGCCCAGAGTAAGCGCAGGCATATGCAATGGACATAATGTGAATGATAGTCGAACGAATTGGAAACGAACAGGATGTTGATGAATTGATGAGAGAAAGAGTAATGTCCTATGCTAGACGCGTTGGGTCTGATGGAAGGGCACATGATCATCTGATCCCGACCTACAGCCGGCAGATGGGATGCAAGAAAAGCATCAGCATCAGTATCTGCCAGACGAAGCGCTAGCATCAGTATCTGCCAGACGAAGCGCTAGCATCAGTATCTGCCAGACGAAGCGCTAGCACTGGCACGTTTGAAATCAAGACTGTCACTATCCGTAGCAATGAATAGACTCCCGCCTTGAGCAGATAACTAGCCGCCCCACATATCATTCATCCATTCTAAATGTTGGAAGGACTTGATCATTCACTGCAAGGTCAGCAAAAAATTGCTCAAGTTGATGACGAAATTTGACTGAGAGTGATCGAAACCCATCGCTACGTAGTAAGCAGAATATAGCGCATTGCTTCTCTGTCCTCCGGCGCACAGACTCGTTAATGCGAGCCCAGCGTGAGGCAGGCATGTCAACGCACCTCGGTTGCAGCATGCACAAGATACTACCACCGCAGTTTGAAATGCGTATGCCGGGTCCAAGACCACGCACCTTGCGATGAGCCACGTCTTGGAAATAGTCTTTATATCAGACTATGAGGTGATAGATTACGGTTCGCACGCGTTCAGTCAGTAGGGGAGTAATAGAGAGTTTGGGGCGTTCGGCAAGGGGACGAAGCTGAAAATCCCGTTGGTGGGAGACCAGGAAGAGCCGACGGGCCGTTCAGCGAGTGTGATTGACGCACCTGCTTGATAATCGATAGGTGCATTCTGTTGACCTGTCTTAACATTATACTTTTTCCCAAGCCGAAACTGCTCGCAAATGAGCTCAAAAGATACGTTCTAATGGTTACAAAAAAAACGTACCATATCGACGTAAGCGACCTCTCTTCAGATACGGAAAAGTTTGATTTATCAAAGGACCATGCGATATCAATCTAGGGCAGTGTATGCGCTTTGAATTTGTCGCAGACGCACCAGAAAAGACGCGCCAGAAGTACGCATCGAGTCTCCATGAAACGTTAGCACTTCCCCTTAAACCTCCGGCGCCTCCTCCTATATCCATTTTCCGTGATGGCCCTTCAAGATATGTTGTGTTGGTGGACGACTATATGCGCGCGGATCCCGAGAAAAAAGGAGTTGGGCGATGGAGATCAGAAAGACCCTGGGTTGCAATGCAACATGAGTAAGGAAGGCTCAGAGCGCTGAGACACGTACTAGCACGCTGCCTCTGGCGATTATTGACGATGAGTCGTCGCTGCCGCGCCAGGGAGCACGAGAGATGGATAGAGGAAAGATATCGAGGAGGAAAACTGCAACGCCCGACTTACTTTTCTCACGCTCATTGAAAATGACAAATAGCGAGCCGCGATCGTCTCAAGACTCAGAGATAAGAGCTCGAATATGATATTCCCAATTTTGCTAGGGAATCTATGAGGTACTGTATCAAAGACAAGTTGGGACTAATGAGGGGGCACCGGCAGGTAACTCAACCTTCAAAACCTCTGCGACCACGGATTTCAAACCTCTAAGATCAGTGGTTTAGGCTGCTGAGGTCGCGAGGGTCTGCACCTAAAGTATCATGAGACAGTATCAGACTGACATCAGTCAAGAATGAGAAAATCGGTTGCATACCGCAAGCGCTTTCGTGAATGTCAAAGAACATGTCAGACGGGTCGGGCGTCAGTTGGGTCACAGACGCTTGGGTGAACCACTGGAGCGAATGGAGTTAGCTAGCTATGACCATCGTCTTTTGCGGAGAAAGCAAGCTCTCACGATAAAGTGACCGTCAACGCGATCCCCAAAATTGACCTGGACTCGGCCCGTTTGAGAGTGGTGATTGACTCCGACAACCTGCACGACTTGCCGCCCGGGAGGGACACTGAATGTAGTTGAATTAGACATGGTTGTTGTCGTTGTCTTCGTGTTGCTGAAGCCACCACCAATTTTGATACCATCGATGTTGATGCCTGCGCCTCCGTCGACAGTATTCGTCGTCGAGACAGTCGTGCTTCCACCGATTGTCACGGTTACAGGGTTCGTACCCCCATCACAGCTGTCGACACTAGCGGTCAGCCAACACACTACAGCCAAATTTTCAAAACAGGAAGATTTACTTTTGTTCGGGGTTGCCCACGACAGTGAAGATCCGTTTGTCGGGGTTTGTGGTTGGGGTGAGCAGGGTACATCGATCTGCCTTCTCAATATTATGAGAGCCTGCAAACTATCCGCGTCAGAGAGAGAACATACTAATTGACATTGCATAGGAACTCACCAACTCCACCTGGGCACGAAGCAAATAGGTCTGCATCCGAGGGAGAACTGTCCCGGATGGCCAGCGGTACAGCATCGGCACCAGACAGGAGAATTGCAAAAAGAATGGCAGAGGTCGTATGAAAGAACATTATCGAAAGTCGTCTCAAGAAGTCCAAAGAGTGTTGCTATAGTAGAAACAAAAGTGGTACACTGTACACGTTTATCCGTCAAGGATGAGAAGTGAAATGAAACTGGCTGACACCTGGAATCGAGGAGAGGTTTATATATCTAACACGCCCCCTCGGTCTAGCCTGGATTGCACCGAATGGGAGGATGAAACACGATGGAACGTTGTATCAATAAGATATAGATCAGCATAGGTTCATCACGTTGTGAATCATGATACAAATGGGCTGATCACAATTCTCTCCGTCTATCGAGCATGGAAAACAAGTTTCAGAGATCTCTGAAGATCGAATGTGATCGTGGAGGCTGAGGGTCTGAGGTTCTGGATTCTTATGTGTGGCCGAGCATAGTTCTTGCAAGCGACTTTTCTAAACCACAGAAGGGGTAAGACCCATTTGGAGGTCGATGTTTGATACCTGACACAGAATGGTGGTCTAGCTCCGTAGATGCAACTCGTCACACAGATGGTGGCTTCGAAGTGCATGCTGAGAATATATGTTTCAGAAACAAGCGTGTCAGATGTGGAAACAAAGCGCTCTCAAGAACAAACGTCAGGCACAATCAAGGGGGAAATGGCTTGGTGCTATGTGGATAGAAGCGCCCGGTGACATGCAGTTACACCCTTTATGCGCTTATCAGGCTCATTTGACGTGTATCAAAGGCAGCAGAGCGCTACTAGACGGTATGTCAGGGTTGAACACTACACTCGATACTTGATAAAGGAGAAAGCCCACATTATGTCCTTATTGTGCGCAGCAGCTAACGGCAAAATCGTTCGAGGTGGATACTGCCTCCAATAATTTGCGGAAACAGGTATCGAGGGCATGGAAACGGGGGAGATGCGCCGATGAGGCCTCAGTTACAATCGCCACGACTAAGCACGAATCAGCCGAAGCGCTGATACTCAGAACACCGGTGAGCGCGCAGAGATCGTGATCGGAATATGCTGAATAGCCTGTAGGTTTCTCTCGTTGGTTTAACAGCCCCGCGCCGAGGGCCTCTTCGATGAGTCATACATTGATGTATGTGTAGGTTTTTTCATGAAGGCTTGTACGTCCCTTCATTATTCCACCTGCCCCCGCCAGTGTGTGATGCTACCTGAACTCCGTACATCAAACCCTTACGCATCACTGATCTTTTATAGGAGTATATATCAGACCTATGCATAGAAATTCACCATCCGTCATACGCTTCTGGCAATGAAATGGATGAGATACGTAGCAGTTTCTTTTGTTTTCTTTATAGACGATGGATACTCGTGCTTCTGCCAGAAATGAGGGTCTCCTGTGTTTCTCTTATCACAGCTGGTACGAGTGTTGTAATATAGCCGCCATGACTCTATACGAGCATTGCATCTTCAAACCTTGGTGCCCTAGGCGTCGGACATCGAAAACTTTGGGTGGCGATACAGCATTGACAGTGAGAGTTCTGACGAGAATTCGGGACGCTATGACATATGCTGGCTCTGGCGACATTTGATGACGAGTCGTCACTATCAGGCCAGGTGAGCACGAATGGTGCACGTCGAAGACATCTAAGACGAAAATTGTGACGCAGCGGCCGCCGCGGATGACTCCGACTTTTCTCACGCCCTCGCTACAAACAAATAAGGTAGGCTGCAAGCAAACACGACATTGAGTGACCATGGAGTGACAAAAGACTTATTAAGTAGTTAATAAGTAGTATTTGTTGACAATAAGTGAGCTGGGGGATAGGAGATACAGAAAGTGGGCAAGGAGTGGTATGTGTAATGAAAGTGATACTGCATAAGTATCTTACTCTATGTGATGTTCATCTAGCTGCTCCAAAATTGAGTCCGGAAGCCTGCAATGGCCATGGTATCTTTTTGCTGCCCAAGATGCCTGCTTTCCAGATAGCCCTTTCCAATATGCATCCATTAAATGTTGTGCCCATGTTGAAAATCTAGCAGACATCAAGACAATATAATTTGAAGTTAGCCTCAATAAGGATCTATGCTTGGGTGAGAAGGACTTACTGCTGTATAGATTGAACTAACACAGATGCAAGAGCTGTCTTTACATTTTGTTCAAGGGCAGCCTCCTTTGAAGAAGGAGGAAGGTCTTGATATGTATGCTTTGCTTTTCCCCAGCATTGCTCAATTGGGTTAAGCTCACAGTGAAATTTTGGAAGGCAAAGAACCTTAAAACCATGAGCTCAACAGTGAGTCTCCAAGATAGACTCAATATCCTCGAAGTTGAGTTGGTTGTAAAGTAACCAATGACAACAGTAGCGAGAAGTACCAGTTGGACAGTTGAATTTGGGACATTCTGCTTATAAGTTTTGAACATCTTAATATCTGTGCTCCTCTAAGATCCTCACCATGCCTTTGAAGACACCAGCCTTGTTATCTGGATCCTCACCATTAGCAAAATACAGGGATTGAGAGTGCCCATCAAACATCACATTGACCATCCGCACCTTCTCTCTAACAACTTTTCTATCAGCACCATAAACTGGCTTTCCATTGGCACCAAGCTTGTCCCACAGGACACCAAAATTGGAGGGACCATTAGATTTGGAGGGATACTTGGGCATCTTTTGGGCTGATAGTGCATCGTCAGGATGCTTTATGCGAGTTTTTGCATTACCAAAGACAAAGATATGCCTATTGTAGGGGAAGTGCTTGCTGAGGATATCCATTGCCTTCATAGTATGCTCTGTGATATTGCTATTTGTAAAGTATCCATTGCGCACCTTGCCTGCCTTGAAATATACCTGCACCTCTTCTACTCCATCAGGCAACCATAGCCAACCATAGTCCACAGAGATCAAGTCAGTCACCATCAATGACACTGATGAGCATGCACCCATGCTAGGGTCCAAGGGAGGTATTCGGGAAGCTTTGGGGAGGTACTGAACAGTGCTAGATGAGTACCGAAGACACCAAATATTCCCAAACACAGTCAGTCCCCACCCAACCAACCATAACCCACCAAAGGACATTTGGCAGCACTTGGGTCAGGTCACCCACACTTCACATACTTACTATGACCACACAGGAGTGTTACAATAAGTGTTTACGAGATTGGAGCCAGTATTCTGTGTCAGCCAATGTCCTCCATGAGTTGGTTGGTCCTTATTGCTTATCTTCCCAACTTCCACATGGTCAGTCAAACATGATCTTGCATCATTTTACTTGGCCACCTTGGTTGTACATTATGTCTTCTTTATTTTCATTGGCTCACCAACGCCTGTTTCTGCTACCTACACTCAGGCAACGGACCCCAAACATTTGGGATTTCACCATCACTGATTACCTTTTACCTTGGACGACAGAACTCACCGAAATGAAGAAAACAAACAAAACACTCGCAAGACGAGCCTACAGGCACAGAGCCGACCCGGAACACACAGCGCATGAGGAGCATGAGCAGGCACGGAGGAACTACGCAGACGCAATTGAAAAGGCAAAGAAGACACATTGGGAGGAATGGTTAGAGAACCTGCAAGGCGAGGAAATATGGATAGCAAATAAGTACGTGGATAAAACTTCATCAGATGGGGCTCAGGCGCGCGTTCCGACGCTCAAGCGCAAAGAAGAGAATGGCGTAGTAGTAGAAGTGGAGACTAACGAGGCCAAGAGCCATTTTTTATTCGAAAGCTTCTTTTCACAGGACGAGACTCAGGCACCTAGCCCGATGGACCACAGCTACCCTGAACCAGCATTTCCCTTCCGTCCTGTAACCAACGCTCAAATCTACAGAGCCATAGAGAGACTCTATGGCCTCAAAGCCCCTGGCGACGACGGCATCCCAAATATTGTCTACAAAAACTGCGCAAGCATCCTAGTCCCATTTCTTGGACCCATCTTCCGCGCCACATTCTCGCTTGGCATCTACCCTCAGGACTGGAAAGACTCGCGGACGCTCGTACTACGAAAACTCGGCAAACCAGACTACTCCAATCCTAATGCATACAGGCCAATTGCCCTACTCCGCACTATCGCCAAAATTCTTTCAGCCTGCATCGCGTCTGAACTAATGCAACTAGCCGAACTCCATCACCTCCTTCCCGACACACATTTTGGCTGCAGAGCCGGCCGGAAGACGACAGACTCACTTCACTATGTCACGCGCAAACTACACGACGCCATGGACAACAAAGAAGCGGCATGTGTCCTTTTCTTGGACATAAAGGGAGCGTTTCCAAGCATTAATTTAAACCGTCTCGTCCACAATATGCGAAAACGAGGCGTCCCAAAGGAGTACACGGAGTGGATTCGTATCAAGACAGGACACAGACGCACAAAACTCATCTTCGATGGATACACATCAGACTGGCTTACATTCCCTTGCGGCGCGGACCAGGGGTGCCCGCTGTCCGGAATTTTATTTCAGTTTTACAATGCTGACCTGCTAGATGTCCCAAACAGGGCCAATCGAGAAGACGGAGTGGCCTTTGTAGATGATACCGCATACATTGCAACAGCGGAGACAATGGCAGAGGCGGCTGACAAGCTGCAGGATATGATGGAACGAGCAGGCGGAGCCTTCGACTGGGCTGACACACACAACTGCACTTTCGCTGTCGATAAGTTTGCATTGGTGGGGTTCACAAGGAAAAAAGAGAAGGTGAAAGCGAGACATCGTGTTCGCACGAGAGAGGAGGCACGCAACAGGGGAAAGAAAGACAAGAAGTTCGAGTACAGGGCGCTGGAAAGACCAAGCATCACTCTGAGAGGTACGCACATCCACCCGTCAAAATCTCACAAATTCCTCGGCATTATAATCGATCAGGAGCTAAATTTCAAGGAGCACGCCGCGTCTGCACTAGCCAAAGGCACAAAGTGGGTGACACACTACAGACGGCTGGCGCGCCCTTCTAAAGGCGTCTCTACGAGATACATGAGACAATTTTACACCAGCGTTGCGCTGCCGAGAATGCTGTATGGGGTGGACATTTTCTTGTCCCCACCATCGCGTGAGGGCAAAGGCTCCAAAGGCATGATAGAGAAGCTAGCCAGAGTCCAGAGACAGGCAGCCATACACATAACCGGTGCCATGCGCACCACCGCTACTGATATTCTTGACGCACACGCAGATCTTTTACCATTCAGCCTACTGGTCGACAAAAAGTGCCATGACGAAGCCACCAGACTGGCAACACTAGCCGACGAGCATCCCCTCTACAGACACACCATAGCGGCCGCAGATGCGACAACCCATACACCAGATCGCTCCCCTCTCCATAGGCTCCTAAATGAAGCCTACGCCATCTTTCCGAGCCAATTTGAAGACATCAAAGCCGTGCGACTCGATCCAAAGTGGCAGTCAGCCATCCAAACGAGCATTGCACCCAACAAAGATGGAGCCATCGAAGCTGAGAAACAAAACAGAGACGAAATACAGGTATATTCAGATGGATCTCTAATAGAAGGGGGAGTAGGGGCAGCGGCGGTCCTGTTCAGACACGGTAACGAAAAAGCGAGGCTGCACAAGCACCTCGGCAGAGCAGAACATCACACCGTATACGAAGCAGAACTTACCGGCATCCTTCTTGCTCTACAGCTCATACAAAACGAACCACCGCATCGCTCGGCATCGATAGCACTGGACAACGTCGCTGCGATACAGGCCACAAAGATAGCCAGGAGCACCCCAGGATCATATCTTGTCGACGCAATTCACGACAAGGTAGAGAAGGAGTTCGGAGGCAGAGGCAGAGGACGACCAACCTTACGATGGGTACCAGGGCACGTCGATATTGTAGGAAACGAGAGAAGCGACGAGGAAGCGAAGGCAGCAGCAAGAGGACTCACGAGCATGGATACAGTACTACCAAAGGCAATCAGGGGACAGCTTCCCTTCAGCCGGTCGGCGGCAAGGCAAAGGTTCAACGATGGACTCAAGAAGCGCTGGAAAAAACTCATGGAACAGTCACCGAGATGGCAAAAGCTGCAGAGGATAGATCCCACAGCACCTTCGAACAGGTTTCGGAAAATCACTTCTTCTCTCCCGCGTCGACATGCCGCTACCCTTATGCAACTACGCACTGGCCACGCACCATTACAACGTCACCTACACCGTATACGTCCAGACGAGTTCGAGAACCCCACCTGTCCCGCGTGTGGGCAGCGCGATGAGACGGTGGCCCACTTCCTTCTCGAATGCCGAAGCTTTACCGACAGTCGACACCGCCTTGAGCAAGCGGTAGGGCGAGCGAGCCGTAACCTTTCTGAACTACTATCCAACCCATCGATGTTCAAACACCTATTCGAGTTCATACACGAAACCCAGCGCTTCAAGAAGACATTCGGAGACCTGAACCTGCCAAAGACCATGGAGACGGAGCTGGACGGACCTAGGAGCCGAAACGAGCGACGAACACAACCAACCACACCCCGAGCGCGAGGAGGAGGCGGTCATAGAGGAGCGACGAGACTCGTGCAGATTCGAACCGCGGAACAGAGACAGATGGCGGCCACGTTACGCAGCTGGTTAAACACAGCACCTGCTACCGGACCAAACAACAGTTAAGTACGATACCTTACTATACCACCATAATTCTCGCCATGCGACCCAACCTCCCTGAGGTAAACACATGCCCCTTGAGGGCCAATGCAGAGCATAGAGTTGGATCATGCTTACATACATTCACACTACCGCAGAGTACATACAGCTACACGTCTAGACATGCGGCGCGCCGCCACTAGACGTTAATACATGACTTCACACACACACACACACACACCTTTTACCTTATCACCTTTGGAACCCATATAGACATCTTACCTATCTTCTTATCTTCTCTGATTGCTAGGGCTTGGCACCCATTTGACACCTACTCTCATTTTATTTTCGATATTTTACTTAGGGGCTCTGTTTACTATAAAAACTTACATACAACTCTGGAATAAACCAGCTTTCGCACCCCACAGTTCAGAGCTCATTTGCACTCATCTCAACCATCAAAATCATCTTTGTCGACTTCCAAAAACTTGTCATCCTCGTCGTTTGGCCTCGTTCGTGTTTGTACTTGTCTCTTTGCTCATACTCCTCGTCCCCCCCTGTATATTATCAGAGTCTTGTGTGGCTCTTGAAGCATATAGTTGTCAGTCACGACACTACCTTCTTGTCACCGATCAACTCCTTAACCCGACTTGACCAACCAAATGTTTGGTTGGTGTTTGGTACATTCCCAAAACCATTTGGGCGCTTTAATCTCACCCTCCTCATTACTCTTTAGTGCACCCTCACTTTCTGAAGTCCTAACTAACAATTCCTTGTGTATCAGATACTAGAGGTTGTTTTAGTGTTGTGCTTGGCACTTAGAGCTGCCTCTAGCATATCAATGCACCATCTCCTTTTGACTGCAGAACAGGATTTTTGCCAGTGTGCACCCATGTTAAGCCGCTAGGCTTATCACGTGCACTTAATGCACTAAGTAGGGTTCCCTAAGCTAAAACTAAGATTGACTGCCCAACGAATGAAGACGATGGCTCGTCTGCATGTGTGATCCAAGAAGTCTTGGTTACTATTGATCTTGTCTTCGAATAAGTGGAGAAGATGATTATTTATAATCGACTGATGTTCTTCAGGAACGAACAAGTCTTCTCCGATAGAGCAGATCACTTCGGATGGATCCCAGCAAATGACTCGATAAGCAGCGAGTCCTTGATAAGCGATAGAGACGGGAGAATGATAAGGGCTTTGAGACGAATCCAGTGCTTCGTCAGACTAGGTATGATTCAATTGATCTGACAGAGTTCGCGATGCGTGGGCTTGGAAGGAGCCAGACGCTAGGCGCAGTGCAGAGATCAAGATTGTATACAAAGTGAACGAGCTGAGGCTTCTAAGAAGCTCAGCTCGGCTATTTATACATACAGACTATTTAGGGCAAGCCGGACAAATGGTCCGTGCTTCTAAACACTAAGTACGATCAACGATCGGCGTATGTAATCTGCAGTTCTGTGCTTTTATCCAATTATAGTAACAATGACGATTGTCTGTCCGCATCAGTAAACAATTCAGGAACACAGTTAAGTGATGTCATAACAGGCATACGTAAACGTTCAAGCCGAAGCTTGTGAATGAGTCAGTAAGGTAAGTGTTCATGCACTGGCATGTATATGTAATCAGTCTTTGTCACCCGAATATGCCAATGAGTCACGTGCTGAGCACGTGTTAGGACGCAGTCCTAACAACCCAGCACACATGCCATCGGTCATTTGCATAGAATGTTGACTCATTGTAATACTAGATGATAGTGTGGCACTCTTGTGGGTGCAGAGCATTGTTCTCTTCTTCAACACCATTTTGATTCCATGTGTAAGATGTTCTCTCCAAATAGGCCATCCTCAGGAGAAAAGAAGTCTGATGGTATGTGACCACACCACTGCGCTCATGGCCATCAACATACTAACTGGTAGGACTCTTTTGCCAGTGGTACCCAACCATACACATCCATCGCTGAGCCATAGCTAGCAATATATTCTTCTCTTGAAGTGAGTACTGTTTCTTGATCTCTGTACTGTTTATAAAATACACAACTGCCACTGCACTGACATATTTACTAATTCCCATCAGGTGCTCATGGATAGCATTCACAAGATCCCTATTTTTCAGCATGGATACACTCCATGAGCTATAGAGGTTAAAAAGGAGGTCATCCCGGTTGATGATGAAGGAACGAACCCATGCATGTAGCTGCTTTGTCATGTGAGTGCTCCTTTTGTAGTTTTCTGCTGTTTTGATTGAGGCCACCATCCAGCTGAGGCATCATCTTGTGTCTGTATAGGCAGCAAGAAACATCCATAACATTTCTAGCCACTTTCTCAGGAGATCATCACCATGAAACGGCTTATGACCCTGTCCACTCCGATGAGGAGGATACAAGACCCTCTCCAGATCAAGCATTGCAATGCATGCATCCTCGATTGATGGCAGTCTATGAAAATTGCCACTGTGTACGGATCCCTCAATTGAACATGCAGTATCATCAAGCTAACCAAGATCATCCAGCTGCTCAGGTGAGTCATTATGTTGTGATATCAAGCTAAGGCTGACTCACAGGCTCCAAGCTTCTCAAATCTGCTTCGACTTGTGGTACGTGGCTTTCTGTGCCATGACTAGCTCTGACCCCACTTCTATTGCTTCTCTCGTAGATTTGCAAGATTTCTGGGTGCTGACAATAGCAGCATGGATGCTTGTTGAGCAGTCTTCCATCCTTTTGTCTGCTGGGATCTGCTTGTAACGAGGTGGCATCATGGGTCACATTATACTGCAGGTAAGGCTCACATTCTCTTTGTTTTCTGGAGATATTATTTGACCCTTTTGTGCCTATTTACCTAGGCATTTTTTTTTTTTTTTTTTAATCCCATTTATTGTCATATCAGGGTAACAGAACCCTATGTTCGACATTTCAAGTACATATGAACCTTCCCTTTCCTTCCTGTGTGCCCAACCTTGCCTCCGAACCAGCTCCGGTCGTGTGAATTTGAGGGTTGATCCTTGCCGGCGAATATTGTGTGAAAAGAACTGGGCTCGTTCAAGAATGATGCTCGCCCACTTGCGCGGGCATGCACGAATGAGAGACGTGAGACCTGTGAGTTGGCGAAAAAAAAAAAACGCTGTGAAGTGGTAAGGGCGGGGGGGGGTTCTGATCAACTAGGGCATGGCGTGTCGAATGTGGTCGGCGGTGGACGTTTGGTGTAGGTGGGGAGTGGCCTGAAAAGAAACCTCGGCAACTCCCTCCGAATCTGAGCCTTGCACTGCCAGCTGCCCCAATTCCCCCATTGCTTCCTACTCCTCAACCGGATCTACACACGCATCGCGGGAGGCTAAGTCCGCGCCTGCGTACTTCATTCGAGCAAAGCGTGGAGTTTGAAGAAAGGTGAATTGTGGAGTAGATGTTGGACAGGATGCCAAGGGTCATTGAGATAGGAGGGCTGTTCGATGCGAGTTGTTGCCCTGAGGAAAAGGGACAGCGAAGCGTGATCATATCTTATGTACGAGGGCGGATCTCACCGTATTGTGTGGGGAATCGGCCTGTATCTTGAACATAGCGAAGGAGAGGCTTGAAGGCCTCCTGGTCTGCAAGTAGAAAGGAAAGTGGGACATCACGGTGCCTCGGCCAGTTACTGAGAAGAACGTGCCTTTCGAAGCTATATTTTGGGCAGTCCAATAAGAAGTGCTTCACCGTTTCGTCCGGCTCACCACAGGCCGGGCAGCGGGAGGAGTCGACGGCCTTAATGCAATGCAGGTACTTGTTAAGCGGGATATGGCCTGTGCGAAGTTGAAATATTAGACTGATCTGGCCTCGTTGAAGCTCCTCTTCTTGGACCAGCTTGAGGAAGTGCTTAGATGGGAGCTTGGGGTCAATGCGAGAGAGCTTGGCGTATCGTGGGGAGGCCTTCCATAGTGTGTTCCACTTCCTCATAACCTTCTGGAGCAGGATCTGGTGCGTCGCAGATATTCCTATGGGAGGGCTGCCTTTAAAGTCTCTCAGGAGTTTGGGTAGAGACTTAACTAGGCTTGAGCGACCCCCGGCCGCTTCTTTGGCGGCCACATCAGCCATTTCATTTCCCTCGATCCCTTCGTGTCCAGCTACCCAGCGGAATTCCACTTGAAAGTCTGTCCCTTTTCGACTGCGCTTGAGATCCTGCAGCAGGCGCTGAACTTCAATGGCTAAGTACTGGCCTGGACCAGCGTGGGGGTGGAGGGTCGCCTTCAGCGCAGCCTGGTTGTCGAGATTGATGGAGATGGGTATGTTGGAGTTTCGTTCAGTGCTAATTAGATGGAGGGCTAAAAGCGTGCCTAGAACTTCAGCATCGTACACAGTGTGTTCTGTGTCTGTGCCGAGGTGGAAGAACAGGGTTCGAGGCGGTTTGTTGTCGCGCAGAAGAACTGCTGCAGCCCCGATCTGTCCGTCCTGACCGGAGCCATCGGAGTATACCCTGATTTGGGCCTGCTGGGAGCCGTCTTGTGCTACAGAGTCATCGCGGGAGTCTGGGATAGACCAACTAGCAAGCGGGCGGGCACCTGGACGGGAGGTGACAGCTCGTATCTTCTCAAAGTGCGCAGGGTGGAGGTGGTTGAGGTGAAGGAGGTGATGAAGCGGGGACTTGTGTCGCTTGACGTATGTGCGGGCACAGAGTTTGACTAGAGGACTGAGAGGGTGTGAAGGTGGTAGCGATACTAGGCGTGAGGCGGCACGGGCGCAGTGCTTTTCGATGAGGAGTTCCATTGGGAGGGTGTTGGCATGAGCATCGAGGGTGTCCGTGGCAGACGTGGGCAACCCTCCCATAATGGCTCTTGCGGCCGTTCTCTGTGCCCGCGCGAGCGCTTTTATAGCACCAACAGAGCCTAACCGACATTTGTTGAGACCCCCGCCGTGGATGGGTGTGCACCATACATCAGCTGCATAGAGCATCTTTGGGATCGCTACTCCTATGTACATCTGCCGGAGCTGAGCAGGTTTCAGTCCAAAGGAGGGCTTAGCGAGACGACTTAGCTGGTTAGTCCAGGCAGCTCCTTTTCCCGCTGCCTGTTGCGCCTGAATATGCCAGCGGAGCTCCTGATCAAAAAGGACTCCCAGGTAACGAGCGCTGGGGCTGGGCTGGATAATGGCAAGATTGGGAATGACAAGCGGTGGACGTGTGAGCGCCCTCTTCTTTCCTGGGCGCGTAGGGTCCGTTTCCTTCGCTTGTGTGAAGTCGAGAAGGGCAAACTTGCTCGGCTCAAATTGGGAGTTGTGGTCGCGAGACCACTGCATAGCGCCTCCTTCGCATGTCATCATGTCAGCCAGGATTTGGTGTGTGTCCACGAAGGAGTGGCCAATGGCCAAGAGGGCTGTGTCGTCGACATATGAGAGGACGTATTCATTTGTCTTTTGGGCTACCTTGGGGATGGAGAGAATATCAGCGTTGTAGAGAATATACAAGATCATGGAAAGCAGGTCGCCTTGACCAATGCCATTGATGACCTGAATGGCCGGCGAGACATAGTCGTCAAAGCGTAGGGCAGTGCGACGGTTGCTGAGCAGGTTTTTCACAAATGAAATGTACTTAGCTGGAATGCCTCGTTTCCGCATGTTATGCAGGAGCCGATCTGTAACAGCGTTGGGGAATGCTCCTTCTATGTCTAGGAACAGGACCGAGGCAACTTGCTTTTGACGCCAGGCGTGCTTGACCTTCTGTATGAGCAAGTGCATCGAGTCAGTGGTGGTGCGTCCCGGACGTCCTCCGAAATGTGTGGGTGGTAGTACTCCCTCGTGCTTCTCTCCTATAAAGGTAAGTTGTTCGGCAATGATAGCAGACAGCAGCTTAGCGGTAGTGTTCAGCAAAGCAATTGGTTGGTATGACTTGGGAACATCATATCTTGGCTTGCCCGGTTTGCGAAGGACAACGGTTGTGAACTCCCGCCACGGATCAAAGTATGTATCTAAGGCAAAGAAAGCTCTATACAGGTGGAATAAAAATTCGATCAGTGTATCCATGCACCGCACCAGGACGACATTAGGGATTCCATCAGGACCCGGTGCCTTATACAGGCTCAGCCGATTTGCATTCCTACGGATAGTATCTCGAGTGATGGGCTGAAATTTACATACCGGCCGAGGGTAGACAAACCCAGGGTCAATGTCTGTATGCTCTGGAGGTGGAGGGAAGAAGGCGGTGGCCAAGGCCTTTGCCTTGTCCTCATTGGAGTCCACTAACTGTTCGTTACCTTCCGCATCCTTTACCTTTAAAGTTGGGATCCGAGTTTTTCCCCCATCACCCGACGGGGTTGAGATGTACCGGTTTGCCGTCCAGATGTCGTTACTGCTGGCCTCATCTAGCCAGTCCTTCCAGTGCCGTTCTTTTGTCGAGCGGATGGCCTTGGTGTACTTAGCCTTGGCCGCCTGTAGGTCAGCATGGAGAGGGTGACCTGGCACATTGCGCAGCCTATAGCATTTGCGGGTGAGGGAGACCATCGATCATCGAAGTTTTCCCAGGTCCTTTGTCCACCATCGCTTGGAGTGAGGGCACGGGTTGGCTGTAGGGACCACCTCGTCAATCGTGTGCTGAATAGCACTGATGATGTGCCTTCCCGCATCGTCGACTTCCTGTAGAGTGGTCAGTGCACGGGGGGGCTTGGCCGAGAGATACTCATCTAGCTTCTTTTCGAAGATTTCCCAATCCGTGCTACGGAAGTCTCGCCTTGGGGGGAGGTTTTTGTGCGGGACTTGGAGGTCAAGAATACTTACTATGGGGAGATGATCGGAGGTGGGTCCTTGAAGAGTGGGCATGGTGTCGCATGAAACGAGGGCTTCTAGCGTGTGGGGTGTACAGAATGCGTTGTCGAGCCGAGACCATTTCTTTGAGACTAGGTGTTGGTGTGTTGGGATACCAGGAGGGAGGGCCATGCGTAGGTCGAGGTCGGCTAGGGTATGAAGCAGGTAGTTGGCTTCCTCCATTGCCTCCATCGTGAAAAGTCGTGTGTCGTCAGCATGGTCCCAGAGAGGATGGTGCCGGTTAAAATCCCCTAGCCATATCAGGTGCGCATCGGCGTAGGGGAAAATGACATCACCTTTCTGTCGGCAGAAATCTCCCAAAGTGTTCAGCGTGCGTCGATGGTTGCAGTCATTGTAGATGTTGAACAGGGTGAGAATGCCGAAATCGCCCATGAATTGAACCACTGTGACATCGTTGGAGGGGAATTCTATTTGTCGCCAAGAGCAGGAGAGCAAATTGGAGCGGATTAGTAGTACCGAGCGTTTAGGCTCGTTTGAAGATAAGTGAGTCGAAGGGTATAGTACATGCCAGTCGTGCGAGGCTCTGGTGTTCCCCAAGAAGTCGATGTACGGCTCTTGGAAAGCGATCACATTATACTCATCATACGCTCTCGTATTCAGAGACCCATGCTGGGTGATATCCGAGGTATTTACATTTTCCTGCCAGATGCGTAATTGGGACGAGTACTCCTTAGGAGCGTTAATCATTGATCGTCCCAGCGTGTGGGAGGCAATTGCCTCTGTAAACCAGGTGGACCTAGGTCGCTCTCAGGACGTAGGGTCATGTAGGACAGAGAAGGAGATGCCGACGTTTGCGGCGACTGGCCCCTTGAGGGCACCTGCAAGTGCTGAGATGGCACGTTTAAGGGCAGCCCATGGGACAGCTCCCTGTAGGGGCGCTGATCACGCTCGAGGTCATCTGGGTGGCGGTTCTGAGACCGCTGATGAGTTGCAATCTGAGACTGCGTCTGCGTCGGTGCGAAGTAGCCCGGAATAGTGGACTGCGTGCAAGGAGCAGCCGAAGCCGTTTTCTCGCGAGTACTATGGACAGCAAATTCGTCAGGGTACCGGCGGTCCATAGGGACTTTAGCTGGTAACCGGAAATGAGTACGAGGGTCTTCTGTAGGGAAGTACTTGTACTGGTTATCAGGTCGGCGTTCGTCGAGCAGCTGACACCTTTTAAGGAATTCCGGACAATTCCGGTCCCAGCTGGCATGCGTGTTCACCCCACAGGACACGCAATGGAGGGTCCGATATGCGTTGCAGTCAACAGTCTTATGACTGGTCTGACCACAGGTGCCGCATGCGCTCTGATGGTTACAGTTGCGAGCGATGTGGCCATAGCCCTGACAGTTACTGCACCGAATTGGTTCGGCCTTGAGCCGTTCGGGTAGAACTCGTCGCCCACGGATGGTGATACCATCCATGATCAATCGGTTTGCGATATCCATCGAAGAGACATTGAGAATGCAGTGACCTACCATTTGGGTAGGATGCCTCTTTTCTTTGGGCTTGACCCAGCGAGCGGAGGGAAGAGACAATGTGGGGAGCTTATACCTTTCTTCAAGCTCCCTGAGATCAGCGGGGACATCTGGGCGGAAAGTGAAGGGGACGAAACGGAGGAGGAGAGGGAAGAGACGGAGTTTGACTGCTGCTCCATTGCCGAAGGCATTCGCAAAGGGCGAGCTCACCGGGGGGGAGCGAATCCAGTCTGTGGCTTCCTTTGAGTTGAATTGGAAGATGATTCCACCATTTTGGATTCTAAAAATGTCCTCGATAACTATGTCGCAAGAGGGGCGGGGTTCGGCCGTCTTGCAGAAGTGGATTGCCGTGTTGCAGATGGATTCGAGACTGCGCGCCGGGACCATCTCGCTTCCAGGGTAGCTCAGATCGACAAGAATTTGCCTGGCCTTCAGAATAGACTGTCGGGCTACTTTGGGATCGACAAGGTTCTGCCCATGACCGCTGGCGGAGGTATTAAGGAGCGCGTTGCGATACGACCAGGAGGGGTCGGGATGTGGGACAGAGGAGGTCAATGGGGTGGAGGAGATGGGGATGGAATCAACTCGTTTAGCGACCTCTTTCAGTTTCTCGGATACTTCCCGCATTCCCGTAAGGAGCATCTTGCTATCCTCTGCTTGGCTCTGGCGTGAACTTTCTATGTTGTCCTTTAGCTTCTGAAGGGAGTCTGATTCCGCCTATGAATGGGAGGGGAAGTCGCATAGGGAGGTGATTGAGATTTCCACCAAGGAGCTGGAGGCCTTCAAAGATTCACTCATATAGGCGAGTTGATTAATGTCCGGACTCAGCTTGTCCAGAACCATTTCTGTAACTCTCCCTGCAATGCTCTCCACTTTTAGGTCCTCGTCAATCTCTCCCAATAGCAAAGCAACTGCCTGAACCAATGTTTTCGCTGTAGCCGGCATTTTGGCACCCTGAGAGATATGCCATAGCGAGGCGCGTAGAGTGTCGATAGTGATTTCTTCACCCAGGATAACCATCAAATTCTTTTCCAGTATAGTTTTTGCTTCATCCGCATCCTTTACTTCTGAAGGTGAGGCCTCCATGAGCTCGTCTATGTCCATTGAGCGCGTTGGGCGGCGCCCAGGTGAGCCAAGACCCCGAACCGTCAATGGTGACTTCGTCGATTTTGACGCCCAGGTTAGGGGTGTCATGATGCGACCTTGAGCTCCTTAATGAGACTTATGCAGTGGGGTTAACTAGGTGTATTCGAAGTATGTGGATTCTGAGAAGTCGTCGCATTGACGAGATGCAGCGGTGCTGAGACGACAGCGATGACCACGAAATCCGGGGTCCTAGGGGTGCCAGGGTGCCTGAGATGGACGTCGCTCCTGAGCTACCTAGGCATTTAATAGCTAAGTAGATGGGTTGTCATCACTTGGGCATTGTTGTAGCCTGTCGTAGTGCAATAGTGGCGGAAAATGCCATAAACTTATGATTAAAAATATATATTCCACTTCTGGTCATAGCAACACTCAAAAACATTCAAAATGTATCTTTTCTTTGACCAAGTCCAAAATGGAAAAAGCAGCATGGAGCAAATGTCAACAAAACCGATATAAAGGATCGCTCCGTGCCCGATTTCTCAATTTCTTCTTGGTGAGTGAGAAGATAGCGTTTTCTTGCAAATGTAATGCCTTCCCCCGCTAAATTTGACATCTGAGCATCACGTGATGGAGTCGCGTTTGCTTGCGACCTACTTGCCGCGGGTTCGTTCTTTCTCAGGATCACATGTTCTTGTTCAGACGGTGCGCTCAACATCTTCTCGTTCTGCAATCCTCTGGAGCTCAAGATTTACATCCGTAGGACTCTTTTTACATTTTACTATGCTCGCTCTGCGACGATTTTGACTGATGTCTGTAACAAGCATTGTTTCGCTTCCCGCGTTGCATCTGCTGCCGGCCTGCTATACTTTATAAACCCTGCTTGTCACTTTTGGTAAGGTGTTCGGGGAATCGAGGTGTGCTGAGTACAATTTAGATGAAGTCGTCCAATATTGCTCATCCAGAACTAACCTGAACCAAGCGCGTGTAGTTCCTTTTATTTTGTTTTATTTACAATCGGCTTTGATTTCTCTGCGCTTTTCCAAGCTCATTTGAGCGGAGTCTCCCAGAGGTGCCATCGACATGTACTATGTACATCGGATTAGATGTTCACTTTGTGCAGGTAACGTCAACCAATTGAAAATGTAACAGCAAAGCAAGTCGCCTCCAGAACCTTTCAAAGGGGCCACAATTGGCCCGTGATGAGGCGATGTGGCCGCCAAGCTGCACAAAGCCACGATCTCGCATTGATATGGCTGAGATTCAAGCAACGCTTGCCACTTTTTCCTCGTTTGCCTTATAATGGACGCCGCCTCAGTCAACTTAGCATCCATCCTCCATCTAGCGACTGACTTGAATTCCGCCCACAGCTATTCATAGATTCCAGTAATATGAATCACAATCTCCTGTTCCATGACGACATCGGTACATCAAACGGCTTATACATCGCTGATACCTTCAAGCAAGCTCCGGTCTTAGAAAACATCGGTCAATCCAATCAGGTCGCGGTAAGCACGACCATCGGCGTGAAAGTCGACGACACACTCATTGCCGCTTGACAGCTCAATGCCACTCAAAACCACGACTATAATCTCGACATGAAGAGTGTACAGACACCTTCGATGAACGCGCCACAAAATTCTGTGCCACGCACGCCATACGTCTCAAGCCACGAGGAATATCGTTGCTCCCAGATGATGCCACCGGTTGGAACGCAATACTACGGCGAAGTGGCATCGAGGGTGCAACTGCCTGAATTATGTGAGCCACCATTGACTACATCGGCTGGCGTCGCTCACGCATTCATGGTGACTAGCATGTGCGATGTCTGGTCCAAGTCTTCCAAAACACGCTTCGACGTCATGGGATGGACCATATCTCTCTGATGAGCCGACGGAGAATGGACACCTGTACCAAATGGCACAAGGTATGCAGAGGCAGATGTTTGGTAAGATTATAATGTCTCCATGCCTCCATTGGCACTCATGCGTCGCCATAGACGAGAGCAGGCCTCGAGGGATGTCTTCGGCGACAGTGTCAAGTCTTCAAACATTCAGTGAGCCAGTATTACCTTTGCATGGTGGTCAGCACTCACACGTCACCTGAGCAGAAGCCAACGGGATGCTTGAGCAGATGGACTTGATGAGCACGAAGAACGCATCCAGTTATTCGTTCAATGAGACGTCTCGATGCTCCACTGCAGTTTCCGTAGGAGGTTGCAGCGCAAGGAGACAACATGTTCAGAACCCTCCATGTGAGTCACCATAACCTCTCATTGAATCTTTCACTCACCTTTACTTCGCATTAGTATCCTTCGAAATGCCCGACCAGAGTAATATCGTCCCCGACTCCACCAAATCTTATCCTTCTAGCCGTGCCGATATAGCCATTCACAGCATACACGATGGTCCTCGGCGTCCAGCATCAGACGACGCCATGCCGCCCAAGTTTGTTAGAATGGAACGAGTCCAGGAGGCCGGTCTCTGCGCAGGCAACAAACACCTGCCCGACTGTAAGGATATCCCTACAATCAAAGGTGACTCCGTCGGTGTAGTAGCTTCGCAGAAAGGGTGTTCCCACTCGAGACCTGTCACAGCCACCAAGGGAAAAGATCGAAATACGGCTTTGAAGACGCAGAAGAAACCATCAAAAAATGCACGGGTGCCGTGCCCCAAGGAGGGATGCAACACGACCTTCGCGTCAAACTCAGAAAGGAACCGCCACGTCAGAACGAGCAGAGATCACGTTTCGCAGGGCACATTCAAATGTGATTTTTGTGGTGATCTTTTGTCGCGCAACGACAGCTTGAGAAGACACGTGAGCACGCTGCACAAAGACGAGGACAAGCCAAGAAGGGGAGATGATGTAGAGTATGATGTGGAGTCGGAAGATGAGTAGTCAGAAGATGAGAAGATATTTAAGGACGAGGAGTGAACGATACAACACGAGTACGCACATCGCGTTGCCCTCCATGACACAATTGATCATCGCCTAAAGAACGATGCCGTCGTATGGCAAGGTGCCTGGGACTTTTTAGGTGTGGAAAGCCGAAAAGTACAAGAAATATGCACAATACCGTTCTGTTATACTTTTATAGATGAAAATATTGCTTTGGAGATGACGGCGAGCGGCCTCGCTCAAATGAGAAGGTTTGATAGTGCAGGACAAGCTGAAAGTATCATAACGATGGGGTCGGTAAAAACGCGCCCGACATTCCCTTGAGAATGGCCTGAAAAAGAACAATGCCATCAGAAACGTCTGAGATACGTGCCACCTTCGCCGACATGCCTTTCACTCAATGGATAAGATCCCTTCTCGCATGCGTCATCTTGTTTGTTGCCGCGTAGTGTACGAAGGGGCAGTGTTGGAAGTTGTGATGTCACGCTGTCGACTCGGCTATGCTTTGTGATCATATGTTTATACCTCAGTAGGATCATCGCGTGGTACCATTTCACTTACCTCGCGCCGATTGCACATTCATTCAAGGCCACAAACGAGCCCTAATAATAAGTGCATTCGCCAAAAAAATGGGGACGAGGCCCAGAACACCGCCTGGTGGCTGTATTGATGAAGGCGATAACGGAAGAAGCCCCGTATCAGAACTCGTGGTACGTACCTTTCTCGCTGCAGACCCATGAGGCGATTGAATGAGACGAGGCGCCCACACCGACACATAAGAGACAAACAAGCACTGAGGCAACGAGTCACGAGCGCAACGGACTAGACAGGTAATATTTCGCCACCACTGCCCGTGCGCTAAAGGAGCAGCTGGGCGGGGACCTGAGCGGCGTGGAGACCGACCGGCGGCTCGTGGCCAAAGACCTGGAGAAGATGCTGGACAAGGGCGCGAAAGAGTGGGTCGCGGCGCTCAAGGCGTCGTGAGCGACGTCGACCGCGACCGTCGACTTGCTTGGGTGTGATGTTTGTTGTATTGCAGTAGAGTTCTTGTTGTATGGTAGTGCGATCGTGCCAGCTACGTTCCATGGGGCCTGTCGAACGCGAGGTAGGTCGATTTGCGCGTGGAAAACACAACCCGAGAGCTCGGCACCGTGTCTTCCTGGTTCGACGGCGAGCCAAAATCCCTGCGCTTGACAAGGCACGTGCGTCAGCGAAGAACGGCCCGGCGAGCTGACTCCTCCTAGCACACAGTTAGCACACACCACCATCTCAAAATTCGACTTTTGCTTTCTTCGCTGGTCTCAACAATGCATCCGGAAAGATATAATCGGAGTAGATGGCTCTATCGAGAGATCCAGTGCGCCGGAATATACGTAAGTAAAATGTCCAATACTATGCCCACACCAGCGCGGCGGGGGCTCGCACTGGCAGGCAGTCCCGACGCATCCCCTCGGATCGATTCGGACGTGAACATAAGCGTTCGCTTTCATGTGAGTGCAGTCTATGGAAAGAAAGAGCGATTGAGCAAAGGAGGAGATCGATGGGGGCGATCGAGCGGGACGCGATGGAAGAGGAATGCAGAGGGGATGGCAAGACAAAAGGTGCTCACCTCTCTCTCCTATCGCAGATGATTCCATCCCCCTCCCCCTCCATTCGCCGTCCATCAGGGCCACCCGTGGAATGCCCGCTTGTGAGTAAGGAGCGCGTCCGGCCGGCTGAACGTGTCGCTGTTCTTGCATTGGTCGCACGTCAACGACGCTTCCACGTGAGATCTTGTGGTGCTACGGTGCCGCTTGAGCTCGTATTCTCGCGCATACCCTCTGGCAATCATGGCAGTTCCAGTCCGTGCTCAAGTACGGAGTCTGTCGCTCGTCCACCTTGGGCGCCCGCATGGTGGCCTGTCGGCGAGTCCGCCCTCCGCCCGACGACTGTACAGCCTCAGGACCCTGTCCGTTCGCAGTATCATTCCTGCGAGCGGACAGTCTTGATGTAATAGTAGTCTTGGTGAGGGTGATCCCTCCAAAGCCTTCATGGGTACCCGCCCCACCTACAACAGTGCCTTCTGATTGCGCTAAGGCTGGCCTAGGTTGCTGTTCGTAGGGTGCGTATCTCACACCCGTTCTGCTGATAGTGGCCATTCGCAGCGCTCTTGAGATGGCGACTGGCTGTCTCAACATCTGTACGGCACCGTAGTTGGGCTGTACGACATGTGGCAAGCGGTATGGGCGCGTCAGCCCTTCCTGGACTGCCGAACCCGTTGATCAAGCAGCACAGTGTGAATAGAAAGGTTGACTAACCGTACGTGGGGCCGTTTGCGATGGGAGCTGCCTGGTAATACATTCCCCCAACGGGCAGCATCTGCTGGGGGAAGTAGACGTCGCCACTAGCGACGTAAGATGGCCCCGCCATCGCGTGGCCGAACTGGAGTTGGGAGGAGGTTGGAGCCCACTCGGGCTCGACCGCGGTATACTAACGATGGGAACTAGTCAGTATCGGGCTGATAAATTGTCAACACACGATGGACATACCATCGGCTCATGTTGATACAGAGCCGCCATGGTTTGTTGCGCCGGGTGGCCGACGGAGAGGAGGGGGTAACTAGCGGGATTGACGCTGGCGTCGGTGTACATGGCATCCTGCCAGTCGCGAGGACTGTACGATGGGTAGTGGGTGTATTCCATAGTGGTGAGTATGTCGAGGTGGATGGATGAAGTGGGAGTGCGAGTTGATCTCGTTCAAAGTCCCTCCTGTAGCTTATAAGCGAGCCGGGCAAGGGAATGGCAACGTCTGCTTGTCGCGCCTTCTCACAAGACCAGACTTTGGGCTCCATTCTCGCCTCGTCATTGGTCGTCCGAATCAGGTAAGTGGCGGGAACTACCCATTGTGCTCCGCTTCCTTTTTTGTTCAACCCAGACCGGAATCAATCTCAAGATTAATAATCTGTTCTGCCTCGTGTCGCCGCCTCCTGACGTCGCCTCCTGACGTACACTGGGCAGGATTCGCCTCACGAGAGGGACAATGGCACGATGGGGGTGTTTTCCCGTTATCGCATCCACATCCGAAGCCCGACCTCGCATCAGCTTCTCCCGCCTCATCTTGGCTTCCTGAGAGATGGTTGAAGGGAAGTGCATCAGGCGACAAATGCCTCTCAAGGCCCGAAGGTAACGCCGGAGAGGACATTGGTACTCCTGGCCATCTACACATCATTTTGCAACGGCGCGCAACCCCGAAGATTGGTGTTTTGCTCGGCGCCGTAGCCATTTAGTGTGTGAACAAGCCGTGCTTCTGATGCGTTAGCTGGCGGTCGCAGTGCGATCGCCCCTGGTTCCCTATGATCAAATATTCACTCAACTACATGCCGTTCGAGCTCTGGCTCGACTGTGGTATCCGCCTCGCCTCCTCGGGATCGAACGGTTTGTGGGTCGTTTTGTCTTGTCTCGTCCTGCTTTAGTAGAGGGCCTTGTTTACAAAATGAGAGATGATGAGGAAATGAAATTTCAAACGAGGAAGCAGAAGTAGTAGCATATACATGTGTTTGGGCAAAGATGGACGCCGCTTTGCGAGTCTTCATCCACCTGGACATATTGTGTAGAGATAATAACATGATACCGGTCTGGCAGAGTGACAGTCATGGCATGGTCACGTGTATATTACATCGTTGAAAGCACCGGCCAAGAAGGCTCTTGACGATAGCTCTTCAACTGTTCATCGTGGGTGAAACAAGACAACCACCCGCCCGATGACAGAGACTCCCGATGACACTCCCTAGCCCATAGTTTCGAGGCTTTGATTACGCGGCGGAGCTGTTTCTTCTCATATTCCGCATCCACTTCGGTATCCCACCCAGGATCCCCTACAATCAAGACGTCCGATCCACGTGGAGAGATACGCGAGAGGGAGGTGGCATATCTAACAACATTCGGCTGCAGGCACACCGCGTCGATCACTTCACCAGTCGCTCTGCATCGCTTCTTCGGACGGCCAGCTTGCGGTGCACAATTTGGTTGACCGGGCCTAATAAGACCAGAGCGCGACCTCGAATCAATTATTCGAGGTCAAATCACAAACGTCGCAGGGTGGACGTGGTTGCTCCATGTGCAATATGTTGCATACACCACTGTCGTCACACGTTCAGCCTTTTCCTGAGAGACTCCATAGATACGAGCAATATCAGAAGTAGTCCTGTAAGTCTGAAGAGAAATCGAGTCGATTTTCCTGCCAGCATCGTATACCACGAAGTGAGGCCTGATTTTTGAGAAAATAGGGGGCAGAGTGTCGAATGGATTCACGTGAACAGAGTTGCCCGAATATTCATCGCCTTTGAGAGCATCTTCAACTTTGTTGCGACGGGAGATGGAAGGAACATCGGGAAATAGCGGCACGAGACAGTACTCGAAGATCTCCGCGCCGTCGTAAATCTGAGCAAGAGTCAAGGTCTGCACAGCGCAGCGGAATCCGGAAACGTACATCCTCGATCGATGGAACATGGCCGTCCCGGGGATCAAACCTGACCCAACGATCCCACAGCTTGTCGATTATATCAGTTGAGGGCATTAGAGCCCACCTGTCAGATTCAAACAAATCACGCCAATCATGACGGACTGGAGACAGTCAGACCAAGAAAATATCGTGAAAAAGAATACGCACGCGGTATCGTGTTGGAGTCTTGATCCATCTGGATGATGTCATATTTCATGCCCCATGCCCATTTGAGACGCGATAGCTTGATAGAGTCGCGTAGATCAGCTTAGACGCAAGAGACATCTCACGAAGACGACTGAGCATATGGTGATTGCTCCAGTAGCGCTCATGGGAGACATGGCAGAGATGAATCGGAGACTCAGTCGCCGAGTCTCCTGTTACGATGCAGTTCGCTGCGTCTTGAGCGTTCGGTGGAATGGCGTCTTTTACTTGGGCTTCACGCCGTTTGGTGTCTAAGAAGAATGAGTACCTTGCGTTGACAGCTCGAAAAGCGATCGGCGTACTTGGAGAACCACAAGAAAGAGGTCCGACGGTATCTAAGATTATCGGAGACATTTGAAAGAATTCTAAAAAAGAGAGATGAGGACGCTGGAGCTCAAGCTCAAGTGTACCAAAGTTGAACCAGTGCACCTGGACACATCACGTTCAGCCTCATGTTGAGTTATGGTCGTCGAATTTCTGGCCCATGTTGATATATGATCGTACTCACTGTTACAAGATAGGTTCATGACGAAGTGGCTAGAAAAGAGAGAACACCGATGATATGAGCTGCCACTTTTTCAGGACAGGACAGTGTGCCACGAGTAAATAGAGATCACATAGACACAGATATTACCCGCCACAGAGTAAAAATGGCATGTTCTGCGTGCAACAGACATGATCCAGGGCGAGCAGAGAGCATAGAGATGTATGAAGTTCAGAGAGGGGAACAAGAAGAATGAGGGCATGTCCGACATCACCCTATCTGGGAGGAGTTTTGTAGACTTGACGCATAGCGATGGCCGTCGAGAGCAGTAAAAAAAGACAAGTTTCGACAGAGAACAGCGGGTTGCCCACTCGGGAGCGCAGACGCGTGAAGTTAGTTGGTATCCACAAAAGCTGCAACACTGCAACGTACGAAACGCCGCAAAGAACATATCACTCCAGAATACTAGAGCATCATCGTCGAATTCTAGACCAAGAAGGCATCGATTAGAGACATATTTCACCAACAACGAGTCCCGAAGGTCCCAAAGGCAGGGACACGGAACGCGACGGAGGATGCAAACCGGCGGGCAAACATCCGGCCCGACAACGGCCGACTCTTCTCATCACACACCACGATGGCAAGAAATCTCTTGTTTTCTTCACTGACTTAGACCGCACACAAAGAGAGAAGTGATCAGAGAAGACAGGTGTATTGTGAAAGCTGGAGTGTAGGTAGGTAGCTTCGCCAGGATCTCATTCCCTCCCATGTCGCGGATACTCGTAGGAGCATCGACTTCGGATCGATTTAAGGGTAGACGTCGACGTTCGCTTTGCGGAGAGAGGATTCTATGGTGAGAAAGAGGGGATGAGAGAAGATTGATGAAGGCGAGTGAGTGAGATGGCTAACAATGTGATGGCCACACAGACAACACTACTCACCTCTTTCCCCACCTCCGACCATATGATTCCATCCACACCTCCTTCCATCGAATACGCGCAGGCATGATACATCAGGTCCACCCGTGGAACGTCCATTTGTGCGCGGGAAGCGCGTCCGGCCAATTGAATGTCTTGTCGTTCTCGCACTCGTTCCATGTCAATGACGCCCGGACGCACTCCTTCAGTACCACCATAATTCGTGGACTCATCCAAAGCTGCTCTCACATTGGTGACAGCTCCAGCTCCAGCACGAGCTCAGGATGGAGTCTGCCGCTTGTCCACCTGGGTGCCCGCGAGATGGCCTTTCGGTGAGTCTGCCCTCGGCCTGCTGCCTTTACAGACTCCGGAATGAGTACACTCGCAGAATCATCCCTGAGGGCGGACATTCTCGATTCAGGGTTTATTTGGACGAGGGTATACCCTTCGAAGCCTTCGTCGTCACCCGCTACACTCGCGACAACGCGTTCTGTCGGCCACAGTCGCTGCTCCTAGGATGCATACAATATGCATACCTCGTCATCGTACTGTTACCAGTAGTTGCTCCTGAAATGGTGGTAACTCCCTCTAGCGGGCAACATCGGCTGGGGAGAGTAGATGCCGCCGCTGGCGACGTACCATGGCCCAGCCATGCCGTGGTCGGGCAGGGGTGGACTTGTGCCCACTCCGGCATGGCACACTGCTAGATGAGACCGGTGAGTATTATGGTAGCGAGATGACAATAGAGTGTAAGCGTACAATCGACTCATGTTGATGAGCCACAGTGTGTTGCGTCGTGTTGTCCACGGCGAAGGATTGAGCGTCAGCGGGAAACGTGCTGTCGGGAAAACCCATCTTCACTTGCCATTGTGCTGCGAGGTCAGTCCTCTTCCAGTTCCGAGGGTCGCATGACAGGTGGTTTGGGTATGACATGGGGGTAAGTATGTTTAGGGTAATGGACGGGGTGGGAGTAGTGCCTCTGTTTCAAGTCTCTCGTTTAGCGTATAAGTGAACTGTTCCAGGGTATGGCAGAGACGCAACCGCAAACCTCCGCCCTCTCACGTTGCAGTCCGGACTGAAGCCGACGATGACAGGAGCTCGTAAACCGGAAACCACCGAGGACGAGGTGTCTGCTTGTCGCTCCTTCTTTCAAGGCCTGACTTGGGGCACCATTCTGACTTCGGGACTAGGCGTCTGACTTAGGTGAGTGGCGGGAGCAGCCTTCGAAATGTCTTCTCTTCCTGTTTTCCCACTCAGAGCTGAATGAAACAGTTTCTCCCTCATGCGCAAAGCCTCGTGTCTTCCGCTGCCTTCCACGCAAAACGGGTAGAATTCGGCTTGCGAAAGGGACAGTGGATCGTCTAGTGCGTGGCATCCACATGCGAAGCTCATCTTCGTGACAGCCTGTCCTCCCTCGTCCGATTGGTGGATGATTGATGGTCCATCTGACGGCGTCGATATCTCAGGGCCAAATGCAACGCCGCAAGAGCCGCTCTCCTAGTCATTAGCGCTTCGTCTTGGCGGCAATGCATAACCCCAAAATCTAGAGTATTTCCCGGTACCATCGTCTTCTAGTGTGTGAAAAACTCATGCTTTTCAGGCGATGCACCTCCTCTATGATTCGGGACGTATCTGACTACCAATTTCGCTCCATCTCCTCGACATTGCCGAGGCCCTGAACGGCGTGCTGCTCCCTTCGATTTTTGTGCTCCATTGATCAGTGATGGCTTGTGCATGGTATGGGTCTCGTTTTTCTACAAAGAATGAGATAGAGCAGTAGAACGTATCAAGGTTTTCCAGCTTGATTCAAACTTCTCGAATAACCAACGCGTGTGCGTACTATCGACAAGGCCGCTTGTTTTCCGATTCTAGAATTGTCCAGGATTGAGATGCAATCATGGCAGCATTGTGTTTATTGGAAGCAAAGGGCGAGTGGGAAAGTCCAAGGGCTTTTGCATCGCTCTTGAGGACAATAAACAAGCATTAAATATAGCAATTCCATAATTATCATTTAGTGCATAGAGTACATACGCAACATAAGTGGCTGTCGACATTCTAGTACAGCAACGACGCATATTGTTTGACCAAATCAATGATAACAAACAACTATATGCCTATGATCAAAGAGACTCGAACCAACCCTTTCGCGCCGATACTCACATGATAAACAAATCTGTTTAGATCGTTTCCCCCAACGACCGTCTAGAGTGCCTCCTCTTCTTCCCAGGTTTAGTTGACTTACTACCTTTCTCGTCTTGCTCATCGTCCGCGTGCGTCGACCCCGAGTCTCTTTGGCTGCTTGGATGCGTCACACTCGCTGGCATCCTCTCGGTTATACCTTGTGAGCCAGAAGCTACGGGATGATCCTCTCCCTGGTCTTGCGCGAAGGAGACCCTCCGATGCGATAGGGAAGGCGTCATCTTAGGCTTCATCCGGTCGATGACCCTCGTGCCCGCCGGCCGGGGGATACGGGAAGTTGACAGGTCCGCATCGCCTTCTGATGGACGCGCGACTCGCCTCCGTTTCTGTTCTGGCGGATTCAAGGCTCCATCGCCTCCACTCTTGCTGGATCCGTGGTTCAAAGAGTGCTCGTTTGTCCGAGTGCCTTTGCCGTCCGAGGCAAGTCCTAGTGAAGGGGTTGGCAAACGTTGAGTGATCCTCTGGCTCTGGGAGTCGTCTTCGACGTGTACAGGTACGTCGAGCAGCGCACTTGCGCCCGTGTGAGGAACATTGGCCCAAGGAGATACTTTGCCCTTGCCATCATGTCCCGAATCATGTCCAGTGCCCTTGGCGTGCGATGCACTTACAGCCTGAGAGCGTTTCGCTGTTATCCAAGTGGTGTTGTGTGAAGCCATTTTGCTGGCGCCAAGAGTACGAGATTTGGCTGGTACCGAGCCACGTCCAGGAGACCCTGAGGCACGACGAGAGTGCTTGATCTTAGATCCAGCCGGAGGAGAACGATGCCTTACTGTCGTCCAAGCCGAGTTCTCCTGCGCAATCGCCATGTTCTGTATGGGTATGCTACTACCAGTTGCCAGTTTCCTAGATTGATTGAGTTCCAGTGGAGATGGTCCTGCTACGCCGGTCCTATTCCATGCATTTCTCGGGATGGCTGTCGGAATCTTCGTCGGTATACCACGACTTGCCTGGCTGGGTGTGCCGATTGGGGCCTTTCCAGATGCGACTGACCTCCTCGCTGCTGCCACTTGGCTGTACAAGGGGGCTTCGATGGGCACCACCGGAGCAAGTACAGCAAGATTGATCTCGGCGGATGCGATAGTCTGAGCGGGAGGGATAGTCTGAGCGGGCGCAGCGAGTGCAACAGACGTAGCGGTCTGGTCGGGGTCCAGAGCAGAGGTGGAAGCAGGAATGGACGGGTGAGAAGGCTCGCCGGTCTCGCCGGATGCCTCCAGGTTTGCGACCGATTCATGAATTGAGACTTCCGCATCTTCGACAGCGTCCACAGGAGCATGGTGAGCTTGGGCTTCTTTCCTCCTTTGGCGTTTGGAAGCGCGTTTACTATTTGCGGACTTTTTCGGGCCGTCATTCTGCTCCGTCCTCGCGTCTAGTTGAACAGCATCTTCCCCACACGATCCAGATACCGTTGCACTAGCCTGTTCTTTCTCCCTGCCTAATTTAGAGGTCGAGTCGTTTGATGGCAGATTAGAGTAGAAACTCGACGGAACGACAGCGTGAATCCACGAATTATAGACCCTTTGCATCATGGTCAGGGCTTCTATAGCTCGGAATTTGTCGACTTTAAAGATGCGAGCGACCACAGGTGCAATGGCCTGCACCTCTGCCCCTGTCCCTGCCGATTTTTTCCCTGTCGATTTCTCCTTTGCCAATTTTTCCCCTGCGTTCAAGAGCACAAAATGTGGTAAGGCATGGGAGCGAAGAACCGGCAATGTATTGAACGGGTAACGATGACACGACCAGTCTGATTCGGCCGCAGGAAGATTCATCTTCGATGTACCGTCTTGAGTGGCAGGGATTTCTGTCTCATTTGTCGGAAGACCTATGTCCGTTTGAGTACTGGCATCCACGTATGAATGATGATGATTTGATGAGTCTCTACCAGCAACAGAGTTGTCTTTTTGCGCACATAAGTGGAGTTGGGGATCAGAGGGACTGAGATACGATGCAGCGACGTTGGAATCGGCTGCAGGATGATCGACCTCAGAAGCGGCAGGCGGTGAGGGGTCAGATTTGGATGCGGTATGATCACCATCCGAGGTGGTGGGCGGTATGGGGTCAGATTTGGAGGAGCTATGATGAGCATCGGGAGTGGTGGGTGGTACTGGATTATCATCCCGCTTGGCCCGAAAGATATTTGTTATTTCTTTCGTAAGGGGAACGAGGCGGTACTCGAAGATGTCCTTCTCACCATATAGCTAGAACACAAGATCAGCAACAATCGTAATCAGTCTGACGAATTAAGGCTTACCGACATGATGTCCGGGGGGCTGCTGGACGGTGATTTCTTGAGGGCCATTCTCCGGGTTTCAAAGGCCGCAATGGTCTCCAACGTGGGCATTAATATGAGTTTCTTTTGATCATAATTAAAATGCCAGTCTTTACGAACTAACAAACAAAGAGATACACAAATCAGGAAAAGGAAGCGCAGGCAAAACGAAGAACATCTGCTCACTTTTGACCATGTTTCTAGGCTCGTCAACGTGGAGACTTTTATACCTCTGGCCTAGAGCCCACTCGCAATTTGTGATCTATAAACTAATCAATCGCGATTCATACCCAGATACAGAAATTTACTCGCCAGTTTAGGCTTGTTGTTCCAGGCTTGGGGAAGTAGATGAGCGTTTTCAACTCCTGTCTCCGTCGCCAGGTCACGGGTAAGCAGACATTGTCCACCGTTTGGATCTAGGTGGTCGACGTCTTTCTTGCTGAGGGCGCTCGTAGACACGCCGAGGGGCCGCCTATAGTCGAAATGTAGGTATTCGGAGCGATTTTTGTTCGGAGACCTGTTTTCTAAACTAGGACTGTATGCAGGGTCGTCGCTGGTCTCCACCTCTTCTTCCGACTCAGCGGCATATTCCTCTTGCGAAATGTCTAGTGGAGCTATGTTCGTAGTTATTTCCGAAGGATCCTCCCCTTCCTCTTCACTCAAGGGAGGCAGAGGGCTTGATTGGCCATCGTTGAGTTCATGGCTGGGGCTATGTGTTCCTGCCGTTTCGGAGTCATTGTTGAATCCGGTGTCGGCCAAGCCCAGATCACAAGCCACACTTATAGGCGCAAGGGCAGGAGTATGAGTAGATGACTGAATGGAAGTGGCCGTGGACATGATTTGTGAGATAGTCAAGTTGGGAGGAGGTGAAGGGAAGGATTGAGGAGCAAGCTGATTGAGAGGCAGAGGGGAAGGTACCACACTTTATACTGTCGCGATGCTTGCCACCTTGCCACAGACAGACGAGGCATGTGGTTCAACGTCGCGCCGAAATGAAAGCCACATCGTGGACAAGGGCTTATTCTAAGGAATCGGCATATGAGGGAAGTAGCGCCAGAGCTCAACAAAGCAATTCTTACCTGCATGCCACAACGTATGGGTCCATGCCTACGGCGATCGAGTTACAAAGAGAGGAAGCGGAAGCGCAGTGATCAAACGAAATAGTATCCAGGAATGATTTTACACCGAGTTGATTGACGAGCAAGCGTAGATGGTTCAACTCGGTCACAAAGAATACATATTGCAGTCCAGCAAAGATACAGTGATGGTGGTGTGTGCACTGGGAATATGCTACATTGTTGAAATCATTTTTCGAGCCGGCTCTTGACGATATCTCTTCACCTGTTCATCGTGGGTGAAACAAGACACCCACCCGCCCGATGACAGAGCCTCCCGATGACACTCCCTAACCCACCGTTTCACGGCTTTGATTACACGGCGGAGGTGTATTTTCTCAAATTCCGGGTCCACCTCGGTATCCCACCCAGAATCGCCTACAATCAAAACGTCCGATCCACATGGAGAGACACGCGAGAGGGAGGTGGCATATCGAACAACATTCGGCTGCAGGCACACAGAGTCGATATCATCAGATATCCTGAATCGTTTCGGAGGACGGCTAGCACGTTGATTTGCAGAGCTTAGTTGGCCGGGTGTAATAAGGCCTGAGCGCGGCCTCGAATCAATCCTTCGAGGTGATGTCACAAAGGTCGCAGGGTGAGCAGGGCGATCCCATGTGCAATACGTTTGGTACACCACCGTATTGGCAAACTCGGCCTTTTTGTAGGTGACTCCATAGATACAAGCCATGATCGATGTAGTTTCGGTCCATTCGGAGAAGGTCGCTTCGAGCTTTTGGCCAGTGTCGTAAATCACGAAGTGAGGCTTCACTCTTGCAAATATTGGCGGCAATGTGTCAAAGGGATATGAATAGGTAGAAGCGCCTGCATCTTCATCGCACTTGCCCTTTGGGACATCTTCAACTTTGTTGCGGGGAGAAATGGGAGGAACATCGGGAAAAAGCGGCACAAGACGGTACTCAAAAGTCTCCGCCCCGTTGTACATCTGAGGAAAGATCAAGCTCTACATAGCGCAGTGGATTTCGAAAACGCACATCCTCTATCGATGGAACATTACCCTGACTAAGAGGGAATTTGATCCAACGATCCCACAATTTGTCGATCATATCCATCGAGGGCATTAGAGCCCACCGACCAGACTCAAATAATTTCCGCCAATCATGACGGACTGAAGGGTATTAGAAAGATCAAAGATGTCGATGAAGCTGAGTACTCACGCGGTATTGTGTTGGAGTCCGTATCCATCTGAATGGTATCATATTTCATTCCCCACGCCCATTCAAGACGCGATAACTGGGCGGATCAAATGAAATCGGCTTAGACGCAGGAGACGTATCTTGCGAAGACGACTGACCAGAGGATGGTTGCTCCAGTGCAACTCAGGAAAGACATGGCAGAGATGGATCGGAGACTCAGTCACCGAGTCTCCTGTGACCAGGCACTTCTCTGTTGCTTCAGGCTCAGCTGGAACAGGGTTGCTTGATCTGGCTCTACGCCGTTTCTTGTCTAGGACGGATGAGCACTTCGCGCATGAACTAGAATTGAGGCATACTTGGAGAGTTGCTTGAAGAAGAGTTGGATTCGATATTCAGAGATGGGCTAGCAGTCATTGGAGAAAACTTGAGATGGAGAGATGATGAGGACAGTGAACTACGCTGAAACTGCAGTGGATAGCGAAGTTGAACATCTCAGCCGCAATGTCACGTACTTGTATATGACCACGTGCGCCTGTGACCGACGTGTTCAAGTTGCACATCTGTCGAGAGCTTCGCGCCAAAAATGGATACACAGTGTCAGCGCCGAATCATTGCAGTGATAACGGGTTTTATTCAGACACAAGCAAATAACATGATTCGATACTCTCACGTTCACTAGCTAACTCGGCCCCATTTTAAAAATCTAACTACTTTCATATAATCTTCATCGTCGAGGAGGGCTTTATGTAATAAAAAAAGGCTGAGAAGTGCCTTTGCTGAGTGTCTCCTCGACTGCATAAATTGATGTAAAGTATGGCAGGGATAGCAGAGCCACCAAATCCAAGAAGATGCAATCGTGGGACATGACTCACAAAACCACAGTTGTGACAGATTTCCTTGCTCTTAAGCATGGATCATTTGCTATCATAGGATAGATGCACAGGCCTTGGTGATACTGCCACAAAAACCCACAAAGAAAGAACATACTTGATCAAGTTGAACCAAGACTAAAGATGAATGGTGATAAGCATGCATCCATGCTAGGGTCCAAGGGAGGTATTTAGGAAGCTTTGGGGAGATACTGAACAGTGCTAGATGAGTACTAAAGACACCAACTATTACCAAACATGGTTGGTTCCCACCCAACTGACTGTAACCCACTGAAGGACATTCAGCAGCACTGGGGTCAGTTTGCCCACACTTCATGTACTTTAAAGAAGGGGTATTGTACGACCAGGGTAGCCAAGTAATGGTGCAAGATCATGTTTGACCGACCATGTGGAAGTCGGGAAAATAAGCAATAAGGACCAACCAACTCACGGAGGACATTGACTGATATGGACTTCTGGCTCTGATCTCGTAAACACTCATCGTAACACTCTTGTGCAGTCATGGTAAGTATGTGAAGTGTGGTGAACTGACCCAAGTGCTGCCGAACGTCCTTCGGTGGCTTGTCATTGGTCAGGTAGGAACTGACCATGTTCGATGTAAGTCGGCATCTTCAGTACTTGTCTAGCGCTGTTTGATATCTCCCCAAAGCTTCCTAAATATGTCCTTTGGACCCTAGCGTGGGTGCATGCTTATCAACATCATATCCCATGGACACCTGGAAATGGACCCAATCAAAGTGGCCAACATCATGGACTGGCCAATACCAACTAAAGTCAAAGAAGTCCAATTATTTTTAGGATTCTACAACTTCTATCACAGATTTATCAGGGACTACTTAAAAATAGCAAGGCTGTCAGAAGTCTGCACGATAATCCTCAGCATATGAACAGAAGACGCTATGTATGTATTAGTGTACCTGCACGATAATCCTAGGATGATACGTTAGGATACAATAAGACTACCAGGGCGCACAGGATACTCACCTCAGCGTATGAACAGAAGACGCTGAGGTGTCACGGTAACGGTACGGTCACATAAGTAACGAAGTCCGGAAAATACCGTATCGTAAGTACAGTGCTGGTGGGCTAACTTCTAACATTCCCCCTTAGCCCGGCAGTAGGCCTAGATTAGTGGAGAATGAGACATGCTTTCCTTTTGCTAAACCCTTCGTCAAAACGTCCGCCACGTTCTCGTCCGTCCGCACATATTCCAGACGGATTTCCCCCATCTCAACCCTCTCTCGGATGATGTGGTATTTGATGTCAATGTGCTTCGTTCGAGCGTGGTAGACATGGTCCTTCGACATGGCTATACTAGCCTGGTTGTCGCAGCGGATAAGGGTGGGGGATGACTGAGGAAATCCGAGTTCCGAGAGCAGTGAGCGAAGCCAAAGTGCCTCTTTTGTGGCGTGCGAGATGGCAATATATTCTGCCTCGGCGGTCGCGTAAGTGACGGTAGGTTGTTTCTTCGAGCTCCAAGAAATCGCTGCTCCGGCAAGGAAGAAGGCATATCCGGAGATCGAGCGGCGGTTATCTCGGCTCTCTGCAAAATCGGCGTCCGTGTAGCCAACGGGGGTCCAGTCGTTCTCGTCTCCCCCATATGTCAGAGCTAAGTCCAACGTCCCCTTCACGTACCACAGGGCGCGTTTTGCGGCATGCCAGTGTTCCATTCCGGGGTTTGACATATACTGTGCCAGGGTGTTGACCGTGTAGGCAAGGTCGGGGCGCGTAGCGAGTGCCGCGTACATCAACGCCCCCACCAGGGCGGCATACGGATATTTCCGCATCTCTTCCCATTCTGTGGAGTAGAGTCGGGGTGACTGCTCGTTTGACAAGTGGGTGCTGGGGTCCATGGGCGTCGAAACGGGCTTGCAGTCCATCATCGCGAAACACTCCAAGACATTACGGAGGTAGTGCGTCTGCAAGAGTGAGATGATACCCTTGTCTCGGTTCCGGAAGACTGTCATACCGAGCAGTGTGCGCGGTTCCCCCAGTTCCGTAGTCTCGAATAGGAGCCCGCGGAAGTCTTCCTTGAGTTCCGTCATCGCCCTCTTTGTGCTCGCGGCCAAGATCATGTCGTCAACGTGAATGACGATGATGGCGCGGCCTTTGTTTGAAACCCGGAGGTAGACGCAGGAGTCTGAGCGGCAGCGAGTGAATCCTAGCTTCAGGAGCTCGTCATTAAGCATCCTGTTCCAGATTCGACCAGATTGCTTTAGGCTGTAGAGAGATTTGAGCAGGCGGAGCAGCCAGTCCTCTTTTCCGAGGACCTGGAAGCCTTCGGGTTGCCTCATGAATATTTCTTCGTCGAGTTTCCCATTAAGGTAGGCGGATTTGACATCAATCTGCTCGAGGAGCCAGTTCTCCTTGGCAGCAAGTGAGAAAACAAGTCGAAACGACTCGAAGCGAGCAACTGGGGAGTGAGTGTCGTGGAAATCAACGCCGGGGCGTTGCGTGAAACCCTGGGCGACGAGTCGGGCTTTGAAACGCCTGTCTTGTTTGGCCTTGTAGGTCCACTTCGAGCCAATCAGCTTGCGGCCTTTCGCCGGCTCGACGAGTTCCCACGTCTTGTTCTTCAACAAGGCGTCGTACTCCTCCTCCATCGCCCTCTGCCAGTTGTTGCGCTCTGCGCTTCGGATGGCTTCCTGGTAGCTGCGGGGCTCCTCACCCGCTGTCAACAGCGCTGCCTCGACAGCCACTGTGAACAACGAGCGCTCAACAGCTGCCTCGTCTTCCTCTGCCTCTGCCTCCTCCCTCTCGTCGCGCGCTGCCTCGTCTCGTTTCTTTTCCCGGTCCTTCCGTCGCTCCCTCGCCTCTCTATTCGCGTCTTTGCGAGCTCGCTCGGTCGCCTCCTGCAGGTCCGCGGCTTTCCTCAATGACGAGGGCTCTCATGCTCTTTCACTCCTTCTGAGAGTGAACTGGGCGGGTGCCGGTGTTTGTGTGCTTGTTCTGGGCTCAGGCGGCTCGGGCGGCGCTTGCTGGGCGGCTCCTGGGCGCGTTTTCAGCGTTCCTGGTGCCCCCTCTGAAGGTGGGTGGTCGGGAGGATGGACGGGTGGTGGTGTTTGTTGGGCTAATGGCGACTTTATTGTAGGGTTGTCAGGGCTTGCTTTGGGAGGTGGGGGAGTGTCCGTGGGCGGCTCCTGGGCGACATGGAAGTCGTTTTCCCCCCTCTCGGCCACGGGCAGCTTCCGCGGTGCCAGTGGCAAGTCGTCCTCCAAGAAGACGATGTCGCGCGACTTCACGATCCTGTGGGTCCGCGGCTCGTAGCAACGGTAGGCTGCGTCGCTGTAGTACCCTATCAGCACGCACTCGGTTGACTTGACGTCCCACTTGCGGCGCTTTTCATCAGGTATCTTCACGAGCGCCTTGCAGCCGAATGCGCGAAGGTGTTTGACATTCGGTTTCTGGCCGGTCCATACCTCATGGGGGGTCTTGCCCTCGAGTGCGACGGTCGGGCCGAGGTTCTTTAAATAGATCGATGTTGACACCACCTCCGGCCACAGGAATCGTGGAAGGCCGGTTTCGTGCATCATTGCGCGGCCACGTTCCACGATCGTCTTGTTCAGGCGTTCCGCGACGCCGTTCTGTGACGGGGTGTATGGCGCCATCGTCTCTAGGGCAATGCCCGCTGCTTTCAACCAGTCGAGGGCCTCTTTGTTGAGGTACTCCGTGCCGTTGTCGCACCGGATGCGTTTCCACGGCTGGCCGGTCTGCTTCTCCGCCATGGCCTTGAACTGCTTCATGCGGTCGAGCACCTCGCTCTTCTGCCACATGCGGTATTCGGTGGAGAAACGGGCCTTGTCGTCGGTAAAGGTGACAAAGTACCGCTCGCCCCCGATCCCGTTCTTGTCCATTGGGCCGCATACGTCCGTGTGGACCAATTCCAGTAGGTTGTTTGCCTGGTGGTCTGCCTGCTTTGGGAAAGGCTTACGGTGTTGCTTTCCGTAGACGCAGTCCTCACACGTCGGCACCTTTGCGTTCGATGTGAGTTTGATCCCATCGACGAGACCCTTCGAAATGACAAGGTCCACGTTCCCTTGCCCTAGGTGGCCGTAACGCCGGTGTCATAAGGCTCGCGTTAGTGAGGTGGCGGCGAAAGCGGTCTTGGGGGTGATGGGTGGTGGTGTAGGGGGCTGATCGTTTGTCGTCGGGCGGCCGATCGTATCCAGGTAATAGAGACTTCCGACAAGAGACCCGGATCCGATTCGTTTGTGATCCTTGTTCAGCAGGACGACTTTGCCCCCTCCGAAAACAGCTGATCCCCCGGCACGGTCGAGCTTGCTCACGCTAAGTAGATTCTCTGTCGCGTCGGGCATGTGCAGCACGTTACGCAGCCGCACCGAGTCTACCCGCTTGCCGGCTTGCCCAGTCAAAATGGTGACGGAGCCTGTGCCGGCGGCGCGCATTGTGTGGCCCTTCTTGGCCGTTTCAATCGTGCGCTCGCCTGGCGAGTATTCGGCGAACATCTCCTCCCGCTTTGCAACATGGGATGATGATCCCGAGTCAACAACCCAGGTGTTTGACTTGGCGTTCATTGTGAGGGCTTGTTCAGGCGGCGAAGAGAAGTTAAAGAGCGACGCCTCGCGCTCGCTCGCTAGATTGGACTGATCTTTGTTTACAGGTCTTCCCCTCCTGCTGCCTGTGGGGCAGTCGCGTGCGTAATGCCCTAGCTGGTGGCAGTTGTAGCACTCGACTTGTCTCCTGCTGCTGCCGCCTTTACTTTTGCCTCGGCCCCCACCACGATGCTTTCCGTGTCCTTTTCCCCTGTCTCTCCCTCTTCCACGTACGTTATCACCCATCCGCAGGGCGACGTTGCCGCTGTTTGCTTCGGTGCCATCGCGGACTCGGCGGCGTTGGTCTTCCAGCATGATACGGGCGATCAATTGCTTGGACGTAACCTTGGACGTGTTGGTGATGGAACTGATGAGGGAGTCGTAATCGGAGGTAAGGGAGGTGATGATCCGGTGAACGAGGATTTTGTCCTCGAGTGGGGAGCCGACGGCGACGGCTTCGTTGTAGAGGTCCTGTAGTAGGTCCAGGTGGAGCTTCACGTCCTGGCCGGGGGACATGCGGACTGAGTAGAACTGTGATTCAACTAGTGACTGATTGAGGGAATTCTGCTCAGCGAAGAGCGTGCGGAGAATCTCCCACATCGAGTGCGCTGACTTCGCCTTCATGATTGAAATTATCAGTGCATCCTCGACGTAGAGAGCAATCTGCGCCCTCGCCTTCGCGTCTCTCTCCTTCCACGATGGTAGGGCTGGGTCGTTGGTAGGTGGCGTCGTGACGGTATCGCCGCCAACGACATTCCAAATTCCGCGTGCCTCCAGTACTCTCTCCATCTTAAAAGCCCAAAGGCTGTAACTCTTTCAGTCCTTCAACTTTGGCTCAATGGGGATGACTGAGTTTGTGGTTGTGGCCATCTTGGATCGGCTTTGATGTGGGAAGATCTTGTACGATCAGTGAGCGTGCTTCTGGGGATTCGTTAGGCAAATGCAGGGCCCATAACCTGTCAGAAGTCTACATGATAATCCTCAGCGTATGAACAGAAGACGCTATGTATGTATTAATGTACCTGCACGATAATCCTAGGATGATACGTTAGGATACAATAAGACTACCAGGGCGTGCAGGATACTCACCTCAGCGTATGAACAGAAGACGCTGAGGTGTCACGGTAACGGTACGGTCACATAAGTAACGAAGTCCGGAAAATACTGTATCGTAAGTACAGTGCTGGTGGGCTAACTTCTAACAACTTCTTTGGACATATAGCCTGTGATGCACAATTCATTTGACCGGTCCTGATAAGACTAGAGCGCGACCTCGAATCAATTATTCGAGGTGAAATCACAAACATCGCAGGATGAACGTGGTTGTTCCATGCGCAATATGTTGCATATACTACTAGCTTCACGCATTCAGCCTTTTCCTCAAAGACATATATGCAAGTAATATCAGAAGTGGTCCTATCAAACTCAAGCAACATTGACCTGATTTTCCTGCCAGAATTGCATACCACGAAGTGAGATTTGACTCTTGAGAAAATGGGCGGCAGATAGTCAAATGGATACGAATGTACAGACGTGCCTGGAGATTCGTCGCCTTCCGGAACATCTTTAGCTTTGTTGTGGCAGGAGATGGATGGAACATCGGGAAATAGCGGCACCAGACGGTACTCAAAAGTCTCCGCACCGTCGTACATCTGAGGAAGAGTCAAGCACTACACAGCGAAGCGGAATTCGGAAACGCACATACTCGATGGATGGAATATTACCATCCCGGAGGGGAAACTTGACCCAGCGATCCCACAGCTTGTCGATTATGTCAGTTGAGGGTATCAGAACCCACCTATCAGATTCGAGCAAATCACGCCAATCATGACGGACTGGAGACTGTCAGAGAAAGGAAATATCATAGAAAAGAGTGCGCACGCGATATTGTGTTCGAGTATTGATCCGTCTGAATGGTATCATATTTCATTCCCCACGCCCATTCAAGACGTGATAACTGGTTCAATCGGCTGAACTTAGTTAAGACGCAGGAGATGTATGTTGCGAGAACAACTGACCAGAGGATGATTGTTCCAATAGCGTTCATGAAAGACATGACAGAGATGTACGGGAGACTTAGTGACCAAGTCTCCTGTTACGAGGCATCGCTCCGCATGTTGAGACATAGTTGGAACGTGATTCCTTGATCCCGCCCTACGCCGTTTCTTGTCTAGAAAAGGTTGAGCGCCTTGCATTGGCAGCATGAAAATCGATATAATTGGAAAACGATGAGAAGAAGAATCCACGTTGATTGAAAGGATCACAGTCATTGAGGGAGATTTTTCAGAAATTTGTATGAGATAAGAAGAAGAGATGAGGACACTGAACCTCGAATATGGCGAAGTTGAAAGTTGCAGACCCGCGTCACATACTCATGTATGTCACGTGCTTTCAATGTTAACGCATCAATTCAAATCTGACTTCCTTCGTCGCGCTCATGACTGTATTATCCGCCTGTATTTTGTTGCGGAACTGGTGCACTCTAGACCACATAACACCTTTGTCAGGCATGATCACGACCTCCTTTAGTGAGAAAATAGATTGACGATAGATGGCCTGATTGGACAGTGACTAGTAGAACTTGAGGGTATAATTGAAATAGATTGCTGAATCATGCCCAATTCAGATCCATTCAGACTGATATGATTCAACGTAGAGACCATGTTTACATCATCCGAACGTCCACGATTTGACCCAACCAGCATCCCTCGGTGATGTATCGTATTGCGTCGTCGTCTTGAACGTGCAAGGGATCTGCAGCATGTCAGTTGTCACGCGCGCACGTGGTTGGAAACACGATAATGTGATTCAGATGTTCAACTTGTCCGTTAAGTTTCAGTGCAGCTCACTATCCTCATCTCCTCTAATGGCTGCCAGTATCTGGAAGAATATTGAATGCAAATCTTCTTCATGCAATTCTCCAAGTATGTCTATATCCCAGTTGATGCGCTACATGCTTATCCTTTACACCAGACAAGAAATGGCCTAGAGCCGGACCGAGCAACCATGTTCCAGCTGAGCCTAACGAGACAGAGAACTGTCTCATAACAAGGGACTTAGCGGCTGATTTCCCTGTTTATCTTTGCCATGTCTTTCATGAACGTTACTGGAGCAATCACCCTATGGTCAGCCGTCTTCGTGAGATGTCAATTGCATCTAAGCTAATCTGGCAAGATATCAAGCTATCGCGTCTCGAATGGGCATGGGGAATGAAATACGACACCATTAAGATGGATGTAGACTCGAACATGATATCGCGTGCGTACCCCCCCTCCAGTGACGTCCTTGTTTTTCCTGATACACTTTAGTTCGTCATGATTGGCGTGATTTATTTGAATCTGATCGCTGGGCTCTGATGCCCTCGATGGATATAATTGAAAAGCTATGGGACCGCTGGGATAAATTTCCCCTTCATGAGGGTAATGTTCCATCGATTGAGGATGTGCGTTCATTGTTTCTCCATTGCTGCATACAACTTGACTTGCTCTTAGATGTACGACGGTGCAGAGATTTTCGAGTACCGTTTAGTGCCAGTATTCCCCAATGTTCCTCCCGTTTCCCGTTGCAACGGGGCTGAACACATTTCGGGGGGCAATAGGGACGATACTGTAGGCGCCACTGTCTATTCGTATCCATTCGACACTCTACCACCAATCTTCTCAAGAGTCAAGCCTCACTTTGTGGTGCTCAATGCTGGCAGAAAGCTTGACATGATTTCCTACAAATGCTGCACCACCACTCCTGCTATGGCTCGTATCTATGGAGTCCCACAGAAATAGGCCAACCTCGCGAAGTTGATTGTGCTTCAAATGTTCTGCACATGGAATGACCATGTTCACCCGGCGACGTTTGTGACTTCACCTCGAATAAATGATTCGAGGTCGCGCTCTGGTCTCATTAGTCCCGGCCAACCGAATTGTGCATCACAGGCTAGTCGTCCGAAGAAGCGATGCAAAGCAACTGGCGACGTTATCGATGCGGTGTGCCCGCAGCCAAATGTTGTTTGATATGCCACCTCCCTCTCGCGTGTCTCTCCATGTGGATCGGACATTTTGATTGTAGGCGATTCTGGGTGGGATACCGAGGTGGACCCGGAATTTGAGAAGAAATGGCTCTGCCGCGTAACCAAAGCTGTGAAACGGTGGGTTCGGGAGTGTTATCGAGAAGCTTTCTCAGCGGGCGGGTGGGTGTCTTGTTTAACCCACGATGAACAGGTGAAGAGATATCGTCAAGAGCCGGCTCGGAAAATGATTTCGACAATGTAGCGTATTCCCAACGCACACACCACCATCACTGTATCTTTGCTGGACTGCAATGTGTATTCTTTGTGACCGAACCATACCATCTACACTTGCTCGTCAGTCAACTCGATGTAAAATTATCACTGGGCTGGGTGCTACTTCATTTGATCACTGCGCCTTTGCTTCCTCTCTGTGGAACTCGATCACTATAGGCATGAATCCATGTGTTGTGGCATGCGGGTAAGGACTGCTTTGTTGAGCTCTGGCGCTACTTCCCTCGTGTCCTGGTCCCTTAGAATAAGCTCTTGTCCATGATGTGGCTTTCATTTCGGCGCGACGTTGAACTACATGCCTCATCTGTCTGTGGCAAGGTGGCAAACATTGCGACGATATAAATTGTAGTACCTTTCCCTCTGCCTTTCGGTCAGCTTGCTCCTTGACCCTTCCATTCACCTCTTCCTAACTCGACTACCTCGTAAATCATGTTCACGACCACTCAGTCATCGACTCGTACTCCTGCCCTTGCTCCCATGGTTGTGGATTCCGATCCGGGCTTGGTTGATGCTGGATTCAACAACGACTCCGAAACGGCGACAATGCACAGCCCCAGCCATGAACTCAACGATGGTCAATCAAGCCCACTGCCTCCCTTGAGTGGAGAGGAAGGGGAGGATCCTTCCGAAATAAATACGAACGTAGCTCCACCGGACATTTCACAAGAGGACAATGCCGCTGAGTCTGACAAAGAAGGGGAGGGGAGCGACGATGACCCTCTATACAGTCCTTGCGACACGTCTCGGAGCGAGGACGAGACTCCGCCTGGATTATTATATTACGCACATAGGCGCCCCATTGGCGTATCTACGAGTGCCATCAGCAAGAATGATGTGACCGATTTAGATCCAAACGGTGGACAATGTCTACTCACCCGTGACCTGGCGAAGGAGACAGGGATTGATAACGCTCATCTGCTCCCCCAAGCCTGGAACAATAAACCTGAACTAGTGAGTGAATCCTTTGTGGGTATGAATTGCACCTGATTGCTTTGTAGCTCACGAGGTGCGAGTGGGCCCTGGGCCAAAAGTACAAAAGTCTTCACGTTGACGAGCCTAGAAACATTGTCAGAAGTAAGCAGATGATCTTATTTTGTCCTGTGCTTCCTCTAATTTTTCTTACTTGTTTAGTCCGTAAAGATTGACATTTTAACTATGATCAGAAGAAATTCTTGTTAATGCCCACATTGGAAACCATCGAGGCCTTTGAAACCCGCAGAGCGGCTCTCAAGCTAGTATCGCCATCCGACGACCCCCCGGACATCATGTCGGTAAGCTCAAATTCATTAAGCTCGATTATCACCATTGCTGATCATGCACTCTAGCTATATGGCAAGGAGGACATCTTCGAGTACCGCCTTGTTCCCCTTACAGCAGATATCACAAACATCTTTCGTTTCAACCGAGACGGTACTTCCGTGCTGCCTGCCATTCCCAATGGGGATAATAGCAGCTCTAATTCCAATCCCGTACCACCCACTGACACTCCAGATGCTGATGGTGCTATCTCGGATTTCAACACCATACCAATCACCACTGCTAATACCGATCGTTTACTATCCGCGTCTGAACTATCCTCCACTCCTGGTGCTAATAACAGTATCTCCATTGATGACCCCTTACTGCCCACCATCCCCGAGGCAGATGATACTGCATCTGATTCCAACTTCGTTGCGCCGGCTTCCGGGTCTCGTTTATTTGCCCAAGACGATAAATCAGTGTTCAACGGGGATGATCCACTCGATGATGCTCTAACTGAGCTGGACCTTCCCGCGGCAAAGGCAAATTGGGAATGTTATTGTTTTCCATTCGATACTCTCCCGGTCCTTCGCTCCCATGCCCTACCACATTTTATTCTCCTAAACGCAGGAGAGAAATTGGTAGGTATTAAACTGCAGAGATTGGCACCTTTAGTCGCTCGTGTCTTCAAGGTTAACAGAATTGTAGCGATGGAGTCGCTGGCCACCATGTACAACGTCTACAATTCATGGATACAAGCGGTTGTTCCATCGAGCTTCTACTCGAAGCCACCGCTGTCCAAAGATCAGATCATCAAATCCGAAAACAATCAAGAACAGACCGAAGCAAGCACCACGATGTCCGGGATACTAAGAGAAGGCGCCGTGAACCCTGAGGCGGAGCAGAGTGATGCTCAGGTAGACTCCGTGAGGAGTATACACCCTTCCACTCGCCAACAGACGAAAGAAGCCTGAACTAGCCATATCATTGCGGATACCATCAATACTCCGGAGATCCCAGCTCATGCACCGATTGCAAACGTAGAAGGATCAGGCGAGCCCAGCGAGCCTTCTCATGCGTCCACGCCCGCTCGGCTCCCTGCTCTAGACCCAAACCAGGCTGATCCATCCGTCGTACCCACTGCACCTGCTGAGACCGCCGCACTCACCAAAGATATCAGCACTGCCAAACCTGCTTTAGTCGAGCCCATCAAGGTCCCTTTGTACAGCCAAGTGGCGGCAACGAGGAGGTCAGTCACATCTGAGAAGGCCCCGAACGCTACATCCGGCCAGGGACGTCATGGTGTGTCGACCAAGATACCGACAGCCATTCAGACCAATGCATGGAACAGGGCTGACATGGCAGGACCATCTCAACAGGAACGCACTCAATATGAGAGACTGGCAGCTGGTAGCGGCATGCTTGTACAGCGCAAGACGGCGGCGCAGGAAAGCTCAGCTTGGAAAACAGTAAGGTACAGTCCTCCTCCAGCTGGGTCCAAGAACAAGGACTCTCGTCATGCCTCAGGATATCCTGGACGTGGCTCGGTACCAGCCAAATCTCATAATCTTGGCGCTGGCAAAATGGATTCACACAACACCACTTGGACAACAGCGAGACACTCTCAGGCTGTAAGTGCATCGCACGCCAGGGGCACTGGATATGATTCGAGACATCAGGGCAAAGGCAAAGTATCCCCTGGGGCCAATATTCCTCGCATGGGCGCAAGTGCAACACTCAAGATACCTGTTCGCGCTGAAGGAGACCTCCAGAATGATAACTCTTCGAAGCACAGATCTAGCAAGAGTGGAGGCGAAGGGGTTCTGGATCCGCCAGATCAGAAACGGAGGCGAGTCGCATGTCCATCAGAAGGCGATGTGGGCCTGTCAACTTCCCGTATCCCCCAGCCGGCGGGCACGAGGGTCATTGACCGGATGAAGCCTAAGATGACGCCTTCCTTATTGCATCAGAGGGTCTCCTTCGCGCAAGACCAGGGAGAGGATCATCCCGTAGCTTCTGGCTCACAAGGTATGACTGAGAAAATGCCAGCGCATGTGATGCATCCAAGCAGCCAGAGAGACTCGGGGTCGACACCCATGGACAACAATGAGCAAGGCGAGAAAGGTCATAAGTCAACTAAATCTGGGAAGAAGAGGAGGCACTCTAGACGGTCGTTGGGCGAAATGATCTAAATAGGTTGGTTTATCGTGTGAGTTTTGGCGCGAAAAGATCGATTCTAGCCTCTTTGAACATAGGCATGTAGTTTTTTGCTATCATTGATTTGATCAGACGATATGCGTCGTTGTGGTACTAGAATGTCGCCAGCCCCTTATGTTGCTTATGGCCTCTATGCACTAAGTAATAATGATGGAGTTGTTATGATATGAGAGAAGCAGAAAATCACATCTGGAAAACCACCCCCTTGTATTAGCTCCGGATTATATCTAATAGTATCTAAAATTATCTAAAAGTGTTAATAGCATCTAAAAGTGTCAAATTTCCTAATTAGGAGCAACACATTGTGAACATTGGAATTGGATTCTAATTTCATGATATTAGCACTAATTCTATACTAAGAAATCTTAAAATTAGCAGTAGGAAATAGTAAGTACTACTGCTCTATTAGCGAGAAGGTAAAGATGTGGCACATTCTATACTATTTTAGCACATTACTCTCCTTCATATGTGCTTACACTATTATCTTATAGCTCTTTTGCTAACTTTCGAGCTGCCTTTAAAAAGGACATAGAAAGAGAGAAATGTGCATTGATGCCCCCAGCCACTTTGTTGGCAGCTTGGCAGCTGCCACAAGAGGCTATGAAGACCTCAGTACCTTGGCCTTGCACACAAGATCATTAAAGTTGTCATTGTTAGCCAATGCTGGTCATTATAGGACACAACATGTAGGTTGGATTTAGGGATATGCTATATGCAGCCTTATAGACCTTGTCTATTAGTATAGTGGCTAATACTGTCTTGTGCAGCACACAATCATCATCACTATTAATATTACAATTTTTAGCACTATTTATATTGTTTATTGCCTTGTCATACAGAAGATGCTCAAACTTGGTGTTTTCCTCTAGCTATTAGGCTGTGGAAAAGACAGTCATATTGGTATGTGGTGCCAGAATGATATATTTGCCTGCCATATAGGAAATATATGCATTAAGCATATTAAGATCACCTCCAACAATCTTGAGCTTATTTATATATAGGCATGCCATACATATACTCTTGTCCCCACCCTCTACCTCACTAGTGGCTATTTGGAAAACCCCTTTCTCTTATTAGATCTTGATTATTCATAATCATGTTTTTGATCAAATTTGCAAATTAAGGTAGCATTGTCTATACTAGTAGAGTCCCATTGAATATTACACTCAATCATAGTTTTACATATTCTCAGTCCAAATTGTATAAGTGCCATAATTTATTTTTATCCTATATAAAGTGTATTATCAATTTTCCATTGGTTTATTATCTTCTTAGCTGGTGTTTAAACTAAATCCTGAAAGGCCTGACTTTTTGGGTATTTATTGACCTATTTATTTATAAGATAGAGGAAAGACAAATGTTAAATAAAATCAGAGATGTTGAGGTTGCCTATATTATGTCTACTTATTTAGATTACCAAGTTTATATCTTAGACCTTGTGGCTTAGTGGCTTAGAGCATCTGTCCTAGGTGCTTGCATACATAAGGTTGTTGGTTCAACTCTGGCAGAAGGTAAGTTTGTTATAAGGTATATTCTGTGTTTAGGTATTAAACTAGTGCTCTAATAGACATAATTCTATAAGAAGGCTATGAGAACTGTGATGCTTGATTTATTATGATTTTTCCGAAATTTCAAGTTATAATCAATCCTAATAATTCCTAATTTAGGAAAATTATGTCTAATTAGAACAGGTTTAGAGGGGGGTTAGCTAAAAATGTCTAATCCTAATCGTTCTTAATTATGCATAAATAAAACTAATTAGAGCTTAATACAAAGGGGTGGTTTTTCAGATGACTTTACCTGTATTCGACTGGCGCCTCGCGCCAACAAATCATGGTCTTGAATCACCTGGGGCTAAGCGTAAGCTATACAACTCTCACAGGTCGAGGACATAAACACAACCCTTGGGCTGCGGTATCAACAAGCACTATAGTACAGTCAACAGGAGCGACCCAGGCAGATGATTAAAGGGAGCAATCACTTACCACATCCGTCTGACTCTTTCCAATACCCCAAGAGTCGCATCTTGGCACTTTGGAGCTTCTGTCTCAGAGCATGCACGACGTGGCCTGACAAAAAGCTGCTGAAGGCCCTTTTATGGTTATTTATGACAACATCAACTGGATCCAGAAAGTGTTGTCACAGATAGTTGGTACGATTGGTGAGTGTCTGTTTGTTGCCCAAAACATTAGATCAGGTTTATGATACAGTGGTACAGACACACAAGCAAACAGGATGTGCGCAACATTGATACCTCTATTCAATGCATTGAAAGAGGGACTCCAAGTGACCAACCTCGACGAATCCTTCAACAAAGCACCTCCCCTGTCACTTGACAACCTCATACTCTAACCCGGTGATGAGCACGCCACCTCTTTAAGCGCCGGGACCCCGTTTTTTGCAGTTCTACGAGCACTAGCATGCTGACCTCAGGGGATACCCCAGAGACCGCCGGGTGGCCCCGCTGCCCAGAGCGATTCCCTCCGATGCCCACTACGACCTCAGCATTATGGTATCGGGCCGATGCGGTCTTGTCTCGTACCCCCCAGTCATCGCCTCGCATCATCTCACTCAGCCCCCACGTGTATCGCACGACGACCTCGAGCCTGCTGCACCCGCAAAGACCTCGCCAAGCTCTCGCCATACGCCTCGCAAGCATCGACTGCACGGACCGCACCGCGAGCAGCTCCGCGACGCAATATCGCAGAGAACTTTATCGTGTGCGCTTATTGGGTAGTACAGGTCCCATGATCCATTGCCCCTCCACCTTCCTAGAGTTTACCTCGTCTCACCGCTACACCTCTTTACTAAATATCGCTTTGTCTTGTGACCGCGGCACGACAGAACCTCGCGGTCTGCGAGCACCTCTGCGCGTGGTTTTTTCTTTATCTTTCCATGTTACGGTCTTGGCGCAATATCGATTTACTTTACCTTACAAGTTCGCGTTTACTATACTCACTTCGACTTACTATAAATACCTGCCTACGACACTGCAATACACCAGTTTATGAACACCCCTCTGCTTAGAGCTCAACTTCGCACAAAGATCTCGCTCATATCGCATCGCACCGACATCGCACTCGCTCGATTTAGCACTCGTCGCCTTCATTGCCGCTATTGTCAGGGCCTTTGTCGCTGCCCTTGAAGTTGACTCAGTCACTCGCACCTTGGCCCACGGTCCACCACTTCGTTTCACATGAGAGTATTCTCGCGTGACCTTGCATCACCTCGCTAGATATCTCGATATCTCGTAGTACGTATATCGCGCCCCGTCTCGCAACTTACAAAGGGTCCCTCAATATTTGTAGTGAAGTCAGCTCCCCACCTACCCTGTGTTTAGTGGTGTGTTTTGTGTTGTGTTTTCGCATGCAGAGCCATCGCAAGCGCATCACCGGTGACCACACCTTCTTCCAAACGTGCTTAGTCCACACTGTACTTACGATCGTGGTGCATCATGGTGGACGTAACGTGCAGTGCTTCCAAAAACCCCTTTAAGAGAGCCTTCTAACATCTCATCAGAAGACAGAACTACACAAGACTGACATTTATCCCCTGCCAGCAATGAACATCAACAAGTCGTTGACTGCTGGGAATGCAGAGGTGGTTGATGCTGTTTTAAAGGAACTGTGGCTTGATACGTCGATGTCAGAGTTCGCCACAGAGCTCAAGCTCATTGTTGGTGATCAATTGTCGCTTGCACCTCTTTGATCCATCGGTGCATATTGTGCAGGCAGTGAAACAGATGCAGCAGCACTTTGATGGGCACTATTCATACCCGGCCTCTTCTATTACAAGATGGCAGCCAGCCACAGGTTCATCACAACTCACCTCGGTCAACCCAACCACCTCCTCACCAACCCCACATCCCTTGTCACTCACAACATGATCCTGGAGTGCAAACCAATTGTGGCGACATCCCTGCCCCCATTCCAAACATGCCAGGATCTCATCTTCATCTTCTTTTATGCCCAGGTACTACATTATATTCTCCTAGTTGCAGAGTTGACTTCACTGGATAAATACATGGACAGCTTGACATGGGAAACACTCCAGTCACATGCTGCGACTGTTGTCAACCGTTTCACTGATAATTGTACAGTTCATCATCTACAACAAGAACACGCAGTTCACAGCTCTCACCGAGGCAACATGGTATTCGAAAATGCAATCCTATTTCTACGTGATGCACTGCATTTAAGGGAGTTCTTGGACGCCATCAAGGCTGGTGATTCGGGGCACGTTCTCAATATCCTCAAAATCACACATGTCTGGCCGGCATCCCTCATGTAAGTATTGCACATTATATATCATGATATAGCTAAAATCTCCACAGTAAGGTTGTGCTCAACAACTGGCTGGTGAATCCAACAGGAAGCCTCAAGGTTGGCATGAGGTGGACTTATTGTAAGAGCACTTTAACTTCTGGATAAAGGTAAGTGACTGCACTTCTGTCAATGACAACCCACTAATTGGTTCATGAACAGACCCCAACTAGGACTACTATCAGGTGCATGGCAGCACCACTTCCTGGGAGTGGCATGAAACCATTGCGCCTTACATGGAAATATTATGCCGCCTGGCTACTAATGTCCATGATGTTTTAGGCTCCAAGCAATGCAACTGCCACACCGTGCCTGACCTAATGGACAACATTGACGAGTTGATGGGCAGTCTCTCCTATCACAGTGTGTACGCGGAACAGCAGGGCTGGGCATCCAATGATCATGACCCACCTGCTGTGGATGTGATTGTTGATGGTTATATGTCACTTTCATAGGGAGCAGCAACTGTGTTGAAGCAATTTAATTCAATGTTCACAACATTATAGCAATGGCGCCGAGCAAACAATTAGTTGGTGCTATTGAATATTGTGAAGGCAACACAAGCCTTTCTGATGCCAGCGTCATTTATAGCCACCCATTGACAGGTATGTTCATGTTGCTCAAGAGTGTTATGCCAATGTAGTGGCTTTCTCTGACTAACAGCTTGGCAGATGCTGATGTGACCACCAATGATAGTGATGAGCACAGTGATGCAAGTGTAGATAATTTTGATGAGGTGGATCTCGACGAGGGTGTTCAACCCAACCTGGATTTGACATCCATGGAGGATGTAGCACTTGGTATGGATGGCTATGCCAAGAAGGGGGATGATAACCTCGTGTTTGATGATTTTGAAGATGAATTTCCAGATAATAATCAATCAGATTCATATATAGAGACACAGTTAACCATATGAATGAAATATTACATAGTCAGTTTAGACAGGAAAGGGAGAGAAAAAGGAGAAAGGCAAGGTATAGTAGTGGTGGCTGAAGATTGCACTAAATTTAGCTAAGTTGAACTCACATTTGGTGTGCCCCACCAAAACCGCGACCAGTGAGCCTAGCTGGTCTCCCATGGGGCCCTTGACGGAGCATAGTGGAGCAGCGGAATTTGAAAGACCGGCTGTGTCCGAGCCTAGTCTTTATAGTCTCTTGTGGCAGCTGCTAAGCTGCCAACAAAGTGGCTGGGGCATCAATGTATATTTTTCTCTTTATATATCCCTTGTAAAGGCAGCTGTAAAGTCAGCAAAAGAGCGACAAGATAATAGTGCAGGCATATATAAAGAAGAATAATATGCTGAAATAGCATAGAATGTGCCACATCTTGACCTTCTTACTGATAGTATTTCCTACTGCTAATTAAAGACTTCTTGGTATAGAATTAGTGCTAATATTATGAAATTAGAAACTATCTTTTTAGCCACAGAAAGAAGTGGTTCCCAATTTGGAAATCTAATCCAATGCTTACAATGTGTTGCTCCCAATTAGGAAATTAGACACTTTTAGATGCTATCAATACTTTTAGATACTTTTAGACACTATTATAATCCAGAGCTAATACAAGGGGGTGGTTTCCCAGATATACTTGTGAGTGGCTATAGAACACTGTGTACATGGCCTACAACCATACACTTGACACAGGCTCAAAGGTACAAGGGAGTTATCTACAACATCTAGCTTTGTTGAGCTTCCAAAAGCCTGTTTACACTTAGAGCATTTTTTTACAAGCTAAATCTACACAAACTAAGTACATCTGTCTGTCAAGCTTTATTTATATTTTGAAGCTTACAACCTTGCCTCAAGCACTACAAGGTTAGAATTTTTTTTTTTGCTATTTTGCTGATGTGTCATTGAGCCCACTTTTAGTGTTCTTAGCAGTGCCATTGTAAGGCCCACAGCTGTGAGTTGTACCACTGTGCAGTGTTTGTCAAGATCTGTAGGCTCGGACCTGAGCATGATGCCAAGCAGATTGATGTCTGTGTGTTTGGAAAGCCACTTTAGCAAGCTTAGAAGTGCACAAGAACAGATCCTAATAGAGGGTCAGATCCACCAAGTGGATAGGATTGCTATGGTGCAATGAAAGTTGAATACCTGCTGACTGATAACAGATTGTGCATGATGGGAGGTCTGGGCACTGCAGCCTTATATGCTACAAATTCAGGTAAATTTCGAAGGCTTGATGACCCAAGAATAATAGCGATTACTTCCGAGCAACGAATGGGTGTTACACGGAGAGAAGCCCATAGACTGCCCGCATTCGATGATGACTCAGCCGGAGCATCGGAGCTCGGATTACCAGTGAGTCCGCAGACCGCGATTGATAGATTACTTTTGAACTCTTACTCAGTGAGATCTTCGCTCCCTGTCTGTCACTGCGATTTTGCTTCGCGGGCGTTTCGAGCGGAGCTTCCCCGGCAAGATAGAGAAGTAGTAGATCAGGGACATCTGTTTCTTCGAGGTCAGCTCGAGGTATTTAGGAAGGCATTTTTGGGTAGTACGCGGAGGTCGGAAACGAGAGTGCCCATCTCTCTCTCTCTCTCTCCATCGTTTCATGTTTTCCAGGCCAGTCAGTGACTGATATTGTCTGGCCGCACATCGAACCCTGACTCATCCCCGATTACCGATTACAGTACAAGGCCTCGGAGGTCTGTGCATACAACTCCACCTGGAGCACCAGGTGTATTAACTTCTGTTCTTCAAAACTGGTCATCGGTGTTCTTTCCGCGACGGAAGTTACTGAAAGAGGCAATGAGATTCGCATAGTCTTGGTTCCGCCGGACATCAGCGTTGCATGACGTTCCTTGAATCGCTGAGGCGAGTTTTGCATAAGTACAGTAATCATGCCTCCACATGGGGCTTGCATCTCCAAGTCTCGTCGCTGATCACGGTCTCAGTATTGTCATCATGTCCAATGCTCTCGTTCCCGATCGCATATCTCCCATTTCACAGTCCTTTTTTGAGCAAAGCTACGGTGAGCCCGCAGTAGTTATGCCAGATACTCGCTGCCGCTTTCTAATCATTTCGTTCTACAGGAGGGATGCTCATTTGTTGCATGATCATGCTCGTGGTGTATGGGTTGTCCGTACTTCAGGTGCATCAATTTCTACGGATCGTCGGTCTTCCTTGACAGGCTGACCTAGCTTATGACAGACGTACATGTATTTCCTCAAATATGGAAATGACGGAGTGTTGAAGAAAGCGATGGTGAGTCGATAAGACAATATACGCCTAATTTTAGTGAGCTCGTTGATCTATATCGCAGGTCCTATCATTGTGGTTCGTGATCATGCGGATCTACTATAGCTGTTGAATCAATGCTCTTGAACAGGGTGTTGGGAACAACGCATGCAACATTTGGTGCGCATACCATTTCTAACTTAAAAGTCATTAAGCTTAAGCAGTGTCTGATGAATTATCTGAAGTATGCCACACAGTATACTACTACCTTGTGCGTCACATACTGTATCTACCTGAAGATTAGGCTCTCCCACATGCTGAGCTTTCCGATAGGTGCTCAGTTACGCCAATCCGCTACTGTTAATAAGCGGTGTATGGTATGCAGTCTCACTGATGAAGCTTTGATGATCACCCCTGATATCTATTGATCGCCTATTTGCAGGTCGGCCCATGTAAGTCTCGCTGAGCCCTTGATCATTAGCAAATTTTGATCGTCGATCCTATTACCTAGGCCGCTACCTGCATCGGAGTTCGCCATTTGTTTCTGTGTGGGATTCCAAGGCATTGATGATGACTTGACAGGTTGTTAGCTATGGCATTGTGCAAATGCAAGTACCCGTCTCTTAAATGAATTTCAATATCTCACAAACCCTCCAGATTCTTTGCACGAATGATCTACTACAGTGAGTCTCTGCTGAAGTGTCGCAGTCAGTGTTCATGATCATACTGACTTGGGATCGCAGTGACGAGAAATGTGTGGCGATTCTTGTTAACGACAGTTCTCGTATGTATCACCATTCGACTAGTCTCTGTGCAAGATAGCTAAATGTAACTGACCTTTACATCTGCAGACGACTTTAATCTTGGCCCAACTCGGTGAGAGCACCTCTGTCTCATCTTCGCAAGTGGGTTTAAACATACCGGACAAACCTGTTCTACCAGCGCTCGGCATCAGTATGTGTTGCAAACCCTTATAACCTTCCGTGGTCATATCCTTACCATCAAAATTTACATTCAGGACTATCTGTCGAATTGTACTCATGCCCCTTCATTGCTTCAACACCTTTCGTGTAGCTAACGTTCGTCAATTGACAGATTCCAGTTATGGCAACCTCTGAAGCTGAAAGCTGCCGTGGTAAATCGACTTCACTCTCCATGATGAACGGTCCAGAGCTGAAATAGCGGGCAGTACGTAGCAACGGAACCATTGCTTGTGGTCATGGTGGTGTTGGACGCAGTCACGGCAAGCGCGCTGTCCCTCGCGCTTTACAAAACCCGCCCCAGTCAGCCAAGGTGCGCTTCCAAATGATGCATTTTAGATTCCATCTGTAAAGTTACAGTAACTAATCAACTGATAGGTCGATAAGACTGATCAACACGCTCATTTTATATGCCATCAACAGATTTGTCCTAACCACGTGAGTTCGTGCTCTTGGCCTGTCGCACTGTTGCTCATAACAGGATACTCTGCTGCAGAGTCGTTGTCGGTTTCCAAACAATAATTGTAGGTATTATCCGAATTTTCCATGCATTGTTGTTCCTACTCCCCATATCTCTGTCCACGTTTAGCTCATCGTTAGACCGGATACCATTTGGGCCATAAGCTTCGAGTTTTTTACCGTGCACCGTGAGACCTGTGCTCTCCTAGATATGCTCCTTCACTCATATCATATATAGTCTATATCAACAGCCTCCTGGCTACACTCAACTCTCGTAGTCATCTGCGCAACATCGACACAGATCCCATATCGACTCTCCGATTCTCAGGCTTCGTCGTGCGCGGTGGGAGTAGCCGCCACGCATCCTCGATAACAGAGTCGCGAGTGTTCGAAAGTGGCAGAGACCTGAGACCGGTGAATGTTGAACTCAGCTGTGACACTACGTCCTCGGAGGCGCAGGTCGTGGAACTAGTCGATCTAGACATGGAGCGCAAATCCGGGGATTATACAATCTCTACTGTAAGTCACTGGTACTGTCTATGCTTTTTGTTAAGTGCCTATCGATTGAACCAAAAAAACTCTCCCAGGCAGTGTGACCCGCCGTCATCCCATGTATGATAATCCTCGTGCTGGACCATAGAGGACGAGCACGTCTCGAGAAACGACTGTAGGAGTCAAAAAAGAACTCACGGCTTGAAATATTCTTCCATTATTCAATTTTTTTTATGAGGCCAAGTCGTGATACGTAATGCTGGTTCGAAGCTTCCGAGTAGAGATTGTGGAGCACTGGCAGGCGTTGAATCGGAAATCATAAGAGGACACGTCAGAGCCCTCTCAAGTGAGTGGCGATTAGATTCGATTATGACTGATCGTATTTGCTCCGAGTCCGAAGCCTTGGGCGGCCGGCACCCAAGCATGCGTTTTTTCTACATCGTCACGGGCTTCTCTTAGCCTCGCCTGTGACTATAGGAGTTGTTCTGAGCAAAAGAGGGGCAAGGGGACATATAGACTGCCAATTGAATTGGACCCACATTCTCATTAATTGGCGGTACGGCGTCAATGTGGATGGCTTTTACAGTTACGACCAGACGACCATGACTTGTATGGCCCACCTTTATTCCGTGGAGCCATCTAACGCTTATCGGGGCTCACATTGATTGATGGTTGTTAAACCTCTCGTGAGACTGCTTGATTACATGGCCATGTTGGCTGTGGGGGATTCGAGGAAATAGGCGACCAATGGTATAAATGCAAGGTTAAACAAGGAGAGGATCCACAGCTAGACCACTATGCAATCCTCACATCCGAGGATTCGCGACCTTTCAAGATCATATCTGCACATTTCTCCGCAATAGCAACTGTAGGCGCCTGCAAATGGGCGCCCAGCACCCACGGGAATATCGAAGAATCTGCGATTCTCAAGCCTTGTATGCCGTAGACACGTAGTTCGTCGTCTACTACACCTCCACCTCGAGGATCGTTTTCTGGTGCCATCCTGCACGTCGATGCGTAGTGGTATGTCGTGCGATGGCGCTTCAGCTTGACGATATACTTGTCCAGCGAGGCATCGTCCTCGCCTTCGGGGACCTCCCAGTCTTCCAGCGGATATCCGCGCGCGCGCATGCGATCGCAGAGGCGGAGCGTGAGACGAAGAGATGCGCGGAGGGGAGCGAAGTCCACCGGGTTGGAGAGATAGCGCGGGTCAATTTTCAAGAGAGCCGCGGGATCATTGGAGGTCAGACGAACAGTTCCGCGGCTTTCAGGGTGCAGGAGCACGTTCAGGAAACTGAAAACGCCTTGTGACTTATCGAAAACTTGACTATCGCCGCTGTCGTACGCCATCTATAGCCATAAATGCTATGAGTAAAACGCAGCATCAAATTCGAGAAAAATACATACTGGCATGATCTCAATATCCGGTAAACTTTCAGGTTCGGCGAGCTTGGTCTTAGATGGGATGCCTTTCTCATCTAGAAATTTGGAGGAGCTAAAGATGGCCACCTGAAGGACGGGCGCGAGAAGCATGCCGGTCCCAAACAATATGTAGCGAAAGAGCTCCATGAAAAAGACCCATATGCGCTTTTCTAGAGAGACCAGAGAGTCTCGCATGGGTATACGGAAAGCGATCGAGACACCAAAATGGTCCTCCTGCAACAAATACCACCCATGTCAAACCAAATGACCGAAAGAAAGATACATCGCACTCACAAGGTTGGAGCCCACTGCAGGGAGATCTTTGATCACTTTGATGTCGAATTCCCTGAGATGTTCGGCGGGTCCAATCCCACTAACCAGCGAATGCGTAAGCAAAAGTACGGTCGATACGCGGATCGAGATCCTTACCTAAGCATGAGAATCTGAGGGGAAGAGAAAGGGCCCGCGCACAGAACAACTTCCAGGACGGCACGTACGAAGCGCTCCTCACCGTGCTCATTGAAGAGATGCACACCTTTGACCACTCGCCTGCCGTCCCGTACGACCTCAATTTCCAACGTGCTCACCATCGTCGTGGTGCAGATATGTAAGTTATCCTTTCTCTTGAGGGCAAGTTCTTTGGGAAGGAAAGCATGATATGTTGAGTTTCGGTGACCATCACTGTCGCGTGTGAAATGGAGACGACCACAACCGAATGCAGGGTGCTCAGGTGAGTTAATATCGTCTATGTAGGGAAGTCCGACGTCCCTGCATGCTTCGACTGCCCTTCGCGAATTTGTTAGTCAACATAGATATGAGGTCCTTGGGCGTGACTCACTTGTCGAAGCCCTTGAAGTAGAAGTTCTCGTTGGTTGAGTTGTGCCATTCACCTGTCGAAAATGTCCCGTGGTCAATCCTCGTGCGCGTTGACCTGCACGTGCACGAACCGTTTTTGCTATGAACGGATGAATCCGCAGCATAGTTGGCGTGCTCGGACTTGAGAAAGAAGGGCTTCAGATCCTCCCAGCCCCAGCCTTTCCTTCCAGCATCCCTCCATGCATCATATTCGGCTGGAAGGCCGCGCATGTATAACATCTGATTGATCCTGGTAGTACCGCCGAGACCCTTTCCAGTATATAGCTCGAGAGGGTGACCTAGGATTTCTTGGTGGACGGAAGGTATTTTGAGGGTTCGCGATCCATCTGACGCGAAATCAGAGGAGAAGAGAGGGACTCGGGAGGCCCATGAATCCGCGAGGGGTCCACGTTCCAGTACGAGGACGCGTGTTTTCGTGTCGGCGCTGAGACGATTGGCAAGCACGCAGCCCGCAGTACCTCCGCCTTGTATAATACACGTATAAGCTAGCTTTCTTGTCCGGAAGATTGATAGCTCACCAACTATAATGTAGTCGTACTGATCAGAGAGCTCATAGAGCTTGACTTCAGGATACGACGAGGTGAATGGCCACATATGGTGTCTTGGCAAGGTCCAAAGTTCAGACGCAAATCTCTGCGGGGGTCGCCCAGGGAGATGTGGAAAGACAGCACACCCTTGAAACTTGCCGGCATATATCAAGACAGCGGTTGCTAAAGCACTATGGCCTGGGAACGGATAATGATGCGCTGAGGATATTTTAAACTCCGATGAACCTGATGTTTCTCCTAGTCATTCAATCATCTCAGGACTGGATGAGAAAGTGTGGAGGACGTATTTTTACGCTGGTCGTTCATAATCACGGATCATCACGAGTTGTTGTTCAACAAAATCAACATCAACATCACTGCCGCCTTAGGATAGCAACGAGCCAAGCCATATATGCTCTAACTGACCATTGACACTCATATCGGCACATTGTACCCCTGATCTTTTTCCTGCGTCGAACACAAGAGGGTCGGATCCAAACCCATCACATCTGAACCTCATTTAGAGCAGCCGTAGGGACATTTTCTGAAGTTGAACCTGGCATGGCGCTTAGGCATTGATGACACTGCATGCCGACATCAAACGTAGTTTTGAACGTCCACGCATTGATGTTTCATCATGATAGGCACATAAGTCTGTGTTTCTCTACCCATCTCTGAGCACCTCGAGGACAAGGCGCATGGAGGAATATGAGTCTCCAACTCTGCAGTCGTAAGTCTTCATCATTTGCCTAAGCTGTATGCTCAAGTACTTAAGACTTATGTTTCGACAGTATTCCACAGGTCTCTCGTTTTCCTACACTCTTACATCTTGCTTAACATGTCGGTCATCGTTCCTCCCCCTCCTCCTCCAGGTCTTAACTATATTGCTGCCATCCGACCTTCGCTCAACTTTATCCTGGTCTTGACGCCACTGGGGGCTGTTCTAGTCCCCGTCATCCTTACCCTATTCTTCTTTTCAACTCCAGAGACTCGACGTCATCCTGTTTTTATCTTCAATATCCTTGCATGCTGCAGTGGCATATGTGAAGCTGCTATCAACGCTGCGCTGGAGACAAAACAGATCATCTATCCTAACCAACCCGTATCTCCGAGCTTGTTGACGGCCGTCATCGCATTTGCAACAATATCCCCTGTATTCATCGATTCCATTCTTCTTTTCCGGCTGCTTGCATTTTTCCCGCTCCGGATCACGCCAAAGAGAACCTTACTTGCGATCTTACTTCTTCCTGTTCTCATCAAGTGTGGACGCTTCATCGCGATCGTGCTGTACCTCAATTCATTCACGCATACCAGTGGGCGTCTTCCGAGCGTACTTTTGGCGGCGCAATCTACATGGCCTCATAATCGATATATCATGACCGAATGGTCTCTCCAAATGGCGGACAATTTGTGTGTATTTTACTTTCTTTCGGGATTCTGGCAATTCTAATGCGGAGTCTTCTAGCTATTCATCGGCGTTCTTTCTTTACAAGCTGTATCAATTTCAGAAGGCAAGCAAGGAAGTGAAAGAGCACCGAAGTCGTGAGTAAAACCCAGTACATGTCGCTCGTAAGCTTGTGCTCACCTTCTGTTCCAACGCGACCAGGCAATCTGTTATCGCGCATTCAATCCTTATTCTTCATCGCTCTCGGGAATTTCATTTTTCCGTGAGTCTTGTTTCCTACTCCTCGAAAGGCTTCTACTAATGTCGGACGACTACAGTGTCATGATGAACATATCTCAAATCATCCTCATCGCGTCTGACCGTTCCTTCACGAATGGGTCCTACGTGCTCCTCTCAAATAACTATGTGGCCATACTGGGTGTTGTGTTCGCCACCATCTGGACTAACAAGCAAAACTGGAACAGGCACGCTGTGCCGAATAACGATAGTCTTGTGAACTCGACTTTCGATCCCTCGCAGAAAAAGATTGTGTCGACAATCCGATTCGATCCCGCACCGTACGCTAGCTCGAGCGATGAGATCGACCTGGGGAGAAGTATTGTGACTGTGGCGAGAGAGAAGGAAAGCAAAGTTGATTCGGAACATATGTCTCGTGTTTGAAGCCCTCGCTCTTTATACGAACGCCAGCTTGTATTTATGCAGTCCGGTAATCTTTGTGATTATCAAACGATTCTTAACACTGATGGGAACATTATGTAGACTGTGTGAAAGTTAGGGCCTGTTTTTATGCAGCCCGTGATAAACTTTTCCAAGATGCATTACGAAGTAGAAGTTGGGCGTCTAGAAATTGAGCCATTTGCTGCGCAGGTACCGGAAGTGTGTAAATGCCACGAGTCGAATCAAGACACAGATCCGAATAACACTATCTCAATTCGTGCGCACTGTAACGTCCTGAAACGCACATGTGAGAGGAAGGTCGCCCGTCGAAATCAGTCGCGTATTGCTTACCTTTTATGTCCACTCCCCTTGTATCGCCTCTAGAGGCTGGGCTCTATAACCAAGTTGTGTTCCCGCGTCCAGGTGTATCCGGCGCCGGGCATATGAATTTCTGACAGTCCCCTTCAAGCGGATGGCGCAAAAACTGAGACGCCGATCGAGCAGCCTTTTCTTCGTACCACGGGCCTGGAGGAGCATACGACAAAGCGACCCCCAAGATGTGAAGGCCCACAGCACCAGCAAGGCGACGGAAAGTCAAGGGCCTGAGGTAGCATGGGAGGCGAACCCCCGCCTCTCGAGAGTCCAGAGGAGCCAGAGAAAGAAGAGCCAGAAAATGACAAGACGGAAAATAGTCATCGAGTAGATGTACACCCCATACTTGCCTCCGCCTATATATCTGATTCCGAAGACTAACTCCATTGACACTCGGGTCAATTAATCGCGTGCATCGCCCCGCCTTTCACCTTGCTGCGGATAATCGAAAGTTGTATCGTTTCCAACCCTCGGATCGATCCTGCACGAGCAAAACAACGCGCATGCGCGGGGCCGGAAAATTACGCCTTCAAGGCTTCGCACTTGAGAGATTTCAAAATGAAGAACAAAGCAAGTGTACCACAAGAATCTACAAATCAAGAACCAAACTTGACGTTCGGATCGTGCAATCGACGTCGACAATTAATAAAGCGCATGTTTATGGCGATGGAGGAGTGGAGGTAGTCGTACGTCTTTGAAGAAATAGATTGTGCCTGCTGCCGTCGAGCCCTTTCGTGCGACCGAGATGTCGAGGAGGATGGCAAGGAGAGAGGTATTTTTACGGCTATGTGCGTTTACTATTGAAGCACCGACTGATTTTGAGGTCGAAGTCACATTGAACCTGCAGGAGATGCCGCAAGGGTCAGTCGACAAAGGACAACAAAATCCGGAAAATGAGCTTAGAGAATCGAATTCGAGATATAAGGTGTCACGGATTACAAGACCGCGCACGCCAGATCCCGATTGCGATGGTACACGAATCTCCACGCGGTCGGGAGCGCGCAATATTCGCCATCGCAGGACATGTAGGCCTCGTGGACACAGCCACAAAGCAAGATCATACGGAGGCAAAGAAAAAAGCAAAGAACATCCTCGCGGAGACACGAAAATGCAAGGACACGTACGTACGCCGGCGTCGCCTCCAGCCGAGCACAAAACAATCTGTCCTCCTTTGGCCGCGGTGTCAAAGCTCAACAAGCAGGTTCGCCATGCCCATCTGGCCCGGATACAAGTTGATAGGTGGACATGAGCCGTAGGCTTTCACTGCCATTTCAACCATTACTCACCATCACCCGTGTTCTCCACATACACCTGTGTCGTACTCTCTCGGCCCTCAGTCTGAGCCACAATGGTGGCGGGGCAACGTTCCCAAGGAGCCACGGTACCAGAATGCGTTCGCTGACGAATTCGCCGGCGTTGGCGCACTCGAGACCACGACATCGCATAGCAAGGTTTGACAGCTCAAGGTCAATATCTACCTGCGAAGAATCGACCTGCAGCAGGACATCCCGTGTATCCATCGATAGAGAACGTGATGCTGATAGCTCTCTGTGTGCAGGACGCCTCGGTGTTACTTGGAACCGTCGTGAGGGCTACTATTTCCTCCATATGCGACGGCACAGTGGCCGTTCTATGATGCCGGGTAGGGCTTATTCCCGCCTTCCCAGAAGATAGTGCCGACTGTAAAGAATGGCCTATCCGAGGCAACGCACGTCGTACGTGCGTGGTCCGTAAATTGCCCCCACTCGTCCCTACGCCCACATCTGATCCACCATGATGTGAGAATAGGCCGGCGAGCCCTGGCTGCTCGATCGCAAGCGAAGAGCCTCCGCACTGCCATATTCCCGCGCACGGCAATGTATGAGCCACAGATTTTGTGGCGCCAGTCAACGAGACTAGTATCTCCACGGCTCTACCAGCCAATATGACACCGTATCGCGATCTTTGAAGAGGCAAGAGTGTCGAGTGTCGACTGCACGGTTATCAAGGTGGAACAAGTGATCATCAAGGAGCCTAGACCCCAGATAAAGACCGAATAGATAATTAGAAAAAAAAACTCTTCCGCGAGGGCGAACCCCTGAAATAAGAGCGAGCAAGTCGATGCATCTCTAGACGCACTTGAAACACACCTTCGTGTGCTACGAGCAGACGTCTTCAGCAATCGTAACAAGGCGAGATCCAAGCAGAGGTCATCCGGAGTTGTCTGAGCGCAGTAGGAATATTATTGTAAAAGATCGTGAGGGATGATCGATGATTGGTGAGTGCAGTGGAGAAAGGCTGCTTTTAATCTGGTTCTTTCTTTGATCATACAGATCTTACCCCCTGTTCACATCATCGCCATCGTCGTCATCTTGGAACCACATTTCCCTATACTGCACGGCTGCTTGCCCATCTGCGTCCAAATCGAATTGAAGGTGAAGGAAAGCAAGAAGCTAAGTTATGGTCGCCAGTGGCGCCACGTTCTCTGATTGTTGAAGTCGGAGATGCCTAGAGAAGTCATATATATAAGATATATAAGAGGAATGAGAGAGACTTTAAGCATGGCCAAGATGTCGCAATATATCGAGGTTCGATAGCGTGCACTGCGTTGGATGATGTGGGCGAAGTCAAGCGGAGTGCCGAACAACGCCACCGGGCATATCCTCAACGTCGCACGCATTTCTCTCATCCCATTTCCCTGCCTATTACATTTCATCCTATTTTATCTCAAGTCTCAAGTTTTATCTCTCTGTTTTGTGTCTTTCTCTCTATTTCGACGCTGCTAGCATGACACGCTACGACCCGGACCAATGGATTGAGCAGCTCATGCGCTGCGAGCACCTCCCTGAATCCGACATGAAGGTCCTCTGCGATCGCGTCCGCGCCCTGCTTATGGAAGAATCCAACATACAGCCCGTCGAAAGCCCCGTAACGATCTGTGGAGACATCCACGGCCAGTTCTGGGACCTCCTTGAGCTCCTTAGGAAGGGCGGCCGTGTGCCCGAGACGAGCTACATCTTCATGGCACGTACGTGTTCTCTCTCTTGCTTGCGCCCGTCCAATGAGTTTTTCTCGGGTGGAATGCTGTGCGGTTGTCTGGATTGCGATTTTCATGGGCGATGTCGGCGTGCAGGGTGATTTTGTGGACCGGGGGCACTACAGTCTTGAGACCGTCTCGTTGCTGCTCGCGCTCAAAGCAAGGTGAGTCCCGCCGTCCATGCATCCTTTCGTGTATCATATTCTGAATTTTATTACTAGATATCCCGACAAGGTGACGCTCCTGCGCGGCAATCACGAGAGTAGGCAGATCACACAGGTGTATGGCTTTTACGGTAATTATACGAACTTTTTTCTGTCAGTCTCCCCGCGCCTCCTCACCTACACCTATCTTTCACAGAGGAGTGCCAACAAAAGTACGGCAGCGCATCTGTCTGGAAGGCGTGCTGCAGTGTCTTCGACTACCTCAACCTCGCCGCCGTGCGTCCAGCCCCTCTTCTCTCCAATTCCAATCCGACGAGCTGTCCTTTGCTTCTGCGCATGTGTGTACATATAGATCATCGATGGATCTGTTCTCTGTGTACACGGCGGCCTCTCCCCAGACATTCGCACGCTTGACCAGATCCGCGTGATCTCGCGCGCGCAGGAGATCCCGCATGAGGGCGCGTTCTGTGGTACGTCTCTCCCCTTCTCGCCACATACCAGTCGTTTCGGTGCCGAACGCAGATCGCCACGAATGTCGCTCACCGTGCCATATTCCCGTCTCGCAGACCTGATGTGGTCCGATCCGGACGACGTTGAAAATTGGGCAGTCAGTCCCCGTGGGGCCGGCTGGCTCTTCGGCGGCGCCGTCACGCGTGAAGTACGTCCTTCTTCCTCTTTTCATCCTCCTCCTCTTTACTCACCAAGCGCACTGACCCCCCCGCGCGCGGACTCCCTATTGCAGTTCAACCACGTCAACTCGCTGACGCTTATCGCGCGCGCGCACCAACTTGTTCAGGAGGGGTACAAGTACATGTTTGACGAACAGCTCGCGACGGTGTGGTCCGCGCCGAACTACTGCTACCGCTGTGGTAATATGGCGTCCATTCTCACCGTACGCGAGAACGGCGACCGTGTGTTCACTGTGTACGGTCCCGCGGAAGAGAACGAGCGCGACGCGGGTATGCAGTGGTCACGTAGAACGGTGCGTGAATTCAGATCATCTTATTATTATTATTTGTTGATCTTCGGTTTTGCTTCTGGCTGGTGTGTATGCGCATGCAGGGTAATATGCCATATTTTGTATAGGAGCGTTGAGCGCCGTTGCCTGGTATCGTTATTTCAGTACTCTCATTCGCTGTCCCGGTCAACGCTGAATCCATTAACTTATAAACTCTCGCGGGCTTTTATGCGTGGTCATGGGGGATGACACCGTGAAGGATGTTGTCTGTGTCCTTTGTTTTTGCTGTCCTTCTTTTGTGGCACTTGAGCAGTCGATACTCTCTCCCGCTCTTTGATGACGGTCCTCCCTCTGAGCAGGTTGCACGGAGAATATAAGCTTTTGTGTATATCTTGTACATGCTCATTCTCGACGATCCGCTTCGCTCAGCCAACTACGCTGATCCATCCGTCTTCGTTGCTGCCAATCGGACAAAGATGCCCATGAATCTGTTCATGGAACAGTGGCAGTATTCTCTGCGGCTCTCCACATGTGATACTATGTAGGCCTCGATCCAACGATCAAGCAACCTAAACATATCCAGTAACTATCAGAATCCCACTACTGCACCGACACCCACTGTCTCACCGAAACAACACAAACGAATAGCTACATGCCTATCCTTAAACAGACTCAGACTTGTCCCCTCCCCATACATACTCGAAAAAAATAAACAAGAACCGTAGATCGTCGAGCCGCTGCCTAACGACCATCTAGAATACCTCCTCCTCTTGCCTCATTTGACCGATTTACGACCCTTCCTGTCTTGCTCATCGCTGTCCGCGTGTTTCTGACTCTGCTTTGACCCTAGGTCTCTCTGGCCGCCCGTGGACTCATCCTTGTCTCACGGGCTGGGCTTGCTGAGATCCTCTTAATCCTAGCTTATGAATCAGACGCTACGAGAGGATCCACTCCTTGTCTTTGAACTAAAGAGACCTTCAGAGGCTCAGGCGGCACGACGGGTGTCTTCTTACGCATCCGGTCCTTGAACCTAGCGTTGCCCGTGCGCCGTGGAATGCGAGAGCTAAGCAAGACCGCTTCGCCTTCCGACGAGCGCGCGACTCATCTCCGTTTCTGTTCCGGCGGCTCCTCCAGCGTTTGCAGGTCCATCTTCGTCAACTGTTCTCCTGCATCTTTAAGAACAAAATGCCGTAGGGTGTGGAAGCGAAGAACCGGAAAAACATCGAGTGGCCAACAATAACATGCCCAATTCACTTTGGCTGCAGGAAAATTCCTCTTTGATGCACTGTCTTGGGTGGCAGGGATTTCTGTCTCAGTCGTAGGAAGGCCTATGTCAGCTTCGGTACCGGCATCTGCGAGTGGATGATCTGTGTCTGATGCTGGGGAGTCTGCATCAGAAACAGAGCTGTCGTTTGCGCAGATAAGTGGGGTTGGGGCTCAGAAAGACCGACATCTGATGTAGCGACATCGGAATTAGGTGCAGAATGATCGACCTCAGAAGTGGCAGGTGGTAAGGAGTTGGAATCGGACACAATATGACCAATAACTGAGGGAGTGGCGGACAGATAAGGAGTCAGAATCGGATGCAGTATGATCTGTGAAAGTAATAGGTAGTAAATAGTCGGAATCGGATATAGAATGATCATTATCGGAACTGTTGGGCGGCACGGGGTCGGAATCTGACTCGGGTGCAGTATGATCAATGTCGGGAGTGGGTAGCCGTGAGAGGTTAGGATTGGAAGAACTATGATCAGCATCGAGAGTGGTTGGTGGTACGGGGTCGTCATCCCGGTCGAACCGAAAGATACTGGCGAATTTGTTCGTCACGGGAACGAGGCGATATTCGAAGATGTCCTCCTCGTTATACAACTAATAGAGCATAAAATCAGCAACAATTAACCAACCGCAATGTATCAGGGCTCACCGACATGATGTCCGAAGGGCCATTCAGTGATTTATCGACAGCCACTCTTCTGGCATCAAAAGAATCGATGGTCTTCAATGTGGGTGTCGAAAGAGATTCACTCTGATCATAGCTCCAATTCCAGTCCCTGCGCACTAACAATCAGGTAAACCCAATCAGAAACAGGATGGCGGAGGCAAAAGGATGTTCTCCGCTCACTTTTGACCATGTTTCTAGGCTCGTCGACGTAAAAACTGGCATACCCTTATCCCAGAGCCCACTCACACCTCGTGATCTACGGAACAATCAATTCATACTCACCAACAAAAATTGACTTACCAGTTCGGGCTAAGGCTCTAACCTTTTAGTTTACTTGTACTATTTCTCAGTAGGTAAAAAGTAAAGAGTATGTAAAGGGTAAGTAAAAGGTAAGTAAAAGGTTTAAACAGTTTTAAATATAATATAATAAAATAGTAGTTTAAGGCACTAGGAGCCTTGCTCACAGCCAGAACTTTGCAAACATCAGCTGTGAAATGGTTGCCGCTTTCAAGAAAGAGCACATGTCAGCATAAACATGATGCAACTTTGAGAACAGGTGCTCCACCAATACCAACATGGCTGGAACAGCAAGAAAGTCATGTGCCATGCAAGAAATAATAGGAAATCCTCTAGCATGATCTTTTCCAAGACACAAACAAAAATCGAGTCAATACAAAGCTGTCAAGAGAATAAGGGAATACTACCATACCTTCCACCAGGAGAGAGAATCATCCTCCTCACCCTCACTACTCTCAAATCTCCACCAATGTTCTAACTCTGATAGTAAAAGAGCAGTTGTTGACTAATCCTCTATGATAGGCATTGCCTGAGCTATCTTCAACAAAAAGCCACAGGCTTCTGCCACCTCTACTAATAGTATGCATCTGGAAAACCACCCTCTCGTATTAGCTCTAGATTATATCTAATAGTATCTAAAAGTATCTAAAAGTATCGATAGCATCTAAAAGATCCTAATTTCCTAATTGGGAGCAACACATTGCAAGCATTGGATTGGATTTCCAAATTAGGAACTACCTTTTTCTGTGGCTAAAAAGATAGTTTCTAATTTCATAATATTAGTACTAATTCTATACCAAGAAGTCTTTAATTAGCAGTAGGAAATACTAAGTACTACTGCTCTATCAGTGAGAAGGTAAAGATGTGGCACATTCTATGCTGTTTCAGCACATTATTCTTTTTCATATATGCCTACACTATTATCTTGTAGCTCTTTTGCTGACTTTCCAGCTGCCTTTACAGGGGACATAGAAAGAGAAAGTGATACATCAATGCCTCCAGCCACTTTGTTGGTGGCTTGGCAGCTACTACAAGAGGCTATGAAGACCTTGGTACCTTGACCTTGCATGTAAGATCATTGAAGTTGTTATTATTAGCTAATGCCCACTGCTATATAACATAAGACACAACATGCAGGTTGGGCTTAGGGACATGCTATATACAGCCTTACAGACCTTGTCCATTAGTATAGTGGCCAATACTGTCTTGTATGGTGCATGATCATTATTGCTATTAATGTCACAATCTTTAGTGCTATCCATATTGTCCATTGCCTTGTTATGTAGAAGATGCTCAAATTCAGTGTTTTCCTTTAGCTATTGGGTTGTGGAAAAGACAGTCATGTTGGTATATGGTGCCAGAGCGATACATTTGCCTGCTATGTAGAAAATATGCATACTAAGCATATTAAGATCATCTCCAATAATCTTGTGCTTATATATCTGTAGGCATGCCATATATATACCCTTGTCCCTACCCTTTACCTTACTAGTGGCCATTTGGAAAACCCCTCTCTTTTATTGGATCCTAATTATTAATCATTAATAATACTAATTTGAGCTAATTATGGCTAATTATTCATAATTATGTTTTTGATCAAATTTGCAAATTAAGGTAGCATTGTCTATACTAGTAGAGCTTTATTGAATATTACACTCAATAATAGTTTTACACATTCTAAATCCAAATTGTGTAAGTGCCACAATTTGTTTTTACCTAATATAAAGTGTATTATTTATTTTCCATTGGTTTATTATCTTCTTAGCTGATGTTTAAACTAAATTCTAAAAGGCCTGACTTTTTAGGTATTTATTGACCTATTTATTTATTAGATAGAGGAAAGATGAATGTTGAATAAAATTTGAGATGTTAAGGTTGCCTATATTATGTTTACTTATTTAGATTACCAAGTTTATATATCTCTATATAGAGGGCGACAGTAGGGGTCCGGTGGCAACTAGCCGTCGGCTAATCCCACGCGACAAACCACGCGAGACCACTGTCCCATAGGCTTCGGGACGCGAAACGGAGCGTGTCGGAGCTTGAAACGGAGTTGGTCAGCGCGCGCGTGCCCGGGGCTGCTGCGAGCCTTGCGATACCTGATCTCTGCCATCAACCATCATCATCTCTGTCCCAGACCCTCATCTGTGCTCTCCTCTGCTTTATTCCTCACTGGCTTTTCTCTCAAACTCTACTCTGCTCTACTGGGTGTCTTTGAGCACGGATTCTGCTTAGAAAAAGCCTACAGGGTGTGAAGTCTACCAGCACGGCCTTAGTTTGCTGTAGCCAAAAGCAGTCTTTTCATAGCTGCCTGGACCTCTCTCATCCTGCGGTGTTTCAGTTGCTCAGGTACCTTTTACCACAATCTCACAGTCACAACGACCTGCTTTGCAGACAACGAGTGACATCGAGTTGTCAAAGAGCATTGGGAATCCTCTTCCCCTGGCACTGTCTTGCGGCAATTTCTTCAGGTGAACTGTGAGGGGGCATTCAGCGAGTGCTTAGCTTGGCAACCACTCTTGGCTCTTGGTTTTGTTTTCAGGTGTTTTTTTTATTTAGCTTTTCACAATGAGTGTTCCACCTTTGTAAGTCTGTGTTGCTTGCATCATGTCCATTGTGCTCAATTCTTTTTTTAGGCCTCCTAATGAGGGTGTGGTGGAAGTCTGGATGCCTGCATTGGCACCTTTGTGAGTATTTTTGGCTTGCTTGGATACTGTTTCAGTGCTAAAATTCTCTTTAGAGATGATGATGAGGATGATCTCTATATGACACCCCCACCTGAGACTGTACATAAGTATGTGACTTACTTTTTGCTTATTGGTTGTGTGTACTCATATTTGCTATAGTGAGAATGCCAATAATAGTGAAGATGAGGATGATCTGTATATGACTCCTCCACCTGAGAATCTCAATGGGTATGTGGTTTTATTTAATCTTTTTATGGTCATTGGCTAAAAAGAAGAAACTATAGACATGTTGAAAACCAAGAGGCAGTTGAAGAGGCTGCCCATGTGGATGTGACTATGACAAGGTATGCAGTTTTTGTTAAATCACACAAAATTTGTTTATTAATTTTAGGGTTTATAAGAACTCCTCCTAGGACTTGTTAGGACCGCGTCCTAACACGTGCTTGGCACGTGGACAAACGGGAAGGTCAGGCGTTTCCCCGGACTCGAACTATTGACGATTAGGACTGTGACTTGACACGCGTCTAGGCACGTGACTCAGGCATAGTCATGAGCTACGCACATGACTTGGACTCAGACTGCTTATCATTCACATGCTAACGCATGAACGCTTTCGTCTCGGTTTCGGATTGATTACTATTCACATGCTAACGCATGAACGCTTACGATACTATGCTTTCCCCTTTTTTGTTCTGCTGACTGATGTCGATCGTGATCGGTTCCTCTTCTATTGTGCTTACTGATTGGATCACGATCGGTTTCTTATTTCTGATTGATGCGGACAGACATTTGATATACTTACTATACATGGCTACATCCAAGAGCCGCGGAGTACGAACGATGACTGCGGCTTACTGATGTCGATCGTTGATAGTACTTAGTGTTTCGAAGCACGGACCCTATGTCCGTCCCGCCCTAAATAGTCCTGTACTATATATAGGGGAGCTGAGCTTCTAGGAAGCCTCAGCTCGTTCACTTTGTATACATCTTGATCTCAGCACTGCGCCCGGCGTCTGGCTGCCTTCCCAGCTCACGCTTCGCGATCTCTGTCAGATCTAAAGAACTCATACTCAGTCTGACGAAGCACTGGACTCGTCTCACAGCCCTTACCACCCTCTACCGCCTGCAACGTATCAAGGACTCGCTGCCTATCGAGTCATCCGTTGGGACCCATCCGAAGTCATCTGTTGCATCGGAGAAGACTTGTTCGTACCAGACGAACATCGTCACGTGATCAACCAGCATCTCCTCAGGCTCTTCGAGGAGAAGATCAATACAGACCAACCTTTCTTGGAACAAGCCCAACGACGAGCAGTCGTATTCATTCGGTGGGCCGTCACTATCAGCTTCAGCCCAGGGAACCCCTCTTAGAGCATCACGTGCACTCGACTAAGCCTAGCCGGCTTAACAGGACTCCTGAGCATGAGCGCCAGACTGTGCGGGAGCAAGAGCGTGCTGAAAGGCTTCAGATGACTTCTCCTACTCTTCGGCGCGAGCGTTCTGCATTACGAGGCTCTATTCGTCAGCCTGTCTTTGAGGATCTCTCTAGACCTTCCCATCCTGTCACTTCTAATCCTGCTCAGCCTCCTATTTCTCTTGCACCACCCATTCAGCTTCACCAGCCTGCCACACTTGCTCCTCCTGTCCAGTCATACTATTCTGCAGTTGCTGCTCCCTCTGCTCCATCATATTATCCTGCTCAATATGTTCCTCCCCATTTTTATCCTGCTCCCATGTTCCAACACTCTGTCTATCATGGTGCTACGGCTTACCAAATTCCTGGACAGTATCCTATCTATGCTCCTCCTCCAATGCCTGCACCACCACCTCATTATTGGCCTGTGAATGTTTCTGCCTATCCTAATCTTCCACGACACTTGATTGGGAATCATGATAGACAGGCTCGCATACGTCTTGCAGCAGCTAACCATCCTGATTATGAGCATCGTATGATGGAGAATTTTGAAAGGACTCATGCAGAACGTGGACGTCGTCGTAGAGAAAGCACAAGGCCTGAACCCAATAACCCTCCTCATCCTACATCTTCAATAAGACAACAGGAAGAGAATAATCATTATGCAATTCTTGACCAGCGACATCAGCAAGATATTCAGCAGCAGCAGCACCTTCATCATCAGCTTGATCTTGCAGAGCAGGCACATCATCTAGACCTTGAAGAGCAGGCATATCAGCATAACCTTGCTATCCAACAAAATAATCAAGCTGTAGTGGCTCATCAGGCTCTCCAAAATCTGCCTCTAGGTCGCCGTCCATATCAAGAGCCTATTGCACGTCACAGCCTTGGTCTTATGAATATAGAATGTGCTCACTGTCTTGCACTCCATTTCTCTTCTGAACGTCTTACCAACTCCAGTCGTATCCACCCTCGCTTTGGCATGTGCTGCTTACAGGGTCAGATCAGATTGCCTGCATTTTTACAACCTCCCCCAACCTTGCGCCGACTGCTTTGGGAAGGTGGTTCAGTTCCAAAATTTTTTAGAGATCATATCAGGCAGTACAACAGTGCATTTGCATTCACTTCTATTGCTGCCAAGCTATCAGATCATGTTACCTCTACCTCTGGGCCTTATTCATTTAAAATTCATGGGGAACTGTCTCATAAGATGGGAAGCTTGCTACCACCTAACAACATCAAACCCTCCTATGCTCAGCTTTATGTTATTGATCCTCAGGCTGCACTTAATGAGCGCAACAATAATAATGCCAACTTGAGATCTGAAAACATGAATGACTTGCAGGATATGTTTCATACACACAATCCTTATGTTCCTTTGTATCGTCATGCCTATCAAATCCTGGCAGAAAAGAACCCTGGAGAGAATGACAAGATTTCAGCTCGCATCACAGTCTTGCCTAATGCCGATCATCGTCGCTATAATGAGCCTACTGTTGATGAGGTTGCTGCTATTATACCTGGGAATGGAGATGAGGAAGTGGATTTGCACAGGGATATTGTTGTCCGCTATAACTATGGAGGTCTAAAGCACTTTAGCCATCTTCACCCTCACTACAGTCCCCTACATTATGTGACATTGTTTCCACATGGCGAACAAGGCTTTCATCCCAATATTCCTGCTCATCCTGGACTTAATGGCCAAATGCTCTCATCCAAGGTGTCTCAGCGCTGTTATTATGCATATCGTCTTATGCGCCGTTTGCTTGAACCTGAAACTATCTTCAGAGCTGGCAAGCTATTTCAGCAATATGTGGTTGATGCTTGGGCATCTATTGAGTCTAGCAACCTTTTCTGGATCAGGAACCATCAGAAGGAGATTAGGGCAGACAAGTACCAGTCACTGTTTGATGCCATTCATGCAGAAGCAGGTATCAACCTAGGCCAACAAGGAAGGCGCATAGTTCTTCCCTCCACTCATGCAGGCAGTCCACGTTATATGTATCAGCTTTTCCAAGACTCTATGGCTATCACTCGCCATTGTCATAAGCCAGACATCTTCCTTACCATGACTGCAAATCCTAATTGGCCAGAGATTCAAAAAGAGCTCTTGAAATATGATGATGGTACAACTCAGAATCCTTCTGATCGTCCTGATTTGGTGGCACGTGTCTTTGCACAAAAGATGAAGGCTTTGCTCAAGGAGATCAAAGAGGGCCTGTTTGGAGGGGTTGCTGGCATGGTATATACCATTGAGTTTCAAAAGCGTGGGCTTCCTCACATGCACCTTCTCCTTTTCTTGAAGCAAGAACACAAAATTCAGAGTGCTGAAGATGTGGATCGAATTGTCTCTGCCCAGCTCCCTGATCCTGCCACCCATCCTATGCTATATGAGTCTGTCACCAAATACATGCTTCATGGACGTTGTGGCCCTGAATTCCCTCAAGCACGTTGCATGGAGGAAAAGAATATTGGCGGCACAAAGGTCAAGGTCTGTAGCAAGCATTATCGCAAGGACTTCAATAAGCACACCCTTTATGGTGAAGATGGCTATCCTACATATGCTAGACCAAACAATGGGCGCACTTTCACTCGAGGCGCTATGCAGTTTGACAATCGCGATGTTGTTCCTCATAATCCCTATCTTCTTGCCAAATATAACTGCCACATCAATGTAGAGGTCTGCGCTTCTATCAAGGCCATCAAATACATTCACAAGTATATCTACAAAGGTCCTGATCGTGCCACTATTGAAATTGGAGATATTGATGAGATTAAGGACTATGTGGATGCTCGCTATATTGGACCTATGGAGGCTTGCTGGAACATTTTTGAATTCCCAAGGCATCTGGAGTTTCCTTCAGTCTATCGTCTTCCTGTTCATCTTCCTAATCAGCAGCAGGTCTATTTTGATTCTGATGACAATCCTGAAGAACTTCTCAATAGTAACAAGTCCCAAAAGACAGAGTTGACTGAATGGTTCATTGCCAACCAAAAGTATCCTGCTGCCCATGCTTACACTTATCAAGACTTTCCTCCCTTCTATGTCTGGAATCAAAAGAATAGAGCATGGACACCACGTATTCAACACTCAACTATTGGCAGAATGTACTATGTTCATCCCTCAGCAGGAGAGCGCTTTTACCTCAGGACCTTGCTTACTATTGTTAAGGGTGCCAAGGACTGGAAAGACATTCGCACTTATCAAGGCATTGAGTATCCAACCTTTCGTGAGGCCTGCTTTGCACGTGGCCTTTTGGAGGATGATGGAGAGTGGGATATGGCCTTGGCTGAAGCAGCAGACATGCAGACTGGATCTCAACTTAGATCCCTCTTTGCCACCATCCTTTGCTTCTGCATTCCTTCACAACCTCTTATTCTTTGGAACCGCTACAAGGACAAAATCTGTGATGATCTGCATGTGCGTCTTACTGCCATGGGCTTTCCTGATCCTACTCAAGAGGATGTCTTTGATTATGGCCTCTATCTTCTGGACAAAGTCCTTACTGGAATGGGAAAGCGCCTCATTGACTATCCTCCTATGCCTTTGCCTCTGCAAGATTGGAACCAAGCTGCAAATGTGCTTCTTCAGAATGAGCTCAACCATAATTATGTGGCTCTTTGGGAACAGGTCAGTTACCATGCATCCTTCAAAGTTGACCTTGAGCTGACCTTGCACTTCAGGTGGAGACTAATCTATTGACCTTCAATGCTGAGCAGAGGAATGCCTATGATGCTGTTATGCAGTCAGTCCAGTCCAACCAAGGCCAAGTCTTCTTTCTGCACAGTGCTGGAGGTGGTGGAAAGACCTATGTTTGCAACACCATTGCTGCCTCTGTCCGCTCTCAAGGCAAGGCTGCTCTTTGTGTTGCTTCTTCTGGCATTGCCTCCTTGCTTCTGGATGGTGGTCGCACTGCTCACTCTCGCTTCAAAATCCCCATTGAGGGTCTCAATGAGCGCTCCTCTTGCTCTTGGGAGAAAAACTCTGACTTTGATGGACTTATTCATCAGACTGGGGTGGTCATTTGGGATGAGGCACCAATGCAGCATCGCTATGGAATTGAAGCCGTTGATCGCACTCTTCAGGATCTCATGGACAACCCTGCTCCTTTTGGTGGTGTTACTGTGTTGTTTGTTGGAGACTTTCGTCAGACCTTGCCTGTGGTTCCCAAAGGAAGCAGAGAGCAGATTGTGGCTGCATCTTTGCGCAAGTCCTCACTCTGGAATCACATCCAACTTCTCACTCTCAAACAAAACATGCGCCTAGACCAGACTCCTGAGAGCAATGCCTTTGCTCAATGGCTCCTCAATGTTGGTTCTGGCCATAACCTTGGTGAAGACAAGTCTATTGAACTTCCTCCCAACATGCATCTTGATAACAACACTAAGCAGTCCTTGATTGACTTTATCTATCCTGATATCTCTGATCAGCACCCCAAACCAGACCACTTCTTCCTTGACCGTATGATTCTTTCTGGGCGCAATGACACTGTTGCTGAGATCAACAAGGAGATTCTGGCCAAGTTTCCTGGAGAAGACAAGCTCCTAACCAGTATTGACTCTGTCAAGGACATAGAGGGTTATCCTATAGAGTTTTTGAACTCTATCAATATCTCTGGCCTTCCTCTTGCTCACCTCCATGTCAAAAGAGGTTGTCCTCTCATTCTTTTGCGCAACATTGATCCCTCTCATGGCCTATGCAATGGCACTCGACTCATCTTACTTGAGGCAAGGACACGTGTCTTAAAATGCCGCATCTTGGGTGGAGCATATGCTGGAAGAATTGTGTTTATCCCTAGATTAACCCTGGAGCCATCTGGAGAAGCCTGCCCTATTCCTTTGAAGCGCAGACAATTCCCTGTCCATGTTGCCTTTGCTATGACCATCAACAAATCACAAGGACAGTCTGTCAAGTTTGTTGGATTGGATTTGGAGCGGCCTGTATTTTCCCATGGCCAACTTTATGTTGCACTGTCACGCTGCACATCAGGAGATAGAATCAAGGTGTTATTCCCACCAGACTCACAAGGGACCAAAACCACCAATATAGTGTACCCTGAGGTATTGCAAGGCATTTTGGATAATCAATAGTATGTTTTGGATCATAATCATTGTGACATGGCTAACAATTATAATAGGACTTGAACAAGGACTGTAGTATAAAACTTATATAGAAACTTCTTACACTTTGACTCTCAATCCCCACTCTAACTTTTTATATGTATGCTTGAAATAAAACTGCTACTCTAACTTGGCTGCTTGACTAAAACCCAACCACAAACTGAGCACTATAACACAAACATAGATTAAGCACTGTCACACAACCTCAGACTAAGCACTGCAACAAAAACTTGGATTAAGCATGGTTGCACCGTCGCAACGCGACGGGTGAGAAGCTAGTTAGACATTATGGCTTAGTAGCTTAGAGCATCTGTTCCAGGTGCTTGTATATATAAGGTTATTGGTTCAACTCTGGCAAAAGGCAAGTTTGTAATAAGGTGTATTCTGTGTTTAGGTATTCAACTAGTGCTCTAATAGACATGACTCTATAAGAAGGCTATAAGAACTGTGATGCTTGATTTATTATCATTTTTCCAAAGTTTCAAGTTATAATCAATCCTAATAATTCCTAATTTAGGAAAATTATGTCTAATTAGAACAGGTTTAGGGAAAGGGTAAGTGAATAATCTCTAATGCTAATTATTCGTAATTATGCATAAATAAAACTGATTAGAGCATGATATAAGAGAGTGATTTTCCAGATATGGCAGAGCTCACACTCTTTATAGAGAGAGCATCTTTTTCATATTGCTTGTAAATATACTAAGATGGGGTTTGAGCTTTTGATTTCTCTTCTGGACTGAGAGCACCAAACTATTATGTATGAAGAAAAAGGTGACAGACTGGATAAAGGGTTGGTGCGTTGTCGGTAGCTGATGTAGGGCTGAAAAGATGAACATACTAGTTGTGAGAGTGTTAGTCTGGCATTTCTTAGCCAAGGAACAATACTTTATAAGCTTTGAGATGCCTGCTGCAATAGCTTTACAGATATTTATGGGAAGGCTAGGGTTTGTTGCATAAGTATCAAGCTCTTTCTACATGTATTCATATATTGGGAGAACCCATAAAAGAGTTGGAGTATTAGCCCTTGACATTGACTTTATCACATTAGTGAAAACCTAGAAGAAAAAGGACAGGTTAATGCTCATGGATCTAAAATATTAAAAGAAATTAAAGAATTGCAGTGCAAACTTACTCCAAGAATGGACTGTAAATATTCTAATGTTCTCCAATCTGTTGTGGTGAGAAAAAGCTCATAAAGCTCATCTTGGCTAAGAACCCAAGCTTTGATTACCTGCTACATACCAGATAAATAGATAAAAAAGGGATTGTTGATTACAGACATAACATACCTTTTTAAGAATCAATACATGCATGATCATGGTGCATGTGTAATTACACTATATGTAAATATCTCACACTGGCATGAGCAAGTCTATGGGTCTTTACTGCATTATTAAGGAATTTGCCATTATAATACTTGCTTGCTAGTTGGTGGAAGGATGTGTACTATCCAGGTGTGCCAACAATCTTTTTACAGATCATACAAAGCTAAAAAGGCATTAGCAATTTAGCATACATGGAATTCTGTAAATAGAAATGTACATGCCTTCTAAATGGTGCTTATTTCAGACCAGCCTGCTACTTCCTCAAGGCCATCATTCTCCTCATCTCTTCCCACACTTTTATCTGCACATGCTCAATTATTGGTTTCAAGGTCTTGTTGGGCCTTGTTGTTGTCCATGTCATAGTGGATCAGGAATATCTTGTTATATTCATTGTAATATCCATGCATATTGGGGTCATCAACCTTCTTAAGGGTACTCTGGATCTTCTAGACCACTAGATTAACCACATGAGCTATATATTGGATTTGTATATTCTACTTATGAAAAAGTGTGCTATAATGCTTAAGGAGAAAGCTCCTCAGTGCCCACATGAGGACTGTGTTGAAGGATGCATTGTCCATCATCACTGAAAGGAAGTAAACATCAAGAAATTACTCCATCTAGATAAATGACAGAGGGAATTGGACACTTATCTTATCCATACTACCTTGCTTTTAAATGGACTCCAAAAGAGCATGCACCACCTTGATTCCTTCATGCTTATCCTCCTCAAGGTGTTAGAAGTTGATGACACATCTGATCATGTTCTAGTCATCATCAACCTAGTTGGCAATAGTGCCCACAAACACAAACATCATGTGTGGGCTAGTCCATATATCTATTATGATCATGCTTATTGGGTCTTTACAGCAGTCTATTCTGATACAATTATCACAAATACTAGGCAGCCTCATATTATGAGGCATACACTAAGGTACAGGTAATATCCTTGGTCATCCACTTCTAGTGAACACACCTGTTACTAGTCAAGTATTGTAGGCTATATTATAGATGGCCAACATAGGCTTATACATATGAACCTATGAAGAATGGAGCTCCTTACCCTCCTTGTTAGAAGGAGACAAGTGCAGAACCAAGAGTATTTACTAGAGAGAGTAGCAGCTTAGAGAATACCTAGAGGATATATATATGGGATTCTCATGACCTTTATAAAGTAGTATAAGAGGCTCATAGAATAGGCTAAGGATATTTAGTCTATTCTCTTTTGTTTTGTACTGTTTTCCTATAGTACCCCATATCTAAAAATAGTGACCATTACTATTATCTGCAATATTACTGTGCTATATGTACAGTCAAGACCTCTGTCTAATCTTCCTCATTAAGCAACCTAGGAAAGAACCTTTTACTCTTGGGGTTATTGAATGAGTAGTTCATAACAGTATTAGTAGAATATGTGATGCAAAACTTCACATCCTATATTACAATAACATAATAATTCAGAAAAGAGGTAAGAAGATAGAAGATGCTATACTTACCAAGAGTTCCTTGACAATAACACCATGGAGTTTAGCCATAATATGGGCCATAGCATTGTGGATGGTGGTGTCACTTGGCAGTACTATTTGGCTATCAATATACTCATAGAGCCTTTTGAGTGCCAAGGACTTTTCTTGCCTGCTTTAAGAAACTCTTGTATCACTCTTGCACTTGCTAGCATAAAACTATGGTGCACTGGGTCTATTGTTAGCAAAGGGTCAGTGATAGCAGTGGTTTGTTTTTCTTTTTCTTTAGTGATATGCACTGCATGTTTCTTTGTATGGGTTGCGAGGTTGCTGAGGTTGGGTGAGTGTCTTTGTCCTTAAAATTCTTGCTATCAACAGTGTGCTCAAAGGAGCATTGCCTACAATATCTGTGAGTTTAGTCAACTAGAAACAACAAGTAACCTACTGTTCACAGTACAGGCACTTGATTAGCCATCTTTTCTTCTTGCTGCTAATAGTTGGTTTTGCAGGGTGCCAGTGGGCAAGTATGAGATTATATGGCCCTGCACTTTCCTCCACAAAGATGAGCACTCTCCTCTGCCTCTTTGACTGCTTGTAGCATAGAACGACCATCTAATGACTCACTATTACTCTTGTTAGTATTGTACTCACTTTGACCTTTCCTTTCCTCAAGCCTCAACCTTGTCCTTTTTGGGGATTCAATGTGACATGAGTGAGAGCCTTTCTAGATACATCATGGGACCATTAGTACAACAGTAGAGTGAGTGCAGCAACCATTATGCCATGTTGCTCACCTTTAATTTTTTAGTCTTTTTCCTGAGCACATGCCCTTGCTTTCACTTCTCCTATTTCCTTAACAATCCATCCTCACTATCTCCAGCATCTGTATTGGTTACCAAGAAGCTGTTGGTGGTGCCTTGAAACTTGTGTTGTTATTTGTAAGGTAAGCTAGCTGTTTCAAGTGTCTATATGAACAGAATACTTACCTTTTTCAACTCTACCCTCTTTCCATCTGACAGGATCTCCAAGCCATCTTGATCAAGCTAGAAGGAATTAACAGTTGAGACAGACACCTGTCATGATTAAGCTAGGGGCCAGTAAGTCTTGTCAGTCTTCTTATCTCTAGGAAATATAGCTGCTAAAAGATAGAGTAGGTGAGGTCACAGGTGTTGGAAGAATGGGAAAGACAGGCTTACCTGGCTGGCCATAAAGGTATGTATGTAGGTGGCCTTGACCAAGGAGAGTTGGTGGTTGGCCTACTAATATTTTTTGAGCAGCATGCATCGAGTTAGATGGCCCAGTGATATTGTCAATACCTCTGGTGATATTACATCTGTTATCTAGTCTGGGATCATTACCCAAGTGCAGTACTGCTGGTGCATTTGCTTTATATACTAGTATGTCCTCCATACCTGTGTCCTTGGAGTCTCCTATTGTTCTATAGCATGAAAATGTGAGTTGAGAATCTTGAATGTTAAATTTTGAAAATCTAGCCATAATATCTCTAACTCCTAGCTTATCTTCTCTAGCTTGAGAATCATGAGGACATGAAAAGCAGCCAGCCAGCTTTCTCCCTAGATTATTACGAGGTATGCACTTTTTTTTTTCATCCCCAGCTTCCCTTGCCAAATGTAATGCAGTTGAATATTTTTATCACAAGCATTCTCACCAAATAGGATATCAAACTGCCAATTGAAAGTTTCCCATATGGATTCTCCATTGACAATGGTCATTATGGTATAGATATGATCATCTTGTGTCACTTCAGGAATTGAAGACAGCAAATGTTTGGTTAGGTCAGCAATCCACAACATAAGAGCTTCAACCTAGGCAAGGGTGTCTAACATAGCAGGAGGGTATAGAATGTGCTGAGGAGTTAAATATGAGGGTATATGAAGGGAGAAATAGTGATGAGCATGTACCTGTGCTAGGGTCCAAAAGAGGTATTCAGGAAGCTTTGAGGAGACACCAAACAGTACTAGACAAGTACCAAAGATGCCAACTATTACCAAATATGGTTGGTCCCTACCTGACTGACTGCAACCCACTAAAGGACATTCAGCAGCACTTGGGTCAGTTTGCCCACACTTCACCTACTTACCATGACTGCACAGGAGTGTTATGATAGGTGTTTACAGAACCGGAGCCAGTAGTCCATATTGGCCAATGTGCTCTATGAGTTGGTTTGTCCTTATTCTTTATCTTTCTGACTTCTACATAGTCAGTCAAATGCAATCTTGCACCATTACTTGGCCACCCTGGTCATACATTACTTCTTCTTTATTTTTATGGGTTTTCCAATGCCTGTTCCTGCTACCTATGCTTGGGTGACAGATCCCAAATATTTGGGATTTTGCTATCACTAATTAACTTTTACCTTATACCTTTGGAACCTATATGAATATCTTACCTACCTTTTTATCTTTTCTATTTGCTAGGGCTTGGTGCTCATTCAACATCTACTCTCATTTCTTGTTTGATATTTTACTTAGGGGCTCTGTTTACTATAAAAACCTACATACAACTCTGGAATAAATCAGCTTTCACACCCCATAGTTCAGAGCTCATTCACACTCATCTTAACCATTGAAATCATCTTTATCAACTCCCAAAAAACTTGTCATCCTCATCATTCAGCCTTGTTCACATTCATACTTATCTCTTTACTCATACTCCTCATTCTTCCTCATATATTGTCAGAGTCCTATGTGGCTCTTGAAGCATGTAGTTGTCGGTCATGACACTACCTTCTTATTACTAACTAAATCCCTGACTAAACCAACCAAATGTTCAGTTGATATTCAGTGGAGTCCCAAACTTATCCAAGCACTATAATTTCACTGCTTTTTAGTGCACCATCAATTTCTAAAGTTATCACTAACAATTCCTTACATATTGAATACTAGCTCCAGCACCCCCTACATTAGAGGTTGTTTTGGTATTATGCTTGGCACTTAGAGCCACCTCTAGCATATCAATAGGTTTGAGAATTTTTGTAGGTAAATAATGACCCTGGCTGGATAAAATTGAGGGCAAAACTATTGGCCATAAATAGCTATATTCTTGTTCAAGCTGTGGTTTCATGTAAATTTGGGCAAAATTATGAAGGCTTGAACTATATTTCTCTTTTGAGATGTAAATGGTATAAAACCTTTTATATACTAACTAATTATCTTGTACTAGACATAGAGTAAGTAAAAAGTAAAATTAAACAAGAAAAACAGTTTATAAATAGTAAGTAGAATAAAAGGCTGGAGCCTTACTTCCCACAACTAATAGTGAGAAGGATATATCAATCTGGCTGAATATCTATATAATATTATCTTGTTTTAATTGTTTATGACTTTTTGTGTAGAATGCAAATGTATACACTGAATGACAAGGAAAGGAATGATGGCAATAAATCCACAGTATCCATTGATCTTAACTAAGCTGCAACTCTTTTTCCACACTATGCTTTTCCCTTCTTGGTTTGCTCTCTCTTATTTATCTTGCTTTATAATACTATTGTTTCACCTGTTTATTCTTTTTCCTTCCTTAATACTTTATTACTCTCTAAAGCAGTAAGATCTATATATACAACAGCTTGCAAATCTATAATTGTATCTGAAACAGTTTTATAATGTGATTTCCTAGAATTGACTATTAGAGCAATGGGCCAATTTATCAGCAGGATTGAAAGAAAATTTTCAGATTCAGTATACTGCTTGTGTTGTCTGTAAAGCCTTTAGACAAGTAAGTCTGCCTTGACATCTCTCAAGATTGGACAGAAAATAGCTATCTCCTAAGAGATTTATAAAGGACAGCCATCTTTCAAGACATCTCTAGAAATAAAGTCTAAAATGGGCAGGTGTAAAATTGAGTGCATCTAGTAATAACCCTTAAGACATCACTAGTACAAAATTATAGCTAGTAAACTCTGTCAATTCCAGGACTTGCTTTTAGGCTCTAGTAATCTAGTGTGTCTGTACATTAGTAAATGGGCAAATATACTTGCTTAGCTTATAGAGCACTTGTGCCACTTGGGCAAGTCTTGCAAGGGCTGTAAGGCTTGTAAGACTGGAACTTGGGCAAGTGCAATTAGCTAGGTCTTATTTTACAAGTATCATGTAAGGAGCATGCAAGCAACATAAGCTGGAATATAAGATTACCTAAGCAAGCTCTGCAAGTGTTACAAACTGCTCATTTGGTAACCCCAAGAGTAGGAGGTTCTTCTCTAGGTCGCTTGTGGAGGAAGAGTGAAATGATGGTCTCGACTGTATGCATAGTACAGGAGTCAGGTGTATATTGCAGCAATAGCAATAAGAACAAAGACTGTGGTTTGAAGACCACAGTAGAACAAAGTGCACTGTAGAAAGACAGTACTGGACAAAGGAGGATAGTGTGAAGACTATCCTAGAATGAAGAGAATAGACTAAAGAATGTTAGCCTGTTCTATGGGCCTTTTATACTACTTTAGGTAAGGGTGTGAGAATCCCATATATGTATCCATAGGTATTCTCTAAGTCGTTTTTCTCTTAGAACAACTACTCTTGCTTCTTTGCTTGTTTTTTTCTGACCAGGAGGACAAGGAGCTCCATGCCCATATGCAAGTAGTTTGTAAGGCAGGAAAGAATGCCCACTGCAACAGGCTTATGATACTCAACTAGCAATGGATGATCTACTAGGAGTGGATGACCAAAGATATTATCTGTACCTTCATATACGCCTTAGGATATGAGGCTGCCTGGTAGTTGTGATGATTGTTGATAAGCATGCACCCGTGTCAGGGTCCAAGGGAGATATTTGTGAAGCTTTGGGGAAATACCAAACAGTGCTAGATGAGTACTAAAGATGCCGACTTGCACCGAACATGGTCAGTCCTCACCCGACTGATGGCAACCCTCCAAATGACGTTTGGCAGCACTTGGGTCAGTTCACCCATACTTCATGTACTTACCATGACTGCATAAGAGTATTACAATAGGTGTTTATGAGATCGGAGCTAGTATTCCATGTTGGCCGATGTGCTCCGTAAGCTGGTCAGTCCTTATCACTTATCTTCCCAACTGTCACATGGTAGGTCAAGTGTAATCTTGCACCATTACTTAGCCACCCTGGTCATACATTACGTCTTCTTTATTTTTCATTGGCTCGCCAATGCCTGTTCCTGTTACCTACACCCGGGCAACAGATCCCAAACATTCGGGATTTTGCCATCGCTGATTACCTTTTACCTTATCACCTTTGGAACCTATATAGACATCTCACCCTTCTTATCTTCTCTGATCGCTAGGGCTTGGCGCCTATTTGACATCTACTCTCATTTCGTGTTTGATATTTTACTTAGGGACTCTGTTTACTATAAAAACCTACATATAAACTCTGGAATAAACTAGCTTTTGCACCCCACAGTTCAGAGCTCATTAGGTGAGTGTCTTTTTATCTTGCCATTTCTTGTCATGACTCTTCTATATCTTGGTCACCCACCTTTATCAATGTCTTTCTCTTGCCAAACTCTCTTTCTCTCTATATAACACTATCTACAACATGTGAACATCAATACCCAAGCCCATATCAATCTGACTTCAAGTAATGGGGCATTCTGTCAGTGCAAGCATCCACAACACTAGGGTATGGTGATGGATTTTTTAAGTATACTTACATATCTAGCTTTCGATGCCCTCCATACATTGTCCTTCTCTGTTCACTGCAATCTATGTGCACTGTCAAATCCTATGGAGAAGTGCAAAGTTAAATCTCAAGATTGTGGTATGTGATGAGAAGAACCAGTCAAAAGTCAGCCAGCCCGGGCATTCCCACCTCAAAGTTGTTTGTCTGCACTCCATATTTGCACCACATCTATGTTCCTCTTTCAATAATTTGTGCATCATACCTGTGCAGATTATGGAGGGCCATTCAAAAAAATTGGGTCAACTAGTTGAAGAGGTTTTGCATTGCTGCTATAGTGATAAGGACATTCAACAAGAAAGCAGTAGAGGTGCCTTGACTGGAGTCATGCAGATGTGTGTTTGTACGTCTACTTGCTCATATCTAGCTGGACAACATGCAGCAATATTTTTCCTGTGTAGGAGAGCTGCTATATCACCATTGCATTAATAATTGCAAACCTCTATGTAAAGACAGCAATATAGCACAGGGTCCTCTTACTCTCATTTATTATTATCCCTCTTGACTCTCAGTGAAGCTGCAATATCTCTTTCGTAAGTATTCAATTAGCTGGATATAACTCTCACATAAACACACATCTGCTAGAGATGGCTGGTCATGGCCGGATATATCTGATGCAACCTATATATAGGCTGAATTACATAATAACAGCCTACAGAAGGCCTGATATAACACTAAAAGCTCCAAAATGTGCACCTATTGGGGATTGAACACAGCAGCAGCAGTACACATATACACACACTATATGATATATGATCTAATTACTTGACCACTGCACCAAACAGGCTATAATAAAATGGACTGCTTGGTGATACATCTACGCATAAATCTGACTTGTGAATATTTCTTGACATTGCTTAGTAGACAAAAAAATGGATTTTGAGCTACTTTCCACTCATTAAAAAGTAATCTGCAAATAAATGCACATTTACTGATTCTCCTAAAGCAGGCTAATATCCTTTAGAGACTGGGAAGTGGCCTAAAATCAAAGTATCTTGTTTTCTCCCAACAATGAGCACAAAATTCGCAAAGTTGCATTTATGCAGATATGTACAGCCAAGCAGGTAATTCTCATATGGTCTCTTTAGTGTAGTGGTTAAGTAGCTTGAATTGTGACTTGTGCTATGGTGCATGCATGGGCTGCTGAGTTTAAACCTGAGCCGAACTACAATTGTTTTCATTCATTCAGGTCAAATACGGAAGCTTGTCAGAGAGATCCAGTTTTGACTGGCCATCCTCGGCAGACATGTGTTTATGTGAGAGTTATATCCAGCTAACTGAACTCCCTCCCTCTTTTGCGTACGTCTTTTGTGTATGTTGCGGTATGTGGCATCTGAACAATGTACACCATTTGATCCCAGGTTTTTATTTGGCACACAGTCCATTTATGATGTGATGACATGTTTAATTTAAGCTCGCCACCCATCGCCTTTTTTGTAGACCATATCTTCACTCGGAAACCTTGGGCACAATAGCATTGCACGCCTAAACCCATGTGCACGAGTGGACAAAGAAGGTGCATGTTGTAGAATTTCTCAGAAGGATTTGTTGCCAGGCAGGAGTTCACCTGTACCAGGGTATTGCTCAGTGAAATATTGTACTAAAAACAGACGACTTTTGTTGAATTAAGGCAAATCACCTATTTCTTACATATTACTTAACTCACTTCTTATTAGCTCAGGTATTACCAAGATACTATACAGTTCTCAGCCACCACGCTCATAGTATGAGTGTGGCCAGCACAGGCTTCCCTCAGTGTTCTAATAGACGCTGAGGTGAGCCTGCTTCTATTACATACTCTCAGATTGACACTTACAATACTTTGGAATAGATATTACCTTCTAGGTAAATGTCATATAGCCTTTAGCAGTGTTCTAATAGATGCTGAGATATTACCTTCTAGCCCGTATTTCTACAGGTTATGGGCCCTGCGGACCCTGCCATGTTGCTCACCAACTCAATTACCATCACAACCATCACAAAGCTCTCAGAAGATCTGTTGAACTGGCCGATCTACAAAGATAGAGTAAAGACAGCCATTAAATCAAAGGTTGGCTTGTCATGACATCTGGCTGGTACCGCTTGGCAACCAATGGAGCCAGCTCTTCCTCTGGCAGATGCAAAAACCGAGGTCATCGATGCATATGATAAAGCAATTGAGAAAGTTGATGAGTACGATCAGCGTAAGGCTGCCATCAAGCAGCAAATCTACTCTACCATTCCTGACTCTATCCTTAATTAAATCAAGGAGAAAATGACCACCAAAGAAGTCTGGACAGCACTCTGTGATCTTGCAGAGAAGCGGGGGAAGATGGTTAAAATTGATGTTTGACACCCACGACACTTAATGCATTGAAGATGGTGACATGCACACTCATCTCGATAGCCTTCTCAGACTTCAAAACTAACTTACCAAAATGGGCTGTGCTCTTAGCAATGACAATTTTGTTGCTGTAATCTTATCCTTCCTTCCAAAATCCTACGAGTCTGTGATATTAGTGATCACTACTTCCGCATCACTTAGCTTGCAGAAACTTACCCCTCATGGAACACTTTAACATATTACATAGGAGTATGATTGAAGATCCATCCAAACCCGACTCGAGAAAAAGGCCCCATCTGATGAGACGGCCCTTTACTCGCAAGGGGGTTTCAAGAAGGGAAAGAGGAGGAGGGGGAAGAAGGCTAATCAGTCATTGAGTGGCAAGAAGTGTAACAACTGTGGACTGACCAACCACATTGCTGCTGACTGCTTCCGACCCAGTGGAGGGAAGGAAGGGCAGTGGCCGGCAGGCGCGCATCGACCAGGTGAACACAAGAAAGCTCGTAATGCAGGCTCAGGAAACATAGCTTTTGTTGAGGAGGACGACCCCAAATTTGGGTTCTTGGCATCTTTGACTTGACCGCTTTGATCGCAGACCCCACAGCTTTGCCCACAACTCGCGTACAATGTCTCAACACCGGTGCGAGCCACCATATGTCTCCCTATCGCAAGGAATTCTCCGATTTTGTCAGCATCCTGCCAAAACCAATTCACGCCGCTGATAAATGCACCTTTATGGCTACTGGACATGGTACCATCACCGTACTACTTCCAAATGGGAACAGGAATACCACTGTCCGCCTATTTGATGTGTTGTATGCACCATCCATCGCTATCACCCTGATTTCGGCTAGTTGCATTGACGAAGCCAGTTACTCCATCCACTTGTGACATGGGATCTGCCAGATCAGTGATCCTTCAAATCACATTGTTGCATGCATCCCTCGCATAAACAACCTGTACAAAGTTGTTAATCACACGCTTTTAAGTTCTGCACAACTGGCCGAGAGTTCTCCCCTGATAACACACAAGGGGGAGGAGGAGAAAGCTTCTGCCAACCTCGTGCTATCAGCAAAGGAGCTGCACCAAAGACTCAGTCACATCTCACTCGAATTGGCAAAGAAACTCATAACTGATGGCCTAGTCAAAGGTATCACCCTCAACAACCACTCTGCCGACCATGAGCTATGCACAGCCTATGTACAGGCCAAGATGACGCGGGTCTCGTTCCCAAAGGAACATACACGTGCATGAGCATCCCGCTATGGTGAGCTACTACACTCTGACTTATGGGGTCCAGCGCCCATAAACTCTCTCACTGGTTATCGGTACACAATGCCCATCATAGACGACTACTCACAGGAGATTGTCCTCAAACTCTTACGGTCTAAGAGCAAGGATTTTCGTCACTATGTGCAGCACGAGGCTTTCTTAAAAGGCCATTGCGGAGTCACTCAGGTTGGCACATTACGCACAGATTGCGGAGGGGAGTACACCTCAGATGAATTTGAAACGCACCTCAAAAACAATGGGACAATCCATGAAAAGACTGTTTATGATTCCTTAGCCCAAAATGGAAAGGCAGAACATTTTCTACGTACCGTTGTCGAATGCGGCCATGCACTGTTGATAGCGTCAGGCCTCCCAAAGTCTCTGTGGGGTGTGGCCATGTTGCACGCTGTCTGGCTCTGGAATCGGACTGGGTCGAGGAGCTTGCCAGGTATGACACCATACAAGAAAGTCCACGGCACAAAGCTGGATCTGAGCAACCTCCATGTATGGGGATGCCAGGTGTGGGTGAAAATCAAGGGGCCAAGCAAGCTTGATACGCAAGCTGACGAAGGATGCTTCGTTGGCCATAGCACTGAAAGCAAAGGCATCTTGGTGTATTGGCCACCAAAATGGAGGATCAGTGTTGAGCGCAACATTCACTGGGACGACTCACCTTTACCGGAAGTCGTTGTCAACAAGATCAACAACCCGAACGCAAGAACGAGCAGGAAAGACCTGAAAATCCCTCAGACAGTCAGTACAATGACATGGCTCAAGCGCAGCCAGACGCTAGCACTGCAAACGACGCAAACATACCTGAACTTATTGCCAAGCACTCTGACTCCCCCCCAGCGTCGAAATGACATGTCCCTGCCATACTCCCAAACCCTCCGACTACATCCAGTGTCTTGAGCGTGGAGAAGGAACAACGACCGGCAGCACGTGTGCGCCAGTCATTCCATGCGGCATGCACACTGCTCTCAAGGCTGACAATACGTCTGCAGGTGCTGCGGCTGATGTGCTACAAGCCGGAGCGCTGGAGGCGTTCGTGAGGGACGTTGACGAGGAACGAATAGAGCTCGAGGAGGTGGAGATAGTAGGGAGAAAATTGGAAGGCATTGAGTGGGCCATGAGAGCCGAGACAATGGAGGGATTGGAGCCATGCAATGTTGAAGAAGCCCGGCAATGTCTGGACTGGCTGAGTTGGAATGCCGCAATCAAAGATGAGCTTGCTCGCATGCACAAGCTCAAAACCTGGACTCTCATCGACAGGCCACCCAACACAAATGTCGTTGGTTCCAAGTGGGTTTTCAAGCTCAAACAGGGTGCATCAAGCAAGATTGTCAAATACAAGGTGTGCCTCGTCGCACAAGGCTTCACTCAAGTCCCCGGACTCGACTATGGCGACACCTTTGCACTGGTCACAAAACTCATGAATATCCAAATTCTGCTCGCTCTTGCTGCCCGATTTGACTGGGAGATCTACTAGATGGATGTCAAAAACGCTTTCCTCAATGAGGACCTCAAGGAGGTGATCTACATGAAGCAGCCTCCCAGGTACATTTCTCCTGGCCTTTAGGCCAAAGTCTGTCGTCTTTTTAAGACGATCTATGGTCTAAAACAGTCCAGTTGTTGATGGTATCAAAAACTCAGCCATGCATTCCTCAAAATGGAATTTGTGGTATGTCCTGTTGAACATGGGGTGTTTTACAAGCCAGACTCGGCCGGAATCTCCATTATTTCAGTCTCCATGGATGATCTGTCAATCTTCTCTGATACTGTTGATGGAATCCTGGCTATGAAAGCTGCTCTGAATGATGCACATGAGATGATTAACTTGGGCGGTATCCATTGGCTTCTCAGTATCGAGATCAAACACGATTGCGGGGAGCGGACCATATCCTTGTCTCAGTGAGCGTATATTGACATGATTCTCTCATGTTTTAATCTTGAATCCGCCAATCCACTGTCTACTCCTACAGATCCAAACACCCATCTCTCTGCATTGCAGTCCCCGTCTATGCCGCAGCAGTATGCCGAAATGTGTAATGTCCCCTATCAGGAACTCATCGGATCGGGTATGTACGCTGCTGTTGCTGCTCGACCAGACATTTGTTTTGCGGTATCATACCTTTTGCAATTTATGCAGAATCCAGAACGTGCTCATTGGGAAGCCGCAAAATGACTGTTGAGGTATTTGAAGGGAACACGGGAGCTGTGGTTGACATTTGGAAGGGAACAGTGAGGTATTGAAGGATTCTCGGATGCAGATCATGGAGGTCAGGAACACCGATGCTCAATCTCGGGATACATTTTTCTGTTCGATGGTGGTGCCGTTTCTTGGTCTTCTAAGAAACAGACCATTGTTGCTCAGTCAAGCACCAAAGCTGAGTATATTGCACTTGCTCATGCGAAAAAAGAAGTGCTATGGATTCGCATGCTTCTGAGTAATTTACTCTCCCCCTTGACTGTGCCGACCATTGTATTTGGAGACAATCTATCTGCTATCTCCCTCGCCAAGAATGAGGCTTTCCACTCTCACACAAAACACATCAACATCTGATACCATTTCATCTGCGACATCATCGAGAAGAACCTGATTGAGCTGCGATATTGCCCCATAGAGGAAATGGCAGCTGATGGGTTTACCAAACCCTTGGCTTGTCAAAAGGTTGAGAAGATGGCAGAGCTAATTGGACTTCAGGAGATTTGAGGGAGTGTGTTGAATCAAGGCAAATCACCGATTTCTTACATATTACTTAACTCACTTCTCATTTGCTTGGGTATTACCAAGATACTATACAGTTCTCAGCCACCGCACTCATAGTATGAGCGTGGCCAGCGCAGGCTTCCCTCAGTGTTCTAATAGACGCTGAGGTGAGCCTGCTTCTATTACATACTCTCAGATTGATACTTACAATACTTTGGAATAGATATTACCTTCTAGGTAAATGTCGTATAGCCTTTAGCAGTGTTCTAATAGATGCTGAGATATTACCTTCTAGCCTATATTTCTACAACTTTGCCTCATCTTGAGTTCCATGCAATACTAAAAGCTAGGATGGAAGCTGAAGTTGGAATGCCGATGCACAAACAATGTTAGCACACGCTGATGAGCATTCACCCACGCTAGGGTCCGAGAAAGGTATTTGGAAGCTTTGGGGGAATACCGAATAGCACTAGACAAGTACCGAAGATGCCAACTTTTACCGAACACGGTCGGTCCCTACCCGACAGACGACAAGCCACCGAAGGACATTTGGCAGCACTTGGGTCAGTTTGCCCACACTTCACGTACTTACCATGACCGCATAGGAGTTTTACAATAAGTGTTTATGAAATCGGAGCCAGTATTCCGTATTGGCCAATGTCCTCCATGAGTCGGTCGGTCCTTATTGCTTATCTTCCCGACTTCCGCATGGTCGGTCAATCGTGATCTTGCACCATTGCTTGGCTACCCTGGTCATACGATACCTCTTCTTTATTTTTCATTGGTTCTCCTATGCCTGTTCCTGCTACCTACGCTCGGGTGACAGATCCTGAACATTCGGGATTTCGCCATCGCTGATTAACTTTTACCTTGTCACCTTCGGAACCCATATGGACATCTCACCTACCTTCTTATCTTCTCTGATCGCTAAGGCTTGGCGCCTATTTGACATTTACTCTCATTTCTTGTTTAATATTTTACTTAGGGGCTCTGCTTACTATAAAAACCTACATACAACTCTGGAATAAACCAGCTTTTGCACCCCACCATTCAGAGCTCATTCACACTCGTCTCAACCATAGAAATTGTCTTTGTCAACTTCCGAAAACTTGTCATCCTCATCGTTTGGCCTTGTTTGCGTCCGTACTCATCTCTTTGCTCGTACCCCTTGTCCTCCCTCGTATATTGTCAGAGTCCTGTGTGGCTCTTGAAGCATGTAGTTGTCGGTCGCAACACTACTTCTCATTACCGACCGCATCGCCGACACAACCGACCGAATGTTTGGTCGGTGTTTGGTGCAGTCCCAAAACCATTCGGGCACTATAATCTCACACTCCCCGTTGCTTCTCAGTACGCCTTCCCTTTCTAAAGTCATCACTAACAATTCCTTGTGTATTAGATACTAGCTCCAGCACCCCTGAATTAGAGGTTGTTTTGGTGTTGTGCTTGGCACTTAGAGCCATCTCTAGCATATCAATGCTATCTACATCATGATGTTCCCAACTTAGGCATGCTTGAAGCTTGACACATAGGCAACTTCACATGCCTAGGCTTTAAATACTGTCTTTGGTATGCTCGCATGATTAGACATTATGTCTCACATACCCTATGTAGAACACTGGCTATTGGGGCCTCTCTCAATATTGTTTTACACCCATGTCTATACCCCGCCTTCTCCTCCTCTCCATGGCGCTCTGGTTTTTGTCCATGGCTATATCAAGTACATCGGCCATTATGATCATGCCCATAGTGCATGGGCCTCTCACGGTGATATGCTTGCGATGGCTCTGCGTGCAAAAACACAACACAAAACACACCACTAAACACAGGGTAGGCGGGAGCTGACTTTATTACTAATATCGAGAGACCCTTGTAAGTTGCGAGATGGGGCGTGAGATACGTACTGCGAGATATCGAGATATCTAGCGAGCTGATGCAAGGTCACGTGAGAATACTCTTGTGTAAAACAAAGTGGTGGACTGTGGGCCAGGGCACGAGTGACCAAGGCAACTTCAAGGGCAGCGACGAAGGCTCTGACGATAGCGGCGATGAAGGCAACAAGTGCTAAATCGAGCGAGTGCAATGTCAGTGCGATACAATACAAGCGAGATCTTCATGTGAAGTTGAGCTCTAAACAAAGGGGTGTTCGAAACTGGTGTATTGCAGTGTTGTAGGCAGGTATTTATAGTAAGTCAAAGTGAGTATAGTAAACATGAACTTGTAAAGAAAAACCACACGCAGAGGTGCTTGTAGACCATGAAATTCTGTTGTGCCGTGGTCAAGAGACAAAACAATATTTAGTAAAGAGGTGTAGCGGTGAGACGAGGTAAACTCTAGGAAGATGGAGGAGCAATGGATCATGGGACCTGTACTACCCAATAAGCGCACGCAATAAAGCTCTCTGTGATATCACATCGCGGAGCTGCTTGCAGTACGGTCCATGTGGTCGATGCTTGCGAGAAGTATGGCGAGAGCTTGGCGAGGTCCTTGCGGGTACAGCAGGCTTGAGTTCATCGTGTGATATACGTGGGGGCTGAGTGAGATGATGCAAGGCAATGACCAAGGGATGTGAGATAAGACCGCATCAGCCCTATACCATAATAGTGAGGTCGTAGTGGGCATCGGAGGGAATCACTCTGGGCTGCGGGGCCACCCGGCAGTGTCTGGAATATTCCCTGAGGTCAGCACTCGTAGAACTGCGAAAAACGGGGTCCCGGCGCTTAGAAAGGTGGTGCGCTCATCAGCAGTTTCGCGGTTTTCATGTTTGACTAGCGTGGGTTTGGTTGCACCGCCCTAGACAATCAGCAGAGCAAGATCAGTGCATATGGGAAGACAGGCTCACCTGATAGGATGCTGGACGTGGAATGGGCCATTTGGGTTACTCGCAGACAGTTTCCAGACATCCTGCTATTCTTGATGGGTCATTCCATGGTTTGTCACTTGCAATTTTCACTGCTTGGCATTGGCACTCAACACAGATCAGTGTGCCTACTTTAGGGCAGTAGTGTTGTACTTGGTTTCATAATGCAGACTCAGTCCCCGCCAGACAGAGAAACATTGTTGCTCCTGTCTGGTGTAATTGCATCGAGTCCCTTCATGCATATAACTCATCCTCTGCCTTTATTCATTCAATGGCTCTTGGGCAAACTATGCAAGATTTTTCCAAATGCCAACCTGTCCTCTCTAGTACAAGATAAAGTATGCATTGTGACGTTCATAATGTTGTATATTGGAGTTAAACATCGACAGGTTCTATCCTGTGATCGCAATATCAGCGAATTGGCAGATCTCTTAGGTGGTCTGAGATGTCTGATCTCTGTCTGAGAGTTCTGAGGGCTTCTGTCACCTCTGGGCATTCTGAACTCAGACATTACTCAGAACTATCTAGAATGATAAACAGGAATTGAGAACTGGCAGTAGCATACTTGTAAAGTACTAGAATGCAAGCCAGTGATCTTATCATAAAGATGCTAATTACACACGAGCCTGCACTTGTCTTGTACGAGTGTGAGAATAGGTGGGCAGTGGCATTGAAAGAAGACAAGACTAAGCTTGTCTTGTGCAAGCGTGGGCAGGGATTGGTGGCAGCAGCGAGAGGATCCGAGTTGGTAGACGGTGATATCAGACAAGATAAGGCCGCGCTCATCTCGTACGAACACGGGCAGAGATGGTAGGCGGCAGCGGTGGCGAGACAAGAGGAGGCATGCGCTCGTCATGCAAAAGAAGGCGCACGCTCATTGTATAAGAGGAGGCATGTGCTCATCTAATAGGACGAGCATGGGCAGAGGTAGTGGTGGTGGGCGGCGGCAGCAAAACCAAACAAGGCAAGGCCGCACTTGTCTTGCACGAGAACAGGCAGAGATGTTAGGCGGTGATGGCAGCAAGACAAGATGAGGTGTGCCCACACTCGTCATACAAGATGAGCACAGGCAGAGATGGTGGGAGAAGGACAGGCATGCGCTCATCTTGAATGAGTACAGACAGAGGTGGTGTTGGATGGCAGTGGTGGCAAGACAAGAGGAGGCATGCACATGCTCGTCGTATAAGACAAGCGTGGGCAAAGGGGGTGGCGCTGGATGGCATCAGTGGCAAGATAAGATGAGCGCGAGCAGAGGTGGTGGTCAACAGCAGCGGGGAGAGCAAGCAGGGAAGCAAAGATGTGGCAGTGGCACATGCCATTGCTACGTCAATGCACCGTCGTTGCACACGCTGTGCTCTGCCTCTTGCTTTCACCACCGCCCACCCCCCCCCCCCCCCCCCCGTCCACACTCATTTTGTCTCATCTTCTCTCAATGCCGCCACCCACCTGTAACCGCGCCCATACCCTCTCACTACCGCTGCCGATCCCCCGCTCATGCTCACACAAGATGAGAGCTCCCGATACCCTGCACCCACGCTCACACAAGACAAGTGTGAGCTTGTATCCTCTTGCTGCCACCACCCACCCCTTCCCGCACTCATATCCTCTCGCTGCTGCTGCTGATCTCCACCTGTGCTCGCCAAGATGAGTGCAGGTGTGGCCTTTTTCAATGCTGCTGCCCATGTTGCCTGTACTTGTATCTTCTCGCTTCTGCCACCCACCCTGTCTGCACTCGTACCCTCTCGCTGATGATGCTGATCTCACCCACGCTTGCACAAAATGAGTGTGGGCTGGTCTTCTTTTAATACCGCCACCCACCTGCGCCTGCAAGTGTGGGCCTATATCCTCTTGCTGCTGCTGCCCACCTTGCCTGTGCTTGTGCTCTCTCACTGCCACTGCCAATGCTAGCCACCCACACTTGCACAAGACGAGTGCGGGCTCATGTTCTCTTGCTGCCGCTTCCCCCCCTGCCCGCACCCGTACCCTTTCATTGACCCTCTCGTTGCTGTGCGCAAACTGTCGAGCCTCAAACAGAGTCCAAGATGGAGGACTATGTGCCACTCACAATCTGGTGTGCTCATTTTAGATGCAGGGCTGTCCTTTGTTCGTAGTATTTTGCATATAGTAGAATATTTTGATGGTAATAATGTTATATGAAATACCTGTGTGAGGCTGCAGACGGGGTCTGAGCTAATGACCAAATCTCTAACTATTGTTCTGGATAAGCTCTGACTGGTCTGAACTAAGACAGATACAGAAAGGTAACCTCCTGACGGCAGAGTCTTGTTCTGACCTCTGATTGGTCTGAGCCATCTGAGTTCAGAACAATCAGAAGCTCTCAGACCTGGATCAGACATCGGCCAATTTCCTGATGAAGGTGGGCAAGGATGCTTTAAAAGACCCATGGGTCAAAAGATTTGGGATATATCGTGGGATATATGACATGTTCACCAGGGTATGTATGCGCGCTTCCCCTTCTTGGCAGTATAGTCACTGTCACCAAAATCCAGGGTTATAAGCTCATGGCTAAGGGATACAAGTGTTGGCCAAAGAACTTGCCTGTACGTCATGTGTATGGGAGCGTCATTCTTCTAACCTAAGCCCCCATAATAGCTTTTGGTGCTGCATGGGACTGAGGACGAGATGGGTTCATTTGTTTTTGGAATGGCATTTCTCTTAATGAAACCTGGTACAGGTAAACTCTTGCCCGGCGACGGAAGCCTTCTTCAAGATTCTGCAAGCTCCTGATAAGACACTTATCCTCTATCCCGTATGCCCACTACCTTGTTACCGTGATCTTCAGACTGATTTCAACATCTATTTCTCCTTATTTTCTTGCTCCCTGTCTTGCATTCCAGGGTGCCTGGCATGATCTTATGAGTGAACCCGATGGTGTGAAAGAAAAGTACATGGAGGACTGTATGTCCTGGACAGAGTCCCATATGCCCAAGACGGCAGTCACTTAGCAACCGTGGTCGTTGTACTGCGAGACACTTCGTCTGTGCTCTGGCAATATATGTTTGACTCCTGATTGGGATCGTGTCCTGCGATTTATTTCCTGTTGACAGCTTAATATATATGTCTCGATGCTCTCTCCGATCTCAGCATTCCGAATCACTTGTGGCATACTGCGAATCACAAGCAGGGCATGGAAGCCTCACCTTAAACATCAATGAATTAAAATGGGAGAGACTGCACCCAGATAGGAGTGCCACTACCGTACGGTCTCAAGGTGAAGAGGGCAGGCCCCCGAAACAGAAGACCCAAAAGTAGAAGCGGCGACATAAAACTTTGCGGTCTTTTCCCCACGGCTTCCTTCTGGGTCAGTTCCTTTCCATCTGAGCTGGACAGACCGTACAGGACATAGTAGCCCAAAATTATCAATGATTCAATACAGGAGAACCGCACAAGACCGCACGCTGATGGAATCGCCGCCGCAGGGACTACGGTGTTCAAGCTGAAGAGCGATGGGCCAACAGAAAATCCAAAAGTAGACGCGACAACGGAAGAACTGCGTCGGCTCCTTTCCATCTTCCATACGCCGGGCTAACAGCTCGTGAATGTCATAAGTACACCTGCCTGTCACAGCGTGCCCTAGACTCATGGAACTCGTGGCGCACACCTTTCACACCCTGTCAAGAGGATTGGGCGTGCATCATCGTTCCATGGTAGGATTGGGCCAAGTGCGCCCAGATCAGGTCCGGCGTCGCTGGTGAAGTTTGCACTCACAGCTGCTTCCAACAGATCTTCTCTGGCGAGGAGCGCCCAGCGCCCAGCTCCCATCATCAGCAAACTGGGAAGCGTCTGTACAGAGCTGGACAGATGCTCCAGAGCCCTAGATGCCCCTAGCAAGTCCCCGATTAGACAGACACTATGACTTCTGGTCAGTGTCTGGACATATCTGTCCAGATGCACCATATATGGAAGTGATTAGATAATTGATGTCAATAGATGACCGCAAAAATTAATCTGTACTAAGCAAGGATTGAACCCAGAACCTCTTGAACTATTCACTGGCTAAGAGCAATGTGAGTACCAGAATTATCCACTCCACCATATGGCCATGATATCTTTTGTCAACAATTAGCTTATATCGCACTTTTTGGGACTTCACAGAATTTGAGATGCCTAAACCCTGTGAGGTGTCATCTATTTTCGCATGTTTAGCATCTATCCATGGAAGAATGATGGCATATGATACATCATTCGAATGCTATGATACAGGGAAGTATCCCAATACCACTCATGAGCTGAAATCTAACAGATAGCATCAATGTCAATTAAAATCTTTGAAGTCCAACAAATGTATTTCTTGATTTTCCAGTACTGTGGGAATCTTACATACTCTGCCTTCCGGAAATGTGATCCTAGTCAACTTATTGATAGAGCACCTTATCTGCCCAGATCTGGCCATACACAGATATCTAGCCAGATATCCCCAGATGACCTAAGCATCTAGGAGCATCTGGGGCTCTGGGACTGGCTGGGACCGGTTACAGGTTTGCTGATGATGGAGGCTGATGTCTGCGTCCTGCTACATCATGGAGGGAGTTTGGAAGGCGCCTCTCCGTCAGTGTGACTAGATATCCAGATTCGGAAGTCTGAGTCTCGCCGCACCCGCATCATCTTCCTCGCTTGCACTCACCACCTCGACGCGCCCCTTCAACGTTGAACGTTCCACGTTCCACGTCGATCCCTCGCACAATCCAAACCTCAACCGAACTATACAGTGCAGACGACAATGGCGGGATTGTTGGGATTCATCAAGCGTAACCGCACTGTGAGCCTCCCCTTTCTACAAGCAGCGAGCGCGGCTCATGCCCTGGATATCCTCGCAGCTGGCAAACCCTCCAGCGGCGCGAAAGGCTGAAGACGCCCTCCGATTTGGCCTCCTGGGTGCCTCCAGAATTGGCCCAAACTCCGTCATCCTGCCCGCAAAGAGCCATCCTGGCGTCATCATCGCCGCCGTCGCTTCTCGTGATCCAGCCAAGGCCGAGCAGTACGCTAAGGAGCACGCCATCCCGAAAACCTACAGTGGAAAGGATTGTTACCAAAGTGCGCAGAACCATGCCTGTCTGATCCACGGCGCTGACCACACGTGGTTGCAGAGCTTGTCGACGATCCCGCCGTCGAGGCCATATACGTCGGGGTACGTCCTTTGAGACATCTCCGCACACGATCCGAAAATGACCGTAAACCACAGCTTCCAAACGGCCTTCATTTTGAGTGGACTATGCGGGCTCTCAAAGCCGGAAAACACGTTCTTGTCGAGAAGCCTTGTGCGGATACCGCGGCCGAGGCCCGCACCTTGTTCGATTACGCAGCCAGCAAAGGCCTTGTGTTGCTCGAGGGATATCACTACAGGTGCTCTTGGCGCCGAGTCGGCTGTGTTCTCGTTTTGACCTCTCGTCCTCTAGATTCCATCCTGCGGTTCAGCGGGTAAAGGAGATCGTCGACAGCGGCGAGTTCGGCAAAATCAAAAGTATGCATTCCGAGCTCGCCGTTCCGTATCTCAGGGGCTCGATCATCCTCAAGGATGACGTGCGTTATGATTATGGTTTGGGAGGAGGCGCTACGATGGATATGGGAGGTACGTCCGACAGTCGATCGTTGGCTCACGATTTATTCTCGCGCTGACCTCAGGGTCAGTATATACTCTCTCTGCCATCAGATACATGGCCTCGTCCAATCCGCTTGAGATCACATCCGCCACCGCGGCCGGGTACGAGAAGGACCCCACCAGAATTGATCGCGGCATGGAGGCCACGTACTCATTTCCATCCTCTATTACAGCTGACACTCTCGTCGACCTGCGACTTCCATCGTGGGGACCGTTTGGCCTATTTCCGCAAGGGCCCAAGAATTCCTTGACTGTGAAACTCGAAGGGGGCGAGGTATACTACTTTGGTCTGGTCCTGCCGCACAACTTTCACAGCATCAAAGTTCGACCGATCAAGGGGAAGGACCGGGTGGAGAAGTACTACAAGTTCAAGACAGGGTACGGCGAAGAATGGTGGTCTTCGTACGTTTCATCAGAGCGTGGTCGAATGTGTGATGAACTTTTTGGCACACAGATATCGCTACCAGCTGGAAGCGTTTGTCGACAGGGTGAATGGCCGAGAGCCTCACGATTGGATTACGGCAGATGAGTCGATTACACAGATGGAATGGATTGAGAAGATATATGCCAAGGTAGGTGCGATGACATCGATCTGTCGGCGACGTCTGATTGTTTTCTGGTTTAGGCTGGCATGCCCTCGAGGCCGACGTCCTCATATGTCGTTTCTTAGAGAGTGTCATTGATTCCAGAGTGTGGGATTTTTTGGCGGATAATGCGGTGATTGTCGTACTGTCCTTCAGTGTATAAACGGCGTGCTATCATTCTAATTCGGTGTGCTATGAATAGTCTAATATCCCATGGCCGATCGCTGCTGTGCCGCTGATACTAAGCGTCATACTCCCGACGGCCTCGTGCATGGTCGGCAGTTTCCGTGGCACGTTCTCCCAGGTTCTCTCCCGGTTTCCCTGCTCTGGTCTCGCAGTGGTCTAGGGGCAAGGGCGTCTCACCTGACGCCGTTACGGTAGTTTGGGATGAAGAGCTCCTTGCTGACTCATCAGCTATCCAGTTTTGGCCCGCCCATATTGTTGATGCCCTAGGGCGGAGAACAGAACACTCAAATCCGTCCATTTCATTTGAATCTACCATGATACCATGAACTAATTATCTCTATTTATCGAGCATAGACGCTGATCTAGCTTCCTTGATGCGTGTTGCATCAGGACCCTCATGGTAGCGCTCTTCAATTGGCACTCCCGAAACCAGCAAGGCGTTGTGCTTTTCTGATGTTATCCGCCTTTGAGCATCCGTGAGATTTTTGTCACCAGCCTCAGGAGCGCAGTATATGAGCAATCAAATATTACTTGCAGATCTTCCAGCGCCCGTCTAGTATGTCTCATCCTACCCTTGAGCTTGTTCTACTCATTTGCGCACCATGTGTATACTACATCTCCATAACGCCCCCATATCCATTACCAACTCGCAGGGACAAACTTTACAAGGGACAGTTATTTTAGCAGATCGTCCGGTGGCTTTCCTTTATTTCCAGGGTACATTCGCAGTACATTCTCAGATGTCAAGAAGACGTGTGCTGACAAGTTCCAGATCGCCGTGTTGACGGCATTTGTTTGCGAAGCTCTTGTCGTCATATCCCTGAGTTTTCCAAGCTACATACCTGAGAGCGTCCAGCCTGCACTATGTCCCCGAGGCATATCTGACCCGGCACTGTTGCTGTCCATCACCCCATCATTTTCCCTTGGATTCGCACTCTCGATGCTTTCCACGTTCGTTCGAGTACTCTGTTTCAAAGAGCTTGGAACGCTTTTCACTTTCGAGGTCGCAATGCGACCCGGGCACAAGTTAGTGGCGACAGGCCCGTACGCATATGTCCGTCATCCTAGTTATACAGGAACGTTCCCGAACATCAGCGGCGTCGTCATTATGCACTTCGCTCCGGGCGGCTGGAATCGTGCATGCGGCATCATGCAGACTGCGGGGGGAGGAGGGATGGTTAGGACGTAATTGTTTCTGTCGGTGTTCTCGGTCGTATCATTATGGAAGAGAGCTAGTGTGGAAGACGCTCAGATGCGGGAAACCTTTGGGGAGAAGTGGGTCGAGTACCGCCGTGCCGTCCCATACAGGCGCTTCTGGGGTCTCTTCTGACATTTTTTTGTCTGGTTACATGTAGTGGCTCCATAATATCAGACATTCCGGATGTGATTTTCTTCGCAGCTGCACTGTTAAACAGCTGTATCATACCCACAGCGACCACTCCAGGTCATCCGCCGTATGGTTCTTCCACTGTTGACCGAGCATTTCAGGAATCCCTATCTCTTGCTGCATAAAAGTGCACAACCATTTCGTGGTGTATACTGTTACACGAGAAAGCGTCACGAATGTTACCTCGTCAAGACTACATCACAGGGAACTCTTCTCATACTCGATTCCACTCACGTCCGCCCAATCGTTCATAGCCTTGATAACAGCCTGACACCTTTTCTTTATGACTGTCACCGCATCCTCTCCAAGCGCAAGAAGGGTTGGCCAAGGCTTGCCCCTTGCAGACCCTTCATCTCTCACCACATCAACGATCACCTCTGCGGCCTTCCCTGGATCACCAGGCTGTGTACCGTCTAGTTCGTGAATCAGTTTCACGCCTTCTGCGTGGAATGGTGCATAGGAAGGTATCGCAGGAGCACCATACTGGACGGCGGTGGCGATGACTCTTTTGAGGCTACTGGTGCGGAGACTGCCTGGTTCAACGAGGAGCACCTTGATCTTGAATGGCGCTAGCTCCGCGGACCATGTTTCGGCTACAGCTAAATAAAAATAGAAAATCTCGCATCATATGCAAGGTAGTGACAAAATAGGGACCAACAATGTATCGCAGCCTTGGAACTGCTGTACGGCCCTAAAGCGAGGAAGTGCACCAGACTGAGTCAACCATTAGTGGCTTTCCTGTGCGAGGTATGACCTACCCATCATCTATCCATTTGCTGTGAATTAGCAAGTTATCATATAGTGTAAGAAAGACACGGCTTACAGGCACTCCTGCTTGCCAAGCTGACCGACTTCCAATGACCACGATGGTTCCGCCCTGTTTCTCGCGCATGAATGGAAGGAAGGCATTTGTCACATTAATGACGCCGAATACGTTTGTGCGATACTCTGCCAGAAACCCTTCGCCTCTACACACCAACGCAGTGCGGATCAGGTGGTTGATCATAAGGGGTGATGATTGATCGGTACCACGAAGACGCACCCGAGCTCTTCGACACTGCCAAGGAGGGCGATGGCAGCATTGTTGACTACGATATCAACAATGCCGAAAATTGACAAAGCCTGCCTAGCCTTCTCCTTCAGAACGTCAGGTAGTGCAGTGACGTCCAGCTGAAGGGCTTTGCACGCCTCTGAGCAAATATCTTGTACTTCAGATATATCTTGAACAGCAGCAATGACTCGGTCTCCTCGACGGAGGGCAGCGAGAACGATCTGCTTTCCTAATCCACTGGAAGCACCTGGAAGGAGGGAGTCAATCGCGACCATGAAGATCCAGCACATTCTCCTCACCGGTCACGAACCAAACTTTATCAAATGATGTTGACATCGCAGAGGTCTAGTTGAAGGTCGAAGCTTGCAGGACTGCTTTCTGAGCGATCTTGCACAGTATCTCAATTGTTCTTGTATTTATGTTCACAGATTTTTGAGACTTACCCCCACGACGCATGATTCGATAATCTATTTTTGAGATGGACTAGATATCGGTGATACATATGGGACGTTGAACTTCTGAGATCATTAGGTTCGGCACCTTTTTAGCATCGCAGATTAGCATGCTTCGGATAGGCGATAACACGTTACCCCATGAATACTTCACAGAGCCGACCGCCTTCCTTGGACTTCGCTCTTCAGTCGTTGCGTGAATGCACGTATGTTGGACCAACACTCTTGGACTTTGGACAACTCTGTAAGAAAACAGATATAACACCAGATGAAGATCTCACCAAATGCAGTGGGCGGCATCAGGAAACTGGGAAGTGTCTGTACCAACCTGGACAGACGCTCCTAGGCCCCCAGATGCCTCTAGCAAGTCCCCGGTTAGATAGACATGCCGGTGTCTGGACATATCTGTCTAGATGCACCATATATGGAAATGATTAGATAACTGTCGTCAATAGGACGACTGCAAAAATCAATCTGCACTGCGCAGGAATTGAACCTAGGACCTCTTGAATCATTCGTCATCTAAAAGCAATATTAAGACAAGAATTATCCACTCCACTATATAACCATGATGTTCTATATCAACACCCAGCTTATATCAAGCTTTTTGAGACTTGGAAGAATTTTGGGATGCCTGAACTCAGTGAGGTGTCATCTATTTTTGCATTTTTAGCATCCATTCATGGTAGAATGATGAATATGATACATTATTTGAAGGCCATGATACAGGGAAGTATCTCAATACCATCAGCAAGCTAACATCCAACAGATAGCACTAATGACAGTCTGGTACATTACTGGGGGATTTTCTTCTCAACTCTTGTCTAAGGCTGTATTGAAAAACTCTGAAGCAGCACTAACATCACATACACTGCCTTCCAAAAATGTCCTCCTAGTCAGCTTATTGATAGAGCACCTTATCTGCCTAGATCTAGATATACACAGATATCTAACCAGATGTTCCTAGATGACCTAAGCATCTGGGAGCACCTGGGGCTCTAGGACTGGCTGAGACCACTTATGGGTTTGCTGATGCCTATAAAAGAGCATTGAAGTTGTTGGATTTGGAGGCATCAAACTGCCTCAAGGTCACTGTCTATAAGTCTTGAACTATATTTCAGGTTAGTAAAACCTGCGACAAAATCAAGCACTAACAGCATGGCAATGACATTTTGTATTGACTTTGGGCATACTTGTGAAACCGGAGAGACTGTACCAATGCTCTGATGACAGAATAATATTTGTGTTGCGAGTGGAAGTCAAGGAATATACAAATGATCATGGCTCCTGGATGAGAGCACAATAAATGAATATTAGAACAAAAATGGATGCACATTGTGGAGACGATGACTTCAAATATGCAATCACAAAGGTTGTTGATGAACATATCAGTAGAAATCAGAAGCATAGTGGTTTCTCTATGACAGTCCATCTGGTATCAATTCATGTTTAGTTGAATCGTATTCGTAATGATCATTAGCAGCGCTTTGTGAAATGATAAGAGTCACGAAAATCATTATCTTGCTCTAGACAAATAAGTCTGACCTGGAGGCCCATGGAGGAGTGAGGGTCCTCGAGACCAGTACATTGATGGTAATGCATATTGAAAGATGCATTCATCGAACTCACTGCCAAGCAGAGATGAAGTTAACTGGACAATCAAAAAGGTCAGTGGGGTTCAAATTGGCTCCATCGTTGGCTGACACTTCGTATTGCATAGATGTCGTTACTGTACTATCATGATATGAGTTGTTCAGTATTGCACACCTAAGCATCACTGATTGAGGCAGGGTAAGGATTCGCCCAAAGGGCCATGGAATTCTAACAGAGTTGTGAGAGATGTTGATGCTTATGATGGTGCAGCACTGCAGCGTCCATTATTGAACCACTGGCAGTGAGCATCTGACTTCAGCGCTTGAACGTTACAACTACAGGCATGTGGATGAGAAAGTACTAGCGAGCCTGCTCCGACCAGATAAATCAGCATTATGGGGAGACAACAAAAATGCACACCATGAGCACCTTCGCAGTCTTCAATGTGCTGTTCTACTACTGACACAGAGTGTATAACACATGTTGGGATGTGTAGAACGTGATTCTCATCAATTGCATGTACAGCACCAAATGCATATCATTGTCATCTATCACAAGACAAAATTCAAGACAAACCAAATATGCCATATTTTATACCTAAGCTGTTGTGGTGAGCAATGTGCCAGACTTTCTGAATGGAGCAGCCACATTCTCTAGGCGTAGTAACATCTGCGTTACAACAACTGAAACAACTGCCCAATGGAAGCTATATGAACAAATATTAGCCAGCATGAAGTGGGACATGTAGAATACATACAAGTATCCCAATGATTGAAGAGAAGCCTGAAGCAATGTCAGGGAAGCTAGAGTGGATAAATTATACGTATTATTGATGCTCACTTTGTGAAAGAAACACAAAATAAGATTCCCCACATGAAGTGCTGAAGTGAGATTTGTTCAACATCCACTGAATCATCAGAGACATGAATGTGGTTACCGCTGATATGCTAGTGATGCCTCTGAGTGCGAAACACACCCAAGAAACACCCCTACAAGTGCAGGTAGGCAGAAGCTGGTTCTAGTGTGCAAGGAACTATAAGCTGTGCAACAACCAACAAGGGAGCATACTAAAAGTGTTCAGAGTGTAGTGAACAAACAACTCCAAAATCAAAATATTCGGTAGGTTAGTTGGTTGGTTGGTAGGTCGGTCAGTCGGTAGGTCAGTCAGTTAGTCAGTAGGTTGGTAGGTCGGTCGGTCAGTCAGTTGGTGTTTGATTGGGATTTGATTGGGATGCAAAAGGAAGGGAATGGGTGCAAGGCCACACTGGACACTGGCAGAGGATGACAAACTAGATGAGAGGGAGAGAGCAAGATGACGAGGGATCTGACGGAGGGCTGCAATCAAACACAATAACATAAACAAAAGGGCAAAATGTGAACAAGGATTGGAAGGCAATGGCTCAAAGTCTCATAGACACAAGCACACAAATGGAATCGGAACAAGGGGGGAGCCAAAGCTGGTGTATTGCAAGGCCATAGGTGCCCTTTTATAGTAAGTCCAAACAGGTACAAGATAGGGAGATTGGCAGAGGCATTGAGCAATCAGAAATGCGTGCCAAGAGTGATCACAGGTAAAGAAGATAAGGGAGTGATGTTGCAAACACTATAAGATAAGAAGCAATAACTCTAAAGTCTAAATAAGTGGAGAGATTGCCAAGGTGAGTGCACATGGACCTTGTTATGATCATGACTTATCGGGCCTTTACGGTGGTCTATTCCAATATGATTATCACAAATATCAAGTGGCCTCATAGGTTGAGGCGTACAACAAGGTACAGATAATAACCTTGGTCATCCACTCCCAATAGATCACCTATCGTTGGTTGAGTATCATGGGCCTTATTGTAGCAGGCATGAAATGCCGCCTTACAAACTACTCACATACCGGGCATAGAACTCCTAGTCTTTCCTGGCCGGAAGGAGACAAACAGAGAAGCACAAGAGTAGTTGTTATTGAGAGAGACGACTTAGAGAATACCTACAGATACATATATAGTATTCTCACACCCTACTTTCTAAAGTAGTATAAAAGGCCCATAGAATAGGCTGATGGTCTTTAGTCTATTCTCTTCCGTTCTCTGCAGTCTTCCTACTGCAGTCTCTCATTTGCTGTAGTCTTCCTACTACAGTCCTGCAATCTATATTGGCTCCTGTGCTACATGTACAGTTGAGACCATCATTCCATTCTTCCTCCACGAGTGACCTAGGGAAGAACCTCCTACTCTTGAGGTTACCAAACGAGCAGTTTGTAACAGACCTGGAGATAAGAACCACATGCCACATGGGTAAACCATTTAGAAACTTGAGAGCTCTGAAGATAATAAAGGATAGGTCAACAGAAGGCATAAGGACGATAAGAGATAAAAAGACAGATCCGTTCTGAGTCAAAAAAGTGTTTGGCCGCCTCTGATTTGGGACACCGAAGCTGACTGAATGTGCCAATCATGTGAAGTGTACCGAACCGATCGGCGATCAGCCGCGACAGTCTATGGAGAGCCCCTACTGCTGAGAGTGATGATAGATGGATAGGATGACTGTGAACAGCTCCGAACGACTGTGCGAAGGTCTAAATGGAAAGTCGGCACCTGACAAATGGCTGAGATCGCCGAACGGATTGGGATCGGTCGGTTCTAAGTGTGCCGAACGGTCAAAGAATACTGAAAAGCTGCGAAAAGTGGGATATTGGTGCCTAGAGCATACCCATGCTCATCACCAAAAAGGACCTAGATATAACTGCATTGAGAACTGGGATAATTTTCTTGATTTAGAGGAGCCATGACTTACACAATACCACAAAAATCCATCTCGCAATAAATCTGAGATAAGCCTGATCTTGGCTGGTCGCGGACGGTCTGCAGCATTCCAAATGGTCAAGATGTCCACAGTGACATCAAACACAACCTGGTGTGTTGCTAAGGATCAGCGAGTCTGAAAGCTTGTAGGAAAACTGCTGATCTGAGATCCCCATGCAGCAGTGAACGCCGCAGGGGCTTTCTGGCCCATGTAGCTGTGGAAGATGGCTCCATCAAAGTCTATGGTACCTATTGAGTGAACGTTGAGCTGGATGCATTACCACGTGAAGTGTTATTAAAGAGGTACCAAATATTTGAAATGTGCCATACACGATGCATACTAGCAACGAAAGGTACAAGACAGTGAATACACACATTAAAGCTCTCAGCACCTAACGTCAATGATCCCAAAGCAAAAACACCCAGGCGATGAGAACCCCTGATAAAATTTCAATGGTTTTGTCTATTCGCCATTCGAAAAGGACGCACACTTCGCCAATGATAGCGAGATTGCACATACAACCTGCTCACATATATACCAAGCCCTACAGCTTATCGCAAACATTAGCAGTGATTATGTACAGATTAAAAGACAAGCTTACTACTGTGAAGAAATCAGCCTTGGGCTGACATGATGGATTAGCAAACACATTTACAGTGCTGGAGATTGTCGGAGAAAATCCAGCAGTCACTGCAAAAGCAAATAAAAATCGTCTGTTATGTTCAAGGAGTCGAAACCATAACATATAGGGAGAAACAATGAGACACTACTGCCACATAGCGAATAAAGACGTAGCAGAATCTGGCGAGACTCCACGGACCCTTCACCCAAATGATGGTCCTCTCGCGTTCAAACGTCAAACACCAGTCCCAGAAGAGGATGCAGGCGCTAGCAGCTATCCGAGGGCATGTGATCACACTGGATACATTTGACAAGTCATCACTGACCATTCATATATCTCGCCACAAGTACTCCAGGCCCCATAGATGCATACTGGGAGATGGTGAATGGTAAATCGCTAGATGATATGTTAGTCATGAGGTTTTCGTCTGTAAAACGTATATAGGTGAGCAGCTTCTGCAGTGACTCACAGTCGGTCCCCTTTTAAGCCATGAAGACTGTGTGAAGATCGTATCTTTTTACTGTAGTCTGATTGACCATACCTTCTGAGGTGGATCAATACACCAGTTTGAGATCCATCAACGACTTGAGAGGCTGTATCACACAAGCCATGGAGGGATGTCTTGATGTATCGCAACTTCGGTCACCATGCGGCTGCCCGTCGATCAGATGTTGGAATGGCAGTGCTGAAGCATGGAAGCAGATGGAGCAGGTAATGCCTATATTAAGAACAGGTCTTTTTTATGTGTATCTCCGTGACTGCGAAGCTTGCACCGAATAACCACTGCATAGACTCGAGTGGCGAAAGCCTCACATAGATTGGCCATCGCACAGGCGTTGTGAAATTGAATTTCATCTGTATGTTCAGATCGGCCGGTTTGATTTATTGGCCTCTCTTTGAGTGACTCTTATCAATATCTGATCCTCTGTTCCACATCAATCAGTGTGAGGGCTATATAGATGAGCAACACGCACTACCTTAGCATCCATGATATGAGCTCCGAAGAAGCTGATCTGAGTCCGGGTACACAAATGGAAGCTTGATGTCTGTTTCACATACGTATTAATCCCATCTTGGCTCCTTTCTACTATGAGTGCACGAAACGGGTATATTTCGTGAAAAACTCAACATAATTTTCATGAGCTGGAAATTCTTGGTGCAGCTGATCAACAGACCAAAAGTGCGCCTAGAGAAACAGAGACACTCGACCCCTGTAGTGCACAGGAGGGTAGCAAACTATATTGACACTAGATTGGCTCTATAGTAGGCGTCAACCGTGAATTGACGAGCGCGCCTGCAGCTCGCGTACGAGGCTTGATAGCACATTCGATCAGCCCAAGATGTCGTGTCGACTAGAAAAATACCATCAAGTCAGCACCGAGGGCTCCACAAGCGAAAAAATTAAAATTAAAATGGCAAGGAATCTATGAGAGAAAATTAAAATTAAAAGACTCTGCACACCCATGAAACTAGTCTGTTCACATACCGTTATCCCTGACAATAGAGTGGATGTCGAAAGCCGCGGACACAGATATGCAGTAGCCGTATTGGCACACTGGCGAGGTGGATCTTTAAAGTCACAGCAACTTGAAGGTGGGGCTCCGGAGCCCTGATACCACATGAGAGGATGAGAATCTCCTCAAGAATGCGCCGGGAACTTTTAGTAAAAGAGGAACTTGTTGGGAAACATTGAATAATTACCATTTGCTACAGGAGGAACATCTATTTCATAAAGGAAGTGAACTCCTGAGAGCCCGAGTACTCACAGGCCTTGCAGATCTCAAAAAAAAACCCTGTGAGTTAGGCTTGTTGAAGTGTGATGGGAAGCAATCAGTATAAGTTCTTGTGGCGATCCGGCCGGCCCAATATACTCTGACATGTCGGCCCGAGTCCTCTCCGACAGCCTTCTTTTTATTTTATTTTTTTTAATCAATGCATTTATATCCAGCACAGTGTAACGCCAGAGTCGGCAGTATGTAATTAAGAGTAGGCAACAAGTATCGTAGCGCGTTAAGGGTTCATTTAAGACCCGGTCTGTCAGCCCTGGGGAGGTGGGCAATGAGTTAAAGGTAAAAGGAGCAGAAGTTACAGTATTGCTAGTAAATCCTCCGCATTGAGTGGGGCGTCTTCGAACGTGAAAGCAGATGGGTTATTTCTAAGGAATTGGATAAGACCAAGGAGAGGGTCATGACTAGATAGGTATCTTGCGACCGTGAAGTCCGGCGGGCATTGATAGTGGGTGCACCCAAATAGTATGTGCTTGCATGTTTGTGTCTCGTGGCACCAGTTGCAAGTGGTCGTTTTGAATGGAAAGAACCTGGACCTGTACTCGCCCATAGGGCCATGATTGAGGATTAATCTGACAGCGCGTTGATACGCTAGAGGTGGCTCTAAGTGCCGAGCACAACACCAAAACAACCTCTAATGCAGGGGGTGCTGGAGCTAGTATCTAATACACAAGGAATTGTTAGTGATGACTTTAGAAATCGATGGCGTACTGAGAAGCAACGGGGAGTATGAGATTATAGCGTCCGAACGGTTTCGGGACTGCGCCGAACACCGACCAAACGTTTGGTCGGTCGAGTCGGGGATTCGGTCGGTAACGAGAAGGTAGTGTCGCGACCGACAACTACGTGCTTCAAGAGCCACACGGGACTCTGACAATATACGAGGGAGGATGGGGGTACGAGCGAAGAGACGAGTACGAACACAAATGAGGCCGAACGACGAGGATGACAAGTTTTCGGGAGTCGATGAAGACGATTTCGATGGTTGAGACGAGTGCGAATGAGCTCTGAACTGTGGGGTGCGAAAGCTGGTTTATTCCAGAGTTGTATGTAGGTTTTTATAGTAAACAGAGCCCCTAAGTAAAATATTAAACAAGAAATGAGAGTAGATGTCGAATGGGCGCCAAGCCTTAGCGATCAGAGAAGATAAGAAGGTAGGTGAGATGTCCATATGGGTTCCGAAGGTGACAAGGTGAAAGTTAATCAGTGATGGCGAAATCCCGAACGTTCGGGATCCGTCGCCCGAGCGTAGGTAGACGGAACAGGCATTGGAGAACCAATGAAAATAAAGAAGAGGTATCGTACGACCAGGGTGGCCAAGTAATGGTGCAAGATCGCGTTTGACCGACCATGTGGAAGTCGGGAAGATAAGCGATAAGGACCGACCGACTCACGGAGGACATCGGCCGATACGGACTACTGGCTTTGATCTCGTAAACACTTATCGTAACACTCCTATGTGGTCATGGTGAGTACGTGAAGTGTGGGCGAACTGACCCAAGTGCTGCCGAACGTCCTTCGGTGGCTTGTCGTCGGTCGGGTAGGGGCCGACCGTGTTCGGTAAAGTCGGCGTCTTCAGTACTTGTCGAGTGCTGTTCGGTATCTCCCCAAAGCTTCCCGAATACCTCCCTCGGACCCTAGCGCGGGTGCATGCTCATCAGCGTGCAGCCAGCATATTGTGTTGTCTGACCCAGAGGAGGGACTTGCTCTTGGTGGAAGCCACCTTTCGGAAGGCGCGTTGCCTAGGGAAGTCGCAGCTGCTGTATTTGGTGGATTGCATGAGGGTCTGCCATGCTGCAAGCATGGAGGTGTAGGCTTTCTGTTTGAGGAAGGAAGCGGAGACGAATGGGGGGGGTTATCTCGCAGGGAGGCTTTGGCTAGGGTGTCGACTTGCTCCTGGCGAGGGATGCCAACATGGCCGGGGCACCAGGCAATGGTAAGGTGGTGGTCGGGGGCGGCGGAGAGCCATGCTCTTAGCCTCTGGCATGCTAAGATGGAGCACATCTGGGATGGATGAACTCTTGGGTCGAGGAGGGATTTTAACGCAGCTTCATTATCTGCATACAGGATGATGTTGGAGGTATTGGGAGTGAGGATGGCATGGTGCAGGGCAATGGTGAGGCCCATAACCTCAGTGTCAAAGGCAGTAGTGTGCCAGCAGGCAAGCTTGCGGATGATGGGTGGGTCGGAGTTGGGTGGGAGCACTAGGCACGCGCAGCCCACATGTTTGCCATTGTGGGGTGAGAACGAGCCGTCTGAGAAGCAGGTCGTGGTATTGTTGGACGAGGATTCTGCCGCTATGCGGCACTCGAGGTCGCGGACCCAGGCGGGGAATTCGGGGGATGACTTGGGAGGGTGCAAAAGTCGGAAGGTAATGCGGTCTGCGAATGCGTCAATGACATTGCGCTTCCAAGTGTAGGGGAGCAAAGGATTCGGTGTTTTCGGGGATCAGGTCTCTAATCAGCCAGATTGGGAGGTTGGAGGCTGCTCTAGTGCAATGTAGTGGGAAGGGGATGTGGGGCGAGTGCTCATGCAGATGTTGCGGGTGGAGAGCAGCATTTATTGGATGCTGGTTTGGGAGTCGGAGGGTTTGAAGAGCTGCTCGCTGTGCAAGCTTTTTGATGTGCAAATGGAGGGGAGGGATGCCGGCAAAAACTTCTATGCCTCCGATTGGGGAGGTACAAAAAGCAGAGAGGATCCAGTGCACACCTTCGTGTTGCACTTTGGACAGGGTGGACATGAGTCCTTTGATGCCATGTTTACGCCACCATACACGGCAGCCATACGTGAGTAGGGGTACGACGCACGACTTGTATAGCGTGCGGCGCTGTAGAGGGGATAGGCCCCATATTGAGTTCCCGAGGCGTAACACACACTTGACAGTGCTGAGGGCCCGGGTTGCATAGAAGCGGATGTGTTCCTTGAAGGAGAGCTTGTGATCAAAGAAGAACCCGAGGTATCGCCATATTGTGGCGGGTTCAATGGCACGTCCGGCTAGGGCGATGGCCGGGAGATTAGTGGTGGTGCCTTTCTGTGGGAAGTGCATGAGTTCAGTTTTATCATGTTCAATAGCCAAGCCCAGATGGGCAAGGGAATCAAAAAGAAGGCGGTACTTCTCTGACAAGACCGCGCAGTTGTGTGCGAGTGATACAGACGAAGTGACCAACAGGCCGTCGTCAACGTAGAATAGCAGGGAATCCCAGCCGGTTCGTTGCCCGACTGGGTCGATTAGATGTAGTACCGCAGCCAGATATAGGCCAGATATAATGGGGGAGAGGGCAGAGCCCTGACCGACGCCGACGTTGACCACAAAAGGGTCTGAGGTGGAGCCATTCCATGAAAGCATGGTGAGGCAATTTGGAAGAAACACTTTGAAAAAGCAAATGTACGTTGATAAGAAACCCTGCTTTCGCAAAAGATTGATGAGCATAATGTGATTAATAGATGGGAAAAATTGCACAACGTCTAGTGCCACGCATGAGGTGTGTAAACCTTCACGCCATCCGGTGCGAACATGTTGGGTGAGCATGACGCCTGCATCCTCGGTGCAGTGGAAGCGAGTGCCTCTGTACTGGTTGGGGTAAAAGATGTTGAATTTGGCTCCTTCGTATTGAAATCTGTTTGCTAGAACTTTTTCCATAAGCTTGCCTAAGCACGAGAGAAGTACAATAGGTCTGTACAACTTAAGCTTCGAGTAGTCGGATTTCTTGGGTTTGGGAATGACTATTGTGGTGGAGATTTTGAATTGATTCGGCCAATAACCTAGCCATAGGCAAGCGTTGTATAGAGCAAGGAGGACTGTTCCGGATTCATGAGTTGAGATGAGGAGCTGGACCAGGGGCCACGTAACGTGGTCTGGTCCAGGGGCTGATGAGGATGAGCATGCCGCTGCAGCTTCGCAACACTCCTGAAGAGAGATGGGAGGGCGGTCTCGTTCTGGACGATCTGGGAGTGAGTTCACAATGGATATATCAACAGGATGGTCTGCTGCAGAATAGAACTGCTCCCGGAGTCCTTCGAAGAGCTTTAGCATTGAGGTTAGAGGAGTATCGTTATGGATGAGGTTGTGGTAAAGGGGCAGGGGTCGGGGACACGTCCAGAACATGAGGTCCCACACTCGCTGCTTATCTGCAGTTTCGTGGATGATGGTGTCATAGTGGGTTCTTTGTGCCTTGCGGATGGTGCGCCGGTATATCCGCCAGTCTTCTCTAGACCTTGTCTCCCGAAAGCAAGCGAGGGCTAGGGAGCATTTGTTGTTCCACCAGGTTTTGGAGCGCTGGTTGATAGAGGGGATGGTTGCATGGGTGGCAAAGGCTTCATCTATCCTGGAGAAGATTGTGTCGCAGAGGCGCTGTGTGTCTTCGATGGAGTCTAGAGGAGGGGTTGGATTGAGGCCAGAGATGGCCAGGACGCAGTCCGCAAAGAACATCTGTTCTGCATCAGATTTCCTCTCTATGCGGGGAATCCCAGGGGGCAGTTGTAGGCTTGTGTCGGCGGACAGGAGCAGGGGGTTGTGGTCGGACAGGAGCCAGCCATCGGGGTCTATAAAAAAGATAGTAGTGGGTGCCTCCACAATGCGTCCGGCAACGAATATGAGATCAATAATGGTAGAAGTGCGCACCATCCCTCGAGCATGTGGTACGTGGGTGGGTTGACCATCTGTATTGAGCAATACAAGACCTAAGCTATTTGTGAAGTCCAAAAGTTCAGTGACAGCGTGGTCGTTGTGACTGTACGCCGGGTCCCAGATGTTGTTATGGAGATTGAGATCACCCATCATAATGTCAATGGCAGGCAAGACGTGAACGCGTGCATTGAGATAATGCAGGGCGGTGCAATCAGCGTCATTATAGACGTTCAAGATATATAGTGGCCGCTGTCCATCAGGAATAGCAATGAGGAGAAGGTCAGGGTGATTGACAAGGTGCGTGCATAGTTTAGGCTGCAGAGGCGAGAGGCACTTATTAATGTATGTGGCAACACATGAGGGGCCCCCTTGTTCAACAAGGGTCCAGTGTGGGTGTATTTGAGTGCCCAGGTACTCCTCACCAGTACTGGACACAGATGACAGTACATTATGCAGGAAACCCCAGTAAGGTTCCTGTACGAGAACAATATCGTACTCCTTTGCTTTGGTTTCAAGCAGAGTCTGAGTTATGACCGGGGAGCAATTTACATTCTGGCTTAACACACGTAGCAACATGCTTTACTACACTAGTGAGGGCGAGACGGGCCGGCGATGGCCTGGCGCGGAGGGGCATACAAGCCACGTGCATTTACATGCTGCGGGCTTTGGGGTTCAGCAGGTGAGGTGCTGGGGACGGGGAGAAAATGCACACGGCGGCTCCTAGAAGGGCCTTGGGGTCTCGCTGTGTCGTAGCGCGAGCTCGGTACATCATGCCTATCGCGAGATTGGCATTGATCCAGGGGGTTTGGCTGGTGTTGCTCGATCCAAGCGGTGTTGTGCCGGTTCTGGTAAAATGGGCAGGAGCGATTGGTGGCATTATGGGGTGCACCGCAGTTGACACAAGAGGGGGAATGGGGGCACAGGAGGCTGTCGGGGGTGGGGTTGTCGCCATGGCAGCATTCAGCTCGCTGGCGGTGGTCTTGCACTGAGTAGAGGCCTGTGCAGTGGGCGCATCGATGGGTGGGGGAGCGGCAAAGCAGGGTGGGGTGGCCCCATTGGAGACAGGCAGTGCATTGGGGTGTGGAGTACTGCTTGTGGTATTTGACCGGGTGTACCGCTTCGCCCTGGAAGAGGGCGGGATCGCATAGGACTTGGTGCAGGGTCGATAGGAGGCTGTTGTCATAGAAGTCGACATACAGTGTGCCTACGTGGGAGTCCTTCTCTTGGACCAGACAGGGGGGTCGTGGAATGTGCACAGATTGCCATGCCGGGGAGGCCTTGAGTTCTGCGGTGTATTGTTCAACTGTGATAGGGGAACCATCAGGGTGGGTGAGGGGGAGGCGGTGAAACTTCACCGTAGAGATAATTTGCCGTTTCCCAACAGAATAGGACGATGGTGGGATGTGTGGGAAAAGGGTTCCAAGCACTGACCGGACTGCGGTGATCTCCAGTTCTTCTGGGGCCTGGGCAAATCTGATAGTGACGTTATTGCAGGACAACCAATTGGCTGAAGCGGCGTGGGACGCGCTTCGTTTGGCGGGTAGTCTGGCGTTGACCGCCTGTACGACGACTGCAGGAAGTGGGGCAGGGTCAGGCTTGGGCCCTGAGAAGACAACATGGACGGCGCGACGGGCGCCTCTTGGAAGGGAGGCGTAGTGGGGTCTGGGGGGTCGACTGGCAGCAATGTGGCATTGGAGCGCCAAAAGTTCGCCTGCAGAGAGGTCTGGGTTCACCTCTCTTAGCCTGATGATTTCATCGATGAATGCATCGTTGGTGGAGGCAGACTGTCTTGACGGAGACCGCAAGACGGTCCAGTTAGTGTAACCGTTGGAAGGGGCTTGGGATGAGTGCGAGACGGCCCTCGCATAGGACATGCGGCCAGGAGTGTTAGAGCGGGCGTCAAAGCCCAAGGGTGGTTGTGTGGCCGGAGGCGGTGGCTGCTGTGGGTTTGTGGTCCGGGGCGGCTGTGCGGGCGGGGGAGTCTGGAGTTCGGGGACTGTGACGGACCTGCCAGCAATACCGGCATTGAGGTACCGGACGACTCGTGTTGCTGCGCTGGCAAGGGGGTTCGAGTTCAGGGTAGCGGCATCCAAGGGGTTGCATCCGAAGACAGCGTCCCATTTGACGGATTCAAGCCAGTCTGCGATAGAGTGAAGCGAGGAAGTGACGATGTTATTCTGCTGGTCAAAAGGATCAGTGGAGGATATGTAGATTGGGGAGGAAAGGACCCCGATTTGGGAGTCTTCGTCCATATTGATGGGCGACGGCGGGGCCATGGGGGATGCTGGGCGCGAGTCGGTTGGGCTTAAGATTTCCATGTCGAGGTCGGTGGGCTGAGAGGGGGTTGGGTCGAGGCCTGTGAGGTTGGTGGATGGCTGAGGGTCGGGGGGTGTTGCCCTTCGGGTGGCGGGAGACTCCCTGGTTAACGGGGAGGTGGAGACCCGCACCTGGTGGACACTATGTTCACCAAGGTCTTTAGGCATGGCATGAGCGCAGTCGATGAGGAGAAGTGAGGAAGTGGGAATTCGAGGACGATGGAGGAGGCAAAGGCGAGGCGGGGTCCGAATTAGGAAGGTAGTGGTTACTGTGCAAGAAGCGTGTACGTCTCCGACAGCCTTCACCACCGCGATTGACCTCTTCAGCCTATTCATATATACGAATCAGCCCATTTTTGGCGTCGGACAATCGACTGGGATATGGAAATAGGCAGGCTTGTCTGAGATGTCGAGATTGATAGTGATCAGGGTATGCAAGGCGCGCGAGTGTGCAAAATTCAGTTGTCTCGACGGAAGGCTCTGTGCGGTTTGACACCAGTACAGCGTAGGGTCCTCCATCGGAGGTTGAGGTTGTCAAGTTGAAGCAGCTGTGGACACACGAGGACGAAGTCGCGTGGGTGGGTGCAAAGGTCGTGTTGAGTAGGGAGGAACAACGCACTCTCGAATATGCATTTGCGCGCCGACAAGGCATTCAGTACGATCAGCTTCGTTTCGCTTCAGAACACGGCATACTAGTTCCAGAAACCAGTTGATGCGCTGAGCGCTAATGATGTTGAAGAGAAGCAGTTTTGTGCACATGCTCTGACGCAGAAATCAATCTCATGGGTGGCCCGTTCCAACTCCCTCCATTCTAGCGTCTTTTAATCGACCACTGCGGTATTCCACCACTCTCACCCACCATGTTTCCTACCGCTGTAATCGTGCTATCAGCCATCATTGCCCATGTCGTCTTCAATCGCCTTGAGCCTCGTGGTGCGGCTGTCATTGGAATCTTGATACTGGGGATCCCCGCCACACTGTCCATCGCTCTGCGCGCATCCTTCACCTCCCTGCTCTCTAGTGCCGCATTCACACTTTCGAACTATCTCCTATCTTTGATCAGCTCTCTGTGTATTTACCGCCTGTCGCCTTTTCACCCACTGGCTCGATTCCCTGGGCCCGTACTCTTCAAACTCTCCCGCATTCCTGCCTGGATTCTCGCTCGAAGCGGTGTCCAGCATCACTACTATCTTGCTCTTCACCAACGCTTTGGACCTTACGTACGAACAGGTACGGTTGACGTGTCTGTAAAGAATATTGTTGGATGACAATCCGGGCGATAGGCCCGAATCACTTGCATGTTTCAGATGCGTCTGCCATACCCGTCGTACTCGGTTCTCGTGCTTTTACGAAAGGCGGTCGTGAGTACTGTACCTCAAAGCTTCATTCATTCTTCGTGAGTGATGACCGTCAACGGCTCTCGCATCCAGGGTACAGTGCTATCAAGAGGCCAGGATCCCAAGGGAGCCTCCTCTCAATGAGCGACCCCCACGAACACTCTCAAAGGCGTCGCATATGGGATCGAGCCCTCAATGCGACTGCGCTCAAAGACTATCAAGACTCACTGGCCAATCGTGTGGCGCAGCTCGTGACTGGCCTCGAACAGCGAGTTCAAGACGGGCCACTGGACTTATCTGAGTGGATCAGCATGTTCTCGTATGCGCCGTTGTTCGTTCAAACCCATTTTGTACATGTACTCAACAAAGACTGTGCACAGATTTGACTTCATGGGTGACCTAGCGTACGTGAATATTCATGGTGCTTCATTTCCCTACTAACAGGGGACTCTGTAGTTATGGCAGCGGATTCAACTTGCTAGAACAAGGCGAGGATGTGCAGGATCTCATCCGCATCGTGTCTGCAGGTGTTCGGTAGGACATACTCAGTCGACTCCCGACATGATGATCAATGACTGTATCTCAGCCAACAGGAGCTGGCAGGCGCAATACCGTGGATCAAACCATTCTACGACATGCTTCCTACCTCATCCAATGACTTGCGTTTTGTACAGTTTGCCAAGGAAATGGTCTTGAAGCGGAAGGCTCAGGAGACGCCCGTTCGAGACATATTTCTTACTTGGTCAGTGTCATCGCTTCTGTGATACTATTGAATTATCTACTGGAGGCTAGATGGACGAGGACGGTTCAGGCACGCCGCCCCTTGTTTTCCCCACACTGGTGCAAGAGTCTAGTCTCGCCTTGGTGGCTGGTGATTATTTTTAACATAAAATATTTCCAGAACAGTCTTGACACTTGAATTGACTTCATAGGCTCAGACACCTCCGGTACCTGCCTCGCGAATATCTTCTATTACCTCCTCTCGAATGTGGCCGCATACCGGACATTGCAAAGCGAAATCGACAAAGCTGAGATGGACTCTACGAACGCTACGTTAGCTGGCCTTCCCTACCTCAACGCCGTGATGTAAACCCGCACTTATACCTATCATCATTGTCTAATTACTGCCCCGCTTAGCAACGAAACTCTGCGACTGCAGTCTGTGGTTCCGAATGGCGTCCAGCGCGTCCTCTCTTCTAAGAGCGAGGGGGTCATAATTTCCGGCAAGTGAGTGTGGTTTCGGCTCGTCTCTCGTGCTCTCACTAACGAGTGTTCATTCGATAGCTACATCCCACCCTCGACCACGGTTCAGGTTTCGACATATATTGGTACGATATTGCCCCTCCATGACACACAGTCATGATTAACGTTCAGTGTTTCCAGTTCACCGTGATCCAGGCAACTTCTCCCGAATCCGGACGCTTTCATGCCCGAACGCTGGCTGGCGAATCCCATAACCAAGGTGAAAGGAAGTACACCCTCCGATCACGATTTCGCTCCCAATCGCGACGCGTACTTTCCCTGGAGCTATGGTATGTCGTGAGTTCATCAAGGTGTTATGTTGATTTACTTAACCATCTGTCCACGAAGGCGGTACGAGCTGTGCTGGGAAGAACCTCGCTTTGATGGAGATCAGGGCAGCGACCGCGGGCTTAATGAGTCGCTTTGGGATGCAATTCTCATCAAGGTGACTCCCAGAGGAATGGGAGCGCAACCTGAAGGATTTCTATGTGTTGATGAAGGGGCAGATGATGGTAGACCTGCGAGTACGCTCAGGCAAACAATGATATATCGGTCGTTTGAACGGCTCAAGTGCTCAATGCTCTGCTCGCGATTCTGCCAAACTGACTGACCTCTTGGTGTCATGACGCTAAGCTGTTGTGCGAAATTGGAGTCGTCAATCGTTTCGTTCGTCAGGTTGGTGTCTTGGAAGATCAAAGCACTGTTGACCACTCAGTGTAGGGTCTTTTCTACTCGATCGATGCAGATGAAAAACCAATGTGATGCGCGTACCCTACAATAGCTAACGAAGCTTAGTTTGGGCCAAGAGCTCGTATTGGTGTCGAAGAAAAACCATTGCGCTGCATTAACAACACTGCGACTTCCGACCCTGTCTGTCGACTACGGTAAAAGATCCCAATGTTGGCCAAAGAACTTTCCAGTACGTGTGGTAACATCGTTCGTGCATCGACATTACAACTCCAGCTTTCATTCTAGCTGTTGATGCTGCATGGAACCAAAGACGAGGCAAGCTTGTCCGTCGTTAGTACGACATTTCGATGAGCAACACCCGGCGACAAAATCCTTGTTCAAAATTCTACAATCTTCTGATAATACGCTCACCCTTTATCCCGTATGTCTGCCGCCTTGTGAACACAATCTCAGGATTGACGGTTCTTTTAAACGTATTTGTCATGCGCTCGCCGCTCTGCACATCAGGGCACTTGGCACGACTTCATGAGCGATCCAGAAGGGGTGAAAGGAAAGTACATCAAGGACTGCGTGTCCCGGACTGAAGCCCATTTGTCGCAGGTAGCGACTTAGCGATAGTCACCACTATACTGCAAAACGCACGCTTTCTGGCTTCTAATCTGTGAAAGAGGCCGTGCAATCGAGCATCTTGTTGTTTTCTGGTGCTCTCTTAGCTTGAATCTGAATGAATATGTGCAGATATGTTCAATGGTGCCTAGAATGCGTGCGCGTGATGATCTCGAATATGTATCTCCAGAACACGCACCTCCTTTGTCGTCTCGTGCACTGGGGCTGATGCGCGCGATGCTGTCAAATTGGGACCCAAGGTTGCTGAGAGAAGAAGGGACAAAGAAGGGCAAAATGGCATGGGCAGCGAGCTCATAACAAAACACGTTGTCACTGGACTGTGTACCAGATGAGACTGCGGTCGTATGGTGCAAGTTGTTTGAATGTCACGCACTTCACAATCACCGAAAGCCGTACACAAGAGATATCGCAGCCAGAATGAGCATCGAGAGAGATGAAGATCGATGAGAGTAACAAGGCCCTGTGCTGTACCGCTGTCTCTAGGTGGAGGTTCGCAGTTACCGATGTAGTAGTGGCATGGCAGCTCTCTCGCGCAGGAGAAATGCCGCTGTATGTCGTCCAGCAGTATCCAGAAATGAGCGAGTGGACGTACATGACACACATCAGCGCTTCGCTGAAAGTGCGTCTCACCGCTTCCTTGTTGAACGTCCTTATCACTATGGTGGCAATGCAAGGCCTCTTTAACCGATCGACGTAGGTCTTTTGAGCGACCGCGGTATGGCGTACGGAGTGTCGAGAGAGTAATGTAGGTGTGGTGCAGAAAAAAGATGCAGAATGCAGCCAGACGACAACTGGCGAATGCCCGGGCCGGCCGATGCAGGCCGATGAGCTGTTTCTTCTCATCACATGATCCCAAGATTCAACTTTGGATTCCCCCACTGGATTCGACAGTGCACACAGAGATTAGTAAACAGAGAAGAACGATGCACGGAGGATATTGGAAGCGGGAATGCATGTAAGTACGCCTCCAGACATCTATAACTATACCCCTCAGCGTCGTGGACGCTCGCACTGACAGAGAGCTCCGTCACTTTTCATCGGGTCGGTCTACTACCAAGCCCTTGACGCTCCTCTCTTTTGGTAACTCGATCAAGTGACGCAACGTACGAATCGATGCTGACGAGAATTACTTGTATCAGGCCTCCGAGGTTTTCTGTGCCCGCCCTTGCCAATAAGATCTATTACTTGGCATTGTTGGTACAAGCCAAGCGCGTTCATGGCTGACCCAAGCATCTGGAAGTGGCGAAATTGATGTCAAGTTGTTTGGCCTTCTGACGCCTCAAAGAATGAATCAAAATCGTGCCCTCCGGGAAGGGTCCATCTTTTGTAGACTGTCTGTATTCCTTGTACATGAGCGTTTGAGTACTGATTCATTTCACACTGCATAGACGCCAACGTCCATAACATACTGGCAGGAGACCAACCGTTTTTATCGAACACAGGGCTCTCGCTGAAGCATACATCGGTTCGAATGTCTTTACTCGATCTTTAGTCACCTGCCAACCTGCTTCCTCTCGTGTGCGTGCATAGAATCATGTCGCACGTCATATAAGTAGCGTCTCCTCTGTCGACTGCGCTTCACCTGTCATTGGCATCTTCACTGTGACTAAAACATCTCCCCAATCGATCCGGACGGTTTCGTGTGCTGTTGGCAAATATAACACAGATGATATCCTCAACTTCACCCCTTTGTCGTGGTATGCATTCTATTTTCTGTGCATGCTTCACACTGGCAGATACCTGGATACTCTGATACCTTCAACGACTGTGGGCTTGGCACTGTTCTATAGCTTTCGAGCACTTATTCTAGATTAATTTGCTCATTACCGTCTATTTTCTGTCTTGCAGCAGTGTCGCGCCGCTAATCCTGGTGTAGGCTTTTGTTCAAGTCATTGTTCATTAGTATTTGCTTATCGGATGACAATTCGTGAGTAGACCGTTTCCCTTTTTTGTGACGCTCCTTGTAGTGACCAGAGGGAACTGGATTTTAGTTTCTATCATCGTGAGTATATATTTCTGCACACTGTGAATACTTGCTAACGGCGATTTCGTTTTAGAGTTTCTTCGTTTTTGGCAGTTTGAGTGAGTTCAGTTTTGTTCCCCGGGATGAATCACAAGTCTAATATTTTAGTATGCAAAAGGTATGACCACAGGTGTGTTCATGTCTCTCTTACATTTCTTGCCGGTTTGAACCCCTGTCGAGCAGCTACATATGCTTCAATGTCAGCATTTAAAGTATGCTCTGGTCATCTTGTCGAACATTGATAACTTCTACAGCATCGCCGACAGGACATTTTCGAACATAGAAAACAATAAGACTCACGTGAATGTATGACTCCTCAACTTCGACTTTGTACGCATTGACTCCTCAATTTACAGGACTTCTCCACCCCAGCGTTAACGTGTGCAACTGTCACAGATCCACGCGCCACAACCTCTTCGATGTTTTACCTCAACGAGATCAACTGTGGAGGTTCTAGGTTAGTGAAAAAATTGTTACTTCCGGTGCTTTTGACCACAATTTGCGCTGAGTGCACCTTAGACGGAGAGCCATGATCAAATGTCTGATCTTCTACGCAATCCATATCGGAATAATTGTGAGGTACGGAATCCCTGAATGTACTAAATGCCCGCCAACTCGCGCCTGCTTAAAGCACGGCAGATGTTGTAGTCATCACCCTGGTGCGCATTTCCGTTTCATCGTATTTTATGTAATGAATATACTGATGGATCTGTTATAATTTACACTCCAGTCCTCGATCAGCCGCAAAACCTGAACTCATAAGGGTCTTTACTACTACGCTATCTACGAAATTATGGGGGGCTGTACGTTTTTATTTTTCGGTTCTGAAACCCTCACTCATTGCTATTCAAGTCTACGCAAGCTTGCTGCTTGATACGTGCGTAAGAGCACTGATTCCGATCGGAGACAGATCCTGATGCGCGATCCAGCAGTCTGAATGCAAGGAAAAGCATACGAGAGTTTGGTCCAGGCGCCGAAATCCAGATCTCGTCGCCTTCAATGCAGATTCGGCACCACGGACGATACCCGAGGTAGGGTCGTCATTTTCTCACGTCAACAGGCGGAAGTGTTGAGATGCGTCGTCGTCGTTACAGCATGATGCCATTGTCATCTCCCAAATAGTCTCCAATGATATGATCACTGTGAAAGATAGGGTACAAGAAAATACTGTTTTGATTTTATAGGAGAATAGCTGCATAGTTTCAAGCCCGAATGATCCGCCGTCAATGTCGTTTGGAACTTCGTGCCACGCAACGCGTCCAGTTCTCACCTTGACTAGTTCCCAAGGTTATGGTCAATATTTCAAGGCTAATGAAGAATGAATATGCTGCCTCTTCTCTTTCATAAGGGTTTTCTCGTTATTTACCCTGTGTTTAACATGTCTCCTTGATGCTTAATTCATTCGCAAGGCTTCGAGGCAAAGACATAGATGCTCGGCTGCAAAGGTGCTTGATTCGACATACATTTCTAAAACTCGATTCTTGTCTCGCCATTGCACACGCTTCTTGCTAATTTACACGAGAACACGATATTCAAAAACCAAACGCTTGCTTCAATTCCAACCCGCTTCAGCTTCGATCAAATCAGTAAATGTGTCAACGACCATCTCTTCCCAACCGATATACTTCGTCATCTTCAGGTCCGCTTCAATCTGGCTGGTATCGGTGATCGAGAAGGGGCCAGGGGCAGCAGGCGCGTTATCCAGCGAAGGAAGCCTATCGACCATGCCAGGCCATTTCTTGGCCAGAACTCGGACGGCATCCTGCCAGAGGAATTGTCCCGCGCACATCAAGTATCTCTTTGACTGGATATCCTGAGGGGCAGGGGGGACGTTCAAGACTTTGACGTGCGCGTCAGCAACGTCGCGGACGTCGCAGAAGTAGGGGGCAATCTGGTACGGGAGGGGATGACCTTTCTCTCCTGCGATGAGCTGGTAGAGGAGGCCGTTGGCGCCGATTTCCGATCTTCCAGGGATAGGGAACCCCTTGGCGAATGGGCCGTAGACGAACGGAGGGTTGACTGGCGAGTCGACGGTCAGACGCGATTCAACGAATGTAAGGTGGACGCTCAACTAGACGCAACGTCAAGCTCCGGGTGCTCCGCAGCAAATTTCCAACTGGCCTTCTCGGACAAGAGCTTCGTCGCACAGTATACCCAGAACGGGTCGTGCGTGCTATTGATGACCTCTTCACTGGTGACATGGCCCCAATCTTAGACAGAAACCGTCAGGGGACTGGGATGCCAAAGGCGTGCTGGAGCCACACCTTTGTAGGTGATCACTTTTCCTGTCCAATAATCCGTGGGATCACCAGCTAAGAATAGGGATCAGATGATCCGGAGCCGCAGCGAACAGGAGAGAGACTTGCGCTCCAAGGTGCTAGCCCACGTGGCCGTCATGACGAACTTTTTGACCTTGTATTTGACAGCCTGTCGTAAGACGTTCAGCGAGCCCTCAAGAGCGCTCTGAGAGGGGCATCAGTACATCATGCAATCAGAAGTTATAGAAAAGGCCGCGTACTGCTAGAGACGAATTTGCGTCGGCTTGACCAGCAAGAGGCGACGCGGTATGAATGATTGCGTAGGCGTCTGAATTACAGCACTGCGTGAGCTGCTGCTTTCTGGATGACGCACGGGGAATGACCGACCTTTGAATGCTACCGCAAAGTCGTCGGTTGCGATGTCGGTGATCTCGACTACCGTGGCATGGGCGTTGTCCTTTGCGATCGTGTTTCGAAGCTTCTCGGCCTTGAGGCCACGGGCAAGACTGTCAAGGCATCGTGGGTCAGTCAAGTGCGGGATCGTGAGATGAAGGCCCAGTCGTGTTCATACAGGCGGACGTTGTATCCTGACGCAAGAAGCTTCAATACGATGTGAGAACCGATATTTCCAGATGCTCCAGTGACCTGCGGTGTTATTTCAGCATGCGCCTAGAATACCACGTCGTTCGGGAGATTGAAACACACCACGACGATCCGTTGATTCGACATGAGCGACTTAAAGAAGCTGGATTGCAGGTCAGTCTAATGGCGAGGCGCATTCATCTCTTCGAGACTCACGAGTTGGATGCTTGAATGATGGGTCACCCAGGCGCGAGCTGAGGTCCTGCGAGGGCCGTCTCGTCCATTTCTAGTACGGACACATCCCCATACAAGGCTCCGTGATGTCACCATCTATAGTCACGCAATGCCTGGAACGGCTAATCGCAAGGAATCTCATCTATTTACCGGGTTTCTCGTCATCGGACTTCCAATCCTGATGACGCGGTGATCTCGGATCTCAGACTCTCAGCGCTCAGCGCCGCTTCCAATTTATGTGATCTGGTCTATGATGCCTTGTTTACCGTCCCAGCCCCTCTGCCCATGATCAGCGCCTCAGTCCTGGATCGCCACGTAGCAAGCGCCAGGAAGGCATCACAATCGGGATTGAGTAAGCAACGCTACATTTGGTCCCGTTTGCTGCGAAAAATGGAAGTATTCAGCATCTCCGGCGATGGCCTACGCATTGATGGCTTCTCCCGCAGCTATTCTCGAGCAATGCTATTCTTGGCCTTGCTCGAGTGAGGTTCGGACCCGATTGAAGAATGACATTGGCTCCCACATACCATCAATAAGCGCTCTCTCTTCCACGGTCGGGCTCAATGCGCTCGATGACGAGCTTTCCATCGTGATACAGGGATTCTAAAATGACATTCGAATCGCCTTCTGAAGGTGTTGACTGATACGTCGCACGCAGCCCCCAGGGTGTCGTACTTCTTGATCGTTATTCGAAGCTGCACATATCGATCGGAGTACTACCGGACTTTACATATTCCGCTCTTGCGCTCTGTTTCTTCGCGTATTCTGCACCCCACCATTCGCCGCAGTCTCAGTCAAGCCTAGATCTTCGTTACATCGCTCCTATCTTCAAGGCTCAAGCTATCAACATGTCATCTTGTGTCTCCATGCCGCCTTCCGATCATGCCCTCGTCGATATCCAAAGTACATACGGGGCTCTCTTCCTCGGCGTTGTCGTTTCTGTGTCGTAAGCGCTTCCTTTTGAACTGGATCTCGTACTAGCTGACTCTCTATAAGTTTCCTCGGGATCGTGACTGTGCAGACTTGGATTTACTGGCTGAATTACCCTGACGATCATCTCCGTACGAAGGCGACAGTACGTTTTTCACCTGTTCACCTGGGCCCACGTTGACTACATTTCTACAACTGATAGGTCTTTATAATATGGTACGTTCCTCCCTTTTATCTGTTCCACTGCTTGATTCAAAAAATATCACACAATTCCGCAGGATCCTCGAAATTATCAGATCAACGTTCGGTATTCATGCCGTTTATCATTACCTTGTACTTCAGTGGGAAAACACAGCCGCGCTAGAAGCATCTATATGGTCAGTGCACTCCGGATCATCTCAGTCAAATTCCGCAATTGACATGAAATTATTGAACAGGAGCGTTGATGTTCGTAAGAAGACAATACTGTTGGCCTGATCACTAACCTAACTATACTGCCCGCAGATCAATTTACTCATCACGGTCAGCGATCTAGGCTGTGATTATGACCTGCCGCTGCTAATTCTGCTGTAGGCATTGATCCAAGTAACCGTCCATTGGTATTTTGCATATCGAGTCAAAATCCGTACGTACATAATTTCTGTCTGATTATCTCGATATGTGAAAATGTCTTTAGTGAGCAGAGGCAACTGGATTCTAGTCTCGGTCATTGTGAGTACGTGTTGCGGTTCATTCGAACATATGCCAATCGAGGTTTTAGAGCGTGCTGGCTTTTGGAAATTTCAGTCAGTCTGATTCTTCCCCTTCTGAATGGCCCTAAACCACTGACAACGAGATGAGGTATGACGATAGGTACATCTAGCCTAGTTCTCACCACAATTTTGATTGATATTGAATATCACTATGTCGAGCAGCTACTTATGGTTCGACGTGAGTTTTCCAAAACCAGGATATTTTCATAGACTCGTCTCACATTCTCTTTTCCGCCTGATAACACCAGCATCGCTGCCGAGACGTTCGCCAAGATCCAAGGCAAAACCTTTCCAGGCGTAATGATTAGCATTGCTGATCTCTAGATGCTTCGAGCTAATCATAGCTCTCAGGACTTCTCCACCGCTGCATTGGCATCAGCTATTGTTACAGATATATGCATCGCATTCTCGTTGATCTACTATTTAAATCAGATCAACCACGAACTTTCTGGGTGAGCTTGTTGCTTTTTTTCTGCTGTAGAGTGCTGGATGCTAAACAGAATGCAGACTGAGAGCCCAGGCTAATCATCTCATATTCTATGCGATCAACATCGGGGTCATTACAAGGTGCGGCGCTTTTGCATCTTTTGGAGTGTTCTGACATCAGATATATTTCCGCAGTGCGGCAGATATCGTTGTGCTTGTACTTGTTCGCAATAACACAATTTCCTTACTCCTGCCCGTGCTCATCATCTGTGCTCCAGAGCTCGATCAAGGGTCAAGGCCTGTGGTATTTTGCGATCTATGAGATAGTAGGTGGTTGTACGTGCCTCTTTCGATTCATCGGAATTGTTGGTCACTGTGTTCAACAGTCTATGCAAATTCTCTCCTCGCAAGGTAGGTGTTTAGCTCTGGTTACCAGATCCGAGAGAACTGCATAACGAGACTCACGCGTAACGATCTAGTTTGAATGCCAGGAAGAGCATCCGGGATTATGATCCCCGCAACGATATTCATATGTCGACACTCCGAGTGGCTCCACCTCCACAGACAGAGCTTGAGGTAATGTCTTCGCTGTCTTGAACCCATGTATACTGCTAATGAGACTTGGCAATCCTTCCAGCCCAATGCAATTAGTTTCTCCCAGATGGTGACAAAGAGTACTGCCAGTAGCGGAAAAAATATGGTACGTGAATCTCCTGTTGTCTTGATGTAAGAAGCTGACCTTGCGATTCAACAGCCCGAAATCTTCTCTGTGGCCTGAATCCTTTGATAAGTAGTATATCATGATATGTGTAGATCTACCTCCGTCTCGTATTTTTCTATTGGGCTCAATTCCTTCTATGTCAATATTTATTCCCGACTTCGCAAAATGTGGAGGAATGTGGGAAAGATATGCATAAAACTTAATAACATCAACGTTAGCATTCATTAATTCATCAGCTGTCGAAACGTTGAAGGGCACATGAATGTCTTCCGTTCCACTATCACAACGCTTACTGGCTGTTGTCCTCGCTGCATCAGCCGGCTACCTAAGAACATGAACGGGGGATATTGAAGCGGAGTTTCAAATGAGTCGTCCAGCGCGCCCATCTGAATTGGGGATATAAGCCAGTAAGTAACTCGGATGCAGTCACATCTGCAGTGATGCATTGACCCTCGGCAATGATTCGGAACTGGATTGTAGTCCCTGAGCCTGGGTGCCTCCTGGGTCTGAGCGCTTGAGCCGCTGATTTGGGGTCTTGCGACTTCATGGCACACCGCTCCTTCGGGTCTATGATGACTCTGCGGAGCGCTCGAGATGCTTCGATTCTGGGTGATCGTGTGTACCTATGTTTACTCCCCAGCTTAGCAGCCGCACCCTGGGAGTTCTCTCGCTAGGAACGGTCTGCAGGCCTGAAGGCTGTATCCCAACAACCATTTCGTGCACGACGATTGTCTAGACTCATCTCTCCTATGTTTTCCTCAATGATTGTGTGGGTCGTACTCTTTGTCTCAGCATGGTTCTTTTTGAGGGGCCGCTTCTCAAACTCCAAGCTGCCTCCGGGGCCGCCCAGGGGACTGTCTGGAGACAATCGAGGACAGATACCTCTCGTTCAGCCTTACAAGACTTGGTCTCATCTGGCGAAGACATATGGTGCGTTGACGTCTGTCAGCTTAACACTAGCTTCATGAAACTTGGGGAACTAGGAAACATATTTTCTTTCGTTATTGGCAGCAAGGTGGTCATCGGTAACGACAATTTACTGTGAAACTGTGGACACATCCTGACGTCATTTCGAAGTGCTCAATGATGCCCGGACCGCATGGGAGTTACTGGAAAAGCGAGGGGAGATATACTCTAGTCGACCGAGATCCATCGTAGGGTCCGTTCAACGCGGTTTATATGGATGAGTGACTGCCGCTGACAGAAACCACCTGCTATTTTAGCCAAGAGATCCTTTCTCGCAACATGTGGGGATTGGGCATGGCGTACAGCGATAAGTGGCGGAAATGGCGAAAGGTATCTGTTTTGAAATCGTCCTGCACTGTCGCTTACTTACCATCGACTTCTCAGCTTCAGCATTCCTGCCTCAACGCAAAGTATGCTGTCAATTACCGCGCCTTCCAGACGCTTGAATCTTCGGTGCTGCTACGCGACCTTTTTGACGACGCCGGAAATTACGCGCATCATTTCACGAGGCAGGCTCTGATCTCCACTCGGAAATTCTACTAGTAATAATATGCTTGCTTTAGATTTGCGACCTCAGTAGCTTTCTCGATAAGCTACGGTAGTCGAATCAAGAGCCTGGATGATCAGATAGTCAAGGACAACAATGAAGCTGGGAGAGGTATGCGTAGTTTCCGCCCTCTTTCTTATTTTCTTCTCAGCATCTTTTCTCAGCATTTGGAACTGCTCAGTAAGTCGCCTTCTTCAATATCGGGTCAAGGGCACCTAGTGACAGGGATGTTGGCACCAGAATTCCGGGAAGATATATTGTCGAGTCCGTGCGTGCTATTCATCGTTGTCAACAATTACATAGCACTTACTTGCATTAATTGCTAGTGGCCTATTCTTTTGTGGCTTCCCGTACGTTTATCTGAAATTAATGTTCGGGGTGTTTCCTTCACAAATTATGGATCTTTGCTAGAAATTCTTGCAATGGTTCAGATGGGAGGTCGAGAAGAGACGACTTATAGACATACAACTTTACCTGAGCTGCTTTCGAGACGTCAAGCGCAAGATGGAAGAGGGCAACGCGAAGCCGTCTATGTCAACGAAGATGTGGGAAGAGGGGCCTTCTGAAGACATCGGCGAAATCGAGATGGCGTATCATGTTGCAAGTCCGTTTGCCGCCGGAATATCTACGGTACACCCTTTCATAATCATCACAGACCTGCGTATTGATGACGCTCTATTTCATTCGTAAGATCTCTTCTACACTGGACGTTTTCCTACGTGAGCCACGACGTTTTGTCCCTTCGATTTTACATGTCTGATATCGTTTTCTCTATCGAGTCGCCATGATCCATTTTCCTGATTGTGCACGGCGTGCTCAGGCTGAGCTGGACTCGGTCGTCGGACGATCTCGCATGCCAACTTTCGACGACGAATCTTCTCTTCCCTACCTGCAAGCTCTGATCAAGGAGATAATGAGGTACGCTCTTGCGCTCATTGTACGCAAATATACCTAATTGGTTTTAATTATAAGGTGGAGGGTTGTCGCACCCATGGCTATGCCTCACGCAACAACAGAAGACGACGTCTACGAAGGATACCATATTCCCAAGGGGGCTACTGTGTTTGCGAATCTATAGTATGTCGTCCGATCATACCTGCTTTTCTGTGATTTGACTGCCGCGCAGTATGATTTCTAAAGACCCTAAACTGTTTCCTGAGCCTGAAGCGTTCAAACCCGAGAGGTTTTTAGACACGACGGAACCGAGGCTTGTGAACTTCGACCTCCCTTTCGGTTTCGGCCGACGCATTTGCCCCGCACAATTTGTCGCAGAGAAATCTCTGTTCATCACCATCTCAAGGTCGGTTTGAATTCCGTCGACTGAACTCCGCACCTCTGATAATTATTATGCTAATTTAGAATGCTTTGGTCGTTTGACATTGCTCCTGCGTTGGATGAAGCAGGAAATCCGCTGCTCCCTGATCCCGATGCGTTCAAGAGCAACTTGACCGCACGCCCTGCCCCGTTCAACTTTCGGCTCACCACTCGCAACTCCGAAGCAGGCAAGGCGGTGTTAGCAGAGGCGATTCAGAGCGAAGATGCGCTGAAGGAATGGGAGTAGAGCATGGGTTTACCAGGTTTACCTTTGATATCAGAACTTTCGACAGCATCCAGGATGAGCATGCTGTATAGAGTATATTTCCGTGTCGTCCTTGTTGTATGTATCATTTTTAACTCAATATGTCGCATCGGATTCTGTAATTGATGAATGGTAGAGAGAAAGACCAGACAGGAAAATCCAAAAACCCTGGTAGCGATGACAGAGTGGACGTATCTAAAAATGAGGAGCACATCCAGTGCTCAGTCGAATTTTCTTCGGAATGGGGCATTGAACCCGCACAGAAAGTTGTACAGGAATGATGATGGAGCCCAATGTGAGAAATCAGAATCCACCTTGCATACGGGCTCCAGGAAAGGGTTCAAGGAGCTGTCAATATGAAATCGGTTATGTGATGAGCCGGACTACAACGGTGCAAGAAAGTGTCCTGCATCTTGATTGTTGAACACCTTCTAGCCAGGTCCAATCGCAGAAGAACTCTTCTATGAATGTGTTACTGAGGCTATCTAGCGTACTACAAACAACGTTGTTACAAGGAACGAGATCCGCGGCCGTCGGGACCGCCGGGATTGACCGAGCCGGACCTTGGCTGAGTTCGCAACACACCCGCTAAATTTGAGCTCGCAGTGCACTGAACGATACCAGCAGGCCTCTATTCAAAAGATGACGGAGATTATTTTCTGAATGCGCTGACATTACTTCTCCGTGAAAATGAGATCGCTGACAGATCGAAGGTTGAGCATCGCACCATGAAATGTGACGAGTTTTGTAGGCCACGTCGCATCCAGCACCACATCAATCCTCCAATTTTCCTACTGTTGCACAGCTACATCAGTGATATTAGGTTTTCTATGTGTTGAAACCGATCTGATACCACCAGCTTTAGAGATGCTCCGCTCCTGCTGATGGGGCGTCAGGCCCCACGAAGTCGGCGTCGTCTTCCAACAGCCCGACCGCCCACCGTGATTGCGCAGGGGGCCTGAATCAATCAAGGGTAGCAAGCATGTACTTGTGAGTACTGAATCTGGCACCCTCAGGTGAAAAAAAATCGTGATGGCTGATTGATCTGACGACGGAGTGTTCTGTCCAAGAGTCGTTAAAATGCGGTCCATTATGGTGTGTATCAGGCATTCAATCCTCACCAAAAGCATATCCTAAATGCTACTCTTGCTACTCGTCTCACTCAGCGTCATCGTTGGTCCTTCTTTTCAACTGCCGTCCTCTGCACAGTGGAATTCTCTAAACACCACCGTCCAAGGACGCCTTCTCCGAGGAATACCTTTTGCACGCCCTTGTTATGAGCTCGTCAGTGATGTGGAAGGACAAGCGGACGCTCAAGAATGTTCTTCTATCATCCAGGGATATTCAAGTACCGGTACGTTCCGAGCCATCTCTTCCCGAACGGTATGCTAAATAGACACTAGCATTGAGGGCCAACAATTTCGGGGCCTACATGAATGTAAGTATGACGAGCTCTCGGTTCATACTTCTCTTGTGAACATATTTCTAGACGCAATGGGAGACATGCCAAGTGAATTCTAGCCAATGTCTCTTGAACTCCGCTTCACCTAGCGACACCGGCGCTTTTATGCCACCCCGCGTCTGTCATCAAGGGAGTGTACCAGATTATGGAGTATGTACTGGTAGTTTAATTCTTACAAAGGTTGTTCTTATGTGTCGAAGATCGATGTTCGTTCCGCGGAAGACGCGATCACTGGTTTTAATTTTTCTAGGGCTCACGGTGTTCGCCTTGTCATAAAGAATACGGGGGTGAGTCATCCCAAGTTTTCTTCTACTGAATCTCAGCTCAACATGCATTCTGTGAGCATTAGCACGACTTCATGGGTCGTAGCAGCGCGCCTGGCGCTCTTGCACTATGGGTAAATATGGATGTATGTACAGCAGGGCAATTCATGCTAACAACTGTCACGTTGGCAGATGCACAACCTTCAATCTGTGAGTGCACTCGCTCTACAATGCTGGCATGTGTAAAGACTTCTAGAGCTTTCGCTTGCCCCCGGAACCGCGACTTTCGACAAGCACACTGACGGTTTATTCGACAGATTACATCGGAAGGCGAATTTGTTCCTGCAGGCTGCACTGCAGCGAAACAGACACAAAAAGTCCCGGCAGTGACTTACGGTGTAAGGCTTCTTGGTGATTTTCTCAATGTCGTGTATTTATCACTATTGTCAGGCCGGCGTATCATTTCAAGCATTAATTGATTTTGCCGAGGCCAACAACTTCACAATACCGACCGCAGGAGACGCATCGGTGGCAGGTGGAGGCGGATACGTTCAGGGTGGAGGTCATAGGTGAGCTCTCATCCCTTACTTTCGAAACGTCGCTGATAGTGCTGCAGCGTCCTTTCAAACTCATTGGGACTTGCCGTGGACCGAGCTGTGAGCTTCTAATCTATATTTTTCTCAACTGCACAATCTCCTCAGCCCCCCCACCAGCTTCAATTCGAAGTCGTAACACCAACTGGGAAGCACGTAAATGCCTCTGAATGTCACTACTCCGATCTTTTCTTTGCCTTACGAGGAGGCGGAGGGGGCACGTTCGGTGCTGTCCTGAGTGTCACAACCTTGGCGCTCCCGAAGATGTCAATCAATGCGTAAGGGTTTTTTTATATTCTGTTCTTCGAAACTGGGAGATGAAGTCGATTACCATCCAGCGTCCAAGTTGATATCAAATCTAACCGAGACGACCAACGGCGGTTGATTCACTTCATGGCGGCACATGCCCTTCAGTTTGCACAGGCAGGTGAGCCAACGCGTTTATAAGCATATAATATGCTTGATTTTGAGTATTGTGAAGGATGGGGCGGTTTTACATTGGTGAGTACCAATCCTCTTGATAGTTATCGTTGTGGACCTTATCCCGATATGGGTAGCCACTCACTGTGGTCATATTTGCTAACCCTGTATTGAATGCTACGCGGGCGAACGAAACGATAGAACCACTGCGTAAGTTCACCCAGGAGCTTGGAGGAAATTTCACCTTCGTCGTCGAGCCTTCTTATAAATCGTTCTTTGATAATTTTGGAGCGAATGTGGTGAGGATGCTCTGCAGATATGTCTCGTCTACGTGAGCTGATATCGTGATAGCCTGTCGGGACTCAGCTTGCGGTTTCTTCACGTCTCATCCCTGTCGGGAATTTCAAAACACCTCAGGCAATTGAAACCTTGGCCAATGCGATTGATGAAACCTTAGATCAAGTCTCCCTCCCTATTTTATTTGCTTCGACCCCTTTTCTCTACGGAATCAAAGGGAGGACGAGTGTGACCCCTAAATGGAGATCGTCTTTATGGCATGTGAGTCTGGGGATTAAGCAAGGGCTGTACCTTGTCATCCACTGATTGCCGTTTACGTTAAGGTCGCATTCACGGAGGGCTGGTCTTTCAACACCTCTGTGTCAGACGCCGCAACGATGTACAAGAGACTTAGCACTGCCGCAAATACATTGAGGAATATAACAGCCGGATCGGGAGCCTACCTGGTACTGATCATACAGCCCTCTCATATCGGCATTCTTTAACTTATCCACCATTGCATTCCCTCAGAACGAGGCTGATATCTATGAGCCCGACTTCGAAGGTGTGTTTCCCTTGTATTAATGTACTCACTGATTTCCTCACATATCGCTTTCAAGACTCTTTCTGGGGCGACAACTATAATGAACTAGTTGCAATAAAGAACAAATAGTGAACCCGCTTAAGTTTATGATTGTGTTTGGTAAATCTTGACGCCCATGGTCATTAATATAGTGATCCATACAACCTTCTACACTGCTGGCGATGCGGTGAGTATCAATTTTTTAATTACTGCATCTTGACCACGGTCAGCTGATTTGGTCTATGTTGAGTGGGATGGTCTGGACCCACCGATGGACAGTATCAATGCTATCTGCCCCAATAGTGTTGTTTCGCAGGATCATGTTCATCATTCTAGTCTCAGTGTCTCGTTTGTACCATAGAGGGATAACTCTGTATATCCGCACTTTACGTTTACAAACCTGCCTCGCAGAACAATAGAGGATTAAACCAATGTACACACGATCGCCGAAGCATCGAGCGCCCTGCAGAGTCACAATGGACCCGAAAAAGCTGTCTTCAAGACCCCAAATCAGCAGCTCAAGCACTCAGGCCCGGAGGAGGCTCGAGCACTTGTCCATCAACGGCCATTCTGCTCTTGAATGACTGTACACGCAACCTCACAAAAAGAGTCATTGAAGAATCGAGCCCAAAATAAAAGTACAAAACGTAGGAAGAAAAAAAGCATCATAAGATCTGCGCATGTCATGACGTCCGACGTAGCGAAAGACTCAGGCAACAGAGAAGCCTTTGGGCTTATGAATCGTGAGGCCAGCCGCCTACGCTAAAATAACAAGAGCTTCACGTACCATATTAATGGTGGAACTGAGGGTGCTATTTGTCACCATACGGGAGAAACTAAATGCATTGGGCTGGAAGGATTGCCGAGTCTCATTGGCAATACACATGGGGTCAAGACAGCGAAGACACTACCTCAAGCTCTGTCTGTGGAGGTGGAGCCACTCGGAGTGTCGACATATGAATATCGTTGCGGGGATCATAATCCCGGATGTTCTTCCTGGCATTCAAACTAGATAGTTGCACGTGAGCCTTGTTATGCATTTTTCCCGGAGCTTAGAATCGGAACTATACACCCACCTCGCGAGGAGAGAATTTGCATAGACTGTTGAACAAGGTGACCAACAATTCCGATGAATCGAAAGAGGCACGTACAACAAGATAGGAGCAATGTAACGAAGATCTAGGCTTTACTGAGACTGCGGCGAACGGTGGGGTGGAGAATATGCGAAGAAACAGAGCGCAAGAGCGGAATATGTAGAGACAAACCGAGTCCAGTGGTACTCCGATCGATATGTGCAGCTTCGAATAACGATCAAGAAGTACGACACCCTGGAGGCTGCGTGCGATGGATCAGTCAACACCTTCAGAAGGCGATTCGAAGATCATTTCAGAACCCCTGTATCACGATGGAAAGCTCTTCCGTGAAACGCTTCCATTACTGGCTGCTTCATGGCGTTTAATCAACATTCTTGAAATTGAGGGACGACTCTTCAAAAGGAACATCAAGAGCACAATGCAGCCAATCATGATGGTAAAAAAAAAATGATCGATGGAGTGCAGTCGCCGCGAGGAATGAGCCGAGTCAGCGGCAGTCATAGACCAGATCACATAAATTGGAAGCGGCGCTGAGCGCTGAGAGCCTGGCTCAGATTTCTGCAATTTTGCCTATGTAGAAAAGTGCTGAAAGACTATCAGTTTGCAGAACAGAAGGCAGAAGGGTCTGATTCTAAGACTCACTTCACATGCTATACCGGAACAGACAACCTACAGGCTAGCCCAGCGTTAGATGCCAAGACACAAGATACCGCATCCACCAACTGTATCGTGTTGGGGGCATTTCGTCACCGGCACTGGAAATGAAGCACGACCCACAGACAGTGATAAACTCCTCATTGACGAAGCGTTGGACCGTTGTCGTTAGCCAACACCCTGCTTCCCCTCTCCCAGCATCCGGCAATCAGTCAAGTTGCCGACCTCGTCTAATTCAGTGGTCGTGACAATCGATTTCGAATGGGGAGTCGGAACAGTTCTACGTCTACGTCTACGTCTATTTCTCGCTATCGTCTACTACTACGCCGTCCAGCCCCAGCTTCCCTCTAACGCACACAGGCACAAACCCGCCCCACGCCTCGTGCCCGAACTGCTGCGCTACATCGTACATCGTATGGATCGGCTTCCGCGCGTTGATTTCGTTCAACACGTGTATCGCTTCCTCGTCCTCTTCCCCCACGATCTTCTTGACTTCCTCTGACAGCAGTATCGGACCTTCCTTGTCCATCAGCCTTCGATCCACCCTGGCTGCGACCGCCGAGTGCATCTTGGGGTCCGTCGGAGCGAAAAGGTTCGAGCAGAACTCCATCGCCCTTTGAACCTCGTCTTCCGTCAGTTCTTTTCCCACGTCCCCTGCCCCTTGTAGCACTTTTATGTCCAGATCGAGGTCAGATCATCAACGCAGCCGCACAAGCACTATTTGCACACCTGGTCTGAGAAGCGCAAACGCCCGGTCAAAGTTGCCCTCGTTCAAGTCCTGTAGCACAGGCGCGTGCTGTGCCTTGATCTGCTTGTACGCGCCGAGGACGACTATCAAGAACCTGGTCCATGTCCATGCCACCGTCAAAGTCAACCCGACAGGCATCGGCCACAGCGACTCACCGGGTGTACGAGGTTCCCACTTTGAGTTCGTGATATGTCTGAGCCTCGCGTTCACTACAGTGGCCTCTTATGGAGGCTGCGATTGTGCATGCCGAGGATAGCGCGCTCGTGAACGCGAGATGCACCCCGGATGAGAAGAACGGGTCGATGAAAGCTGTAGAGCATTCAGCAAACCCACTCCACTAACCCTGAGTTGCACCGATCGGCACGTACCGCCCGCATCTCCTACTATCCGGAAGTGATCTCCCGCCACCGCGGTCGCCTTGTAGCTGTAGTCTCTGGCGGACTTGACATCGCTGCTCAGCTGCGCAGTTTCCAACAAGCTCGCCAGCCCCGGAGTGAACTGAAGCTGGTCCAAGTAGTGAATCTTCAGAACCGCGTCGACGACGGGCTGACCATCGGAGCCACGCCGCGTCGCAGCTTTCTTCGCGACGCTCGATTCTTCCGTGGTGACAAACCCCACAGAAACCGTCCCGTCGTGAAGCGGGATATACCAACTCCAACCCGTTTCGTCTGCGAGCACACGTCAGATGAATTGGAATCAAGCGGCGCTAGCTATTGGCGCGCGCTCACCCGTCAATGCCTCGAACCACGGTGCGTTCTCCCTCGTCGTCCCAGGAGAGTATACTTTCCCTCCTCTCCAGTAGCCCCAGCAGGCAACGTTCCTCAGGCTCTGATTGAACGTCCGGTTCTTCAGATGCTTAGTCGACATGATTCCGGCACGCCCGGAGGCATCCACGAGCCACTCGAAACTAACGGATCCCTTTGCGCCGGCCTTGGAAACCCATTCGGCAGCGACGGGCCTCTCGGGGTTCTGGTCGCTGAATACGATGTTGACGACCTTGACGCCTTGGAACACCTTGACGCCGTTGTTGGCCGCATTCTTCAACAGAATGTCGTCAAACTCGGCACGGATCTAGGCAATTTCCCCATGAGTGTGCGCAGTTCGTTCAGACGGATCTGTCACTGACCACATTCCATGCCTTATTGTTAGAGTCCAGAGATGTAAAGTCGGTATCTGATAAGTAGAAAGCGCCGACGTGAATATCGGTCAGAGGTGCACGATCGCTAGCTTACATCCTTCACGACTGAACTGATTGAGCTTGACAGCGGCGCCAGGCTGCACAGGGGTCAGTAGGGTGAAAGGGCGCATCGGATAGATGCGAAGAGCGAGTGGGTTACCTTTGGCGTAAAGCCGTGAGATGAGAGAAGGTCATTGGCATCTATGAGAGCCAGAAATTGATGAATGGAAGGCAAGAGGCTTTCCCCGATGTGATATCTGCCTGTTCGTCAGCGAAATTTACCATCGGCTACTTGGAAGTTCCGAACCGCGGAAATATGTCGCTTTCGAGCAACGCGACGTCGAAGCCCTCTGAGCGTGTGGGATCAGCACGATCAAGGTATGCATCACGAGCATCAATTACCTCTAGCAAGCAGCGTCGCAGAATAGGAACCGGAGGGACCACCTCCAATGACGAGAACCTGTGCCTTGAGGGGCTGGAGACGGCGATCCGTTTGAGATGCAGCACAGACCGTGGAAGCGATTCGACGTGCGTACCATAGTAGAAGAGGCGAGTGCCATGATAGGTGGAGGCGATAATTGTATAGCAAGTGTGAGTGAGGTTGGGCTGTATTATGCAGTTTACTGGAACTTATATAGCTCTAATCCATCGTGTACCGATTCCAGCGAGGTGCCAATTTTTTGGAGACTGCGTCACCGATCGCCAGTTGCAGCCATTCGGCCAGTGGCGAGGATGGTGTTGAAGTGTTAATGTACGTGATATCGCTAGCTCTCAGCGTTCGCTTACGAGCCCTCGTTGTCCTGGTCCCTATTCTTATCCCTGTCTTCGTGCATATTAAATGAGCGTGTTGCTACTTTCGGATAGCAGAAGTATGCTATTCTGAGTGGGGATTCGAGAGCGCCCAGTTGGAAGCACAAAGAACGAATAGGGAGGATGAACGTTAATCGAGGTGTCAGACAGACAGTTTAGAATGATGGATGAGAGGACAGGAGCGCTGACGCCCTGCGAAGTTTGAAGACCTGATAGTCGCCCAGAACGAGTATGGGAAAGAGCATAGCGCCCTGCTATTCCTGTGTTCTCGCTCAAGTGGTAGTCGATTCCACTCCCATTTATGGGTTCTTTATACATTGAACGGGTAGTATTCGCATCCGCGGAACTGTTGGAGAGAACCCGAGTCCGAGTAGAATGATGCCGATGGACCCCGCGTCTGGCCTGATATCCTACATCCCGACCCTCGCGCAATTATTAGAAGAGGTTAATCGACCCTGTCTCCGCAGAGTCCCACATTTCTATAAATCGAACTCCAGAGAGACAACTGTGGTTGACATCTCCTGATGAGAGAGTGATGATTGTCCCATGCGCTCACGATAATGAACAAACCCTAGAACCCTGAATTTGCTCAAAGTCCGGTTTCCCACTTTTGTGAGGATGTGCATGTTCACATCTCCCAGGTGGGCGGTGGAGCTGCCAAAGCCGTAGTTGGGAATGAGAGGCTCTAAAGCCTGCAAAACATCTAAGCCGTGTGCGTGAGCAGACGGGATTATTATCCAACATATCCTGGCTGCTACGGTCGCCTTGGTCCTGGTGATCGATTCGTGGCTTGGATTGCAATACATACTTGTCTGTCGGCGAATATTTGGCTGAGAACAGTAGTCCGTCGGGCAAGACAGATGACATACGTATCGAAACAGGACTGCCTTTACTCATCACATCCCAAATATTTCTCAGGGTGGGGATGCAGCCCTGGTCATTCCTGTTGTGAAGCACCTGTAAGATCTATTCGTCGGTTGACCACAACATTGTGGACACGACTACAGGATCAAATGAGCAGAGTATATAGATGTCCTGGCCCTTGACCCGGAGATTCCTTGAGAAAATCAAACGAAACAAAGTCGACACGATTGTCTTTGACAACTCCCACATCCTCCAGCTGGACAGTGCTGGACAGTCTCATGAGTGTGCAAAGAGTCAAAAGAAGGCATGTGGGGAAGCGGCTCACGGCACGAGCACGATCTATGACCACATGAAGGTCTTGGAGAGTGAGGTGGACGTGATGGTGCCGCGCCACGAGTGACTCCATCACCGCTCCCGCACCACTGCCCACGTCACACGGTTGCAGTGGGAGCAAGTGCACCCCGCGGAAACTCTGTGGGAAATATCATGGCCATCCAGTAGCTCGGGTGATTCGAATTCATCACAAGTCACGTTGAACCACGGCCTGGCAATCGGTAACGGCCGCCATTTGTATGATGCCCCGGTGGAAGCGCTTGACACGATTCATGAGCAACCGAAGACAACCAGCACGAGATAGAAAAGCACAAGCATAGCACTCTGGAGGCTTTTGTACTCAGATGAGGGAAACAGGTCAACTGGAGATCAAGGGGACGCAGATGACGTTAAAGCCAGTCGAACAACGTGGCATTGCGCTTTCCATTCCTGACACCGTGTCCGAACGTCTTGTGAGAATCGTATGAGCGGCCATATTCGGGATCTACCGAGGCTTCGTAAAAGCTGGCAACGATGATCTTGTTCATGTCTTCTATCACCAGAGATGCCAATGCAGCGGTAGGGCTGTCATTGGTAAGGACGAGAGCCATGTGGTTGGTTATGAGAACATCTAGAATGACTTCAGGGAGAGCGGTCGGTAGGTCTGAGCGTGAACGAGAACAAGTTCGGTCATATCATACCATCGTGGAAGGAGGGACTTCAGTTAGCCAGATATTACCATGACATGTACACACATCTGCCGGAGACGGCCGGTCACAGCCAGATATCTCTAACAAGCTTTCATACCCAGTAAGAACACCCTCGTTTGAGCTGCGACGAGAACAAGTCCTGGCGAATGACTGTCAGGGAATAAAACTAGTTCATTCCAAGACCACTCACCTTTACGTGGTGAAGGGCCTTATATCAAAGTAGTGGTCGCCAAGGGGGTCCGCATGGTGGCGCGTTATCTTGTATGCTAGTGTTGAGATTTACTGCAGCGACAAACGTGCACGAAGGCACAGTGGTATGTTTTGACTTCAAACGGACTATTACATAATATGTTATCAGTTTCCTTTTATGGACTCACTCGGACATGTTACCTTGCGGAGTTGATGCCTTGGTACTATACAGTTCCTATTCACACTCCGAACACACTATCGTTACCATACGTTCGTCGTTATCGAGCACCTCAGTCGTTGTCTACACGCACTGAGGTGAGCTACTATACCATTCACACTTTCGTAGATCTTTTACTGACTTACCGTAGTCATTCGTTTGCTCGCGCTTCTATTAGGTACTTGTTATATATATGAGTCGTTGTCTACACGCACTGAGTCATTCGTTTGCTCGCGCTTCTATTAGTCGGCCTCGTAAACTCTAACAGGTTATGGGCCCTGCTGATTCGTCAATGTCGTCCAGCCAGAACTTCTACAATGTTCCGAAGCTAGCCAACGATGGCACGAACTGGGTCATTTACAAAACCCGCCTTCGTACCGCTGTCGGTGCACGAGGACTGGTACCTCATCTCGACGGATCCAGCTTAAGGCCGACTGTCCCATCCCCACTTTCGGAAGACACTCCGATTTCCATGTCTGATGCCTTCGAACTCGAAAATGCACTCGACATTCTCGCAAACTGGGAACGGGATGAATACACGGTCCAGCAACAGATCTACAGCACGATTAGCGACTCCCTCTTACTCAAAATCCAATCACGAAGACTTACCTCGGTTGCCGAAGCCTGGAAGTACATGTGCAAGGAGTTCGAGGATAAGCCCGATATGGTCAAGATCGACAAGCGTCGTCGACTGACCGAGATGAGATGTCGTGATGGCGGGGATCTGCGAGCACATCTAGATGCAATGGAGAAGTTGAAAGAGGAGTTAGCAGGAATGGGGGTCAGTCTCCCGGATTCCGAATACCTACCGATCCTCGCCGCTTCACTTCCCCCTTCGTATCGGTCTTTTGTCTCGAGCATCACTGGCGCCGCGCGCATCCTGGGGCAGGACATACAACCCGACCGACTTGCCTCTCTCGTCCTTGATGAATGGGAGAATGATCAGTTGCGGAACGAGCAGGTCTCATCTTCGAGAAAACGCACCGCCACCAAACCCACATCTTCGGCTCTTTACTCACATCCAAATGCGGAGGTCTCGTCGGCCTCGTCGCAGAAGATCAAGGGCAAATGCTATAATTGTGGAAGAAAGGGTCATCGGAAAGCAGAATGCCGACAGCCAGGCGGTGGTGGTTTCAATCCCGATCAAGGCAAAGATCAAGGGGGAGGAAGGAGTGGATCGAAAGGTGCGAAAGGAGGTACCGCCGCCAATTCCGCTAGCACGACTGAGCCTGTCGGATTCACAGCCACCCTCACCTCTTCCGCACTCACCGCTCATCGTAGGGAATCCCGAGACCTGATGACAACTTGCATCGACACCGGGGCTAGCCATCACATGTCGCCCTACAAAGAAGAAATGGAGGATTTCGTCAGTATTACTCCTGAACCCATCACTGCTGCAGACGGCGGAACCTTCATGGCAACCGGACACGGGAACCTGAGGGTAGAAATCCCCAACGACAAGGGTGAAACATCCCCCATCATCCTACAAGACGTGCTCTATGCCCCTGGCATGGCATTTACTCTGTTATCAGTCCCACGCGCGGACAAGAACGGCTGCGCCGTGTCATTCAGAGGGGGCCGAGCCACGATTCGGAATCACGATGACCACCAGATCGGCTGTGTGCCCCTCACCGGCGGGCTCTACACTTTCACAAGCCCACGCAGGGTTCCCTTACAGGCCAATGTGGCCACAAGCAAAGCACTCGCACTCACGCCGGCTCAGTTGCACCGGCGGTTGGGTCACGTTGGCACTCGACAATGCAAGGAACTCGTCCGTAAGGGACTCATCCACGGAATCACACTAGTCCCCACAGCCAATGATGATGAGGATGGCAACGAGCAATGCGAGGCATGCGTGCGTGCAAAAATCCACCGCACACCATTTCCGCAGGAGAGTTCGACTCCGCGCGCGGCAAACTATGGTGGACGGTGTCACACCGACGTATGGGGCCCCGCACAGACGCCATCGATTGGCGGCGCACTGTATTTCTCGTCGTACCTGGATGAAGCAACTATGGAGTTAGCCACGAAGTTTCAGAAGACAAAGGCCGAAACACTTACCTCATACCGCACTCATGAGAAGTGGGTGGAAGTGCACCGTGGCGCACGCATCAGTGTCCTCCGGTCGGACCGCGGCGGCGAGTATACCTCGAAGGAATTTAACGGCCATCTTGCGAGTCGCGGAACCCATCACGAGTTGACTGTCCATGACTCACCGCAGCAAAACGGACGTGCCGAACGCCTCAATGGCACGCTCGTTGGCCGCGCCGTTGCAATGCTCTTGGATGCAGGTCTTCCGAAATACCTATGGGCAGAGGCAATCAGCCACTGTGTTTGGATCTGGAACAGAACTGGAACCCGTGCACTCAAGGGAATGACTCCTCTTGAGGCTGCAACGGGCAAGAAGCCAGATCTCCGGAACCTGCACGAGTGGGGTTGCAAGGTTTGGGTCAAAATTGACGGGCGGAAGAAACTGAGCCCAAAAGGGGACGAGGCCCGCTTTGTCGGATACGATACCGCTAGCAAGGGCTATCGTGTCTACTGGCCGGGCAAACGACGCGTCAGCATCGAGCGGAACGTCGTTTTCGCAGAGGGGGGACGCGCCGATGCCGCAGATACGACCGTTCAGGTCGAGGGGGAGCCTAGGCCACACAACGCCCCGAACGTCCCACCTGCGCCACGTCTGGACGCCTCGTCGTCGTCTGCGCTGTCCGCAACGTCTCCTGCGCCGCCCGCAACGCCGTCTGCGCGCGCGCCGTCGCCTGCGCCGCCCGCAGCTGTATCGCATCCACCCAGCCCTCAAGATTCCGACCAAGAAGGGGAACTCACCGAGGGGGAGCACCCAGACATCCTGGTGACGCCTCAGGACGCTCCCGGCGTCCCTGCGCCTCCGGATTCGATCCCTGTCGCATCTCAGAACGACCCTATCACTGCCGCCGACGCTCCTGACGAGGAGACATCGACCTATGAGCACCAGGGACGTCCCCGCCGAAACGCGCGGCCGTCCGAGTATGTGCAATGCCTCGAACGAGGAGAAGGCGTCGCAACCGGCCTTCCGAGGTCCCTCTTTCCGACGGCAAGTCTTGCGGCCAGTCCAGGTGCGGTAGAGTCGAGTGCCACGCAGGCAGAGGACGAGGACGACGCAGAGGAAGAGGAGGGACGCACAACTTTCGAGCGCGCGATGGCTGCCAGCGTGGGAGCGGACCTCGAACCTAGAAATTTGGCGGAAGCACGCCGTGGGAAGGATTGGCCGAAGTGGGAGACAGCAATTCTCGAGGAACTGGCTATGATCAACCACTTTGGCACCTACACCCTCGTCGACCGGCCACCCCCAGGTGTCAATGTTGTTGGCAGCAAGCTCGTCTTCAGGACGAAGCGCGACGCGGAGGGCAACATCGCCAAATACAAAGTCCGGCTCGTCGCACAGGGCTTTACCCAGGTCCCTGGACTTGATTACACCGACACCTTCACGCCGGTCAGCAAACTCGAGTCCTTGCGCATCCTGCTCGCGCTTGCAGCCCGCGAGAACTGGGAGGTCGACCAGATGGATGTCAAGAATGCCTACTTGAATGGAGAGCTCGAAGAGGAGATCTACATGGAGCAGCCACCAGGCTTTGCAAAACCGGGCGAAGAACACAAGGTGTGTCTACTCCACAAAACCATCTATGGCCTCAAGCAGTCGGGACGCCGCTGGTACAAGTGGCTCTGCGACGCTTTCGCTAAGCTGAAGCTCACGCGCTGCTCAGTTGACCATGGCATCTTTTGGTGCCGACTCGAAAACGGCATCATCATAGTCGCAGCTTCAGTGGATGACCTGGCGATCTTTGCGAGCTTGAGACGACACCTTGAGAAAATCAAGGAGGGACTGAAGCAGATCTTCGAGATGACAGATCTCGGTCCGATCCACTGGTTACTTGGCATTGAGATCAAGCGGGACAGGCAGGCCCGCACTCTTTCACTCTCGCAGGCCGCGTACATCGATGTGATCATCGCACGGTTCAATCTTGACGAAGCCAACCCTCTAACGACACCCCTTGACCCCTCCTTCATTTTGAACAGCACCCAGTCACCTTCGACACCTCGCCAGTATGAGGAGATGCGGAACACGCCGTTTCGCGAGGCGATCGGTTCGCTGATGTACGCAGCATGCGGGACCCGACCTGACATTGCGTTTGCGGTCACGCACCTCTCGCAATTTATGCAGAACCCTGGGAAGGCTCATTGGGAAGGTGCGAAGCGAGTTTTTAGATACCTAAAAGGCACGCGAAGCTACCGACTGGTGTTTGGGACAGAACAGCGTGGCCTTGAAGGTTTCTCGGATGCAGATTGGGCATCACAGGAGCATCGCCACTCGATTTCGGGCTATGCATTCCTCATCGATGGAGGTGCTGTGTCCTGGTCAGCCAAGAAGCAAGCCATCGTAGCTCTTTCGAGCACCGAGGCTGAGTACGTTGCTGTCACACATGCTTCGAAGGAAGCTTTCTGGCTCGGTGCATTTCTCGCCGACATCTTCGGCACACCCCGCACAGCACCTATTTCACTGTTTTGTGATAACCAGTCTGCGATTGCCCTCGCGCGCGACAATGCTTTTCATGCGCGCACAAAACATATCGATATTTGTTATCACTTCATTCGCGAGGCTGTTGATGAGGGCCGCATCACTCTTGCCTACTGTCCGACAAATGAGATGGTTGCTGATATCTTCACAAAGGTGCTCCCGCGCCCGAAGGTAGAGAAGATGGCCATACTCTTAGGACTCCATGCAGTTTGAGGGGGAGTGTTGAGATTTACTGCAGCGACAAACGTGCACGAAGGCACAGTGGTATGTTTTGACTTCAAACGGACTATTACATAATATGTTATCAGTTTCCTTTTATGGACTCACTCGGACATGTTACCTTGCGGAGTTGATGCCTTGGTACTATACAGTTCCTATTCACACTCCGAACACACTATCGTTACCATACGTTCGTCGTTATCGAGCACCTCAGTCGTTGTCTACACGCACTGAGGTGAGCTACTATACCATTCACACTTTCGTAGATCTTTTACTGACTTACCGTAGTCATTCGTTTGCTCGCGCTTCTATTAGGTACTTGTTATATATATGAGTCGTTGTCTACACGCACTGAGTCATTCGTTTGCTCGTGCTTCTATTAGTCGGCCTCGTAAACTCTAACAGCTAGCTACTAATTGTTTCGAACCCCAAAAGGTCATCACTGATTATCTAATATCTCAGATCTGTCGACAAAGATTAGATTGTGTGTATGCTACTGCCTCATCAAAAAACACAAAACACTATGATTCTGGCTTAAATGATGGATTCCAATTTAAGAACACCCCCTAAGACACCCACCAGAAATGAAAACAGGAAAAATGGCCTTGGCTTCCAAAAACACTGACAAGATCAGAATTAGTCAATAAAACTGAGAAGATATTTGGCTACAGACCTTGGCAGTGGCAGATCAAAGCCACAATCAAGATATTGGAGGGGCACAATCAAGATATTGGAGGGGCACAACACTTTTATTCTCACACCAACTGGTGCAGGCAAGTCACTCATCTTCACAATGCTTACAGTCATGGCAGAATTAACATAGAGTCAATGACTTGTTGTAGTGATCTGTCTATTGAAAGTGTTACAGTTAGATCAGGTTGGTGCTTTGTTTTCTTAGAGAATACTACTTACCATGCCTTACATTAGAGATAGGTCAACCAACTGAACTTTGTACACCATAGGGTCATATCTGAGATACACAATAGAGAGCCCCTACTCAAGATTTAGGCCTTGGCAATCAACAAGGATAATAACAAGGATCAAGTCTTCAAATTGCTAGAGACAGGAAAGATACATATCTGCTATGCATCACCTAAATGTCTCCTCTAAAATAACCAATTTAAGCAGCTGTTTCAATCTCATACCTTTTAAAGCATCTGGAAAAACATCCCCTTGTATTAGCTCTGGATTATATCTAATAGTGTCTAAAAGTATCTAAAAGTGTTAATAGTATCTAAAAGTGTCTAATTTCCTAATTGGGAGCAACATATTGTGAGCATTGGATTGGTTTCTAATTTCATAATATTAGCATTAATTCTATACTAAGAAGTCTTTAATTAGTAGTAGGAAATAGTAAGTACTACTGCTCTATCAGTGAGAAGGTAAAGATGTGGCACATTCTATACTATTTCAGCATATTACTCTCCTTCATATATGCCTATACCATTATCTTGTAGCTCTTTTGCTGACTTTCCAGCTACTTTTATAAGGGATATAGAAAGAGAGAAATGTGCATTGATGTCCCCAGCCACTTTGTTGGCAGCTTGGCAGCTGCCACAAGAGGCTATGAAGACCTAGGTATCTTGTTCTTGCACATAAGATCATTAAAGTTGTCATTGTTAGCCAATGCCTGCTACTGGTCATTATAGGACACAACATGTGGGTTGGACTTAGGGATATGCTATATGCAGCCTTATAGACCTTGTCTATTAATATAGTGGCTAATACTGTCTTGTGCAGCACACAATCATCATCACTATTGATATTACAATTTTTAGCACTATTTATATTGATTATTGCCTTGTTATACAGAAGATGCTCAAACTTGGTGTTTTCCTCTAGCTATTAGGCTGTGGAAAAGACAGTCATATATGTGGTGCCAGAATGATATATTTGCCTGCCATATAGGAAATATATGCATTAAGCATATAAAGATCACCTCCAACAATCTTGTGCTTATTTATATATAGGCATGCCATACATATACTCTTGTCCCCACCCTCTACCTCACTAGTGGCTATCTGGAAAACCTCTCTCTCTTATTGGATCTTGATTATTCATAATCATGTTTTTGATCAAATTTGCAAATTCAGGTAGCATTGTCTATACTAGTAGAGTCCCATTGAATATTACACTTAATCATAGTTTTACACATTCTCAGTCCAAATTGTATAAGTGCCATAATTTATTTTTATCCTATATAAAGTGGTTTATTGATTTTCCATTGGTTTATTATCTTCTTAGCTAGTGTTTAAACTAAATCCTGAAAGACCTGACTTTTTAGTTATTTATTGACCTATTTATTTATAAGATAGAGGAAAGATAAATGTTAAATAAAATCAGAGATGTTGAGGTTGCCTATATTATGTCTACTTATTTTGATTACCAAGTTTATATATTAGACCTTGTGGCTTAGTGGCTTAGAGCATCTGTCCTGGGTGCTTGCATACATGAGGTTGTTGGTTTAACTCTGGCAGAAGGCAAGTTTGTTATAAGGTATATTCTGTGTTTAGGTATTGAATTAGTGCTCTAATAGACATGACTTTATAAGAAGGCTATGAAAACTGTGATGCTTGATTTATTATGATTTTTCCGAAATTGCAAGTTATAATGAATCCTAATAATTCCTAATTTAGGAAAATTATGTCTAATTAGAACAGGTTTAGAGGGGGGTAAGCTAAAAATGTCCAATCCTAATTGTTCTTAATTATGCATAAATAGAACTAATCAGAGCTTAATACAAAGGGGTGGTTTTCTAGATGCATGGTTGCGCCGTTGCAACACAACAGGTAAAAATCTAGTTACCAGAATTGGACCAACAACCTCATGCCTGCAAACTAGTGCTCTAAACCACTGAGCCACAAGGTGTCACGAATGGCTGTTTGAGACGAGGAGATCCTAGGCCACAAACAATACTTGAAGGGTTTAGGAGGAGTCGAGGGACTGATCAGACTAATGTCTTGGAATCAGAGGAGACTGTGTGAACAGCAGTCCTTAGATTGGACAGAAGTGGATAGCCTAAGGCTTCCACCCTGCACCGCAGTATCTATAAATATGTACAAGCAGGAGCATGGACCAAGTATCAAATGGAGCGGGAACGCGAGGTATAGTCGGGAGAAAGGTCCTGCGAGTCCTTATCAAGAAGGTGAGAAAGGTAGGTAAACATAAGCAAGACGTTTTGTAACATTACCCCCCCCTCTAGGCCATCAGTGCCAGAGACGGTAAGTAATAGTCCAGGAAAAACATAAGCAATGCATGTAAACCGAATCATACAAAATAATACTTAGGGCACAGATTCTTGCTGCCCACAGTCGAGTCATGACGCGATAGCTCTTGAGTACGGACATCATGATACCCCACCTCGTTACCAACCATGTGGGGACTGCGTTCCAGAACCAAGTCCCTCGTCTCATCATGGCAGTGGGTACTGGCCCAATGGATTCGGACCATCATTTGCCCCAGCAGTTTTACGTCGTACTGGACGTCAGTATCTCGTTCTTTAAGCACCTCGAGGACGGAGGACAATGGGTTGGGTGTCGGACTCGCTGGAGTCATATTCAACGAAGGGGAGGGGAGGTCGAGTTTGGGTAGAGGAGTGGATTACTCCCAGTCGTGCAGGTATGACGTGGTAGCGAGGTGAAATCTGCGTAAATCTATAGATATCCCTTCCCCTGCTGCATTCCGTGGGATAAGCCCCCGGCATTGGGCGAAGTGGTGCTCCATTTGAGGCCGAAGACAAGGCACAAGATACCATAGCCGTGGTAGGCATGTGATATTCAGTGACGGGGGTGATGTTGTCGGTGGGATGAAAGAAGTCTTGGAGGCGTGTAGTTTGATTCAAATCCATAAGCCTTCTCTCGCCCGCATTGATTCGGGCGATGAGCGTTCCTTCCCGGATCTGCAGAGCCCTCTGTGCGTGTCGGACAAAGCTCCTCTCCTCTTCCAAAATCTCTAACGCTCTTTGTATTTCTGGTCATGTGGGTCCTAACACAAACTCAGTGTTCGGTGTTCTTTCGATGAGTCCCATCATGTAGGTGACGGGAGTTGTCAGGTACGTCTCTCTATCGGGGAATATGATCCCCTCGTCCTGCATGCGGATAAGGGGTGGTGGAGAGGGGGAGCGGGAAGGTGAGGGTCTGTCGAAGTCCTCTGTGAGTCGTCTGATCATCTCATCTTGTCGTCATTTGTTCTCGTCCAGTCCCTCCAGATACTCGCTGAATCCTTCTTCTGCCTCCCACGCTGCTTGTTCTTCGTCCGTGTCCCATGGTACGGATCGTTCTTCTACTATAAACATCTCGGGAGTCGAGGGAATAGAGGGTTCAGTGGAGGGTGTTTCTTCGTAAGGTCGTTCGATGAGAGTGTCTTTAGAGGAGAGGTAGATGGATTTGCTGGAAGACATGTTTGCTGGGGGAGTGAATAAGCGATTGAAGGGATAAGGGAATTGCAATGATTGAATTCGGGTTTTTATATGTTTCGGACTTTGTTTGTTTGATGTTTGTGAGAGCTGCTCGTAGTGGTAAGTTATGATGTCGCGCGTCGTATGCTTCTAAAAGTTCTTTAGCATTCCCTAGGTTTGCTCTTGTGACCTATTCATCCGCGGAGCTCGGGTATCCTTTCCAGTGTACTAGGTATTGATACCCGTGTCCTTGTTTCCTCTTGTCAAGAATTTCTTTGACTTCTTATTCCTCCTGTCTGTCTATGAGGTCAGGTGGTGGTTGTTCGAAGTTGGGGCCGTGTGCGGCTATTTCTTGATAAGGTAAGATTAACGAGGCGTGGAATACGGGGTGTATTTTCCACGTTGGCGGAAGATTCAATTTGTGCGTCACCGGTCCTAGTTTGCTTTCTATTTCAAATGGTCCATGCAGTTTCGGGGCTAGTTTGTTTTTTGGGTGCGTGGTAGTGATATTTTTTCCCAATAGCCAAACTTTCTGTCCTGCTTCTAATTTGACTTTGTTTTCCTTTTCATTAGTTCAGCTGCAACTTCTAGGCTGGCCTTCGTTTTTTGCCGTAATTGTTCTAGCCTTCCCAACCTTTGTTCTATGCCTGGGATGTTAGATCTCGGCGTGATCGGAGGTACAAAGGTTGGATTATAGCCATACATGAGTTCAAATGGCGATTGGTGAGTTGCTGAATGTTCCCTAATGTTGTGTGTGAATTCTGCATATGGCAATAATTCAGGCCAATTCGTTTGTTCATAGTTGCAGAATGCTCGTAGGTACTGTTCTAGCTCTTGATTGACTCTTTCTGTTTCTCCATCTGTTTCTGGGTGGTAGGCAGTTGATAGTGCTGTTGTTACTCCTAGCTTTTTCCATAGTTCCTTTGTGAATCTGGCCGCAAATTGTGGACCTCTATCGGATATGATCTTCCTTGGAAGTCCGTATTGTTTCCAGATGTTTTTCATATAGAGGTCAGCGGTTCCTTTGGCGTCTATGGTTTTATCACATGGGGTGTAGACAACGCCCTTGGTGCTTCTGTCTACCGTTACGTGCATGGTATTATATGGTCCTACTTGGGGAAGATCCGTAATGAAGTCCATTGTGACTGTTTGCTAGGGTCCTTCTGGTATTTCGTTTGGAATAAGCGGGGTGCGTGTGGGATGCGTGATGTTTTTGGTATATTGACATGTTGCGCATCCCGTTACGTATTCCTTTATGAATGTGGACATTCCTGGCCACCAGAAGTTGTCTGATACTAGGACATAGGTCTTCCATCTTCCTGGGTGTCCAGCTGCTGGTGAATCATGGTATATTTTTGTGATTTGTCTTTTAAGTTCATCGTCTGGCGGAACGTATATTTTTCCTCTATGCCAGATAATGTTGTCTTCGTAATTCCACTCTTGTAAGCCTTTTGAGAGTGCTCTAGGTCCTGATGCTTTGATAAGCTCCATTGCTTCTGTTACTTCTCTATCTTTAGCCGTGACTTCTTTTAGCTTTTGTCTCAGCTGGCTGTCGAGCATTTCAACCGTTCCTTGTCCTGTCGCGCTTTGAACGAATATTTGGGGTTGTAGTATCACCTGATCTTTGTTGTCAGATTTTACCCCCTCTTTTAGGTCTGGACACCTGGACAGAGCATCGGGTCGGTGGGTAATGCCTGGTTTGTGGACGAGGGTGAAGTTGAAGCGGGAGAGGAAGAGTGACCAACGTGCTTGGTGGCGGGAAAGAGTTCTTGCAGTAGAGAAGTACAGGAGGTTCTTGTGGTCGGACCAAATCTCAAACGGGTGTCATGCACCTTCGAGGTACACGCGCCAGTGATTGAGGGCGTGTATAACAGCAAGTAGCTCCTTATCGAAGATATCGTAATTCCGCTCGGCTGCATTGAAAGATTTAGACAGGTAAGCGACAGGGTGCCATCCATCATTGGGCGTTTATTGCAATAGGATGGCGCCAGAAGCGGGGTCCAACGCGTTGGTCTTAAGGCAGAATGGGCGATTACCGTCTGGGTAGATAAGGACGGGAGTAGATGTGAAGCAATGCTTCAACCGTTCAAAGGCTTTGTTCCTCTCGTGAGTCCACTCAAATGGTACATCCTTCTTTGTGAGGTCATTGAGAGGTCGGGCCATGGTAGCGAAGTCTTTGATGAATCTGCAATAGAAGTTTCCAAAGCTGAGCAAAGACTGTACTTCTTTTAGGTTCTTCGGGGTTGGCCAGGTGGCAATTCCATCGACCTTGACCGGGTCCATGGATATATTATCCGCGGAAATGATAAACCCGAGGTATTCGACTGTGTCTGTCTCAAAGGTGCATTTAGAAGGCTTCAGGAACAAGTCGTTGTCCAAAAGTATTTGCATGACCTGGGTCATTACGCGCCTATGTTCTTCAATGGTCTTTGTGAACACTAGGATGTCATCCATGTAGACTGCAAGGACTTGCGCAACAATGAGGTCATGGAAGATGATGTTCATCATAGTTTGAAAGGTGGTGGGCGAGCTGCAAAGACCAAAGAACATTACAAGGCATTCAAATAGGCCAAATTTAGTCATGAAGGCTGTCTTCCATTCGTCACCTTCTGCTATTTGAACTTTGTTATACCCCCATTTGACATCAAACTTGGAGAAGATCCTTGCTTTTGATTTGGCAATGGTTCTTATTACGTCATCAATCAGGGGTAGTGGGTATTTGTTTTTACTGTCCACTTGTTCAGTCTCCGATAATCTTGAACCGGTCGCAAGCTTCCTTCCTTCTTTTTTACGAAGAAGAAGGGTGACGCTTGTGGGGATTTGGATATTCTAATGGTTCCCCGCTTCAAGTGTTCTTGAAGCATCTCGTGTAACTGGTCTTCTTCTTCTTCTGTCAAGGGATATAGCTTACATCCTGTCGGTTCCCATCCTGGTTTCATATCAATTTTATGGTCCCATTGTGAATGTTCTGGAAGTCGTTGTGAAGCTTCCTGGCTGAAGATTTTGGCGAATCATTTAAGAACATATGCCAGGACTATTTCCTCAATAGGTTGTTTCGTTTTTGTTTTGTTTGCTTTTTCTGCCAGTGGTTGTGACTTGTTTCCAATGGAACCGATGTGAATTGCTTCGAGGGGATGCACTTCTAGTGGATCTTGGTAATACCATTCTTCGTAGAATTCGGAAAAGAAGGTGTCTTCAGTTTTGTTTTCTTCCAAATCATCTTCTATTCTGGAATACCCAACTGTTCTGTTTTTTCTTCACTGGGTAGGTGCTAATGCTTGTATGGTGAATTTAGGTCGGCTGACTAGGCATGTGGTAGCGCAAGTTGAAAATGTGAGACTATTCTTTACCCAATTGATTTGTGGGTTATGTTCATGTAGCCAGTCCGTTTCTAGGATTATATTTTCTCCTCCTAGGTTAGCGGCCAGTAATTTGCATCGTTCATTGTGATAATCACCTTCTTCGTTCGTCATTCTCATAAGCAGGCAGGCTTTGTTGGTGATTTTTCCTCCATCATTGGCTGTTCCGTCCACATTAAACACAGGGATAGGTTTATTGATTTTCTGCATCAGTATGTTATTGTCCAAACAAAATTGTTTGTTGATGAGAAGCCCTTCTGCTCCTGAATCGATTAATACTCGGGCTTCGGTGGTTCCCTCTTTGTGTTTCAAGTGCATGTTTATCCTCATAGATGCTTTCTGATTGGATTTAGTGAGCCGTATGAATGTTTTTACAGGGGGATTTGGAGTGGGTCTATGGTACACTGGAGCCATAGGCCTATTTAAAAATCCGATTCTTTTCGCTTGCTTATCTCGCTTAACTCCTGAAGGAGTGCTTCCTGCTCGTCCCATCTCATCTTTCCTATAACCCTTTGGATCTCTTCTCGGCTAATCTCAGGCTCCTCCTCACGTACAGGCGCATCTGGTCCGGGTGCGTGGGCTTGGCGAGCTGCGAGTCTGGCCCGGAACGGGTTAGTCGTCGCCATGCTTCTACCTTGCGCCGTAGTGCCTCCCTGAGTACTGCCTGGAGTTCCTGCCGAGAACGCTCGGCCATAGCCGCTTCCTCCGCCTCCCATCCTACTGCTGGTCTGAGCCGAGCGGTTCCCCACCGTTCTACTACCCTGTTGAACATGTCCAGTTGACCCTTCATATACCCTAGACGAACCCCTGACAGGGCATTGATTTGCCATGTGTCCTTTCTGGCGACAGTAAAAGCACCCACCCTCCATCCTGAGGCGGTTGCGTTCTTCGTCTGTGAGGGTCGTTCGGACTGTATCTACGGCCATGGGGACGACAGAGTTGTTCATAGATGATGGAGCGTTAGAGGAGTTGTAACGGAAGGGGTTGCTTGGTCGAACGGCAGCAGAGGGTATGGAGCTTTTTATGCTCTGTAGCTCCCTCCATTGGTTATCGAATCTTCGGGTGTATTTTACCTAATCGTCCATGGTTGTCGGCATATCAGGGAGTCTGTGGATTTGTTTGAGGATTTCCAAGTGTATGGCTCGGTGGAAATAATCAACGGTAGATTCGAGATCGAATCCACTTTCTCCTGCCGTCATGAGATAGTCCGTGACGAATTTGTCTGCTGATCGCTTTCCCATTCTCATCGTGAATAATTTCTGTCTCGCCTTCTGTTCGAGACTTTCATCTTTGAATGCGGTGGCTAATTCTTTCAAGAAGTCTTTAAACATTCCCCATGTTTTTTTGGTTTCCGTTGCTTTGTACTCCCGAAGTTCTCTGTCGAAGTAGTATTTTTGTGCAAACAGTGAAGCTGTTCCTTCCCTCATATACGATAGGACCATGAGTGTCTTGTTCATGTCCGTGTCATACTTGGTCAGGTTGGCTAGAATGTATATATGACATTTGTAGATCCATTCTCTGTATTTTGACCTCGTTCCATCGAAGTCTTTTGGCTTGTTCCCTTTATCTGACATTTTGTCTTTGTCGTCTGTGGTTCCTGTGATTGGTAAGGGGTTTGGTTGTGGATTTGGATTCGGGTTTGGATTCGGTTGACTTGGTCCTGCTACCGGCTCTGGGTCTTCTTCGTCGATTGGGGTTAATACTCCTGCAGGAATTGGGGTGTCTTCAATATCTTCTTTAGGGATATCGATATCTTCTTTAGGGATATCGATTGGTGATAAGACGGGTCTCGTTCGGGTAGGGGAGTCAACGGTTCTGAGGGGTGCTTTCCTATCTTTCCAGGGTACTAGTGGGGCATCAACTGTTTTTCCGCTATTTTGTCCTCCTATGTAGACCCAATTTCCCTTGGAAGTTCTTCTGATGGGTTGTCCAAAGTGGACAAATGTATCTGCGTATTTCAGGTAGTCGGTTCCGTGCGGAACTCGCCCTACGTGTCTTCCTAGACCTTGAGAAGTCGTCTTGTTAGATCAAAGAGCCCGCGCTAGTCTCGACCTGATCAAGGTTCGAGGGTCAAGGCAACAGCAGCTCTTCCTAGTCGGGTATAGTATTTCTGCTTCTGGTATAGTACCATACGTAATGTCAAGTGCAATTGTTTCGGTCGTACCTCCACTGGGTTGATTACCAGATAGAAGTATTCTACAACCTGAAACGACCCACACCAAAGTGGAATCGTCCAATCGTTTGCTCGAGGTGTATAGTAACTATTATGGTCGACGGACGTTTGTCTTTGGGGACTGCCTAACGCCGTATGTAGCTAGCTAGTGTTCTGCTGCAAGGAAAGGGTGGAGTAGGATTTGTGTGAAGAGAGGCTATCCAGATGTCACGAATGGCTATTCGAGACGAGGAGATCCTAGGCCACAAACAATACTTGAAGGGTTTAGGAGGAGTCGAGGGACTGATCAGACTAATGTCTTGGAATCAGAGGAGACTGTGTGAACAGCAGTCCTTAGATTGGACAGAAGTGGATAGCCTAAGGCTTCCACCCTGCACCGCAGTATCTATAAATATGTACAAGCAGGAGCACAGACCAAGTATCAAATGGAGCGGGAACGCGAGGTATGGTCAGGAGAAAGGTCCTGCGAGTCCTTATCAAGAAGGTGAGAAAGGTAGGTAAACATAAGCAAGACGTTTTGTAACACAAGGTCTAAATTATTTACCTTATAACCTAAATATGTTGATATAAATAAGGCAATCTCAATATTTCTAAGTTTCTTATACATTTATCTTTTATCTATTCTATATATAAAGAGGTCAATAAATACCCTAAAAATCAGGGCTTTTAATATTTGAATTTAGACACTAGACAATAATATAGTAAACCAACAGAAAATAAAGAATATAGTAGAAATAAAATTGTAGCACTTATATAATTTGGATTTAGGATATGTCAAATTGTAATTAGGTTGTAGATTTTAATTGGAATGTAATAATATAGACAATGTCCCCTTAATTGCAAATTTGGTCATAAAGTTAATTATGGATAATATATTCTAATTAGCTTAGTTTAGTATTTTGAATGATTAGATCTAATTAAGAGAGGAGGTTTTTTCAGATGCCAGCAGACCATGATTATAACACCAACCTTGGAAGGCAGGGCAGACTGTTTAGGTATAGTCAGGTTGTGCTCTCAATGACCTTAGGTGTAATCAAGTGAAGCTTAGAGTAGTATTTTGTGAGTAAGGAAGTAAAGAGGTTGCCATATCCAGTTGTCACTTAGGGTGCTGGTGGTGGTTGCCTAAAAAAGAAGTCCTTATCTTTTCATATTCTAATTTTGTTTTGTTTGTAATTGAACCCTAGGATCTGAGAGATCTTGAGCACCTCTCAGATACCTTTGCCCTAAAAACCATTATTCATTGCCTCCTCACTGCTGCGCCCAATTTCTGCTCTCGCAAAAACTCTGATACTTGAAGAGTGCTTAAATAAATAACTGTGAATTTTTTCAAGAGGTTCCGTCAAAATTCACTATGAGGAATTCGATTTTGAACCTCTCATACCATTTGCAACTCCGGTGCAACGATAGTACCCTAAATCTGAGCACTGAACGCGAACACCTATGAATGGAGTGAGTCACAACATAGAGGTCATCTGGATGCTGCTGTCAATCTTATAGCGTGCCGACTCATGAGCAGAGTACCCATCAAGCGTCCGCGCACCGACTCGAATCCACATTTGACAGACATTTGACAGTGATCCATGAAATCATTTGACCGACATGTCTGTGACTCACAGTCAATGTGTCGAGTCAGGCGTGTTCCGCAAGAAGTTCTTTGTTTTCAAACAAAAAAAAAAGAAGAATACAAAAAACTGAAGCATGAAGCCGAACCGTATGGGTCACCTTGATCCATCACAGAAACCGCTACGACAGAGTCATCCCTCCCACTCTCGCAACGCATCCGCACTCTGACTCGCCTCTGCCACGATCACCTTACGAGTCTCGGAATCGCGGACGGTGAGCTGCAAATCGAACGGCGCAGGCCGCGCAGTCAAGTTGCTCCTGAAGTCATCGGGGTCAGGGAGAAGGGGCTTGCCCTCCTTGTCCAATGCGGGAGCGATATCAAATGACCAGAGGATCCTTGGCAAGTGTATGAGCACGACGGCGATGATGTGGCTAGGGAAGGTTCAATGTCAGGGTTGCTTACCTTGCGATGGTAATGAACAGAGTCTGCTCTGCGACATGTTGCGCAGGGCATATGCGGCGGCCGAAACCAAACGGTAGATCGAAGTTCACGAGCCTCGGATCCGTCGCGTCTATGAACCGCTCTGGCTTGAACGCTTCGGGCTCGGGGAACAACTCAGGGTCCTTAGAAATCATACTGCACAGTGGTCAGGGAACGATGATTCGGAGATGACCTTGACTAACTAGATGTTTCCGAATACCGTCGCTCCCTTGGGGATATGATATCCCTCGTAGACATCGTCTTCCGTCGTTGCGTGAGGCATCCCCATCGGTGCGACAACCCGCCACCTGTGAATTGTTATTCAACGAGTCGTATTTCCACCACACATAAGGTAGGCGCATACCTCGTTGTCTCCTTGATCAATGCGCGCAGGTATGGAAGCGATGATTGGTCATCGAAGGTCGGCATGCGAGACCGTCCGACGACAGAGTCCAACTCAGCTTGAGCGCGCCGTGCACAGTCGGGAAAATGTAACATAGCGACTCAAAAAGGAACCAAGGTCCAATTAGAAAATTTACAATGCAAGACAGCCCAACTCACGTAGGAAGACATCCAGCGCAGAGGAAATCTAAAGAGAATGCAGACGAATATGTCGTCAGTACAGTTCTCTGCGATGGTGTGTGAAAGAAATACAGTCGAAATTCCAGCGGAAAATGGGCTCGCGACATAGTAAGCCATCTCGACCTCGGTGGTCTCTTCAGACGGGCCCTCTTCCCACATTTTTGTCGACAAACATGGCTTTACGATGCCGGAATCCATCCGACGTTTGACATTCTGAAAGCAGCTCAAGTAGAGCTGCAAGTCTATCAAACGCCTCTTCTCGAATTCCCATCTGAACCACTGAAAACGTTTCTGAGAGGTGACTGAATTCGTGAAGCTAACAAGACCTTGAAAGGAGAAAACGTACCGGGAGCCATAAGAGGCTGGGCCACTAAGATACAATGAAAGTGAGTGGCAGCAGACGACGACGAGAAACACGCACGGATTCAACGATGTATTTCCCGGGAATTCTGGAACGAAATCACCTGTCGAGCAATCCTGGTGTGATACCCAGAGCCGATACTCACTGGGCGCTTCCAAATGCTTGAAGAGCCCATGAGAACAGATGGGTACCGTTTTGATGCGAGTGACATACCTCGTCCAGCCTCCGCATTGTCTTTGACAACTTGATCGTCCAAGCTTTTGATACGACCGCCATAGCTGATAGTGAATGCCATAGAAGTTGAAAATCTGCGGAGGATGTCCCGCAGTCAGTCACGAATGAACATATGAACGAAAAACAGACTCTTACCTTGTGAAATGAGTTGAGTATTTTGCGGGATCGTCGAGGAGGTCGTGTAGCAGAATAGAAGACTCGAGCATCTGAAACGTCTGGTAATTGACCGCATACTTTGTATTCAAGCAGGAGTGCTGAAGCTGCCGGTCGAGAGTGAGCGAGCAGCGTTGCATGGTCGCTGTGAGTCTTACTTTGCGCCATTTCCGCCATTTATCATTGTATGCCATGCCCAAACCCCACATTTTTCGAGAAAGAATCTCATGCCTGCAGTCAAAGACACAGATTTGTGAGAGACAGTCGACTGTGCGCACATGAGGCCGTACTAAGACGTACCCCATGATAGATCTTGGTCGACTGGAGTATATCTCTCCTCGCTTCTCGAGCAGATCCCATGCAGTCTGAGCAGTGTTGAGTACTATGAGGACAGGAGAATGATATGAGAACATTTTCGGGATCGCATACGGAACAGTTACCAATTACGACCTTGTTGCCAATGACGAAGGAAAATATGTGTCCTGTTGGTTGACTGTCTGTTTCTCGATCGAGCCTCCTTTTGTCTGCTATCATGACGCACCGTATTTTTTCGCTAGCTGTGTCCAAGTCTTGTAAGGCTTGGCAGACATCTGTGCTCGATTGTCTCCAAAAAGACCCCTTGGTGGGCCTGGAGGCAATTTCGAATCCGAGAAGCGACTCTTCAAGACAAACAGCACTGACACCAAGAGAACTATCCAGCCAATCATGGCAGCAAAGAGAAAATGGTAGAAGGGTGTGTGCAGCTGCCGGCGGATGATTCATGGAGGCCGGGGGCAAACAAGGGTACATAGACTAGATCACATCTTTTCGAAGCGGCGCGGAGCGCTGAGATTGCATCACCGAGTTACCGGGATTGGAAGCCGTCTGGCGAGAGACCCGGGGAATAGATGAGATCCCCTGCGATCAGCGGCGCCTCAATGCTGCCTCAATAAGGAACGCGTGTCACAATGGTTCCGTGGCATGTGACGTCACGAAGCCTGGTCTTCCCGGAACTAGAAAGAGACAGGTCAACGGTCAGCCCTCGCAGGACCCAGCTCGCACCCAACAACCCATTTCCCTAGACTATGTTATCTGAATCTCAAACAGACGAAAGGGCTTCGCCACTAGACTGGCGATCTAGCTTCTCCAAGTCGTTCATGTCGAACAAACACATTGTCGTGGTATATTTCAAGCCCCCAAATGCCGTCAAATGCTGACACAGCACCTCAGGTCACTGGAGCATCTGGGCTCCCATATTGCCTTGGGGCTACTTGCCTACGGATACGATTCTGCCGTCATCTCAAGATCCCGCACTTGCTGACCTATGATACCTTGACAGTCTCACTTGTGGCCTCAAGACCTAGAAGCTTCGGAACATGATCATCAATGACAACGACCGCACCACGGTGGTAGAAATCACGGACGGAACCATTTCAAGGTGGGTCATGCCCCGCGTGAGCCGTGGCTTGCTGGACGGCGCCCTTTGCTGTGCTTCAGATGCCGCGTTGCCTTTTGTCGGTAAAACCTAGTAAAGTCTTCTCTAGAAGTACGCGGCTTTTTCTATAACTTCTGATTGCATGATGTAATGATGCCCCTCTCAGAGCGCTCTTGAAGGCTCGCTGAACGTCTTACGACAGGCTGTCAAATACAAGGTCAAAAAGTTCGTCATGACGGCCACGTGGGCTAGCACCTTGGAGCGCAAGCCTCTCTCCTGTTCGCTGCGGCTCCGGATCATCTGATCCCTATTCTTAGCTGGTGATCCCGCGGATTATTGGACAGGAAAAGTGATCACCTACAAAGGTGTGTCTCCAACGCGCTTTTGGCATCCCAGTCCCCTGATGATTTCTGTCTAAGATTGGGGCCATGTCACCAGGGAAGAGGTCATCAATAGCACGCACGACCCGTTCTGGGTATACTGTGCGACGAAGCTCTTGTCCGAGAAGGCCAGTTGGAAATTTGCTGCGGAGCACCCGGAGCTTGACGTTGCGTCTAGTTGAGCGTCCACTCTTGATTCCTTATCCCTAGAAGATCGGAAATCAGCGCCAACGGCCTGTTAGGTCATTACAGGAGAGATCTTGAACGTCCCCCCTGTGCCTCAGGATATCCAGTCAAAGAGATACCTTATGTGCGCGGAGCAATTAATTTGGCAGGACGCTGTCCGTGTTTTAGCGAAGAAATGGCCTGGCGTGGTCAACAGGCTTCCTTCGCTTGAAAACGCGCCTGCTGCCCCAGGCCACTTCCCGATCACTGATACCAGTCAGATTGAAGCGGACCCGAAGATGTTCGAATATATTGGGTGGGAAGAGATGGTTGTTGACACATTTATCGACTTGATCGAAGCTGAAACAGGATGGGATTGAAGTAAACGTTTGGTGTTTGAACTTCGAGTTCTTGTGTGTATTAGCAAGCACGCAATCGTGTTCAATGATGGGTGTATCAGAATTTCCGTGGACATTAATCGAATATCAGCAATCAAATGGAGTACATTTGCGGTCAGGTAACTTGAAAATCAAGCACTCGTGAAGTGCGTAGCATAAAAAAGAGGAAATCCAACTGAGGACATGAGCTCACATATCCATTCTCAATCGACGTCAAGATATCGGCCATAAAATCAGACACAATAAAGGATACCACGACTGCTGGTGCAGCAAGAATATTAGACGACACTGACGGCGAATCCCTTGGACTGGGAATCATCATGTCAGGCTCCTGATATAATGAAACACTGTAGTTTCTCGTACCCTATCTTTCACGGCGCCTAAGTTATTGGAAGCCATCTGTGAAATAACAATGGCACTACGCTGTAACACATCTGAACAGGTGCGCTGGTTTGCTCGAGGAAAATGAATCTACCTCAGGTTCTGTGGGTGGAGGCGAAGCCGCTTGAAGGGATGATACATGGACATCAGCGCCTCGTAGACCCTTCCTGGCGTTCAAACTGCAGCGTCGTGTATCAGTATCCGTATCCAATCGAACTCAGTACTACTACGCACGTAGCAAGCAGCGAATTCACGTAGACTTTATGTCCATTGAGTGAGAGCTTGGGAAAAAAGAGATAAACACGTACAGCCGCCAACTATTTCGTAGATAGCGAAGTAATAAAGACCCTCGTGAGTCCAGACCTTGCGACTGATCGAGCTCTGAAATGTAAACAATGCATATTGATCACGATCAAGTTTCTGCGAAACATAGAAGAGCGCGCACCAGTATGAGCACTACAACGTCTGCCATGCTACAGACGGTTATAAGTTGCCGACCCTCTAGTAGAGTCGAGGAGGGGGTACCTCGTTATCATTCCAACATTGATCGCATAGAAGATGAGGCGATTGATTACGTCCCTAAGTCTACCGTGCATTCAATGCGAGTTGTTGTCAGATAGCATTTGACGCAGAGAGTTTTTGACTAACCCGGAACCTGCGCGATTGATCTGACTAAGGTAATACATCAAGGAGAATGTGATGCATATATCTGTAGCGATCGCGCACGACAAAGCTGCAGTGGAGAATTCCTGAAAATCTTGTGAGTTTCATATGCACAAAGCCAATGGTGAGGACCTCATACGGTCGATAATGTCTTTTGGCCTTCGATCTTCGAATATGTACTGGCGGCGACGCTGGAGAGATGAGCACAGACAAAATGTAAGATAAAATGATCACAGAATCGTGAATTCATAAACTGACCTTGCACCATATGTCGCTGCTCGGAAGGTAATTCGAACAAACCTTCAAAAGGCGGAGAGAAATAGACGCACCTGTGGTCATACCTGTCCCATGTCAAAATGTAAGACACCTAACCGAAAAACGAAATTAAGCTGACTGAAATTGCCGAACGCCAAGATACCCTAGAATGGAACCGCCGTTGGTAAATGCTCACAATAAGCAGCCACATATACTCACAATTATCGAGACTAAAACCCAGTTCCCCCTGCTCACTGATAGGAGCGTCACATATATATGGATAAGATGGAAGGATTCAACGCACAAATCTTCACCCGATACGCAAAATACCAATGAACAATGACTTGAACCAAAGCCTACACCCGAATTAGGATCAGCGGTGCGACACAAATGCAAGTTAGACGACTGACGGTGATGAGCAGATTAACCTGGAATAATATAACCAAGTCAGCGGAAATGTTCGGCAGTAAGTCAACAGTTGGACGAACATCGCGACTCCTGCTCGTAAACATTCATATCAATGGAAGCATTTGACTAGGAAAGAGACACATTACGCGCACCATATAGATTTCGATAATGCAGCCGGGTTTCCCCATTGAATGACGACATAGTGGTACACAGCATGGACTCCGAAAGAGCACCGAATGAACTCAAGAATCCTGAGTACGTCTTTCCGTTAATTAAAACTGGGAGACGTTTTGGCAACAAACGCCGTACCAGACTACGAGGACCTGCAACATTCCGTATGGTCACCGTCGATGGATTCGAACAGATCGATAACGTACCGTCACTTTTGTACGGAGAAGATCATCTGGATAGTTCAACCAGAAGATCCAACCTTGCACGGTAGCTATTCCAAGAAAACTGTAAAATTTACAGCTATGTGAAAGAGGGAGAATCACTAAGAATACCCACGCCACAGATACGACGACACCTAGGAACAGAGCTCCGTATGTATCTTGAATATCCACGAGGGCATGGTCTGAAGGTGAGGGGACACAGGACATGACGATAGCTCTCAAGCCGTTCGAATGAGGGGCAGAAACTGTACGATGATTCCCTAGGCTTATCAAGTAACGCACTGTGAGCGGTTTACCCCCATCGAGGTTCTTCAGTAGAGCAAATAAGTTACTGTGCCTGGAGGGATGTGAGTATTCAGTCAGCACTCAAAGCGATCATCTCGTCTGGGAAATATACAAGTATGATCAATCCGAACGACATTGCATCGTGCGATGTGTGCACTATCGATGTTTCAGCCGCTGGAGCAGGTGCAAGAAAGGTCCAGACTGGTGTGATGTAGTTGCCGAATCAAATTTGGGACGGCATACTACGATAGAACAGATCCCACAGAACAGACCCTCGTGGTCTTGCAGGGTCTTCCGGTGTTCAACGTTCAATGATGGACGCGGAGCGCTGAAACGAATTCTTATCTTGACGCGCGCAGGGTGGGGCAACACAGATTGGAATGGAGATTCATAATTTCTCACTCCGAACCCCGAGAAGTCCCAGCTGTTCCTGCAAATGTCACGTAGCGTACATTTGGACCGTGTAGAACTCAAATTGGGGGATTTGGGGTCCAAAATACAACAGGACTTCCGGGAACGTAAATTGACGATATATTTCGAGAATTTTGTCGAAAAACCCCGTAATCAGTATATACCCGGTATGAACCTGCACGGAACATCTGCACAATAACGATCCCATTCGCTCCCAAACCTCTTTCCCAGTAGCTCATCTTCAACTATACCCCTTTTCCACCACGACATGAATGAAAATAAGGCCAAACCTACATATGCTGAAACTGCCCAACCACCAGGAGTGGTCATGATCTCACACTGTCGATTCCACCCTGCTGGAGAAAAATGGGCCAGGAGGAGCCCCCCAATCTGCAGAACGCCACCAACGTAGCTCGGATGACGGACGTAGGCATATGGACCTGTCACAACCAATCGATGTGAAGGCCGCGTCGTCACCTCAAACGTGAAAAGCATCCCCAAGGTCTTAAAGCACCAAAATCGAATCCACAACCCCACGAACATGAAGGCGATACCGAAGCCGAATGATGGGTGAACGGATGCCATGAGATCAGGGTCGGGCATGTTGTGAGGACACAGCATGGGGAGGATGCGGTGTTCGGAGAATGCATGGGGAAAACCCACTGCAGCGACCACTAGGAACTCGCATGTGAATGATATAACAACAGCGGTCTGTGCCAACATGATGAGGGCCGTCGTGCAAGAATAAAGCATCGAGCGAACCTTAGTCACAATAGAAAGATTTCGAACAATACGATCAAACAGTTGACCGTCGTATATTCTGTCCTCCTTGGTCGGTGCTGGGTTTGGTGGTGTGAACGAGACATAGTACGATATTGCACCTGCTACGAGAAATGCAAGCTTGATCAGGGTGGAATACATCAGAGATATGGCCGTGCTCTAGCTTTCATGCGAAAGTTGAGCGCGGCGAACCCGGTCACAAGACTATATATATAGCCAGAAAGACTTGAAAATAAATGAAACAGCCTACCAAAAGCACTGATACGGGCTGTCCTGACCAAGAGGCAACGTCGTTCGAGATCACGGTCCAACTAGGGGACCTATGATTCTACATCAGCCAGTAAACGCTCATATGACCAGCCCTTGCATCAAAGTTCAAACGAAGATCTCGGGCTGGCTGACCTCGTGGCGTGCGGCGAAGGTATCTGTTGTGAAGGATGTCCAGAAATAGGAGGTGTGAGATGGAATCATACCCTGGAAACCTCATGCAGATCAAAAACATCGAAGTATCATGCCAGATCATACCGGTGTGACAGCCAGACCTAGAAGAGCGCTGAAAGACCATCAGTTTGCAGAACAGAAGGCAGAAGGGTCTGATTCTAAGACTCACTTCACATGCTATACCGGAACAGACAACCTACTATCCCAGCGTTAGATGCCAAGACACAGGATACCGCACCCACCAATGGCATCGTGTTAGGGCCATTTTGTCATCGGCACTGGGAATGAAGCCCGACCCACGGACAGTGATGAACTCCTCGTTGACAGAGCGTTAGAGCATAGCAGAGCGGAATTAAAAATCCCGGCTATGTCCGAGCCTACTGAGCACTGGTGACTGCCACAAACAAACGAAGTTCAGCGTTCAGCTTTATCTTCATAGGTGGATATCTGATACTCTGATGCCATTGAAGGGGTTGCAGCTTCGAAATCTTATGTTGTTGGGGTCCAAATAAATATCGAATCACTGTAATCATGGCGTGTAACCGCTCCAGCCTCTCACATCTACCCAAGCAGCATTTTTCATGGATTATGCGACCCCACTCCTTGCGGGCTTTGTGAGTTTGAGTTTTCGATCTCTATGGGACATGACTTACGCGTCAGTGATCGCTGTTTCAGCTGACCTGTATATTTCTGCATAAATGCCCTGTGCGGGGCGACGTGGCACTGGCGATCCATATGGCCATTCTTTTCGGATGCTATCTTATCAGATTCTTTGACGGCTATGTGGAGAGATGGCAGCTCCTCAGTGACCCACTCAAGACCATCTTCCTGCATGACAGCGCCACTACTCTCACTACCATCGCATATCGGGTGTCACCTATTCATCCGTTATATCGATTCCCTGGGCCACTCATCCATAAGATAACAAGTCTGCAAACAGCATACATCGTCTACTCAGGGCGCCGCCATTTGATCGTGGCAGGCCTTCACGCGAGATACGGAAAATATGTCCGCATAGGTCAGTTTTTTTTACGCTTCCAATTCACTGGCTGAAACTCCTAAAATGAGGCCCCAACACGTTATCCATCAACTCTCATGTCGCAGTCTCTCCCATCTATGCCAGTACTGTACCTATGGACAAGAGCCGTGCCTACCAGTTTGGCGATGCGAAGGGCAAGGGGTTATTCTTCATGAGGAAGGTTGAAGAGCACAACGGTCGACGTCGACAGTGGGCAGGTGCATTCTCAGTACACAGGTATGCTCATTTCCAGTCCCAATGACTGCAATTGACTATCAGAATTGAAAGCTTGAAGGAGCACAAAATCACGTTAGAGCGGCGCGCGTTCGAGCTCGTTGAATGCATAGGCATGCGGCACGATGGAAACGGTGTGGTCAACCTTTCTCAATGTTTGCATCACTTTGCGTACGATGCGATGGTAAGCGATCATACTTATCGTGGCGTTCAACTAGATTAGCTCAAGGATCAGTAGGGTGACATCGTATTTGGAAACTCTAGCCGGCTGGTTCGTCGCCCCCTCTCATACGATGGTCTAGGAATACCGATTCATCGACAGGATCTCATGAAAGAAGGTGACCCTGAAGGCTTGATCACTAGTGGTCAGTCTGCAACAATTGCGTTCGAAATGTAAGGATTTCAGTCCTCTTTGTTGACGAGACGTTGATATATTTTTCGACAGTCTCGGTGAAGTCCCTTCGCTTTCTGAGATACTTTGGCATCTCCCCGTGACAGACCGATTACGACGCCTGGAATATTACGCAGGGAAGTTGATGACAGCTCGTCAGAACATGGATTCGTGTGCGGAGCATCACGACTTGGCGTCGCACTTAGTACGCATTTTTCAGGTGTTTTCAATGCAATGATTGATCATGAGCTCTCTCAGCTGTGCGCTAGTGATCCGTCAAGGCAAAAGCTGCCACCAGAAGATCTACGCGCCGACGCCCTCTTTGCCATTCAAGCCGGCTCAGATACTCCTGCCGGAGTCCTCACCTTCCTTTTCTACTTCCTTCTATCACATCGCGATGTCTATGATAAGCTACGGGAAGAGTTGGACGACCACCTCTCCACCCAGGGAGAAGGATTCATTGATGGGACTTTGGACGAGCTTCCTTACCTCAACGCGGTAGTAAATGAAACCCTTCGCCTTGGCACACCGTTCGGCGGATTTCCTCGCGTAGTTCCCCAAGGAGGAATTGTCATCGACGATCAATTTATTCCCCAGGACACGATTGTCAGCGTACCAACTTATACTCAAGAGATTTCGGAGGAGAACTTTTGGCCAGAGCCTCTATCGTTCAAGCCAGAGCGGTGGCTGCCTGGAGGGCTTGGCCCTGGGTCGAGAGCACGCAAGTCGGCCATCATGGCCTTCTCATACGGTACGCGCTATGAACGATGAATGACATGGTCCTGATGAATCTGCACAGGGCCTTTTGGATGTTTAGGCAAATCATTAGCAATCCATGAGCTTCTCATAGTCACGGCGCGATTACTGCTAAACTATGATCTCACGTTGTCTGCATCGTTCGACCACGAAGCATTTTCTGCGGGAGTTTATAACATTCGAGCCGCGCTGTTTTCATATCCGCTCTTAGTTGTAGCTACGAGACGTCGAGGCTGACCAGTATGCGTTAGAAACAAGAGATATGTAGTTGCCTATCTTCCAGATGTGTTGGACTGATTGGTGTCGAGAGTTTAAGATGCACAAATCTAGATTCCGCTTGGAACGAGAACAATAAGTAAAGATGTTGAATACATTCTTCGACACTGGTTAGTGCATAACGAGTTTAATATCCATCCCGAAACAGACTGCGCCCCTGCTTGTTCTTGTAGAATACGATATCCCCTTGAGTACAAAGACTTGATCAGTTTTGCGGGTGAATATTCACGGTTAACACGACTGACCTTTGTCTTCGACAAACTGACAATTGTTGTAATTATCCCAAAGTGCCTGGAAGACCGGTTTTCTCGAGCGATGGTAGTGTTCCCCGAGCAGTCTTTGCAGGTGATGCGTTGCCTCCTGAGCGTGATCTGTGTCGTGCATCAGTTTACATCAAAGAATGAACGTCGTGTTACGGACAAAATGGCATCTTGGGGAAAAAATGATGTATGACGTGAAAATGCGCGACATCGTGAAGGAAAAAATGACCGATGAACCCGAGGAACTCTCGGTCCATGGTCGCAGCGGCGCCACGTTGAAAGTTCCATTGCCCGGAGCGGTAGTGCGGTAGGGCTGGATCGGTATGCTGTAGGTATGTGATCATGACAAACCAGTGATTGACGCAAATCCAAGGCATAGCGTAGTATTGAACAACGGTCGATGTACCCCATCGAGAGCACCCCCATTTCAGAGTGAATCCCATAAAAAGAATGCCCAGGTTGGACATCAAAACGGCGGAGCGCTGTTCGCGCGTGAAGAGTACGCTGTCGGCTAACGTCACACGTGCAATTTAGCTACATGTCAAGGTGAAACGAAGCTGTGCTTACGATTGTAATGGTTTGTCCACTTTGGATAGCGCGCCTGTCCAGACACATTGGAAACTGAAGTAAAGGATAATAGGAGGTATACTCAGCCGTGTATGAGCAAGATATATTCGTTGCGGCATACCAAGATACGCGGGAAATGCGAGTATTTGTTGACGAATAAGCATGAAGAGTGTGTAGATCGGGGTATCGCCGAAGTAATCCTCGTAATCGATCTCGTCTTCATCCTCAGCGGGGATTCCAAGGTCGCTCCTAGTCTTCGGGATGTACGGCTCGTCGTACTCTATGGAAGCGTGCTTCATGTGATGTCGATGGTGGGATATCTTCCAGCTGAAGTATGGTGTCAAAAGAAATGTATGGCAGGCCTAAAGTGCACATTAGCATTAGCGAACGAACATAGGAATCGGGTGGGGGAGGATCAAGTGGCCTACGTATCCAAGGATGTCGCATAACCAGCCGTGGGCGGAAAATGCGCCATGCCCGCACTGTACGCAACTTCGTAAGATGAAAGATGAAGATTACTGTAAAGAAAGACCAAACCTCGTGGCCGATGACCCAGATTCCAGTTAAAGCGAAGCCTTGTAAAATCCAGCTGTATGACCGAGTAAGCACCCAAGAAAAGTCCTGAAAATCGAGATACACTCACTACGTGCACCACAAAAGTGCTCGAAAGCTATAGAGAAGCGCCAAGCCCATAGTCGTCGAAGCCACCAGAGTGTCCAGGTATCTGCCAATGTGAAGCGTGCACAGAAAAATACTGCAAGCTACAAGTATGTCCCGTCCGAGAACTGACAATCCTCTGCAGGTATTCCGGACCAAGAGGTGCGAGGGTATGACCTCTCGAATATCCTTCATGGACCTGACACGAATCCACCTGAGTACGTGGTATATCTGGCAGGTATACAAGGCGAATGCATACCATGACAAAGGGGTGAAGTTGGGGATGCCATCTATGTACGATTTGCCAATGGCACGCGAATCCGTCCGGATCGACTGGGGAGATGTCTTGTTCATAGTGACAATGACAATGACAGGTCAAGCACATTCGACGGAGAGACGCTTTATATGACGTGCGACATGATTCTATGCACGCGCACGAGAGAAAGCAGGTTGGCAGGTGACTAAAAGATCGAGTAAAGATATTAGGACCGATGTATGCTTCAGCGACAGCCCTGTGTTCGATCAGAACGGCTGGTCTCCTGTCTGTTATGGACGTTGGCGTCTATGCAGTGTGAAATAGGTCAGTACGCAAGCGTTCTTGACCAGGGAATATAGACAGTCTATGAAGGATGAACTCTTCCCGGAGGGCACGATTCTGATTCATTCTTTGAGGCGTCAGAAGGCCAGATAGATTTCGCCACTTTTAGAAGCTTGGGTCAGCCATGAACGCGCTCGGCTTGTACTAATATTACTACCGGCGATATCCAATTGGAACGACTTGAAAGGCAACAGATCTTATTGGAAAGAGCAGGCACAGAAAACATCGGAATTTTGATACAAGTAATTCTCGTCAGCATCGATTCGTACATCACGTCGTCTGATCGAATTACCGAAAGGAACGTCAAGAGTTTGGTAGACGTGTTGCGAAATCAGGCAAAGTGAAGAATCTATGGAAGCAGAGTTAATCAAGCACGTGGAGCTTTGGAAACGTTACCGGTCGACTAGTTAATTCCCTATCGGGAGATTTGGGTGAGCATTTTACCGACCAATCGAATATGGGTTATCCAAGTATACGCGCTACAGAGAGCGCAAAGATGTTGCATATTAGAATCAGAAGATGTCTTTCGAAAATCTAGTTTCGCACGCATCAACCCCTGGATGATGTCTGTTTGGATACCTGGATGGTAGCATCGGATAATTTATGCACGAAAATGATGGTTCATCTGGTACCAATTTCATACAAGTATCGGTGGAAGCTGCGATCTCCGCTGCAGTCGCAGTCTTGTTCGAAAGCCTTGCCGTTGGCGTGATGCATAGCCGCGCGGAGAGTTAGGAAGATCCCGTGCATCAGAAATAGTGAAGCACCTCATGCATGGTCATGCTATAAATCCAGAAGGATGACCTGGGAAGTATCTGGGTCAGAGGCATAGCTTGCGAGTGAGAGTTTCAGAATCACAAACAGCGGCATATCTTGAATGAAAAGGGACTCCACGCTCTAAATCATGATTCGAGCGATGTCATTTGGTGTTTCGAAGAGTGGCGATATGCCAACGAGCACCGCACGCACTCACATATCTAGAAGACATTGAGATTTAGTATAACAGAGGGTGTAGAGAGGCAATGATGATTCATGTCCTACCGTCAGATCTAAGAATGAATGGGAGAGAAAAGTGTCTCGCATGGCAGCAAGACTAAGACGTTCGAACTTACTCGAGTCTCCGACCATACATACGCGCCATTTTAGTATGTTGTATAGCACTCTTCTGCGGGATGAAGCGTTGAAGAGATCGGAATGAGCGAACGGAGATAGAGAAAGTGCAACCTTTACACCTGCGTTGTTTGTCTGTGTTCATGAATTCTGCGCAGGAGCGTCATGTTTTCAAATATTGAGAGTCTTCATATACCATAATAAATGACTACCGCACTGTATCATCAAAGTAAGGAGAGAGTGGAGAGCCCGGAAAAAACGAAGAGTTTATTCAGGTTTATGCGCCGAAGGAGCTCGGCAAACGCCGACGGTGAATCTTGGCAGATCTTGGCGAATCTTATTGAGCTGCCCTCTCCTACAATACCTTGGGTGAGCATGGTTTTCATTTTTATTTGCGTCCTAATACAGTTGCGACATGGCTATCTATCGCTGTCTAGTGACGGCGCATCGGACAACTTGCCGCAAAACGTGCATGGAGCCTTCGCATTGAACACTCTCCGCGACTTTGATATTTTCGCCCTCCATCCCCTTCATTGGCTTTTCGGCCTTGCCTTTCCATGATTTCTAACAGACTGCAAGTATATCGGCCTTCGTCGCGACGCTTATAGGCCGTCGGTGTCCTGTCCGTTTACGAGTTAACCTCGTGTTCGGATCAATTCATTTTGTCAGTGTTTTATTCGGATGCGTACAGAAGGGAACATGAGGCGGGTCCTAGTAGCATAAGACGTCGCATCGAGGGCCCCGGACCACAACAATAGTGAACCGAAGATGCCCAAATGCGAGAACGTCCTCGCGATGCCGATGTTGGACAAGCATTAGGACGAAGCAGAGGGTATCTTGTTGTTCTCACACTCGCAGAACGTGTCGCTAACGCTTGTACGAAGGCGCGACGCGCATCTGTTTATCCATAGTGCATCAAACATGCTCCAGTCCTTGTCTGTCCTCATGCGATGGGAGATGGGCTTTTGTGTGTTCATTTACTGTTGAGCACCTTGTTCTTTTGTGCGTGTTTACTATTACATTTTGAGTTTTACTCGGACTACTGGACACTGTCGTCCGCTCCGTACATCCCTGGAAGAGCGTCTCTAGTCGGACTTGGTCCTTACTGCTTGAGCGTACAAAAGGAGGAGTCAAGTTAGAGCATGAACAGACTGTCACAGATACACAAGGATACCATACGACTGACTGAAAGACTGAGGATATGGTTTAATGCGAGCATGACAACGCAATGCGAAAGCATAGCATTGATAATTTTACGAGAGTCGGTACTCTGTCATGCGGATCTGCATTGTATTTCTTGAGCCGTGTGCGATGCATATGAAGGCGATAAATCATGACGCCTGCAATTTGAGCATCACATGCCATTTCAGCAGACAAGGCAATGGCAGTCCCGGGCTATTGCTGATATCAACATGAAGCATTGAGGGCAAAGACGTCAATTTGAGAAACATGAGGCGAAAACTGAGAGAAGCTCTGCACAGTCAGCGATGCAAGCAGAGAGAATATCGCAATGCCTACGCCTTAATCATGAAACGTAATTCATGCAGGACGAGATTGCCGTCAGACATGAAAGTGCTTTATATTGTAGGCATCTTCGCAAGAGAAGTTGGACAGATCCTGAGCATCTGCAAACTCGTTGGCCACCAGCGCGATCGACGATTAGCGAAATCATGCGCACCCTGTTGATATGATGACTCTGATAAACACTGCACCGGGGACATGACTGAGAAGGCAAGTTTGCTGCGTGTTCGCGATACGGCCTCAAATTTCATGTTGGAGAGATATGCCCTCTTGGCAATCATCAATACACCGATGACTGATGCATAACGTCTGCTTCACATTAGCCTCGGATTCTGTTGTGCTCGACGTATTCTACAGCTAGCTTCACGAGATTCGAGAACAGACAATGCTCTGTACAACACGAAGGTGTACTTGGTCGATGCTGACATGAATAAATGATTCGTAGAATGGATCATGGCTGACCGTATATTGGATAGTACATCGTGGAAGTGTTAACCATTGGCTAGTAGCGATCCCTCGCCGAGGAGATAGTCTACTATCAGACGGTTGTTGCACTAGAGTGAAATAACAAGAACTCACAGAATCTATAACACTCTACTCTTGTTTGGTTTGGGACTGACGTCAGCTGAATACTAAACAAATTGCCCAATGTTCGATGGGACGATAGTTCAATTGAAGATCATAAACAGATTGGCATCGTATGGCTGATACCTTCCAAGTCAATTCTTGAGGGCGAAAGTTAATTTAAATGACAGCTGCCAGACCAGGGCAAATATTTCCATACTGCAGACACGTACATCGACGCCTTAACCTCCGATAAGGTGAGTCAATGTCAGAGAGGGTCATACCTGGCACAACCCAAGAAGTCATCAAGATCAAAATAGTACCAGAAAATTGATCGGTGACCATATACTCAATCTAGCGTTTAGCGGTCCTACTGGAGCGCTTCGCGACCACGAACAACGCTAGTCTTGAAAGGCAACATGAATTGGGAGGCGTGCTTTGAGATGAATGGGGATGGCCATTGGGCTGCACAGCTCCATGATACCTGATCCAAATAGACACTCACATGTGCAACTTCTAACCAACCACAAAATTCCAGTACGGCTCCACCGTTTCAATCGCGTCGAGCCATAGCTTCCCACTCACTATATTTGAGCGTCGGGGCTAATCTGGGCTTTCTACCTGTATTTCGCCATGGATCTATGGCAAGTACTGAGGTTGTGTGTTGTAGAGCTGTAGAGCTGTAGAGCTGTAACAAGTTGACTCTTGAGGGCAAGTGAGTCCACTGAGTGTCCACTGTCGTCGCAATTGCACAAAAACCAACAAAAACGGCTTCGGCTAGCTCCGGCTCAATGCGACTTGGCGGTCCGGGTGACGCCGAGTCCATTGCCGTTTGCCATTGCAACATCATCTTCTCGACTTAAATGAACTCTGAGAGAATACCAGTGTCGAATCCTGCTGCCGCTGCCGCTGATAAATTGACCGCCATCTGTCTGGGTCTTTAGCGGATCACCTGGATGTTGAAGATGGGCAATAGCCATGGTCGTTACGTTCAATACCCATACATGGTCTCAACGCTCGTTTCAACATCTTGATCTTGATCTTCCAAATGGACACTGCATATTATTGAGTGAGAATGGTACGCTTCCGATATGGGAGCTTGCTGCGGACTGGAGTCTCTTTACGCCCAACCTTTTCACCTTCCGGGGATTTTGTGGACTCAGCGTGCTTTGAAGATCCGGTCTCCTCGGATACAAATCTACGCTCTTATATCTGGCGTCGCTGCTAGGCTAAGACTGTTGGCTCATCTCGCTCTCTCCTTGATATGTCTTTGCCATCTTCTCAACTCGGTGTCTTCATCAAAAGCTCAGACCCTACGTATACCGTCGAGCGTCATCCTGTCCCTTCACCAGGTTCAGGAGAGGCTCTCATCAAGATCGAAGCAGTAGCTATCAACCAGACCGATTGTGCGTCGAAATTATCATCGTTTCTTATAACGTTCGTACCGTTCATCGTTGACAATGGGCCCCTCGGTTCGTGAATACAGGGAAAATCGTAGTCTTTGGAGGAGCCCAGCCAGGCAACGGATCTGGGAATGACTTTGTAGGCAGAATTGTTGCGCTCGGGCCTGGCGTGCACGACGTGACAGTAGGCGATAGGGTACGCGTGTTGCATCTGCCCAACTGAAAACAGATATCTGACTTGGATGTGTGTATATGATTTGTCAGGTTGCTGGATGGGTGCACGCCGCCTTCGACAAGGCTCATTTCTCATTCCAAGAGTATCTGGCGACACGTTCAGACCTGCTAATCAAGGTTCCTAGCAATTTATCGGACGAGGATGCTGCAAGTATACCTGTCGGCGCGACGACCGCGTTGTTGGGCTTGTCGCGTCTGTTCGACTTCCCGCAGAGGGCACCGCTGGGAAAGACGATTTTGGTCTGCGGGGGCGCATGTGAGTCATCCATGCCGTGCGTTGTGCACTTTTCACCCTCACAACGTTGACCTTGTTTTTGTGTGACAGCGTCCGTCGGCATGTACGTTTGCCAACTGGCAAGCATCGCGGGTCTGCGCGTTATATCCACGGCCTCGTCGCACCACTTTGACGTTGTCCTCTCTTTCGGCGCCTCCTCTGTCATAGACTATCACGCTTCTGACGCCCTGCAACAAATCCTCCACGAGGCTGGCCCAGGCGGAGTTGACTACGTTTTTGACGCCATATCCTTCGGCGATAGTATCAACCTCGCGAATGAGGTCCTCAAATCGAAGATAGGAGGACTGCGGAGGGCGGCTGTTGTGCTTCCTGTTCCACCGACCAGCCTCGACCCGTTGGTGGAGTACCACGCTATCGGGATTCAGACCATCTGGGACAAGCCATACGAGTTCTTAGGTGTCAATATCCCGGTCAGCGCTCTCCTCGCCAGCTCGTATTACAATGTCACTCATGTAGCGTAGGCGATGCCGCGAGATCTGGCGACTGCGAAGGCTGTGTACAGGGCACTGAGCCACTGGTTGGAGAGAGGCACGTTCAAAGCAGGCCCTGTAACGCTGGGCTCTGGTGGCTTACACGGGATCCCAGAAGGGATTGCGCTTGTGAAGGCAGGAAAGGTACGTGTATTTGTTGCTATTGTATGCAAATTCGCACGCTTATCGTGTCAAAGATCTCAGCATCGAAGTTGGTGTATAGAATCGCAGCCTAGTGCGAGGGAGCGTCGGAGAGAGCATGATGAGCCCGACAGCATCCATCTTTCCACAGGTGACCCCGTAACGTTAGTGATTAGACTTCCAGTTGTTGTCTGCGTCGAGCACGGCGATGGTCAGAGCTGGTCGGGGCGGGGAGAATTGCATCACTACGAGTTGGACTCAACACTGGTTAGGGGCGGCCCGAGACCTCCACAATTTCGTATCAGACCGATCAGATCGTTCCCCGCTCTCCCCGCGGGGATATCTTCTTTATTTCACAGCGCCTGGTGACTGGTCCTGTTAAGGAACAAGCCTTGCGCCATGCTCAAAGGAGCCCGCTTCCCGTCGATCGGTATCTCCCCGGCCCCGAAGGGAGGTCTACCCACTCCAAGGTATTCGTGTCCTGCTCCCGACCACCATGGACAATTGGACACGTTCGCCCCAGGTTCGATTGAGTCAAATTGTCTTTGATACACCTTCAGTTGCGCACACCGCGGAATATTACCTATCAGTCAAGAACTTCGCCGTTGCTGGTGTTCGGAATGTTGGATGATTTAACGTTGAGTATTGCTCAACCAGAAAGTGGCAAGAACCTGTTTTGAACGACGCCTCAGGCATTATCCGGCTAGCTCGTGCTATGGTCAAGGGGAAGGCTCGCGTGAGCTTGCCTATTCATAGTTCCCAGAATTACATCCGAAGACGATGACAGACCCGCTTCTAGGTTGAGGGCTTTGTATCTTATTGTCCTACAAGGCCAAGCTGCGTGTTGAACTTGTTTGTATAGTATGATCGACTCACTAAACTGTAGAGGACTACCGCTCTCGCGGTGGTCACCGCTATGGCCTGCAGTTGGTCTCTTTCTCTTAATGCTCACAAGAGTGAGTAAATTCTTTGAAGTAAACACGAAACGTCAGGCTCAAAAAATGCTAATGAGCGGAGAAATGAACGATGAGCTGGCATTTTACACGGCTAGCTCCAGGATATTAGACTTTAAGCGAGGCTCGATAGTCTCGATAAGCGGATTGAAGTAACAGCACGAAGGTCTGAGCAGAAGAGCTGGACGTGTGCCCTCCCAAAGTGAATTGGGCGACAGTGTTCAAGAGCCAGCCATCCTCGTCGATGCTATCAAAGACGAGTGTCGTCGCGTTGTTCGCTGAAAATATTATGAGAGAAATTGAGTCTGGTCAGGGAACATGAACGTACCATGGTCGATGTATAAAGGCACACCAGTTGCAATGGCCATGCGATACGTGACAGCGGCGAGGAGTGCGGTAGCCGAGGAATCAGATAAGCCTAAGTCATTGTCGATGTAGTTATACAGAGTGCCATTCTCTCCCTATCATTTTCCAGTGGAGATCAGAATAAAGTATCCGCAGATAGCTTCAGACATACTTGTTGCTTCCAAACGCCATCCAAGACCTCGTAGATCCAGTGTATCAAATTGTTACGCTCAAGAACGAAGTCCTCAGCATCACACGCATTGTTGATCGTATCCATCACCCTCAGCATACCGGCGGCAGCCCAGGCGTTGCCTACGATATCGATATACGTCAGCACCATATGTATTGACAGAGTTCTCTTGAGTACAGGCTCACCAGTTGCCCAATGTCCGGAATCCGGATTTGTTCCATTGGCTTGATGTCTCCAAAGACTTACATTCGCATCATATAACCCGTCATGATAAAGGTTGATTTGATTATAGGCATCCTGAATCAATGCATTTCCTTCCTTACCACCCTTGAGTGCACCGTAGTATGCGATGAAGGGAGGTACCATATAGGTAAAGTCGGCCCTACGGACATCAAAAAGTGAGAACATTCATAATGTTCTCAGTCATTCTCCAGGATCAAGCACGTACACTAGTTGTACCTCGGAATCGATGGAAGAGATAACGCCGTGAGCCCCTCGCGGAGCAACATTGAGAAGGAACTCCAGCTGATCAGCCGCAGCTTGCGCGAAGCTGATATCGGAAGAGTTAGGGCGAGTCCAGTTGGCCAAAAGCACTCCGACTCCAAGGCCTGCACAACGATTCGATTACCACTCTCGAAGGAAGTTTATAACACGCACTTGCAGGGTCAGCGGTCGAACCATGTCCATCCGCGAGTGGCAGCGTACCCGCACTCTTATTTGCGACAACTCTAGATCACAGGTCATTCGGGCGGGACTGACAGGGCGGGACAGACACTACACCGTTGGTGAATTAACACTCACTGCGTAGCATAATTAATCACATCAGCTGCCTCGCCATACTCTAACATCGATGGCGGTGGGATAGATCCTGGCGTGAGCACCGACAGCACAGGCTATGGCCACTCTCGTCATTTCAAGAAATTACAAAAGTGTGCGAAGGTGTGACACACCCACTCGAGCTCCAACAGTCCCTGCATGAGCACACCATATTCCCAGCTAGATAATCATGAGTAGGCAAAGGCAACGTAGAGAAATGCGGATCGCACCTGGTAGATGCCATTTCTTCCGCATGACCCCTCACATTCTGAATCGCATCGTTGCTCAGGATCGAAGGTTCCACGCGGCGATTTTGACGAGCGCACGAGATCATGGTCATACACAGTGACACAAGAAGTATATGCAAGGGCATAGCTGATAGAAACATGGATAGGGAAGCGGGTTGTAGAAATCGTTGAAAGTCCTGCGTGGTTTGATTGTCAGTTCAAAGGATATGAGGGAACCTCGATAGATAGTACTAGAAGTTTGATATATGAGCGACCGCAGCGGCAGCGTCAAGGTGCACCGCCTCGAGATGTCTTCAGACAAACCACCATCATGGTGATGGATCGCAGGAGGCCCAAGGGCCAAGACTATCCAGATGGACGAAGCAGAGCATGGAAAATCATGACAATGCACCATGACGAACGGAATTTTAGTGTTTCCCACGCATGTCCCGCAACAGCTTACTTCTCAAACGTGAGACTCCGTTCTGCATACATGTTCTACAAAATACATCCCTGAAAACCGTTCCAAGACATCCATGCGACCTTCATTGTATGTGAGACTCTTTCTCCTGCTCCAGCATGGAGATCGCCTGTGCATGCCTAGGAGTGATCTTGCAATTGAATGGGATAGGATGGCTTGAAACCGATACCACAAATCAATCACGTTTCGGAGTAGACAAGGAGACATAGAAACTTACACGGATAGCCCATCATCAACGCAGCCTTCAATATCCATCGGCACCGGTACTCCTGTCTCATTGGTTGGGCGATCGATGTTCATGGCCCAGAGCATCATCGCAATCTGGATGAACAGAGAGTTGTTCGCGACGTGGCGTCCGACGCAGATCCTCCGGCCAAACCCATACGTGAAGTGGCTCTCATCCTTCGTGTCCGCAAGCCCGGGAAGGATCTGGCCCTTCTCGTCAAGGTGGCGAGATGGGTTGAACTCTTTCGCATCAGGGCCATAGATCCTCTCATCACGGTTGAGGTGCCAGACGTTTGCGATGATGGTAGTACCAGCGGGTATGAAATAACCTTCGTACCAGTCATCCTGGAGGGTCGCCCCTTCGGTAAGTGTTTTTCTCGTAAGAACGTATTATTTACCTCGGTAGACCGGTGAGGTATTCCAACGGGATCCTGTGCGGCTCCCAGATGAGATTCGAACTACCAATGAATGACTGTAACACATACGATTGGACGCCATCTCAGACATTCTTTGACCTAGAGGTAGTCAGACTATCGAAGATTGCAAAGGACTTAAAGGCACCCACCATGCCACGGATATATGGCAATTTGTCGAAGTCGGCAAAAGTCGGCAGCCTGTCGCGCCCCACGACCGCATCAATCTCAGCTTGGCCACGCTTTTGGACTTCAGGATAAAGAACCATCGCGAAGATCCACCAGGACATAACTGTTGCATTCGTGTCCGTAGCAGCCCCACTAGAGAGAACGAGCGCGAGCGTGAGTAAAAAGAATATGATGCATATAAAGAAGGAGACGTACTACATAGTCCCGGCCAGCCAAGCGTTCTCCCTTTCGGAGAGACCATGACGACCAGCATCTTCTATGAGACTAGCACAAAGGCTCGGGCGGTCTTCTCCTTGTTCCTGCATGCCATTCAGCATGGAAGCGACGAACAAACTAGATCAAAACATACGACACGATCCCGCACACCTTTGAAGAGGCCCTCGAATAAGATCGAATCTTGGGCAAAATAGTCAAGAGCCTGCCGTTTCCATTTTGCGAACCTGGTAGATGAAAGCAGCCCTTCAGCATTTGGATAGCTCTACAAGAATGAAGAGGCTCGCTTGCTGGGGATGTAGATCATCCATGGGAAGAATTCTACAAAATGTGCGCCAGGAAGTGCAGCGCGCGTGAGGCGGATGACGAAATCATTGATGCGCTGCACAGTAGGATCTTCTTCTGAGGCGATGGGGGGAGTGTCGTAGAGCATTGACATGATAGAAGAGACGGCGGTGCGACGGAGATGAGCCTCCCAATTCTCAGGATCAGTCAAAACACCCAAGGTAAGAAGCACGGCCTCGACAGCCTGAGTAGGATGATACTTGTGCGCCACAGCCTTGTTGAGGGCCTCGTGAGCGGCTTTGCGCAAGCGGCGCCATCTGAGAGCAGACGTGTCAACGAAATATGGATAGCAAGAGTAGTGAGACTAACACGTCGTTGTAGTGTGTAAAAGTGATGAGAAGTCCGCCCGTCATCAGATCGTTCGGAACAATGTTCTGCGGTCTGTCGGAATATATTGTAGCGCGGCGATCCATAAGATCCCCCGCAATCTTCTGTGAACTTATGACCACGATAGGCTTGCCGGCGACGTTGACGTAGATGAGGTCCCCTGGACGTAAAGTTAGTCAAGATCTGGAAATCCTCGGTGACACTGACCATATTTCTCTCTCCATTCAGAGAATACGAGCCATTGCTTCTCTTGAAGCTGCAGCAGGTTCCCTATGATCGGAAGTCCGCGCGGTCCAGGAGGGAGTTTCCGTCTTGGACTATTGAAATATCGCACTGCAAAGTATGCAGCGATGCCAACGGACGCGACGAAGGACAGAGGCTTGTTGCTCTGAAACACCTTGATCACGTCAAACATGATGGCAGCCAAAGAAGCGAAGGAATTCTTGTATCACTATCAAAATGGTTATATGGCCGTTGCCTGCGGATAAGCGCAGATGCCCCCATGAGGTGAGGATGAGGGGCGTGTCGTAGAATCGTTTACGGAGTGGTGGAGCCTACGGCTCGGAGTTCGAATGGATGTGGGTCTCTTGTGGGTCTCGCTGCATCTCCGCTGTCACCGTGATCACCAAGGCAAGGGACTACAGTACGTCGTTAATTTAGATTCCAAAACAAGAGACTTTCCCCATGTAGAATTAAGGGTCGTCGGTGGATCAGCGCTCTGCGATCTCTTCAAATCAGCTCTTTCTCCATGAAGCCACCAACTGCCGTAACCTCATGCGGAGGGATGCCGTGGGTCGCTTTACCCACTTGACGCGCACTTGAAGCAGAGTTCAGCCTGGATGACACCTATTATTCCTATGTAGGTGGCTCTGCCGTTCTCACTCAAAGCCGCAGTTTCAAGATCATTCCAGAGTTTGATGATGAGAAATAATTCTGTCGCTGGGACACTTACCTCCATAGCGCGGCCCTGTTATGTCTATGTCTGCAATCACCCATATCTCCTTCAACCTAGACTCGAGGATTTCTTCGCTCCTTTGACGCGAGCTGCATTTTAACCGGGGCATGTTGTCAACTTCTGCCCGCAGAATGTATACATCCGAGTTGATAGGGACTCACATGGTGTCCGGAATTGAGGCGGCACCCAGCCGAAAGTCTCAACTATACACTCACTTTCACTCTGACTGGATCTCCGAGGTCATGCACAGGATCCAATTGGACTCTCTGATTTCTCAACCCTGGTATCATCTTGTCCTCCGAAAATTATTCTCGCTTAAATTTCTCAGGATGACTAGGATGATGACCATCTCATCCATCGTCATCACCGATGCTTGACAGTTCGATTTCAACCCATAACTTGAGGGCTGACGCAATGTAGCTCAATCATGCATAGCATCCTGACGAAAAGACCAGATTAGACTCAAGCCCCCGATGTAAGCGAGGATCATCATGGAACTTACGGATTTGGGAAGATATCCACGTTGAGCGTCGACTCCGTCTATTCATGCTCCGAGTGCCCAACTACTCTCTGACATCTTGAGAGCTTCCGTCCGTGCGTGATCCCAGTCGACCGTTTTTGCGACGATATGCCCTCCTACTTGGATGGCGGAGTTGTTTCGCCTCAATGGGCGATGAAAATAGGTGGTATTGGTATACGAGTATTTCATATGTCTTGGAAGGACTGTGGATTTCGAATCCAGCATGCAGACCTGAAAGGGAAATAGCTAGGCGATCGTCGACGTTGCATTAAGTGAATCCGAACTCAGGAGGCGGCGCGATGTCATGAGCATTTCTCTACGATCGATATCAAGATGATATTATCTGGACTGAATATCATGACATATAATGGAATCAGTCCTAGGTGAATAGTCAGGATGGAGCATCGAGAACGAGTTCTGCTCTGGAATTGTGAGGGTGGACGAGAGTGGTGCCGAATTGTACCGAATTGCGGAGAGCTGTGACGGTTCTCCCATGACCCTAACCCTAGTAATCACGTGTCCAACTGCCAGCAGTCAACAAACATCCCTTCCGCTATCTTTCGGCATGAGTCGGCTACAGACCCATTGTCACTGTATCCCTTGAAGCCGATCCAAAATCCCTGACCTATCTGTGTTCATTCAGCGCGTAGTCAGTCAATTTTTTCCACATACCCTCCACTGTTTCAGCTGATTCTTATGCTCATGTTCACCTCGCTCATAACGACTTTTAGTTCATGTGCCGTTTCTACTTGTTCTCCTCCCGACGAAGGGGTTGAAAGCGTTGACTTCTCCATATAATGTAACTCGACAGTATTACGCCTGGTTCAGTACCTCAATCAATGTTCGGCCAATTCTAATCTACACACACTTGATTTGCACTGATTGCTTCTTCGAGTCTATAGTCAGAGACATTGATACTGGAGCGCATGAAGACATGTATCACAAAATAGATCCATTGACGACCTGAGGACCTATATCCTCCGTGCGCTCCTTGGGCATCAAGGTAACCCATCTCGATTTCATGATCTCAACGCCCCTCGTCCCGAAGTATCTCTCACTTTCGAAGCTCCACTGATCATTTGCTCGCACCCAGTTTCCCAAGCCATCGCAGTACTCGGCTACCCATGAGTCGATCAGCTTTCCCCATTTTGGCACCCTCCCTAGGGCGTCGAAAAATTTAGTCTCTAGCTCCACATGATACTTGGCCACCCAGTCCATGGCGCCTTCTACATCCGTCTTCAACTCGTTCATAACGATTGTCACGATGTTGTGAGAGTCGTCCCCTCGAGCCTGCTCAAGGTTATACGAGACAATGTCCTGGAGAAGGTGATGCGTGAGTTGTAGCTCGCTCGCACTCAGGTGGTCATAGACACTGACATTTCCAATACAGAGCATGTCAATGGTTGCTATATGCAAATCGTGCATGGTCGGGTGCTCGAAGACCTCGTCAGGAATACTCATATCCTGTTCCAGGATGGTGAAAGAAGGCTTGGCTCCGATCGTGTCCCGGCGAACCTCGAGGTAGCTCTGAATATCGCGAATGTTTGAGTGGCTTCGGTCAGTAGCTTGAGCTACAACTGCCTCTAGATACTGGTCAAAAGTATCGATGAAACGCTTCTGCGATCGTTCGCTAGCATGGGGGATTGCTCGTTCCCAAAACCTATCTGTCCATCAGATATTTCCTAGCAGACGGACAAATATGAATTAACGGACTGGCGAGCAACCTCTCCCCCGATCCATTCTCCTTTTGGACGCGGTATGTCGGGATTCCTCAATGCATCCATGACGACGTTCTTCTGCTCACGAACCTCAGCTTCACCGGAAACATCTGAATATTCGTCGATCACGAAGAACAGGTTCATCAAGTCGCAGCCGGTACGGCATCGTTCTAATTTTGAGTGAGGTTACAGCCGTTTTATTTGCGTGAGTATGAGTGACCGACTAACCTTTAGTCGCGATAGGGTAGGCGAGAGAAGCGAGAAGATCTGGAGAAATTTCATGTAAATAAGGCGCAACACCCAATTCAAAGATTGATCTTACTGAAATCGCAGCGGTTGAAAGCGTGTTGCGCTTTGGAACTAAAGGCCTTGAAACTCTCTGTCCATGCCGCCGACTCCTTCTTCACCTCCGCGTAGTGCGGGTTGAGGTGACGGGCCCAAGGCCATTGAGCGAGCGTATCGGGAATGAAAATCTTCTGCGATGGTCGGGTCATGGTTAGACGGCCGAGATGGGAAGGTGTAGAAAGACCTGGTACAGCGGTTAATTTATAGCATCGCAATCCCCCCCCAACCTCCCCCCAACATGTTGTCTGGCTGGTCTAACCAGTCGCAGATAGTCTGTCGCCATCAGAGAAACCCTCGCTTCACAGGACAACGTGCTCCACTGGCGTCCGGGTCGAGTTCCCAGTATTTCAACTTCTAATGATTTCTCGAACAGTGCGATCGTAAATTTTGGAGCGCTCGCTCTTATTTTTTCTCGCGCTTCATGTCAGATTGTGCAGCGAACACCCCCTTTCATCCCAGCCTACTCTTCAGGCCTATGTAAGCTGGGTTCGAGAACAGCCGCAAATGCCTCGCCAAGCGCAGGTCGTTAGCTTCAGCGGCTGAGCTCTGGCTAGCAGTACCAAATTGGCTTTGAAATCGATTTGCTTTAGTCCATCATTCTCCCAATCAGGAGCATGCGAACGAGAGCCTCACACGCCAATCATATGGGTGTTATACGGTTTGTTCTTTCAGCCGTAATTGCAACTCCATGGAATAGAGCCTAACTGGGACTAAATACAGTTATGCCGCCCACTGGAACTTGATGCTTGATGAGGCGAATATAGGATGGAGTTAGATACGTCATGTTTTATCTGGAAATCCGACGCGAATGGATGCTGATATTGCAAGGAGTGATCATGGCGACTTACTCTCTCCTGTAAGTCTTCAGTGACAGAAGTCATCGCTTGCCACTAACTTGATTTCCTCGTAACTGTGGACCGGTGCATTCACACACCACAACATACCTACTGTGCTACGCGCGACTCGTCACCAACTACGCAGAGGACCATGAAGCTCTTCGAATTTGTTCGCAACCTCGTCGATCCTATCCTGGCGATTTTCATTGCACGAAATGTGGTCGTCACACCGTCATCATTCGCGGCATCTGAATTTGACGTCATCATTGTTGGAGGAGGCACGGCAGGTTTGGTGGTGGCGAACAGGCTCACTGCCCCGACATCTACTTCAGCCAGACCTCTCCGCGTGGGAGTCATCGATGCAGGGCGGTATGCACCTCTGGGAGATCCACTCATCGACATTCCATATGGTGCCAATATCTTCACGCGTACCCCGGAATCGTCGATGGTGGGAAATCCAGAGTACGACTGGATGTATCAGACTGTGCCCCAGCCTGCTCTGGAGGGTCATGTAATAGGCTATCCACGGTACGCTGTTCTGTCTCTGGCAACATAGATATCCTCAAATTGTTGGTGCTGGTTGTAGCGGCAAGGTTCTCGGCGGGTCATCCGCACTGCATGCCATGGCGTGGCAACGCGGTTCTCGTGCTGACTATGACGTGTGGGGGTCGGCGTTCGGAAATGGCGATGAATGGAACTTTGATGGTCTGCTTCCTTACTTCCAACGCGCCGAAAATTGGACGGCGCCGCCAACTGGTGCAGATGCACTCCTTCCCGACACTGACACGATTGATCCACTCTTAGCTTCGGCATACGGCAAGCACGGTCCGCTCCCTCTCAGCTATAGTAGCTATGTTACCGATCTAGATCGGCCTCTCACCGAGGCGAGCGTGAAGCTCGGATTCCCGCTCAACGACAATCCGGACGCAGGTAATTCAAATTATATTCCGCGACACGGCATTGCTCGCACCCTGGATCCTACCACAGGGAAACGTGGTTATGCTGCCAGCGCTTACTTTGGACAGGGCGTCAGTTCGAGGAACAATCTTGTGGTTTTGACGGGCGCTCTAGTCACTCGTATTATATGGGATAATTCTACGCTCGGAACTAAAACAATTCAGGCAAAGGGGGTTGAGTATGTTGTGGGAGACGAGAGATTTATGGTGGAGGCATCGAAAGAGGTTATTTTGTGCGCAGGTTAGTAGCGTCGCAGCTTCAACCTGTCTGAATTGGGATGTGCTTATCAAGATCGTAGGATCCCTCAAGACGCCACAACTTCTAGAACTCTCTGGCGTCGGCAAGGCTTCCCTCTTGAAGCGTTTGGGAGTTCCTGTCATACTTGACCTTCCTCAGGTCGGAGAGAATCTCATGGATCATCCCGTGAGCATTTCCGATTTCAAAGTCAAGAACGGCGTGGAGACACTCGGTGCGGATGCCATATTAAATTGAGGTCTGCGTTTGTAACTCACATTTTGCCAGATTGGCTCGCCTTCAACCAGACCCACTTCCAGAAGCATCAAGACCTTTAGTGAGTTGGATTCCTACTCCCAGGATAGATCCTGCTCAATCCCTCCGCAGCAACAATTCTAGAACTGGAGCATTCACGTATACGCCGCGCATCACCGGCGGTTGGCCTCTGAAAGACCTTATCTTGGCAGATGAATACAAGAAGATGCGCTCGGAGTTGGATGTCACCTTATCTAGATTGACGACGACGCCACTCCAACGCGCGCAGTACGAAGCGCTCAAAAAGATGGCCGACGGAGGCCACGTTGCGTGGTTCATGCCAGCAGTCATACCGAGAGGTGGTATGATCAGCGCACCAAAACCGGAAACAGGCTACGTCACCGTCATTGGTTTCCAATTGGTAAATGCAGGATTTTATTGACGTTTCACGCCGTACTCATATCCGTAGCATGAGTTTGCGCGAGGATCTGTGGTGAGTTTGTATCTCCTCGTTTTAACCCTTCAGCCTTATACTGCATTGGTACAGCACATAAACAGTACAGATCCCATGGCGCCGCCGGTGATCGATAATAAATTTTTGTCTCTGCCGTGGGGTACGTTGGTTCATAGAGTCGAATGGATCCCTCCTTTCTGATGACTATGAGCATACCCTAAGACCTCGATGTGCAAACCCATGGGATGCAGTTTATTCAAAGATGGATCCAAACAGAACCTGTGGCAAGCCTCATTGATGAGCTTGTCACACCACCTGCGAGTACACAGAGTCATGAGGAGTGGACTGGGTGGATTAAGAAGACAATTTGGGTCAGTTTTCTTTTTGTTCTTACATCGCAAAGTTCCAAATCTGACAAGTATTTCTCATTTGAATCAGTCTATGGCTCATCCAATGGGTGCGTGGATTGTCCTCTTGCTTTGTCCCATCCTATATAGTCACATCAACAGGCTCGACGGCCATGGCCTCTGAGCATCTCGGAGGTTAGTAGACCTTCTCTAGCTGTCTGTTTAGCCCGTTGTTCTGACCTGAATGGTCAGGCGTTGTCAACCCCCGACTCAAAGTCTATGGTATCAAGAATGTGCGAATTGTCGATGCAGGGATCATTCCCATGACTATCGGTGCGCCTATTCAGTCCGTGGTGTACGCTCTAGCGGAAAAAGTTTGCGCAATCATTGTTCATCTCGATGAGGTATATTTGACTGATTTCTCGCATTACACCGCGCCAGGGTGCAGCGATGATTGCGGAAGATCTGAACATTAACGCTCGTGAGATTCCTCTCAGAAAACAGGAACTCTGAGGACGCATTGGTGTTGCTAAATGGCAGTGTATCAATCGAATCATGACAATTGACAAGTGCTTTGGTTAGGCTTGATGATGATGATGACAATTGAGTCAAATGACCATGAATCCAAGGAAGCACGAAAAACGACTGACACTATCGCCGTGGATATTTGTTTAGATCACAAAGGCACATATCATCTGGCTCGGAACATGGGTCACCACCGAGAGAAGATAGTCCTATGAATGCGACCCCATCGGACAGGTATTCACAATCATGGAGGATGCAGCACCTTGCGATCTGATCGTACTCCTCGCTGCGAGTCACTTGACCACCTAAATAGAGTACAATGTACGAATTCAGGGCCGGGGTTGGCTACTGCTTCGATGTCTAGGCACAACCAGCTTCGCGACTTCCATTGCGCAACCGAAAAAGTATCACCCTATTGTGAGCTGAACATGGCTATGGGAATGCTGGTCTCAAATCGAACCAGGCCGACACTGTAGCCGTCATCAATGTTACACACACCCATTTGTTGTGTGCCATCCGCGTATAGCCATCCAAAAAGGAGGAACGTACTGCGGAAGGCGTCTCTGTCACAGCCAATCAGTTGACGCTTGAAGATCAAGGTGAGGCTGAACTGAGTATACCGATATCTCCGGACTAATTTTTCCCAGAGGCGAATGGAACATAGAAATTGGAAGGGGAAATATTGATCCACTGTTGCATAAGACGGGGATAACCTTGCCAGACAATGACAGATTCGTGAGAGATGCCTCGAGCAGTTCTTCGGCAAATGTCATATCCCATTAGGCTGTCGTTGTTGGCACTTTTGGCTCTGATGCTCTCTAGAAAATGGTTGGATTGGTCAGGTCGGATCGAAAAGGCAATCGGGTGAGGAAAATTTACTGAGATCATAAGGGCAGAGATGGGGATGGATTAACAATTGGCCGACATGTCATAGATATCAGTAATGATTCTTGGGTTCCTCTCAGTCATGATACACATTGAAGCCTGACTGACATCGATAATTCCATGGGAAAAATGCTTCTTGATAGAGGGAAGCCAAGATTAGTGATTCTGTACCGTTTGCCATCGGAGGTTAGTACAGCTTTTGGATCGAGTGTACATGAGACTTGGGTGATATATTGTGAATATAAATCGGAGATAGTACTCCACTCAATGGCATTCCCATGAGGTTGGAGATACCAAGCGTTTTTCAAAAGGCCTTTGAAGGGCCAGATGCAGGGATTTGGTAGTTTGGACTTCAAGAGTAAGCTGAGTTTCAATGGTGCGCGGGAGCTGAGGGCATCCGGCACGTCGGATCTAGGTCCGTCACAACCACGCGCTGTTCCTACTAGCAACTCTTCTCTTCTCTCCTCCTTTCGCTATGCTTCCAAGCACAGTCAGAAACATCCACTTCTGTTTCTGGTGTGTATTTCATGGCTCGTCATCGATATCACTCTTGTCATCATGCCGCCTAAAAGCCGATGCGTCACCGTTCCAGACTCTTATTTATTGTTGTCACCTCATCGACTTGGCTCGAGCATTCTCTCTGTAAAATGCTTGTTCTCGGCCTTCCGTTTTCTCTTGAGCTGGTACTGGTATTATTCATTGGAACCGTTGCATACTCGATTGTCCGTTACGTCCGCAGTCCATGGCGTCGCTTGCCTCCTGGACCGAAAGGCTTTCCTGTGATCGGTAATATTTTACAATTACGCGACAAGCAGTGGACAACCTTTACTGAACTCAAGCGTTCATTCGGTGTGTTCTCAATTATTTGTTCTGCCAAATTTTGTGCTTATCAGTTTTCAGGAGACCTCATGTATCTCAACGCCGCCGGTCAGCCCCTCATGGTCATCAACTCCCAGAAAGTGGCAGCCGACCTCCTTGATCGTCGTGCCGGCAAATCTTCCGGAAGGCCACCTCTAATTGTTGCGGATGTACTCACAGGTGGTAATGTGATCGTCTTCCTTGGATACACCGACGTGTACGCACTTCCTCCTGCGTTCGCCCTTTGTTATTTCTTTTCATACTTCAGAGTTTAGCTGGCGCAGAATGCGTAAAGCTACTCATGAAGGATTTAACAAGGCTGTGGTACACCGATATCACCCCGTGCAGTTCGCAGAAGCCATCCTGCTCACAACGGGCATCTGTGCTCAGCCACAACAGTGGGATGCACATTTCAGACGCAGCGCGGCATCATCCATCATGTCTATAGTCTATGGAACCCCGCCAGTAACGTCGGAAAATGATCCCTCCGTGAAAAGTGTCAATGACCATGTCGCACGCTTGACTCGCGCGAACATTCCCGGCGCTCACCTCGTCGAAGTTTTCCCGTGGATGCGCTACCTGCCTAGCAGGTGTGTACTTTCTACCGTCGCACCGCTCCTTGCGTGTTTAATAATTGAGATTGCATTGCTCAGCATGGCGAAATGGAAGAGGGATGCCGAACAGTGGTGCAAGCGTGACTCGAAGATGTTTGGAAACCTTTTTCGGTCTGTTCGCGATCGTTTAGTACGTGTCGATGTCCCGCAGGCACGTTCTTTATGCTCAATGTATTAATTGGGAAGTACAGGTGAAGGGAGAAGCACGAGCGAGTCTTGCTGCGACTCTCATCGAAGACGCCGGTCGAAACAACCTTACGGAATCCGAGAATGCATGGACAGCTGGAACGATGTAGTGCGTGTAGCTCTCTCTAGTCATGCCTATGGATGTGCCTGACGGCCTATACCCAGTGCTGCGGGCGCGGAGACCACAGCCGGTGTCATGGCCTGGTTCCTTCTTGCGATGACCGCCTTCCCCGAGGTTCAGCAGCGCGCGCAGGTAGAACTCGATATTGTCATCGGTCGCTCCCGGGTTCCTACATTCAGCGACTACGAACGGCTGCCCTACATCCGTGCCATCGTCAAAGAGGTCTTGCGCTGGCGTCCGGTCGATCCTGTTGGCATGCCGCACCGCACCACAGAAGACGACTGGTATGAAGGATACTTCATACCTGCGGGCAGTGTAATACTCCCGAATGTGTGGCAGATGAACCGCGATCCCGAGATATATGGCGCAGACGCTGCAGAATTCAATCCCGCGAGGCATCTGGACGAACGTGGCGGACTTGCGCCGGCGCCTGTGCATACGAAAGAGGAAAGTCATGTCTCATACGGGTTCGGCCGGCGGATCTGTATCGGTAGGCATGTTGCCAACAACTCCCTCTTCATCAATATCGCTATGATGCTCTGGGCGATGAACATCGAACGCGCGAAGGATGAGAATAGGAGTTTACTTCCTCTCGATGTCGATGGTTGCATCGAAGACGGTCTAGTCGTGTACGCATCGCATTTCTGATCGTTCTCGATTCAATTAATGACGATCGACACTTCAGTCGTCCCGTGCCGTTCCAGTGTCAGATCAGACCTCGGTTCTCGGAAGCGATCGTCCTTTTGGAGCAAGAACAAAAGGAACTTGTTTACTACTGATATCTATTATTGAATGCCCTTGTATTCTAGTGTAGACATATTCGTGTTCACCTTAGACTACCCCTTCTTTCTCTTCTTGTCTACGGAGTCACTTTTCTTAAACATGTCTTGTCGTCCAGTCACTGATGTATGATATGCACGGAATGAAATTTGATACACGCGCTTCAGCCAATGCCAATCGGGCTCGGACTGAGCAGAGTGCCATCAATCGATTGGGAAGTTGCTTGAAAATTAAGGCACCAACCTTATGCTATAGTTTGAGGAAAGGTCCGTCTATGGTAGCTACAATCTGTACTAGAAATGTCCGACATAGGGTTTCTTTTACCCTGCATGGACAATAAATTGGATTTTTTCTCAATAAAAATAAAAAAAGATCCGTCTAGAGACGTTGCTACTTTCACAGACCTCCTCTAAACGACTGCAGTGCGGCCTCATTTTTGTTGCAAACAATGAGACGGGCACAAGAGACATCGCTTCAGCGTAAACAACGCGATGCAAGGTGCATATTGATTTAAGTGACGTCAAACTTGACGAGCCTTCAATTAGATAATTCAAAGAATTGGCTCCTCAGTAGTATCTACATAGTCTACAGCAAAGTTCACACGCAAACACCGCATGGTGACCATGAATCACGCACGACTGATCTAGTCCTGCGTCTGATGAATCAAAGCGAGAGCGGCAGCCGAGCGTGGTTCGAAAGTACAATCAAATGGAGCGGGATGACTGGATTGATAGAGTTGTCAACCCTAAGTTTCAGAGATTGAACGAGGATCACTCACTTGATAGTGGACCTGCGAAACTCTATTGCAGGCGTGATGATGTTGCCTTTCTCGTCGACCGCTTTCTTGATGTTGAATACGGTGAGAATAGTAGCCATCGCAATCCAGACGGTATCAAGGGCCATATTCTTGCCCGAGCAAGATCTGATGGAGGAAGAGGATATTAGAATAGATTTTACGCCCGCAATGGTCCCAACTTGCCGTCTGCCGTAGCCAAAGACCCCACACTCAATAGGATCACGAACACCTTCCGCCTCGTGACGTTCCGGTTTGAATGTCTCGGGATCAGGATACACATCTGGGTTATGCATGATTGCCCTGAGGAGTGTATGCATTACTATATCAATAGTACTTAAGGGGGAGAGGTAGGTTTACCAGGTATTTCCGAGGATTGTCGCATTTGCCGGGATATGGAACCCCTTATATGTGTCCGCGCTCATCGCACGATGCGGGATGGCTATGAGTAGCAAAAATCATTCAGGACAGTGAAGATCTGATACAGTATTTTCTTACCGAATGGGACTGGTGGGTGCATGACAACATCAGTGCCGCGAAATCTCGCCGGAAGTAGAAGGCTCACAGACTACGAGCCACCTAAGCACTTCACGCATCACGTTCCAGAAGTAAGGTAGGTGCTCCTTGTCCTCGAACGTAGGCAGTCTTTCACCGCCGAGCACAGAATCGAGCTCAGTCTGTATCCGCTTCTGGACCTCGGGATGAAGTACCATGGCTAGTACGAAACTAGTCAATGTAGCAAGATTCTGTGATCTCGTCTGTCAGGATGTGGGGTGGACACATCATGGGTACCTAAACTACACACAGTGTCGCTCCCTAAACACCGAGGATCAGGGAGATTTTCCGGATTCACAAACAGACGGATTTCTCACCAGCAGCGTATACAACAGCAGCGATACTCTTGATCACGTCTTCGTCAAGTGACTTTGACGCTGCGTTTGTCCTGTCTTCGAGGCAAGAACCGACAAAACAAGGTTTTGCTATGCCTTTGGTCTGGAGAGAATGACGACGAATTAATTGAAATTGATGCGATGCTGCAAAGACGTACGTGCTGGTCCCTGACCATATCAAAAGGCCGGTTCACCACCGCTTCTTGAAGAATACGCCATTCACGAGCAATCTTTTTGAAACCTGCGCCAGGCATCCATTCAGGGACATACTTCACTGAATCGTGAACGAAAGTGTAAGAACAGAGCAGTGAGAAAGAAGATCACTTGGACTCACGAATGGGAAAGGTGTCGACTAGGAATGTACCCGGGACTGTCGCCGTCGATGTGGTCTCCGAGGCTGCCTTGTTGACCAACACGAACGGATCTTTCATCGCGTCCTCAAAGGTGTACCCATATCTGTGCCTCCGTTCAAAAAGATATTGTTCCAAACCAAAGTGAACGGCCTCACACTCTCTGCATGATGATACGCGCAGTATAGCTGCACAAGGGCAAATCTTCATAAGTACGTCGACGAAGAAACGATGCAGCTCCAACTCACTGCTCCAGATGATCAAGGAATTTCTTGGGAGTTCGGTCCGAGAGCAGAAGTCGAACAAGTTCATGGGCTGCTGGCACTTGGATGACACGGTGCTCCTTGATAGTCGCATCGAATTCGTTGTGGAAAACACGACGATGCTCCTTCCATCGAGGACCATATCTCATTAGCGCAAACGTCCAGTCCCAACCAACCCTATCCAATACATGCTTTAGGAGTACCATAAATGGGTGAAACATGGTCACACACAGGTCAATGAGCATTGGCATATCCGGTCTGTCAGAGTAGTTCGCCCCCCTTGAGACATACAAATCCGCAACCGCTTGAGCAGAGTTCAAGATGACCGTCGTGTGTCCGAGTGTTGTGAGCGAGATGACATCATCACCTGCGCACCCAGCAATCAGCAAAGAGAGAAAGCCGAGAGAAATCCCGAAGTACACACCATATTCCTTAGACCAGTCACGAGCTTTGACATAGAGAGCATCGCCGCCGAAATCAAACAGATTGCCGATGATGGGAAGACCTGTGCGTTTTTGAGATTAGATCGCAGTTGATCAAACTATAGCTAACGATGAAGTACGAACCTTTGGGTCCCGGAGGTAGATGCAGGGATCTCCTTTGCAGCATGAGTACTATGAGCACGGCGACGACGAAAGCCGCAGAGTAGAAGAGAAAATCCATTACTATGCTTGTTATCTCGGATATTCCTTGAACTGAAACCCATATGCACCGCCATCTTTGAGTTTATAAGCTTAACTACATCCATGCATGTCAGCAGCATCATTGCGAGGGGTCAATCCGGTTGATCGTACACTCCTGAATGTTCGCTTCGGTTTGCATAGCATCACCACTATTCCGTCGACAGCATTTGGATAACCATACACCATGTGGGGAGCTCAATATCCCGTAGCCTCCTATTTTGGTCGGGTCGCCTGAGAAATCCTGGTGTTAGTAGGCGTCCATCATCGTCATAATCGGATGCAATGACTTTCGAATCCGAGGATCGCGGTGTCCACTGTGCGCATGAAGACGGCATGGAGCTTCCTTTGGATGAGATGCCAGCGTGATTTGATGGAATGCCACTCAGTCAGCGATGGACGCTCGTACGAATCGATAGCTAACGCCTGTGTGCGCATTGCGCAGGAGGGGCGGTGGCACCGGGGATTCTTACACCACAACCAGAAAACATCAAGACACTTCTAGAACCAGTACCCCAGCACTCGTACCTTATCTTAACGCGCTCCCAGTTATTCAGAGATAGCGCCCGTGCGACTCGCACAAGCTCGACGAGACGGCATGGTCGTGGTGCCGTTTAGAGTGGAGAAGCGCTTGAAACTCCAGTTACACTCTAGTTTCGGAGTTTCAACACGATTCGGTCATGTCTATGGAGCTACGGCAAGGTTCGTGACGATGGGCGAGAACATGCTTAGGCAAAGGCGTCGGGGCTGTAATAGTATGGCGGGGTGTCACTAGGTGCCGGTTTCGTTTCCCCCACACGGTGTAGGCTATCCGCTGCCGAAGTATGAAGTACGATTCCCAAATTCGAGTCCTTGACCGAGTTTTTCTTTCAAAGCTTGGGTCTGTCGTTTGGGTGTAATATCACGCTGCTCACCTCTGCGACTTGGAGCGCTAGTCCGGCTGTCCAAGCCCGCAGGAGAGTAGAAAACGGAGTATAGAACATGTGGAATACTAGAAGCAAATAAGATAGAAGAGACTAAGTGCAGGAGTACTATCCACCTAAATGTGATGTACGATAGATGCTGATAGAAAATGCAGCGATCTTCAAACCTTAACACTGCTGAAGGCCCTGCGATACACCCAGATCCTGAGCAATCATGATAGCAGCCTACAGTGTATTGAAGAATATAGTGAGTGGGATGCCTCGAGTACGGATGGAGACTCAACCTACGTTCTCTGCCAAGGCGTACACGGTGGGTTGGATGGGCGCGCCCACCGTTAAGGGGATGATGCTGGCATCAACTACTCGCACATTGTCCAGCCCGTAAACTTTAAGTCGGGGACTGACAACACCTATTTGAATTCATTCAGTGAACGAGGTCGTGCATGGCAAACACAAACGCCTGCAACTGACCGCCTAGGGTTTGAGAAGCCATAGCCATGGTGCCTGAATGACAAGCGTCCGCTTGAGTCTAGAGCTGAGCGATCGTGAGGAGGACTAGGGGGAACGCACCAATTGGATGAGCTATAGACTGATCGGAGTAAAATGCGATGGTCGGTATCATGGCTTCGCGACAAGTAAAAGCATAACTCACAGCGAGCGAGCTGAGCACGAATTTGGCCCAATCGGCATCGCTTTCGACACTTGCGGGCGGCGTGCTTGCCTGGTCAATGTAGCTGCTTACGGGCTCCGCGCCTGCCCACCTGCGAAGGAATTTGGTGCCGGCGACCTGAACATCGAGATCTTGGTCGTCATTGAATCAGCAGAAGGACAGCATGCCATCGAGTAAATGGACACACCCCAGTTCAGCGACATGAATTTCGGGTCGATGACAGGCGCCGCGTTGGGATCCGTAGTGTTGATGTGCTGCACAAGGAAAGGTGAGCGGAATACAGCCTTATTGGAAGGAACTAGGTAACTCACAACCGATCCTCGCGAAAATTCATGCTGCAAACAGCGCTGAGTGCTCATATGCAAGATCCATGCCAAGCAAGTACACTCACCATCTGGAATGCGGCGAGGGTGACATAGTTGGTATCATTCGCCGGCGTGCTCACCACGCCACCCCTGGGCAAGGCGATGGGCGTGACCCAACCAATCTTGCCGCTGTCAACTAATGTTTTGAGCACGTCATACTGTGCGCTTTGAAGGGGCGTCAGCGTCATGTTCGCCAGCTCCGCGTCAAGCGCTGCGCGCATGCTTGTGAATTCATCGGCCGACACAAGGTCTTTCACGGGCCATGATCCGGTGACCCTCGTGGCATATGTGAACGCTCCGGCCCCTGTGGTATTGCTATGATTGTAAGTTAGTAAAATGTGAGAAGAGCCTTGAGAAGTTTTTAATATGACTGACTAGAGCTTTTGCTGCTCCGCCAAAAAAGTCGCGTTATTCGTGAGCCAATCTGACACGCAGGTAAACAAAGGGCTTGACTCGAAGTTGAATCTCGAAATTCACCGAGAGTAAGCACGCCCTTCTTGACAGAGTAATCAGTTGCAGTAAGAAGATGGTCCATCAAGTTCTCTCCAATCTGTGGAAGATCGAGAGTAACCGGAATACCCAAGCTCTTCAACAGCGTAGCATTTCCAACCCCGGAGAGCTCAAAGAGTTGTGGCGACTTCAGTGTCCCTGACAAAGGCGTCAAGAGAACAAAGGTGAGTGAACAATGAAGTACATACCCTCAGAGACGATCACCTCCCTAGTAGCATTGACGACATAAGTCTTGTTGCCGACGGTAAACTCAACGCCACGTGCCCTGATGGTGCCGTTACCAGTTTTCTCGCTCGTATTGTCCCAAATGATCCGAGTAACTACAGCACCCATGAGGACCACTAGATTCTTCCTGGACCGCACATCCGCGTTATAGTATCCCGGGGCGGCATAGCTACGTTTGCCAGTGGAAATGTCAATAGAGTCAGCAATTCCGGCGAGGGGTATGAAAGTGGTGTTTCCATTGTCTGGGTTCGTGTTGAGCGGAAATCCTAGAGCGTCGCTCGCGGACGCAAAGGCTCTGTCAAGGTCGGTGACGAAAGTATCGTAGCGGGCGTGAATATGTCCTCCTTTGCCGTGTACGGACGCTAGGGGCAAAAATTGGTTCGCAGTCGTTCCAGGAACGAGCGCCTCGACACCGGTTGCCGGAAACGTCCAATTCTCGGCTCGCTCAAAGCAAGGCTCGAGGGCATCAAAGGTCCATTTCGCGCCGTTCCCGAGCGTCGTCCCCCATGAATCATACTCAGCGCGAGCACCGCGCTGCCATGCCATGTTGTTGATAGCTGAGGAACCACCGAGGACCTTGCCACTGATCCAAATAAGATACAACGAGGTGGTCATGCAGAACAGAGAAGCTTACCGTGGATATGCGATCACCAAGCCGTTCAAGAGCCCTATCTGAGGCACACTCGAAAACCCCCAGTCATAGTTAGGATTGCCTATGGCAGAGGCAGATGGATTGTCGATCAAGGAACCAGGACTGAATGGGACATCAATGAGGGGATCACCAGCAGTATTGTAGTGGCCAGCATCTATGACCCCAACACGCAGAGACGTTGCAGAAAGCCTGTTTGCCAATACTAAGCCTGCTGTTCCGCCTCCGGCGATGATGATGTCGAAAGTGGATTCCGAGAATGATACTGGGTCGACTGACTGTGACAAAGCAAAGCAAGTATTGGTTACCGCGACGGCAAGGGTGGCCTTTATAAAGCGGAGAAGTCTCATGGTTGAGATATGGGCGAACAATAGGTCTACTACGGCTTCATATACACAGATTGCAATCGTTACCTAGCAAATATAGTTGCGTTTTGGTGTGCGAGATCACGAGCAGCCTCATCAGCTGAAACGGTGATGATCACTCATGCGAGTGGCAATTCTAATCCGAAAGGAGGTTGGCAAGCTAGCCCGCGACGCAGTTCGGATGCTGATGGGCTCCTGGACAGGTAGAATATACTGAAGCGCTCGAGCGCTCGAGTTGGAATGTACCATCCCCTGGCTGCAGAACAATCTCGCTCAACCGAATACCCGTTTAGCCTCCATGCAAAACATTGAGTTAAGGCTGTCCTGTCGCTTTGAAAACAGCTGTCAGCATCCGAAACGTCGTCAGGGCGGTGAGCGGATCATCCGGTTGATCATTTGGATGGACTGATTCGGTGGAGAGAATTGAGTCAGGGAGGACAACGAGCGAACGGTCCCCGTCGCAGAGTGACTCTCTAGATATGCTCCGAAAGCGCAGGTGGCGGAAAACCTACAAAGACCGAGTGGCATGATGGACCATTAGCTATATGAATGATTGTGATGTGTACCTGACGATGCGGTGAGAGCATCGGACTTGCTTCTCATCAAGCCTAGTTCAGAGCAGAAGTTCCACGAGGTGAACTGGATATTTTAAAGGATACAATACGTGCGGAGAAGGAGAGGCCAGATCGTCAAAGATATCACCATGATCAGCCGAAACTCAAGATATACAGATGTATATCACGGAGAGATGTTGTGTATGCGCCTGGGAGTCCGGCCATATCTTGTCCATAGCTATGTGCTGTGCTATGATGATACGTAGAGGATTGCGGCAGTCGTCAACTCGAGCAGCGGGCGGGTTGTTTGGCATGGTTTGGCTGCTGCCTACAGGCCGGAGCTCGGCGGCTGTCGGCGGCCGCGCGTGCAGCACTGCAGATGTTTTCTTTTGCAGTCCTGGAGAAAACCCAGTTTTTCCTCAGCTTTTCCCATGCATCCAGTGCGGTGACCACCGACAATCTAGAGTTCTCAATCTCGGGAGCTTGAGGCTGGCCATGACGCTCGACTCGGCCCTCGGGAAGTGGGATGAGCAGCGCAATCGCGACATGAGTGGGTAGACGAACAATAGGTATTAAGAGGCCGAGGGTGAGCCACGTCTCTGCTTCCTCTCCTGTCATTTCTATTCGTCTACATATCACTGTCTTTTTTTTGTATACTTACTTGGGATTCTGGACCTCAGACCCTTCCCAGACGCTCGCACCCTCTGGACCGCACAACCTGCGCATGTGCCTGGTACTTCACACGTAGGTTTGAGCTTGCATTGACTTCAATGGACTTTAATCATGATAGCAAACTCGAATACGACACTCAATAGACCTCTTCTGTAAATTGACATCATTTGCGCACGACCTCAATTGACCTCCCCAAGTGATCTTCTTGGCTGCCTTTGGTTTGATCTCATTCCCAACCTTCAAGCTGTACTCTCATGCCAATCCTTAGCGACCCATAAGCTCCATCTCTTGCTCCACGATGGCCCTCACCTCCGGAAACCTAGGCGTAAATGTACACTTGAATGGTTCGGGACGACTGAGGATGAAATGTCAGCTAAATTCGAGAAACGTATACGGTCACGTACACAACCAAACCTTCCTGGACGACACGCTCGACGCCCAACAGCACAGGCCTACCATTTTCATCCGTCTCAGGCTCTATATTCATCGACCAAAGAAGCATGGCATAGAAAATGAAGAGGGAGTTGCTGGCGACGTGGCGTCCCATACAAATCCTTCTCCCGAATCCAAACGAGAGATGACTCTCCTCCTTCGTATCTGTGATGCCTGGCGCCATGTTTCCCTGTGCGTCGAGGAACCTCGCCGGATTGAATTCCGCCGCATCCACGCCGTACACCTCCGGGTCACGGTTCATCTCCCAAACGTTGGCGATCACTGTAGTTCCAGCGGGTATAAAATGACCCTCATACCAGTCGTCTTCCATGCAGCGATGCGGGGCGCCAATGGGAAAAGCGGAGCGCCAACGTAGGGATTCTTTCACCATGGAGCGAACGTAAGGGAGGTGTTCGAAGTCGGCGAATGTCGGGACGCGAGATCGACCAACGACAGCATCGAGCTCAGCCTGGGCACGTTTCTGAGTCTCTGGGTAGCTGATCATTGCGAGTAGCCACCAGGCCATCACGCCAGAGGTCGTATCGGCTCCCGCGGCGCTGGTCACAATCGCGTCGGCATTGTCATCGTCGAAGCAGCAGACAATCACACATACAACATCGTTCCGGCTAGCCATGCTTTTTCGCGCTCTGATAAGTTGTGGCGACCGGTGTCCTCGATGAGGGTGGCAGCATAACTCGGATATGTCTCGCCCTTGGCCTACAATGCTTCGTGAGCGCTCTCATTCAAGACGCTATTCAAGACATACCAGTCGTTTGGCCACGCTGTTCAAGAGGCCTTCAAACACAAGTGAGTCGCGCTCATGCCAGTCCTGGGCATCTCTCTTCCACTTCGCCAAGCTAAGGGGATATTCGTTCAGCAGACGTTAAGACGGACATGGTACGACATGATAGCACTCGCCTCCTGGGAATATGCCGCATCCACGGAAAGAACTGCACGAAATTTGCGCCCGGAGATGCTGCGCGCGTTACGCGAGCGGCTTGATCATTGATCTGTCTTACCGATGGGTCGGTCTCCGAGGCGATGGGGGAATCATACACTATGGACATGACCGCAGACGCCACAGAGCGCCGGAAATGCGCGTCCCATTTGTCAGGCTGGGCGAGGATGCCGGCGGCGAGTCTAAGGGCTTCGGCGGACTGTGTGCCGTGGTAATTGTGCACAGCGCCTTTGTTGAAGCCCTCCATGCCAGCTTTGCGCAGTTTGCGCCACCTTAGCTCGAGGACGTGAGGATGGAGGATGCATAGAGAGACCGGGCGACATACGTATCATTATAGCGGCTGAGGCCCAGAGCGAGGCCACCAGAGAGTAGCTCGCTCGCGACGAAGCTCGGCGGTCGGTCAGAGTAGTTGCTGGCACGGCGATCAAGAAGATCCGTCGCGATTTTCTTGGAGCTTATCACGATAATAGGCTGACCCGCGGCATTGAGGTAGACGATGTCTCCTGCCAATGCGAAATCAGTACCAGATCTCCAAAAGATGTGTTGGAGGATTTACCGAAAGTCTTTCTGAACACCCCAAAGGTAAGCCATAGTTTGTCACCGAGCTGCAATGCATTGCCGAGAAGCGGAAGACCTTTCGGTCCTGGAGGCAGTCTACGCCATGGACTTTGGAAGTATTGAGCGAGATAGTAGGAAATAAGTCCAACAAGAAGGACAAAAAACGCGGGGTGCGGGGACAAGTCAGACGTGAGCGCAGCAAGCATCTTCGAGTTTCCAGAGAGAATGTTCACAGTAGTACCCAGATTTCACTAAGGCTAGCTTCAGCTACGCTCATTTGAGCCATACAATGCGTCAAGCCTTCAGCGCTATCACGGCTACTGTGTAATCATCACCTGAGCTGTCTCAGCACATGAGGGTGATCATGCATCAGGCTCCGGGCATGCGCGCGAGTTCAAAGAGACTGATCCGTGGTTGTCTGTGTAGATTTACACCCATGAAGACTACCGAAGAACCGCAGCTTCCTCACCAAATGGTCGGGTCCAGATCCAGACGCAGCCTCGAATTGGGATATAATCTACACAAAATCGTCAGGAACACTTATCCCTGTGAGCTCGGCCCTGACTTACTCTGAAAGCTCACATTGCGGAGGCTTCAGATCAGATATCTGCCATTCTGAGCGACTGCGCACTATTAAGGTAAGGCCCCACAACAACAAGCGTGGCCCGCAAATGATTAGCTGCTTAAAATAGAGAGTTCACGGACTAGAGGTGGGTCCAACAATCTGTCGTTCTGGAACTGGCAAGTCCCACACGCGTCCCCGCTATAGCGTCTATGAACACTCTGATCCTCTAGTCATGCGGAGCATGTAAGTACAGTCCCTCGACGGGGCGGCGAGAGCTGGAATATACACTTACCTCCCTCAACGAAATGGTCATTGAAAATTCGACCTGCGAATCGAAGTTGTTGTTGCAAAGCTCAAGGTTCCAAAATCAAAATCAAACTACCAAAGCGGCCACGCTCGGGAGTTGCCACAGTCCAAAACCTCAGCGTGGCCACGCCTGGTCACGTTTCTTGGTCTAAGAGCCACCAAAGTCCACCTTGCACTCAAAGTCGTCTGCATCCCCTTCTGTCGTCGATGACCTGTGCACATTCACGTGGCGTAAAGTGAGTCCTTGGAGTTATCCATACGGCGAAATTCGAGAAGCGAATTCTATAGCAATCCTGGCTTACCTTTCGCGAAGTGCGAATCCCCAGGCTCTCGCCCTAGCGTATCACCCCGCTCTATCGTTGACCTCAAACCTGCGCCTGGAGCACGCTGTATCGTGGCAATACTTCTGATGACTGTGTCTATATCTGACAATGGCCGTCCGTCATAAGGACGCTCGGCGTTGAACGCCACCTACGCACGCCCTGACAGCTATCTGCAAGTGACAACGGGAGCTGTGGATGGTTCGTATCTTGTTATTACGGCATGACGATTGAAACTGCCCAAATAAGGCCAATTGCCTATTCTAACCCAACGAATCAAGGTTTCGATGTGTCCGCTCCACAGCTACTTTCAGTGCAATAGTGCCTCATCGAGTTGGAATTACTTGAAGCTAGAGCGTTTTGACATAACATCATTTGCGTGAGCACCTATCTCGGCTGCTGCTTCGACCAGTCTTCGACCCACCCCGAATACTTAGATATACATCATTCTTCTGGCACGGAAGAGAGTGGATTCCATCCAGCGTCTAGAGAAGTGGGTCTCAACCCTACTGCACGTGGTAAGGTTCCAGTTCTATATAGCAGAAGAGACCAACCCTTTACATTGTCCTCATCACTCAGTTCTTTCTGAATAGCTCACTCGACTCAAAGCCCGCAATCATTGTTCACGAGAGAATCAAACGAAATGGTCAAGACAACGATCAAGCTCGGAGGGTCTGCCTCGAATGTCACTGTGGCCAAAGTCGGGGTAAGTGTTTCTTAATCATACCTAACTCCGTTTCGAATATCTCCATGTTGACTCGTTTTCCCCTTCGTGTTTCTCCCTGGATAGCATGGCTTGATGATGATGACGTGCGGCGCCTTTGTATCTGTGTTCTAAGAGCCGAGCGCACTAATGTTCACCATACCATGCAGATGGAAGCCCATACACGCCCCGGACGAACAATGCTTCGAGGCTATCAAGGCCAGCTTGGACAGTGCGCCTCCAGGTGCCAAGATGCTCCTGAACAGTGGTCAGTAACTTTCTCTACTCTATCCGAAATTTCAATATTCATGGCTTTGGGACGTGTTCTAGGTGAATTCTACGGGGAAGTCTCGCACATGAACGCGAACTTGGAACTTTTGGCTCGCTTCTTCGAAAAGAATCCCAGCTATGCCAATAAAGCGTTCCTCGCTGTCAAGGTACGAATGTCATCCAACACTGTAAGGCATACCCTAACATTAAATGCGATACGTAGGGAGGAACAAAGGCTGACAGTCACGCCACCGATTGCTCGTATGTACTCATCATCTTTCAATAATTTTTCTATGGTGGCCGTCCACTGATCGGCCTTGTTTATCATTGGCTTGACAGGCCCGAGAACTTGAGGAGAAGCGTGAACAACATCAATGCGAAGCTCCGAGGCACAAAGACACTTGACATATTCCAACCAGCTCGCATCGATCCCAACTTCACTGTCGAAGATCAAATGAAGACCCTGGCTACGCTGCAGAAGGAAGGCAAATTTGGTCATATCGGCCTTTCAGAGTGCAGTGCTGCGTCTGTGAGGCGCGCGAACGCTGTGAGTTTGAATGTATCTTTTTGGAGACCAGGAAGACCTGATTTTGGTACTGCGCCAGGTGGTTCCCATCACATTTGTTGAGATCGAGGTTAGCCCAATGTCTTACGGGAAGGAGGCGAAAGAAGGTAATATTATGCCTGAGAAATGAAATATAGATAGCTATCGGCTAACTCTTACACTCCAGTCATCGCCACCTGCGCTGAGCTGGGCATCACTGTTGGCGCGTACTCGTGAGTTCTGTGCTTATAGTAGAGATCAATGAGTTGCTGAATCGACGCATTCAGTCCTATGGGCCGAGGCTTCTTGACCGGCAAGATCACGAAAGCTGAAGACTTCGATGGTTCGTCCTATGTTGTCTTTCAGCGCAAGCTCACCGTCGCTCACTTTATTGTAGAGGGCGACCACCGCAGGCACTTCACTCGCTTCAAGAAAGAGGTACCGTTCCTTCTCTCAAACCCTCTACGAGCAGCTTTTGATGCGAGGGGCGCATATAGAACATCGAGCACAACTTCGCCATCGTTGACGGACTAAAGCGCATTGCTGATTCTAAAGGAATTACTACTGGCCAGCTTTCGATTGCTTGGGTCAGTGCGCGCGGGCCGCATGTTTTGCCCTTGCCTGGGTCATCGTACGTTTTTCTGTGTTGGGGGATGAATCTACTATTGGTTGACGCCCTGTGATGTCGACAGTCACAAGGACCGCACACTCGAAAACCTGCAGGGTGCGGACGTCGCATTGACGTCCGCGGAATTGAAGGAGATCGACACCATCTTGGAAACTCACCCCGTTGCTGGAGGACGATACATTGACGGAATGGAGACACGTTTCAATCTCTGGGGCTGAGTGCAGCGTCTGGGTGAAGTCAAGCGCGTCGTGAAGTGGGTCGTGCCTCAGAAAGACAGTCATATGGATGTATATGTTGCCGTGGCAGTTGAAGCATTTAGTCCATGTTTGTTTCATATATACTATGTAGTGATCGACATGTTCTTCCTCAAGGCGCAGATCAAGTTAAATGCAAGCAAAATACGGAGGGGTTAGCGCATATATGGCTATAGCATTGAGCAACACAGAAAGACATTAAGAAAGCAAAACATAATTAAGCTGATAAAGTATAGGCTCTAAGACAGGATTTGCCAGTGGCTGTCCAACCTTATGCGACAAGCTTGAATACCAAGCCAACCGACTTGCGACCAGGCTAGTGCAACAGGCGCTCACTCTCATCGACGGTGTTTGATGCAATGCCGCTTGAGCGCATCAAGTCGCGTGAAAACTGCCTCGCACCGGTCGCATTTGAACGATGGCGACATATGCATTTTTGTTTGTAAGTGCCGCCGGAGGTCACCCCGCGACCTGCACCATTGCGAACAGTCCTTAAATGGACACGCGTAATGCCCCTGCGCGTTGGGCAGCACGCCGTTGGCGATGGCGGCCGTAAGATTCTCGACCTCTGCCGCATCCGTAACCTCGAGGAACGATATCTCAGATAGATTGGACATGGAAGGTACGATCGGGGGTATAGGAGGTGCTGGTGCGGGTGTAGACAGTGCAGGCGTGGTAGGCGACGTCAACACCACTGTAGACGGTGCGGGCATGGGCGCGGGCGTAGGCGATCTCGGCACGGGTGTAGACGGTGCGGGTGTGGTAGGCGCAGTCGGCACCAGTGCAGACGGTGCAGGTATGAGCGCGGGTGTAGGCGATGTCGGTGCGGGTGTAGACGGTGCGGGTGTAGACGGTGCAGGTGTAGACGGTGCAGGTGTAGACGGTGCGGGCGCGGGCGCGGGCGTAGGCGATGTTAGCACGAGCGTAGACGGTGCGGGCGCGGGCGTAGGCGATGTCGGCACGGGCGTAGGCGATGTCGGTACGGGCGTAGGCGATGTCGGCGCGGGCGTAGATGGTACAGGTGTGGATGCGAGCGCGGGCATGGTCAGTGTAGGGATTATCGGGGGCGTGGTCATGGTCGTGATCGGCGTGGGCGCGGGTGCAGGCGTCGAAGTAGCGGACACGCCTCGGGTAGCAGAAGTGCGTGAGCGCGGAGGGCGTCCCCTGCGTTTTGGTGGTAGCTTCGAGGATTCTGCTGCAGGCGTTGAAGTAGCGGACACGCCTCGGGTAGCAGAGGCGCGTGCGCGCGGAGGGCGTCCCCTGCGTTTTGGTGGTGGCATCGGGGATGCCACTGTTTGTGCTTTGCGCTTCCGGCCCGTCAGCTTTGGCGGAGATGGCTCCGGACTCTTGACGTCGTGGGATGTCGAAGAGGCGCAGCTGAATTGTGCCAGTGGGACATCGATGCTGGAAGCCGGAGAGGAAGCGCGCGATGGTGGCAAGACAATGCGCGCGGTAGGTGGGAAAGACGATGGAGGAAGTAAGCGGCGGGGAAGGGGTGCAATCGGGCGTTCTTCGGGAGGTGGGGTCATGTAGAGGTCGTCATCCTCTTCAACCTCGCCATTTCTCAACAGCAAAGTATCATCACCAAACTCGTCACCCAGCTGAGATTCGGCAGGGCTATCGCAAGCGTTTGCTGGAATCCGTGGCAACGACGTCAGAGCGTTCCCGTTCCCCAAGTCCAGCATGATAACATCGTCATCGTCATCATCTTCCTCATCCATCCTTGGAAGCGGCAACGAGTTCGTCTTCGCGGGTTCCACTCCTACTTGGTCGCGCAATGTCTGAACGTATCGTTCGCGGCCTCCGTCTGAGTTGATCGGTATATCCATCCCTGTGCTGGTAGTAATGTAGCCGTACCAGCCCGTTCGCTGTTCATCTTCGTGTGTGTCAATAGGCAGCGCGTTCTGGCCCACATGGAGATGATGAGATAGCGTTACACCGTCGACTCGAAGCTTTGACGTACCGATTCGGACTTCTGCCTCTCCCAATCGCGGTCGAAGGCTTCCATATCGAAGTAATCGAGTGCGATATCATAGCGCCTTCTCATTGAAACCTCTGCCGAGTAGGGATGGTGCCGAAAGCGTGAGGTGGAGTACACAGATGCCATCAGGTTATGAAGGGGTTTAGGATAGATTGGTTTGTTTGGACTGGAAGGTAGTTAAATGGTACAAGTACCACCTGTAGGTAAATGGGCACCGCGACCTATATATGGTTCCAGGGGGGAGCTTGGGCAATGCCACGGACAAAGCGCGTGTGGCATTGACCAGCCATTGTCGGTGGCATCGAACAAAGCTAGTGTGACACACCATGGTGGCTATGTGGTGGGGAAACAGCCAAGGTGGTCCAGGGAAGTCACAGGTGGCATTCTGGAGAGTGCCACGGTGGACAACACCCTAGCCATTGCCTGGAATATTGCAGTGATATTGCTTGGTAGGGGTCCAAGTATACGTGACTGTCATCACATGACGTGACTTGACGCGCTTGAGCAGCAGTCGGAAATAGCCGGATACTCGCAAAGCGCACATGATCAGCCGCTTTGACCTTCCGAGCTCTCCATCCTCCTCCATCCTCCTCCATCCTCCTCCATCCTCCTCCATCCTCCTCCATCCTCGTCCGCGTTTCGCGCTGCTCTCTGTTCGACTCTATCTCTTGCATGTTTCAACTGAATTTCCTCACATCATGCCGTCTAAGTCGAGGAGCTTCTGATATGTCCAGGATACGTCAGAGTTGGATGACGAACAGGGGTGCAACGTTGCACATGCAGACATACATTTTTTCAACATGTATGCTGCTTTGATATCTCCTATAATCGATTGAATACTAGCAAAAGTGCTCAAAGAGCGTCGAAATAACCTCCTCCTTCCCCTCATTGATCCCGTGAAGACGTCCATACTTCGGCACCTGACCTCCCTCACTTCACAGACCTTGTTCTTGACATTATTGGTCGTGAATCCGTCATATGTGCTGAAAATATGCATACTTGCTCCCTTGTCAGGCTTCATCTCCAGACTCGCTTGCTGTGTTGCGCTGATATTGTGTTTCGACCTGACAACTATGATAATCATCGACAATCATGCGCATTCTCCAAGTCTGCAAGTCTGCTTCTGTCCTCCTCCTGTCACAGTCTAGATGCTGAGGTCTGTCCCCTTTGGCTCTGCTCTGCATACGTATACCTCTTTTATTATCTCAACAATGGCATCATATAGCCTTTTCATTTGTTTGACGCTCGGACACTCGCGATGGAGATTATACGCGCATAAGCAGTTCTGGCGAAAGATCTCAATAGGGCTTTCCTGCAAACGAAACCATTTCGAGAGTCTTGCTTCAGCGCTGCGGAAACTCTCTGTAATCGATGTCGTTCTCCACACTTCACCCCCCTCCGGTCTTCTCTCAAGTTGTTATGTCTGATGTTTGGGATGCTCCCCAACCGTCGATCTCTTATGTCCTTGGAACCTATGAAGGGAAGCTTGGATGTTTCAACTGAAGCGGATGCATATCGTCTACTCGTGAGGGGCCGATGAGTACGGTCCTACTTACCGGTTTCAGTCCTTCTTCAACGACCGTATGCTGCACCGCCAAATCCAATACTGGTGAGGTAGTTTCGATCACATCATTTTGTTCAATTATATGTATGATGCCGTGGCAAGCCTTGTAAGTGCCTTGTACCCCTCCATACAGGTCCAGTGGCGCTCCGGCGCCCGCGGGTCAGTGTCTGCCCTGCTATCATATACTTCTCCATTAGTACTGAACATAGATCGTCCTTTGATCATGATTTATATATCGTCATCGTCCCAGGGACCACCCATCGAAGGCTTGTAAGATGTTTTCTACAATTTGGTTGCACCTTTTCACGACGAGCTGCATTGTCTCCAACGCTCTTCCCGCTTTGGCTGCTCTCCTCCATGATCCCTCAGAGTTACCTACAGGGAAGGTCTATGACTACGTTATTATTGGGTGTACGTCCCTCCATCCCCATTCCGATTGAGTGTCATTCACATTCTCAGTATAGCTGGTAATGCTGGTGGTGTTGTTGCAAGTCGGCTGACCGAGGACCTTGCCGTCAATGTCCTTGTTATTGAAGGTCAGTCCTCGAAACTAGCTCTCTCAACCAGCGGACAGTGACAGTAATGGATTTGAATAGCTGGTGGCAATGACGCGGGCGACGACCCTGTCTCGCAACGCATTCCAGTCCCGCTCATGGGGATCTCGCTGCAGAAATCGACGATTGACTGGAATTTCACCACAACACCGCAGAGGGGTTTCTACAACAAGACAATGCATTATGTCCGAGGCAAAGTCCTCGGCGGCTCGACAACACTCAGTATGCCCCTCCTATACTTTATCAATCCTTCAGAGAGGGGCTTAGGCGCCCTGTATCCTAGACTTGCTGACACACACTCGTGGATCATCCGACGACTACGATAGATGGGCGCAAGTGACTAGTGATGAAAACTGGAGTTGGGATCGGCTCGAACCATACATGCGCAAGGTAGCTTCATTATTTTCCCACTCCACTCCTCACGGCCGGACAGCCTGAGGTTAACACTCTGATCTGCAGTTAGAGCAACTGACACCTTCGACGGATGGCCACGACATCTCACAACAAATCGATGTATCGGCCCATGGAACTGATGGACCGCTTTCAATCTCGCTCCCAAACTACTCTCTCCATGTCGACGATCTGATTGAAAAAGCGGCTCACGAGCTCCCAAATCGTTTTCCATTTAACAAGGACCTGAACACAGGCAGCCCTATCGGAATCAGTACGTGTTTTTCTAGGTTTATAAGCTATCTCTCTCTTGTAAGCGTCTCGTCTGATGCTGGGTCTACGTCACTGCTCTCAGGTTACAACCAGAATGCCATCAGGAACGGTGTACGGGAGAGTGTTGCGTCAGCGTATATTCGCCCTGCGCTCGCACGGGGCGATAATCTAGACGTACTGCTCAACACTCAGGCGCTCAAGCTCTCTCCTACAGAATACACTGATGGCAAGCCTTCCTTCCGCACTGTTCACTTTGCTACTGGGCCTCATGGTCAGTCATCATTCGTCTCTATGGGGTGCTAGCTAAATATCCCTGTGCGATTTGACAGCACCAGTCCATACTGTGACCGCCAAGACTGAAGTCATAGTCAGCTGCGGCTCAGTATCGACTCCCCAACTCCTTCAGCTGTCCGGCATCGGCGATGCCGCGAAACTCAAAGCCGTAGGCGTTGAGCCTATTCTCAACCTTCCAGACGTAGGCCAGCACTTGCAAGACCATGCTCTGTTTACGCAGCCCTACGTTGTTTCAGAAGGCAACCCACTTGACATGTTCACACAAAATGAGACCTTCCAGGGCGAGGCGCTGAAGGAGTGGCAGGAAACAAAGAAAGGCATCATGGGACTTTCTTTTTCCAGTCAGACGGGTTGGCTGCGCTTGCCTGATGATTCTTCGATATTTGAATCCACTCCGGACCCAAGCGCAGGAAAGAAAAGCCCTCATTTTGCGCTCATCTTCACGGTAAGCTTGATCTGATTGACTTTATCGTCATAATGTCTAAAGTGAAGCGTTACTCGGCTTACTATGCAGCCAACGTTCGTGACAGCCTCACTCAAGCATGGCTCCACAAACGGATTTCTCACCCTCTCCAACATTGTGGCCTCTCCTTCATCTCGTAAGTCACCTCGCAGCATATTTAGCGACAGGCTTGACTGACATTGCGAGTCAGGTGGATCAATCTCCATCACCACTTCTGACCCATGGACACAGCCAGCCATCGATCTGAATCTACTCACTACCGAATTCGACATGTTCTGCATGAAAGAAGCTGTCAAGATGTCGCGCGAGTTTCTTACTGCGCCATCTCTCGTCAATTTTGTCCAGGGCCCCTTCGGCGGTTTGTTCTTTCTATCCCTTGCGCTCTCATGCAATCACTGATAGGCTATATGCTTAATAAGGGTTGGCTGACATCAAAACTGACGAGCAGCTTGAAGAGTACATTCGTAAAAATACCGGCACGATCCATCACGCGGTCGGCACGGCGCGCATGTCAAGCCGCGATTCGAAGGAGGGCGTGCTCAACCCGGATCTGAGTGTCAAGGGCTCGCACGGGCTGCGCGTTATCGACGCATCGATCTTCGTGCGTACACAATCTACCTCAACCGCTCTTCTCTGCACCTTGGTCTGACTTGTGCCTTGTAGCCTTTCTTGACGGCTGCGCATACAATGGCGCCCGTGTACATCATTGCTGAGCGGGGAGCAGACATCGTCAAGAATGCGGCTTTACACGCGAATCTAGGGACGCAGGAGCCTAAGATGCAGGAGGTGTTAGGAAACGCGAAGGCGCCGCGTGTAGCTCGCTCAGAAGTTGAACTCTAGATGGTTCAAACACATGGGATCCTGGGATTGATAGTATTATACAGTTTCTCTAGGATATAGGTAGACTAAACACTTGTATATAATATCCGTGTGTATCGTGAAGACCCTAAGGTGGCGTTTAATATTCTTCTATTTGTCCGTATGCTGTATGGCAATGAGGCGTATGGTTCGAGAGGAGGGACCCATCGCGTTTCTGGCGAGACATACCAGCTGAGTACAGTCGATTAAGGTGAGGCGCGCGGCTTCCGACGGCTCTGGAATTTAATTCGGAACCTCCGCAGTATCATATCAGACTGAGCGTCTTTCACAGACGCCAAAGTCCTCCCCACGGGGTTGGTTTCTTCGGTCCCTGTGCAGGAACGAGCCTTGCCCCATACTAGAAGGGCCACGAGCCCTTTTCCCGTCAAACGGTCCATAGTAGGGTGTTTCGCACCCTGCTCCGGCCAGCATGGAAATTGGACACCTTCGCCCCACTCAGGTCCGGGTATCAAGTTGCGGTCTTGCCTGCGCCCAAATACTCACGAATAAGTACTTTCGATTTTCCAAATCGTCTTGCCACCACCTCGCGTCGTCACACTGTGAAATGTCGACCTACAATAATTTCGCCGTTGCTGGTGTCGGAAATGTTGGCAAATTTATTGTCGAGGAGCTACTCAACCAGAAGGCCGCTGGGAAAGCTCACGAAGTTATCATCTTAACGCGCAAGGCAGGCTACGCCCATTATTCACTGTGGCCCAGACCGAGGCTCACTTCGTTCTCGTTCAGGGATCCAACAATGAGGCAGTCACCGAGCTTTCATCGCGCGGTGCCAAAGTCGTCGCCGTCGACTACGACTCGGTCTCTGCTCTCGCTTCCGCTCTCACAGGCGTGGACGTCGTCATCTCCGCGCTAGGCTACGCTGCCATCTTCGCCCAACAACTGAACCTAGCAGCAGCATCCAAGATAGCCAAAGTCGGCCTTTTCATACCATCGCAGTATGGTCTCCCCGGTCGTGCCGGAATCCCAAGCGAGAAGGAACTCAAAGAGAAGCTGGACGGAGTCGGCATGTCGGTTTTCCTGGACGGCGCTTTGGCTGATATTCTGTTCAAGTATGCGTGCGTATTCTGACAATCACTGCATAATGATTTTGAGATGTTGTGTGTTCATATAAACGTTCAAAATGCAGCGACTACGCCAACCTGATTCTGGAGAAGGGCGAGGCTACGATCCCCGGGGATGGGACGGCCCTGATCTCATTCACAGACCGTCGCGATGTCGCTCGGTATGTCGCGTACGTTCTCACCACACTTCCACCAACACGCCTCGCGAACCGGGAATTCCGCATCGAAGGTCAGCGCGCTGTAAGTCCATTTTCTTTATCAAGGCGCAGTATCAAGGCTGATTTTTCATAGTCTCTGAAAGCAATCGTCGATGAGTATCAGGCGCGCACGGAAAAAACGTTGAAGGTGACGTACCTGCCGACGGAAGATCTGGAGAACGCGCTCAAGAAGAATTCCAATGACATCTTGAGTGTTATCCGGTTGGCTTGGGCTACGGGTAAAGGGATAGTTGGGGAAGAAAGCGAGCTTGCCAATTCAGAGTTCCCGGAATGGAAACCAAAGACTGTGATAGACATCCTCCTAGGTTAAGCATTGAACAGAAGGAGGCAGAAAATTTCCCTGTATAATTTCCGTTTTTAGTTATTTTCTTATGATTCCATACTTCTAACAAGTCAAAGAATCTGCTAGATCTTCGAATTGGGCCTCCTTAGGCCCTGTTGAATACTGGACACGAAGGGGCCAAGGCGCATGAGTTGAGCTCTAGCCGCGTGCCATATGTAATGATCTACAGAATCGAATAATTCACTGGTATTCACCTTTACACTACCTTTGCACGGACGTAACTTGAGCTCTCGACACGAGTCGTGGCCACATTACTTGGTGGTTGAAAGGAGAAAACTCAATGCGTGACAAGGCAAAGTCACGGATTGTCACATAGGGTCACAATGGACCCGATCGGACACGTCTTTCTCTCCTCTTACTGACCACTGGGGTCAGCGCTGAAGCGCTTGAGCTCTCCACTATGATTCCACATCAACATAGATGTGGTACATATGGACAGTGTTATCGTAAGACACCAATCAATCACTCAACTTTGTCTTCACATCACTGTGAGCTATTACTGTGAGCTTTATGCGCCCACCCATGCACTCGATGCTGACTATTTCATTTATCGGACCTGAAGGTGATTGCACATGAGGTTGATCTCAGGGTCAATAAAACCGAGAGCGAGAAAAGTTTTTGTTTTTATTGAACACCCTTCACATTTCTGCTGCCAAGGAATTCAGCTAAATATATGCCTCTGTGTGGAAATGTTGTCTGGTTCGAAATTTATCTGTTTTCCGATCGTGCAGCGGCAAACACGCAACAGCGAATGTTTGTTGCCATGTCGCAGCCGCTCGTGGCTTCTTCACATTCAAAGAAGTGTACTGAATGAGCTGTCGTATCGTATGTCTCGCCGTGACATCATTACTAGGATTGTAGCTACCGCTGCAGCGTGGTAATCTGTGCGCGTCCGCCATGTCATGCACCATCCGCACAAAAGCCGAGAATCATGATGGCTCCTCCATCCAAAGTTGAGCGCTGATGCCTATATAATCTGCTAGTGGGGATAGTGAGGCACTATATTGTTACGGCTCCGATGGCGCCCGAATTGCACAACAGTTGGGAGGAGGAAGTTACATCGCGGTCAGGCTCACGGTCTCCGCGTCTGAATGGGCGCTACGGCTGTGTGTACCCACAGAAGACGACCTTACTGTAAGTCGTCCCCTTCTGGCAGTTTGACGTGATCGTTGAACTGTCGTCATTGGAGAGGGTCCAGATGCGAGATGACAACTTGACACTTCCGGCGTGCATGGAGAGCACGTTTGTCGCCGACGATGTGTGAACCTTTGACCCTGAGGTCCGCATCGGAAGCAATTGGTTCATTGTCGCGTAGGCACCAACGCTGTGTCAAAGTAGGGCACGAACTTATGGGCAATGCGCCGACGAATGACGAAGTCTACGTCGGAATCATCCTTCTATCTGGCGTCAATCAAACTGATGCGTGTGCATTTTGGTAGGGCTATAATCATCTAAGGGAGGCACCACACGGGCTGTTGGTAATCTCTACGACCTGAAACATCCAGCAGCAGCACACCCACTATGTGACTGTTAAATGTGCAAAAAATTACAGGATCAAGCATTGTCTGGATATCCTATGGCGTACGTAGCCGCCTTCTATTTCTCGCTACTAACCATTTCATCTGACAGCACGGATGTCTGCGAAAGCTATTGTGGTGTAAATCACATACCCCAGCGCAGCAGTCTTCCAAGCTCCACATTCATGAATTTAGAAATGCCATCCACCCGACAAATCCATCACTCTGTGTGGATCGTACACTGCCCTAATCTCCCGCAACCTCTCCAGGTTCTTCCCGTACATCAACTCTATGGGTGTGCCTAGGAGGGGTAGGTTTGGATATAACGATGCGTTGACGAGTGATTGCCCCTCCGCCTCGGCATCTGCCCTGACCTGCGCTATACTCTGCCGGAGCGCATCGTGGATTACAGCGTCGGACTTTTCGTCGAACCAGGCGTAGGCCACATTGAGGGGGAAGTGCACAACGGAGCGATCGGCGGGCCACGCTGAGGGTGGCCCATGGCTATAGTAGTCGGGCAGGAAGACTTCTACCACATACTGGAAGAAGAAACCGGAATGGTGCTGCTCTAGGTAGCTACCCCAGAACTACAGCGAAATTTGCGTTGGTAAGAATAGAGGTGAGGAAGCTGCTGGGTCATCACCTTTGTTTCATTGGCGACCTTGTTCAGGAGGGAAGGCGTCCATTTCTGTATGGGCGCCTCGTCTTGGATCCTATTTCGATGAATCAACGCTTGAACGCTAGCGGAGAGTCGGGCGGACGAAAGATGAGCCGACGTACCGTCGAGGGGTGTTACTCGGCTGTCCTGCGCTCAGCAAAGTGAGGAAAGGCATGGACGAGACCTGAACGATGCTGTTTTGGATTGACAGTGCTTCATCGAAAATTCCAGCTGGAGGCGAGGGAGCATTGTAAAACACAATAATAATCGCGGTCAACTAGGCCTTTTATCAATCGAAGTGAGATATGAGGATAGCTGAGACATACCTTTCCGTGGACGTAGTCGAATATGATGTTCATCGTTGCCTTAGGATCGCGAGTATTCGACGCAAAGTTGGCGATGGCATTGTTTGCTCGCTCGATGTCAGATTCCGGAACGATTACAGAACCACCCTAGAAGAGATGAACTTCAGCATGATTGATTCAGCCTAATGCGAAGTTCACTTTACCCAAATATCGCCCTGTGGTATGACCTTCAGCGTGAACTTGGTGACTATGCCCTGAGACGCAAATGAGTTGACGGAGTGTAGAGATGCATTTGAATTAAAACTCACAAAGTTATTGAAACCCCCCTGAAGATGCGTGAGTTCACAATCGCAGTCACAGAACCATCAAATCACTCACTTTGAGCCCGTAGAAAAGATCCGGATTCTTCTGGGCAGAAGTAGTAGTCACAGTTCCGTTTGGCAGGACTATCTCGCATGCCAGCAACGTGTCAATTGTGAGGCCATGCTCGTTTGTTATCCAAGAAAGGCCTACATGATCAAGATTCAACTCGACTTTGCTGTTTGAGGCACTCAAGAAAAGAAACGCACCTCCGCCCAGTATGAAGCCAGCAACACCAACTCCTCGTACTCGCCCACCAACGACGGTATAACCTTTCGGGTTGAGCAAGTCGTACACATTGTCCCAGCGAAGACCAGCTCCAATGTCAACTGTAGCCGTGTCCTCATTATGCTGAAGGTGATTGAAGTTGGACATAGCGATATGAATGCCGGTCGTAGATGAAAATCCGGGATTCAAACTGTGTCCGCCACCAGTGATCTACACTCATTCTGTTCATCCCCTGTGGCAAATACCGCTCTCAAATAAGTGAAACTTACTGCAAAAGGCGTCTGTGTCCATCCAATCAGTTGAATCTTGAAAGAAAAGACCAAGTCCATTGAAACGAGAATCAAGGTAATGAGTCACGGGACGGTACTGTACTATTTTGCCGAGGTCATTAGTATTCCCAGGTCGAACGGAACATGTTGATAGCTGTGTGCTCGAGTTTGCCCAGTGGTGAGTATCTAGGTCAAAATCAGGCGACCCTGTGGACAGGCAATAATGAGTAATTGCTGCGTCAAATGTTAACGGGACGAACCTGGCCAGGAGACCAGAGATTCATGAGAAATCGCTCGAGCGATGACCTGGCAGGTGGCATTGATCGTGTTGAACTCGTGGGTTTGTGTACCATTGGATGCTGCCAGTATAGACTGGAACGGTGCTAATATGTTGCTGGATAAGATCGCTGCAATTGACAAGCCAGAGACGAGGATAAACGAAGACAAGGCCAAAGACATGTCGAAGACAACGGTGGCAATACCTTATGGCTTGCCCTCGAGTTAAGAGACTTCGGACGGCTTATCTGAGACAGCGACGTGGTGGTTTGTCTATCCGGAGATGACGATGCAAACCAGGGTTAATCGCAGGATACTACAAAAGCATGAGAGCCTAGAAGGCGCTACCACTTTGCCACTATCTTGTGAAAATATGCGTATCACCGGTCCCTGACGCCCTTACAGGTCCAGAGGCTGGTTTGGTTTCATATAGAGCGTAGCGCCCGCCTCATAGGAGGCCCACCGAGAGGAATCGGAAGTAATGTCAACGTTCCAGATGCATTATCATTAACACCGCAATATTCGAAATGGGATGGAGAAGTGAGATGGAGAGAAAGAATCGAGTGGGTTGGGTGGATGATGGCCATTGATCAGTCGTATCATCACTGCCTGCAGGCTTAAAAGGTCTTGATAAGTCGCTTAAGGATAGACGAACATTCTTCTAAGGAAATGAGCTTAATATAGCTACTTTTAGACAAAGATTTAATCCGCCCTCTTTGGTTTCCCTCGGAAAGATCTTGATAAGTCGCTTAAGAATAGATACATATTTTTCCAAGGGTTTAACCGGTAATATCTGTAAGCAGCAAATTTTTGAATATTTCCGCTCTGGGTTGGCTGAGATCTCGATGTTTGCACGAGAAAAAAAATGTCTGGGACAGTTGGAATAGGGCACTGGGATACAGGATCGGTGACATCCCAGATCTCATCTTTTCTCGTGCCAACCCAGAGCGGAAAGATTCAAACATTTACTGCTTACGAGTATTACTGGTTAAACTCACCCACTTTGTGCATCGCATGGAGTTTATTTTGGAAAACAGAAGGGAGTCCTTTAGCTTATCACCAAACGGATGCAATTAGAAGGCAGATCAACACCATTCGACATATGCCCATGTGAAACGCGTGTTCAAAGACCAGCAGTCAGCTAGATAAACTGCTATCGTAAGTATGTATTTACTTCTATGACATACAGCAGAAGCTCAATGATACAATAAAGAGATGCGTAGCAGCTGTATTGCTAATCTAATCCTGCGTCTGTTGTATTAGAGCAAGAGCAGCAGCCGATCTTGGTTTGAAAACGCAATCGAATGGGGCGGGATGACTACATCGACGTAGTTGTCAGCTTAGTTTTTTTTATGACTGAACGACACGCAACTCACTTGATAGTCGATCTACGGAATGCTACTGCAGGTGTGATGACGTTGCCATTTTCATCGACTGCCTTCTCGATGTTGAAGACAGCGAGTATAGTAGCCATCGCAATCCAGACGGTATCAAGGGCCATGTTCTTGCCCGAGCAGGATCTAAGAGATGAAGAGGCGATCAGATATTGTACGCTTGCAATAGTGGTCTGGACTTGCCGTCTGCCGTAGCCAAAAACCCCACACTCAATAGGGTCAGGAACGCCTTCCGCTTCGTGACGTTCCGGTTTGAACGTCTCGGGATCAGGATACATTTCTGGGTTATGCATGATTGCCCTGAGAAGTGTAATTATCAGTGTGCTGATGGTATAATCGGTATGGAAAGCAAGTTGACCAGGTGTTTCCGAGGATGGTCGCATTGGCCGGGATGTGAAACCCTTTATACGTGTCCGCGTTCATCGCACGATGTGGGATGGCTTGAAGTTGGGAGAGAGGCATTAGAAACACATAGTAAGGAGCAATCTAAAACCTTCCTACCAAAAGGGACTGCGAATGCATAACAAGGTCAGATCCGGGATGGGCTCTCAGAGACAGCTGAAAGCTCACAAACAACGAGCCATCTAAGCACTTCACGCATTACGTTCCAGAAGTATGGAAGGTGCTCCTTGTCCTCAAACGTGGGCAGTCGTTCACCGCCGAGCACAGAATCGAGTTCAATTTGCACCCGCTTCTGGACCTCGGGATGGATTACCATGGCCAGTACGAAACTAGTCAAGGTAGCAAGATTCTACGATCCCGTCCGTCAGGGTCTGGAGTAGAGACATACGGGTGCCTAAGCTACGTACAGTGTCGCTCCCTGAAAATTGAGGGTTAAGACGATTTTTCAGCTTTGTAGAAAGACGGATTTCTCACCAGCAGCGTATACAACAGCAGCGATACTCTTGATCACGTCTTCGTCAAGTGACTTTGACGTCGCATTCGTCCGGTCCTCGAGACAAGAGCCGACAAAGCAAGGCTTTGCTATGCCTTTCGACTGGAAAGAATCACGATGACTTGATAGATGTATGCGACGCTGTGAGGACGTACGTGCTGGTCCCTGACCATATCAAAGGGCCGATTCACCACCGCTTCTTGAAGAATACGCCATTCACGAGCAATCTTCTTGAAGCCTGCTCCTGGCATCCATTCAGGGACGTGCTTCACTAAATCATCAGGATCGAGGTTGTAAGAACAGAGTAGTGAGAATGAAGAGATGTTGCGCTCACGAATGGGAAAGGTGTCGACTAGGAATGTACCCGGGACTGTCGCCGTCGATGTGGTCTCCGAGGCTGCCTTGTTGACCAACACGAACGGATCTTTCATCGCGTCCTCAAAGGTGTACCCATATCTGTGCCTCCGTTCAAAAAGATATTGTTCCAAACCAAAGTGAACGGCCTCACACTCTCTGCATGATGATACGCGCAGTATAGCTGCATAAGGGCGAATATTCATAAGTACGTCGACGAAGAAACGATGCAGCTCCAACTCACTGCTCTAGATGATCAAGGAATTTCTTGGGAGTTCGGTCCGAGAGCAGAAGTCGAATAAGTTCATGGGCTGCTGGCACTTGGATGACACGGTGCTCCTTGATAGTCGCATCGAATTCGTTGTGGAAAACACGACGATGCTCCTTCCATCGAGGACCATATCTCATTAGCGCAAACGTCCAATCCCAACCAACCCTATCCAGTACATGCTTTAGGAGTACCATAAATGGGTGAAACATGGTCACGCACAGGTCAATGAGCATTGGCATATCCGGTCTGTCGGAGTAGTTCGCTCCTCGTGAGACATACAAGTCCGCAACTGCTTGGGCAGAGTTCAAGATGACCGTCGTGTGTCCGAGAGTGGTGAGCGAGATAACATCGTCTCCTACGCACCTCACAATGAGCAAAGAAAGTGAACCAAGCAAAAATCTGAAATGCACACCATATTCCTTAGACCAGTCACGAGCTTTGACATAGAGAGCATCGCCGCCGAAATCAAACAAATTGCCAACGATGGGAAGACCTATATGTCTCCTAGATTAGACTGGGGCTGAAAAGTCTATACCCAACGAGAAAGGATGAACCTTTGGGTCCAGGAGGAAGATGTAGAGATCTTCTGCGCAGCGTGAATACTATGAGCACAGCGACAACAAAAGCGGCAGAGTAAAAGAGAAAATCCATGGCTACTTTTGTGGAATCTTTCAGGCTGTGAGTGAGACTGACACCTGAGTTATAAACGCCACTTCGCGCGCACATCTAAGCAGTATCTTTCAACTGTGACACAAATGTTCAAACCGGCATGTGGTAGTGCTAATCTGCGTCATGATTAGCCACAAATCCGCCCACAGCGTTCTTTTGATAAATGATCCATCTACTTTGGACAGCGTACCACAGCCTTCCTATCCCAGAGAAAGGTTCGTGGTTGGGACTCGGCCTGCACCCTGTGAGACCAGGAACTCCTCTTCACGTCGATTGAATGACTTTTGGATCCGAGACACGCGGCGTTCCCTGAGAGCCATGAAGGCGGCCTCAAACAAACATAGGGTGTCAGGGTCAAGCTTTGATTTTGGATAGCAAACATACTCATGTAGAAACAGATGACCGCTCGTGTCTAAATGGGTAGCGCTAGAGGTGGGAGCAGCGACCCCGGCCAACAAGTTTCGGTAATTTGAAGCGCGAAAGGGAATATTCATTAGCCGATATCAAAGAATAGTATTCCGCTGTGTGTACCTTGCGGAAACACTCCAGATCACTCATACACTATGTTGTAGCAGTTGCCTAGTATCGCACAGTACCGGACATAGCACTGCATGTAACGGCATCAATCGAAACGCTGCGGCAGAATCCAATCATGAGCGCACTGATATGCCTTGCGCCTCCTTGCGCCTCTTCCTTTCTTTGCCCCACTCGATGATGGTGGAGATTGCTGTTAGAATGTCGAAATAGGTTGCCGGTATCTATATATTATGTAATTAGATCTGGCCTCCACTCAGAACTGACCGGCTCTTCCTTGACACCACTCAAACCTTGGCAATGCGGGCATATACTTCACGCCCATGACGCTCTCGCAGATACGCATTTTCCCATTCCTATACAGAGTTATCATTGTTCGTGTTTTCCCGTAGGTGGCTTGATTTGTTAAGATTCGGCACAGCTCGAAAGGTCTGCATCAAGTCTGACCGCGACGCTCCGGAATTGGGACCGCAGAATGATGATCTCATCGCAGTACCTGAGGCGCCAGCGCTCTATATTCTGCTCTGCGATGCCTCAATGCACCTCGCGAATCATCATATACTGAGTTGAACGGCTGCGCCCATTGGCGTCAAGTGATATTAAGTGGTGGTATGATACCATCATTCGCACTCTCGTCATCCATTCCTCTCTCCGATTTCAGGCTCATCCATGGTAGTTTACCTTCACTCATCCTATAGTCTCGGTATCATGATAATCAGGCCAATCAGGCCTTCACCATCTGTTTCAATTCATCGGACATTGACACCGGACCGATCCTCCACAAGACAAAGTCTATGTAATTATCCTCCCATCCTCCCCTATACCACTAGGTATCACGGGAAGACATTAGAGCCTTCGATTGAGAGCTAGATATTCAGCCTGTTAGAGCCTTGAACGCGGTTCAAGAAGCACAGTCCTTTTGGCAGTTTCGTTACAAGATACAATTTCCGTGGCTCTCTAGAGTGCCTTTCTTCGTAAGCATCGGGAGCTAATAATTTTCATAGATCTCAGGAGCGGCCATTTATACGTTCAGGTGGCCTGTACTTTCCTCTCATTGAGTATGAGACAACACCAACTTGTCGTTGGATCGAAATCTGCTTTCTATATACGTTCTCAAGGTCTATCGAGTGCGCAGTCCTTTTAACGAGGCGCGATCTTATCCTGCTCCATATCTTCGTCCGATCTAAGCCTTTGACCCTTTTGGATGACGCTATCGGCGCCGCTTCTCTGAGAGAAAATGGACCGCATCCTTACGAATCTCCTTGAGCGAAGCAAGGTGTGCGTCAAGCCGTGAAGAAGCTTGAAAAATCAAACAGTAAGCAAGCCAGAGTTCGAATATTGGAACGCGCGATTATTCTTTGTTCGTGTTTCGCGCATACTCCTCATCTCAGTATTTTTCTCCAACATCGCAGACTCACAGTGTCGTCAAAGGCTGTATTCATGTCGATACTCACCTCTTACAAATTTGATGAGTGGGACTCCAGCGTCCCGCAAGTACTCGAGGCAGTATCTCTTCTTCTTTATCTACGTCTCTTCTTTGCCGGAAATAATGCTATCGTGCTGCCAAATACGACGTAGCCACATTTGGAACCAACATAGGCAGCACGCAGAGGGCTTGCCCAATCATTGCATTTTCGACAGAATCAATCGAATCGAGTACGCTACTAGATCGAGGTTTTTAGAAGCCATTCATGGTGATGTTAATGCAGCTAGCGACAATGGCGGTCCAGCTTAGTGTCTAATCGATCCACAAAAGAGGTCATACATGTCCTGAGACGTAGCCTACGCCATTCTTATTCCTCCGGAGTTCTCGACTGCGAGAGCGATTTGGAGGTCTATGCCTCTGCTTCCTGAAAAGATTGCTTAATTAAACTCTGAGGAAGAAAAGAATGTATTTGTTCCACCCAGGTTCCAGTGAACTACCAAAACAAGAATATAAGCCGCCTCGTTACTTGGTACTTGCGTCTTTCTCCGCTTTCTCTATTGCCACCTGCTCCAGTTCCGCGAACATCCCGCTCTTCAAGCACATCTTTCTAAATATCCCATCCTCCTTTCTGATCAAATTTAGTGGCGTATCGAACTCGGCGATTGCGCCCTTGTCTAGTACGATCAGCCTGTCGTAGTCGATGACAGTGCGGAGCCGGTGGGCAACTATCATACAACACGTGAGGAATAAGCTGGAGTACTCCTAAATCACACAAGGAGACAGGGACGCACCAGTCAACAGCAAACTGCCACCGAACTCCTCTCTGATTGTCGCTTGGATCTTGGCATCCGTGGCAAAATCGATGCTACTCGTCGCCTCGTCCAATACAATGATGGAGCTTCGCCTCAACAGTGCTCGCGCCATGGCAATCAACTGCCTCTGGCCTTGCGAGAAGTTGACGCCACCAGGTGAAACTTGTGTATCGAGGGAGATGGGGGTGCGCGCTTCGATTTCAGTGGCGGAGCCGACTGAAGGATCCGCCGTATGGGTGGGTGAAGGGGACTCTCCAGGTGATGATGGACGGGAGGGCGCGCGAGAAGCCTGACGTGAAGTGCGCTGCGACTGGTACGCGCTATCTGTGAGCATTTGCACGCGGTGCAATACATCGATGCACTCGATATCTTCGTGCTCATCTATACTAGAAGTCAAATCTATCCGTCGAAGGTATGACTGTTTGATAAACTCACTGAATGGATCCAAGTTTTCTCTCAAGGTTCCAGAGAAGAGCGTTGCGTCCTATCCAGCAGGTCAGAGAAGTTCGTTACAGCATCGCATCAACGAGCACTTACTTGAGGTATAAATGTCTGCAACACGTATATCAGCGAATAACTATGGAAAGAGTGTCAAATATTACATACAACGCGTGAACGAAGATCATGAAGGCCGATCTTAGATATATCAATGCCGTCGACCAAAATCCTCCCACCAGCAGGATCAACCTGAAATGTCACTGTTAAACGTCTGAACCGAGCAAGAGAAAGCAATGACGCACGAATCGCAAGATACTCATTGCCAATGTAGACTTGCCGCTTCCTACATCCGCGACGTGAGCAAAAATGACACAGTGACTAGAAATAACGCACCTGTTCTGCCTAACAGCCCGATTCGTTCCTTCGACTTCAGCGAGAACGAAACGTTGTGCAGCACAGGCGGAAGCTCCGGGGCGTACTTGATCACTAAGTCCTCTACAACGACCAGCTCATTGCTCTCGCTGGAAGGCCAGTAAGCGGGTGGTCGGGAGGACTCGATGATGGTTGGTGGCTCTTGCGGAAGATCGAGATATTCAACGACACGCTCAACAGAGCTGTAAAGTCGGTATGATTAGGACCAACAGCTAGACGCAGATCAATTGAGGTAGAACGCACTTCAAATCAAGCTCGAGCGCCGTCCAGAAACGGCAGGCCCAATATACGCTCGTCGTGAACGCCATTGCCGATGTGATACAAAGGCCAGCAAGACCGGCGTCGACATAACCCGAAAGCGAGAAAACTGTTGTGACCAAGACCGCGAAGGCACCGAGCGTGTCGAAGTTGAGAAGAAGCCAACGGTTCATCATCCAGAAGCCATACCACATCTATTCAACGTTTCAATTAGGTTTTTCTTAACCATACCGCCTTTTACCTACGCACCTGGGTCGTTAGATCAATCTTGGCATGCAAACCGTCCAAGAAGCGCTGCTCAGCAGAGAATGCGCGCACGGTCACAATACCCTCCAACAGCTCACCAAAGCCGGAGAAGATGGGCGAACGCGTGTTAGATTCCATTCGCCGCAAGTCGCGTCCAGTGTTGAGGTACCCAATCGCAAGCTGTCGGTACGCAAGGCCGATGAAGAATGCAGGAATGAGGAACCACGGGAAGATGACACTATAATTCACGTGAGCCCAACAAAAACGACAGGAAGCAGAGCGCAACATACGCAACGGTGATCACAGACGCAGCAAATACTGCGAGGGAGGAGTTGACTGCTTGCAGAGAACTGGCTAGGGATGAATCGACGGTCTCAACGTCCTGAGCGAGAACAATTAGTAGATGTTGGCAAGTGGAATCGATGAGAAAGACTGACTTTACTGAACCTATTTAGCATTCTGCCCTGCGGAGTCGTATCATGCCATCTCATGGTCGCCCGTACAACAGTTTCCAACAATCTCTTGAACAAGACCCTCGAGGCCCTCAAAGCGCCTGTGTATTGTGTCACTACGCTCAACACATATACCAGGGCAGTCCCAAGGCCTATCGCGGCATAGATGCTGATATAGAATAGTGGATTAGTCTGTGCGCTGGGTAAAGAGAAGAGCGTATGAGGCATGCTAGCAGCCTGCATACTGTGCACGGCATGCGAAAGGTGATGAGGGCCAAGAGGACCATCCATGATATGTTCATGTTCAATGGCCGAGAAAGACATAAACATAGCCGAGGCAGAAGATGTCGTAGGTTCGCCGTATGCTTCACCCCAGATCTAGACGTCTGGTAAGTTAAATGCAGAGAAGCGAGGAGAGGTCATTCACCTTGATCCAAATTTTCTCTGTGACGCCCAAGAGCTGAATGACACGTTAGCTACATGTCTGGGAAAACAGAGAGAACCTACTTGGGAAGCAAAAATCAGAAACCCGAGAATAGCCCAAGTCCAATACGATCTATTCAGCCAAAAATCAACTCGCAGCTCAGAAGCCAAACTGGCTGCAAGCTTACGAGGCGCGCAGGTAAGTTTTGTAGATAGCCCATTTAACGCCGCCAGCCTGTCTCTGCTCGTCCTTCACCAACTGCCTAGGCTTCTTCTCCTTTGGAGCAGGCTTTGCCGGCTCCTCTTCACCTGCGACTTCCACAGCCTCCTCTTCTGCAGATGGCACGACCTGCGCAATAGCTTGTTCTTCTTCGTGGACCTGCACCTCGGACTCGTGTGCGATGTCATCAAGAACGCCTTGAGCACGCAGATCGGCCACAGTTCCTTGGGTGTCGATACGTCCATCAAGCATGCGGATGAGATAGTGAGCGCCAGGGAGGACCAATTCGACGTGGTGAGTTACAAGGACCTGTAAGGAGGCTTGGGAATCAGAGAGAGCTCAACGTCTGTTATCGATGAATAAAACATACGACAGTGCGGTGCGCGAGAAGAGGCCCTTTCAAAAGCTTATCGAATAGGAACCGAGCAGTATGACTATCCTGTTGTCAACAGTGAGCAAACGGAACATCGACTTTCCAAAAAACACATACAACAGCGCTCAATGGGTCATCCAAAAGCACGTATTTTGAAGGCGCGTATACTGCGCGGGCAAGCGCAACTCTGACAAGGACGAAGAGTGAGCTATAAATGGATAGATGAACCAAGGTGATATTGAAATCTCCTTTACCTTGCCTTCTGTCCTCCGGACAGACTGACGCCTCTGTACATCGTAAACGTATCAACATCCATGAGACAACCCACCACATATATAGTCAAGACATACCTAGCACCGATCTCCGTCGTGTCGCCATCTTCCAAGATCTCGAGATCCGGTCTCAGCGCACAACACTCAACTACCGCCTCGTAGCGCGCTTCGTCAAACGGATATCCAAACAGGATGTTGTCCTTGATGGACTGATGCCTGAGCCACGGTGACTGAGCAGCATAGGAGAACGACTGCGTGAGGCCATGCTCATCCACGTTCGAGACGTCCTTCGACATGATAAGGCGGCCTCCAGGTAGCATCGTCATTTCCCCCAATAGCGCCATCTACCATAAGATCAGCATAGCTCATAGAAGGAGAGAAAAACACAGGACGCACCAGGAGAGCGGTCTTCCCGCTCGCAGTTGGCCCCGTGATCACAGTCAACTCGCCCTCGGGGAACATGACCGATATGTCCCTCAATTCGAACCGATGGTCCCCCGACTCGCTGACACCAACTGACCGACGACTTTCGGCATCGCTGTTTGCGTCGGCCCCGTTTGATCCAATCTTAGGCGTGTCCTTCCCATTTTTGCTGCTGTCCTGCTTCTCCTCGACCTCATTCCACTTGAAAGACGCATTCTCGAGCCCAAAGCCCTTGGCAATGTCCGACGCGGATGGGGGTCCTGAGCGGGAACGCTTGAGAGAGGACACTTGCCCATCTACCTCTTCTTCATCGAGATAGATAGAGATACGGTTGAGCGCGACACCAGTCTATGAACAGACACAGTTGTGAGAACAAAAGGACTCTTGAGCTTGGACTGAGAACTTACCTGCAGAATCTGAACGATCCATGCTGGGATAACGTTCAGGGGTGCCCGAATCATGTTGAAGAGCGCGATTGCCTTCCGATATCCAACACAAGTCAAACCCGAAATCAATCAAGAGCAAGTAAATGCTTACCGTGAATGCAATGCTGACGGTCAGCTGTTTCCCCTGCATCACGAACGTGAAGAACGAGATAACAGACACCAAGATAGGCGCACACGTCCACAACATCGAAAACATGACCGAGTTCACCCGGGCTGTGCACAAACATCAGACCCCACAGACTTTTGGACAACATGTGACGGACCTTTGATCATCCAGCCCATTTCAACCTCGCGCGCGTCGAGCGCGCGCTCAATCCACCGATCCTCCCATGCAAAGAACTTGATAAACTTGACAGCACCAATAAGCTCGTTGAGCACGCCCATGCGCTTGTCCCGAGCCGCCATGACGCCTTTCTGGATCCTGATACTGCGGCGCGCAATGAAGCTGTTGAGCGGCCAGCCCAAAATAAGGACGAAGAAACCAGCGAAGGCGGAGATGCCCAGCAATCTATGATGTAAGAGTTAATTGAACAGAGGGGTTAGATCATGGGTAAAAAAAAATAGAGATGGCAGGTACGCACTGATAAAGGAAAATGCTAGCAACAAGGATCTCGAAAGGAGCTACGAAACATGTAAACATACGCGAAATAGGTACATCGAAGGTCAAACACTTACCTCCGTATATGAAATACGCCCCCGAAACCATTTGTGCAATCTACACATAACACCACTCATTAGCCTCACATACAAAAGCTCATTCCTCAACACGCACCCTGTTTGCATCCCCGGCCATCAAATTCACAATCTTTCCTACGTCCGCGCCCGCCTTCGGGTCATCCGCGTTAGGGTCCTCCTTCCCTTTCTTCGCATCCGGCGCCTTCTTCGTGACGTTATCCTTATCGACAATGCCTGAGAAATCCTTCCGTTTAAGCGCCTTGTCGTAAATGGACGCCATCAGCTCTGAACGCATGCGCGTGCAGGCGCGCCGTCCAAAGTAAAGATGCTGGACGTCGGCTTGGGCCTATGCCGGTGATCAATATCAGTTGGCGCGTGGAGAGTGGAGTCAAAGGGTGATAACAGACCTTCGCTACGGTACATACGAAGGCGAGCATTGCGTATATGTATGCCTGGGAGTGTCTCTCAGGCGTTGGGTCTTCGATGGCTTCGAGAATACGTCTAAATAACACAATTCAGACACGTTCATAATTGGGCACCTTGAACACTCACTTGAGGAAGAACGGGCTGGCATAGTTGAAGATGACGCTGACGTATGTCAACATGAAATCCAATCTGGTGAGAGAAACTCAGGTCAGTGAGCATTGGATCAGAGAGGCCTCGAATGCGAAGAAAGGACGAGCATGTGAACAAGTATCGGGAGGCTAGACCATTGCTAGACTGGGCGAGAACATATCTCGTTAATATAGATACGAATGGCCTCTTATGCCATCAATCACGCAATACTTTCACATACTCACTATCTGCCACAAAAGAAAATACGCACATAATGTCCAAGGAGTTCGCAGCCCATAGTCGACGGAGGAGCGTGTCACGTTTCGTTGCACTGAATTTGATGAAGACGGGTCGAGACTGGATAGCAGGGCTCATAGCCCAGATGTCCTCTTCATTCAACGTCGTGTTTGTGCCCTACCAGAATCGAATCAGCACAGTCGAAAAGTACAACAATTGAAGGAGAGCCCTACGCGTTTGATAAGAGGCCAAACCCAATGGAACGTGATCCACCCCCACAAGGTCGTGTAGTCCTCCGGGGTAATGGAAGTTCCCTGATAAAAGTTGCATCAGAGATTAAATGCAAATATATTAGATGATGGATGACGCGCAATTTTTTCCTTATCTACCCTCTCACTAGGAATGTCCAAGGGCATCGCCAGAATAATGGATAGTAGCACAAGCACGGCGGCTAAGTTCAATACATGCGCTCCGAGAATGAGGGGCGGAGGAAATGCATAGCCAAGCACGTTCACATCGTACAGGATCCCACCGAGGTTGAATACTTCCAAGAGAAGGTTGAGGAAATACAGCGAGAAGAGGTCGAACGGAGGAGTAGGTTGAGGTCGGACGACCGGGCGGACAGAGGCATATAGCCAGGCGACAGCCGTGACGAACGGATGCACCACGTCCAATACATCTCTTTTGCGTTGCACAATGTTGTATGAGCCCAGAGAAAGCCAAACCAGCGTCTCCAACAGCGCAATCCATGAAAACGTGAGCGTTCTCCACAGGGGCACGGTCGGGTGATTACCGGCGTCTACGTTCGCATCGTCGTCCCCCGCGACTATGTTCCCTGCGGCTGCGGCGACATCGAGCGCCTCTGCCTCTTGCAGCGTCAGGAATGATTGAAGCGGGCTGGAAAGCGGCTTCAAGAGTTTGCGAACGCGCTTAGGAATCGGAATTGATGCGAAGACGAATAGGGCAACTAGCGCAGCGGGGAGTATGGTGCTCCAGAACGCGCGTATACACGGGTTAGCCAAGTCGAAGACAGTGCTCTGCGGGCAGAAGAGCAAGGTGCCCATGTTTTGAGTCGCCGTCGGTAGCGACGTGGGTGGTTGAGAGGAAGCGTGGGCGTCGACGTTGGACTATTAAATGCCCATCACACTTGCGCGCTTATCTTATCAACTCCGGGCTGGTCAAGCCGCCTTGAGCTTGAGTCTCTGTCATCTTCCAACAACCCCGTCCTTATTTTGAATTCTTGGAAAGTTCATTGAACGGCGTCAGAGCTCCCAAAATGCGTACGATGTACCGGCAACCTCAACATATTGACGCTCTGTCATCCTCGATCGGAATTTAATCATCCATCCCAAAGTTCATTGAGCAGCAACTGGCAGGTCTGGTAAGTACAGTAGACATTCTGCCTCAGGAATCACATCGCCCATGAAGCCCTGAGGCTCCCAACCACCTCGATGGTGGATTGAGATACTGGATACTGGTACCAATGGTTACGAATATAAAGATGGTACGATACTCCCTAAGTAAGCCTGCATGCCTCTATTCAGTCTCTATTCCCATCTCGTATCTCGCTGATCTTGGAGATCACATAGGAGCTGTCTGACATCCAGGAGCTAAAGTCTGCGGACCTGCTCACCATCGTAAGAATCCACCAGTAACTGATGTTCACATTCGATCATGAACTGCCAGCTACATTCAGCCAAGGGGTTTCATAGAACACCTCAAAATGCTTGAACGCTGCGACGTACCGGAATTCAATTCTAAGGCCAGCTTGTTCGCCTTGTCCATCTCATGGCAGAGAATATTTCGTTATCCTCCGTTGCCCAGCCTGACTTTGGCCATAGAGAGACGCCCTCTTCCGACCGTGCCGCGGACGACATGGTGCCGAATCTGGCACCAGCATCCCACAATATCTTCGCTATCCTTTTGTTCACCTTTTGGTTGAACGGTCAGATATTCAATGAGACCGAAAGGGCGTTCCCGTACTCGACTCCCAACACATACTCTTCAGCGTGTCTGTCAAGCAGTAGCTGCACGACAGACACATGACCGCCGACGGACGCCGCCTGGAGCGCGCTTTCGTAGAATCCCCCATGCGCATCAATCTTGGCACCTTGGTCCAGCAGCAGTCGCGCGATAAGTTCGTGCCCGACGTAGGATGCCGCCGTGAGCGCGCTCCCGTACGATCTCCCTTCGCATTGACGTCGGCACCTCGGTTTAGCAGCAGCCGCACGATGGATTCATGACCACCGGCTGATGCAGACTGGGGCGCTGTCTCGTACAGCCCATGTGCTCTCATTTCAGCCCCGCGGTCCAGCAGCAGCCGCACGATAAATTCACGGCCACCGTAAGACGCAGCTAGGAGTGCGCTCCCGAACTGTCCTCCATCCGCGTTGATCTCAGCACCTCGGTCGAGCAGCAGGCACACGAGGGCTTCGTGACCAGCAAAAGACGCCGCTTGAAGTGCACTCCCATGTTCTCCCCCCTCCGCATTGACCTCGGCGCCTCGGTCTAGCAGCAGCTGCACGATCATTTGGTGACTGTTCAAGGACGCCACCTGGAGCGCGCTCCCATACTGTCCACCTTGTGCATTGACCTCAGCACCTCGGTCCAGTAACAACCGCACAACGGACTCATCGCCACCTTTACATGCCGCCTGGAGCGTGCTCCCATACTTCCCGCCCTGTTTGTTGAGTTTGGCGCCTCGGTCTAGCAGCAGCCCCACGACGGACTCGTGACCACAGACAGACGCCGCCCGCAGTGCACTCCCGAACACTCCTCCTCCCACCTCGACCTCAGCCCCTCGGTCCAGCAGCAGCTGCACGACAGTTTCGTGCCCGTTGACAGATGCCGCCTGCAGTGCGCTTCCAAACATGCCCCCATCCACATTGATATTGGCACCTTTGTTCAGCAGCAGCCGCACGACGGATTCATGGCCACCGACAGATGCCGCCTGGAGCGCGCTTCCATAGACACCACCACGCACATTGACCTCGGCACCTCGGTCCAGCAGCAGCCATACGATGGATCCGTCACCATGAAAAGATGCCACCTGCAGCGCGTTCCCAAATCGCCCTCCTTTAGTGTTTACCTCTACACCTTGATTCTATAGCCATTTCGAAAGCTCTGTCAACCTAGCACTACATGCATAATACAGTGGCTCTGGGATGCTAGTGCCCTCCCGCAGCCAGCACGGGGGGTGCCAAGATTCTTCTATGTCGTGGATTCTAACCCAGTTTAAAAACTGCGCCTGTCGAGGTTGCTGAAATAGTTCCTGACCTGATCTCTGGAGAGATGAGTCGCTATCCTGGCCCTGATGCTGTAAGTGCCAAATCCAGTGTCTTGCCGCATATAGAGCTAGACTGGCATCTAAGTTCTCCTTTACCTGCTTCTTGTCTAGTCCAACGAGATTATCAAATCGCATAAGGTAGGTCAGGCAAGTCGCAGCGATCCATCTGTGAGCCAATTCGCTATCAATACTGAAGCCGTGTGTACGCCCTTCTCGAATCCTTTCAGAGAACAAGTATTTTGAACAGAGAAGTGAGATAATTGGACGACTCGGCTGCGTCAGATTCACTCAGAGAAAACATTGGCAGCCAATGGTAGCCGCCTCCCAATGATTCGTGGAAGTCGTCCCGAGCGGCTGATAGAGAGACCAAGCTGCCGCATATTGTGAGCACGTCCGATGGGCTCCGTAATCGGCTCCCCGGGACGTAACGAGTCATTGTTTTCGTGTCCATGTCTACGGTGACCACCTCGGCTAGTTCACCAAACAGCAGCGGGCGGGCGGAGCAACAGAGAAACTTCAGAATTCGATGGACCTTCTCTCGATGGATGTCTTAAATATTTTGTAGGATGCGATCATACGTCGCGTCCAGCGTCCTTGGCAGGCTGTTCAAAGCCGTCCTGAGATCGGAAGAGGTGACGCACGCCCGCAAAGCGTCCATTTGACAACGGACCCATTGGAACCTTGAAAATATCATCTCAGTAGTTATCCTCATACCGAGAAGGCAATCTCACTGGCTTACATTCCATCCGCGCGTTTCACGAGAGTTTCTGTGATTGACGCTTTCTCCGCTACTCCCCATTTTCTCAAGTCGTAATCCTCGTCAAGGATATTCTTGACGTACAGCTGGATATCGTGGTTGGTACAGGAAATTTGGCCATGGAGATCAACGCGGTCAGCGTGCAAAGATTCCATTCTCTCCTCGATTTCGCGCACAGGCCGACTTGTAGCCAGAAGATGGATAGAATGGAGACCTCAACTCTTAATTTCTGCTAGAAATCGCAAGATGCCTGCTCGCTCTGTGCCGGTGCATTTATCAAGAGCGTCGAGTATAATGTAAGTGTGGTCAAAAAATGCAGCCATCGCCTTTAAAACCGAGATCAGATCGTCCAGCTTCGGTTCTTGCTTGCCCTCGTGATTCCGCATATAGAGGTCTTTGAGAAGGAGAGGGGTCCCAGGACTTCGGAACAAGAGTTGAACAATCAGGGAATGGATGAGGTTGCGAAAGGCGAGTTTGGCAGGATCATTGAAGTCAAAGTAGAAAAAGGGAATGGCTGTCGATGTTGAGCTAGATGGCCGTTCGGCATCGCATTGAAGGGCTTCGACGAGAGTAGAGCTACCGCGAAACACATCAAAGTCTTTCCGAGCCTCGACATCTATGCTGCGCCTCACCACAGTATTGTTTTGCCATTGCCGGCTGTGAGTTCAGTCATACACGTTATGACGGTCTTAGAGACAGTCGAAGGATTACCGGAGGAACGTACGAATCCCATGAATCCAAAGAAGTGAATTCGGTGATTGCCTCCATTCTAAAAATGCCGGATTTTTCACGAACCAATCTCCTGTTCCTTCTTGTCGCCTACCTAGGGCTGTATTGTGATTGGTAGACGGATCAGGCGGGCTGAGCCACGTATGGATTTTAGTCTGAAGGTTGTCGTCTGTCTTGTGGGATCAGAGCTCTAGACAACGATACTTTTCTAGAACACGTACCCCTCAATACTTGCAAGATGTGCAATCCTTCTGTAGCCTTCACCGACGTGAAAGTATTCACCATGATACTCGCCTGATTTAACAGCTTCGTCAGTCTCTCCATCGCGGGCCTCACTTGCATATCCGACCTAAGAAGAGTTCTTAAGTATTGAGCTGGGAGCGTCATCAGCGACAGCATTCAAGGAACCATCTCAGATTGCTCACCCGGACGCTTCTGCTTCATCCACTTTGTAGTTACTGCCAGAGTCACGAGAAGTTGCGCAAGGATCTCTATGATGATCTTCTTCAAGGGCATACTGATGTCTTGTTGATTAAGTACACCAAGTCGTTCGATGAACCCTTTGAGCTCCTCAAAAAGATCAACAATTATGTCGTAGTTTGCACTGACATCTTTTGCAGCCTTTGATAAGATCAAAATCCGGCTCTGAATGAGCGAGAGAGACCACCGTACCTTCAGTAATAGACGGACAGCAACAAATACTGCCTTCGCAGGCGGGTTGGCCTGGTCCAAGTGCGATCAGATACTTGTCGGTCGCAGAAGTGATAACAGCGACGCTAACCAGAGTAAAGCTCTCACTGACCGTCTCCGAAAGTACGTCTACTAGTCCAAGAACCGGCTTAAGTACATCCCAAATCTTCTGTCCCTGCTTTCGATACTCGCTAAATTTGTTCTGCCCTGTCTCGATGATGACCAGAAGAGCATCAGGAGAAGAGACCTGCAGTCTGCCTTGGAGAAGATCATGCTTTGTGACCTGCTTATACTGCGCTATTGCAGAGACCCAAATTTCGGGGAATTGAGACTGAGCATCATGGTCTGTCATGATCAACCAGGTGGTAGGGGCGGGAGGATTCCCAGGACAGCATGTACAGGCAAGGCAAGATGAAGATGGACACGATGCGTGAGCGCTGGTATGTACGACGGTGGAAAACAATACTGACCAGATACTTATATCTGTGACCAATCGCAATCAGATCTTCTGAAGCGCTCAAGCTGAGTGCACAGGTGACCATACCGGGTAGTGACAGACCGAAAACCAAAAAACAAATTCTAGTAAGTATCATCCTTCAGAAGATCGTATCATATAATATGTCCGAAAAGCCCGTTGTGATATATTACGACTCGGTGAGGCGAAAGAGCTAGAAAAATTAGACACAAACCGGTTTTCCTTGTCATGAGCTTCAAGCTACTACGCGTGAGCGAGGAAATCGGCACTCTTTTGGACGGCACGCGTAGACACTCATCGAAAACGTGTGCCAACTAGCGCATAACGAAGAAGGTTTTGAAACAAGGCTGGTTAGCTCGCTTGCGGCATATACTCTCAGAGAAGAACAAGACGCACTAATTTTCCTCTGAATAAAGAGTGACATCGCGATATTCCTTATATGCTTCTCCCTCATAAATCATGTTCTTCAAATGTCGCGCATCCGCTTTATCTTGTTTCCACACGGCGTTTTCCTCTGTAAGATGCTGCTTTTAGTTGAAAGGTGCATCATGGTATGATGGACAAAACATGGAAAAGTCTAAAGGAGAGGCTTGGATGGGAAACTCGTAGAGGCGGCCATTTCCTGTCAAAAGCCGACCAGATTACAAGACGCACTATATACCCCCATTTTATTTCATTCCAACTTTTTCGCCTCAAATATACCTGGCTCATGCATGCGTGTCCAGACGGACAGCACGGCAATCAACCAGTGCAGCCAATTCGAGGCGTTGTGTAGAATGTACGTTACTCTATTACGCTACTACGCTGGGCCTGGCACGAGCGCAGAGCGGCAGATGCCGTGACGGAGTTCAAAAATGATCGACGTCGCAATATCCCCGCCGTATATTACGAGGTGAAGCTGACTTGTCCGAGATCGCCTAGGGATGAATATGACCTGGTGAGTCTGCAGCCTGAATCCATCCATTTTTCTTACATGGTTCAGCTATTGTTAAAAATAGGCAAGTTGAAGCTCTATTCAACCGCAATATATGTTAATCGCCGGAATGCGAGGGCGGCCAATTCACAGATGCCTCCCAGACTAAAGACTCAGATTTCTGAGCTCGGAGAATAAATCATTCTATAATCATTTCACTTGATGTTTTCTCTGCGCAGCATCTAGAGGCAGAGACGTGGGGTAAAATGAGTAATTGTAGACTGATGACAGCTTATTGCTCGTTCAGCTCTGGGCCGCAGAGCTTCTTCCCGTTGACTTTATGCGACAAAGACCTCGCCAGTCCAAGAGCAAGTGACTGCCCTATTGGCTTCGGGAAGCGATTACGGCACGTACCTCTTCAACAACCCTCACATGATCACATATGATCACCTCTCCGCCTCAGATTCTAAAAATTCCAACGCCATCACCTTACCGACCCAAGTTCCAACAATAGTATCGTGGCGATCTAATTTTGTGCTTTTGTTATAGAGGATGAAGTCTGAATCTCTGAAAATCCTTTGCTCGTCATTCAGGTACTACGTATCGCTTCAGGAACTTCTCAAAGTCACGTTTTTCCCATACCTACCGTACGTATTTTCCACGACCTTCATATCACCGAAGCTTCTTTGACCCAACCCTGCCTTCGGCAGATTCAACTCCGTGCAGTCTCGGCAAATACGAGACTGAAGGAGGCATTTAAAGGTCTCTTTCTGCGTTCAGGACAATGTAGTGCCTGCCCACTTTGTTTGGCAAGATGTTCATGAGCGATTTTCAACAGTCTGGAGTTGCAGCCGTCGTTGCTGTGGTTGTATCCCTCACCGTTATCAGTATCTTCGCTCGCAAGTCTCTTCGTCTCACTACTCCCCCTGGTCCCAAATCATCTTGGTTTGGTTTCGGTAAACCTCCCGTCCCAACGACGTACCCTTGGCGTACCTACCAGGAATGGCAGAGACTTTATGGTATTTGTCGTGATCTTATATCTTTCAGAGATGTATCGTGTCTCACCAATGTGATAGGTGACATTGTGTTCTATTATGCTTATGGAAACCCTGTTGTCGTTCTTAACTCGGCCAAGGTCGCAGATGACCTCCTCGACAAGCGCGGTGCGATTTACTCTTCTAGGCCCGTCAGGACCATGTTAAGAGAGCTGTACGTCGTCACATTTTCTTTCGAAGTTCTGAAGCACCCCGATTTACGACTTTGTAAGAATGGGTTGGAATTGGTCTTTTTCAAACATGCTCTATGGTAGTTCGTGGAGGAAGTATCGCAGCACATTTCAGAAGCATTTCCACCCGCGTGCAATAACCCAGTACCAGCCCATCCAGCTCAAAGAAGTTCAAACATTCCTTCGTAACCTGAACCGCTCTCCCGAAGATTTCTACCACCACATGCGCAGGTACAGTCTCACCCTTGCCCTTATTGATGCCTTTAAATGACTGAATTCGTGCAGGAACGCTGCAGCTCTCGTCATGAAGATTTCCTATGATCATGATATCGCAGAAGAAGGCGATCACTTCGTCGGCTTAGCTGACAGAGCTATGACCGGGACAGCCCAAGCAGCCATCTTTGGAACTTTCGTGGTTGATTATTTACCTATCTGTGAGCCCTGATACTAGACGAACCTTTTTTTTTTGGTCGTGCTCATGCTGTGAGATCCAGTGAAGCACGTTCCCAGCTGGTTTCCGGGCGCCGAATTCAAGAGAAAGGCGAAAGCCTGGCGCCAAGATACTATGGCGATGCTTGAAGAGCCTTTCGCCATGGTCAAGCAGAAGATGGTGCGAAATTATCGCCTAGAAATACTCTGATTTCTACAGCTGGGACTTTTTAGGCGCTGGGAACTGCCGGGCCTTGCGTTACCACGCTTGAGCTAGATGATGCCAGTAAGGAGAAAGAAATCGACGTATCAATGATTCAAGGGGTTGCCGCCATTTCCTACGCAGGTATAGGCACATCACCCTTTACCATCGAAACGAATCTAACGATTATATCTCTTGATCAGCTGGTGCAGATACGGTAAGATCACTCTCAATATTATATTGAACGACGGCACTCACAATGAATCTGGAGACTGTTTCTGCCGTGATGTCTTTCTTCATCGCCATGATGAATAACCCCGAGATTCAGCGTAAGGCTCAGGAGGAGATCGATCAAGTCGTGGGCAATGACCGCCTCCCCACATTCGAAGATCGTAGCAGGATGCCGTTCCTCACCTGTCTCGTCTGGGAAACTCTACGATGGAATCCGGTCACACCTCTGGCGGTTCCTCACGCAACAGTTCAAGATGACGTTTACGAAGGGTATTTGATTCCGAAGGGAACAACTGTGCTTGCAAATGCCTGGTCAGTTCCTTCGATAAAGACAAGCAATACTCGCCTCTCAACTACAGTCTCACAGGGCGATTCTCCATGACGAGGCCAAATACCCTGACCCGTTCTCATTCAACCCCGAGCGCTTCGCGGACGAGAATAAAAACGCTGAACTCGAGATAAATGAGCTCCCTTACGCGGCATTCGGATTTGGGCGTCGGTATGTAATGCCGCCGGACCACATACGGTAGACTGATGCAGCGCTTCACTCAGTATTTGCCCTGGCCGTTGGCTCGCATTGGACACCATTTGGATTACTATCGCATCAATCCTTGCCGTTTACAACATCTCGAAGCCTAAAGACGTGAATGGCGCGGTTATCGAACAGGCCGTAGTATACACAGGCCATGCAATCAGGTGCGCCACACCAGCCTCATGATGACATGCGTAATCTGATCCCCAGCATCTAACAGTCGACCTGAGCCTTTCAAATGCACTGTTGTTCCTCGTTCGGCGGAGGCTCTTGCACTCGTAGGGCAGGCGTGAGATCGTAGGCAATGATCATGGCGGTAACTACCTTTTCCTCTCCTGTGCTATGCATGCTGTGCCTCCAAGGGATAATAATTATTGAACGTTGATCATATCGGTTCCGAAGGCAAGAGATGACGCCCGGAGCCCCGTTCAACAGAGCACCACCTGACAGGGTGGAACTGGGCCATGAATGAGAGTTGTACCAAGACTGAGGAGAGGGAGAAACGGGAACGGAGGGGATCATGCCTAGGCCGAGGGGATGGTACTCAGTACGTTCGCGCGCTGGTCGGGCAGTCCTTGGTCGAACCCGATTTCTGTCCGTTACTGTCCTCCCATGAACGGCTGGTGAGAGCGGCACCGTCAGCGCGACCGTAGAAACGGTGCATCCTCATGCCGATCAAACCTTCCGTCTAAGAGCGTGCATGGGTCGATCATGGACCGTTGCCATCGCCTGACCAAAGACTTTCGGGAATTGCCTGATGTCATCGGGACACTGAGGCCATCATAGCCTTTGTCGGACCTGTATCGTAGAGGTGTAGATCAGGAAAGGTTGAGGTCGCCATTTCATGCAGAACGATTTGAGCGTCACACTGCTGCCGTTTGATTTCCGTGGGAGTCGAGTTGAACAGTCCCGTGTATCGACGGTCTGTTGATTCAAGGCCCGTGGATGTCACTATACCAGACAATCAGCCATGAGGTGTCCAGACAGAAGCGCCTAATCGCAATGTGCCCTTCATTGCGTGCAATACTCCATTGCGATGCGAGATGAATAGATCAGGGGTGTGAGCAGCAATTCAACCATGAGGACAAGGTGTCTGCAGCGATCTTGACCAAGGGGAACGGGAGGCGTCGGCTACGATCTAGGTTGACTGAAATTACCGAGATGGTGTGGCCTAAATGGAGGTCGAATGCAACCAACGCTGATACACAGAGTCATAAGGCAGATCAATCCCAGAACTCGAGGCATGGTATCTCCAACGACTTCTTTCGGTCAACTAGTGAAAGTATGTTTCTTCTCCGGAATACTTGTGAGGAGATTGCCTGCGAAGGAGCTTGCCAAAGATAAGCGCGTCCGCCGTCCGGCAGATGATGATTTGGGCGCTCCAAGTAGCGAAGCAAGTGTGAGAGTCAGGGGACCGAGGTGGCCGCGGTGCTTAGACAGCCTTGCCGAATATTTGATTACCTAATTCTTGGCGTTGGAGGGAGTGGCGGCAGAGCTGCAGAAGGCTGTAGAAAGCGCCTCTGCTTGCTGCCCAACCACGACGTCCTCCATCCATAATGGAGTCCCTCAATCTCAAGAACCTCGCTAACTCATTACCTACGTCCAACCTCGCAAACGCAGAGACCGACCTTTTGAACGATTTCAAAGGTACTTTTTTCTGGCACGACGTTGCTGAGCAGCTGTCAGTGGGCCATCGCTGATATGGAAATGTTCGCAGCCGCGGCTCTCAGTATAACAACGCTCTACCGCTCTTCTCGGACAACATCCAAGAAGGCGTACAATGCTGGATATGCGTCTGCATGCCAAGATCTGCTCCAGATGATCCAGCAGGCCGTGTCGGACTCGGAGTCAGAAGGCGGGAGTGGGATGCCGACGATCGAGAGGGTCATGGATTGGGTGGAGGCGAGGCTAGAGGCTATAAGGGCTCGTGAGGAAGAGGAGGAAGAGGATGAGGAGCGTGAGAGGGAGAAGGGACGAGCCGATCCCCTCAGCAGAGTCAAGAATGGCCATGGCCTGAACCGTGCGAACAGCGCCCCCGCCGCTCAGCACAAAGACGCTGTACGCTTTCCAATCCCGCCTCACAATTTCATACTAAATAATTATGGTGAACAGGCTCCTGCTACATTGACCTCGAAAGCATCGCGCCCGATTCCCATACAATCTACCCCATCATCTCCAACGATGAGCTCAGTCCGGCCACCACCCGCCACCGTCCCGCGCCTTCCCAAATCGCGACTCTCCAACACACATCCCAAGGACCCACCAGTGCCCAGCGTGTCCTTTTCTAACTCACCATCAGTTGCCGCCACCACGATGATGCTAGCGTCCGCCGAGCCCATCTTCGCATTCCGACCCTCTAATCCCTCTTCATCAGGCTTCTCAGGCCCCGCTATGATCGAATCGAGGCCCGTCAGCCTCGACAACCCTATGAACGTCTCCGCAGGCGTCAAGCGGAGACACGCGATGATGATGATGCTAGACTCCACACCGTCTGCTGCGGATGGCGCGGGGCTACCCAGTATCAACGCCCCGCTCCTTGGGTCCACCGCAGGATCGAGCAGGCGCAGAACAAAGAGTACGAGGGGTACTAGTGCCCAGGCGCAGAACCAGAACCAGGGCGTGGAGGCGATGGAAATAGAAGAAGATGGGCGGGAGCGCAAACGCGTGGCTCGTCGATGACGAATATGTGTATCAGGTGAGCACTACCCGCTTCTACATAAACCTTTTTACTTGCCAAGTCTGACGCAGCTTCATTGGCCAATGCAGTAGAAAGAATGATGTGTTTTGATGATATCATGTCGATTGTGTCCTTGCATACGCGGGTTTGGCGTCACTTGCTTACCATCCTTCCAATCCTGTACCAACCCAACACGCTCGTTTTCCCCTCACGTTTTTCTTCCTTTTGCTTCCGCAATTTCACGATGTTCCTCAATTCATGAATTCTATCTTATTCTAAATCGTTATTGTGCCGTCATCCTTTGTTTTTCACCTCTTCTACCCTCAACGATCCTCATCAGGCTAGATACATTTTTTCCTTAGCCTGCGGGGCTTCCAACAGGCATCATCGGTGTATCCTTATGTGCAGTAAGCTTGGCCAAGTTCACTAAGATAATCCATCCATATTTCCAATATGCGGTCGTTGTGCTTCAGATCTCGATTACGGCTTCGCTGACGGCCTAGGATATGATGGGTAAAGCGCTAATACTATGGTAGGCAGATGCGACTTCGGGATCTTTACATTAGAGAGAAGACAGCAACGAGGAGAACTGCTCTTCTTTCCCGGCGAAGACCAGATAAACACACCACATATCCATCTCCCACTGCTTGATCTCCTCGCTCTGCCTCCTCTCGTCCAAAAGCCGTTCTGCCCTGTTATTCGCATAGCCCCGCCACACATGCATCGTTCGCAGGGTCACGAGTAGCACGAGAGTCCCAAACACCCGCGGGTCCACTAGCGCGGTGCCGACGACGCACCCGATGAAGATCCACACGTGCGGGACGGCGTAGTTGCCGTAGTACGCGATGCGGTCGAGCGGCGATGTCGGAACGGGCGCGTAGCCCTTCTCGAAGACGAGGGATGGTAGGCTTTCGGGGTACATCAGGAGCGCGCCCCCGACCATGGCTGTCCAGATCGGGAAGAAGAGCGTGTGGAGGCACTCTTCTAGGGAGTTGAAGGCAAAGGGCACTGTGTATGTCTGCTCGCGGGGTCGCGTCGACATTCGCGATTGCGGACGCAATGGTGGCGTTTGCCTGGGCGACGTGCGCATGCCACTGTCGCCCGAGTCGTCGTCGAACCCGTAAATACGGTCCGATCCGGCCAGGTTCAGATACTAGGCGAGTAGGTCAGGTTGCGAGACGTGAATTCAGCCCAGGAGAGACATGTACCTCGACTTCTGAGACAACTGCACAGACTGTCTCGACGTACTCTATCACGTTGCCGTCTAACACTTCGATTGGGATGTTACGCATGTAGGACACATTGTTCTGGGAGTAGAACAGGTCAGCAAAGTGTGCGATCAACGGGGAAGAGCGTCGACTCACAGCGTCTTCGCCATTCTCTGGAGCGATGCGATTCTTGAAGTTTGTGGATTTCTACGGTCCGGACCATCAGCCTGTTTTCAAACGAGCCTGTTCCAGAACAAGGCTGACATACTTTCTTGAGCAGCTGTGTAACCCTCTTGGCTGCATTCCGCGCCTTGTGTGCCGCCCGCGACAATGTACCAGTTTTGTGCATCGACGTGTCCGCATCTAGCGGACATGCCCCGCCGTCTTGTACAATGAGGAAGTTATGCTGCACGAGGAGAGGGATGTCCGACCCGACTGGAAGGGCACCGTCGGTGGCCCGATGAGAGTCCTTTGGCCGGCTTTCGTCGGGAGTGAGTGGGGCGGAGGACGGCGGGGTGCTATCTGGGGAGCCGGACTCAGACGCGATGGTCTCTGGGGGTGACTCTGAGGATAACGTGACCTGGAGAAGGGATGATGATGAGGACACCGGGCAGATGCGATCGGCTAACTGACCAAGGAGCAAGAACGATTCATTTGGGGATTGTCAATCATTAGTGGTATGGGATGGTAGTCAAAGGAGAGGGATAGGTGCAAGACATGACCGCGTCAAACAAGAATTTATGAGCACCAAGGAGATTTGAACTGGCCGTCCAGATTGAAAGTTGCGGCTCAAGGCGGGAATAGCGTGACACGCTCTTGATTTTCATGACGATGATCAGAGAGCGCACATTGAGGAGTGCAATACGCGAGGTGCTACAATCTGAGAAATATAGGATATCCTGTGACACGGCTCAGTGCACATCGACGACGACGGATGCATAGCCAACGCTGGTAGTACAGAAGCGTCGTCGCCGGAGATTTTACCTGAACGGACGTCAGTGAGAATGACGTTTACGAAAACGAACCTTGGGAGAGATGCGAGTCCAAACGAGAAATTTGAAGTTGACATAGGTTTGAGAAAGACCTAGATTAGTTGGCCGGACGCGCCGGGCCGGAAGAGTAAAATAAGAAGTGGAGTACACCGTACCACCAAAGTCTAGCAACAGCTTTCATGTTTCGAGATAAGCAAGTAAAGACAGGTCCAGGGCTTATAAATACAATGGCTAATGATCCAGCTCGCAAGGTCCAGAAATAAGCCAGCACTATACACGCCTAGCAAATAATCAAACAGTCGCCGCGTAGGTCACCAAAACGAAAATGTGTATGGCATCCAACGCGTCCAGCGCATCGTTCATGCATGACTCTGACGCATGTCAGTCGCCGTGTAGACAGTGCTATCCCGGGGATACGACCGTCCATGGAGAGGGGATCCGAATGCGTCGTTCTTCACACAGTGGATCAAGCTCAGGACGATGAGGAAAAGCAGAGAGATCCAGCCGAGCCAGGCAAAAGCAACGAGGGCCGAGAGAATGCGGCATGGTTGGTATTGTTGGCACCAGCCTAGGTCGCCCCAGAACGACTACGCAAGAGACATGTTAATGACAGAGAAGCTCTTGAGAGTGAGCGTCGGCATACTGTAGAGATTGCAGCGCCCACGATCCATAGAAGGAACAAGATGGCATTGCCAAGAAGCTCTCCGGCAAATGTGTTCAAGATCCCTTCCTGTCTTCCTTTCGCTATACTGAGGGCACTGTGAAGCGATTCAGTTGGGTTTCTCGGAGGAACATCATAAGATGGGCGACGAACATATGCGGTGCCCAAAGTATTGTCAAGATGGTTGTTACTAACAGCTCAGCGACAATGGGGTCTGTCACATATGTCAGAGTCTGATAACTGACTTAGTGAAGATGCTACCAACCGTAGAACGACCTTCCATGGTTCAGAGGATCGCGAGGCGCAAGGTGCGTAGTATAGTGTATTCGTGCTGCCGTGAGACCCAAAAGTACAACCGAGAAAACCCACTATGACGACGACGATGAGTTTGTATCAGTGCATGTGGATTGTCAAATCGCTTACCAGGGCGCAGTACAAGAAGATTCGAAGAGGGGGAAGAAAAGCCATTGCAACTGGTAATCAAGGGATGGGTTGGCAGAAAGCAGGTGTATGTGGGGACGATGCATGACGGAGGGCGTAGTCTTTATAGCGAGGGCCGAGCTCCATGGTGATGGCAGCAGTCGTGCAACAAGGCAGCTGAGGGTCTTCCAAACTCAATGGGTCCGAAATGATGGTGCCCACGTGCGGACACCATTATGTCCTCCTTTGGTTTACCCAACCCTTACCAACCCTCCACGCGTTTGCCTCCTGCCCGTTCCATGTCTCGGATCTATTCTGTCTACTGCCTGTTGATTCGCGCAAATTATTAGACACTCGAGAGGCGATGACTCTTTCACAGAACCGGTCTTCGTGCGCACACCAGACGTTCCTTCGCGATGTCTGGCACTGCCCGTGGAGAGCTCCTGACGTCAACTCCGTGGGCTTTTACTCGCATCAAGGTACGGATCAGTGTAGGAAAGCTGTATGTTATTTCGGACGCGGCATCGTGGTGCGTTCGTGTTCGCTCGAAAAGGATCGATTCGCTCCTCTTGAACGAGTCCCCGGTACCTTGCGCCATATTCGTCGCTTCTACCGCAGTCGTCGTCTGAACAGTGATCGCTGCCCTCTATATTTAGGAGCTATTTACAGAATCTTCAGCGTGGTGTTCATATCGATTCCTCCGGACTTGCTCCATGTATGATGCGGGTCCGGCTTCTGGCAGGACTCTGTCCTGGCTGCGAACATGCCAAGTTACCAACTTCGTAACGCGCATGTTATCTTGTGATTCGGACTAAGGCTCCTTCATGTAACTTTAGAAATCAGGATTGAATGAGCAGGTAAGAATTAGGCTGGTTCACTGCTGCAGTGCTGGTTCGATAATCACTTGTGGAGAGCATAATCGCGTCACACTGATGGTGCTAACAAGGCACACATAATTAAGACACCATAGCCAAGTGGTTACGGCGACAGATTCGAATGCTTACAGCATGATATCTGTTGGGCTCTGCCCGCGTAGGTTCAAATCCTGCTGGTGTCGTATACATGTATGTGTCAACTTTTGTTTTTCCATATCAAACCACTTATGGATTCCGATAGCAGGAGGTATGTGAGAGACAGAGTGACAACGATATTATAGCTGCACATCTGTCTAACATCTACACAGTCCTTGTTGTTTGACTTATAAATCCTGTGGGCAAAAGAATAAAGGTCTTTGATGTCACAATAGTATCATATTCAATCCTTCAGCCTTTTCCGGACCCCCATCCACAGGATTCTTATGGAGACTGTGCAGAAACGCTGCTTTTGTCTACGACAGATGCCGATCTCTGCTCCATACTCAACAATTAGGCCACAAAAATACCTCTGGGTATATCGGTTAGTACACGCGCCTGTCACGCGCGAAAGCGGGGTTCGACTTCCCGCCAGAGAGCGCATTGCCATTCGACCAGTTTTTACATTCATTTTTGCACATGATACATGGATTGAGAGACGCAGCATTTTTGGATTTGGGCGTTCTAAGATGATTGTGCTCCTGGCCGCACTCACCCGGAGCCGATTTCTTCTTGAGACCACATGCGATACCACGTCGCTGATTTCGTCAAACCTGGTCAGATTCAGCGATGTGGTTGCAATTGCTTTTGCACGAAATTGACTATCGATGGTTAGAGGCTTAGATGACGGTTTTGATCACGGGTCTCGGCAACCTCTCTCGCGAGCCGTCAAAACGAGTTCCCAGATTCCGTAGCGTAAGCAAGATGGACATGGATGGAATCCCAGGTGCTAAAAACCCAATCACTTGCATAAGGGTACATCATATGTAAGGCTCGCCTCGGCAGAGGCTGAATATGCCTCCAAGATGCTATGAGTATTCGTTACCACTTTCGTCTCGGCGGCAACATCCACTGAGCTGTGTCAACCACGTAGCAATAAGCGGTCGACTGTGCGCAGTAAGTTGCCGCGCGCAACACGGATACTGTGATAGCCGCCTCAGTTCACTGTTCATAAGAATCTCATACACCCCAATTGCATTGAAGGTCGCTATGATGGCAACTGGATGTTTCAACCGTTCAGCGTGACAGAGGGTATAGCCATCCCGCGGTTCGGCGCCTCCGGATGTTGATTGCGAAAGGACGAGGATTCGTGAAGTCAATACAATGGATGGAGTCAAAGGCAGAATACGCCGTAGTATCAGTGACAACACTCCACAAGTAGTAGACTGGGTTTCGTGTACCGCAGGGCTCCTGTTCCACAAATATATAGGTATCATTAAAATAAATGAAGCATGGATAGTAGGTCAATTGTGTGCATACCAGTCGCCATATTTGTCGCATCTGTTGGCTCGAGCGCCGCTATGAAGCACTGAAGAGAGGAACGGGCGACTACACCAACTGTCCATGTATTCCTTCAAAATTGAGGGCTCCACATGAATGGAGTCTAGTGACACCAGAGAATGTGAAGAAGTACGTAGGATGGTATCGGTACCGACCTATTTCATTACCTGCACCATCCTTTCACAGGGATCAGGCGGTACACAGAACCTCACATTTCTGGACCATAGTATTGATTGGACAATATGATTACGCAGTGTCCCCGACCACGACGCTATGTGGTGCACAGTCGGAGCAATCGAGCTCGGCGTAGCGCGGATCGCAGAGTAAGGATATCGGACGTGCGCAGGGTTGACCGACGTGATATCGGAGTTGAGTGAAGGCAGAGGTGACACGAAATTTGCGAGCCAAAGAACGAGAATGGGTGGCACAACAGACCAAGGAATGGAGCCTTACTGCCAACAGGCGATTACTGGAAGGCATGAACCGACACCATACATCAATTCCAGCTCGATTTACTCTGTTGTAGCGGTGCTAGTGCATTCTCTGTCGTCATTGTCTCCGCCTCTTTCCTGTCGAGGGGACTGCCATCGGACATAAAGGGGTGTCTACCACCTGTGGACTCGGTGACGATTTGCACAACTTGTGGATACACAGCACAGGGTGTGAGGCTCGCTTTCCAATGAGCAGTTGTGGTTCTATATTCAATCTGCGCAACCGTCTCAGCTAGTCAAGAGACAGATCAGGAGGGGTCGGGCTTTCCAAGGCGTCAGCGGCTCCGCATAGCGGGGCTTTCGGCCATGGCCGACGGACGAACTTGTCAATAGAAGCCCTCAAGATGTCAAATGCGATGCAAATGGAGAATGGGGAGGAGTGAGTGCGCGAGATGGCGCCGTTGACAGTGACGGGAATTGGAGACCTATATGCAACTTGCAAGCTGCGGCCCCACTGCTGAGTGCCGCAAAATGGTTCCATCGGCCAGACTGCCAAAAGCGGACTGAAGGGTCTCAATCAGGACATGCCGACGTCGCCGTTTGATGCCGTCGCGGAGGAAAAACTGGGCTGAGAGACCGGTCGTCGAATTGCTTGATGGAATGATGAAATCATTCTGAACGTCAGCGTCGAACATCCGTGGTCGATGTTCTGTCATGTTGCGAGCGATGTGACTGTGGGGCTTTGTGAGGGTGATGCGGGAAAACCAGAAAGACACGATCCAGCTCGATCCAGTGTGAGGCCTGCGAGGGGTGTTTTTTTCTAGGTACCATCTGGTGTCGTTGCCGAGAGTTTATCGGATGACGTCTTGGAAGTCAACGGCAAACGGGGATAGTTCTAGTCGAGGATACGGTGCTCTTGACTGGCCGAATGGTTGGGCAGCACCAATTGAATCCACTCACGCTGTCCATACTCTCATCCACTGTTTTGACAAAATAAATGGCAAAACAGAAGAAGACCGACTCGACACATGAAACCATCGATCAACAGTGATCCTCTAGAGACGAGGACGAGCGCCCAGAGGTGACGTGGCGGCCCCTGCCATAAGAAGTGAGCCTTGTGAAAGGCCTCACCTCGTCTCCATTATCCACGTCCTCGTTCCATTTGACCGAGGACAAGGGCGCCAAAGAGCCGCAGCAGAACGAGTCAAACGTCTGGTTCCGTGTTGCCGCGGTGAGCTTGCACCAAAAACACAGTTCCCACGCCCTCCATCGAATATCCCATAGCCATTTTACCAGCAAAGTAACCTCCACAGCGTAGCCAGTGGCTATATCACTCAGTGAGCAATCCGGTGTATTGCGATTTAGATGTAGTAAGCTCTATCACCTGTCGTATTAGGTCAGTCATGAGCTTGTTTCTGAATCCTATGCAGTACATATAAAGCTGCGACGAAGTGCTGACGTTCTCCTCCATCAACTCTTTTAGATACCACTCAGATGACACCCAAGTCACCTTCTCTTGCAGCCCCAGGCTCTCCTGGAGGAAAATCTGCTCCATCGCCCCCGTTGGCGACCCACGCGAACTCCTCAGATTCTACATCCACCGTCCGAGTCTCATCGCCCCTCAATCCAGCTCGTCCACACTCCGGCTCTCCCCACACGAGTCCCAAGCAGAGAGCCCTCCCTCTTCCATCTATCACGACCCCACCGCAAGCCGCTGGTCATACGCGTGCACAGTCTCAATCGGCCGCAGCCATCACTGCGCTTCCGGTCGACATTCCTCTAGCGCGCGTCGCCTCAAGTCCGGTGCCCACCACCTTATCCTCTTCTTTGTCTACCATTGCGTCTGGTTTTCCGGCCAGCTCCTTTCGTTCTCGCTCCGTCTCTACCTCACGATCCCGTGGCCCCTCACCGTCACGTGACGATCTCACTCTGCGCAAGCCAATCAAGGATGGAGCCACTTCGCCAGCATCGACCTGGTGGAACCGCAAAGTTCACGCCCCTCGGCCGTGGCAGGAGAGTGCTAAGAAGAAGAAGACTGTCCCGGCTGAACAAACAGAGGGGTACGCTCATACACGACAAGTGGGTTATTCTTCCGCACCATACATTATTATTATTGATACAACGTGGATTAAATATAGCGCGTCATTGAAGCTACTGCTTCTGTCTTGGGTGTAGCAGCTAAGGTCGCACACGAAGGCCTTTTCATCGGAGTCGATTTGCTCCGCTTTTCGCCTATCCCAGGACTCGAGATCGCAGGCGTCGTCCTGTTGAACATCTGGGATGCACTAGAACTGGTGGACGTGAGTTTTCGAGAACATCTAAGCTCAAGGCGTGCAATTCACATCCTGCTTAGATGAACAGATTGGCCTGCTTGCGTCTGACGGAGCGTTGCGCAGATATCTTACTATCTGTACGACAAGAAATTCTGGATGCCGGAAATGCCGTCAGCAATGAGCTCCAAGCTCCCATCGCCTCGCTAAATGAGTGAGTTCGCAGTCAATAGACTCATGACAGTCCCATTGACCGAGCCATTGTGCAGGTCGTTCAATGATGTGTTCGCGTTTCTACAGAAGCAAGCACACCGGTCGTTCCTCCACCGTTACCTCAAGAGGGACGAGATTTTGCGTAGCATCGCCGCCTGCGATGCAAGATTGAGCGATGCACTCGGGCAATTCGGAGTATGTCAATCCTATTTAAAAGTTTTGTTTCGTGGTGCTTACTACTTGTCAATCAAACCTTAGATGTCAATCCAAATCCGAACTCTGAAGCTGGTCCAGGCGAATGAAGCTCATCGAGCAAAGGAGCAGGCTGCGCTGATTGAATCAATCAACCTCGGCCTCCGATTGTCTCAGCCCCAGCTCACAATTCCCGAACCGCTTTCTTCCCCTCCAATCGGGGACGCCACACAAATCCGCGCGATCCTGCACGACATACATCAGCAGCAGAATGAGCGCGACTTGACCCGCGATATCGTGGACCTGCGCCAGCTGATGCGCACCGCACTGCAGACCAACAGCGACGCGGAGATGATCGAGGTGCTCCAGGTCGGGCGAGACGAGATGCCCGAGGCGATCAAGACGCTCCAACGCGCGCTTGAGCGGGAGGTTGAGCGGGAGATGCTAGGGGAGTCGGAGGCCTCCGCGATGCAGGCCTCACCTGGTGGCGAATCGCTGTACCGCTCGCGAGGTAGGCTCCCTGGGCGCTCACGGGCGGCCACGGTGTCAGCCGCGGCGGATGGGGGTGTGCGGGTGTTCGGGACGATGGTGACCACAGACAGCGAGAGTGGGAGCAGCGAGACGTCGGCACGCCCGCGAGATACTCTTGACCGAGAGTTCATGGAGAGCGGGATCGATGCATTGCGGCGGCTGAGCCAAGGCCAAGAGGTTTCGCTCCCCAGCTGGACCATCACGCGATACGAGATCGATCTGGAGGAGAAGATTGGGATTGGGTTCTTCAGCGACGTATATAAGGGCAAATGGAGAGAGCACACCGTCGCGATCAAGGCCCTCGCGGAGACAACGCCGCGGAAGCTATTTGTGCACGAGATTGGCATTTGGAAGACACTCATGCACCCAAACGTCTTGGAATTATTGGGTGCTTCGTCGGCCACTGGGGACCCGCCTTACTTCCTGGTGTCGCCATACTACAGTAATGGGAGTTTGGTCAAATACCTCAAGGGCCTGCCAGACATCGCTCCAGTTGACTTTCTCAAAATGATTCATGAAGTGGCGAAGGGGATGGAGTACCTGCATGAGCAGGGAGTTCTGCATGGTGATCTCAAGGCAGGTTCATGATTTATCTATTCCATGATAGCCTGTTGATGACCTTCGGCATCGACAGGGTACAAACGTACTGGTCGATGATCGTTTGCATTGCGTCATATCTGATTTCGGCCAGAGCGACATGAAGTCTGAAGCATGCAGGCTTAGTGGCTCCCCTCTTCCCCGTAAGCTCCGGATGTCCTTGTTCATGTTCTTCAAGCTAACTGCCACCTCATAGACGGGACTTTGCGCTGGCAAGCTCCGGAGATGATGTCAGGAGCTCAAGCTGCTCTCACTCCTGAAATAGATGTTTATGCATTTGCAATGGTGTGCGTCGAAATCTTGACAAGGGGAAGTCTACCATGGCCTATGATGGATGACGATGCAGTGAAGCGGTTTGTGCTAGGTATGTTCAACTGTAGTTAATCTGCTTTGCCTGATCACAACATGTTTCCAGTCGATAATATTCGCCCTTCACTGCCTCTCACTCGTTTGAGCAACAGCCCGTTAACCAACATCATTCACGCCGCGTGGGATGCCAACCCACTTCGCCGTCCTTCTTTCAAGCGGATCTCACAAGATCTCGAGAAGCTGAGAGTCGAGACAGGATATAGTGTCGTGGAATCGCCCAGACCACCAAGATTTGTAGATCAGTGGGCGGACAGTCCCACCCGAGCCTCACCTGATATGCGCCCCATTCCGTTACCTGGCTTCCCCCGTGAGTCGCCGTCTCTTCCGTTCCTGACATGTATGAAGAAACTAAGATCGCCGTTCCCAGCCAAGGACGACTTGGAAGTAGGGGCCTCAAGTTCGCCGGCCGTATCTGATACCACATTGGAGACGGCGAGAGGCCGTTCACTGTCTCCCATTCCTGGACTCGGACTTACTCACGAGCGTCCGCTCGATGACCCAACCCATGTATTGCAACCTAGAGGATCCAGAGCCAGCACGATATCTCTCCCTGATACCACCCCTGACGAGAGTGCATCCGAAACAAGCCAGATAATCCCTTATACGGGATATGACTCTCCGCCACTGGCAGATGAGGTGACCGCTCATGCTCGCGATGAGAGAAGGTACAGAATGCTCTTGCAGCATGAGTACCACACATCTTGTACGTGTACCACGTACACTCACCCCCCTGCGGCGTGTCAGAGTTGTCAGGGTCTGACGGAATGTTTCCGATCCAGTGACGTTACCCTTATGGTCACCCGCTCCTGTTGAGCTTGGTGCTGTTGGGTACTTATCTCGTCCCGCGGGGGCTTTCATTACCTTGTTCAACTCGTTCGATCCCTCGAAAACCTCCGATGGACTTGCTAACTCGTTACCGAATCTATCCGATTTTGGCAAGGTGACACACCGCAGCCAGCGACAGGACAAACGAAATCCTGCTCAAAGGGGGATGGACTATCTTCAGAACCTCCTTGCGAGAAAAAATCGAGATGCATCTACTCCGTGAGTTCCCTTCTTGACTTATATCGGTGCTGAGGTGTTGACCTTATACGCTCCTAGGCCGGTGGTAGGCCGCACACAATCATTTCAGCTGCGGATGGGCCACAAGGTTGCCTATCTGTATGCCGAGTCCACTGTGTACAGGTATGTGGAGGACCTTGGTGTGCCGAAGCAGTGGTTTCAGGCGACCATCGACCGTGTTCTTGAGCTATACGGTCGGGAGCACAAGATCAGTAAAGAGGACGTCTTTCTCGGCGAGTTCCCGTGTGTTTTTAACTATCTGGCTGAATTGAACCAATTTGACCAACAGTGATCGGCACGCTAGACGTACCAGACTATGCATTGTTCGTAAGCCATAGCCATCCCGATGGGCAGGTCAGGGACATTAGCGCTTCTGAAATTTGGCTTCAATTAACCCCTTTGTGCCGCAGGTCAACTTCAATGTATACACGGGCGTAAAGCCGGGACAGGAGTGGGGCGCATTCTCGACTACTATGGCTGACCTGTCTTCGTCAATGCTGGGGGGGCCGTTGTATCACGAGGAAATGGTCGGCAATCCCCTTTCCGCAAGTAATATTTCCCGGGTGAAAGAATCGTCCTCAAGCCCCTGGGATTCTGTTCTATTGGCTCGGCTCAGATTCAAGACTGATGCTGCGGAGCCAACGTCCTTATGATTTGAACTCAAATCAAATTACTGCATCCCTGTCTTGATCATCGCATCGCTTCTGCTTTATTTGCTATCCTTTCTTGTTCATGTACCCACACCAGCTTTCGTACCACCTGGACAATGATCCCCATATCATTCTTGTAGCTTAGCGCCATCGAGCAGGGAATAACCGGCAACGACATGCCCTGTATCTTTATGAACCACAAAATAGGACTTTTGACTTCGATCTCCTGCGAATCTATATGGTATTCATTCGTGAAGTCGAAGGGAGATGAATTTGTCGCCACGCTGCAGGTGATATATGTATAGAGAGCTCACGGAGTCCGGTCATGTTTTCAGCGTCTGACACATTTATTCGAGGTACACTCTTGACTAGTTACGAAGATGTGTTATAAATAGCACCGTTCCCACTCCTCCTCAAGATAATAGTATAATTTTGGAAAGAAGACTCATATATGTATGTACACCTCGCAGACACAAATACACGGAAGAAACATAGCGGAAGAGGTTAGAATGGCTGCTCAGCCAACAGCTCGTTCACTTTGACGACTAACTCGTCTGCGCTTTTCAGCTCAGCGACAAAGTACCCCTTGGAGCCAAGAACCCCTTTGCTCCTGATGACTTGTTCGATGCGATCGTACGCAGCTTCATTTCCCGTCCGCAGAACTTGACAGGAAAAGTCGCGCTTTTTGTTGTATATGAGAAGCGATTGTAACAGGGCAACTGCAGGTGGACCAGCGGGACCATAAGGAACCTGGACTTTAATGACAGCCTTTTTAGGATAGCTCGTCGGTTGCTGAGAGAAACGCTGTTGCTTCGCGGAAGGCGTCTCGGTAGGATATCCCAGCAAGCTACGAGTCACCGCTGCGGTGGGCATAAGATTTCCATAACCGCCGTAGGTAGGTTTCAAAGTCACGGTGTTCACAAGCGTGAAGGGCTTGCAAGTAGTCTTGTGCGTCTTCCAATGGCTGCCTAGTTGAGAAAATCAAGAATATCGTATCAGCGTCCAAGCTCATACAATGAACCTTGGATAAGTGTACGTTGGCAATCTTTTGAGCAATATCGAGCTGAGCGGCATGCCACGCAGGACATCAGTTTCGTGTTCGCATGGCCGCAAAAGTCACATTTCTTCTGCTCCATGGGTGCTTACTCTCCTGTTCTTCGCCTAAGCCACTTAGTAACGGTGGCCGTAACCTCCGGACCACAAGAAATGAAAAGCTGTTCAGGCTTCATGCCGTCTGCGTCTGGTATAGTCATGTCGGCACCGAATTCCATCAGCACTTCCACTGCTTCCGTCTGTCCTGCCATGAGGGCTCCCATGATAGGCGGACTGCCATAGATGTTCACATAGTTGACTCGAGCTCCATTCTCCAACAAAATTCGGGCAATGTCCGGACGGCTGAGATTCATCGTCACATGATGAAGAGCGGTGTACTGGCAGATATCTGGGACATCGGGAGGACAACCCCTGGATAAGAGAAACTTGAGCGTCTCCGCATGAAGCCCGGAGCCGGGGGGTGCGGATTGCAACCGTTGTGCTCCGACGATGACAAGTGTAGCATAACCAAATTTGAACGGGGTTTCGATCCCGTTCAGGGGCGGGTGATCTCCAGATGACACGGCCTTTGAGATACAAACGAATTAGAACTGTTTGAGCTGGATCCAAAAGCAACTGACACTTATAACAGCTTGAAGGCTTCCTGTGAAGCAATCCCGGGCAAAAGGATTAAGCCTGGCCATGGAGAAGCCCCCAAATTCTAGGGAGACAAATTAATTCATGCAACGGCAGAGTTCGAAACACACACTTTCAGAGTATAGGTCCATAAGTTCCTGTCCCCCTTCGTCGGATCTGAGCTTCCCAGGCTTCGAGATTAAATGAAGCATTCGGGGCGTGATGGCGAAGCCGCCATCACCAGTTCCTGAAGACGCATAACCAGACATTCTGCTCCTTTCGAAATGCCTGAGCCCGGTGTGGATGTCTTAAATACAAAACAAGAGGTCTATGGCGTACCACTTTATCGCAAGTCGGGATTGAACGTATTGGACGCTTTCCGGAACTGGTGGCTCAGCCAGAGCCACCGTGGGAGAAGCTGACATGCCAGATAAAAGAAAAGTGTGTCGGAATCTCCCCTTGATTCCCCCCTCTTAATTCACGTTCAATAGCGAGCTATCAGTCGCATATCTCCCTGAACGCATCAATGGATGCTGTAGGAATGGGAAATAGTTTCGCTTCGATGGAAGATGGCTTATCTGTCGCTCATACTTCTGATTTCTATCGCTTCGCACGGTGCTGGCATACCTTTGGTAACCTCCCGTTTGCGCCATATGCGTCTCTGGGCACAAACGAGGGCACTACCTCAAGGTGCCAGTTCAGATCTCACTCGCTGTACCCGACAGACAATTTCGCTTACGGCGTCCTCACCTCGCAGCACCTAAAGTACGTCATTGCAGGTCCCATGGTCACTTTCCCTTTGGTCTTTTCGCAGGTCTCGAATCATGCGTGCTGAGACTTCATATTCTTTTTGTGACACTGTGTAATAGATCCTCGTGAAGGGAAGACCACCGTGGCTATACGTGTGCATCCTCATACACAAGTGGCTCAGTTTCTGAAGCCATTGCAAGCCCGGCGCAAGGTGTGATCTTGTGGATACTGACATCTCCGGCGTAGTTGATCTTCCAACAACGTATACACTATTCTTGTCGGCACCGGTCGCTCTTCCCTCATAAGACCCATTTTTGCGCAATCAACGGATATGTGTTTCTAGTTTGGAGTGGTGTGTTCTCACAGTGTCTGTCTTCTAAACTCCCCTTGACACCAGGATGATACGCTGAGCTGATTGCAGATTGGATGAACTTTAGAACCTGTGTGAATGGTGGGCCAGAGCTTCATTAAGTGTTACATGTATCACTGATATATATGCACCTCAGACACACTAATAAGGCGGTGCTCGATCGAGGGAGGTTCTCAAACACGCTTGGGGGTCCGGTGCACGGCGCGGGATTGTCGTTTCATCACGACGCTTTGGTTATGGGCCAGGCCAGACACAATGTCATACTCTTCGCCACTTCTTTAGTCTGGATGATCCTCGGACATTTTTCCCAACGCGATTCGCTGGTCCACTCTCAGAAGCGAGACAGCACGCCGGGAGCAGACCGCAGTGAGTATTTCAAGGTAATAAGACATCTTCATGGTCTAATGCACACCTCGTCACGGTTGTCATGCTTCCAAAGTGGTCTACATACACAGGACGGAACTCGGCATGCCGTTCACAGCACAATGAGCAAAAGAAGGTTCCGGGCCGAATCAAGCTTGTTCTCCTCCACTCTTCTTCCCATTTCCCTCCTTATGGATGTCCGTTGTGTTTGTTTTGATGAGAAGGCTTCGCAGCATTCACTGGCAGTGCCGACGGCGTTCACACTGACATCGCTCGAAGTTATTTAATTACATAACGTGACTTCCTCAAGGTCTACCGTTCCCTTGGTCCCTCAAGAATCACATTATTTTATTCAGTTCTCCGCGGCGAAGGGGGTTGGGGTATGCTTTTGGTGAGAAAAACTTAGATCTTTTCTGTCATTGTCCCGCTGGCAGACTGATAGAGTGCCTTACGATAGCAAGCAATGTATTCGGTGAAGCAGATCGTCATCTAGCATCCGCTCTAGGCCTCTAATCCGAGCGTTTCCCGTGCCTGTGATCGATGGTATCGGTTTCCCAATCTGCTCTGCGGGTTCAGGATAGCCCTGACGTCCTTGCGAAGCTTACAGCAGGAAACTAGGTTTATCATTATTAGAAAGAAGAGGTCCTGGTTTTGTTCTAGCCTCACAAGCGCACGGAGAGGGTTTCCTCATGCTTGTTGCCCTCATGTCCTCGTCTACGAGAATACCTCATCCATGTGTATGTTGTTCTGAGTGGCTTGGGCCTTGCTCGCGGTCCGAGCTCATATCTTTACGGAAGACCCAGATCGTCATCAGTCAGCTGTTGCTATTCCTCGAATCGACCTTCCAAACATTACTCACAGGTTGATGCTCGCACTGGGCAAAGACACGACCACCTTACCTAACAGATGCCATAGAAGTAATGAAGTCATTCCAGAAGCATGGTCTCGAGCGGGATCTCCGCTCTGTTTTACACGAGCCTAAAATGTAGGCTCGTATCCGGAGACAGAGGCGTGGCTTTCGTTGCGCCAGTGTGACTGTCAGGAAGAGATTCTTTACGACCATGTTCTGCCGGGCCTTCAAGGGATGCCGGCTTTCCGAAGTCGAACCTGTGAGTTTTTTGCATATTTGTCTCATGTACTAGCATGAGAAAAAATCAGGATATATCACTGATCGGGTCATGTCCCATAGATGCGATTAGCTGGACTTCGTTATGGCGTGCTGCTATCCTTCGTTGGAAAGTCGTGGGAAGGGCAGCATGAACTCGTAGTGTCTGATTGTTTACGATCGTCGTCACGATCTTATAGACAGAAGGTAACGGGACGTCATATCAGTGTCGTTGCACCCGAGGACTGGACATAATCCGAACTGCCCATCTGTTTTCTCAGACCGACAGACTGTTTAGATCTGAAAGTACCTCGGACCGTTGTACATGCCCACATAGTTCATTTCCGACGACGAAGAGACTTCTGTGATGACCCTAGATAAGTAAGTCTGCTATCCAAAACGTCGGTCAAACACTCTGTGCCTAAAGGATTCACTGTGACTGAAGCCTTCTCTAAATTTACTTACAGGACTTCTCTGTACTCCGTCATTTCCATACTCGGTATCATGAGTTCAACATCGCATGCTTCTGATTCCTTGTGGACAGTATAAAAGCTCCACAGATCAACTTTTTTTGTGCGATTTTCGAGCATCCCCATTCACAACTCAGGCATGTCTCCACATACTATTGTCTCTCATTCATCCGTTTCCAGTGGGCTTACTACCCATCCCGCTTTGCGTATGTATGCTTTCGTTTGCATCGTAGGCATTCTCACAGCGGTGCAATAGATATTAGAGATGCAAGGGATGCCCACATCGTCCTAGAAGCCGTTCGACGAAACATTCTACCTTTGATAATCAGACGATTATCTGCGAATGAACGAGATAACTTGTCATCTGGTAGTGTCTTCGTTTGGGAGGAGGCCGAATTCAAAGGGGGGCTAGAAAGGTGGACGGATGGCAGACGATGGTTGGTATGCGAGTTCAATGTAACTGATCTCGATATTGACTCGATTTAGGTCACAGAGCAGGATGCGAGGAGACTTCCTATTCTACGAGGAGAAGGTAGACACCACCCAAGAGGAGCGAGATATCAAGGCCGCCAGGCGGTACGCGGCTACCTATTACCCCGATCTTTACTGATTCCCTTGCTGTCTGAATAGCGCACGGAGAGCCCTTGACCCGCTCTCTGTTCCACCCCTGACAAGTAGACGTCAAGATCGCCCGGCGAAACCAGATGGTCTCACCAAGCAGACTTACTCGACGCAGGTTTATTTTCCCGGCCAAAGTCAACCAAGAAAGTGGCACATTGTCGCCTACTTCTCGGTAAGCATTTCTTATCCTCGTATAGCTCTTTTCGTTCACGCGAGCTGCATATGCAGGGGAACGATTATACACAACTTCCAGTTATCGAGAACTATGATTATCTCCGCAGCCTTCGTATCCCAGACGGGATTTTTGTTTCAAACAAGGGGCCCTACAGGAGGATCGATCCGTTCCCGTGTGATCCTGACGAGGATGAGTTGTCTGTGTACAGCGCAAGTAGTAGCCGGCCAGCCATGCCAGGTAGAACAACCTCGACATCGTCTTCATCTTCTTCGACAGCGATGCCTTCACCACAATATCCATCACCACCACCTACCCGAAACCAGCCGTATAGTCCTCACGCGTCCTTGCCAAAGCTTTCCACAGTCGTGCCCATGTACGACGGAACCAAGAATCCGCTAGACGCGTCGCCGCAATCGGCCTCTCCTGGCGCCCACGGGCATGGTCATGCTTACACACCTCTCTCCGCTGAGGACCGGCGGGTCCTGAACGCCTTTCGTGTCGTCCTCTAAACTGGGACCATCTGTATGTAGAACAGATGTTCGGGCCACTCACAACGACTCCCACTTATTCATCAAGAGACTCGAAAACGGGAGCGTTGGCAGCTTAGTTGTTTAAGTTGAGCCTGGTGGGACGTTGGGTTGCCATTTTGCTCGCACATTTTCCCTGCGCTTTTGCACCCACGCCTTCATGTTCCTGACTTGTTTGATACTTCGTCTTTTTTCCTGTGATTTGTATGCGTGGCACAACCTCAATGGACCAGTATGTATTTATTTAGCGGATAGCTTCCTTTCTCTTCCCTCCTCCGACGAAGTGCATACTCTCAGCTGCAACCACGACGAACCACATTCTTCGAATTCGCACTTGGGGACTGGGACATCTTGTTATAAGAAAGTCCATGATTGGTTAAGTGAGAGAGCGACCGCTGTGCGAAACTTATTAGAACCGTCACAGGCTCGATCACCGGCTCTCGGTGCGCCTTGACGTTCGCAAATCCGCTCCAAAACCTACTGCCCCTACAAGGCAGCAGCACCTTTGTCGTACCATGGGCGAGCCGGCGCGCATTGTTAGAGCGGGGGCACAGACGACTGGAGAGCCCTTCGTGATGGCGGACGGACGTCGCTGTGTCCTCGGGCGCTTCTGCGTTCCCACTCCTCCTCGTCTCGGGGACTATGGAAGTTTCAGTATCACAGAGTGCCGGCTCCAGTTCGACCTCGGTCTGTCAGGTCCCACAAGCTCAGACTCTCACTAGTGTGTTTAAGTTTGGCTTGGCAGAATTCTCGGGCGCGCAGTGGTTGAGAGCCTATCATCAAGCACCGTGTCAACTGCTAGTTGGTTCCATACGTGTCAAGCTTTCATGGCGTGGAGGGTGAGGTGGTACCCCACATCATTGGGACCACGGCTTCCGAAGTTATGCCATTTAGGAACGCGGGAGTGAGCTGGGTGCTATGTTTCAGAGTTTACGTGTATATAAAATAGGTGCACCGAAAAGCTGCGACAGTGAATTTGACGAGAACATGATGAACCGACAACGAAGTCTTGGCTGGAGCGATGGGCAAGGATCAATTATCGGCGCGAGACAATGCACAGCTCTGGTAATGAGAACCATACGTACATGCCGCTAGACATTTTTACAACAGACAAAGACAAATACCGCAGTCCAGACCGAGGCAATTTTGGAGAAGCTCTCGAAGAGAGAGGAGGGGCGGGAACGTGGTCGTCGCGCACGCAACGGCTTAGGTCATGGACAACAACTTGCAAAAGAATTGAAATCCCTCGAGGCTATAGACCGAGGCACCTCGGCTTCAAGTACCTCGCGCTTAAGTGATGTTCAAGTGACTCGAGTGGAGAATGTTCCCGGCCCGCGCGACCTTCGAAGGAGCACAAGGAGCGTTTAAAAGCGCAGCTGCACGATCGGATCGAAACGGACTTCAGTTAGAATCTCCGTTTAAGACCGTGAGTGTATGGATGGACGGCATAGAGAGTTGGCGCCGCCTTAGCGCCACTCTCCATCCTTAAGACTTCGACGTACTCTGCGACGATGGGCGTATGGTGAGCGATACATATCAGGTTAGCATCGTGACTGCAAAGGAGCTCACCTTGGCTTCAGCGTCCGACTGTTCCTAGGCACGGAACAGCAGAGGATTCCGTGCCGCAGATAGGGAGGGCGTGACACCAGACGATTGGATTTAAACCTTGCAGACCGGTTATTTAGGGCGACAGTCCGCATATGTCTGAGCGACAGTTCCCATACAACATGAAGCGTGTGGACACCGTTACCTCATAAAGAGCCTGGGCGGCATCACGGGTTTAGGGATCAGATAACCTTTGAGGGCGAAAGGCAAGGCGTTTGCACCTGTAAGGCAGGTGCTCAGCTCTGTTTTAGCACGAAGGTGACGTCCAGATTGGAATTTCAATGCCTGCAGCCGGGTAAGGGGGCATATGTCAAGTGACAAGGCGGTGTGAGAGTTTTATTCTCCTGTAGCGCGCTGCTGTCAAGCAAGTTGAAAAATGCCGACCAAAGGCAGCCGTCTGTGTCCCTGCACCCAGTTCTGAGGACATTCCCAAAGCAGTACCGTGGTGGCCTCGGAACGTTCTGTATGCATATATTGAACGAATATATATCTGAGACTCACATGACGTTGATACACAGCAGCAAGCTGTTCTGCTCGAGCAAGACAGAGATTGGGGATGAGAAATTGACTTGTCGATGCCAGACATGAGTGGCCGGGGGTGGGCCAGTGGCCGTCGCCCCTAACCCCGAGCATGGGTTCGCACCTAGGGGCCGATGACATCACGGTGCGTCATACCCCTCTGGCCCGCCGTTTCCACCTTCCGCAAATAAGTTACAAATAACGTTAAATACCTAGAAAATGTCGAGTTTCCGCCTCCACACGAACGTCGAACATACGCAGAAACTACTCCTACCACTTAAAACATGTCTTCCATATCGCACGGTACACCTCCAGCACTTTCTCAGAATCCAGTATCGACTCCAGCCGAGGAATGGGCGGACAAGACAACGTCGGCTCTAGGAACAGGCTCGACGTCAGAGCCTGTAGCTTCCTCAGGGGTTGCCCACAACATCGAGAGCACGTCGGCGTCGCCCGGCACCGAAGTGCCTGGCGCGTATCCTCAAGAGGCTCACTCACGTAGCACAGGTACAACTTCCTACGCCCACTCCGCAGGCCAAGTAGCCCACGACGCAAAAGGAGTCGCTCAGGGGGTTGCCGACGATGTCACCCATGCCATCCAGAGCGCAGGGCACACCGCAGCCCAATATTTACCCAAGGGTGTTGTCGCTGCTATTTCGCCTTATCTTCGTAAGTTTATAGGCTTGATTAAGAACTCACCCGTCGGACCTGACCCTAATCTTATGCAGCTGGAGGCGGAACTTTGGCAGCTTCTGAGCATGATCATCCTCATGTGAAATCTTTGCCTTCGCAAGAACTATCGGGGATGCAGCCTGGAGAGAAGTCAGAAGGCGTAGGGGCACTTCCAGGCACAGCGGAAGAAACAGGCGTCGCACGTCTTCCAGATGATCGCACGCCGGCTCCTCGTACACCTTCTGAATCAGTAATCCCCGCCTCCGTTGGCGATACCGCACCGCGCAGCGGTGTGGCTGCCTCGCCGCAGACCAGCGCGTTCGGGAATTCGGCTTCACGTGCGACCGCCGACCTTCCCTCACCATCAAGTACTCCTCTTAACGCCGGATCCATGACTGGCGCGGCCGCTGCGACTGGAGGTGCGGCCGCGGCAGGTGGAGCAATCGGAGCCAGCCATTTCGGAAAACCTGGTTCGGCCAAGGCTCCGACGAAATCCTTACCATCGACGGATGAAGCTATCTTCGACAAGGATCTTTTTTCGCCGTCTAAGGATGTTTCGGCGGTTTCGGCGATTGGCACGACGAGTGCTCAGCCGTTTGGCAGCACGGGTTCAGGCATGTCACAGAAATTTGGCGAGGCGGGTTACGGCGCTGCTTTTGGGACTGCGGCCGCAGGAGGGACAGGTGAGTCACAACTGTGATTGTGATTGCCGTCCTATGTTGATGATATGACGCACCGGTTTGCAGGTTTGGGAGCCACAGGCCCAGGTAATGTTGGACCAGGAGGCATCTTCGATACAGGATCTCAGCGCTTCGATAAATCGCCCGATGTTGACGCTCCTAGTACAACAGATTTTACTAGCGCAGAGTCTCAACAATTCGATAGCACACCCAGCAAGGGAGGAGTCGGCGCAGGAGATGGCAGGGCAGTTCCAAGCTTTGACAAGTCCACGCCGGCAACCCACAACGACATATCAGACTCCTCAAAAGGCGCAGATAATACGGCGAATGATAGCAAGCAAGGCGCAGGCGGCAAGTTTGGCGGTGTCCACGCAACTCAAGAGCCGTCAAGGGCTGGCCTAGGTAGCGACGCCGGATTCGCAGGCGCAGGCGTGGGGACGGGTGTTGGTGCTTCTGCTGCCAGCGCAGATAAGGAAAAGGTACGCAACGAACCACCTCGAGTAAACCTTCAGCCGCGCGAGTGGCGGACGTGGCAAGGCGCCAGGGTCGGGATTCCGCCGTCTGTCTCCGATGTCAAGTTGGCTGAAGGAGAGGGTGCCGAGCGTGACGACGACCATGGCGATGATGGTCTACCTCATGGGCCTAAAGTCGATCACGATCGCTATCGCACCTCTGGCCAAGAGCGAGGCCAATTTGCTGATGTCGCGGATTCTCAGGACTCATCCCAGGCGAAAGGGCGCTCCTCGTCCATTGTGAATACCACAGGGTCTGGTGGTTCGGTCGGTAGCCACAGCCACAAGGCGAAATTCATGGACAAAGTGAAAGGAGAGGTGAAGATAATTTCTGGGGTCCTTGGGAATGATCATGCGAAGGTTGAACAAGGCAAACTTCTGAAGAGTGGCACGCGATGAGTGACAAAGGTGAATAATTTGACAACATCTGTTTGAAAGCGTTTTAACGTTCTGGTATCTCTGGCTGCCACAGAACGTTCCATGATGTAGCCCTGTAGTGTTTATTGAATATTTGTACGATAGTGTATTGAGTTTTCTGTCGTCAAACACGGGTTGATATGCTTGTCACTTGCTGCTGCAAAAATAGCACATACTTGGGACAAAATTCTTCAGCCAATCTTCAGCCAATCACTTGAACAAAACCCAGTGCGAGGAAATGACGAGACAGAAGGTTGTCGACGTTGCTCGTGAGCAGTGCAAACTGGCTTGATAAAGTTTCCGGATGCCACGTGACGAGCACGGGTCGAACTGAACCAAGTGGCACGGGCCATTTCGATCTGAGAGCGAGCATCGCCTACGTACTGCCTCACACGGAGGAAATTGGGCTTGGAGTACTCATGAAAGCCAGCGTAGGATGACAAGGGACCGTACCGCCAAAAGTCTTTTTGCATCGTATTCGTTCGAAATCTGTTTCCCGCGCCAGGCAAAGTAGTTATTCTCTCGGTTGAGGGAACCCCTAAAATAACTGATGCATGCATAGTCAAGCATTTTGCCTAACAAAATTTCATTCCAAACCTGACGATGCGCGATATAAATATTCATGGTTTTTCAATCAAAAATGTTTCTCAGGACAGGGCACTCTCTGGCGGGGAGTCGAACCCCGCTTTCGCGCGTGACAGGCGCGTGTACTAACCGATATACTACCAGAGATATTGAAGAGTTCATGTAAAGCCCATATAACGCGAAGGCCCTACAGTCGGCTGGACATGCATGGCAATTCTGACCCATCAGAAGTTGGTACACACATACAGTAGGAGGGCTTCATCATCTCAAGAACTGAACAGACATATGGTCGGATTGCAAGCACCATCTGTCTCAAATTTTAACACTTAAGAACACTAAACCTCTCTTGGCCCTCTCCACGGCCTCCTCCAGCTCCCTTCCCTCCTGCGCACTCCACGTCTCGGTGCTCATCTCATTCGATGATCGCGCAGTTCGCAGGGCGTTTTCGAACGCGCTCTTCTTGGCATTCAGCGTGGACATCTTCCGTGGATCTGAGTGACCTGTGAAGATGATAAATGCCGTGCGCGATGGTAGCGCGTTGTATAAGTTGGTGAGCCGTCCATCCAGGTCAGACAGGACGGTGCGGAGGTCTAGCGTAGGTGGAATCAATTTTACATCAGCTCCCGGTTCGGTCTTCGGCGTTACCCCTTCCGTCGTCCGAGTACAAGATCAATTGGTTGTAGAATAAAAAATAAAACAATTACACTCACAGCCCAACACGTCCGCCAAGTCGGTGAACCTCCCAAACACGAACTGGTGGCTCGGAATAGCCTCTAAAAGACCTTGGTAAACATCCTCATCGCTCGTGCACCCCACAGGCGTATTCGCCTTGGCCCCATGCCATGTCGCTGGGTTGCCGTGGTCGACGACGGCGGATCGTACCGAGTCCATGCCAGCATGTCCATTGGAACGAGACATGCGTTCAAATATCGACTCAAAGTCGGTTTTGAACTCCCCATATCCCGGACCTGAAATAATTTCAGATCCAGGTCAGAATTGAAAACGGGATGATGACAGACCATTTTCTAATTTTTTTTGGAGCAATTCAAGACACGCTCGGGCATCCTCCTCAGGATCGTGCCCACCTTCACCGCGGGCCTGGATCTCTCTGCCGCACCACTTCTTTGTAAGCCATGCGAGTCCAGGTTTGAGTGGTCGACCGCGCGGGTGATGATAGATGATTGCGGTATCTATGCACTTGGGATGGCACATCTTGAGAGCTCGCAAATCTGACTCGAGCGAGTGACCCAAAAGAATCGGGGTCGGCTCTACAGAAAAGAATTTGAGGAGACGAGATTGTACTTCTGGAAGAGTAGTCGTGACTGGAGCAAGAGATTCAGCTGTGATTCCAGAAAATCTGAAGCTAGTCAATATGCGGTGTTATAGAACTGATGATACGGGCATACCGAGTAAGGTAGTCGGTGATAGGTTTCGGAGGTTTGACCAGTTGATCGTACTCAACGTTCCCAGATGCAAAATCAATCAAGCACACCCGTGTCAGCTCTTTTCCGTCTTCTGTCAAGCACTGTGGAATCATGTTAGCCACGGTCGTAACGACCACTTGCTGAAACCTGACCATTTCACAATCAATAGCGTAGACCTTCACAGTGTGAGTCCCACCGAGTGACGTTTCTGCCACTTGGGGGGTTTCTACCCACCCTCGGGGCTTCGTGAAGATGTCCGCCATGTAAGACGGTATGGGGTATTCATTCTCTATCATCTGTTCTAATTTGAGAACATATTGTGAGGGGCTCTTAGAAACCGCTCGTTCCGCTGGAAGTTTTTAATTAAAAGGACTGGCCAAAAATAAGAAATGGCTCACTGGCTATGCGCTGCAATAACCGCTTCTTCTTCTCTTCTCCACTGACAGGCCCTTGGAAGAAGGCACCCATGACTGAATGCATTTTTGTCGGTTCACCTGGGGCTTTCGTGGGACATGCATGGCTGAATGTTTTGGAGATAAAAGGGACTCCGCCGTAGTGAGCAGCGGCTTCTTCCGTTCTATCTGAGAGGTCATGTCCTAGTGTATCCGGTGTAGTCAAAGCTGTCGGTTGAGGCAAAGGAAGGGAAATAGGAAGATTTGGATTGGATGTTGCAGACGTGGGAAGAGGGGGAAGGCTGAGTGCCGTCAGAGTGATACCTGGTATGAGGATGACGACAACTTTTTGGATGGCTTGACGATTCTGGAAAGTCGCAAATTCAGAGTTTCATCATGCACTCACGATTGCAAGAACTCACTTCGACGCGAACCCAGCCGACCGGAGGGGCGTCAGCGATAAGATGAAGTGCGAAGTCGCGGATATCCTGGAAAAAACATTGCTTAGTAGACGAAAGGTGCTGTATAGGCTTTCGGCATACCCCAACCCCAATTGCTTCCCTGCGTTTGATGATTTCATTCGGAGCATACATGAAGCGGGGTGCTTTCGCCTGAAGTGAAGAGGCCCATTAGTCTACCGTACACACATCTTAAAGAGCGGCAGAACAAGAAACACACACGTCCAGTCTCGCATCCAATCTCTTCATCTTCTTTACCTTTCGTTTGTCCACCTTGGTCCACTCGCCCCCATCTGCATCGGCTTTCGATTCCTCGGCGGTCATCTGCACAATTCCTTGAGAGACGGGTGCTGAAGTCTTCATCTTCTTTACTTTGTGCTGCTCCGGATTTGGAGAAGTAACAATGTTCGAATGTGGTCTTTTCATGGCTGTGATTGACCAGACGCTCGAAATCACTGGTTCAATTGGAGTAAGGAGACTGAAGCACCAGCAGAACCGCAGAGGAAGAGCGAAACAGCCAGTATATCTAAACCTCAAAAGACGCTCGCTGGGAGCTTGTGGCGGGAACTCTGCGTGTTTTGACCGAGGTCACCTGATCCAATTTCAAACAGTCTTAGCGCTGAGATGTTCAAGATCGAAGATACTGTGCACATGCCGCACAAAGTTGAAGACAGCTCTAAGTAGGATGTGTTTTCCATGAAATCCTGTGGGAAAGGACGTAAATCTTAACCAAGTCATTATCTTTTCACGACTTAACATGCGACAAAGGCATAACAATTGGAACAGCTATAATCTTTTACAAACCTGAAGCGCGCTCACCAATATGCTCAGTGATACAGAGAGCTCACGTCTAACGCTGATTGCATTTGCCGGGTGGGGGAATAACACACACATTCGTCATGAATGATCAAGTTGAGGCCAGTCAAAAGGGCCAAGCTCGGAACGGAATTTACAAGCGCCTACAAGCATTAACCATTGTAGGCAGACTCCTGCATACGCATACAGCTTGAATCTAGCGGGCCTGAAATTAAACGTAACTCGTATCAACACACTCTTCATGTGGTCAGGTGCTCGAGGCAGAAGGGATTGTAAGTGTTAGGCAGCTTCAGAGTCGAGTCCAGAGTGCCACCATGCATCAGAAGCATCATGGCGTCGCTTATGGGGGTCCTTGTTGTATGGAACAACTATGGAGAGTGATGACGGAGTTAGAAACATACCAAACGTGGAAGGAAATGAGATAGGCAGAGCGGCAGAAGATCCGAAGAATACTGGGCACATTTCACTGGTGCGAGGTCCCATAGCGCCTAAGGGAAAATGAGACGGCGCAAAGAAAAAGAGCAGGTAACTTGGAGCATTGATGTTGGTCGTAAGCAGTTAGGATTGGCCAGACTCTGTGATGGTGAGGTACGTCGGTAACATGAGATGAATCCGAGATGACAGGTGGTATGGTTCGTCGAGCTCCGAGAGTTTTCCGTCACAGCTTCAACCAGGTCGCGTGAATGGAGGGAAGGCTGTCTGGAGAGTGGAATAGTAACCGAGCACAGTCGGTCCCGTATGTCTGATCTATGAATCGCGGTGCAATCGGTGTGATGTATCTATACATAGACATAGATCTTGATACGGCTGGGTCTGAGACTAAAGAAGCTCACCTATCGTTTCAGATTTCTGTGGGTCCTATGAATGAAGCGCATAGACCATCAGGTAGGGAAACAAACATATCGCTAGCGCCCCGACCGAGACCTTGCCAACAGTCAGCGAGAAAAAAAAAACGGTATATTCCCGTACGAGTAAAAAGACAGATGCAAGACATGACGATAGCTTAGCCATTAAATATAAGCACAGGGAGCGTGTGTTGGTCGGTAGTACAGCGTCGATGTCCTGGACCACTTGTACATGTTCAGTGATGCGCGCAGAATGATCGTTGGACCTCGGACATATAGTGTATCCAAATGAAGACCGCTCATGCAATGGACGTTCTGATCAGAGGCGGCGTCCACGGTCGAGAGCTTCTATGGCTGCATGTGTCCGCACATGAAGGGCGCTCTGTAGAGTAATGTTTAGCAATCGGACTTAAGAACGGTTATGAAGGCCGACGGCTTTACGCACCTCCATGCTGTACTTTCCCTGCGATTTGAGAAGGATGAGCATGCGTGTGTAGAACCATGTGGCAGGCCTATCACTAACCTTCCGTCCAGCGGCGTTGACTTCTAGGAGTTTCCCCGAGTAAACCAGATTGAGCTGCTTGTGAGCGCCTTCCTTGTCGCCCTGACACGCCAACAACCGGCCATATTCGAAGTCTGAACCCCATTTCGATGAATACGGAATTCATGTCAAGGCAATGACGATCTGCTTACGAGCATAGTAAACAATGTGATGGTCCAGTTCGATCTTTGGACCATTGGCAAACACCGACTCGAACGCGGCTGTGGCACGACTCGACGCGTCTTCCGAGGAGATTCCGACGATCTCGTTAGGGTCCAACAAAGCATCCGGATCCTAGAGCAGAGATTAACGGGAGGATCTTCCGCGCTCCAAATGCTCGAGGACGCACCGGGTGAGCGACATATCTCAAGCATACACCCTGCAAAAACTTTACGAGACACCAGTCATCCCAATAGCCCTTACCACCACCATACTTATCGGTGTGGTCCTTATAATTGTCAAGCTCTTTCAGTTGAGCATCTATAAGGGGAAGCGTCCGTCCGGTTATGACTTGGCGCGGCGCATGCGCGATGCCGAGGAACAAATACGACAATTCGAGGGCCGGCAGGGCGAGACGCCCATTTTGGCTTTGACACTTACGTGCTTTGCGGGCGACAAATTTCTGCGGAATGAAGGCGGGATTTCATGAGTGAATGAATGATCCATAAGGAAAGAGAAGGCGGAATTGACTGTGGATGGATAGGAAGCTAAACAAAGAACGTACCTCGAGGGGGATCGATTTCCCCGCAATGCGCTGACGCAAGGTAGGAACTTCTTCGCAGAGCTTGAGAGCCTCCTTCCGATTGTCCTCTCCTCCAAGTTGGATGAGGAGTGCCGCTACCCCATAGGTATAACACGCTTTCGACCACTTCGAATTCCAACACGTGGTGAAAAGACAGGTAGAACAACGTCGATTACATCATTGTCTGTGAATGTCGAGACTCTGTGGAACCTACGTACAGTAGATTCTTTGCGGAGGTTGCGCCAGCACTTGAGCGATTCAGGGATATCCCAGAGCGCCATATAAGCAATCGCCATCTCCCAGTAGGAGACGTGGTGAAGATTGCGATATTGAGTTTGTGCATTCATAGCTTTCTTGTAACATTCGATGGCGCGCTTTGGCTGACTTCTACAGAGACTCAACCGACCTTCACCAAAGAGGAAAAACACGCCTAAAGGCACGCGACCAGTTCCAAAGGGGTGATGAGTTCGATGAGCGAAATGAGCACCGCACCGCGGCAGACTGCTGAGACTTACCATTTGGATATCTCTTGAGATTCCAGTCTAGGACCTTTTGCGCCATTATGATATCAACGCCATCGTACGTGAAACTCGAGAGAACCAAATGGAAGATCATCAGTGCCATGTCACAGATACTCCTTCGTAATCCCTCCGTTTCTGCGCAGCAGACCCAAGAAAAGATATGCGATCAATCAGACTGATGTAAACTGTGGACGGGTGATCCCTACAGCCCTACATACCTTGACCAATTTTTGGCTCGCTCGCCGCACTTGTCCAGCCACCGGCCTTCTCCAGAAGGGCCAGGCCAAGGTGTCTATCCCCCTTGTACCCAAATAATTCGACAATAGTGAGCAGCTTCGTAGGCATCAGACTGAGAACTATGTTTGACATTCCGACACCCAAGTAGACACCCGACCGGAAGTGCGGATCTATGTTCTTGTCTTCAGGCCCCTCTCCACATGCATCTGCTTCTGCATCCATAGCATCGAGATACTTGCCCAGTTGGCGATATACCTGGATGGTGGTGCGCATATTGAGTCTGTGTGTCCCTCATTGCAAATAGACCCGGCGACGTTAGCACCGGAACCAAGTTCATACACCGTACCAGCTGAGCTGAAATTGACGTACGCCTCCTTGATAAATGCCAGCCAGTCACCGGAGTACACGATCCCGAGAAGTGCCTGTTCCGCGCAGTCGTGTCAATAATTTATTCACGAACAGTTCATGATGAATGAAACCTTTTCGAACAAGCTCTCAGCATAGACAAGCTCGGCATGGCGTTCAACTGGCGTCATGCTCTTGATCCAGCTTACGCCCGACGAGCCTGTCACATAACCCGCGAGCCGCCAGGGTAACGATGCTGCGCGCTTACGATGCTGCATCGCTACTGCATTTCCCTGCTTGATATGGCCTATGGCAGAGATTAAGTCCTATTTCGGGAGAATCAATAAGATGCATCTATCAACACCGGCGAAATGAAGCAAACGCACTTCATCTTCATAAGACATGAGAGCCTTGACACACTGAATCAAGCCGTAGCCAGTGGCAAAATATAGACGCTCTCTGTTTAATGCAGGTTGTACAACGGGTCATCATGTATTTTAGTAGCAACGTGCTCACTCCTTGGGGTCGTTACTGTGACAGAATTCCTCTGATTCCACCATTTTTGACTTCAAGAACAAATCTAATGCGTGCGCCACACCCGGAATATCTTCAAGCGCATCAGAGGGCGTATACGGCCATTTCGTAGTTGGTGGGGGCGGTGCATCTTTGACAGTCGAGAGGCTATGGTAGGAGACTTCGGATGTCAGCGGAGTGTTGGGGGCATCGGCACCATTCGATGTGGCCGGAGCAGACGAGTAGTCCGTCAACATTGGAGATGGCGTCCTAGGCTGTTCATCGCCATAGCCACTAAGAGCGGGCTCCACATCTGCCTTGAGTGAGGTCGTAATGGGCGTAGTGTGAGCGCTCATGATGGCTTGATTGTGAGAGTGATTGATGGAATGTTTTGTACAAGTTACAGGAGTAAAACCCGAGGTTGAAGTAGGGAAAGTGTAGGCGTGTAGGATGTGGTGAAGGAAAGGAAGGGGAGGATACACTGAACGAGTCGAAATGACGCCGAGCGTCAGCTGAGCAGAAAGCGCTCGGGATAACCGCGGCCATTGCCTTTATGGGTAAGACCACGCTTCAAATCCACGCTTCCCCACACTTCTCCACATCTGCGTTGGGCCCCGGCCTCAATAACCAACGATTTGCTCTCATAGAACCATGGAATGTTACCTCCAAGATGTTCGGTATACTTATAGATCACCGAAGTAACATGATGGAGATAAACTCATGGGATACTCGACAAGCGAAAGTAAAAACCCTAACCCTAAACTTGGGCTACCCTGTTCTCCTCCTGCTTCATCGGAGCGATGAGGTCGCTGAGCTGCGCGAGCGGTACTCAAAGGCTACGATCTCAAACATTCAAGCTCAAGCACCGTTCCGCGGATATATAAACAGGGTTCGACAAATCTTCGTGGAACATCAAGCTTCAAGTACGAGACCCGCGAAGATCGATAGACGATGCGACCTTGGTGCCTTGTGCGGCCCCACGGCCCAGCCTGTGCAACTAAGATTAGGGGGAAAAGGTGTCGGCTTCTCGTTATTATACACAGAATACATCAGGCGATCGCGTTTGACGAGAAAATGAGTGAACTGCAGCCGAGTACTTTCCGAAGCCATGCAGGGACAATGAAAAGCGGATCATATCAAGAAATTGAGAGAGTGAAAGGTCCTGGGTATCGAGATGCGTATGTGTCGAAAAAGAAGTATGTGCCGTACGAACGTTGCTTGCCCACAAGAACGGGACATCGCAGTGACAGGAAATGTATGAAAGAACGCAGGACCAACGCGACAAAGACACATTTATCAAGTACGCATGTATAAGGCCGTGATGAGAAAACGAAAAGAGAGAGAAGGATGATCCGCACTAGACATCGAGCGAACAAACCAGAGAGATGGTAAAAAAAAAAATGCGAGCATCAGACATGAGACCGTGTGACGTTTGATACGACGTTGAGCATTAGCATCAACCCCCGTCAACCCCTCTCCCATCCGCATCGTCCTCGTCGTCCTCGAACTGCAAATCGAGACTCGCCATATCCCCCAGATGCAGCTCATGCTCCGGCCTAAGGTATAGGCTCCTCGGCGACCCCGCCATCTCGTTCATGCTGAAATTGGCTGTCGTTGGCGAAACATTCCCAGCAGACGAAACTGACATATTCATCCTTTGCCGAGCTCCCGACATCAGAGACGGTGACTGTGATCGAAATGAGCCCGCGCGTGAGCGCGTCAGCACAGACGTAGCATCCTCATGGGCGATCATGGACATGTTGCTCGGCGGAAAGGCGAACACGGAGGACGCGTTGCTCATCCGTCGTTTGACGTTCTGATTTCGATAATTTGTTTCGGATGAAACGAGAGACAACACCTGCGTGTCATCCTCACTCACATCCAATGAGTGACGGGAAGATGCTCTCGGGGAGGCGTCCCGCATAGAGGTTGTCGACGTGAAACCGTGCACGCGCGGTTGAAGCCTCCGATGTGACGAACCCTCCGACGATGACGGCCTCGAAGCGATCCTATCCACCGCCGGCCGGGCCGTGTACTGCTGCCTGCGAATCTGTGTCTGGGCGTCGGAAAGTTTGAGCTCCAGCTCCTGCATGCGCGACATGAGCGCCATATTTTCCTCCCGCAAGCTCTGCACCGTGCGCTGCGAATCTGCAAGCGCTGAGAGCAGTGTGCCAGTCTCCATGGTATGTTTCTCGTGCATCGTCTGCAGCGTCGCACTGACGTGCTGCGGCGATGATGCACCAGAGACGGACGTCGCTGCCGTTGAGAATGCCGTCCGTGGTGTCCCAGAGGCCCCCTCAGACGGGCTCATGTTCCTCGGGACACTTCTCCATGACGACGACGAGCCCGCCTCTGAAAAGGCCAGCCGCGAAGGAGCATACTGTGACCTAAAGTCTCGGTCGCTAGTGCTCCTGATGGATCCAAACTTCGACGCCATTCCTGACCCACTCGCACTCGCGTTCTCGCGATCAGAGTCGAAAAGCCCTGCAGCAGCAAATACCTTTTGGGTCCTTGGGCCGATATATTCAGCCGTGGACCGTCCAAGCGAGGGCATACCCCTCGCCGAGAGATGGCGAGGCAAATTCTCGCCCATACTCATGCTCCTCTTCCTCGTTCGACTGAGATAAGCAGCGTCCCGATCCATCCCGAAGCTAGGTCGGGATTCGTCTCCGATGCTTTGACGTGGTCGGTGTAAGCGCCGTACAGGAGCGGCGCTTAGCGCAGATGAAGCACGAGAGGACGGAGATACCGAATCAACATCCCGACTATTTGGTGAGATCGATGGGGTGATACGAAACGTACGCGCTGACAAGGGTGTATAGAGTGTTGGCCGAGCAGGCGTGACGAGGCGGGAGGTTGCGGGCTGGTTGCGGTACGCCTCTCGACCAGAATTGGCTCTGACAAGGGGGGCGGCTCTCGGATGGTCGGCAGAGAGCGGGGAAGGCGGTGCTTGCGCACGTCGAGGACGGATGCCATCGCTAGAGGCACGACGGCCATCCTCAAGGAGAAGAGTGGGCTCCGAAGCTGTGCGGGAGACGATCTCGCGTTCGCTTCGCAATGGACTGGTCCGGGTGGGAGAACGGGAAAGGCGAGGGACAGAAGAGCTGGAAGGGATGCGGGAGACGGCGGAGCGGGACGGTGCCGAAGTGCGAACGGGAGATGATGGCGACCCTGCGTACATTGGTGACCCAGAAGCAGGCGATTGGAGAGGCGCGAGTATAGAACGCGGCGAATTCGCTCGTGTCCGAGGTAGGTCGTTTGAAGGAAGTAGTAAAGGAGATGAAGGTATGGATTGAGAGCCCGTTAATCTGTTCGGGCTGAGGAGAGCGGCAAGTTCGGGATCCAGCGTGTCGAGGTGGAAGCTGACCTCAGCATCCTGATCACCAGAGCTTTTCCGGGTGATCGCATCTGAAGGATGACTGTCTGCATCTTCAACCACAATACCGGTCGACCAACCAATGCCCCCTCGGAGGGCTTGAAAAACCTCTTCTCTCAACTGAGATGTAGAAAGGTCCAGGGCGGACGTATCGTTTGCGTCAAGTTCTTGACTCCCTTTGTGATCATCATGCAGGGGCAGGTCTGGTGATTGGACCTCCAAAGGTTTTACCGGTGCTGGTTGTTCGTCAGCAATGTTATGAGAGTCATCGAAGGAAGGGAAATGTTTTGACAGCCCGGACATGTCCGCTTCAATAATTGTTGATAGCTCAGTGCTCAGAGGTGGGTCGGGAGTGTACGTTATCACCGGAGGACCTGGATGGCACATTAGCATGAAAATCGCTCAAAGCACAGATTGGACATAAGTCAGTGCTATCAAAACTTTCTCATGCCGATTGAAAGTCTGGTAAAATATTGAATAGGTCGCGCACATACCTGTATCTCGGGTAAATGGCGGCGATGACGCAAAACGTAGAACATTATCTGATCCCTTCCGACTCCATTGTTGCCCTAAAGCCTCGGCGGGAAGTACGGGGAGCTCCTTTCCCCGTCTCACATGTATCACCGGCTCTGAAATCTTTCTATCCGGCGTTGTAAAAGGGCGGAAAGGATCGGAGTGCATAAATAAACTGTTCAGACCTAACAAAGCTTCTGAATATGTCTTCTAAACAATGATGATTAAATCGTACCGGATTTCTGTTCCAATGGCGCCAGGGTAGACGTTGAACTGGATTGGGACGTACTTGGCGCGTCGCTCGACCCCTCCTGCACGCGTCGTTGGAACGAGCCATCGATGTCTAACACTGGAAGCTCTTCCTCACTGCCTTGACGCTGATATGCCCCAGAGACTTTCCTTTCCACTGTCATGGAACGACGGGATCCAAAACTCCCGACAAGTGGAAGCTTGGAACCACCGGATGTACCGCTATTGAGAGTCTGTTGCTTGCTAGCGCCGAATGGAAGAAAGTTGCGCAAAGATCGCAGGGAGGAAAGCCCAGAGTTAGGCGAGTGAACGGTGACTGGTGGATTTTGGGTGGGTGGGGACATCGAATGGGATAGAGAACCACTACCAGAAGGCTGCCGACTTGAAGGCACCAGGCCAAGTTGTGGAACAGAGAGTGAACTAGGAAGACTACTCATCGAGGGCTTTGGGGCAATTACCGGGATGTAGGAAGGTGACTGGGGAGAGCGATGTACTGCGCGTGGCTCTGCCATGTCTACAGTGATATAGAAAGTGCCTGCGCGAAGTTGTTAGGTAGATGCCCACGAAAGTCAAGCCGTCAGTGCGAAGAAGCCCGCCACTATGCAATCAATGTCGTCGATGGGATGTTCACAAGAGCACAACAGGCATCGTGAACCGATGGTGGGTGTCGGAATCACTGACGACGACGACGGGATGGGATGAAAGGCGAAGGGACGGCGGCGCGCTGGTGGCGGCAGCAACTGGTTCGGCTGTCAGTCCATAATGTGACAGAGCATTCTTCTTCCGACATGCTCCATACCATCATCTCCCCAACTTTCCAGATTGTCAATACACTCAATAGCACAATAGCACAGGAATCAAAGCACGATTTTTGGTCAATAATTGGACCAGCTTGTAGTACAAGCAATATCTGAGCTCAGCAAGATGTTGAGAAGAAACTGAATCTGGTCTGTCTTCTGTAAGCAGACTACAAACCAGTTCGGATTCACAAATTCGCATCTGGATCATTTCTCAACTTGCAGTGACGGCGGCACAACGAGTTCAACGTGCTCAAGGCTCCCACTCCGCAGTAGAGGTCGACTGACTTTCTCTATGATCTGCTCGTCTTTTCCGTCTTCATGGGCTCATTCTCCGCGATGTTGAACTCAATCATTTTTTTGTTGGGCCAGTACACCAACTGCATGGAGAATAGTATATCCACTGGAGTAGACGAACGACATCAAGGAAAGTGAGCGAGGTGTGGCGCGCAAAACTACATATTTCCTATTATATCTGCTGATTTTTGCCATCAGCCAATGGATTCTAGGATGCCTCTTTGATGTGTACGTCTATAGTTGAAGGCCCGACTCACCGGTGTGAATATTATGGGCCTATCCGTCTATTCATCTATCGTGTGCATATGACCACCGAATGCGCCACGGAAGCTTATTGTATCAAGTCCTTGACGGATTCTGATATATTCGAGCGCTGCCCTCATGTCTTTCTATTCCAATGTCCCTCAATATCTCGCACAATTACTAAACCTACTTCCATGGCATGGGTTCTGGGAGTGTGTCCCGGCATGTTGGCATATATGAGCGAGTTCTGATATCTCCTTAGATGGAGAGAGTGCGTGTGGAGCGCCTTGGACTTCCGAAATTCGAGTTGAGTTAGCAAAGCTAGACATCTTCATTTGCGCTCGCTGCTCAAAAGATTTCCACCAGGAGATAGTCCCGCAGCTAATTTGTGTCAACGCAACCCATATTCCCCGGATTTGACGAAGCGGTACGCCTTCATTGCTCTGTCACGAATGTTCTCTGATTCTGGTCACCAATTCTTCTGTCTGAACAGATAACCATGCACCCTTATGAGTAGTTTGACCCTATGTGGCTCAACGGATGATAAATTGGCGACCTGCACTTAGGCTCGTTCTCAAGGGTCTTCCTGTCGGGCAAGCATCTAGTGACCGAGTCAAGCTGCGATTGAGCGGACCAATGTGCTCATACACCAGCTGGACTCTGCATAACCCTCGTGATCGCATTTCCTTTGAAACAATGCAGTTCCGTTTCCTATCCCGAAAAGACATGGACAGTGCGGTGATCCAGGAAAATACCGGTCCTTCAATCAATGTCCTTCGTAGGCATTTCGAACGACCGAGATCCGTGGTCGGCAGTATCCCTTTACTTTACCCATCGAGTGGTTCTCATCTGAAGAGTACGATACCAAATGTAAGTCATGTAAATTAATGCTCATATCCCTCGGCAGTCAGATTAACCGACCTATTCTCGTCGTATCTTTATGGCTTACGCTTGACCGCGTACATAGTCCGAGGTATGCGCATGCGATCTCCGGAAGCCTTCAAACCAGTGTATGACCGGCATTGTAACTCCACCGGCACAGTAAGAGCATGTTTCATACATTAGTCCGCCTAGAGCACAACATGGGCTTGGAGCTTCACGTTCGGGTATGTCGTCAAGAATCGCGATCTGTCGGAAGTCTGTAACAACAATCATTGGAATATCAATGCGCTGAATATGCATGTAGAATCTCGCTATGCCGCTTACAGACCTGTGCCCGCTGCCGATCTCGTCGTACTCGGAAGGCAATTGTTGTACGCGATCGCCTCTAGTAGCCTTGACGGCGCTACACGTGCTCCTCAAGGAGGGCGGTGTGTCAAGATAGCGGTCAGGGTCGGGTCGGGTCGGGTTTGACTTTGCTACCAAGCTAGGCCACTGCTATAATCTCGCCCGTCCTCTTCGCGACACTAGGGGATCGAGGTCTCTTGTGTCAAATGGAAACACCGAGGTGACCCCAATCGGTACCTGCACTCGCCCAATCCCGACGCTTCTGGATCTGGGAGTTGGGAACGTAACATGTGCATCAAGGTGTATCACCACTTTGAGCTGTCTTCGGACCGTCGGTCTTGTCATGACCTGCAGACGGGCGCCGGGTTCACTCTCCAAATTATAAGGCAATTTATCTTGCATGCCCTGTGATAAGGTGGCCTATTAGGGTGGCTTGCGGAAACACTGTTTCTGGACATCACGTCACCGGGTTTCATCTGAATTGCCGTGGTCGACAACAGCTAGTGCTCCATCGTGCCTGTAGCCAATTTTCATTCAATGTCCCAAAACGTCCCCAACATTTATCATGCATCAAAAATGAGTACCTGCCTTACGTGATGGCTGCCAATCTGACTATGGTTAAAATAGGTCTTTCAGGTGCGACAGTCGGCTTCGAATTGAAGAATGCCATTCAGAGCGCCGGAAATCTTATGGTCGTTCAGTTTCTGCCTTCCTATGCCACTGCGACCGAACGCAGCAATACCAAAAGAACATAATAAGTAACACATATATTATTGAGATTCTTACTCATCTCCCCTCTACCTGACGATAACTAGATTTTCCAGCAGTCCAAGCTCGAAACAGCACGTTCGAAAGGAAACTCTCCCCCCCAGGCAGTAACATCACTGATGCTGCCCTGCAAGGCTGCTTTCAGCTCGCCGACTTTCTCCCGCACGCTCATCAAATCGTCGGCACGTCCGCCTTCAAGTTCCTCCTTCGAACTCTGAATCGCCTGACAGATGTCACCATCTATCAACGTCAACGTGTCCGCCGTCTCCCCATCCATCGTCCATCGGAGGCCATGTGTCAGTCGCACAATCGAGGCGAAGATGGCGAGACTTGCAAAACCCATCCCGGCACCGTAGAGTGATCGTGCTTGGGTGAGTACATCATGAAGGTTTTTCGTAGCGATGGCCTCGCCGTCTTCGGGTCGAATGGTGAACAAGGCAAGGAACCGTGGCGAAGTCTTAGCGTTCACGTTGCCCAGGCGAAGGCGAGCCGCGCGAGTGAATGCCGCAGCAGTGTTGGGCGGTGTTGTTGCCAACAATGTCCGAACTGTGGCCCGCAGACTGAAGACGAAATGCGTTAGCCCGAACACGCCGTCGGGGACTCAACGGATTACTTGCTCCTCAACACTGGCATTGGCGATGAATGTGTCGACCATGAGATTGCTATACATGTAGATAGAGCGGCGGTCAGTCGCAAGAAGCACGGGGATAGGAGGCGACGAACACATGGCCTAGAGACCGTGCGTCTAAGGAATGGACGAAGCTGTCACCAGCGGGAGCAGGCATGGCTCTGGCAATGGAAGGGAGCCGACAGCAGTGAGAGATCTCCTGAGTCGACACCCCCTCAGCGTTTGCATAGCGCTTTATAAAACCAGCTTGGTGCTCCGACGAATCGGGATCAATTCAGGCAGCTGAATACAAGTTGATTGTAATCTTTCCACCATGCAACCCGTCGGCCGTGTCACTTGCCATGCTGATATCGAAACGCGATCAGGGTTGGTTTGCGACCCCGCGTAGATCTGACCCGGTCAATTGTTTTGCTGCCTTTTTCAATTTTTGGGACTCGACTAATTACCAACCGGCGCTTCAATCCTGTTACTCTAGTAAGCCACTCAAACCTCTCCTTGATCGTATCGTCCTCCTTTTGGTCCGACAATCTGCAACACTTCACCGTGCACTTGTCAAAGCCGGGAGAAATGTAGATAACCGCCTTGACCAATTTCCTCGATCTGTTCTGGTGGATTTTTTTTGGAACGGAGATCATTTCTTAGGAGTTGCACCATATTAAAGGGGTTGGTGCAACATGTGCTGCCAACCAGCTTTCCCCACTCCTCCGTAACACGCCGCTTCCAGTGTATATCTACTCATGTCTGTGTCTATGAGCGTTCACCCAGATTCCTTCGATCTGGGGCCCTTCACCGCTCCTCGTCTGTGGACGGGGCTGTGGCAACTCTCCAGCACCGCATGGGGCACTGCGTCAGCAGCCAAGATTCGCCAGGGCATGGCTAGGCATGTGGAACAGGGATATACAGCTTTCGGTATGCCTCTCGCCACGCAAATAATTTTATGATGATTCATAGCCCCTTAAAGACATGGTAAGTAAATTTGTTCAGAGTAGCACAAACCTCGGCCAAATATAATCTTTCTCCTCGCGTATGATGTCTCTTTAGGGTGAGCCCTTCTGTTTCGCATCTTTGTTACTGATTTTCATGATCTGGGAACCTTGACGCCACAGCGGACCATTATGGGAGCGCGGAGATTCTCTTTGTAAGGCCCTCTGACCTTCGATCTTCCTACGCGCACTCATATGGCCTGCATGCTTCTCAGGGACAATTCAGGGAGTCACTCCCGCCGTCACAGAACGTGATAGGAGCCACGAAATGGTGTGTTTTTAAACAAACAGATCCATCCCGCGGTGTCGTGGAAAGCGCCGTTCGAGAGCGCATGACCCGCATGCGAACGCAGCGCATCGATCTTTTGCAGGCCAGTCTCCGACACCATCTGCGAGGGCCGGATGGATCCTGACCGGATTGATGCGCATTGACACAGTTCCACTGGCAGAACTACAGTGATAAAGGTTATATGAAGGCACTCCGTCACCTGCAAGACCTCCAACAGGAGGGTCTTATCACCACTTTGGGCTTGTGTAACTTTGACACGATCAGAACCGATGAAATCTGCACTCAGCTAGGCCCAGGTTCAATTATCACCAATCAAGTGCCGGTGGGTCCTCTTGTATAGCGGTGCACCAACATGATCGGCATCGCATTGATGAAATGATGCTTTCACATCACAGTTTTCTCTGATTGATACTAGGGTGCTCCACGGGATGGCCGATGTGTGTGAGAAGCACGACCTCAAGCTTCTGACCTATGGCTCCTTGGTAAATTCCCACTCTCGACGTGCCTCTCGAAAGATGTTGATATGGTGCTCATCGCCGTGCTCAGTGCGGAGGGTTTCTCTCTGACGCCTGGTTAAACAAACCGGAGCCCGACCCATACTCTGGATCCCTGACGCCGTCGCAGCGGAAGGTACGTCTTCCCTGTCACGTCTACCGACCTGGATCTAAGTATACGCACTTCAGTACCTCGATGTCATATTAAAGGTCTGGGGAGACTGGCAGCTCTTCCAGACCCTCCTCTCTGTTCTTCGTTCCATCGGCGACCGCCACAGGAACGCCAGTATAGCCAACGTGGCTACAAGATGGGTGCTTGATCACCCATTTGTCGGGGCTATCCTCGTCGGTGAGCGGTCGATTTTTCATCGCATGTGTTTAGCAGGCTTCCTGACGGACCGGCACGATGGCCAGGGACACGGTTGGGCGTGTCAGAGCACCCGGATGATAATCGAAATGTCTTCCGGTTTCAATTAACCCAGGAAGACAGGGATGACATCGAGTCCATATTGGATCGGTCTACGGGACGCAAAATGATCACCTTGATCGGAGATGTTGGAGCAGAATATCGGTGATACCTGAGGCCTTAGGTTCTCGAGAATCGGTACATACCTTGCGGCAAGTAGGGATGTCCGTTCAGATAGTCACCTATCAATTCATGAAGTCTGTGAGAGCCACGACACCGTAAGATTGATGACATTCGATCACTAGAAGGACCTCACAAAGCGACGAGATTCTCAGCATCACCTTTGCGATGTGGGGCTCACACACCTGAAGGAGGATCCGGGGTGCTCCTTTGGAGAGGCTTTGATGCCCATGATAGGGCATAGGATTCGGAACGCGATGATCAGATTCTAAGTGTACAGGAGAATACAAGATGCTAAATAGTAGAATCTGGAAGTGTGTGGACGTAAACTCATGATGCATTGTTCGATGGATGATAGGTAAGGCTCGACAGAGAACGTGAATCTATAGTTACAACTTGCTGACAGAGCCTGATGAGGGGCTGTGGAGGGTATTAAGGCGCTGAATAGGTTGGAGCTTTCGCTTGATATCCCGAAGTATGGTCGTCTTCGGATGCCAATGCGGGAAAGCGTTCCTCAAATTAGAAAAATCTTCGTAAAAAAAGTGTGAAACCCGCTCGTCCGCGATTAAATCACGAAGAGACCACGGAATCTGTCACAAACCAAACATTGTATTATCGATCATGTTTTGGAGAGACGGAACGAAGGAATGCCCGACGCACCTCGTAATCATTTTGTTCCGTGGTTGCGTTGAAAGATTCGACAACCAATTCTGGATGCTCTTCTAAACCATGATTCGTGAGGAAGAGGTAGTCTACCGCAAGGCTGAGTCAATTACGATCATTACGATCAGATCATAGGCATCACATCAGCATCTACATCTATAGAAGCACAGAGAGTAGAGGAACTGAGCTCACGCGAACGTTGCTAGCTCCTCATAGGCCGTCGAATGTCCGACACCGTTCAAAGAGCCAGCGGTAGCCTCGGATAGATGGACCAGAAGGCCGGAATCAGAAAGCCCAGAGTTCAAGATCCGAAGGAGGAGGACCAAAAGATTGGAAAGAAAATCAGATGAACTGCAGGGTCGGCAAGTTTCAGAAAAGAGCCAGCGTGGGGGTCACTTTTGCTTAGCAACATACGCACTGGTATGCATCCCCATCGATGTACAACGCCCTCAAAATCAGAGGATGCGAAGCTGCGGTGAAAAGCCCGGAGTAAAGTGGTACGACTTGATCGTTCAAGGAAGCAGTGTAGACCATCTTCGTCTGTTGCGGTGAGGCATACACTCAACGCCCAATCATATGATATCAAACACCGAGCTCACCCCATGGTCCAAAACATTGCGCAAAGCCTTCACGTAACTTTTTGACACCTCATTCTCCGTGTTCTGATACATGGAAGTCGATGATGAGTTTTACGTCGCACCGTCGCCAGCATACCAACCGGGAACATACCTGGAATTCGAACAGCTCACGTGCGGCTGTGGATTCGAAGTACTAGATATGAGAGAGTAAGCATGTGCTCCAAAGGCGTCTGCCGGCAGCCCCACGACACACCTGGATGTATGGCTGCAATAACGAGCTTGTGTTCAAGTAACGAAGGGGACCGAGGTGGATCCCACATAGCGCCAGGCAGCACACTCGCTGAGGGGGCAATGGCATGACTACGCTCCCTCCCGCTGATACCATTGCAGCCGACGCGCTGCCGAGCAAATCCGTACTCCGCGAGGTCCGAATGTGCTTTTCTTGAATTAGACGGTCAAGGAGGTGAGTGGACACGATGGACCCTTGCGAGTGCGTGGCAACGAGTATGGCGTCGGCGGCGTGCAAATCGTGCACCCATTCTTGATTGCTAGTGAGGCTGTTGTAGAGCCTACAGAGTGATTAATGCGTTGCCACTAGCCCTGGAACGTAGCATGCCCGACTCACTTGTCGACTCTCTTGTTGATGGTTCCTTCGCCCTCTAATGGAATCTGAGTGATCTTGTCCAGCTTAACACCGTGCTTGACTTGAAATTCCTCGAGAGCTTGACACATCATAGAAACAAATTTGGCACTTGTCCCCGTCGGCTGGCCATGGTTGATAATGATCAAAACACGCTGATGGAATAGCAGAAACAACTCACCTCCCCCAGAACACTCCTCATCACCGCGCCTAGAGGTGTGTGTGACAGCCGGTCAGAGATGCATCGAGACGCCACCAACAAAACACGGGTACCGAGGTGTTGAAACACGTCGCCTCACCTGGAAACCACCCGTGAATTCCGATAACAACGACGTTCTTACACCCTTTGAGCACATCTCCATCCACGCCCTCGCCAAACACGCTCCAAGCTCTCGGTAACGTCTTCCCAAAGTGCACGAACTCCTCCCTCGCCTTCTCCTTGCCCTTCGCCTTGCCCGCCTTGCGACCCTTATCCCCTCCCTCGTCCTTGGCGAACAGCACGCCGCTCATGAACTTCATCGTCTTCTTCAGCGTCGACGCGGGAGGTGGCGGAAGCGTCGAGCGCGGCGGCACCTCGAACGTGTCCGCCCAGCTGGGCAACACGAGATTCGGCTGCGAGGGGCGCAAGCCCGTCGGCGAGGAGCGTCCGGACCTCTTCGAGGGCGTGGGCGAGAGGGACTTGCGCTTCGTCACGCGGGCGGGCTCCGGCTTCGATGATGGGACATCCCGAGATGGACCAGCGGGTGCTGATTTCTTCCCATCCGGCTTCACGGTGGGAGACGGCGCGCGCGGCGGGACCTGTGCGGCCTGGTGCTGCTGCTGGCTCCGGGCGGCGAGCTGCTTCCCGCCTGCGGCCTCCACCTCCGCCGAAGCAGAGGCCGTATTTGAAGCGCCGCCTGGTTTGGCCTTGTCCACACCTTCGTCATCGTCCAAGTCCATGACCTCCATGCCGTTCGCATCTCGCTCCACACTGTCCCCGTTCGTGATCGTCTTGACCAAGAGGGCCCTCGACGAGAAGAAAGACGCCCAACCCAGCTTGTTGGCGGATATCGTCGCCTCGATGGGGTTTACGGGCGTGGCAGCGGAAGGCAGGACGGTCGCAGTTGGCACAGGCTCCTCTCGCGCAAGCGCCTCCTCCTTGACCAACTCGGCCGCCGTCTTTGCCTTCACCTCATCTGCGGCGTCCGACGGCGTTTCAGTCTGTTCTGCAGGGGCGCTTCCGTAGTACCAGGCCCATGGTGAGTACCAAGACGATGACTGAGCCTGTGTCATATCGCCCGGAGGAACAGGGGCCGGTTCTTCAGCAGGCGCAGTCGATTCAACTACCAAGTCGACGGGCGGTGACGAAGGCTGCTCTGAAAATAACGGCGCCTCGGCAGCGTCGGCAAAGGGGGCCGGCGACGTAAGTGGCACATCGCCAGCGGGAGGCTGCTCTGGGGGCGCGCTCGGGCCCCAGCCAATATAGCCCCACCAAGAATTTTGGGCATCGGTTGCGAGAGCTGTAGACGCCGACGCCGACGCCGACGGCTCCTGAGCCTTCGGGGGGTCGTCGCTTGGGCGAGGAGCTTGATCTGATAGGGGGTAGCATTGAACATCCTGCACGTAATTATATACGGGGAGAGGCACTTGCCGACAATTAATTCTGTGGCTTGTGCTATGCCGTTCGGCTGCGACTGCGATGTCGACTCGTCAGTCTTTCCCTCGAGGGGCTCCTCGCGAACTGAGGTGTCCCTTATGTCCGCGGCTTGGGCGGACGCGAGCGCTTTCTCCAGTGGGACTTTGGGTCTCCCGAGTAAAGGAATGCTTAGCGAGAACCTGCTAGTCGAGGGGTTGAGGGAAGATAGATTCTGACTGCTGTCCCCGGAAACGACTCCAGCCGAGGACGGAGGTGGGTGTGAGGGCTCAGGGGCCCTAAGTCTAGGCACCTCCTCATCCACGGAAGACGGGGTCAAAGGTGATGATCCGGCCAGCGGAGAAGAGAACGTGGGTGTAGGTGGGGACTTGGAGCCAGAAACACCGAACCAAGATTTCCTGCCACTGGCTGGGCCCACAGGCACTGGTACGGCCTTCGACGAAGAAGCAGCGTTGACTTCTTTCGGGCGTGACGGTGTCGGGGGCCCGATGACCACGGCCGGCGGATTCGGTTCGGGAGAGTTCGACATGGTGGCCACAGGCTGTGAGTCCGAGGAGGCTGCCTCTGCATGCGCAACGGGTTCAGAAAAGCCTGCAAGTTTGGTCGGCGTTTCAGCCGAAGTGGCCTTCTGAGTCGCTTCTTCGCTCTTTGGTGTAGGCTCCTTTGCCCTACTACGAGAGAGAGACGAGAGCCAGGAGGTGCGTGATGCGGCCTGCGCGCGGTTGGTCGCGAGAGAATCGGAGGAGGATGTGTGTGCAAGAGGCGAGCGAGGGGTCGTGAGATCGGATGGTGCTGGGGGATGCGTGGGAGCAGGTGCGAGACTGGATTGAGGAGCAGCGACGGCCTGCGAAGAGATATCGGGCGAGGGGGTGGGAGTGACACCCGCACCGCGAACTTGTTGTGTATCTCGAGTCGACTGCGTAGCTTCAGCAGCCCCAGGCAAAGGCGGCGTCAACCGCGCACGTTTCGCCTGTCCGTCATCCTCTTTCACTATCGCCTCATCAACCATGGCACTCGCCGCTGAGACTGATCGTTCTCGTTTCTTGGGGTCTGCCTCGGTCGGCATTGGCAAACGTAAGACGGCGGAGGCTAGAGGCGCGCCTGCTTCCGGCTTTGCGACGACTAATGATAACGAAGACTGGGCTGATTTCTTGGACAGAGACCTCCAATGTGGTGCAGAGCGAGTGGAACGAGTAGAGAGGGGGGTGGAGGTCATCGAGGTCCTTCAGAGCAACATGAAATGGAGGACGCACGCTCGCCGCGCATTCGCCTCCACTCCACGTTTCCCTATATGTGTCAACCCTCTCGCGTCTTGCCGTCTGAGCCACCGTCGGGCCTTCATCTCGCCTTCATCTCAAATTTTCTCTCTCTCTTCCGTCATTCCAACGACTGAGCAGTTGCAACAAGACACACAACGGCGACGATATGGCAGTGGATGCGCATAGGGTTATATACACCTAATTTGATCTCTTAAACATCTCTGGTAGTATATCGGTTAGTACACGCGCCTGTCACGCGCGAAAGCGGGGTTCGACTCCCCGCCAGAGAGTCTGGACTCTACTCATATCTTTTTTCCTTCCTATCACACATGTCAGCTGCACAAGCGTTTCAGCCCGTACGGACTGGATACCACGCCTACTTCGATAAACACCCTTGCATGTCTCCACTTACGAGCAAAAAATCGCCATTCGCCATTCGTACACCGTGGTCGTATAGTACATTGACAAGTATCGTACCCATTCATGATCACAGAGAAAACAACTCCGTGTGCAGCGCGATCCCGCCCATCCGCATACCATGTGACACGGATAGCTTCGCCACCGCGTTCTGCGCTTCCCTCGTCATCCTCTCCGGCCCGCTCGCGCAAACCGCGACCCCGCCGCCCTCGCCCGCCCACCGCAGATCCGCCTTCATCGACTCCGCATCCTCGCGCGCGGCCGGGGGTGTGATGAGCTCCTTCAGGAGCGTCTGGATCGACGGCTTCTCGACGGTCACCATCGAGTTCGGTATCGGGGGCACGGCCTCGGGGTTGCAGAGGCAGGTCACGAAGACGGAGATGTGTAGGTCGATGGACGAGCCCGCCGCGGCGCTCGCGATCTCCATGAGCATGGGCGCGAACCACTCGATGCATCCTGCACACAAACAAGTCGCCGTGAGCACTGCGTTGGGGACACGTGCGAAGAAGGAAACGTACCGAATGATCGGATGGCCCACGCGAATTCGATGCGCCGCGTGCGCTCGCCGTTTCTGCGCCCGAGCTTCACGCACCGCCCGACGATGTCGTCGAGCAAGCTCAGCGTGAACGTCGCCCCGGCCCCGCCCGCGAGCAGCAGCACGCTCTCGTACCTCCCCAAGTCGACGCTGCAGCCCCCGTACGGCCCGTCCAGCATCACCTGCACAGGGATCTCGGCCACGTCCTCCTTCTTCTCGCCCAGCGCGCCGGCGATGCGGCTCTGCTCCTCCTTAGCGTACCGGTTCAGCGCGCGCGTCCAGTCGCCCTTGACGCGCGCGCCGAGGGCGATCGTGCGTGTGGACGTGCAGGACGTCGCGGCGGGGGCGTTCATGATCGTGAGGGGGTGCGACTCGAAGACGCGCCCGCCGAAGAAGACGCGGAGGCGGACGTGCTGTCCGGCTTTCCATCCTCCGTCGCAGTCGCGCACGTGGATCTATCGCCGACGAGTGAGCGTTCGATGACGGAGACAATCGGACGGGGACACTTACGAGGGTCATCTGGTCGTCAGCTGGTACTAGCGTTGCGTCCTTGATGCGGTAACGGAACATGCGCATGAGCAAGTCCAGTCCGTAGAAGGCCAACGGAGGGTATATCCACGGAGAGGCATAAATTGTATGATAACACAACGTCACGAAGAAGGCGACATAGGTCAGGACGCTAGAAACGACATTCAGAACCTATCTCCGCGAACAAGGCAGCTTGACACTCACTGGACGATGAAGAAGCACTGGTAAAAAAATACCCTGACGGGCCTCAGCGACGTGAGCACGATGATGCAGAGCAGCGCAAAGGCCGCCACGCCAGACGTCTCCTTCTGCTGGCCCAGGATAGGGAGGTCGTATTGCAGATGATTGCGGATCCACAGGGAGCCGTGGATAGCGGCGCCCAGAAACACGCCTCGCCCCGCCCAGCGATGGACGTAGTTCAGCTTCTCGTATCCGTTCCCCGGACCGAGCAGCAAAGACAGGATCGAGTTCTTCGTTCCGAACAAAAATACGACAGGGAGCTGCGCGATGGCGAGGAAACCTGCGCACGGGAAGAGGAAACGAGGGAGGTTAATATAGAAATAACGATAACGATCGGGAAGACGTGTGCACCCGCTCGGTTGGGATTGTCCATGAGAGGCGCCTGCATGGTGATGCAGACGAGAACGGTCGCGACGTAGCCCACAACCACCACAACTGAGCAGCAAATTCGAAAATCAGTATTTCAGAATGTTGTCTCGAATCTGGTGACGCCAAAGCACATACTCTGTCCAAGGTCAAGGCCGAAACCCATGGGCGACCACAGCAGCACAGACCCCACCGTCCTCAACAGCGCAGCCACCTTGCGGCTCCTCCGCGGTGGTATCGCCTCCTGCGCCGCCGCAGGCCCGTACCAGCTTCCGCTCAGGTCCTCCCAGACGCCAAAAAGGCCTGTAAAAGCCTGCCGCGAGCGCACCGCCCGGATAAGCTGCGGGAGCGCGGCGAGCACGGCGATCCCCACCGCCGTCGCCCACACGATCGTAAATTTCTTCTGCCATTTCGGGTCCTCCTGGTATGAGCTAGACCGAGGCGGTGAAAAACACCAAAAACTGAGCGCGAGGCGAGGAAGAGATAAGGCGCTGCGTACTTGTACACCTGCAAGCTGCTGGGAATCGTCGGCGGGGCCCCGTAATCCGACATTATGATGGTCCTGCGAGGTGAGAGGGGGGCGGGGGGCTCTGCGAGTCGAGCGGGCTAGCGGGCTCTTCGACGTCGCTCAAACAAGCGTTCGTGGACAGACGGTGCGGGCGTGCGCCGACCGCCTTCTGTGGCTGGACTACTTGAATCGGTATCTGTTTGGCATCGCCAAACAAACGTGAAAAAACTTTTTCACCTTTGCGTTTCCTGTTTCCTGTTTCCAATATGGAGCGCAGTTTCACGGCGCAGCAGATGGCTTGAGGGAGTGGTTTCGGTCACGTTCCATCCCTCGTATCGTATCATATTAATTGTGTGCAGGGCAGCTGGCACAAGCATCCTGATAATCGTCTACATAGGCAGTCCGTGAAGCAGTACTACTACAGGTTACGACATAGCAAGTATAAGCAGAAGACGTATCAATGCTAATCAAGATAGTCCATGACGCATGAATGCATGAATCGTGATAGGCAAGCCATGATGAGAACCATACCACCACCGCCACAACCCCCACACATATCGAAGCAAGCGCCGCGCCGAGAGGGAGAAGACCCGTCCTGTCCATCCAACACCTCTCGAGTCAGCACCCCAGAACTCTGCGCAGAAGAGAAGGAAACAAGCACCGAACCCACCTATGAAAGATTTACACGCCCACTCCCCTTGCCCAATCCCGCCCGAGCCGCTCCCGCGCGTCCATCACCGCGCGCCCCGCCCCCTCGCGGCCCAACACCCCCTCCCCGCGCCGCCCTACCAACACATTCCCCCCCGTCTGCGCCAACAACGCCCCCAACGCCCGATTCTGCCGATACTTCAACACATGCCCCCACACCTCATACGCATCCTGCACCGCCTCCCACCCTCCGCCTCCGCCTCCGCCTCCGCCTCCATTCCCCACCCCAATCCCCCGCCCAATCCTCTCCACCTCCTCCCTCCCCCCCTCCCCCTCCCCCTCCCCCTTCCCACCCGCACCCCGCACCCCAAGCACCCTCCCAAACGCCCCCACGTCCCCACAAAACAGCGCCTTCCGCGCAACCACGTACTGCCCGACGCTCTCGAACCTATACACCCGCGCCGCGCGCCCCGGCAGCGCCAGCCGCTCCGCGAACGGCGCGCGCGCCCACGCCGACAGCCACCCCGTCCGCGCGTCCCCGCGCGCGAAGTACACGAACCCCGCGTCCGCACGCGGCGCGGCGCGCGGGCGCGCGGGCGGCGGGCGGCGCGGGATGCGGGGGGGCGCGGCGTAGTGGGGGTAGTAGGACGCGCTGTGCGCGGGCTTGTGCCGCGCGTATGGATACGGATTCGGGTGGTACGGCTGGACTGGGACGGGGACAGGAGCGGGGGAGGGCGCGGGTGCGGAGGCGCGCGGGCGGGTAGAGTGCGGCGAGGGGCGGCTGCGCTGCTGCAACACCGGATACGGCACGTACTCGTAGCTGTACTTCGCACCTGCGCGGGCGCGGCGCGCGTCCGCGTCCCTATCCCTCAGCCGCTCGTAGCGCCGCTGTGCGCCTGCGCGGCGCGGGGGGTGCCTGTGCGGGTGCAGCCACGGCGCAAAATTCGTGATCGCAAGCCAGAGGGACCTCGGGAGGTGAGAGGCGCGGAGCATAAAAGACGATGGACGGACGAAAGAGAGGGTATCGCTGCGAGCGAGCGAGCGAGTATAAGTATCGATGTTCGGTACCCGGCATGCACGCTCGCAGGCCGATTTATATAGGCCGCGCAGGCGCACGGGCGGTCCCTCGGTCTCTCGCTCGCTCGTTTCGAGCGTGCATTACGACTCGGACTCGGGCTGAGAGGCCCCACCGAGTGAATGAAGCCCTTGTATTCGCGATGCTCGCCAAGGGCGCAGCGCGAGCGCCGAGGCACTCCCTCCTGGAAGTGGGAGTGGCGGTGGAGTGCGCCGGAGCCAGGACAGCGTCGGGCCAATGGCCGCGCACGTGGAGCGCGCCAGCACCATCAAGCACCATCAAGCGTCATTAGGTAGACAGGCGGACAAGCAGAGCACAGAAGCGAAGAAACAAGAAATACGATACCCCATTACGCGCCCGGTCTCGCCATCAAGGGCGATGCGATCGTCACGTTGTCAGCAGCACGCCCCACTCTCGCGTAAAGCACAACAAGAGAGGAAGTTGTGATGAATGCTGATGGCGGCCATGGCAGCGGCAGCGGCAGCGGAACAGAAGCAGTCCAAAAAAGGGTGGATAGGGCAGACGTGCAGCAGCACTGTACAAATACAGGTATATGCGACCGGTGGCGCAGGGCGGGGGCAGCCGCCCTCATATCACTGCGTAGCGTAGCTAGTGGAGATGGGCGGCGTGGTGCGAGTACCGCCCGAACAGCGTCTCTCCAACCCCTAGGCCGACTACGATGGACAGTATAAACCCGACTTGGAAGGTCCTAACGCGAACGGTCAGTGTCCACGGAAAACCGGGCCGCCATGCCGCGAAGCGAAGAAATTGAAGCACGTACATTACTGCTAACATGAACAGGAAGGACAGAAGCGTCTGAGTGACATGTACGATTCCCCTCGAGATGTCGTGCGCTGGGATGAAAGGGAGCGCGGCGCGGTGGGACACGAAGTTGCGAAGGGGGGACGGGCCCTTCTGCAGCCCGCCTTCGCGAGAGGTGGGCAGCGCATGTGAGTTGAGCTTGTTGGACAACGCGATCTGAGCCCTGGATTGACGAGGTCAGGACGAGGTGCAAGCCAGACACGAGCGGGGGCGCACCTAGCATGCCAGTGCATCTCCATGACAGCGCGCATCGCCCCTAACCAGCGATCCACCATCCCAAGCATGAACAAGCCGATGCACGCCCCCACCATCGCTCCCGGACTACTAGCTACCCAACCGAGAAACCACAAGTTGTCGCCCGGAGTGAAATGCAGATACATGATCATGTTTCCCATCGATAGAGACATGCCTCCGTCCATGCTCATGTCCATGCCATTGTCGTGGGCGGCGACGGATGACAGGAAGTAAGAAAATGCGAGGACGACGTGAAGTAGAGGGGCCATGGCGGTCTCGTTGACGATAGCAGAGTGCAAGGTCGCTGTGCACGAAAGAAGAGGAGCGTAAACATGACCAAATAAAAGATAAGCTGTATCAGCCACATGAGCGAATTGTTTACCTCTGCAGCTCAAAAACTCAAAGATTTCGTTGACAATCCAGAAAGAATCTCGTCAAAGAAGGGAGGGTGTTGAACTGCCTAAATCTTAAAGCAAGGTAGCAGCAGGTAGCAGATAAACACATCAACTCATCAGTCAAAGCATCAAACAACTTGGATTGTTCGTGTTTGCAGTTCCCGAGTCAGGGCGGTTGTGGGCCGTTGCCGTCGTCTCCGTCCGTGTCAGCGTCTGGTGACGGTGAGGGTCATCTATACGCCATGCCGGCCGCGTCGGAGCATGGATGAGACGGCTGTATTGGAGGCGATGATTGGCCGTGGGGCGACCCTCTTCGAGTCGTGTGAAGCCCCTTGATCCATCGAGGGTAGGGACGACAATGTTTGAGAATGCTGCTTACCGCCTGAAGATGTACGCTTAGGTGGTGTGAACGAGATGACGACGGCGGGAGGATAGACAGGTCCATGGACCAGCGAGTCACACAAGAAAAGGCGGGTGCATGAGGCCAAGAGGAGAACCTCCTCGACGAGAGAAAATGCAAAGCAACGGCGCAAGAAGAGACAGCAAACTTTGGCTGAGAGTCCATGAAAGCGACCCGGAGGGGTTGCGGTGATGACCGGGATGGTATCCGATGAGCATTAGCGCCAGCCAGATACAGCAGAGGTCCAGCATGTCGTGTAGAGCAACGGAGAGAGAGGGCGGAGGGAGTGCGAGGTCGTACCCGTCGAGCTTGGTGAGGACATCGCTCTCACTCGACAGAGTATGGGAGGGGGGAAGTGGTCGAAGCGATGCAAGCTGCCATCGCACGAAACCTAGACAGGCTAGCTAGAGGCGGGTTCGAAGGCCAGAGAGGGCCAGCAGAGAGAAAGCACGACGAGGGAGGTGTGGACGAGTGGGAGAGAGGTGGGTTGTGGATAGGGCTTCGTGAGGACTGCGCTCCCACCCATGCACGGCGAGGAGTGGTGACGAGGCAAAGGGCGTCAATCCCGGTTGCGACATTTTCGCCGAGCATAAGCCCTTCGCTGACGTAACTAGAGCCCTTTTCGTGATTGGCCCGCGCCGCCGCCTCCTCCAAAACAAAAATAAATATCCCTCGCAGCCGCCTGGCGAGCGTTCGTGGACATTATGTATATATCGGATTTGAATCCACTTCCGTTCATCGCATCGCAAGAGGGCGTTTGCGGTCTCATCAAGCAAGCGAGGCAAGCGATGTGCTGACAAATACGGAGCAGCGTGAGCAGCGCATGTTTCCAGAGCACGCATCGTTCTCTATCGTTGAGCAGATATTCGTGTGCAGCTCATCAACCAAAGGTACATCTTCATCGCTCCCATCTACGATGCTCTGATTTAACGGCCATTTTCACGATAGTTGGCGACGACGTGGATGATTGCCCCGCTCGTGACTCGACCAGCAACTGCATGATAATATTCATTCTCAACCATCACGCCGGTCGGTCTGCGCGCAACACAGTTCGAGGCAACGCTCACCAGCGCACCTCGCTTTACCTTTACCTTGATTTCCTCGCAGGAACGCCCAACCTCGCCCCGAGCACGCACCTCCACCCATTCATCTCACGACGCCCATCATGTCGACGCCTCTCAGGTCCATCCCTCCGCTGATCCCGCTCCCCGACAACACATCGACACCAGCACCCTCGACCAACGACAAAGACGACCTCTTCTCCACCCTCTTCTCGCCCGCAACCCCGCCCGCCTCGCCCACCCTCAAGCCTGCCCCGGACGCACACGCACACGCACCCGCACCCGCGCGCACGCGACACACCCGGAGCGCGAGCGCCGTGAGCGTCGACTTTGGCTCCTTCGTCTCCGTCCCCGCGGCCGAGGCGCCCCTCCAGCCCGCGCCCGCGAGCTCGCCCGGCGCGCCGCTGACGCCATTCGCGAGCGCCTTCTTCGACCGGTTCGCGGAGGACGCACGAGTCGCGACCGAGCGGAACCAGCGGGGCTTCCTCGCGGAGCTTCTCGAGCACGAGGACGACCCGCTCTACTGGACACACCACCACGCCGAGCCGGAGCGCGCGCACACGCACACGCCCACGCCCACGCCCACGCCCTCGATGCCACCAGCACCAGCACCAGCACAACAACCCCACCCACGCCCGGGCGAGCCGGACGGGTGCTCAGACCTCCTCCTCCTCCTCGATCCAGACTCGCCATCCGCCCTCATGCCAGACCCCGCACACGCACAGCCCCAGGCCCCTGGCCACCCGCCGCGCGCGCAGAACACCACAACCCCCGCACACGCCCCAGCCCCGCTCCCGCCGCTCGCCAACACCTCCCCCGTCCTCCGCTCGCCCTCGCTCCCGCCCGCGTCCTCCCCGACACGCCCGACGCCCCCGCTCCTCACCCGCACACAATCGCACACCACGTTCTCCACCGCGTCCCTCCCGTCCCGCTGGATGTCCTCCCTCCTCGCCCCGCGCTCCAGCCCTGCGCCCGCACCCGCACCGCCTCCACCGTCCCACCTCCCTCCAGCGCACCACGCGTCGCTCCCGGCCGCCATCGCAGGCGCAGACGCAGGCACAGGCGCAGGCCCCGGCATCACGCACGGCTCGCCCTTCGCCGTGCACGCGTACGCGCCGCCGAGCGGCGCCCCCGGCTTCGCGGGCGACCGCGCGTGGGACAAGGGCTTCGCCTTCGACGGCCCCGCGCTCGAGAAGCGCAGCGTGCGCCTCGCGGGGCGCCGCGAGACCACGGACGCGGTGCTCTCCACCGAGCTCGCAGATAAGGTGCGTCTGCGTCCCCGCCGCCGCCTCTGCCCTGAAACCCTCAGAAATAACACGAAAATTAAACTAAATTAAACGACACGACGACTGGACGCGGCGCGGCGCCGCAGATCCGCCCGCACCTCCCGCCGCTCGCGCGCCTCCACAAGGCGTGGACGCTGCTCTACAGCCTCGACCAGCACGGGATCTCGCTCCAGACGCTCTACGCGCGGTGTGAGGCGCACGCCGGCGGCGGTGGCGGCGGCGCGCTCGTCGTCGTGCGCGACGCGGGCGACGCGCTGTTCGGCGTGTGGCTGGGCGACGGCGTGCGCCCGTCCAAGGGCTCGTACTACGGCAGCGGCGAGTCGTGAGTGCCCCGTCTCTGCTTCGCTGCACTGCGTGCGTTGCGGCCCGCTGCTGACCGCCGCGGCTATTTGTTGCGCTGGCGCTGACGCTGGGGTGTAGGTTTCTGTGGAGGACGTCGGCGGGCGGGGACAGGCTCCACGTGTATAAGTGGACGGGGAAGAACGACTACGTCGCGCTCTGCGAGCCCGAGTACCTCTCCTTCGGCGGCGGGTGCGTGCGCCTCTCGCCTCGTCTCGTCTCGTCCTCCACGCTCTTTTGACAACCGGGTCCCTGCTCTGCTCCGCCCTTCCCCTTTTTTTTTTTTTTGGCGCGCAGGGACGGCCACTACGGGCTCTATCTCGACGACACGCTCCTCGACGGGTCCTCCGCGCGCTGCCCGACCTTCGCGAACGAGCCGCTGTGCGCGCCCGGCCCGCACAGGGGCGGCACGGTCGCGTTTGAGTGCGTCGGCCTCGAGGTGTGGGCCGTGGGCCCGTCGTGAGGCGCGTGGGTGCGTGTTGATGTTGGGTCGGGGGTCGTCGGACCAGGATGGACGCTTGGCGTGGTGCGCGGAGGGCGACTCGGGGTTGTGTGGAGAGAGCGCGCGCGGCCGCCGCCGTTGTTGTTGCTGCTGTTGACGTTGTTGTTTGTACGCTTTAGCTGCGCTTGTTATGTATCGCGATCGTGGTAGGGACACCGATGATTTAGCCCGCGCTCCCACACGACGGAGGTACGTCCGTGTCTAGAAGAGATATAGATATACGACGGAGTGCACAGCCAAAGAAACGCAATGACGATGCGAGAGAAGATCGACGGGAGAGAAATAAATACCGCAGGCCCGTATATGAGGGTCAGATGAGAGTGATATGGAGATGATATGATATGATATGATCTGCGTGTCCGTGCCCGTGTCCGTGCCCATGTCCGCTGTCCATGTCCGCGTGCGCGCTCGAGATCCACCCGCCTCACAAAAACCGGTTGCTCTCCACCTCCATACCGCGCGCCAGCCGCAGCATCACGATATTCGACGTCAAGCTCGAGAACTAGCCACCACCCAACACCAAAAAAGCCAGTCAGCGACCCCCGCACGCCAACACGAATCCAGATCTGGACTGCGTACGCACCCCGTTGCCGACGAACACCGCCGCCCGCTCCGCAACCGCCATATCCACCGCCATCGCCACGTACCGCTGCTCCGCGTCGAGCACCAGATCCGCGCCCGCGCGCACGTCCGCCCACCCGTCCGCGCGCAGCGCGCGCTCCAGCGCACGGCGCCACGCCCACCCCGCGTTCGTGAGCACGAACACGCGCCGCAGGTCGCCCGCGGGGTGCGCTGCGCGCACCGCGCGCAGGCGCGCGGCGACCTGCGCGGCGGAGGGCAGGCAATGGCGCATGTAGTACTCGAGGCGCGTCTCGCCCTGTGGCGGCGCGTCGGCGGAGGCGCGAGAGGCGTTGGGGGAGAGGTAGGGCCGCGGGTCGAACGTGTCGGGGAGGCCTGGGAACTCGTTGAAGCCCATGTAGAGCGAGCCCCACGCCGCGAGGCGCGCGCAGTGCCGCTCGTAGTCCCCGCGGCGGATGTGCACCGCCAGCAGCCCCGGCAGCGGGGCCTGCGCGCGCGCGCGGGAGCTCGAGCCCGAGGCGGAGTTGATGAGGGCGGCGGCGGAGAGCGGCTGGAGGAGCGCGAAGTTGCGCGCGAGCGCGGCGTGCACGAGCGGGGACCAGGTGTAGTTTGCGAGCGCGGGGGAGGCGGCGAGCGCGGGCCAGAGGGAGAGGATGTTCTTCGAGCCGAAGAGGCTGTGCGGGCGTGGCGAGCGGATGTGTCAGCGTTTCGGTCGGTCGAGGTGGCGAGGAGGAGGGGCGGCGTACAATCTGTCAAACACGGGCTGCTCGCGCGACTCGACCTCGACGCAGCGTGCACGGACGGGCGCGAGCGCGTCGACCCACCACTGCATGAGCGCCTCGCCGTCGATATCGGACGGCGCGCCGCGCGAGCTGACGACCGTGATGTTCTCCGGCGGGCACACGGTGTTCCAGTGCTCGAGCGCGACGGCGCGCGGGGCGGGCATGGGCCCGCCGGCACTCGGACCCGAGATGAACGCGTTGAGCGGGATGCGGGCGGGGCGGAGGGCGAAGTCGTATAGCGTGTAGGGCAGCGGGGTGTGCGACCACGTGTAGTCCTCGAAGACGAAGGACCTGTTCGTGAGGAACGCGAGGTGCGAGAGGAGGATTCTAGCGGGGCCGCCGCAAATGAAAAGCACGTTAGCAGTTAGCGACCGAGCGGAAGGGCCCGAGAAGCGCGCGAGGCGAAACGAAGGGGTCGGCGCGCGGACGGCGAAAAGGGCTCACATCTCTTGCAGCACGTTGTTCAGACCGTGGCCCCACAAATGGTCCGGGAAGCGCAGGTACATCCCCTCCCTGCCCTCCGGGCTGGGCAGCGCGAGGTCGTGCTGCGGGAGGCGCCGCTCGAACTCGCGGATGTCGTCGAAGGCCGGCGGGACGCCGGACCACAGGATGCCGGCGACGAGCAGCACGCAGGCGGCGGCGCAGGCGGCGAGCGCGCGGCGGAGCGTGCAGAGGCGGAGGAGCGCGTGGGGGAGGCGGCGGCGGGGGGTGTATGCGCGCGCGTGGGCGTGCGGTGATGTGGGCGTGGGGAAGCGCGCGCTGAGGAGGCCCGCGGACTCTTCTTGGTCGCGGTCGGCGTCGGCGAGGGCGTAGTGCTCTGCGGAGCCACGACGCGGTCGGGCTGCGGCGGTCACGAGGACGCCAAGCAGGCCTTTGAACCCTGCCATCCGCGATTCAGCAGTCAACGCACGGCTCTCGACAGTGGTACGCTCAGACGAAAATGAAAAAAAGAGGCGGCGAGCAAGATCGGCGGTGGACGGTGGTGTGGAGGAGAGGGTGGGAAGATAGAGAGTGTGTGGAGTCGTGCTTTGAGCGGCGGTGCCTCGCTAAATGCTCGGCAGCGGCGTAAAGTAAGGCTGGGCTGCACTCGGGAATCGATGATGCCTGCGAGCGTAGCTGTGCGGCGTGGCCGAGCCTGCGGGCACTGGGCGCACTCCGTTCGCGTTTCGGGTGCGGCCAAGCCAAGGCGATGGCTGGGCATGCCTCGGACGTGCCAACGAACGTGCGATCTGTCGAAAACAACGTCGGGCTCCTTACCATCGTGCTCCTCGACCGACGACGGCAGCCGGAGACATTGGAGGACTCGGGACTCGGGGTCGGTGAGGATGGATGCGTGATCATGTGAGCTCGGGATTGGCGTGGCGGAATTCGGTTCGGTTATTTGGGGCCTCAGGGACGCACCCTACCCTGCGGCAACACAGCCCAATACAATAAAATATTCTCTATGTAGCGATACGTCTGCCGTCTAGAAAGAAGCCACAATCAAGCACGACCCTGGATAGCCCATACAGCGGCGCTCCCACGCACGCTGCGGCCAAGCGAGCGCCCGCACGCGACCTAGGCGCCCTGCACGACCTCGCGCGCGCCCTCCATCCCCCTCCGCACGCCCTTCACCAGCTCGTAGTTCGCCGCGCGCTGCGCCTCCACCGCGCCCCCGAGCGCAGCCTCCCACCACCGCCCGCCCTCCGGCACATCGCGCCACCCCCCGCGGATGAACTCGCTCACGCCGCGCACGCCCCCCGCGCGCAGGAGCGCCTGCACCGCCGCCCAGTGCGGCGGCGGGTTCGCGGCGGAGAACGGCCTCGCGCCGGCGGCGAGGTCCGCGTCGGGCGGCGGCGCGGCGAACCCGTCGCCTGCGAGGACGAGCGCGGGCGGCACGGTGATGCGCCCGTGCTTGAACACGAGCTCGTTCACGGAGAGGCAGTTGAGCGTCGCCCCGTCGGGCTCGGTCGTCTGCGCCGCGAGGGCCCGCATGGCAGCCGCCGCGCCCGGGATGCCGGTGGAGGTGGGCGCGGGCGCGGGCGCGGAGACGAGGGCGGGTGAGGGCGTGGTGAGGCCGCTGGCGGGCGTGTGGAGGGAGAGGAAGGGCGGGCCGTCGGTCGTGGCGGTCGGCGGCGTCTTGGAGGAGTGCGCCTTCTTGTCGGAGCCCTTCGTTTTCTTGGGGAAGGTCACGAAGCGGATGACGAGGAACATCTGTTTTTGATGGTGTTAATATCAAGGATGTGGAAAGCAGATTTGGAAGGGCGGGACGTGCCCATTTGTTGTCCCAGCTGGCGATGCTCATGCGCACTTGGTAGGGCGAAAAGATGGGGATCTCGCGGATAAAGTTGAAGTGCGTGGCTGGGAGATCAGGTGGGTTCGAGAGTGGAACGATCTGGAGTATAGTCGCGACGCACCGCCGAGCGCAATCCACCCGCCCGCGCGCAGGAAGGTCGGGAAGTACGCCAACGCGGCCTTGAACCGCGCGCAATCAAGTATCTAGAGGGATCGTCGACCGTCGTCGTGACACAATGCACGCACACCCGATGAGCGGGACGCGCACCTTTGGATAGCACGAGTTGCTCAGGTGGAGGTTGAAGTCGCAGTCGTCGATGCCTGCGGGCGTGCGCCGGGGGGAGGCTCAGATGTGCAGAATCGGGGGCGCGGCGCAGAGGGCGAGACACGCACCTGCCCACGCGTGGTAAGTGATCGTCTTCTCGAACGGGCTCTCGCCGATGGGCGAGAGGTTCTCGAGCCACTTGTCCTTTGCCTTTTTGCGCTCCTGGCGCGAGTGGAGCAGCAGCGAGAGGCGGAAGAGGAAGAAGCGGAAGCGGAGGTGGAAGAGCGGGCTGAAGACGCGGACTGCGCGACAACATGAACATCTGCACACGCGCGCCCTCCAGGCTTGGGCATATGATACACTCACCGTGCCAGCCGAACGGCAGAGAGGGCAGGTTGAGCGCGAGGACGAAGAGTCCGAGGTACTTCACCGCGCGCGGGAGCAGCTTGCCCAGCACGGGCAGATACTGCTGGGCCGCGGCGAGGTTGAGGTAAGGCTGGAGTTGGTCCATTGGTGCTCAGAGCCGTCGAGATGCGTCAAGCGCGCCTACGCCTGGTCGTGCGAGGTCGGTGAGGGTGATGAGCAGGAGGACGACGGGGGAGGCGGACGGCGCTTAGAGACCCCAGCGCGCGCATGAAAGGCAGGGGTCGGGCTGCGAGATGCCGGCTGCCGGTCCCCATCTAGTACAGCGAGCAGCCTAATACGCACCCCACAACATCCACCGCGTTCGTTTTCCGGTATTTAATGTTTTATGGCAGAGACGGCGTGCAACCCCAACCGGCACAACGTCCAGTTCCTTTGGTTTAGTTCCTCCGTCTCGTCGAAGGCCGTTCGGTTCGAACGTCGAATCGAGTCTGATGACATAATCATCCAGACTGCAATGCGGGGTAGAAGCAGGTCATGCTCTCACGATCGTCGTCGTCGTCGTCGTCGACTGCGACCTCGCTGCAATCTATCTGCTGTAAGTATACCACCATGGGCGGCCACCACGGACACCCCCACTCCACGCAGAGCTCCTATCCAGAGCAAAACTATGGCCCCGGGGCCAAATGGATCAAAGATCTCACCAAGAACCGCCTGGGCACGTTCAACGGCGGCCACTTCTCCGACGTGAACCTCTCGTCGGTGCTCTTCACCCAGCGCATCGACGGCGCCGAGCACGTCAAGCTCCAAGTGTGGAGCGCCCCTGGCCTCACGAAGCCGTCGTTCCAGGAGGCCATGACGAAGGAGTTCAAGCCCGCGAAGAAGGGCGACTCGTTTGGGCCGTCTTGTGAGTTGGCCTTCACATATCTGTCCGTCGATCGTGCGATGCATATTGAACCGCGTTGCGATGCCTTGCAGGGGTACGTGGTTCATCTCCCTCCGCGATGGGCAGATAACACGATGCCGCGGCGTGCAGACGAATCACTGGTGGAAAGTCACCGTCAAGATCCCATCCGATTGGGAGCAGTATGAACGCGTTCAATGTACGTCGTCATCGTCGTCCTCGTCCCGAGGCCTGCTCTAGACCACGAACGAACACGCCTTGCACAGTCGAATTTGATCCCGGTTGCGAGGCCATGATATTCGCCACTGACGGCACGCCGTTACAAGGTATGTCTCGCCTGGTCTTCGATTACGTCGCGGCACACGAGTGATTCCACCCGATTTGCATGACAGGGATAACCGGGGGATATGGCGGCGACAGACGCGTCGAATACATCCTCCCACACGACGCGCGCAAGAAAGGCACGCACGACTTCGTCATCGAATCCAGCTGCAACGGCATGTTCGGCGTGCCCTGGAACGGCGACACCATCGCCCCACCCGACGTGCGCACGCCCCCCTCCTTCTCGCCTCCCCCTTCCTCCCATCCCGCCGGGGTGGATGACGCACTGACGCGCACGCGCCCGCGGCCTAGATGAACCGCACCTTCCAGCTCGCCTCCGCGGACCTCGTCGTGCCGAACCAAGAAGCGTGGGGCCTCATGTGGGACTTCGACGCGCTGCGCGAGATCGTCGACGCACTCCCGGGCACCAGCGCGCTCCAAAACCGCGCCCTCGCCGTCGCGAACGCGATGATGAACGCGTTCGACCGCGGCGACCCTGCCTCTATCGGTGCCGCGCGCGCGCTCGCCGAGCGCGTGTTCGGCGCGGGGTGGGCGGCGAAGCAGGAGCGCATCTACGAGGAGGGCCCCACGGACGCGCAGATCTGGGGGATCGGGCACTGTCACATCGACACGGCATGGTGCGCGGTCGTGCGGGCGGTGATGGCGAGCGGGTGCTGACCGTTGAGCGTGTTCTGGTGCAGGCTGTGGCCGTACAGCGTCACGCAACAGAAGGTCGCGCGCTCGTGGTCGACCCAGGTCGACCTCATGGACCGCTATCCCGAGCACCGCTTCACCTGCAGCTCTGCGCAGCAATACAAATGGCTCGAGCAGGCAAGTGGATCCCAAACGCCCCCCTCCCCCCGCCTTGCGTCATGCTCCTGAGGCCTGCGTCTGGAGACGGTGCCCGTCCGGAGGCTATAATGTACTTACGTCATGCGTCCGCCCGTCATTGCGCAGCTCTACCCCCCGCTCTTCGCACGCGTCAAGGAGAAGGTGCGCTCGGGGCAGTTCCACCCCGTGGGCGGCTCGTGGGTCGAGAACGACGCGAACATGCCGTCGGGCGAGGCCCTCGCGCGCCAGATGATCTTCGGGCAGCGCTTCTTCGAGTCGCGGTTCGGGAAGCGCTGCGACACCGCGTGGCTGCCCGACTCGTTTGGCCTCACGGGCGCGCTGCCGCAGCTGATCAGGCTTTCGGGGATGGACTACTTCTTCACGCAGAAGCTGTCGTGGTGAGTGGGCCCGTGATCACGTTTCTGTGCCCGGGGCCGCTGACGTCGCTGCGGTGCGCAGGAACAACATGTGAGTGGGGCTCCATCGTTCCTTGACCGTGCGAACTGTTTTGAACGGCGTGGTGCAGTAATGTGTTCCCTCACTCGACGTTCAACTGGGTCGGCATCGACGGCACGCAGGTTCTCTGCCACATGACGCCCGTCGGTGCGTTTCTGTTTCTCGTAGCCCGCGCTATGTCGCGCGCTCACGCTGAGCTTTGAAATGCAGACACGTACACTGCGCAGGCCACGGTGGGTGACGTTCAGAAGGGCGTGCGCAACCACAAGGTACGTCCGGCGCGCTGGGTTCTGCAGGCCGCACGGGCTACATGGCTGACGGCTGACGACGACGACGCGCGCGCGCCAGAATCTGGAATCGAACTCGACGGCGCTGCTCGTGTTCGGAAACGGCGACGGCGGCGGGGGCCCGCTCGCGAAGATGCTGGAAAACGTGCGTGTCGCGTCGCGCGCCCGTGTCGTCGTCGCCGGCTGACCGTGACTTCGATCGGGAAAAATGCGCACAGCTCCGGCGTATCCGGGGAGTCGCGAACAACTCGCGCGAGCTCCCGCCTGTCGTTATGGGACGGTCGGTGGACGAGTTTTTTGAGGATGCTAAGAGGCAGTCGGATGGCGGGAGCGCGTTGCCTAATTGGTAGGCCCCGACGTAGTGAATGAATGATGGTTTGAACGCTAATGACGAATTATTGTAGGCATGGCGAACTGTACCTCGAGGTCTGTTTTTCTTTTTGCGCGTTGTGTGCAGCTCTCATGTGGAAGCTTGCAGTTTCATAGGGGGACGTATACTTCTCACGGTGGGTGCTATTGACATACGTTTTGTTAGGTCGTGTGTGACGTCTTGGTTTGGGCGGTTTAGGCTCTATCAAGAAGGGTAACCGCAAGTCCGAGATATTGATGCGAGATGTCGAGGTACGAGCATCGGTCACAATAACGTTTGCTATCTCTAAGACACGACACTTGCATAGCATCTTGCCACCCTGGCTTCGGTGTACAAGAGGGAGCAGTACTCGTACCCGAAGGAAAAGATCGACAATAATTGGGAAAAACTGCTCTTGAACCAGTGTATGTCGTCGCACCGTCATGTAACACGCGCCTCGCTCACGCTTTATGTCCAGTCCACGACGGTGAGTCCCGACACCACAAAGTCTGCAGATACGCTGTTGAACGAGTGTCGCGCCAGTCCTTCCCGGTTCCGCTATGTAAGTCCAGGAGCTTTGCGCATCCGTGAACCGCTAATGGGCCGCCGTTTGTAGCGGCATGGTTTATGACGACGCCGAGAAGCTCTACGCGGAGATCCGCAAAGACGGCGAGGCGCTCTTCGACGAGGCGCTCCACGCGCTCTTCCCGTCCTTCGTGCCCCTCACGGCACAGATCCCCGCCGGGTCCACGCTCGTCGGGCTCAACACGACGTTCCTCCCGCGCCGCGACATCGTGAAAGTGCCGCTCGAGGGCTCGGGGAAGGACCTCCAGGCCAGCGTTCTGCAGACGTCGAGGGACGGGAAGGTCGGGTACGTGTTGATGTCCTCGGTGGAGGGCGCGGACGTGGCGCGCGCCGTGACCTCGGCGGAGAACGTGGACGCTCCTCGCGGTAAGCCCCTCGGGCGGATCGTCTGCTCGTCCGTTTGGGATTTGGAATTTGATCTTTTTTGTTGTTGTTGTGCAGTGCATGTCAGCGGGGAGGGCGGCTTTGTGCTGAAGAACTCTAGCGTGCAGCTCACCGTGGCCGGTGGACGGATCACGAGCCTACTCGACGTCAGACTCGGGTAAGCGTTCGATCGTTCATCATGATGCGTCGAGCTGTCTGATTTCACTCGTCTACAGACGCGAATTGATCGCGAAGGGCAAGACGGGAGGGCTGATCATCTTCGAGGATCGCCCCAACTACTGGGATGCCTGGGGTACGTGCTACCTGCGACTGTTCCGTGGTTGATGGGGAGGTCTGACCGTCTGATGGACAGACGTCGAGATCCACCACCTTGAGAAGTGGCAGGAGCTCAAGTTCTCCGATGCAAAGGTCGTCGCCGAGGGACCGCTGCGGGCATCCGTGTCTACACAGGTCAAGTACAAGAAGAGCACGATCAACGTCACGGTAAGCATCTTAATCAGAGGTCCTCGAGTTGATGGTCGAACTCTGATGGCCTTCATGGAAGATTTCGCTCGGTGCGATCAGTGGTGGGTTTGCTTACGTGTCGTGGATGAGCGCAGATTGAACAATGCCTGTGTAGCGACGCTGAAGCCGAACTCGCGCCCTTACTTCGTCTTCGATGCCGAAGTCGACTGGTTCGAGCGCCACGAATTCCTCAAGTGTATGCTCTCTCGCATACTTTCAAACTGACCACACACTCACGATCGCGTAGTCGAACTCCCCTTGGACATTCACAGCGATGTCGCTACCTACGAGACACCGTTCGGCCATGTCCAGAGGCCGACACACAAAAACACGACGTGGGACGCGGCCAAGTTCGAGGTTTGCGGCCACAAGGTACCGCGCTCCCTTGTCTCCGCTCCCCCCGTCTCTAAGCAGCATCTCACGCGTTCGTTGGGCGCAGTACGCGGACCTGAGCGAGTTCGGGTACGGCGTGGCGATCCTGTCCGAGTCCAAGTACGGGTTCTCGTGCCAGGGTGACGTGCTCCGTATCTCGCTCCTGCGCGCCGCGACGGCGCCGGACGCGGAGCAAGACCAAGGTCGGTGGCACGGTCAGTGCACAGGGGCCGTTGGTCTGACTGTGGTTGTATTCAGGGAAACACGAATTTTCGTGGGCTGTGCTGCCGCATCAGGGGCACTTCCTCGAGTCGGACGTCCCCATTGCCGGGTTCCTCTTCAACTCGCCGTTGCACGGTACGTGGCAGATACACGACGGTTCATAGCGCGGGCCGGTCCTGACGTCACAGCAGTGCGCGCTATCCCCGCCGGCAGCGAGGATGCCGCGCCGCCGCCGCGCCCGCTGGCGCTGGCGGGCGCGCACAACGTGATTCTCGAGACGCTGAAGCGCGGGGACCTGGACTCGGACGCGGCGGGGCGGCGCACGGTCGTGCTGCGGCTGTATGAGGCGTATGGCGGGCACGCGCGCGCGGATCTGCGCGTGGCCGGGACGCTGCCGGTCGTCGCGGCGTACGCGACGAATCTGCTCGAGGACGACGCGGGCGCGGAGCCGCTCGAGTTCGTGCGCGCGCCGGGCGACAACGCGGCGGCGGACTACGTCGTACCGCTCGAGTTTAGGGGCTTTGAGGTCAAGACGGTGAAGCTGGTGCTGGCTCGGCAAGGGTGAGAGTCCCATCTGTGTGTGTTCGAGCGGTGGCGATGTCTCTGCTGTATTGTGAGTCGCTTTTGGTGCGTGCTGCTTGTGCTCACGGATGCTCGTGCGCCGCGCTCGTCGTTCTGAGCAGGTCGGTGGATTTGTATTCGAGAAGACATGCGAAGAAGGATAGCTGGGTCACTGTGGAGAAGGCCGACGCGATGGCCTGAAGGAATGATCGGGAGTCGGTCTTGGAGACTGCCAGTATACCGCGAAGAGGTTGTACCTGTAACCCTGTATCAACACCTAGGATCTTTGAGAACGCTGTTGCATGATATTTTCCACGTCTGCGGCGGGCGAATTCTGAGCGCCGCTGCCTGGCATAGGCGCCTCCACAGATACTATGTAATGCGGTTCAAAGCAGGAGACCCAGCTAATGCAAGACTTACGACGAAAGTGAGTCTGCAAAATGTTCAGTCGATATAGATAAGTAGGAATTCTCGTAGTACGCTGTGACTAAGGTCCCTACTCTCTTACAGTACTTGGTAGCTATGCTGGCGATGTCGATTACTATAGCTAGATTCTCATTCCACGTCTATGTGAACGTTACAGAGTACGGTTTAACATTGAAGTGACACTCGTGCTTCGTCTCAACACAACTTCGCTAATAAACCCTCAAACCACCGCCAGCAACAACGCGGAAGGACAATGGGCGGCGACCATGCCAAGATCATGCCGTCGGACGAACGATCCCCTGTGTTATGTACGACTCAGATGCACCTCCATCTCTACTCGGAGGCTGGTACGGTACGGCGCTGACCGTGAAGCACTCAAAAACACCGCAAGTCTTGGGGGCTACTATCATACTACTAGAGCGTTTCGCTTTTCGACGGTCCATACTGTATTTCCCGGATCAGATATCCGCTACCCCTGCCTTTCGGTCCGCGGCGCTACCGTAAGTCTGTAAAGTGGGACAGACAGACAGACAGACAGACAGCACTCGGACTTCCTCATCGCGGATCCCGGAACGGCGGAACTCGTCCTTGCCCGTGTGGACACTCGGATAACTGGTAGACAAGACGAGGCCTGGCTTGTCCTCGTGTGGAGTGGGCGAGCACTGTACTAATAGGAAGCTCTTGTCGGCTGTGTTCGTGATCGAGTCGCACAGATCCTCGACAAACCCGCACCCGCACAGGAATATTCAATTTACACGGTCCCATTGCTTAGACCACATGCGGCGGACAGTGCTCTGCCACGCGCACATGGGCCTCGAGTCCGTGCGCTCCGACGTGGGGCCCAAGATCGCGGATCTGACGAGGTCGGTGTACAGATGCCGGGATTGGCGCGTGTTATACGATGCGATGGACGCGGGCGAGGACTGGGCGAGGCAGCTCGGTGAGGGCGCAGCATATACTGTACACACGCAGCGGTCTCCCTGAATTCTCGGGGAAATCATATGGCACGTTGAGATCCTAGTACATACATATAAGCATATGGGACATCGTCGCTACCACCCCTCGTCCATGCTACGCGATCGACGAACAAAAACCCGTAAAAGTACAGTTCCGTGTGGGTTCCGGGCATTCCTGTGATCGGGATATAGAAATGATATAGATATCATACATTGGCTTCGATGGACTTCCTGCTCGCGTCGTACACTCATCCTAATAACGGGCCTTGCCGTTCTGCTCGGCCTTGGGGTAGACGCTTTTTGGGATGGGCTGGTTCAGCGTGGCATCGGTCAGGAGTTTGATGTTTTCTGGAGTGTACGGGGCGTAACGCGGCGAGAGGATAGGCTCCGATCTGGCAGTAGTGGGTCAGTCCAGCCACGGTGAGGTGAAGATATACGGAAAGATGGCTTACTCCGCAGGGATGTCGATCGAGGCTCGCAAGTGCGTGAAGCCATCGTAGGTGTATTTCAAGATTTGATATCCTTCTGTAAGAATGTAATTACGATGCGTGAGAAACGGGCGTCGACGCGTTGACCTGGCAGGAAAGAACGTACGGCCAGATTCTCCGATGCCTGTGAATGGTATCTCGTTCACTGTAGGCATTGGTCGTCAACGATAGTCTTCACAAGGATAACGAACAATGCGCTTGCCAGAGAGCTGTTGTATGGTGTCGTTGAAGATGAGCGTTCCGCTGCGCGTCCTGTCGATGACTGCAGGAATGGAGGGGCCGTCAGTCGGCGATAGCTCTAACATCATTTTGAATATACTCACGCGCTTGCTTTACTTTAGGGTCGTTTGTGAATGCGTAGAGCACAAGAGGATGTGGCCTGCAACGTAGACAATCAGAGAAATGCATGCTGTAGAATGATACCGGCATACCGTTTGTTGATCAGCTCGATACCCTCATTGATATCATCAACAAGAACGATCGGGAACAAAGGGCCAAAAATCTCCCTTTAAACGTAACTCATCAACAACCTTCATACTCAAAAAGCGTAGAGTCACGACGCACCCCTCCATCAGAGAATCATCATCCTCTACATCGACATATACCGTCGGTTCGATTCTGTTGCGCCCATCCGTCTTCCCTCCAATGACAGCCTTTGCCCGCGTGCGCTTCTGGAGGTCCAGCAGCCTGTCATAGTGGAGTTTCGATACGATGCTGCCGAAGCTCTCCGACTTGAGCGCGCCCTCTGGATAGAATGTGTCATACGCGTCTTGGAGACCCGCCACGAACTCGTCCTTAGCGGAGCGGGGCAGGATGACGTAGTCTGGACAAATGCAGATCTGCGTGTTTACAATGTCGAGTCAGCATCATGCACATTGTATTCACTCAGGAAGCGACAATCCGGCGGGATTGGATGCAGAGGGTTTGCGCACCTGGCCAGCGTTGGTGGTCTTTCCGAAGAATGCGCGCTTGGCTGCGAGCTTGAGGTCGCAGTTGGCATCGACGAGCACGGGCGACTTTCCGCCGAGTTCGAGGGTGACCGGCGTCAAATGCTTCGCTGCTGCGGCTGAGACGATCCTCGCCACACTCCCGTTCCCGGTGTAGAAGACTGCACCCCATCACGGCCATCATAACCAGTTGAGTACAGTGATGCGGTGGCTGCAAAGGCAAAAATATGACACACTGTGGTCCCATTTGAGCTTCAGCAGATGTGATACTTCTGGCACGCTGCCGTTGACGACGCGATACGCGGATTGGTCCAGGTATCTTGGGAGGAGCGAGGCGAGAAGGGAGGAGTAGGTTGGGCAAACCTCAGAGGGCTTGATGACGGCTGGGCAACCCGCCGCGATGGCGCCCATGAGGGGTTGCAGAGATAGGATCATGGGATAATTCCATGGCCTGGACAAGATAATGAGAAGATCGTGAGTAGGACACAAAACGGTGATACATAATAAAGCTGCAGAGGAAATATCTTTACTCGATGCGACCATTTCCCGAGAGAAGGCAAGAGATCGCCTCGGGCATAGCCCGAGGTTCCCTCGTCCCTCAAGATAAAAGGACAGTCGCTCGCACGCTCGTCGCAGAAGTAGAACTCACGCGATGATAAGAACCACGCCCTTCGGCGTCTTGTGAAGCGTGGGTGCCCATGGCTGCTGCCACTCTGGGACGGGCACGGGCTCTGGCTTGGCCCACTCGTCCAGCGACTGCGCGCTGATGATGCTGCGCTCTACGAGGGGCCCGATCTCGCCCAGGATCGCCTCCATAGCGGGCTTCCCGAGGTCGGCGTGCATCGAGGCGGCAAAAGCGTCTGAATTTTCCTGCGCCATCCGCGCGAGCTGGTACAGCTGGTGCTTGCGCCATTCGAGCGGCCGTGCGACCCCGTCTCGGAACGTCTTTTGCAGCGTCTCGTAGATCTGTACGCCGCGAAACATTAGCTGGATGCGGGTAGAATAGGAGTGCGGGGCGTACCGAGTCCAGTTCAGCGATGGGGGTGTGTTGCAGAGACATGGCGGATCGAGGGAGCGAGGGGAGATGTCGAGTAATAGCGACCAGGGGAAGACATTGCAATTGCTTATATACTTCCGACTGTCTATGCAATAGAGTGCTTGGAAATGCAGGATTTTATGACCTATTGGCGTGTGGGGCGCCGCTCTGCACATCCGTTCTGCCGCCCGCCCGTTATGACAAGATTATTTTGGGGGAGATAGAAGGCAGTAAATTTAGTAATCTCCTAGCCAATCATCGATCGCTACACTCAAACACGCCCCCTGAAGCGACTCCGAGCCAGGAAAGACGTTGCACTTGGTCTGCACAACCACACAACTCAGGCTGGGGCCTGGAGATTGACCTTTGGAGGAACAATCAATGGCTCGTCTGCCGGTTGCGCCTCAAGATAGCGGTCAGTTCACGATGCGACAGAGTTATCCATTGATTAGATCAGTCGGCTTATGGACATCTAGCCAAGAAGAGAAGCCTTCAAATGGCCTTCGAATGCAATCCTTCAGCTACAGTACAGAGATCCGCAGGAAGTCACAATGGGCCATCTCGAGAATCTGACATCAGCGAGGGGCAACGGTTCTCCGTATGTACGATAGCAGAGAGTAGAGTGTGCCCCCGCTTAGACCTGCTCTCTAGAGGATAAATTGAGGTCACGTAGAGCGTGGCGTCGGCGCCGGGGTTGCGAGCCGATGGAATTTGCTCAGGGCTTTCGGGTAGATACACTCGTGTCTCGGATGAGAGAGTGATGAGAGGCGTAAAAATGTGACAAGATCATGCCTAGACGTCGCCTGACAATGCCCAGCTAGTTGTGGAATTTCCACATTCCTATGTTGGGGAGAATAAAGATGCGCGAAAATATAAAATATAAAAGTCACTCTTACCGCTTGCATTTGTTTTCCCAATCATACCCACGTTACACGGACGATACACTTGTCGAGGCAAATGAGTTTTGCCGTGCTTCTCGCCAACAAAGTCACGGATAACGTCGTAGCGAACGTCGGACGAGAAATCAGCTGTCGTACGCGCCTGATCACTTGCAACACCACTTGGAGGCCGAAACTGACAAAGACAGATAGGTACGGATGAGCTCAGATGCGCCGATATGCGTAAACTCGCTCTAGCCTCATTGAAAATCGGCTGGCGCATCGCAGCGAGGGCATATCATGACTTAGCGAGCGGGGAGGTATGAGCGCAAGGCGAGTGGGAACCTGTGGGAACGAGCAGAGGACGGACATGGACGGACATGGGAGCGGAGATCGAAATGGCACCTTTGGCGGCCGTTCCGCATGTTTGGATTGTAGACCTTTCTCACCACCGATGACGAGCAAGGGCTACTTTCTGAATTCTTTTTGCTCCAGTTATTCTCTGCTTCCTAGCTGCGCGGGGCTTGATCGGTTTGAGATATGATATCGTAGTCTTTGAAGCAGCATTCACACAGCCTCTGCGAACCACCCACTTGTGTTACTTGGTCTGATTGGCGCTTTGCGATCAGTTCTCACATGGCGATCAATATCTTGTCCAACGCCGATTGATCTCCTCTCCACAAACTTTGACCAACTGATCTCGACTCTCCAGCAATCCTGGCACGCGCTGAAATTGGAGAGGTCGTCTAGCAGAAGATGTCTCTCAAGGTCATCAAGACTCGGTTGAAGGGCAACAACGCCCTTCAATTCGCTACGCTGATTACACAGCTCGCCGCGGACGTGTCAAGTTTGGTCCCGTTCCCACCAGCAACTGCAGCTGCGTCGGCTGTTTTGGCCATCCTTGGGACAGTGCAGGCGAGTGAGGTCCATGGTCGTCTGGGTTTCTTCACTCACATCTGTATCTTCAAAGGCTGTCAAGTCGAATCGAGATGATTGTTTTCGTCTTGCACGCCGCGCAGCTCGCTTGCTTATTGACCTCGGTCGTCGAATGGAAGGTAAGTGGGAGAACGCACCCCCGGCACTGCTTGAAAACGTTCGGGAGTTTGAGAGGTAGGAGCTTATAAGTGTTCTTGCATCTCTTTGCTATGTGCTCAATGACCGAAGAACCTTGATTTCCATACGCGATTTCATGCTTGGAGCTGCGCAAGTTAAATGGATCGATCGTTTCCTGCAAAAGTCCGACATTGAGGCCGCCATTTTGGATCATAACAGCCGGTTAGAGGAGGCGTCCCATTCATTTCAGGTTTTTTTCTTGATGCTGTCATTATCTTCTCGACGCTTATCGCGAAGTATCATGAAACAGATGGCTTCGCTTATAGAGATCCAGCACGACGTCTGGCACATGCGCAGCGGCTTCTCTATCGCACAAAATGCGGGTGCATCAAACATCGTAACGTTCCCTAGTGTTCCACCATACGTGTCGGAGGATGCGGCCACATATTTCCCGCCTCCAACATGGACGCCCTTGGATTCATCGAAGGAGGTTGCAGTAGCCCAACACACAAAAGCAACTACGGAGGTTGTAGCCATTGCCGACAGCAGCTCCACCGAAAATTCAAATGCTGCACGGACTGCCCAGACGCTTGCTACCGAAGTGGAAGCTTTTCTCGGGGAAAGCACAGAAGCATGCGACGAGTTTGGGGTAAAATATGCCTCGCGCGTTCTTTTGCACGTCCGGGTTATGGCTGATTCGTTTGTCATGCTCAGTTTCGGAGGTACCATCAGTCTGAGGTCATTCTTCGCAAGTCGAACCGAAGGGGGCAGGGATGGTTCGCTGGGATAGCTGAGGTGGATGTGAATGGCCAAAAGATGATGGCAAAGCGTTATGACGAGCCTACCAAGACTGCAGCTGTCAGGGTAAGTATCACACTAAGCAGCTTTGATATGGTCGGTTGCTCAAGTCAGCACTTTGTAGCGGTGGATGAACGATATCAAGATGTTGCGCACCATCTAGTGAGTTCTTGCCATTCTTGCCATGCACGAGACAGCTAACATGTGGGCTGCCATGAGTCACGAAAATCTACCTCAGATTTTGGGTTACTCAGATGGAAAGACACCGACGCCGTTCATCCTGATGGCCCAAGGTAAGGTTTCTCTACATCTTTTCGTTCCTCCTCCAACCCGCATGTTGAATGCTTATCAATGTCTAGTGCAAATAAATGATGTTCATGCATACGTCCAATCGGCTTTGAAGACGCAGACACTTGCGTCCTCAGCAAGCACGATGTTACGGATGGTAAATCTCATTTCTGATTCGTAACTACATCGCTCATCTCCTCATCTGTAGTATCGTGATATTACTGTGCGTGAATTAAGACTCAAATTGTTGAAACGACAATGGACCTGTCACCCGGCAGTCGGCGGCTTTGCACCTGAAACAACAGCTTTCCCTGAATAATGGTGAACTGCAAGATTTCGTTGAGGTTCGAGGCAGCCTAGTTCCTGGCATTCATGATCTTACCTCGCAGCAGAACGCCAGCTTTTCGATCAGCGAGGATAAGAACATTGTCCTCGGTCTACCTCCTCCTAAAGAAGGAACGTGGCTCTCGTTCCGCAGCTATAGTCTGACAGAGACTCTAGTCGACTGTACGCTCAAAGTAATTAAGCCGATTTCTTGCTCTTCCCAATCTCTGACAATGTATAGCATTTGACAGATCCAGAAAGTCATCCTACATCTTCAAACAATCTCACTGTCCAGGTATAGGTCATCTACATTCACTGTTGGTATGCACTACGCTCATCACTGAAATTGCTGCAGAAAATTCAGCAGCTTAGAGCCTTACTCGAGGCGCTTCTCCCTAAAGCGAACCATGACCCAAACCTTCATCCAAGTCTCGAGGAGCTGCTTGAAGATGTGGGACACAGACTCAACTCTATTACGCTCTCTGCCCTTCGCCACAATTGCCTTTCTCGAAACGTGCACAGCCAGCAATGGACGCACCGGGCGCCATTGGGAAAAAACAACGTGGGCGACTATGGCTATATCCCTGCGGGAGGCACATTTGAAGAGTTTCAACGTCTTGGGAACGTAGTCGACCTGGAACCAGGCACCTTTTCCTTCATTTCGGAAGTCACTGGCAAGCAGACGCAATTTCTGAACGGATTTATAGATCGACAGGACGTTGAGCCCTTCGTGCTTCATGACGGATTGGAGGGGTGCGTCGCTTCCTCTGGATACTTATTTCTTATTATGTTCTCAAAAGATCGATCACTTCAGGTGGCCTACGGCTGTCAGCCCCAGGGCTGAGGTCACAGTGTTTGTAATCCGACGGGTTTATATGGACTCCGTGAACAGTGCTTGGAAATTCTTACTGAAAAGTGCACAGCAAATCGCCGAAAGCCACGGTGTGGATCCACATCAGCTGATATTGAGTTCGTCCAGTCCCCCGATACATCCACATCTCTTAAAAATATTGATGTGCGTCCTGCAGTAACTCAGACGATCACTATAAATGATCACAGAGTGAAGGACTGTAGTCCTCCTCCGCTCCCTATGCCGGGTCAACGCCAAGGCCCTGCATTTCTGACCAATCCGCCCTTCAACCACTCACCAAGTCATGGCCACTCGTTTGGGCAGTTTGGTAACAACCAGGTGTCGGCACCGCCCAGGATCGTGTACCTTTTCACTTCAGCCAGTCCCGATCATAAGGTCTTTTGGACGGATAATCCGATGGGGAAACCGCGCCCCCGTGAGTATCGCTCAACGAGCTGGACATACAGCGGCTCATCCGGATGGTACGCTGCTCACATTCGTCATTGATCATTGGTGCACGGAGAGTCTGACGTTTACTACTTTGATTGAAGGCCGACTTCAGACATCAGCTACATTCAGTTGCATGAAGAGGATTTCGCTGGCTAGGACGCGGACTCTGTAGTGATGCATGGTTGCTTAAACGTACTCTACCGATTGATCAATTCAGTATCAACCCCAACATTCGTTCTTTTCATTACTGAAGAGGCTGCGGCGGTGCCCGACGCAGCGCTTGACACGGAGAAAGGAAACGAGGGAATATCCATCTTGGATTCCGATCACGATTGTACCACTCCTATGTTGAGAGGCAATGCACAAGGATCAGCCACACGGTGGCTTGGGTTCTCGAGATTCACAATTCTATTCTAGATTGTATGAAAGGAGGTCTTCTAACACGCCCAGAAAGCGCCCTGTCATTAGCCATAGCCTGCGGTCAACTCGCTTCCCTCATCTCGACTCAGCACGACATTGAATCAACGACTAGTATGCTCACGCTGTACACGTGGTATCTATGAGCTCTCACAATCATGATCACACCGACAATGCCATATCTTCCTCAACGCTTACAACCATTTCCTTGGACTTGCCTCCCCTCGTCCCCTCCTGTACCCCCATACTGGCGGATGATCTTAATTCGAGAGATACCGAGCCATGCACATGCACATCCCCGACACCATTAGTGTCAAGGTGCGATGCCACCGTGGAAGCGATTCGGTTTGCTGGGGCGGCAGCGAAGGCTGACGTGCTCGAGATACCATGACCTGAATGACCACTCATATCCGACACAGTCTTCTGGCGTGCAACAAAGATGATGATGAGTGTTGGATAAATACCCTATCAACAGCCAGAATGATGGTCAGTGCAGAGCCCGGAGGGCAAAAATACATTCACCTACTGCGAGCTGCATCATTGTGGGTGTGGACATATGGGTCGCTGGCTGGCCATTAGCGACACCGAGACGCTCACTCGCGATTAACGCGATCTGAGAGTACACATCAATATGAAAATGCGCGCATAAAGCTGATGGACGCACCCATATTACACAGTAAAATGTGCCCGACTCAATGAACACAATCATGATCTTCTCAACAGCAGTTCGACGGTGACTGACGGTATTTTGACGGATGGACTGCCTGTACAGCCTATTTTGTGAACACCGCCAATGACGTCGGAGAAGGGACGATCAGATCGGAATAGAATAAATTCATCATACAAAGATTAGGGAATTTGGCTCACCATGCTTTGTATGTAATGGACGAGGTGGCCACCATGTTTGTCACGAGAGCAAGTGGCCAGCTCACTTGTTGTAGGTAACCTGTGATGTCTAATAGATAATCAGACTGCAAAACCACATTCGTGAGCAGCAGCCCTGTGTTTACAAGGTTTATAGCTGCCACGAAAGATATCAGCTTTTAATGCGTATCACAAAGGACGAAGAGACACACCAATAGCACAACTCAGAAGTACCAGATGGACAGTGATCAATTTCTTGTGATCTTGCCATAGAACACAGGCCCTCCAAACGACAATAGCGTCGCTAATGCAAAACTGCACGCTTTGATGAGATGCCATTGCTAAATTTCAAGTCTGATGGGGTGCACGAACGATAACATTCGAGAAACTGGTTCCAATCCCAGATAATATATTTTGCGATAGATTGATAGCAGGAAACTTGTCCTCCAGTGATACATCTAGTTGTCGAAAGAAAAGATTATGAAGGGTGATGATTGTGCCAGCGATATCTATTGCCGAGGAGGCTGTCGAAGCGGCAAACAGAGTTAAGGTCGCAACCAGCATCATTATGTTTGCTCTAGACTCGTCCTTCTTGTACTTCTCACTGAATCGGTCGTGTCATTTAGCACAACAGACTCATGACAGGAAAACTTACAGGAGAAGATAAGTTGATATGCATATCAGAACGGCATGTATTCCTATACAAGGTGATATGAAGTTTCGACGCTTGGAATATACACAACAGGAGAGTCCATACCAAAGAACAGAGTCTGACAGAGCAATGACGCAGTGTCTAGCAGAAGAACCTCACCTACATGGCGAAGGACTTCCAACGGAATGTTCACAGACATTTCCCTGTCAGAAAAGAGGTGGTTGGTTGGATTGGCGTCCGAGTGAGACTTGGGATGATTCGTTTGATTTTTTGTTTAATGAAACTGGGAGAAAAAAGAATGCTCTGAGACACCAGCTCTAGAAAGAGGAAGAAGACGGAGTCAGGACTGTGAGAGCAACATGCCCATGTTTAAAAGGAAAAGCTCCGCTCAAGACAGCACCGCGCTTGTTCTAGATATAGCAGTGTATCAGTTGATTAGGACCTCAACAGATCTAACACACTGCCAGGTGCTCGCGTTGACCGGTGGTATCGGGAGATGGTATCAAAGTCCGGTGTGTCCCACGGAGGTGATCTGGCGTTGTGTGAGTGAATTGAATTAGTGTATGTGTAACACATAGGGAGACATACAGGCATTCGATTTGAATTTGATACTTTACGAAGTGTAACTTGTATATTACACATGCTTGGATTGGAACCGATTATACATACTCGGAACAATTGCTATTGTGCTCCAGATCTTGAGCACAGCGCTCGATTGATTGAATTCGGCATAACGGATTGATTCGATACTTAGCAGAAAGCGTCCATACCTCTGTTATTATGCAGAAAATTTGACAGCATTTGACACCATGATATTGGAGATAGAGGGAGCCATGTAAAATCTCAGCCTTGGCACCATCAGTATTACCGATATCCGGACTTTGACGCTCATGAGCGCTCGAATTTCAGGGAAGTTGAGATGACGCTGCGGGGGTCAGTGTGCATGCGAGGGTTCCTGAGCGGCCTTTGCCGGCTACTAATGAACAACCAGGTCGATATACGCGCGAATATGTCATGAGGTTGACTTAGATGTCTGATCAGCGTTCAAGGGAGAGGCGAAGAAAACAAAGAAAGGGACTCGAGCGCACCCTTATGATGGAGTATAGTGACATGCTCAGGCGAGCCACTAAACTACGTGTTCATCTCGCGCGCTATGAAGCATAAGGGCATGAGAGCGAGCATCACGAGGCGTACTGGAATAAAGAATGGAAAAAAAATTCAATGAATAATCGGGCTGTAATCTCTCGGTTCGCGTTCGCGGGCTGAAGGGGTAGGCGACAAGAGCGGTTGGGACTAGGAATCAGAGAGATGCGGATATCCGGAGACCACGTCGGAGGTTGAAGGAGGATCGCATACGTTTCTGCCTTTGGGAGATCAGAGAGATGTAGAGACAATCAATGTTGCTCGACGCTGCTCAGTACCTCAACCCTCTCTCCATCAGCTCGACTCTAGATGTCAGTGCTTGTCGACGATCTGGGACCGGATGGCGACTCAAACGCGACCCAAATATGTCGGCACTGTATGCGTTCTCGCGGACGAGAAGCAGAGGTCCTCCCGCTGTGGGCGACATCGGTGCCGGGAACGTCTGTATCAGAATAATCCACCATGATGACATGGATAGCAATGTAGACGGAGTTTTCGAGGCATGTGGGATGTCATTAGAGGCTGTGGCGATTAGATGGAGACGGACGGAGTTCGAGGTTGAGCTCAATGCGCAAGCCGATCGGATGTCTCCGTGTAAACTCATTTTCTCCCTTCATCAACAAAGAGTGACTATACACCGCCCATCGCCTCGCGCTATTGCAGTGGCTTCTCCCTTTACACGCTCTGCACTCATATTTTTGGTGTTGTCGCATCACAGGTATTTCAGCAGTCCTGATCATGAGATCTTTCGGACAACCCGATGTGTATTCCTCGGAGAACCGACCTAGACATACAGCAGCTCATCGTGCGCTGCCGACATTCGCCATTCTTTTCAGTGTACAGAGTCTGATCGACAGCCAAGTTCAGATCTCAATTACATTCAGCTCTCTGGAGAGGACTTCTTAACCCGTGTAGCATCAACTCCAACATTCCTCCATCAGTCGCCCCTCACGTTCCATACGACTCACGAATACCTTCGCCGCCTCATCATCCATCCCACCATGTATTCGCGCCGCCTCCACAATCGCACCTCTGACCCCTGCAGGCATTTTATTCGCAGATCTGTACTGAAATATCAAAGACCTAGCACACAATTGAACAGGATGCGAATGCGTACCCTGATATATATATCCATGCGCCTTGGCTCCCCACAAGCTCCCATACCCTCTGGCTGTCTTCGGAGATCAGATCCTGCACATATGTCCTTTTCACCCCAGGTACGTCTCGCGAGCATGCAGCGCGGTACGTGAGTTCTCCGCTCTCCGCGTACGACTTCCATTCGCCGTGGTAGTGCTGGTCCTTTGCGGCCGAACGACACCCGAAATATAGCGTGTTGCCTAATCAAATTTATTCATCAGCTTTGGGAAATTCTCGTGAAGCCAGAGCGGGACATACTTGTTGCACCTATGTGTATACGTTTCTCGAGCAGGGCGCGCATAGGCGCAACGCCTGTCCCCGGACCCACGCATATCACGGGCGTGTCAGTACCGCTGGGCAGGGACAATAGTCCCTTCTGTAGACCGATGCGAAGCGTGTCACCTTGAGAATAGGTGCGTCAAAAGTCAGCTATGATTTCAATATGATCGTGATGCACGAACGAGGCATACCTGGGCGTAGTGAGGCGAGAAACGCAGTGCATACGCCACGTCTGGGGATTTTCAGCTTCGTCCGGTATTGCACGATGGCAACACATAGGTGGATTTCGTGAGGATGGTGCTGATAGTTCGGAAGGAAATCAGTCACTGTCGTCCGGGGCCCAATATGAAGGGAGAAAACACACGATTATGGAACTTGCGATTGAGAACTGCCTTGGTCGCAACGACGGAAAGAGGTCAAAGATATAGTCCTTGGGTATTTTGACATGCCGGAACTCTTCCAGGACCTCACGAATGGTCCGTCGAACGCGTTGACAGTACTCATACAATTCATCCTTTGATGCAATTAGCCGTTATCCTGTCAGCACCGGCGTGTGCGTCTCACTTACCGCCCCTTCTGCAGATACAAAGTCATCTAGTTTCTCTTTTTCCCGCTCGTCAGATGTGAAATGCCGAAGGAGGTTAAAGAATGATCGTTTTGGCACAGCGTTGATGTCCAAGTAACGAGTGAATATGATTCGGAGAGTTGAGACGGATGGTAAATGGTCTGGAAACGTCTGATCTGATGACACCAAAGGGGATTAAGGGCGTATTGCAACAGGTGGTGAGATGATGAGGTATCACCTTCCAATACGCGCTCGATTCTGACAGGATCATCCGCAACGTTCGCCCAGCCGACTGTGATCAAAAAAGCATCGACATCGACGGGTGATGCTTCTGGATGTATCACGGCGACATCTCCAGGCTCATAGCTGAGTGTAAATTCAAGCTGAAGTTAGATACTACTAGGACGTAGATACGCACGAGATATCATCGTCACAGTGAAACTCAAGATGCCGGACATCTTGATACCAATCGGACGCAGTTATACGGTCATTCAGCGTTACTGTAGCTGTGTGATACTCCCTGTCGGTCATTAGGGGATCCTTGTCCTCCGAGATCGTCTCTTCCGGCGTTTCGTGCAACGCGATTCGAGGAGGAGACAGGCTGTCGGCCGAGTACACGTCTATCCCAGGTGGTAGGGGATGGAGATGCGACAGTATCTCTGTGAGATTCCTAGTCCAAGGCTCCAGAGCTCCATCTATGCTATAGATAATAGAATGTTCGATGAATCAAAGCTTGAAACACAGGCATAGTAGCGCACGGGACTCACCCTAGAGGATGCTGATCATCGCCTTCTCCCCTCGCGCATATCTCAGTTGCCCCTAAGCTCTCCAAGCGCCGAGAGACCTTCTTCGATGGCCAACAAAACTTTTCATATGCCGTATCTCCAAGGCCAAACACGGCGTATTCGAGATCCTCGAATAGATCGGATGGCAAGTCAGACCTGAGCAGCATGTTCCACATGGGTGTCATCGAGCGGGGCTCCTTGCCTGTGCCAGTTGTGGATACAACGAATACAACAAGATGTTCCAAGACTAGATCGGTCTGTGACGTATCAGATTTTTCTAGTTGGCAAAAACGGGTGCTGTAGACTGACAAGAGGGTATGCATCCATGCTCATGACACGGCAAACCAAACGTATTCTTCTGCAGCTGATTGCGATCCTGTCCGCAGCATCTTGAGCGTTTCCTGTCTCGGTTGCGTACAAGATGGTGATGTTGCGTGAGCCATGAGGGACTTGTACTGGAGCAGCGACTTCCTGTGAGTCAAGGCTAGTCATGGAAGTTATCAGATAACTCGGAAGTGCATGATCTAAGCGCCTTCTGGGGCCTTTCCAACGTGTGCACGGTTCTGCTGGTCAACTCCTGCCTTTCAACTTTCCGGGACAATGCCCTCACTACCATGGTCTGCGCGAAATAAGCCTCACAACGTTGAAGATGACCTTAAGAGACTGCGCACCGGACTCCAAACGATTCCTACGGAGACGCTCGTCGTATCAGCCATCGTTCTCGGGTCAGTGACTACCCTCGGAAGCACCGCTCTATACAGGCGTTTCTTCAAAAGAATACCAACCTCGGAATGGATCACGCCTAATATCTTGAAGAAGAAGAGGTGGATCAAGGGCGTCGTAACAAGGTGCGTCTGTTCATTTTTCTCGTGTGACTGTTCGATGATACGAGTTGCAGCGTCGGCGATGCAGATAACTTTCGGCTGTATCATACTCCTGGTTTTGGGTGGAAGTGGCCTCTCAAGTTCAGACGAATACCGACTGCTACCAAAGGTGAGTGTTTCTCCGAGGATGACGCTGCGCTGCAATCTGATGAAGGTGCCCAGAATTGGGCGGTCAAACAATACACATACGACTGGCCGGAGTTGACGCTCCAGAGGTGCGTAGCCGTGCATCTGATCAATCCGTCCCAACACTGTAATTCAATGGTCTTCATATGTACAGGCAGCGCATTTTGGTCGCCCGAGTCAGCCATATGCAGAACAAGCACTGCAATGGCTAAAATCTAACGCGGAGGGCAAGACCGTCTATTGTCAGCTCATTCGTAAAGACCAATATTCCCGCGTAGTGCGTGATCTCCTCTTTCAAACCCTCCTGTCAAACTTCTCACAACTGAGTCGGCGTGTTATCAGGTAGCGGTCGCCCTCCTAGCTCCGCGTGTCCTCCCAGGATTTTTGTTCTCCGGGAAGTTCCTGTCGCTTGAAATGCTTCGGGCGGGCTGGGTTGAGGTGTACGAACAAGCCGGTGCCGAGTATGGGAAGTGGGGGAAGGATGAGTTCCTTCGCGCTCAAGCAGAAGCACAGTGAGTATCGCAGATTATGCACACCTTACTGTTCACACAAGGGCTGATCCCGATCCTTGAACCCCGCTTCAGGGCTTCTCGTCGCGGCATATGGAAGTCGGGTATGAATGCTGAATCGCCATCAGAATACAAACGCCGATATCGTGAAGCGGACGCGGCCCATACATCTAAGCCAAGCGCGAAGCCGCCAGGGAAGGAAGAGCCCGCTGGATTTCTTCGTCAGTTGTTTGGTCGTTCAGCTAGCACTACCGAAGCAAAGACAAAAGCCTAGTTTCATCAGATTCTTGACTGGCTGGCCCACGTCGAATAGGGGAGGACTTAATGTAATTTTGAGAATGAAATCCTACAGATTATACCACAGATTGGTGTATGAGGGGAACCACATTGCGCAATAGCAATAGCAACAGTCATAAGTATAAGCATATAATACGAGTGAATTACGCGGTTTGTGGACAAATATTGTCCAGTACTTGCTCGCCGGACTGCGCCGCGGGCCTCTGAGCTGGTGTCATGCCGAACAGCTGAGACATGATTGAGTTGTAAGTCGAGTCAGAGCAAAGAAGATCCAAGAACCACGCACCAGTTTGATCTCCTTCACACTCATCTTGTGCAACTTCATCCCGGTCCCCTCTCCAAGTGCTGCATCCGACAGCCCTAGATACACGCGAGTCAGCCCTTGCTTCCCGAAACCAACCCCGTGAAAACAACTGCACACCTATTTTCAGGTTCTGCAATCGGAGCATCCTGCAGAGAGTTGATACTTCAGTCTTGAAAAAGTTCATAAAAGCAACTTTTGTACCGTTCTTCGATGGTGTTCCTTACCACCAGCCGTTTTACAAACACGTTCTTCTCCTGACCAAGTCGATGTACACGGTCATACGCCTGGGACTCAGCTGCGTAGTTCCATGACAGATCCAAACTGTGAAAGACACCTATTAGAGACCTAAAAGGATAGAATGTGCAAAGAGTGTAGACATACTTTATGACTCGGTTCGCAGTGACAAGATTCAGGCCAACACTTCCGCATTTCGTACTGTTTGTGTCAAATCAGCCCACAGACTCCCGCGTGAGCGTAAAAGGAGTCAAATACCTGATAAGAATGACTTTGGGGCTCCCAACTCGTCTGAAGTCGACTAGCGTTCGGTCCCTCGCCTCTCGGCTCATTTTCCCGTCGTACCTCAATGTCTGAATTCCATACCGTGCGAATAACGTCTCTACCAAGTCAAGCATTGAAGTCCCTGAGCAATATTCATCAGTTTACGACCACTAAAGTTCGGCAGGAGCAGAAACAGTACATTGTGAGTAGACAATGGTCTTGTCTCCGTGGGTCTCCGCTTCTTTCAAGGCGTCGATCATAGCGAGCATTTTCGCACTGGGCTCGACGTCGTCTTCGCGGCGCCAGGTCGCAACCATGCTCGCTGTCGCTGCGCCCGCGCTGCCTTCCCGTCTCGTGGCCTTGCCTTTGCCTTGCGCAGTAGGATCCCTGACACGTGAAATATGTGAAAAACATGTATTTCTGAATATGATAAGAAGCTTACTGTTCGTTAGAGTTTAGAGATGAGGTTGGGGCGCGAGGGGAGGACGGTGGTTGTTCCTGTGTACGATCTTCAGCCATAAAGTACATGGGTTCATCTCAACAGCAGTGACGCACATCATCTGTGCTCTCGTCTAGGTTGACTACAAAGAAAAATCGTCAGTCCAGCCTTACGCTATACAATGGATAGCTGAGAGATACCCACTCATTTTTTGCTTCATCTTCCCCTTCTCACCCACAGTCTTCAATAGCGTCGCAATATCTGGCATGTCGTCGTCGTCGTCGGAACTCAAATCACTCAAATTACCTGAAAATTCTTTCTTCTTGGTCGTGGTGTCCATCAACGAAGAGAACTCCAGCGGGTCGGCGCTCTCCGGCTTCTCAATTTTCTTCTTGCTGCGCTCGCGCTCGGCCCGTACGTATGCCTTCATCTCGTCCTCGCTAGGCTCGAAGGCCGATAGATTGAAGACAGAATTCGCACTGAAGTCGCACATCTTCTTACATGTGGGGCCTGTGGAAGAGAAGTTAGACAAGAAAGAGACTGTTGGAATGTGGAGAAACATACAAGGTCGAAGACCTTTGGCTTCAGCGAGCTCAAACTCTTTCTCGACCCTGAGGTTCTGCTGCTCGTTACCGTACCCACTAGAGTGTATTATTGGAATTACCCTATGTCAGTGTATTGTAAACTCACAACTGGCCATTGTGTGCAATCGGCGCTTCGCGCAAATTCAACAGGCACTCTGCGGACAACCCTCAGATCGCTGACGCCAGACAAGACCAAGATAAGAACTGACCGAAACAGATCTCGTGTCCGCATGTCAGAACTCTGCCGGTGTCGTTGAAAAACACTGTCAGCAGATCGTCAAGCTGTTAATACTCTGAGATGTAAGAGACGCTTGAGCCCACTTACTGTCCCCGCACACGGGACACGTCACATCGTCTTCAGAGCCCTCATCGGTGAAATCGAGCTCCACCGCTCGCGCGTGTTCCAATGTTCTAAATATACAGACCATTGTCAATGTTAGCGTTCAGAAATAGCCCGAATAGCACCGACCGTTTCTTGATCTGAAAAATACAAAGAATCTACTGTGAGTTGATGTCGAGGCGAGGTCCACAGTGGATCTTACCTTGTCGACCCATGCCGGGCCCATGACTCGCTTCGCACGACCCAGCTCCTTGTCGGCGTCACTCGCAAGCAATAAGCTAGGATCCTCGAATCCTTCAGTCTGACTCTGTATATTAAAAGAGCGTAAGGGAGTGCATATACATGCAAAACCAGTGAGCAGCGCACGAGGATAAGATTCGGGTGGCAGCACAGCTGCCGCAGGCGCAAAATCATGACCTATGGACTCGTTTCAGACTGCGGAACTCTGAGCCGAAAAGAGGATGGGACGAACAAGCACGACAGCATGACTGTGAATCAATCGAATTAGCAAACAACCACACAGGTCGCCGGAAGACGTAGCAACGCACTTTTTGAGGATCGTGTTCTCCCTGATGAACTTTCCGATACGGATCTTCGCCCGCTTCTCAAAGTTGTCGTACAGCTATTTGAGCATGAGTACCCAGACGAAGATGGTGGTGCGCGCGGAAGGCATATCGCGGAATTGGCTACGCACCTCGCGTTCATCCGAAGAAAAATCCAGCGTCACTATCTCGATGGATTTCGGAGGAAGCGTGAGGAGCGGCTTGCCCTCGAGCTGCGCGTCCTTCTTGCGGCGCAGCATGATCGGTTTGAGAATCTCTTGCGCGCGGAGGCCTGGTCATGCATATATCCGTCAGAATATGTGTTCTATCGCGGCATATATGCGTACCTGCGAGTGGAGGATCGTAAATTTGCACCTTGCACTGCAGAGCACCCAGTCTATGTGAATAGGGAATCGCTTTTGCCATAATGCGTTTGCTTACGATGTATTCGTCGAAACTCTCCCAATCATTCCACGGTCGAAAATGGCCGAAACGGATAAGCCCGTAGATGTCGGCTCTGCACCCATCGAAAGCACACAAAAACTCACATTGATGTCTCGGGAGGTCAACGGGAAGAGGACACGCACAAGGTGTTCGTGACAGGCGTGCCCGTCAAAAGCCAGCGATATTTGGAGCGCAGTTGAGCTACGGTTTTACTTGAGCGCGTCGCCCTGCATCATCCGAGCGCAGAACAAGAATAAGTGTGAGAAGTCAGAGCGGTAAGATAAAAGATAATGAAAAGGCTAGCAGATGCGACGTGCCTGTTCCGGATGAACTGTGCTTCGTCCAAGACGACGCGGCGCCACTTCATCCTCGCGAGTGGACCTCTATCCAGGCTCCAATCAATAATTAGTATAAACTAAACGACGTGAGGAGCGTACCCGTATTGCTGAAGCCATTTCAGATGCTCATCCTCCTCGACGTCGGGGTCTTTGATCACAAACTCAAGATTAAGTGTTTGGTACGTTGTGATGATGACCTGAAATAATTCATCAGAAGGCCACATGAATGCGAATACTAAGCCTCACGTCTTTCGATCGCATCGCGGAGACTGTCTTGAGTTTGTCTTTGCCGTGGTGGATATGTACATTGAAAATTCCATTCGTTTTCGCCTCAAGCTCCTCTTTCCACTGTACAATGAGATGATCCAAAATTAGATTGAGTACGTATACAGATATAAAGGTTCAAAAAAAAGGCTAGCCTGTTGTAGAAGCGCGGCAGGAACAACAATTAGCGTTGCGCGGATCGTGTCATTCACATCCGGCATGTTCATCGCCATGGTGGCAATCATCTGAACTGTTTTACCTGTCGCACAACCTTTGAGAATCGAGATATCAGGCTGTCAAAACATTTGAAAATCACCCAATCCCATGTCATCTCTATATTGGAGAGTCAACCAATCATCACACTACTATGATATATAGATACGTACGCCAGGATGCCGCCTTTGTATTGACTTTCTTTTTCCTGTATGAGCATCCTGTTCGAATAAGAAAATACAGGCAGCGACGTGAGATGGGACATGGAGATTGATCTCGGAAGGCTAACCAAGTGACTCCGATGATTTGGTGAGGAATCAGACGGACCTCCATGCCGGGAAGCAAGTCTTTCGCACTAATGGCATTGAAATCACACGTCCATGAGTTAATTAGTTTCTTGTGTATCGTGGACACGACAAGGAGAGCTGCGACATCACGAGAGAGAGACGCACTCTTTCAAGCCCAAATACTTCATCCCGTCGCGAACGAGCAACCCGCTGCTCAAATTATCAATACTCTTCGAGACAAATTCCGCGAGGCTGAGGCATTCATAGTGAAATTTTCGGGCAATGAATGAGCAATAAATGAGAAAGAGCGAGAGGGTGATCAACTTACCGTTCTTGTTGATCCGGACCGCCAATATCAAACTGCGTAAGAGAGCTCTCTTTGTCGTAATTCAGTTGAAATGTTCCTGCGCTTCTGAGCACGAGTGGAGAGCTAGAGAGTAACGCTCGTGCATTATACACATCGCCACCGGATTCCAAGCGAATTCTGGTGTCTATAGCGCGCACCCCACACAGCCGACACAAGGAAATGGAGGAGCCTTAATCAGTATACATCTTTTGGTAACTCTCTATTAAATGCTCAAGCACTCACCAGGTGATTGGGTGCTCGCAAGAAGCCCGCTTGGGAGTCTGTTGAGCTGCTCTCTAGGGGTCCCGGATGCACGTCGTTTATTACCAGAACCAGGCGTGCTCGACGGCCCCGGACCCGCCTGATCGTCCCACCTGCGCTTGTTGCCTGCAAGCGCGTCAGGTTGGAGGAAGTCGACATTGACGGGGTCGTCCTCATCATCTTGAGCGTGCAGCGCCGCGAGGATGCGCGACATAGTGGCGGTTGCGAGGCAAGTTGGGGAAAGGCCTCGACACCAATTTGGACAAAGGATCTGAACTCGAGGCGGCCGCGACGCGTTGGTGGCGCACAAATCATCCCGGGTTAGGGTTCCACCGACCGTCCTCTCCTTCGCCTTCGTCGTCTTTTGAATTATTTCTGTGTCGCACGGATCGGCCGCAGCGTCGAGCACGGCGCGCACATGCCACCAGGACCCGCGTTCAATTGGATCTGTGTTGCCCACTCAGCTCTTGACATCCTCAACCATGCCGCGCGCTACCGTGCAGCCCAGCTCTCAAGCCCCTTCGCGTCTCAGTCGGTGCAGAAGCAACAAAAAACAAACGATCATTTTTTCGAGAGGAAACATGAGAGGAATAATGAAGAAGAATCAGAGAAGGTGGCAGAACTTGAGGCAGGTGCGTGTGGAACATATAATCGCATGCACTCGACTAGACATCTTTTGTGGTACACATCTGTTATAGGACCCGCGCGCACGAATCGACGACAAGCAGATTCCTTGAACGATGAACTTGAGACAGTGTCCTCGACGAACATAGGCTATCCGAAGACTGAAGCAGGGCGAGTACAAGCAGACTCGCACTTCGTCCGACCGGACTCGCTGCGACACGCGAACGAAGCATGGATTTCTCAGATATCCATATCTCCGTTCCCTATACTTCCCACTTCTCCGATAGAGCCCGTGATAGAAACCACTGCTCAACCTTCGCAACCTAGCCTCACACAAGCCAAACTCCAAGAAACAGCAATCCCATCTGCGCCTCCGCCAGCACTTCAATCATCTCCTTCGCCTCCAGTAGCAGATCTAAATCCCTCTCTGGCAATCGACGCAGAGCACATAATTCTCTCTTCTGACGTATGTCCCATTGTCTGCACATTCCGCGCTTCTGTTTCGTTCATACTTTCTCGTCTCATTCATATCCGATTTCTTTTGAAAGGAATCGATTCCTGACCTTCCCCCGGCTCGTGCACTTCAATCTTCGAAAGTGCCGTCCTCGCGCCTAGGCAGACTCTTTCACTATGGGGGTGCGCGTCTTCGCTCCTTCCTCCATTGCGCATTTTACGGTCCATTCATCTGACATCGCACTCTTTCAAATCTCTGTATTTTCACACTCGTTTTAAATGCCTTCATTTTCCCTGAACAGGCCTCGCCGCATCTCTCAGCTTCGGCGCCGCCTCGGAGCTTGTCCGTCGCTCGGCCTCTTCCTCCGAATCTGCCAATGCGGGGAGTGGCTCGTTAATGCTGACAGAGGCTAATGTTACGCGTCTCGTGAGCAAGCTGTCGCAGATGCGCGGTGCGGCGCTCAAGATCGGGCAGTTCCTGAGCATACAAGGTGTGTCTGGATTGTCCATCATTGGGGAGCAGTTGTCGTGGAGTCTACGACGTAGTCAACGGATTGACTGACGGTTGTACGCGCGTTGTGTAGACACACATGTGCTCCCGCCTGAGATCGAGCGCGTGTTTCGGAGAGTGCAGAATAGCGCGCATTACATGCCAAACTGGCAAATGGAGGTCTGCTCTTTCTCTTCTCTTCTTTTCTACTCCTCTTTGAGGCTCATGGCTTCCTCACTCGTTCTAGAAAGTCCTGGCTACCTCTCTCGGTCCGTCCTGGCGCACCGCCTTCAGCACGTTCGACCCCACTCCCTTCGCTGCCGCGTCCATCGGGCAAGTCCACCGCGCGGTCCTTACCGCAGATGCGAGCCCAACGGGAGCCGAGGCGCGCGTTGCAGTGAAGATCCAGTTCCCGAACGTGCGCGAGTCCGTGGAGACGGACCTTTCGTACGTGAGCGCGCTAATGAAGGTAGGCGGAGTGCTGCCAAAGGGTGCTTTCTTGGGCCGGACAATTGAGGTGCGCCTTCTCCACCCTCGCCATCATGAACCTTCACCTTATCCGCTGAACGCAATCCCCGCTCTCCGTGCATGACGGCCACAGGTGATGAAACAAGAGCTCGCCGATGAATGCGACTACGCGCGCGAAGCCTCCTTCCTGCGCGCCTTTCGCGGCCCCTCCAAGCTCGGCAACGACGCGCGGTTCAAGGTCCCGTGGGTGTGGGACGGCAGCACGGACCGCGTGCTTGTGATGGAACACGTAGACGGCACAAGCGTCGGCGGGGACACCGTGAACGTACTGCCGCAGGAAGACAGGGACGCGATCGCGGCGCGTATCATTGAGCTCTGTTTCAACGAACTCTTCGTGTTCCGCGCGATGCAGACGGACCCGAACTGGTCGAACTTCCTGTGGAACGCGCGAACGAAGCAGGTGCGCGGGGTTTTATCTCTGTTTTATCTATTTTTAAAGCTGAACCAACTGGGCGCGTCGTGCTGCACAGATTGAGCTCGTTGATTTCGGCGCGACGCGCGAGTACGACGTCGCGTTCATCGATAATTGGCTGCGCCTCCTACAAGCAGCCGCCTCTGGCGATCGCGCGACGTCCATCGAGCGGAGCATTCAACTCGGCTACCTCACCGGCGAGGAGAACGAGGTACGCTATCCCCGCAGCCTCGCAATCGACCTTCGTTCTGATCTTGCCTTGTTCCTGTTACAGATGATGCTCGACGCCCACGTGACGTCCATGGCGCTCCTCGCGACGCCCTTCCGCGCCGACACACCCCAGCCGTTCGCGTTCGGGCCCGGCTCGCGCTGGGCGGAGGTCACCGGCGAGATCCGCTCGCTCATCCCCGTCATGCTGCGGCACCGGCTCACGCCCCCGCCCCGCGAGACGTACAGTCTCAACAGGTGCGTCGCGCGCTGGCCCATACCGTACACCCGCTGATGCGAGAAACGGCTGCAGGAAACTGAGTGGCGCGTTTTTGCTTGCGTCGCGCCTGGGTGCGCGGGTCGATTGCAAGACCCTCTGGGACGGCGTCGTGGACGGGTATAAGTTTACTACTTAGACTTCCGTCTCACGCGAAACCCTACTCGAATCTCTGTCCCGAGGCACGGATGACGAAGGCATCGCACAAGCCACTCGAAACATTCACATGGGCTCGCTGAGCTGGCAGCTTCGTGAAGATGGTAACAACCCCCGTGGGGGCCTCTATTCTATTGTTGAATATAGAATTAATGCGTAGGGTACTTTGTATGTGTAGTCAGGGAAGAGGGCGAGGCAGGGAAGGGTGATATAACAAACCGATCTCTGCTCTTGTTCTTCCCACAGGGATGTGATGAGGCGGTCGTGAAGAGGTACGACTGTTGAAAGTCGTAGGTGCGTGAATGCGTGGGTTATGGGGTCATTGCGTCAATCGCTCAATCGTTTCAGTACGTCCAAGAAAAACAGAAGGGAGAGGTGGGGTTAGTCGACGGTTGAGATGCGCTCAAATATCTTTCTTGGAACCGTCAGAGGCGGAGGCCGCGCGCTTGGAGTAGATCATGTCGGTGAACGGCCTGAGGAAGAAAGACGATGATAGGGCTCAGTAAGAGGGCACGGTGTGGGCTTGTCGACATACCCTTCAAAGCGGAGCGCGATGATGTACACAATGTATACGTATAGCGTAATGAGTAGGCCCGCAGGGCTTTCGTACCTTCATTGAAAAAAACATATATTAGCATACGACCGTCAGGGTTCTCCTGCCAGCAAGAAGGGCAAACAGAGAAGACAACTAAACGAGACGCACCACAACGATGTTGCGGCAAAACACATCGTGCTGCCGACATACATCGGGTCGCGGAGGACGTTAAACGGGAAGCCTTCAACGCGGTGATCCATTAGGATCCCAAAATAGTCCCCGAGGAACGTGCCCGTGATGCCGAGCGCCCAGGTCGAAGTCAGCACGAGCGTCTGACCCACCGCAAAAAGCGCGGCGGGCAGCACGGTCGAGAGGGGCGCGGGGAGGAGAGGGACGGTTGGCTGTTCGAAGAGCGCGCGCTGAAAGCTGAGCGCAACAAAAAATGAGAGCGTCAGAAGGGAATACGACACTGATAGGGAAGAGGGGAAGCGAGGAAAGTGAACGTACAGGTGGTCACGGACCATCCCGGCGACAAAGATGGAGAGCGCGAGGAAATAGCACGCCCTCCGCGCGTTCCCTCCAAAAAGACGCGTGAGGGTCTTGTTCCTATACTCTGGTGTGACCCCCGCAAAACATTAGCTGGCGTGGATGTGAACAGTAGGGTGGGATGTGAATTACATACCATCACGCGCGACGATGTTCCATGCGGTGGGATTGAACGCGATGGCAGCCAACGAGAGGTACAGAGAGACCTTCGAGGTGTCTACGAGGGATTGGAGGGAAGCCATGGACGTCGTTTGAACCGGACAGCGAACGTGGGCGCAGGAGCAAGGACTCGAATAGACGCCCACTGACCAGAACATGGCATTATGTAATTGGCCCTCTAGCATGTGTTTGGTCCAAGTCCCAGACTCCACGCAAAGCGGCCATGTACAGTACGAGTACATCGGCGAATAAGTAGCAAAACAAATGACAGCGAAAGAAGATAGGCTCGAGCGACCAGTCCTCGCTGTCCAGCTTGAACGAGAATCAAGACGCGCATTTTAGTCCCTCCGAAAGCAAATATAACCATCAGGTAGGATTCAACCAAACAATATTAACACAACAATAGACGAAACGGATGATGCTTGGAAGACACGAATCCTCCCGATCCATCATACATGAAGTGATCCACAACATTGAGAAAACACGAGGCCTGTACATGTCCAACGCTCAGGGCACGCCGACGCCACGTGCCCGACACACGTCGCAGATGTACGGCCCTACAGCGAGCGAGCGCAATAGGATGAAACGGGTTTGTGTGCATGTCAGAGGCGCTTGAGCGCCTTCTTGCGTTTTTCGCTGCCAACGACACCAGGCGCCGCGCCGCGTTTGACGGCCTTGGCCGTCCCGGCCGACGACACGTTTGAGTCCGCGGTGCCGAGGGGAGAGGGCGAGAGCACGCGCTCCTTGCCTTTTTCGTCACCGGAGAGAGATGAGAGAGAGGACGAGACCGAGATCTTGTTTGAGGCGGACTGTTGGAGCGGCTGAAAGGGAGGAGATGATGTGACCTTCATTGATGAGATGACAGATGATGCAGATGGTTTCGGAGGATCCAGGGGAGTTCGTTGAGACGATAAGTCTGTTACAGATGCGCTCTTCGTAAATTCTGGTGGTGGCACCTGAAAGGGGCAGCGTGAATTTTTCAGAACCGTCAAAAGAAGGGTAGGGCCTATTTGTCAAGCGCACCTTTGGCGTGGCATGAACGCTCGTGATAAGCTTCGCGCGCTCGCAGTAGCTTTCATAGTTCTCCTGCAGAAGCTTGCCGGCCTCTTCATCGAGTGCCGAATCAGGGTTCGGGTAGATGAGCAGGCATTTTACGGTCACGAGGATGTGCGCGATGCCGTATGAAGACTTCCAATCCTTCTTCAGCGTGTTGACACAGATTTCGCCCGCGTCTGATACGTTTGGGTGGAAAATCTTGGTTGCGAACCAGCCTAGTCAGGAACAGATCTGAGCACAGCTACTCGACGGGACAAACGAAGACAACAAGATGAGATTGTTGAACGCACACTTTGGTGGGGCCGCTGGGAACTCCTCTGTGAACTTGAACTTGACTCTGAAGTACCCGCCCGCGTATGGTGTGCCCTCTGCGATGAGAACAGAACGTATCAGCCACACGCGTCATTTCGTCTCCGCATCAATGGGGACGTGTAATTTAGAATGTAGTGCGTACCAGGGCCCTGAATGATTCCTGTGACATCGAGCATGTTGTCCTCATTCGTGACGGCACGAATACCTTCTGGTGGGTTCGTTCTGAGCTCATTGAGCTCCCGCATGAGACGGCGGAGGACTACTGGCGTGACAGACTATATAACATGGAAGCGTAAACCAGTCTGTTCGGAATGAAAACATGCAGAGACATGTACGCACCATGATGGGAGAGGGGGAGAGTGAGGTGGTGGGACTTGGCGAAGTTGAACTCTGGTCGCCTTTGAAAGGTGTCTCCTTTCCCGATTGGATCTCCGACAGCACGTAACGTCACAATTTGTCTTGTCACGACAGCCCTCTCTGCGCACCTTCTGGTCTTCAGCTTCATCATTCCTCGCTGGCCTCCGTCTCAATGATTTTATGTTGCACTGGCAGGTATTTTTAATGATGCACGCTTTGTTCTCCAAAAGAAAACAAGCTCTGCATTGCAGAAGCGAATCACCTTCTTCTGCTTATCCTGATTCACTAGGCTCAACATGGCCCGGAATCGTATTATCGAGGACCGCGACAGTTTCTGCTGCTCATAAAAGGCAATGGACATCTTGCAGACTGCGCTCCTGTGGGACAATGTTTGCTCTGTGTGAACGACTTTAGCACATCACAATTCTCCGTTGTATGTGCAAGAACGGTAATCAATCATCTCACTCTTCATACAGCCATGCTTGCGCAAAATTTCTCCCGCATGTTCTCCATTTCGCTCACCAAGTATCTCCACGCTACTTTTTCGTACCTTGCTCACCATGACCAGACGTCCCATCTCGTCAGGCCAACGCTTTTTTATAACCTACAGAGTGGTGCTAGCTATATCAGCTTCTCTTATCCTTGTTCTTACTAGCATAGGCAGTCTTCGTGCTTAGCCTGGTCTTCTTGAAGAAGCTCACGATGTGATTGTTCCTGTTCTTGGTCGTTGGGCATTTTTACGCGTGCTCCTTGTGCTTATTCTTGCTGGCTCCACTGTCTAGAATGGTGACGTGCCTCGCCATATCTCGTCGTCTTGCAGTCGTCTTGCTTAACCTGTGGCTACCCCTGCCTAGAACTTGCGAAGGCGTTTGTAAGTCTGCGCGATGGCAGTGTGATGGCCTAGCACCTTCTGACGATTTGCTTTGTGATACATAGTGTCTATATTATTCATATTCGCCCTGCGTTACCGGTGCGTTACCGCATCACTTGGAATTTCATCCCATTGAGCCCGTGCACCGCCGTTTACCGTCAGTGCCACGCTTGTCGAAAGACGCGAGACATGTTCCCGACGAATCTTCCCCTTGAAGATTGACATCGATAAACCCCTCATTCTTTTACGTCTACTGATCTGTCTAGGCGCGTTCTTCCTGCCTTCCATAACACTGGCGCCAGTTCGTTGCTCTCGATGGCTTCCGGAAGGCTGCAAAGAATCCAGCGCTGTCATCAGCTATCGAAATACTCCATACAACAGAGTTCACAAAACTGCCTCCTGGACTCTGGAGGCGGCAGGTTTCTTTCGCCATTCTTCACTGTTGATTAATCTAGGCCATCCCTCATTTCCGTATATGCTGTACCAACAAGAGACCAGCCCATTCACCGAGTTGACTTGAAACTAAAATATACACTTCGAACTCAATCTCGACCGAAGTTTACCGCTAGCTTGGTTTCAAACCGGAACGATCCGGCGCCATCGGGGAGCGGTTCCCCATTGGCCCTTGCGACTACGGCATCATGCCCATGATACGTAGCCAGTACACATTTCTTCTCATTCTAGTTCTCTCCCCTCGTGGGCAGTATAGGTGAGTGGCGATGAGGATACTGGAAGACAGTGGCTGGACGGTTGAAACTCGAGGGCATTGACACCCACTTTCTAAACCCTCCTACCAGTTTAGACGCATTTTCCTAGCACTTGTTGAGGATGTCTACCTAGTATAAGCTAACATTTTGTAGGAGTTGATCATCTATAAAGAATGCCGGCCAAATCCTGGCTTTACCAGATTGGATGAAGGTAGACAAGATGGCAACTTCGCGCCATACACTTCAAGCGACAAGCCGCAACAGCCGGAATATTCTAGAGCGTTGTACCATTGCCACAAGGAACACCATTGGTTAGCTATATCCGACCGGCAATCTCAATCAGGCCCAACGCCATCAGACCCGCCTCCTAAATTTTTAGAAGAGTCCTCAGTGGTAAGCTTGCCACGGTGTTACTGTTTTAGGCGAGTGAATCGCGATCAGGAAGTTGCCGCCGCGCTGGGGCGGCGGAGGTGCATGAGGCGACGGCGAGGAATTCCGTATTCGAGAATGCCGTTATCTACTTACGTGGGCGTTGACTTCGGGGTCATTACTCTGCGCCTTCATCCATAATCAAGAAGATTTATATGCGCCCACAGTCTGACTCTCTTTCTTCCTTCTTACATTCACGACTGACGATCTCTCGCCCAGCTCAATTGCTTAGTATATGCTTAGCAGGCGTTCAAGATGGGTCAAGTTGAACTCATTCTCGGTCCAGTCGTAGTGTCTGTCACTACCAACGTGTTTCTATACGGGATCTGCGTTATCCAGTGGTCAGCATATTATTCAACAACGTTTAAAGACAGAAAGGCTATCCAGTGAGTCGAGTTCGCTTTCGGGTTTACTTCGACCGTGCTCTTAATGGTCGTGCCACAGAGTTCTAGTAGCGTGGGTGATGCTGTTGGACACCTTTCACACTGCAGCATCGGTCTACATGCTGTGGGACTATGTTGTCACAAACTTCAATAATCCGGCATTCCTGAGCGCGGCCCCTTGGCCATTCCCTTCTACTCCGATCGTTACCGCTTTGTATGTGCCGAGTCCTCTTTCATCCGCTGCGACTGCTGATTCCTCTTGTCTGCAGTGCATCTGTTCCAATTCAAATTTTCCTTGCCTGGCGCATCAAGCAATTCTCCAACTCTTGGTGGTTGTTCGGGATGATCGTCATATTCTCCTTCGCGCAGGGCGCCACGGGCTGCGCGAGCGCGATCGGTGCACTGTTGAACCCGAAGTAAGTCGCCTTCACAGATTATTGGATTGTCGTTCTGACATCGTGGGTTTGCTTGCTTGCCTAGTATCGATGCGTTTGCGACGCTCATACCTATCGTCGATAGCTGGCTTTCTCTGGCGGTGTTCACTGACTTCAGCATCACGTACGTCGGCTCTGGCATCTCACTCTATTTTGTGAGTATCTGTACTCAACGCTTTCTTCATTATGTAGCGGACTCCTGCTCTGGTACTTGAATAAAAGTCGCACCGGGTTTCGCAGTAAGGATTTTACTTGAGCTTCGTGCACTATTTTCTAATAGGTTTGTGTGGGTCAGGGACGGACGGTGTGATCTCGCGACTAATTCGCAATGCTGTTCAAACCGCCTTGTTCGCTAGTTTCTTCTGTGTAAGTATCGTGATCCGACGATATACAATTGAAGCGCTCGGCTGACAGTATTCTCAATGTAGATCATGGACCTCATAACATTCGTAAGCGGATATTTTCACTATTGTATCCGCTGGCTAACCTTGTGGCACCATTATACGCCCGCCCGCTGTCCAACGCTGGGATTTAGACAACCCTCCAGAGGACAAACTTCCATCTCATATTTGCTCTCGTACGTCATGATCCATAGTTCTTCGATGTCTTCTAACGCTGTCCTCCCTCCAGCCCATGGGCCGCATCTATACGTACGTGCAGCGCCAATGGCTTTGTTTCTGCGACTGATGCCTTATGTTTTGTAGCAATACATTGATGTCTGTGAGTGGAATGTATTGGATGCTTTCTCTTCATAGCTTATGCCGTTCCATGCATCTTAGACTCTGAACTCTCGCGCCCTCCTCCGCGATCAGCTTGGAACGACGGAGACCTCGTTCAATGTGACCGTGAGTCCTGTGCCTTTGATCTTGTGCCACCTACCTTGATGCTTTTAATGCTTACTTGCACGTTTAAGACTGCCCGTTTCGACAACCGTCAGTTTAACACGGCCCCTCCGACACAAGTAAACGTCACTGTCGGACAAGATATTGCATTGGAATCTTACACGGACACTGACAATTCAAAAATAAACTCAGGGGACACGGCGAGCGCATATGGTGATCCTGAAAGAGGTGAGGTCAAACACGCTGTTCTTTGATAGGCGTGCAACGCGCCATTGTACTTGTGCGCAATCGCACATAAACGTTGACTAGCTTCTCGGAGACTAGACGATGGTAGATACCCTGTTACATTGGTGACTACACATATCACGAAATTTGCATGATCACTTGGTGTGATACTTCGAAGGGTTCCTACGAGTACTGTTATGCTCAAGGCAAACACCTCTAGACTGCTTCCGCCATCACACAGAAGGTAGACTGACCAGCGAGCGGCGACCGGTATTCTGCCTGCCAACAACTAAATAAGCGCGAAGTTGAACTAGCGTTCATAAAGACGAGATCAACCAATGAATGTATGAGACGACACATCTCTTTATTGACATCGCAGAGCTGCATGCCCAAACCATGCAATGCTAAGCGGCTAAGCCTATGAGAGGAGGACAGGCGAAGTGAGGAGTGGTAAAGCGGCGGTTCTCATGGATGGGAGATAAGGATGCATCATCCGTTATCCAAATCACATATGAATCCTACCGACCACCACAACGCACTATCACCTTCCCCTAATACATAGTTGCTCATGCAGGCTCTGAGACACATCTCGGTATAATGAGCCCAAGGAATGTCATGACCTCGGCTAGAACTCTACGAAGGAGATGAGCTCGTTGTTAGAGATGCGAGATACCCACATACAGGAGGGCACAAGCCCAAGGGCAGACACCACCAGTGCGCGTCTGATTATATATACTCTCCTTCTTTTGTTCTCCTATCTCATCCGATAGGCCTCGAATGTGTTCCTTCATTTATCGATCATAACAATAGCGATGTTCGGTAAACAAGCACATCAGGATGAGAGATATGCCATCAGCAGATGGACAGATCTGGGATACAATGATCATTGACACTCGCTATACAGTACGAAGAATACATCTTTGCGGTCTTCACCATGTTATTCAGGGTGTCTAATGACCAGTGGTCATATAAGCGGTACACCTCGGGCAATGCCAGTTAATCTGAGGGTCTAATGCAGTGTAAGACATGAATACGGAGGAATGTCTTGGATCACTCACTGTAAGAATTTGGAACGTCACGACTAATGACGTTGAATCAACCATCCGCGCGGTTTACGAGTGAGTGCCACTTACTACTGGAAACACGTGTCGACGCATGCAGAACAATTTGGATTGTGTCTGTCGCTGAACTTGCATCGTGGATTGCCGCATAGGATCTGCATGTTGGTAAGTACATGGTTCACAGCCTTCATGAAGCGAGCAATATGACCATTTCGTCGGGCTGTTCTGCATCGTCAGTGTTAAGCGGTCCCTATTCAGGTGGCAGCTGACCAGTTGAAATGCGTGTCCGCAGCGCAGGTAAGTGTTTGTGACTCTGAAGGTGTACAGATTAGCCTCGGACCACAGAGAGTCGTATGTTATCACCGAGACTCACATTCGCCAGTGGCACATGTTAGACGGCTTGAATGGAAGTGGGATAAGGATCGAGGGGGAGGAGGAGGAGGAGGAACGAATTTGCAGAACTGACGCTGTGGTCCTTAAAAGGTTGCATAGTCGCCACCAACTGCCAGAAGCACGGCCCACGACGCCGCGATGCCACACATCTTTGAGAATGGGTCTGCGCCACGCTTCTTGCTGTCAAAACGCCATGTCTGAGCGCCACCATGGCTTGATAGCCAAGATTGAAAGAAAGATTAACTCAAAGATTCACGAAAAGAGGCGAGGCTTACACTGAAGAATGTGCTTGACATCACACTGGTAATCAGTCAACGCAAATTTTGAATCAAACGCAATCTTTAAATTGTGTTGTTGCCGCGTCGCTAGATGGAGGGATGTACCGCATGCTTCACTCTGACAATAGGAGATGGGCCTCGAACGTTTCAAGGCCCTAGACTCAGTAGTTGCGGTAGGGAGAGAGGATCATATGCCACTGTAGGCACAGACGACGGAGATCAAGGATGGCGTTCAGTAGAAGTGCCGGGGTCATGTCGTAGAAGTAGTGACGCCATCTTGGCTGAAAGGCCAACAGGATCCTGTCACAAGCGATATAGCCATCTGCTGCTGAATCAGAATACCGCAGTCACGCCACGCATATGTTGATACAACGTTTCGTAAAGAGACGAGGCTGTAACATTTCCGCGAAGAGGAGCGAATCATGTGAGGCGGCGCTTGCACTTAGAGTAGACGCAAGTTGCGCCACGATCCTGATAGCGCACAGCTATAAACCAAAAGTTTGAATTCCGAGAACAATAAGCAAAAGCAAGTATACAAAGACACAGCTTTGAGCGCCGTGGGGTTTGGACAGACGCACCATCGATCTGACAACATCAGTCGACAATCACAGATGACGGAATCGAGTTTCGGAGAAACAGTCTAGAGTAATCCTCGAACGCGCCATAGAAAGTTTGAAGAACGATAGGAGATTGCTATTGTCTGTGTCATTGCCGTTGCAACCACCACGAAGACTTCACAGTTTGAAAAGCTTTTACTGCGGTCATCATCAAACTTCAGAATCACTGAGCGCCTCGGTATCCAGGTCGCTGAGGGCGCGGTCATCGAAAGAGTTATTGATGCGGGCAACGAAATGACCGTTGAGGTCGAAGTCAATGAAGTAGCCAATGAGATCGGGCCCGGCATTGCTACGAACTGGCGCATAGTGCCCCTCGCATCTGCCTCGCTCCCTGGTGCACGCGCGAAGCCGTGGACAGGGTTTGCTCTGATTGATTGACGGGGACGACAAGTGAGACGCGCATGCGTCGTGCGAGGGATCGGCGCCGATCGGCAGCGACGGCGCGGCTCCAGAAGTGAAGGCTAGTCTCATCGAAACAGCGGCGTCGTCCTCTCGTTCGCAAGAGCGGTGCCGGCGCGAGCGCGAGCACGATGCAGCGCACACCTGCGGGCGCCGCGTGCGTCCTGCGGCGCCGAGCAGGGCGGATGCGGCGACGCATGCTCGGGCGGCGGGGGCGTGCGGGAGATAGGCTGTCGACTGTCGACGGCGAGTCGCGCTGGGGGTATTTGGTGCGGTGCAGAGGTGGAGGCTGGCGTGTGCGGGGGCGGGTCGACTGTAGATGGACCTCGCTTCTCCTTGTTAAAAAGTCTGCCGCCGGTAGTATCTCGTCCACGCCCACGCGTCCACACCGCTCTTCCTCGCTGAGTCGTGTGATGACGGAGAGCATACTAAGACGAGGGTCATGCGTCGCAGAGTAGGCTGCCTGCAGGCAGACTGTCGGTCGGAGAGACTGAAAATTGCCAGGAAAGCTCAGGAAAGCCGATGGTAGTGGTCGACCCTAAGCCTAACCAAAGCGCATTCTCGAACAACCCGTCTGCGTCCATCCACCCATCCCCCAGCAACCACAGCTAACCACAGCATCATAATTCATGTACTGTCCGAGACTGTCCTCATACTTCTCCAATTTAATTGGATCTATGCGATATGTGTATAGCTGGCTTCCTTGTCGCCGCAGAAAGCGCTGCTGGAGAGCTATGTCGGATCCAATCTCGAGCGTTTATTGTGAAGAGAGAGGTTTAGACATGTGGAGCTCGGCGTCTACTGGCATGCACTGAACGCTGCTGTACGCTGGAACCTCAAGGTCTCCAACCGACGATACACTCATCGCACAACAGCTGGTGTGTACTTCTGCCAGCATTCTTCCTCAGTTCGATAGTCTGATCGCCCGTAGTAGTTAGTGGAGGACAGGACATACTTGCAGTGCGGGGTAGTCAACAGAGGGAATCGTGATCAACATGGTAAGTTTTCATCGCCCGTGGTCAAGCATTGTCCAGAGATCCTGACGATTCTGTACATCGCGTATCGCTCGTCACTTGCCGTTGATCAGACGGAGCCGACGCACGATATCGATGAAGCCATTCATGGGGATCGCAAAGACCTCGCTCTCCGTCCCCCTGGCCACCCTGGTCGCTCCGACTCTCAACAAACCCTCAATTAACCTGTGGCGCCGTTTCAAGCAGACAGGGCAGTTGCAGGACCTTGAGGAAGCGATAGAATTGGATCGCGAAGCGCTCGCTCTCCGACCCCCTGATCATTCAGATCGCTCCGACTCCCTCAGCCACCTCGCAGTTGACTTGTGGTCTCGTTTTGAACAGACAGGATAGCTACAGGATCTGGAGGAAGCGGTAGAATTGGATCGCGAGGCGCTGTCTCTCCGGCCCCCTGGTCGTTCAGATCATTCCCGCTCCCTCAATAATCTCGCAGTTGACCTGTCTTCTCGTTACGAGCAGACAAGGCAGCTGCAGGATCTGGGGGAAGCGATAGAATTGCATCGTGAAGCGCTGTCTGTTCGACCCCCTGGTCATTCTGGTTGGTCCACCTCCCTTAACAACCTCGGACTTGACTTGCGGTCTCGTTTCGTGCAGACAGGGCACCTCGAGGACGCAATTGAATATCATCGCGAAGTAGTTGGCATGTCCCCTGTCGGATCCTCACGATATATGTCTTGTCTCGCTGGTCTTTCTCGAGCTTTGTTGGCTCGCTTTCAGGCAATATCCAGAGAGGATGATCTGAACGAGGCCTTCCATCTGTTCACCACTGCGACTGAAAGCCGATTCACTGGTGTGCAGCAGCTTTCAACTGCACAATCGTGGGTACGGTCGGCTCGCAAGTTTCAACACAGCTCCCTCCTTTCGGCATATGTACAATGTTTAACCCTCCTTCAACGCGGCCTCACCATTAGTCCCAGCTTGGAGTTGCAGTGGAAATTCCTCGCTAGGAACTCCTCATTCCTTGCAGTCGATGCTGCATCGTCTGCTATTGGCAAGGGCCAGTTGAATATCGCGGTCGAGTTGCTGGAGCAAGGATGAGCCTTGCTTTGGTCCAGAATGAAGGGCTATAGGTACCCTGTCCTACAACTTCGCACCATCAACCAAGCACTCGCTGACAGGTTTGAGACGTCAGCAATCAGTTAGAGCAGCTCGCCACCTCACAATCGCATCTCGTGCCTGATGCATCAGAACGCACCCCACGATTCACCACTGCATGGGATGAACAATGGAAGCAACAGCGTATCCTGTCGGATGAATGGAATGATATTGTCGGACGCATCCGTCAGATCGACGGGTATTCAGACTTTCTGCAGCCAGTGCCATTTGGACGTTTGAAGCACGCCGCCGCGGAAGGACCTGTCATCATAGTCAACGTCTCCTCACACCAATCGGACGCTCTAATCCTTCGAGATGCTACTTCGGAGCCTACCCTCGTTCCCCTCGCGGCCTCATTGTATGAGGGAGTTGACGAGCTTTCCGAACAGCTCGGCCAAGCTCGAGGACGCAGTGAGAATACCCTCGCTGTGGTGATGCACGATATTTTGTCCGCGTTGTGGAAACTCGTCGCTCAACCAGTGGTCGATCAACTTCGAATTCTCGGAGTTGCCGAGGGGTCCAGGATCTGGTGGTGTCCAACTGGGAAGTTGTGTTCTCTCCCGCTGCACGCTGCTCATCCACTAATCACAGGCCAGCGCGGTCTTCCGGATCTTTTCATATCTTCTTATACTCCTACACTCTCTTCGCTCATTTCCGCGAGGGAGAACCTACCTGCGACTCACTCTGGGTACCCCAAGCTCCTTACCGTCGGTCGGCCAGACGACTCTTTACGATGGGTAGATGTGGAGTTGGGAGGGATAAATGACCTCGGGGACTTTGTCGACACCGTTGTCGAGGACCAGGCAACTCCTCACGCAGTGCTCGAGAATCTTCAAAGTCACCCATGGGCTCACATCGCTTGCCACGGTCATCTTGACGATGACCAACCGTTCAGGTCGTCATTCAAGCTCTATGGAGGCTCTCGCTTGACTGTGATGGATATCTTGCAGTCCCGCCTTCCCAATGCAGAATTTGCATTCCTGTCTGCCTGTCATAGTGCTGCGGGCGACTATGTGCATACACCCGACGAAGTGTTGCACTTGGCAGCGGCGTTGCAGTTCTGTGGGTTCCGCAGTGTTGTTGGGACGCTGTGGGGAATGGCGGATGATGATGGGCCAGTTTTTTCTCGAGAATTCTACAAGTACATGTTTCGTCACGGTGATCCATCGAAGATGGATTTCAAGGATTCAGCGATGGCACTGAGATCTGGGATCATTGCGTTGAGGAAGGCCAAAGTCCCACCTCATCGATGGGCTGCATTTGTCCACATCGGTGCATGACGGACGACCGGTATTGGTGAGCACTTTCCATATATTTTCCATGGATGACTTTGTACTGACGAGCATGCGGCGAATCCTTTTGAACAGTAGTGTTCATGCCCGAAGATAGTCGATTTGTGAAGTGTTTCGGAGTCATATCATTCCCCGTATATCGCTTCTCGAGCTCTGCTTAATCCCGTTGCTTTCCTCCGTTAGTTCAGTCATTTTCGCATCCATAGCATCCATTTTGCGCTTTCTTTGCTTACTCGCACCGTTCCTCTACATTGCTTTTCAGATCTGACTGCTCTGCTTCTCATTTACTGTTGCTCGCTCTGCTAACTGCTATTTCGGCCGCGTCGACGTTTTCCTTTCACGGCCTCTGCTTGTCCATGCGGCGAGCAGAATACGATCCCCAATTTTCCGGCCACTCCAGGTATTTTCTTTTTTTTTTGGCTCACAATGTTGTGCTTCTCTGCAACCTCCATGTTCAGTATTTACGATGCATCGACGTTTTCTTCTCACAACCACTGCTTGTCCAGCAGCGAGCAGAATTTGATCTGTAGGCATTATCTATTTTGTTTGGCTCACAATGTTTTTTCTTGTCTGCACTTCCTGTGTTCAGTATGTACGATGCATGACAACAATCTATTATAGCGGCTCATGCTGATTGTCATTGCGGTTCGACTCATTTAGATCCCAACTTTCGGTCTGGAACATACATGAGAAACGAGAGGGCCCACACTAGTCGCAATACACAGATTGCAGCGAACGACGCACGCTATTGACTCGGCGAGGGAGGTACAAGCTGTCGTCGTCAAGTGGACGTATCCTGTCTATAACGCCCCCATATGGCAACCCCAAGGTGCGTATACGCTGATTTACGCTGGTTGCGAAAATTGCAGTTAGTGGCAGAGTATCGCTCCTCTGTCTGATTGTCGATATGCGGTGACGAGCTACAGGACACGAAATACTCAGGAAGACTTAGAGAGCTGTGAAGCGACGGTGATCCCGGCCGGGCCTGTGGTTGTCCACTTCAATGTGAGCTCTAGGAAAGGATCGTGGGTGCAACATGTGACGAATATGAGTTTCCTCAAGCGACGTTGTCGTTATCACAGAGCGCGAGATCTGTGCGCTCAGAGCATGTGCCTCGTTTCTCCTTACTGTGGGTCGAAACATTGCCGCCGGCCATATGTGGGTCGGCGTCCACGTCCACATCGCTGTTCCTCGCCGGGTCGCGTGTCGTGCGTCGCAGGGCAATCCGCCTGCCTCTCCGGTTCATGTTGTGGCATCGGCAGCGCAGGAAGCCGCTTGGTCTGCGTGCGCCATCAGGTTCTCAAGAGAGCGTGGGGACGCGCGAAGGAGTTGGACGACGGAGGATGTGGGTCGTTGGAGCGGCTCCGCCTGCTACGAATGACGCAGCGCCCACTGTGAAGATTGCGCTTCCCGCTATGGTTGAGCACGTCTCGTCTCGGGGCATCGACAGCTCATTCGGGCGGATCCCACCAAGTTAGACGCTACTAGATGCTGTCGGGCTGCGTACTGCGAGTGCTGCGGTGCACTGCGAGGGCGTTCACGGTGGACAGGGCAGGTGTGGGTTGGGTCGTGCGCTGGAGAGGAGGGCAGGTAGACTACAAAATGGTGGACGTTCGCAGCACCTGTTGATATCAACACCGACATAGTCCGAGAATAAAAACAATGATTGCCTCAACTACCTCCTATATAAGCAGATACCCATACACTTCCTATAGTCGCATTGTTTTCCTGCCGTAGAGTTCAATCATGTCATTACATTAGAGACCCGTGAGCGGAGTAGAATCCCCCAATCGCACGCTCTACAATCCACTCTTCTTGACCGGCAAGATCGGTTGCCTGAGGGGCCAGCGATCCATATGTGCCGCGGACTTGAGGAGGGGCGGGTCTTCGAGGCCGGTGCCCTGCGAATATGCCAACAGAAAAAGTGGATAGAGAAATATTGGGATGGGATGGAACAGACCAAGGCGGCGTGAAGTTTCCGCGCGTGTGGACCAGCGTACACGGAGTAATATCACACGACACCCACCACAAAAAAGAAAAGCAAGACAAACAGTCAGAACGACCTTTCCTGCGCGATGCTAACAAAATCACGTACGACCATGGACGCCGGGAAGCCCACGTCGAATGGGAGAGCGGCTTCGAGGTATGCGATCTGCTCCGGGCTGAGCGCGATATCGAGCGCGGTGATGTTCGCCTCGAGGTGCTCGACCTTGCGCCCGCCTACGATCGGGAACACGTGCGTCGTCTTGTGCATCAGGTACGCGATCGCCACTACCCGCCGCCGCCGCCGCCGCCGCACGCACGAATAAACAGACAGCGTCAAGCCGGACGCAGCCAGTGATCCCAGATTCGCGATTGGACTCGTGTCAGCAGCGAGGCACAACAAGAACACTAGAAGACTGCAAGCGACGTACCTGCCTGAATGCTCGTCACGCCGACCTGGCCCGCGACGACCTCGAGCGCGGCGCACACCTTACGCTCGTCTGGAGTGCGCTCCCAGTCAGGGCCGAAGATCACGCGCCCATTCTCGCCTGTTTCGCGACGCACAGCCTCTTCCGCATCTGTGCGGATCTTGCCCGCGGCGAGAACGTCCCAGGGAGCGAGCGCCAGGCCTGATCGGGAGCGTGTGTAGATGGGAGAGACAGAGCGAGGCAATTCATCAGTACTATAGCGCGAAAAAACAAGAAACGCAAAGCGAATCAAAAGGGCAACAAAGGGGGAAACGCAGGAAAACAGACGAACAAAATAAATGCGAACGGATGAAGAAAAGGAGTGAAGTGAGAGCAGCCAAACATAAGATAAAATGAGACGAAACGAAAAGCACGCACCCTCCTCGCGCGCCATCGGAATGATTTCGCGCTCAAAGCTGCGCATCATAACGTTCCACCGGCCTTGGTAGATGCTGAACGGCGTCATGGCATGGTCGCGCGCGTACTGGTTCGCCTTCGCGACAACCCATGCTGGCATATCCTGAAACACACATGCACCATGTCTGGATCAGCACTTCCATCTTACTATCGACATCAGAACGTAGATGAGTTCGCTCACCGACGCGCCCTAAAATCCCATTCCGAATGCATACACGCACGTATACATCAACTCACCACCTTCATCTACGCACTAAGCAAGACACACCAGATAAAGCACCTGCCCACTCAGGACTACGCGGTGCAGTGCGCGCATGGTCTCCTCGACGCTGGTGCCCCAATCCCACCAGTGCACGTACAACACATCGACGTACGACGTGCGCAGCTTGCGGAGCGACGCCGCGAGCGAGATGTGCAGTGACTTGGTCGAGTTGCCGACATAGTTGACTTTTTGAGCAACGCTAGGATCGCCGCGCTTGAAGTTCGAGGTGTACTACAAAGCAAATGAGGAAGGGTGCAGGTCGAGTGTGTGTCGAGGGATGGGGCGCGAGTAAAGGAGAAGATTGAGACAAGTCAGAAAGAATAGGGGAATAAGGTAACGAATGAGAGAGGCAACACACCTTCGTCGCGATTACTAGCTGGTCGCGGATGCCGCGAGCCTCCATCCATTCGCCGATAAACTCTTCCGAGGTTTCATCTTGGCTTTATCAAAACCGCCGTCAGCACTCTTGCTCGTATCCTAACTAGCACGCACACACCCAGCCGACTCCATTACCCCGCATGAGAATCTATTCTTGCGTCCTCTCCACATCTACTCCCTTAAGAGCAAGGGGGAGGAAAGTCACTTACTAGCTGTTCGCCGTATCGATGAAATTCCCGCCCTTCTCATAGTACGCGTCAAGGAGCTTAAAGCTGCTCTCTTTATTCATCGCGCCCATACCCTTCCACTTGTCACCGATGGACATAGCGCCGAGCTGGAGCGGCGACACGCGGATGCCCGCGAGCGGAGAGAGGACGCGGTACCGGCCGAGGCCGGTCGCAGGAGGAGGTGGAGGAGCAAAGAACGACATCTTGACCTTTGGTTTAGTTGTGGTCGAAGAGGAGGTCGTGGTCTAGCGCAGGGATGCAAGGATGCAAGAGGGTGAGCGAGTAGATATTTAAACACGTCTAGGAACGAAGGCAAAGAATTACAACGGGAGGTGGATGTGGATGCGGATGTGGATACATGGTAGATTAGGGGTGACGGAGCGCGGTGGGTCCCATGGAAGCTGAATGAGTGCGTCCCGTCGCTCGCTCAGCAAGCTCACTCAGCTGACCCGGCCTCTCTCCGGTGTCCTTCGTGTGGGTCAGTGAGCATGACCCTGCGTTGGCCAGGCCCACTCGAGCACACGTAAGTCGTGCACGACGCGGACGACGACAACTCTCATCTCTGTAGCTCCTGGTGCTACGGACTCGTTATGAACGCTCACCGTATTGGTCTGCGCTCGGCGAGATTTGCTATACCTGAGGTTCCGTACGGGGATCAGCACGGGTTGCTTCGCGAGCCTGGAAGCACGAGTGCGCGATGTTATCGATGGGGGACGAAAGAGCGAGTGAAGACCCTGCGTCGACATATGCGTGGTGAGCGATGGACACGCGTACGCTGGGAGTCACTATCGACAGGTGTTGGAAGCTATGAGACGTGAGTGGAGTGCCGTGAGTCGGATGTAGTCTGTACTCGTTATTCAACCCTCCGACCGCTGTCGGGGGATACACAAGGCGCGATGCCAATCTCCGTCAACGTGTTTCTCACTCTTAAAGTTTTAAGAGCCAGCTGCAGGCGGGGTATATGTATGTTTGCACTGTGAGGCATGGAGAAGGGGGTTAAGTAGAGAATTGAAGACAGGCGCTCGTCTCATGATCCTCAGTAAAAACGGAATTCAGGTGAACGTCAAGCTCAGTCAAAAAAATGGTCTTTTGTCATGTATCCGTCAAGAAAGTGGCGCGAAAAATCATGCACAAGTCATAAACTGCCAAAATTGGACACGACTTTCACACGACTTCTGCACTGCTTTCATGACGTTCACTTGAATTTCCGTTTTTATTGAGCATGACCACTGCCACGGTCCCGACCCCCCGATGGAGGTAAAGTAGCTAGAGACAATCCCAGAATGTTTGGATTCCTCACCCATCAGCATCGACTGAGACGTACAGCAAACACAAGGAAACCAGACTTCTTGAAAGTCATTCGAGCTTGATCTGACTTAGATTAATTATTCAAGCATTCCATGCTTGTGGAAGTCTACTAAGTTACATAAGTTAGGCAAGCTTTTTTGTCCATTCGCTGATGTGACGAAGGGTTGCTTGTGAGCGAACCGCCACCGCAGTACCACCGCCCGAAATAGACGCCAGTGGCCAGGAACGCGTCCAAACTGGAATCCCGGCAGCTCCCGGCCGCCCCTCATCGCAGCTCGTCCGCGCAGCGTCGACGGAGCTGGCTAACGGCTCTGCCCACCCTCACCATGTTGCCCACAACAGCCCCAGCGCCCTCCACGGTCGTGCGCTACATCGTGCGGAGGTGCGTGCTCACTGCGCTTCAAGGAAGACACAGGCTGACGAGGCGCTGTGGCTTCCAGCTCGGACGTGATATCAGACATGCGCGTGAACGTCTTTGAGGAGGCTGCGGAGCGCGTCGTATGGTACAAGGCAAGTGTTTGTCGACTGTCTCACGCTCTGGCGAGGCGCTGACAGGCTAGAGCCGCCGACAGGAAAGGTTTCTTGAGGACAAGGAGGTGGTCGAGCACATCGTCGTACGTCCCAGCCTTTTCTACAATGCACTCCCCTCCTGACTCCGCACAATCCCTCCATGCGTCTCTGGATGTGGTCGAAAACCCCAGGACAACGCGACGTCGACGACGCTCTGGACGATACATCGCCCGCTGCGTGGCTGGTACATCCGCCTCCGCGCGCCCTCCTTCCCACCACACACCTACATCTCCCTCCTCCCCATCCCCCGTTCCTCCCCATATCACGCGCAAGCAGCCCTCACCTTCTCCTGCCGCACCATCGCTCCGCACCCCGTCCGCCCCTCGCCCTCCATCCCGTCCGCCACAGCACCCCCACCCCCGCCCGCGCCCACAGCAGCGCCCACCTCGCCTCCAGAACCCAAATCCTCCCTCGACTCCGACACCACGCTCTCCCCATCGCCAGACGCCGAGTTTTCTCCAGACGACGCCACCGCCTCGCCCCCCGAAACACCCGTCAACTCGCCCTCGCACACGTACCCCCCAGCACCGACTCCGCCAGCCATCCGCGTCTCCCCGCCCTCCCCCGCCTCCGTCCGCGCTAAGCTCGCTGCCCTCTCCGGCACCACTACCGACGCAGACGCCTCTACCACCGCCGCCGCCGCACCCGCACGCTCCCTCTCCCTCGCCCAGGCAAAGTCAAAGGCAAAGGCAAAATCGCGGCCCCAAATGCAGCTCACGCATTTCCTCCTCACGCCACAGCAAAGCACCGAGCCCCCGCCCCCCGACGCAGGCCTCCTCGCGCGCGCCCTGCGCGCCTTCAAGAGCACCGCGCCCTCCGCCGCCAGCAGCTCCTTCACCCTCGCCCCGATCCCCCCCGCGCCCCCTCCCGCCCCCACACCCGCACCGCCCTCCGTGCCCCCGCCGCTCACGCGCGCGCCCCCCGCGGCGCCGGACGTCCCCGCGCCCGAGCCGGCCCCGCGGCCGCCCCCGCCCGCGCTGCTGACCTTCGCAGACACGACGCCGGTGTTCACCGTGCGCTCCTCGTCCGGCGTGCTCGAGCTCCGCGCGGACGCGCTCGCCGCGCTCGGCGTAGACGCCGCGTTCTGGGTCGCGCTCGCGCTCGCGTACGCGGACTTTTTGGGCGACCGCGACGTGAGTCTCCCCCTCCTCGAACCGCCGCTCGGCTCGCGTCTTTTGCTTCCCCCTCGCGACGTCGGCGGGTTTCCCTTTTCCTTTTCCTTTTTTTTTTACTTTTTTTTTACTTTTTTTTTTTGTTGGCCGGCCCGCTTTCGTTGCTCCTTTGTCTGTCCGTCTGACCCTCGCGCGCGCTCGCTGACCCCACGCGGGATGACTCCACAGAGCTACCTCGCCGCGATCTCCGACTAACCCACGATCGGGCGCCGAGCGCGCGCCTGCACTGCCTGCCTGCCTGCCTACACTGAACCGCACCACACCACGCCGCACCGCATCGCTCGACGTCCAGCCCGCGTTAGCCCCCCTCGCGCGGAGACTGCGAGCGATCCGATCCGATCCGCGACCCCCCACCCCCGCCCCCCCGCCCGTATTTACGTATTTACGTATGCTAGCGTCGCTCCCGCCGCGACTATTTATTCATTCGCTCCGTTCGCGCTGATACTGTACCCCCCGTGTGTGTGTGTGTGTGTGTGTGTGTGTGTGTGTGTGCGCGTCCCGCGCGTCTGTTGGCTTCGCGCTGGGCTGGGCTGGCTGGCTGGCTAGCTTGCACGCACCCGATCGCGTCCACGACAGTCACGCGACCCGTCTCCCGTCTCCCGTCTCCCGTCTCCCGTCTCCCGTCTCCCGAAGCCCAGCGAAGCCCGCACCGTCTCCTCGCACGATCCGCCATCCCCAGCTTCGGCATCGCGTCCGCGCTTATCGGTACTCGAGACGATCCCGTCCGGGTATTATATTCGCTCCGCACGTGAACGCGAGCACTGACGCGTACGATACAGAGGGAAGCACCGAGGACCGCCGTCCGCGCGAAAGAGGGCGCGGCGCGACCGAGCGAAACGAGAGAGAGAGAGAGAGAAGGACGCGCGAATCGTACAGGACAGTACAGTACACAGTACATACATACATGCACACACCCACTCGAAAGCATTAGCAACCCCTTGAAAAGCAAAAAAAAGAAAAAAAAAAAGCAAGAACCTCCTCCTCCCGCTCACCCAAGACACGCCCCGACCCCTCCCCGCCACCCCGCATAATTCGCCCACACCGTCGCCCCGCGCTCATACTCCCCCGCGCCCGCCCCAGCGCCCATATCCCCGCCAACGAGCACCCGCACGCCCTCCTTCCTAAACCCCTCCCTAACCGCCCACACCTCCTCCCCACGCCCACCCCCCCCTCCGCTCCCCCCATATCCTCCGTACCCCGCACCATACCCCCCGCCGCCGCCGCCGCCGCCGCCGTACTCCCCAGCAAGCGCAACGCTCTCCAGCGCAGGCAGCATCCCCGCGCGCCGCGCGTGCAGCACGCGCACGGGGAAGGACGGCACGCCGGGCGCGGGGGCCCCGAGGGCGGCGGCGGCGCCGCGCAGGACGAGCGCCGCGAGGCGCGCGTGCGGCGCGCTTGGGCCGTGCAGCGGCACGCCGAGCGCGAGGCCCGCGCCTGGCCCCGCGCCTTGTCCTGCCTCGCCGTCCTCGTTGTCGTTGTCATCGTCGTCCCCGGCGGCGCCCGCGCCCGCGCCCACGCCTGCGACTCCGCCGCCGCCGCCGCCGCCGCCGCCGCGGGCCGCTGCGCGCGCAAAGTCGAGGGCGAGCCACTCGAGGCGCGGGAGGCGCGCGAGGAGGGTCCAGACGTTGAACGCGGGCCCGGCGTGCGCGAGGTGCGTGAGGGCCGCGAAGCCGTGGCCGGGCGCGGCTAGCTTGGCGCGGAGGGCGGGGAGCTGGGCGGGGCCTGCGAGGCGCGGGAAGCGGGCGGTGAGGAGGCGGAGGGCGGGGAGGGGGAGGGACCAGGATGTTATGCCCGGGACGAACTCGGCGCAGTCGAGCGTGTGGAGGGGGTGGGTATCGGTGGGGAACGGGGCGCGGACGGGCCAGGATGTGGGGAGGGTGTGGAGGAGGGAATGGAGGGGATCGGTGATAGAGGTGGCGTCGGGGATGGAATGGAGAGAGCTGGCGTGCGCTTGCGGGTGCACTGCGGGCGGAGCGAATGCGTCCGGGGCGTCATCCTCGCCCTCGTGCGCAGGCTCGCAGAGGCCGGCGAAGCGCGCGACCTCGAGGCGCGGGAGGCTCGCGACGAGGGCCTCCGCGTGGTCTGCGCGGACGGCGATCTGGCCCAGTAGCTCGACGCGGCGGAGGGCGGGGGCGCACGCGGCGAGGCAGGCGAGGAGGGAGCGCGGGACGGGGAAGTAGTCTGCGGAGAGCGGGACGAAGTGGAGCAGGGTGCGGCGCGGGGCGAAGCGGACGGGGACGACGAGGGACGCGACGAGGACCTCGAGGTTGGGGCACGCGGGGAGGAGGCCGAAGAGGGTGTGCCTGCCCACGTGCCAGCCGTCGCCGGCGTAGGGGTGCGCGCCGAGGTCGAGGTCGATGCGGCGGACCCACCAGCCGCGGGCGGGTGCGCCGGGTGCGGGGGCTGTGCGGAGGCGGGCAAGGAGCGGGGCGATGTGGGCGTAGTCGCGGAGAAGGAGGACGTCGTGGAGGAACTCGTCTGCGAGGGCGTGGAGCTGGCGCGAGGTGAGGGAGAGGGCGCGCTTGGTGGCGAGGGAGGCGGCGAGGGCGGCGTAGAGGGCGCCGCGGTGCTCGTGGAGGATGTGCTGGGTGGAGGTGTCGAAGGCGTCGGGGACGAGGGTGGCGTCGCGGAGGATGTGGCGCAGGATTTCGGGGGGCAGGAGTGCGAGCATGATGAGAGAGAGAGGTGGCTGCTGTGGGATGGGACACGCTGCTTAAGAGTGCGCCTGCGGGTGCGGGGTCGGCTACTGTCGGCTTTCCCGGCTCTTCTCTCAGAGGATCGTCCTTCGGCCCGGCGCTCCCTGCCAGTTGCAGCTCAGTTGCCCTGTCCCACAGCGCCGGAGAGTGCCGGACACGTAAACACAGTAAATTTAGATGATCATTTCTTACGGCTACTGGAGGGATACACCTATTGGCACGAGCGGTTTCTTGCACGAGCGGGCCGTGCGCAAGCAGAAGATGCGATGTCGCATCAGCATACTCGCTGGCAGGCACAGGGCTCAGCGATGCCTCGGAAATCTAGATAATTTCAAATGTTTTCGGCCGAGATATAGTAGGCCACCCTCCATCTCTCGTGGGAAAAACTCCGGAAGGGCATTTTGACTCCCTGAGTCTGATTCTGAAGTCGGTTCGGTGTAAAAAACCGCGTCCGGCGCTGTATTACCCCAGATTACCCCAGGCTATTACCCCGCACTCGAGCGCCCTCCCTGAGCGTCGACGCCTCCGACACGGACTGCCTCTGTCACTTTCCTGTCGCCTGACTGGCCAGTGACTGGCCTCAACGCCCGGATCTCAATGCGGCGTCCCTCCATTCATATCTATCAGCCCTCAGGGTGCGTCATATCGCACGCCTGATCCCCGCCCCTGCAACGCTGCCCTGCCCTCTTCTCCCTCGGATCCGCATGACCCACCCTCTGCCCCTGTCCCCTGCGAACGACCAGCTCGCAGCTCACCGAAACACGCTCGAAGCACGCAGCCTGACGCCGTCCGACGCCTATCGGGCCCATCCACAGCTCATCTGGCGGATCCCGCCGAGACGTGTAGGACCGCACGCAGCGGGAAGCGCGATCCTCGCCTTTCCCACAGCAGGCGCCGCACCCTTCGAGCCACGCCACGCCCACCCGTAGCGGGCAGGCTGCGCCTCGGAGAAGGCAGAGCGGCGCCCACGATACACATTCCCCGTCGTCCGACACGCTTCGCGCGTCCCCACGCCCCTCGCGGGAACCTGATGGGGGCGGCCGATGGCGCACACGAGGTCCTCGCGTCTTCCTGCGCAGCCGACGCCGCGTCGTGCCCGGAGAGCCAGCCGCACTTCTGCGACCCACGGCCCACGGCGCACGGCGCGCGCGACCCGGCGGGGAACGGCGGCGTGGACGCCAACACGCGTATGGCCGGCGGCAATGCTTCGCGTTTCTAGACGACGTCGTTTTGACTTTGCACAGCCGGCAGAAACGAGGCGGGTGCTCGCCGCTCAGAGCGCTCGGATCTCGCGATGCCGCGACATGCAGCTTGGCCGCGCAAGGAAACTCGTGATCGATGACGTGGGCCGCATCCACGATCACGGTCCTCTCCTAGAGCTCATACTTGTTGGAGTCGACGGCCACGCGGCTGGGATCATCGTCTCTGCACAGCTCTCCAGGTCTCCAGGTGAAAGAATCTCGTGTCCTTTAGCTCGTCGCCGCATATCGACAATCAGACAGAGGCGCGATGCTCTCCCACGAACCCCCCTTTTCGCAAGCAGCGCCAATCAGCGCATATGCACTTTTCGGGGTTCTGGTGAATGCGATCGAATATTCTCTCGGGGCTGTCGCTCCACCTTGATTCAGCATATGGCCATGAGGGTGCGCCATAGACGAGATGTGTCCACTTGACGACGGCGGCTCCCTCGCCGAGTCAATACACAGATCGCAGCCAACGACGCACGCTATGGCGACTGGTGTGGCCCCTCTCGCTTCTGACGTATGTTCCAGACCAAAAGTTGGGATTTGAATGATTCGAGCCGCCATGAGCTCAGATCGCTGCCACAAGCACAACATCGCAAGCCAAAAGAAAAAAGAAAACACCTAAGAGCGTCCGGAAAATTGGGAACCGTATTCTGCTCGCCGCATGGACAAGCGGTGGTCGCGGAAGGAAAACGTCAAAGTGGCTGGAACAGCAGTGAGAGCGGGTAATGGTAAATAGAAGCAAAGCAGTCGGATCGGGCAACCAGCGCAGAGGAACGGTGCGAGTAAGGAAAGAAAGCGCGAAAACGGGGGAAAGGTAAACATTAAACAGAGCTCGAAAAGCAGAATGCGAGAAACGAGATAATTTCTAAACATTTCACAGAATGGCCTTCTTCATACATGAACACGGCTGTTGAGAAGGATTTGCGTCGCCCTCGCTGCTGCTGCTACCGCCGATACCTCGCGCACGCGTCGCTCGTCGTCCTTGCCGCCCCCGTCAATCAATCAGGGCACGCCCTCTCCACGGCTTCGCGCGCGCACTAAGGAGTAACGCAAATATGTGGGGCCCTGCGCGTCAGACGTCCCTCCCGGGGGGCCCAGCTCGTGTCTGCCGTCTTCGGCGTCAGCATCGCTTCTTGCTTCATTGTGCATGTTCTCTGCGGCTGCGCCGATTCAGATCATCATCGCGATTTTGTGTCGATGCGTGTTTCTACTACACACATTTGTCTACCCATCGAACCTATAGATACAATTTTCACTCACGATCGCCGAGCATCCACTCGACCTGTTAATCTTGCCCGCCCGTCCTACCGCATAGCGGCTGCTTTCATGTTTGCTGGCTGCCCCTCGTCTCCGGCCAAGTTTGAGACGAGGGCTCACCGGGAATATCAAGCTACGGACACTTTGTTTACCTTTTGACGTGAGAATTGGCACTGGATCATAGCGCCGCCACTGAAGTGCTGTAATAGGATGGTCTGAATGATTTGACAAACCCAAGAACAATAGATTCAATTTATGGAACAAAATGCTAACAAACGAGGGGTGCGGACGAAGAGGGTGCGAACTAGATGTGAGGTGTATCACCACTTGGGAAGTTCGTCGACCCAATCAATGTCCGGGATCTTGTTCAGTATCTAGTTGATGAGATCCCTGCGGGTGTCAATGGCGTCTTCGAACGCCACCTTGGGGTCCCACGACGCGTTGAGATTTGAATCTTCGTGATCAACCCAATCGTCCAGTCCGATGACACATGGCAGTTTCACCTGCATGGACAAGCAATGGTCGGGAAGAAAAACGTCGGCGTGACTGAGAGAGCAGTTAGCAGAGCGAGCAGGAATTAAGAAGCAAAGCGGTCGGATCTGGTAATCAGCATAGAAAAACGGGGCACGAAAGCAAAGAAAGCGCAAAATGAAGAAAACAGCAACGGCATTGAACAGAGGTCGAAAAGCGGAACACGAGGAACGAGATGGCTCCGTGACACTTCAGAAAACGACTTTCTTCGAGCATAAACACTGCTGTTGAGAAGAATTTGCGCCATGCTCGTCAGTGCAAGGTCATCCATGGAACCCACAGTGTGGAAAGTGCTCACCATTACCCGTCGTCCGTCATGCACCGATGTGGACAAATGCAGCCCATCGATGAACAGGGACGTTTGTCTTCCTCAACGCCCTGATCCCAGATCTCAGCGCCATCGCTGAATCCTTGAAATCCACCTTGGTGGGATCACCATGGCGGAGCATGTACTTGTAGAATGCTCGAGAAAGAACTGGCCCATCATCATCCGCCATCCCCCACAGCGTCCCAACAACACTGCGGAACCCGCAGAACTGCATCGCCGCTGCCAAGTGTAAGACTTCGTCGGGCGTATGCACATAGTCGCCCGCAGCACTATGACAGGCAGACAGGAATGCAAATTCTGCATTGGGAAGGCGGGACTGCAAGATATCCATCACAGTCAAGCGAGAGCCTCCATAGAGCTTGAACGACGACCTGAACGGTTGGTCATCATCAAGATGACCGTGGCAAGCGATGTGAGCCCATGGGTGACTTTGAAGATTCTCGAGCACTGCGTGAGGGGTCGCCTGGTCCTCGACAACGGTGTCGACAAAGTCCCCGAGGTCATTTATCCCTTTCAACTCCGCATCTACCCACCGTAGAGAGTCGTCTGGTCGACCGACGGTAAGGAGCTTGGGGTACCCAGAGTGAGTCGCAGGTAGGTTCTCCCTCGCGGAAATGAGCGAAGAGAGTGTAGGAGTATAAGAAGATATGAAAAGATCCGGAAGACCGCGCTGGCCTGTGATTAGTGGATGAGCAGCGTGCAGCGGGAGAGAACACAACTTCCCAGTCGGACACCACCAGATCCTGGACCCCTCGGTAACTCCGAGAGTTCGAAGTTGATCGACCACTGGTTGAGCGACCAGTTTCCACAACGCGGACAAAATATCGTGCATCGCGGCAGCGAGGGTATCCTCACCGCGTCTTCGAGCTTGGCCGAGCTGTTCGGAAAGCTTGCCAACTTCGGCATATGACGAGTCGGCGAGGGGAACGAGGGTAGGCTCAGAAGTGGCATCTCGAAGAATCAAAGCGTCCGTTCGGTATGAGGAGACGTTGACTATGATGACAGGTCCTTCCGCGGCGGCGTGCTTCAGACGTCCAAATGGCACTGGCTGCAGAAAGTCTGAATACCCATCGATCTGACGGATGCGTCCGACAATATCATTCCATTCATCCGACAGGATACGCTGTTGCTTCCATTGTTCATCCCATGCAGTGGTGAATCGTGGGGTGCGTTCTGATGCATCAGGCACGAGACGCGATTGTGAGGTGGCGAGCTGCTCCAACTGATTGCTGACGGTCTCAAACCTGTCGGCGAGTGCTTCATTGATAGCGCGAAGTTGTAGAACAGGGTGCCTATAGCCTTTCATTCTAGACCAAAGCAAGGCTCGTCCCTGCTCCAGCATCTCGACCGCGACATCTAATTGGCCATTATCAATAGCAGACGATGCAGCATCAACTGCAAGGGACGACGAGTCCCTGGTGAGGGATTTCCACTGCAACTCCAAGCTGGGGCTGATGGCGAGGCCACGCTGGAGGAGGGCCACACATTGTACATATGCCGAAAGGAGGGAATTGTGTTTGAACTCGCGAGCCGAGCGCACCCACGATTGCGCAGTTGAGAGCCGTTGTCCCACACCAGTAATTCGGCTTTCAGTCGCAGTGGTAAACAGATGGAAGGCCTCGTTCAGATCATCCTCTCTGGATAATGCTTGAAAGCGAGCCAACAAAACTTGAGAAAGACCAGTGAGGCAAGATATATGTCGTGAAGATCCGGCAGGGCATATTTCAACCGCTTCCCGGTAATGTTCTATGGCGGTCTCGATGGCCTGCAGCTGCCCTGTGTGCTTGAAGCGAGAATGCAGGCCATTTGCGAGGTTGATGAGAGATTCGGAGCGATTCAAATCACCACGGGGTCGGAGAGATAGCGCTTCGCGATTCAATTCTATCGCTTCCTCCAGATCCTGTATCTGCCCTGTCTGTTCAAAACGAGAGTGCAAGCAATTTGCGAGGGTGTCCAAAGGAAAGGAGAGATCTGGACGACCAGGGACTTGGAGAGATAGCGCTTCGCGATTCAATTCTATCGCTTCCTCCAGATCCTGCACCTGCCCCGTCTGCTCAAAATGAAACCACAAGCAATATGCGAGATTGTTGAGGGAGTATGTGCGATAAGAATGACCAAGCGGTCGGAGAGACAGCGCCTCCCGGTCTAATTCCATTGCTTCCTCCAAGTCCTCCAGCTGTCCTGTCTGCTTGAAACGAGAAAACAGGTCAATTGCGAGGTTGTTGAGGGAGCTGGGCCGATCAGGATGATCAGGGGGTCGGAGAGACAGAGCCTCGCGATTCAACTCCATCGCTTCCTCTAGGTCCTGCAGCTGCCCTGTCTGCTTGAAACGAGTCGACAAGTCCGCTGCAAGGTTGACGAGGGAGCTGGACCGATCTGAATGACCAGGGGATAGGACAGACAGCGCTTCGCGAACCAATTCTATCGCCTCCTCTAGGTCCTGTAGCTGCCCTGTCCGCTTGAAACGAGAACGCAAATCAATTGCGAGGTTGTTAAGGGAGGTGGAGCGATCAGAATGACCAGGGGGTCGGAAAGTGAGCGCTTCGCGATCCAATTCTATTGCTTCCTCTAGGTCCTGTAGCTGCCCTGTCTGCTTGAAACGAATCGACAAGTCCGCTGCAAGGTTGACGAGGGAGCTGGACCTATCAGAATGACTAGGGGATAGGGCAGACAACGCTTCGCGATCCAATTCTATCGCTTCCTCTAGGTCCTGCAGCTGCCCTGTCTGCTTGAAACGAGTCCAAAAGTTCATTGCAAGGTTGTTGAGGGAGGTAGAGCGATCAGAATTACCAGGGGGTCGGAGAGACAGCGATTCATGATCCAATTCTATCGCCTCCTCTAGGTCTTGCAGCTGCCCTGTCCGCTTGAAACGAGAGCGTAAGCTAGCTGAGAGGTTGCTGAGGGAGCTGGATCGATCTGAATGACCAGGGGGTCGGAGAGACAGTGCTTCGCGAACCAATTCTATCGCTTCCTCTAAGTCCTGCAGCTGCCCTGTCTGCTTGAAACGAGTCCGTAAGTCCACTGCAAGGTTGCTGAGGGAGGTAGAGCGATCAGAATGACCAAGGGGTCGGAGAGCGAGGGCTTGGCGATCCAAGTCTATCGCTTCCTCTAAGTCCTGCAGCTGTCCTGTCTGCTCAAAACGAGACCATAAGTCAAATGCGAGGTTGAAGAGGGAGCTAAAGCGATCAGAATGAGGGGAGGGTCGGAGAGACAGCGCTTCACGATGCAATTTTATTGCTTCCTCCAGGTCCTGCATCTGCCCGGTCTGTTCGTAACGATCCCGCAGGTCAATTGCGAGTTTGCTAAGAGAGTCGGAGCGATCAGAATAGCCAGGTGGACGGACAGCGAGGGCTTCACGATCTCCATGAATGGTTTCGTCGATATCGTGCGTCGGCTCAGTCTGATCAATGACAAGTGGGGGACCATATGCGGTGTCCAGAATGGTCAGGATTTCTGAAAAGAGCTTGACCGCGGACGATGAAGACTTACCATGCTGATTACCCTCTGTTGACGATCCTGAGCCTAAGTATGTTGTATCCTCCACTAATTACAACGGGTGATCAGACTATCGATCAGACTATCGAACTGACGAAGACAAACTCATGATAGTCACATACCAGCCGTTGTGCAATGAGTATATCGTCTGCCGGAGACCTCGAGATTCCAGCGTACAGCAGCGTTCAGTGCGAGCCAGTAGACGCCGAGCTGCATATATATGTGCAAACCCAAACATCTCTCCTTGCTACAAGCGCTCGAGATGATCCGATATAATCTCCTCTTCAGCTCTTTTCACACGCGGTGAAAAGGAAGCTAGCCACACATATATCGCATGGATCACTCGCTGAACTTGGACACGCCGACAGTGCACGAGTCACAAAGATTTATAGACTTCGAGCCACAGACCTAATGCCTTTAAACAACACTGAACCGCCGCTGATCTTCCGATGCCAAGCCTGAGCTCGGTCCACGTTTCACAGATCCAACGTCCATCAGGGCACAGCGACAAGCCCAGCAACGTAACACGACTGGAGGAAGTTGATCACAAAACGTGAGAGCACGGAGTTGTCGATGATCCGCAGCGATGCCGAACGATGCCGGCGCTGATGGAAACCGCCACCCGACGCCAACGCCGCTCTTGGCGGCACTCCGACAGTCTCCCAAACCACGTCGATGCAAGGCGCATATAACCACCCAACGCATGTCTGCGCAGACATTCGTCGCAGGCTGCCCTAGGTTTCCTCGGTCGGCGACGCGCTGCTCCTGGATCGCTTGGCTGTCTTGTCCATGAATCCGCCCCACAATGTACGAGAAAATACGACACTATCTGTTTCATCACCGCCTCTCCGTCTCCGTCAGTCTCCGTCTCCACGCTGAGCCGAAGCGTCCGTGTGTAGAACCATCCGATTTCGATCACTTTTTGATCACCCGCCCTGGATTTCTCGCTCGCCGAGCCGTGCAATCCATCATGCATCAATTGGCGCACTGTCTTAGGCTACCTAGTCTCCAGGGCAGTTGTTCACGGCATGGGCGAAATATCTTGTCGCCGTCCACAGAGGCGTGCGTTACTGCAGCTTATCTATAAGAACGCGCGCGCAGCTGCACCGCGTCGCTATTCGCTTTTGCCTTTATTTCTGCCTGCTTGACCGCCCGTTCGCGTGTCCTTTCCTTCCTTTCCTTTCCCCGCCCTTTCGTTCTCTCGCCGCTTTGGTCGGCCCATTGTTCGCCTTCGCCTGCTCCTTTGCTTTGTCTTCAGCAAGTCTGTTGATCTATATTTTATCGGACCGCCGGACATCATCATGCGCGCGCATACACACACGATCGGGATGGCTGCTGTCGCGGCGTGCGCTGCGTCTCTTATGAGTGGGCTCGGGGGCGTGAGGGCCGCAAACGACTGGACCGTTCCTTGCGTGCAGGGAGAGTGCTCTTACGACGTGTCATCACCGGACGGGAATAACGCTGCTACGCTGAAGATCGTGCGTCCTCACTGTCTCTCTCTCCCCTCTCCTCGATTGCTCATCTCCCAAACACTTCTTATTGTCTCGTTTGCACTTGCTTCTCCTTTGGTGGAATGGTCTCTCCTCAGTGGGGTGCGTCCGACGCGATTTCGGATATTACGCCCGCGGCGGGGTGGCAGATCCTGTCTTGCGACCCCAACGGCATGGATCAGGACATCCGCCTCGTGTGCATGCACGACGACGCGAGCTGCGACCATCTCTTAGAAGGCGGCGCGGAGAACACCATTGTCCGCTTGCCCGAAACCGTGCGTTGCCCATCTCTTCCTCCCCATCCCCCCCGCGTCGTTGTAGTGTACGACCGGGCCGTAGCATGTGCGAGCAAGTAAGAGACCAACACTGACTGACATGATGCCGCGCGCCCTGACAGTGCGCCCAGATGCCGTTCGCGCGCGTCGCGCGCCAGTGGACATCGCAGGACCAGTCGCTGCCAGCGGCCGTCCGGCGGAACATCGTCAGTCGCGCCAGCTCGCCCGTGGTGCACGCGCTCGCGCTCGACACAAACTTCGCGGACATTGACCCCTCCAAGTGAGTGCTCCGCGCGCTCATCACGATGGGGTTCTCCCCCTGCGCTTCTGCTCTGTATTGACGAGGGAACGCGCACGCGTGCGTAGGAAGGGCAACGTCTCGTTCGCGGCGCAGGGCTCGACGATCGGCGGCGTCGGCGGGAACTCGACGGCGCAGAGACGCGACCTCCGTCATCTGTCGGTATTCTCGCGCAAGCACCGCCGCGGTTTCTTGAGTTCGATCGCCGACGCCTTCAAGGGTGCGCTCGACTCTATCAAACGTGCGTTTCTTCGTATTCTCCCGTCCTCTCCTGTTCCACTCTCTCGCCACAATAAAACGTGACATCTGACCGCCCTGACCCTTTTTCTTCTCCTCCCCGCATATATTCTGGAGAACAGAGCTGGACGAGTTCAACAAGACGCTGGACAAGCAGCTGCCGCCGATTGACTTAAACAAGTCCGCGAACCTGTTCAATGCGAGCGTCAGCTGCCCCGCAAGCGCGACGAGCCCCGCGGCGTTCGACGCGTCCGTGAGCGTCGACGTTACGGGCGAGGTGCACGCGGTGGTAGACCTCGGCGTCGCCGCCGCAGGGACGATCATCCCGCCGAAGGTCTCGCACTTTGCGCTCATCGCAGGTGCGTCATCTATGTCTTTTTTTTGTGCGCCGCCCCCAAATGCGTGGGTGTGCGGGTGCGTGTGACGTACGCGACTTATTGGCGTTCCTGGGGCGGCAGGTCTCAATGCCAACGTGGGCGGGACGCTCGACGTGTCCGCGAACGCGAACGGACACCTCGACACGGGCGCAATCAAGCTCTTCGAGGTCGCGATCCCCGGCTTCGACATTCCAGGGTGCGCACGCCCCGTCCTCTTCTCGTATACTCGCACGCTCGCTAATTCCTGAGACTCTGTCGTTGCTTGCCATCGTCGCTTGCGCGATGTAGCATATTCACGATCGGGCCGTCGTTCAAGCTGAATGCGCAAGCAACCGGAGACCTGAACATCGACCTCGACATGAAGGTCGACATCGCGTACACGGTGAACAACGCGCAGCTGACCTTCCCGCCCGATCAGGGCGCCAGCAAGGGCGTATTCAAGCCAGCAGACAGCAGTGCGTGCCGATTTGGATTCTTGTTTCGCATTACGTTTGACGAGGGTCTTTGCGCGTGTCTTCCTTTCTTCATTTTCCTCGTTTGTATTTGTGTTTGTGTTTTGCGCGTAGATCTCGCGCTGTCGGCGAGCAGCAACCTCAACGGCGACGCGACGCTGGAAGCGCACATCATCCCGACGGTCGACGTCGGGATCAGCTTCCTCGGCAGCGTGGCCTCCGCGACGGTCTTCCTCGACCTCGACGCGTCCGCTACGCTGGACATCACAGGCGCGGCGCAGGCGAGCGCGGGCGCGTCGACCAAGACGGGAAAGGCTGCAAGCGCGAGCGCGCAGGGCTGCGTGGACCTGAGCTCTGGGTTCGACGTCAACGCGGGCGCGCAGGGATCGTTCTTTGGGCTGTTTGATAAGAGCACGCAGGTCACGCTCTTTAGCAAGGACTTTGAGCTATTCCAGGTGCGTACTCGTGCTCGTGCTCGACGTCGCGGCGCGGTGGGTGGGAGTCGTGTTGACGTCCTCTTTGAATTGGGCGCATAGAAATGCTTTAACGCGTCGACGGGCAACGGGACGAGCGCGGGCAAGACGCAGACCAGCACAGGGTCGAGCGCTTCGTCGGCGTCTACGGCTTCGGCTTCTGCGGGCGCCAAGGCGCTCTCCATGAGCCACTCTATGTCGGCCTCGAGCGCAAAGTCGACCGCCATGATGTACCACTCTACGTCCTCCAGCGGAAAGTCATCCGCATCGTCGATGTTGCACCACTCCGCGTCCGCCAGTGTCACGTCTATGGCCCACTCGACGGCCTCCAGCTCAAAGGCTGCCTCGAACGCCGCAGCTTCCGCGCACGTCTCGTCCTCTTCGATGGGCCACTCCAAGTCCAGCTCCCAGAGTACCGCGTCGGCCGTTGCGTCGTCCGCCGCACCCAAGGTGACGAGCATGAAGAGAGGCCGGGTAGGGGCACGGGCGCTGCGTAAACGCGTCGCGTTCACGTGTCCCGTCGGCGAGCCCCCCGCCTCGTCGCTGGTTAAGACAACCATCAAGGCCGCTGAGTTCGTGCTCCCCTTCGCTTCTCCGTTCGTCATCTGACCGCGCGAGCCTTGCCTTGACAGCCAAAAACCCAAGACCAAGGCATGAACAACGTTCGACGTGCGCGCACCCTGATGCGTTGATGTTCCATGGCGACGCTTATTTATTTATCCTTATTCTTGGGGCATTCTTTCCTTGTCATGATACCGTGGGCGCTGTGCTCGGTTATACCATGGACTGCTCTACCAGCGTGCGCTTTGATGTTGTAGCCACGGACCTGTCTATCACTGTCTTTACAAAAGCAGAGGCGTGTGTAAGAGATGCAAGTTTCCGAGACGCTATCTGCCTTTTAAAGTGAGCACTGTCGTACGTCGGTCGAGTAAGATTGAAAATTACAGAAATTCAATGAGGTTGGTGTGGATGGATGCTACAATGAGGTATACAATGCGCCCCTAAATATCGTCAAATGCTTGGTATCGTAAATATATCATCGCGCTCCCGCATCATCATGCGCTGATCGTCCCGGACAACCTTCCGTCCCGACTGCTCGCGCCGATTGTGAGTTTTATCGTGCCCTGAGGGCGGCGCCATGACTGTGCCACGACGTCCCAGATGGACAGGTCGTATCGCGAGAGCGTGAGGAAGACATGCTTCTTCTCGCCCGGGTTGAGCTCGACGTGGGTGAAGCCACGTAGGACGGACGGAGGCTCAGCCGCCGAGGCCGGGTGGTTGACGTACAGCTGGGGAATCTGGTTCGAGAAAGATTAGAATCAGCGAACGCGCGGGAGGGAGAGGACGAAGGGGTGCGCACCTCGCCACCGTAGACATCACCGACGTTCTGGATGGTGAACGATACGTTGTACGCAGGGCGGTGGAGCCAGAGCGCGGTCGAGGAGCCGACTCCGCGAGGGCCCGGTTTGCTCTTTGCCCAGTTCGCTTCGAGGTCTGCGTTTTGGTCATGGCTGCTGTCGATCTTCTTCACATCGATGTTAGAGTACTTGAACTTCGTGTAGCTGAGTCCGAAGCCGAATTCGTATCTCGGTGTGATGTTTTTCTGCGTCGATGGGAGGTATGTGAGAAGAAGCAGACATGGGCGCAGCATTGCTACTCACAGCGTCGAAATGCCTGTAATCTATGAACAGCCTGATGGACGGAAGTGAGCAGCTGCTATCTAGGGATAACTATCATTGTACGTACCCCTCAGTGTATGGGATGCTCAGAATATCGCTCCCGCTCCCGCCGGTGACAAGTTGCGCGGGGTAGTCCTCTGCGCGCTTGGCGATGGTATAGGGAAGGCGACCAGTCGGATTCCAGTCGCCATAGAGTACATCGGCGAGGGCATTGCCCGTCTCGGTAGCAGAGAGGCCGGCCCACACGACGGCGGTGATGTTGGGGTGATTGATCCAAGGCTCAACAATCAGAGGTCCGACTGAATGCGTCACGACGATGGTGTTCTTGTTCTGCGCGGCGACAGCCAGGACGAGCTCGTCGCCATTGTTCCAAGCTGTAATATTGTTCCTTCGGATGATCAGATAGAGGAACTTGGGGGTAGTAGCGGGCGAAAGTAATCTACCTGTCACCGACATTTCCGTCTACAGCGGCGATGTTTTCGCCAGAATCAGACTGAATGAACACGATAGCTACGTCTTTCAAGGCGGCAGCGTTACTTGCGCCTTCCAAATCCCAGTCGTTCAAGAACCACGACAGAGTCGTGTGGTCTTTGCGTGCGCGACCTTGGATGGCCTCAAGTGGCTAGAGGAGGAGCTACGTGAGCTGAGAACAGCTTGATCTCCTCTCGAGATTAACTCACAGATACGAGGTACGAAAAGTTCGCAGACCTGTGAATTTCAGTGAGTCAGGAGGTCATAGCGGTGCACAGGCTGAGACGTACCCTGACCCCCAGCCTACACCTAGGACGCCGTTAACACCGCCCTGGTAGGCGAAAGTGTTTGGCCCCAAGCCAACACCAGGACCTGCGTCCGTACCTATGACACGCGGTGTTAGACGTCTTGAACTGATAAACAAGATTACGACTGCTTACCAACTAACACCATGCTGCGAGGTTTCTTCAATGGCAGTGCTTTCTTCGTGTTCTTCAACAGCACTGTGCTCGCCGCACCGATAGTGCGCACGATTTCAGCGTGGTCACCCTGCACGTCAATGTGCTGGTTCGTCGCTTCATCATCAGGGTTGAAAGAGTTGAAGTTGACTGCCGGGAAATCAGAGTCTTGCTCGAGCAGATACCATGCGGCCAGGATCCGGGTCGCCATATCATCCAGACGCGATTCAGGAATCGTGTTGTTCTGAACGTATGCCGTCAAATTGGCGCCAAAGTATGAGTTGTTGAGGCCGTCAAAGTTGAGATCGCCTGGCATGTCCATATCTAGGCCGGCAATGGCAGCGATCGTCGAGTGGGTTCCTCCCCAGTCAGACATGACGTCTATAGGTGTGTTAGTGGTGTTCGACCGTGTGACAGCGAGTGTTCACATACAGCCCTGGAAGCCGAATTCTTCCTTGAGTATGTGGTTGAGGGTGTAGTCGTTCTCGCAGGCGTACGTGCCATTGACGAGGTCTACCATTTATCGGTAACGCAGCAACTAGAAGGAGAGAATGACACATACTATAGCTGCACATGACACTCGCAACTCCTGCCATGACACTGCGAAGGAATGGCGCTGCATACAGCTCGTGCTGAGCCCTATCATCGACGTTCGAGCTTTCTTGCGTTCGCATATTCTCTTGTTCGCTGCAAAAGGGGTATCGGTCATTAGTTGATTGTTATCGTTCTAACAAAACGTTTCTGCGTACTTGTTGATGTAATGCTTCGCGCAGGCTTGTACGCCAGTCGACTGCAGACCCAGAATGGTCTCATATGCCGCTTCGCCGCTAAGGTATGGGTCCGCGCCAAACCCTTCCCAGTTGCGCCCGCCTTGAGAGATACGGCCCAGGTTCATCATAGGACCGAGAGCAACATTGATACCTTTGCCTCTGAACTCTTCACCCATAGCGAGACCACGCTGGCGAATCAGTGTACGATTCCATCTGCAAGAGAAAAATGAGAACGAAGTCAAGAGAATATGAAGCCATGCGTACGTAGCGGCAGCATTGATACCGGCAGGGAAAGCCGTGGTGTAGTCTGCGCTCCGCACACCAAGCGGACCATCCTGTAAGCAGAGGCCAGGGAAGTTCTTGACAGCGCCGATGTTACCAACGCAGAGGCCATTTCCCCATCCAGTTCCAGTTGAAAGAGAGACCTTCTCTTCTAGGGTGAAATTCGAAACCTGTTGGACAGTTCGAAAGTCGTCAGACAACACCAAAGACAAATGCTTTCAGACAAGCAGAAAGAGAAGATCACGTACCAATTTTTTTGCCTTCGCGTAGGCAGAAGTCCAAGCTGGGGCAAAGTCCGGGATCACAGATGGACTGCCCTCCACTGAGGGAGGGTGTTTGGGCGACGTGGATGGGTAAGCTTTGGGGTCAGGTGCGACGGAGGAAGGCGAAGGGAAAGCAGAAAAAGTGTAAGATGATATGGGAGGATGCAATATGGTACTTTCGAGAGGCGGCTCAGTCGTTGATCCAGTAGACGAAGAGGATGAGGAAGTCAAAGAGGATGAGGAAGGTGAAGAGGATGTTGCGTTCACAGACCACGACGCAGTGGAAGTGGGGAACGTCGAGGTTGTACCATTGCTGGCATGAACGGAGGAGACGGACGAAAACACCGAAGTGCCGATCGTAGACGCCGTGGACGCGGACGCGGACGCGCCGCTGACAGTCGTAGACGCTCCACCGGACTTGGATGTCGAGGAGGAAGAGCCGCTGGTCTGCGCCAAGGCATTCAGAGCGCAGGAGAGCGATATAAGAGCGAGTGTCCTCATCGTAAAATGAGCAAAGGAGAGGGCAAACACGCTGAAGGGAGGGTCGACGCGCTGGAGATTAAGAGCAATAACCCCGCAGTCATGTGACCGCACATCTATTTACCCCACCGCTTACCAGCGCCGATCGCCCCTGGACGCCTCGCCAAACTCTTACCCCAGCTACGTAGATTCGGAACGAGATCCCGAACTTTTTATACTGACAAAGGTACTGGATCGGCGGGCTGGTTAGTTTTCGGTATGCCTCTTGGTCATAAGGCCGTATTTTTTCTTGGCGAACTTGGATTTTGGGATCACGAGCGCTCGGAAAGAGGTTCAAGCCAGCGCCCGCATGTGCCTACAGCGAACGATGATAGGGCAAATTTAGTTAAAAGAATATGCGGAAGGAGGCCAAAGTTGAGTAGACCTCGTCCAGGAACATGCGAAAGGCCTGTCGACCGTATGTCAGAGTGCTTACACCGGCGGCGCAAGTTGATTTATAATAGAAACTGTAACTAGAAACCAGCAATAGTAAAAAACGCCAACATGTTCCCAATGTCATTACTCACCTACACCCACTGCTATAGCTATAACAACGTCATCGTAGCAGAAGATGAAGTCGATGTAGAAAATAGGACATTTCGCCACCCTGTAAGGCACCGAATGCGAAATCAGCTGCCTAGAATCAACGATGCGCTTAGGGCTGATCGGGGCGAGTAGATGAGGGCTGCGGCCGAGGGCGGAGAGCTGCGGAGAGCTGCGGAGAGTTACAGAAAGTTACTGACTGTAGCAGGACCCATATCGGTGGATATAGGAATAAGCACAGCGATAGAAAGCCATGTGATAGCTTCTGACAGTCCACCAATCCGACTGTGTCCAGCTCAGACTCATACTTCATCACCGATAGGGCGTCATATTACAATTTACCCCTCGGAGGCGCCGAGTAGGCAAGAAGGCATTTGGATCTACCAGTGAGAATTACCCACAACAATATTTCAAGGCACTTGGTTCTCCAAGTCCCTTAGAAAAACTTTTGAGATTCGGATTGCGTCAGACTAGGTCAGACTCGACGTAGTCAAATCAATAACGCTGCTCCGTACCTTTCGGCCGATAATTGGGAGGTTGTTTGCGCAAATGACGTGTAGAAAACTCCAAATAAAAACTCCCATGCTTGGCTACGGACGCAGGAATCAAAGGCGATCACACCTCTCCCGGCAATTCCAGATCTTTGGGCATATTCAAAAGCCGCCCTTCCATGCCTCCTTCAATCATCAGTACCTGCCCTGTGACATGCCCTGAGACCTTCGATGACGCTAAGAGCACGATTTGATTGGCAATATCCTCGGGTTCAGCCACCTTCTTGAGTGGCGTTCTGTACGGCGATGAGAAAGGTGCAAAGGACGGAAGGCAGAACATGAGCAAAACCTACGTCGCAAGAGCACGATAGACAGTCATAGGTTGCTGGAGAGCTTCTTCTGCCATGGGCGTCTTCGTCCATCCTGGAGCAATACAGTTTACTCGTGCGTTTGGTGCTATTTTAACGATTTCGTTTTTCAATGACATCGTAAGGCCATACATGATAGCTGTTTGCCGCGTTAAGGTCGCTTTCAGTGATTGGAGTAGAGCATTAGTCCCAAAGACGACGCACCACTTTTGCACGCAGAATAGTCGGCGTGTCCTGCTTCGCCGTACTTCCCCGCCGTACTTCCCACCAATATGATCGCAGCGCGTTCCCCAAAGCGCGCCCCCTTACCGCGGCTCATGATTCCCCTTGATAGCCCGCGGAGATACTCTCTCGCCACTAGAAATGAGGATGTCAGGTTTCCATTCATCGTGTCGTTCCATTGTTGAAGTGTCATGTCCTGAAGCGGAACATCGGCAGAGGTATATGCGCCATGGTTCACGATCAGGATCTCTACAGGACCGAAGGAACTGTTGGATGATGAGATCGAGTCTAGGAGGACCTGCACGTCAGGCTCATGGGACAAGGAAGCCCGGGCTGTGCGAAGACGTTCAAAGTCGTACACTTCACGAAGAGGTTGAAGAGTGGCATCGCTGCTCCGGAAATGAGCGGTTACATTTGCTCCTTGTTCTAAGTGTCAAGGTGGTGAGATCAAGCCCGTCCAGGTTTCTTCGTAAAGAACAGAGCATTGGAGAGGGTAGGTAATTTACCTAGAAAGATTCGCGTAATATCAAGACCAATTCCGCCGCTAGCGCCTAGCGGAAGTCAGCTAGATTCCGAACCAGAAAAGCGTCTGCGACACGTACCAGTAACCAAGACATGTACCCCTTTCAAATCAAGATCCATGAAGACTGAGACAAAGACGAACGGATAGAATACTGTATCCAGAGCAATCGTGATTCGACACACATGATGTGTATAGGTAGAGCGCTGAGGCCTTACATAGGGTTGACCTGTATGACTCAATCTTTCTGGTGCGAACAGAGCCAAGCTGTCAGGGCGTCGGCAGCCACGGTGACTTGCCGTTTTCGGACAGACCAGAGCTTTGCTCAAACCGCGGTGGCCCCGCTTTGTCGCTGCTTTGCAGAACATCTGAGATCTGGGATCATCTCTCCGGTCTTGCTCAGTCATCAACGTGATCAACTTCTACTTTTAACCTTGCCACTCACTGCTAGACATCCGTGCCATGATGATTGATAGGAGCGTTGTGCGTCTTGTCAGTCGGAAGCCGTCTCCGCTTGGACCCTGAAACCACGGTCGCGCTAAGACGAGTAGGATCGTATCGGCAACTTGGTAAGCGCATGTTTGACTGAGTTAAATCATGAGTCGAGACCGAGAAGCAGTCATGCATTGAAATCAGCTGTAGATGGTTTCTCTTCGGCACAGCTCACATCGCACGTCTGGACATCTGCACTGGTCATCTCCGTTCGTGCTATGGGTCACAATGACGATATGAGCAAGTGTCTCCGTAGCTTGAGCGTCACCTCAGGCAGAAGCATCGTTGAATCAAGGACAGTGTTTTTGGAAATGAACTCAATGTGGATGCGTCTGATAATTAGGATCAGCAATGCGACTCATCCATAACGTGGCGTTACTCACACTTCCAGCTCGGTCCAAGCCTCAGTGGCCTAAGCGCGTGTGCCACGGTCCACAATGACATGATACTCTTTGTTTCCAAACCGCCGCCGCCAACACCCATGACTTGTGGCTATATGAGGCTTCCTATATCAACCTCATCCGTATCTCAGAACGGCCTGCTTTACCACCACCTACCGCACCCCCCGAAATGTCTCTGCTACCAGCGATCCGTGTCTTCCAAAGATCCGACATTCTGTTGAAGATAATACGATATGCCACGGCTGCTCCATCTATCCTGGACACCTCTTATACAAGTACCCAAAACGAAGATCCTCACGCCATGCGGAAGTGCATGATGGAATCCCTGACTACAAAGCGCGCGCTGAGCCTTATTTCCCATCACTTTCACGCCGTGACCGACCACGTTTTATACGAGTTTTTGGTTGTGCGCTCTCGTCGTGATAGGTACCTGAACATCCACAGTATACCGGCGTTCAAGAGACAACTTGCGGGGCGTCGTGAGCCAGCGACAGTCGGGCATCTCGTACGTGGCATTGATGTTGAATGCGAGACGAACAACATTTGGTTGCGTGGCATGTGGGACGTCATCCGCGCCTGTCCAAACCTCGCATGTCTAAGGTATACTGGGACCTATCGGCCTTCGACGGACGCCAGAGTTGAGAGGGACCTCCTTTTACCGACAGAATTCTTCGTCAATCTCGCAAATATGGAATCTACTCCTACCAAATTGCGTCGACTAGAGCTTCTGGGACGCCTGACATGTCGACCTTCCGATATCAAACGCTTCATACTTCATGCGCCGCTCCTCGAAATTCTGAGAGTTTCGAAAGCCTCTTCTGCGGACGCAATCGGGTCGCGGTGGAAAGGCAAACTACCACCATCCTCCTTCTTGGCCGCTGCTTCAGGAACACATTTCCCTCAATATACTTTCCCACCACCCGTCAAATCTTCTTGTCTGATCACTTTGGCTGCTCCCTATTTAGTAGTCAACCAACTTGTTGGACATTTTCCATCCCTGCTATCTCTGAAGGTGACCATGACGCCGTCATCACCAAAGTTCAGCACCGATATTGCGTCATTACTCGGCTTACCTCCTCTTCGTTCGTTCCTTTCCGAGATAGAATATGAGTTACCCACTGATCCCTCTCTTCCTGCTTTTCATGGAGTTTCTCCAAAATCGCTTAACCCTCTATTATCACCAAAGCCACAACTTTTAAAATACCTTACTCTGCACGCTTCCTCTGCTAAGCTTGGTGATTTCTTCTCGGATCTCGACAACATCACCACTGTCCTTTCCCGACGGCCTCTTTTGTTTCCTTCATTACAGGCTGTGCAGGTGCAAGGGTTCACGGGTGTCGTTGAACTATACATCGATTATCATCAAATTTTCATGTCCCATGGAGTCCGGCTCATTTTTTGTGGTGCGCGTTCTGTGGTCCTCGACTCGTCAAATCTCCATCATCGTCATGACATGGACGTGGACAAGATTATGATACATTCCGATATGGATCCCTGGATGGGGACAGGCTTCTCAGGTATTTAATTTTTGCATTATTCATGGGCCTATAACTGATGCATTTTGCGCGCAGAACCGCCACCGGATGTGTCAACACTAAACGCTGTTTCTATGAGCTCTCCATTGATCGACCCCTTCCCGCAATACCTCTCCGGAGAGGAAGACAAGCCCCTCTTCTCCGACACAAGTATGAGCTTCCGTGAGTATTCCACTGAGTTGTTCTGCTGTAAACCTCCACATTGACATCTGCCTTGTAGTCGCGCCCTTGGATGATGTGGCCAACATGCAGTGGGATGAGCCCTCGAACAATGAATTTGAGAATTTATTCAGATTAAACCGATAGTCATCTTCCGCGCCTGACGCTCCAGTGCTCTCCAGTACTCCAGTGATTTGTCGTAGATATGGTAACATAATTAATTAAAATAATATTAGAATTTTGGAGGCGTCGAACAACTTGTATTTAGAGCGCCTGCGAGCACGAGCACAACACGAGCGCGAGTGGCGCCAAGTGGCGCCGGAGCAGTTACATGATAAGAAATAAAAAGTTTGCGACGAGAAACAAATAGAAACACAAGAGAAACACGATGGAAATAAAAAATTGAAGAAACCAGAGGTTTCTCTCCAGTTTCTCAGATTTTTAAGAAGGGTTTGACAGCTCAATGTCTTTTTCTCTACCTGCTGAGCTGCTCACACCTTGTCCTCCCAGCCATGGGGATTCTCATTGGGATTGAACGCTGATTGAACCTCCGACCGGCCCATATCCGCCTGATCAGGGCTCCTGCATAAATGCCGCGTCGACCGCCACCAGTGAGACTCAGCTTCATTTTGGCCAAGGTTGCTTCCATCTCTCCCACACAATTCAACCGTAGAAATAATGGGTACGTCTATGCATTATATGTAGCACTTGAATGGTTGATGGTCATTCTACTGCAGTTATCAGCATGATATCAGCTCTGCCTGCAGAGCTCTTACGCTCCATCGTTCGCTTTGCCACAGAGGCTCCATCTATCTTCGATACAAGCTACAAGGCGGTCTTGGAGGAGAATCGCTCATCGACTTTTCGCTCAATGCGTCGATCTCTTACCGATAAACACTCTTTGAGCCTTGTCTCGCGAAGGTTCCAGAGCATCACTGAAGAATTTCTTTATGAGTTCATCATCTTACAATCGTGCGGGATAGAGGTGGTGCGATTCCTGGCAGAAAAACTTGCGACCCGCCCGTCGCAAGCAAACGGTCTCCTACCTATTGGGCATCGCGTTCGCCGAATCGACATTGACATCGAGCTCAGCGATGGCGAGGCCGATGATTGGTTCTTGGGATTATCAAATTTGTGGGGACTCATTCCATCATGTCCAAAGCTGATCATCCTGGTATCATCCGTTGTGCTCTGGCAACCACTCACTTTGAAATCTGAAGTCGATAATTTCCTCAGCATGAAAGTATTCAAAATACCCATTGAATTATTGATGACTATCGCGGGCACTTGCGCACAGACATTACGGCGCATAGATATTATGGGCCAACTTACAGTTTCCATCGATCATCTGACGCAGTTCTGCTCGTCTACCCGTAGCACTCTCGAGGTGTGTCGCTTTGCGAGAGTGCACAAAGACGTCCATCTGGCACAACCCACCATTCCTCTTTTCAATCATCAGTCCATCAGCGAAACAGACAGCCCAGACAGCTCTGGCGAATCCGATAGTCTCGTTGGCTGTGATGGCTCTAGTCACGACGATGCTGTACCACCTACTGTTGAGTTTGTGGCGACGGAGTGGCCGCACGATCGCCCTGATCTGATTGGTCTCAGTCCACTGCACACACTTGATCTGGGAGGCTTTTATCCTCTCTTGTGGGATTGGGAAATACCCGAAATTCGCCACGTTGGAGTCAACGTGCCGCGTCACTTACCTTCCTTGGAATCCCACTTTATCGCTTTTAAGCAGGGTATTGAGAAGGAGCTTCCTTCCCTGCGCTCTTTTGCATTCAGTGGGCGGGTTTATCGGGTGTGGGACTTCGTCAATCTCATGCCCTTCTTGGAGCGTCTTCTGCTTCGCGACATATATCAACATTCGACTGATCACATTGGCCTTAGCCGCCCCCATCCTCACCTTTCCATGATCACCATCGACAGATATCTGGGTCGAGCTTCACCCGATTGGATCCTGAGCATGATATTGGAGATTTGCTTGCGGCAGCTCTTGCCAGCACTCCGGTTAGTGCGGCTGGTGGGACCGGCATCCCAAACTCCTTTGAGAATTGAGATGATCCGCGTTGACTTTGCCCGCCTTGATGTCAGGATTGAGTTAGACGACTGCACAGCGATTTATAGACCCGACAGACTGCTATACGAGAAAAGGCTGAAGAGGCGGTGTAAGCAGTCGCATTGGTATTTGGGCGGCTTGCGGAAACTGATCTTGTATGCAGCGTCTCCTTTGGCGAGCTCGTCAACGCAGATACAAGAACCCATTCGTCAAGCAGTCAATCTGTTCTCCGAGCTGTTTCGTAGTAGTGAAAACAAGATCGATACTCATATGGAAATAACGGCAGACCCATGGGAAGAGATCCTCCTTTCTGGCATGCAGGAGGATGTTGATGTTGATATGGATGCGGATCATTCCTCAGAGTGGTTCAGTCCATTGGTCAGGCAGGACGACGATGATATCCAGTTGATGGATAGTGGGATGGATTGGGACAATGCCCCCGGTAAGCCTGCTCATGAAGAAACATAGATAAACGAGAGACTAAGGGTATTTTCCAGACATCGTATAGAACTGGAGTTTTCGAATAACTCTATAGGACGATTTGTCTATCATCTTGAGATTTTTATACGGATTCAGCTGTTTGTATATTTCATCAGAGGCGATGCAGACAGACTACGCAGTTTAAACTGTTTGGGCTCGACATTATTCTACCAGTCGCATTGCGACTATTCACTCAAAATTTCCGTCCGCTTGCAAGGCGCCCTTCATAGCGCGGCTCTCTTGCTCCCACTGCTCCATGGAACGAGACAAGGCTTCTAGGCTTTCTGTCTTCAACAGAGCAGCTTCCTGTTCGCCGCTGAGTAAGGTCCCGATGCACGGCGAAAGTTTTACAGAAGAGTGGACAGCTCCGTGAGCACGCAACCAGATCAAAGACCGAGCATGGAAGTCAAGGCGATCCTGGTATCGCAGACATCTTTCAGCTTCAGTAATGCGTGCGAGAGCGGTCGGAGGTCGGGGTAGCTTTCTCGATGCAAACGGTTGACATGGCACGAGTCGGGACGCAGTTGTGACGGAGGGTTGTGAGGAAGTAGGGTGTGGTCCCCTGGCGTCCTGGCAAGCGAATGGTGGTTGCTCGTGTAGAAGGCTCTCGGAAGAAAGGCTGCCTGATTGCTCGGGATCTGACATCACTGTGAGATGAATTAGGGAGAGGGGACTCGTGCTCATAGTAGAGAACCTATTGACTCACTCTCTGTCCCATCTATTTGAGGTCTGTCTTGTATAATCCTTCTCGAAGAGTCGATGTGGCAAGGTACATTCGCCCAAATGAGGTTGGGAGTGTGTTTGAGAGACATTATTTGATATTGCACACAGGAAGAAGTACCACAACACAATTTCAGATATAGAGTGAAGCAAGAGCCGGGTTGCGAGACGTATTGCATTCTTGTCTGGGGTGTGAACGAGGCATTGCATTGGCGACCGACGGCTTCCAAAGCGATGAAGAACAATCATGATAATGACTGACTGTGTGGTACACAAGTGAAAATCGAAGAGATTAACGTTATACACGTACCTACATACTCGTCGGATTTCTGAACTTAGCGCGTGCTGCAATCGTGGTATGAGATAGATCTCTGAGATGGAAATAATTCAAGCCACAGTCAGTCGCACAACAGTGTCGTCGAATGCATTTACCATTCCACATCCTCCGCGATTGGCAGGGAGACTTTCAGAGGAGAAGGCTCACGGTTGACGGCGACATCTGGCCACCTGCGCCAAATCTGCTTGACCAGAAACGGACAGATATTCTCACGATGACTGGCTTTGCTCCTCCTCGAACTGCGGCAAGTCTGATCTTGTATGCTCCTCTTCGTCAGTTTTGTCTAGGTACCTCTTTCGGCCGTTGGCTCATCAAAATAGGTTGGTTCTACCTCAGCCGACGTGGTCACATCGCCCGTCTACGGACCGCTCCCGGTTCCCTGCCTCGTGATGATACCCACTGACCTCATTCTCCCTTCAACGCATTGAGCTTATATTCCTATCGTCGTGCCGATATGAATATATAAAGATGGATGTTCCCCTTTCCCTTCTATCACCAGCATCGAAATGTTTCTATTCATTACGCTTGTACTCGGACTGACGAGACATGCCTGGAGTTCTGCACCCCACGGAGCATGGGATGAATTCAACTTTGCACCGAAATCCAGAACCGTCTATCCTACGTCTGTCCATAAAGTCGAGGGATCTGTCCAGGCCGCCAGCAACCTTGTGGCTCATCAGGGATCCGCGACCTTGTCGGGAAATGATTCATGGGTAGCTTTGGATTTTGGGGTCGAGGTCCGTTTCACTCTAGTGATTCTGTGCCTTTAGACTGAATTGAAGTTGCTGTGGATAGGTCGGTGGTCTCATATCATTGAACTTTGAAAATGTCTCGACTTCGTCATCCATCTCTCTATCGTTTACGGAGTCGCCTTCCTTCATAAGTCCATTAAGATCCGACGATTCCACCAACTCGTCACCGAATATGTCTTATGATGGCGTCTTGCATGTTCCTGCTCCTCTGACGACTGGCCATTGGACACAGCTAGCGTCAACTCTTCGTGGAGGGTTTAGGTTCTTAACGATCGTGCTCAATTCTGACGACCCTGTCACGATATCCAACGTATCCTGCCAAATTTCGTTCATGCCCCATTTTGACAATCTTAGGGACTACTCTGGGTACTTCTATGCTTCTGATCCTGTTTTTCACGACAAAAACTTCCTGACGAAAATCTGGTACTCCGGCGCATATACAGTCCAAACTAACACGGTACCTTTGGATACAGGACGTCAAGTGCCTTTCGTCAGGTCGCCTGGTATGGTTCGCTCGTTTTCTTCAATAGAAGTTAGGATTTGCTCAAATGTCCGAGCCAGGTTGGCAAAATAATGCCACTCTTGGTGTCGCAGGCCCCATCATTGTCGATGGCGCCAAGCGAGATCGGTGAGCAGCTTCCAGACCCCAAAAACTTTGATGTCTGATCGCATTGAATAGTGCAGTCTGGCCAGGTAATAGCCTTCAAAGCTGATATTTGACAGTATCTCATTTTGATGCTTCTAGGTGACATGGGTGTCGCTGTCCCAACTCAATTTGTTTCTACAAACGATCTCCTCCCAACTAAAAATGCACTCTCTACGATGTTTGCTGCACAAAATCCGAGGACCGGAGCGCTCCCTGAGTCTGGACCACCACTCAGCCAGCAAGGCAGCGACACCTACCATGCGTGGACGCTGATCGGGACACACAACTACTTCTTGTACTCTGGAGACGTTGCCTGGTTGCAGAATGTGTGGCAAAATTATACGAAGGCCGTGCAGTTCCTGGAAAACAAGGTTGATAGCTCGGGATTGATGAATGTCACTGGCTTGAGGGACTGGGCCAGGAAGGGTGGCGGAGGACACAACGCGGAGGGAAACGCACTCCTTTATAAGGTATGGTGTATATCTTTTTTTATTGCCACTTTCTGTCCCAATGGACTCGCAGGTTCTCACTAATAGCGCGGACTTAGCTGGCTACCTTAACGAGACAGAGCTCTCATCTGGATGGGCACACAATGCGTCTGCCTTGAAGGCAGTGTACAACACGGCGTTCTGGGTGCCGGAGCTAGGCATGTATCGCGACAATACATCCACTACGCTTTGCCCTCAGGATGCGAATTCTATGGCGATCCTGTACAACTTGACCACCTCACGGGAACAAGCTGCTTCGATCAGCTCCGGACTCGAAAAGAACTGGAATGACATCGGTGCAATAGCGCCTGAGTTGCCCGACAATATATCGCCGTTTATTGGGAGCCTCGAAGTGAGTCGTCTATAACCTGAAGTGGTTCGCTTTGTTTTCGTGGTGGAGTGTTCTGATTCCTGACTATCTGCACGCAGCTATCCGCACACTTTGAGTCCGGGAACGATGCACGCGCCATGGATCTTCTCAGGCGAGAATGGGGATATATGCTCTACACGAATCTGAGCGTGCAGTCCACGCTCCTCGAGGGTTACACCTCGAACGGCTCTCTTCTGTGAGTGTGAATTTCTGTATGTGCTATTGCTTCTAGACTAACCGACACGGCGATGCACAGCTATCGATCGTATCAAGGCTATAGTTACGACGCTGCGTACACCAGTCACTCGCACGGATGGAGTTCTGGGCCGACGAGTGCATTGTCCTTCTATGTCCTCGGATTGACCATCACAGCGCCTCAAGGCCAGGCCTGGTCGATCGCGCCACATCTAAGCGGACTCAGAGCAGCAGAAGGCGGATTCGAAACGGCGTTGGGCTGGTTTGGCGCATCGTGGAGTTTATCCGATGATAATGAGTTCATCTTGTCGACCGACACCCCCGCAGGCACTCTGGGCGTTGTCCGCTTGCCTGCAATTGGTCGCGGCACGATCGATGGCCGCGGTATCGACGTGGATGAGTCCAGGACCTTGGGGTTGGCGGGGGGCAAACATGTCATTAGTGTCCTACCGTAGTTACCAAATGGCGGAAGCAGATCCGAGGTACGAGACATGTCCAACAGTCAACCATGTCCGACTCCCCTAAATGATTCGTGATGTTTCGTTCGAGATGGTGTAATGTACACTGTGCCTTGGATCTTTTTCTCATAGCTATTATGAGAATCCGATGCTCCAGGAGCAGCCTCCTCCGTCGACCTTCGGGGAGCCCGTGGATGAAGAACCCGGTAGCCTATTCGACCCGAGTCGCATGACAGCTCTCCGCTGCATCCCAAGGCGATTGCGCGCATTCCTGATATAGAGCGCTTGCCGATAAGTCGTTCACTTGACGTCTAAGAATACCCCGAATTCGGTGCGGATCCCAGTGCAACCGGATTCTAGAAAGCAAGGTACACATGCTACGTGCTTATCAGAATCGGGTTCGTCCTCTGCTTCTCCCGCTGCACTTCGAGTTTCCCAGAGCCTGGAAGCTCATATGGTCTTGCCGCGCAGCATCTTCTTCTTTCTTTCGTCCTCTGTCATACTCGACCCCTCCTTCGATTCTGCTGCCTTGTTGTGCTAATGGCTGACACAGCACTCGACCTAAACAATACCATGGGGGTCACGTTTGTGGGAATGATTTTTGACGCGATGTACTATCCGAGGGGTGTTCGATATTCTACCTTGTTCCTGACGACACGTCTCCAGGTTGTTCGGCATACTTACCTTTCAGATCTACCGATTTTTCCACCACAACAATCGAGACCGGCTAAGTCTGAAATTTCTTGTGAGTAGCCTCGGAATGTCTGAAGCCGTGCTCACCTTACGGCGACTGACAGGTCTGCTTGCTATGGTACGGAATATTGCGGAAGCAACGCGGCAATGATTGAGCGTTTTCTAGGATTCTTGATACCTTGCAGCTTTTCTTGATCTGTCACGCTCTCTATTACTTCCTGATCTCACACTTCAATCAACCCGAAGTGTTGCAGTTTTCCATCTGGTGCGTAACACACAAGCTGGTCTAGATATAACGGTTGACAGTTACAAACAGGAGCCTTAATGTCTGTGATGTGATCTGTCATATCGCTAATATTAAATCGAACCTCTCTCGTGCTTCGTCTAGATTGAAACAGGTGTCTCCGTGAGCAACTTCGCTTTTTACTCGTTGATGATATTGAGCTGACATGCTCGAAGGTTGTGATCACCTTCATCGTTCGATTGTGAGTTTTCTTATGAGTTTTCATGAACTGATCTTTAACTAGTCACAGATTCTTCACTGTTCGCCTTTGGCACAGTGAGCTTTCCTCCTTCCGTGTCCGGCCTTATCTGACCATTGACCCTCAGTGAGCGAGAAGAGCAAAACAATCGTTGCTCTCATTGTGCGTATTAACAGCATCGCAAGGCTTATATATATTACAAACGCTCTTTTTCACAGATGATTCCGTCTTTAACTCAACTTGGTGTGTATATATTTTTCTTTAGTCGGATGTCGACTTATAATGGGTGTATGTATATCAGGTCTTGGCCTAAGTCAGTGACGTCCCTCTACAATCGTCAGATAATTCAATCGTGTACAAATTCTGGTAGCAATGTGTATCATGTGGTGAGAAAGCTGTTCGAGCGCACACTTTGATTGCTCACCAAGAAACATACATCTCAGCTTTTTCATCAAGCGATTTGACCGCCTTCCGACTTTCATCGTGCGTCGAAGCGGATAACCAAGACGAGTGAATGACACTGAATCCATTGCTTCAAGGTCCCGCTGAGTGTTCAGATGGGAGCTGCCGTCAGCGCAGACATCATGATCAGTAATGCTTTTTTTCCCTGCGTTGTTGTGGGATTGGCTCATCGTATATGCATCTCAGCGGGGCCGCTTATCTACTTTCTGAACAAAAATCGGACGGGATTCCGCAGGCACGCAACCCTATATGAATTGAACCTTCGCATGCTCAATTGTGGCTATCATTTGTAGGACTAACTCTTTGATAAACCGCCTGATTATATGGTCCGTAAATACAGCATTGATAACAGGGTAAGAGCTCTTTAACGGCTCGTTATGAATCAGAGTTGACCTAAATATAGGGTCTTTGAGTTGCTGCAGCTGATTACCGTGCGTACCACCGCTCTCACTTTGACGACTTATTGAGCCGATTGAGATAGTGGGTGACAATGACTGACACGTTGATGTTCCTTGGCTTCCATCTCGTTATTGCAAAGCGTTCGCTACACTTATCTTTCTTGATCTTTGTAGGAAACTCACATATCTTACGTTGCAGTTTACACCAACTCTATGCTGGCCATGTACGTGATGATCCATTTCAACATCATGGTGAAATCAGTAAAGTCATTCACCGTGTCCTTGCAGGCTCAACGGTCGCAAATCTCTGCGGGACCAGTTTGATGGTCAAATGATTGAAGCTAGCACGCTCATCATAGCGCCTCAAACAAGTGACGTGCAAACAACCGATATCATGCTCGATTCGAGCCTATCTCTCTCTCCTCACGAAATCAAGGTACGTTGCCTTTCTGAGGCCTTTCTGAGACCACTTCAGAACATGATATTCTAGCGCTCCCTGCCCCACGTAGACACCACAATTCTGACTCAACGACATGTTATCGATCACTCGCTCCTGGCAGCCGTGGACAGTCCTACCGTTGCTACGACCACAGACACATTCGTCAGCTCTGATGCAGATTCGCCTTCAACTATATCTGTATCACATCGCGCCCAGCTACCAGAAGAGTCACCGGTCGGTCTGGCGGTGTAGTATCGTGTTCGTGCTGAATGATGAAGGGTAGCATGTACATGTGCTAATTTATGTACGATATCTCTTGTAGAGGTGTACTATACCCAAGCGATACTCTGTGTAGATTTTGAAAATGGGCTTCCGCTATGCCTGCGGCGGTCCGTCGACCGCAGCGGTGTATGTTATGATTGTGACGATGTTCCATATGCTTATACGTATGTACCAAGACTTTGGGAAATCGAGGACATTTTCTGCGTGTAAATTGCTCTGGCTTCACTGCGTTGCCTCACTTCTTTCCATTCGATCGTGCGGCACCCTCCAATCTCGACACCGGTGCACCGACCTCGTCAGATCCGTGATCCTAGGTGTCACGTCAGTGCGCGCGGATTCGACGTGGGCGTGCGCGTGGCGGAGCACCATCTGCGTCGTGTGATTGAGACAACGGTCCCTGGCGTTTCTGCCCTGCGCATCACCGGGTGAAATCGGCAACACCATGGCGTTGCGGATGACGTCGAGGCATTGGAGTTGATGGGACATCGCGATGGTGGAGGGGCGCGCGCGTGGACCCGGGCGCACAGTGCCATCATATGGCACGAGAGCCTGCCATTCAGCGATGCCTTCCGGCGTGCTCAAAGCATAGTGGTGGGTGTCCTCCGGGTACATGTAGACCTTGTTGGCTTCTGGGATCGGCCACTGAAGAGGGCAGTCGTCGCTGATATACGCTGTCAATAGGACGAGCATGGGCCAGCACGGCCGATCGATCTTGTGAGGAAGGACAGTGTCGAATCGAACGCACTGTAATGGCGATTGTACGGGTGACTGATGCCTATTTCGTGATAAAACCGCAAAGCGATGCCTAGCAAGAATACGGAGGCCGGCGCAAGGGCAATATGCCAACGTGTCTGCATTCTCAAGTACGCTCGGCGTTTCGTGGAGGAGCTGTCCTGTTAGGCGGTCCTACAGTTCTAAGGGTGAACGGGTCTGCATATTGCAAGGCAGGCGTCCGAAGCGTGCCTATGATATATGAACGGTATGTTTTGGAGTACCGCTAGATGTCGCTGAGCGGAGAGGGCCGCAGCGTTGCGCTGCTTTACATATACAGCAAAGACCTGCACAATGAGTCGATTCGGAGTGGGCCGAAAGGGATACAAAGAGGAATTTGCATAGGTGCACTGGCCATTTCACGTTCAGGAGTTGATGGAGAACCGGGAGCATCACGTACCTTGTTGAGAAGTCGCTCCCCCATGAATGCATAGTGCACCGAGGACATTCCATCAGGATCTACGCAGTTTGAGGCGCTCGGGGTGAAAACATATCAGAGACCCCCGGCTCCCGGTAGGTTAGCCTGACTTCGAGACTTCAAATGCAGCCGCTTAGAAGCTAAGCGTTAAGCGCCAGCGCCCATGGGCGATCATCTACGACCATGATCTGCGGCCATGCCGCCCAAGTTATCCACAGCATATCACATCGCGTCCGCAAGCCATACTTTGCTTTGCCAAGAACGAGGACCTTGCGGTGACCTGTGGCGATCGCACAGCATCCCACAACATCGCGCTCCCAATGCGTGCTGGGTAAATGGCTGGACATGGTCAAAGCACCATGTGCCCCTTCGTTCCTTTATCCCTTCAGCTCCACACTGACCTGAACTCCGTCGGACTCGCTGTCAATGGGCCGCTCGTTGGAGTAGTGGAACTCCATACCAAGAAAGGAGAGGCGGAGACAGAGAACAGGAAAGGAAGACGAAGAGCAAAGACGGGGGGACGGAGACGGATGGCAGAGACGGAGACGAAGGGCAGAGACGGAGGGCAGAGACCGCACGCCACACAACAACGCCCACAGTATCACTGTATCAGAGCGCGTTGGGGGGGCCGCATCTACCCATTGCTAAACAAAGACCTCACGTGCTGCGTCCAAACCGATGTCCCTGTCGAGGACTTTGTGCGCAACGTCTGGCAACTCAAGGCCGATCGCCTCGAGCGGGACGAGCGCGAACGAGATCTACAGTCGGACCGAGCACTCGTTGCCGAATACGTATCCTCCATCGAGAACCCCAAGCGGGAGCGGGAGCGGGCACCTCCCTTTGTCAGGCTGCTCGACGACGCGGCGAACAAGCTCGCGGTGGCACTGGACCTCGAGTCGTCTTGTCCTGTGGTGTTCGAGCCGCTAGGGTCGAAGGAAAATGACCGCGCGCCGGACGTGATCGCTGTGCCTGCCCCGATTGCGAACGCCTGGCGCGAGTCGCAGGACGACGATCCGGACCCGATTCAGACGGGCTTGGAATTCCGGATGGTGGCCACGTTCGTCGTGTTCGAGAAGACCAAAAACAAACACTTCATGCCCGTCAAACCTCCACCGGAGATGGTCTCCAAGCGGCAGAAGATGATGACGGGAACGCAGGCGGGTCTGAAGCGGAAGGCCCGTTCGCATGAGGCTCCGCCGAGGAAGAGGAGGGCGTTGGACGCAACGGACAGAAGAAGCACCGGGACAAGCTCGTCCAGCCCCAAGTATCGATGGGGGTCTCCAAGTACCGAACACACAACGTCGACATCGACTTCTCTTGCCGCATATCGTAGGCACAGCAGGGCCGCTGCTGCAGCCGTGAAAGCCGGTATAGAAGCAGAGGTCAAGGAGGAAGGAGAGATGGTCATTGAGGCAGCTGCTTCACCAACAGCAGGCACCTTCGTCGATGAGACACCGACCCCCCGAGCGGTCGAGACGGCGGAGGTGAGCCCTTTTCGTGTCGTTGCCAGCAGGGCGTTACGTGAAGACGTGTGGGACGCACCTGGTAACCTGACGAAGGTTCAGAAGCGCAAACCACCGGTGCTGACCTCAGACGAGCTGCAGGCTGCAAGCTATGCGTCGGAATGTCTGGCGGATGGCCGTAGACGGTACGTTACCGGGTTCCTCGTCCGGGGTCTGATCGTGTCGCTCTGGTACCACGACCGGATGGGCGTGGTCGAGTCGCAAGAGTTTGACATCGTTGAAAAACCAAGGCTGTCCTTCCTTGCTCTGGCAGTGATCACGGAGTGCAACATGGAGCGGTTCGGGTACGAGCCGATGCTACGCCTACCGCTGACGTTGGTGTCTCCTACCATCGGACTGCCGATGCATCTGGACGGATGGGAGATCCACACTGGCCACGGCATCGACGCAGACGATATTATGGTTCCCGGTGTCGTGAAGGTGAAGATCGCGGGGGATCCACTCTACGTGCAGCCTGGGATTGTGGGCCGCGGGACTTCCGTCATGCCTGTATCTGTCATTCCTGGTCTTGAATTTGCAGGGCTGGAAGCGGGGACGAAATTGGTGGTGGAGTTTAGCTGGCCGGCGGCGTCGCGTGTGGATCCCGAGGACGGTCTTGTACGGCGGATCTGCAAGCGCATTGGAGCGAAGGAAGCGCGGCACATCGCGCCGATGCGTCTGTCGACGACGTTGGAGGGCGCGCGGCTGGGCCTCCCGTGGATGGCGGATTCGCTGCGGAAACTGTCAGGAAGTGTCGAAGAGCGGGTGCTCCGCGTGATCGTATGCGACCGTCTCAGACCTCTGAAGGATCTGGAGACTCTCCCAGATTTCCAATCTGTTTTCCTTGATCTCGTCCGAGGTGCTGTCTCTGTCTTTCTCCAGGTTTCTAGCTACATTGCTCTCGCTTATACCAACGGCGCATCGCGTCGTCTTCAAACGGGCCTGCGTCATCCATCGAGACCTCAGCATCGACGACGTCATGTTCGGCGTGACGCCAGAGGGCAAGCCGTACGGCGTGCTTATCGACTCGGACCTCGCGATCGACGTCAACTCAAATGCCGGCGTTGCGCATGCTGCCTCTGCATTGCATCGCACCGGGACAGCCCATCGCCCGTCGTTGGCTCGGACTGCACGGAAAAGAATCGACCAAGTGTGTGTCCACATCGGAACATGGCTTCGACCCAGCTCAGGGTCCACTCTCACAGGCGCGTGGATCGTTCGCACTGAAGGCGAAGACGCGCCGATCGCATGTGTCGTCCAAGCGTCCAAACGCGTCCGCTGCCCCGCCCAATGAAGCCGCCATGACGCACTCGCCGAGGCGTCCCCGATCCCCGCCTCGAGCAACCACCAACAAACGACGAGCAACGCCGTCGCCCTCCCACACCCACACCACGCCCGCCACGCCCACCACGCCCACCACGCCCACCACATCCCGTAGCCCACTTGCTCGCTCGCTCGCTCGCTCGCAGCCCCCGCCCCTCCTTCAGTACACGACTACGTATCCCAACCCCGCCATGACGCAGACGTCACACCCAAACGTCCGCGCGCCCGCCACGCCCGCGTCAGCCCCCGCCGCTCCCCCCAGCACGCGCGGCGCTAGCAGCTCCGGTAGCGCCGGTGCTGGCGCTGGCACCGGCACTGGCGCGACAAGCAGCCCCTCGCACCTCCCCAAGCCCAAAAAGCACCCCGCGCGCGCACTCGCGGGCCTCAAATCCGCATCCTCCCCCTCCCCCTCCTCCTCCTCCTCGCCCTCCGCCCCCATCGCGTCCTCCCCCGCCCCCGCCTCGCGCTCGTCGCCCATCCGCCTCCCACGCGCCGCGGAGCCCGCACTCGCCCGCCCGCACACACCGAAGGATAAAGACAGACCGTCCTCCCGCCTCCCGCATATAAGCACCCCCGGCGCCAGCGGGAGCACCAACACCAGGAAGGCAGGCCCTCCCTCCACCTCAACCGCCACCACCACCACCACCACCGCCACGCAGCTGAACGCACATCCCCTCGCGAGAGCAGGCTCTCTTCTCCGCGGCACAGCCCACGCACGACGCACCTCCCTCACCGCCTCTATAATCCCCGCCTCCGCCGCCTCCGCCGCCTCCGCCCCCCCGTCGAACTTAGCCTCGAACCCGACATCGGGCGCCCCACAGCCGCACGCGAAGAGCAGGAAGAGGGCGATGGTCCCCCAGATCACGACGACGACACGAAAGGTGAGCCTGTCCGTTCGTCCGCGTCCACGCACGCCGCACGCCGCTCACCGATCGGCGCGCATACACCCTCCTAGGACGCAGCCCACGAGAGCGGGACCGCGCGCGCGCTAGAGACGGGGCCGCTAGGGCTGCCGCCCATACGCGAAGCCGCGGAGCACCGCGACGCCGCGAGCTGGTTCCAAGACATCGAATACACGCAGGAGCAGGGCCTCCCGTACGAGGACGAGACGCGCAAGGGCGCAGGCGCAGGCGGGGCAGACGCGCACCGCGGCGGGACGGTCCTCTCGCCCATCTCTATCAACGTCTACCCGCCGCAGCAAACGCAAGGCCAAGACCAAGACCCGCACATCACACACCCTAAATCGTACGCGAGCGGCGCGAACGCGGACGCGCGACGCAAACCACAGCCTATCGACGCTGCCGCCCCGAGCAAGGCGCAGCCGCACACGCACAGCCTAACGCATGCGCATGGCCCGCTGGCGCTGATCACCAGCAGCGAGCGCAAGAAGGAGAACGCCGGCGGTCCCGCTGCGGCGGGGAGCGCACCGCCCGAGCGTCCGCGCCGCGCGAGGAACCCACCCGCGGGCGGCGGTAACGGTGGCGGCACCCACCCGCAGTTGCGCCCGGCGCAAAATCCGCCGCCACGTCTCGAGATGAACGCCCCGCACCCCGATGATCCCTTCGTCGTCCCCCCCGCGCCGCTAACAGGCACGCGCCCACTGGTGCTGCGCAAACGCGGGACGCGAGCCACGGGTTTAGTGGCCGTCGCGATGGCGGTGCGCGAGCTTCAGGGGATAAAGGAGCTGCGGGAGGAGGTGGAGCAGTTCAAGGGGGAGTGGATGGCTATGTTCGACGATGCGTGGGCGGACACGAGGGAGTGGATGGACGCGATCGCGGAAGGCGAGGATGGCGCGGTCGGCGAGGACGCAGCGCAGGTGCCCGGCCCGCCGCCGACGTCGCCGCTTCCGCCCCCGCCTGCTCTGGCGCCCGCTCTGGCTCTCGCCCTCGGTGCGCCCGCGCACAAGGCGGGCGACGCGCCGAGGATCGTGGTCACAGGCGCGCCGCGCGCCGCACAGGCCGTCGAGGCGGGATGTTCGCCGTCGCCCGCGCCAGGGACGAGAGCAGGAAGAGGGGCGGGGCGGGGTGGGAAAGGAGGCGGAGCGGCGGAACACACTCGGGGGAAGAGGGTGGCGGCGGGCGCGGAGGGGACCGAAACCGAGATGGAGACCGAGCGAGAGGACGAGGGTGGGCGTCGAGAGTACGATGATGTTCCTAGGGGCGGCAGGCGCACGACCGCGCCGGTCGCGCCGGCGTCGCGCGCGCATGCAGCGAGGAGATACACGATGAGGGATCCGCCGCCGCCTGCGGCGCTGGCACTGCCCGCGTTTGTCTCGGAGTCGGTGCGTACCGTTTGTGTTTCGTCTCGGGGGCGGTGCGTGTCGGATGCTGATACGCGACTTGGGTGCGGCAGGACGACGGGGGCGCCGCGGCGGCGATGAGGCCGAGAGAGGGGGATGGCGGCGCCGCGGCGACGGCGAGGCAGCGCAGTGCGGCGCCTGCTCAAGGGCACAGGGAGCGTCCGGTCACGGAGCCGCCGCCGCGCGAGCGCAGACAGGGGCCACGGGTGAGATTCCGTTGTTGTTGTTGTTGTTGCCGCGCGAGCCAGGCTCGTCTTGCTGACGCGCGTGGGATAGTCTGGCGGCCAGCATTCCGAGTCGGAGGGCGGGACGCGACGCGAGGGGCATCCATCGTCGTCGCCTTCGCCGCTCTCGGCCGTCGCGTATAGCAGCCCGCCGACCCCGACCCCGAGCTCGACTGCGGCGCTGTCGCCGGCTCAGTTGATAGCGCGGGCAGAAGCGAGCGCGAGCGGGTCATCGTGGGAGGAGAGCGCGCGGAGCAAGGCGGGCGTGCCTCTGGCGACGCCGGCGCGAAGCTCGCGCTCCGCTGCTGCGACTGCGGCCGCTACACCTGGCGTCGCGTCTGACGCGGCGTCCACACGGTCCGCGCCGACGGGGACGGTGACCTATCCGCCTGCGCCGGTGACGCCGATGGGCATGCCGATGCGGGGCCCGCTGGCGGCGCCGATGACGGTGCCCGTTACGGGCGTGCGGGTGCTGGAGCGCTCGGCGAGCCTGCGCGGGCTCAAGGCGCTGTTTCGGCGGAAGGACGCGCGGCTGGGCCCGCTGCTCGAGGGGGACGCGTTCGGCGCGGGGATGGGCAGCGTTAGCGCGAGCGGGAGCGGCGGAGGGGCGGAGAGCGAGCGGAAGCGGCGGGCGGAGTCGCTGAAGGGGATGATCAGCGCGCCGCGGGTGGTGAGCATGGGCGGGGTGGGGCTCGGGGAGGGCGGAGAGATGGAGTTCGGGGCGGGGTCGGGGCTGCGGACGCTGGGGCTGGATATGGAGGTGGCGGCGGGGCGGGCGCGGAGGGAGCGGTATATGCGCGGGCGGGGGTCGTTGGGGGTGTTTGCGGACGGCAGCGGGGTGGGAGGCGGGGAGGAGGAGATGGCGGGGGTGCAGAGCGAGGGCGAGGGGATGGGGATGGGGATGGGGATGGACGTGGGCGTGCAGGTGCGTGTGGTGGGTGGGATGGGCGCGGGTGCGGGGGTTGGGAGGAGGCTGAGGACGGTGTCGTCGGCGAGGGATTTGTTGAGGCGGATGCGGTGAGCTATGGGCGTCGAGAGTCGTGGGCTACGTGGGCCATTCGTGTATGTAGACCTTTGTTGTTGGATTCGCCGTCGCCGTCGTGCACGCCTGCACTGAGTGACGATGCGAGCCGAGTTTTGTTTCCCACGCCGATGCTGCCCTTGTGTCCGACGTCCATCTCGAACTTGAGCGACGTTCCTCCCAGCATGAGGTCTGCTCACTATCCTACGGGGTTTGTGTACGCCGGTTAGCGCACGGGCGACGTGCGACGTGCGGGCGCCGAGGACGGCTCGTGGGTTCGTACGTACATCATATGCGACGACTTGGGCGCGGTCTCGGCGTCGCGTCCAATTACGAGCGTGGAGAGATGCGACGCGCGTAGGCGTTGGAGCGCCACGTGAGACCTTGAGGGGTCGGGAGGCCAGGGGTTCGAGGTGATGCGCGTTTCTCTGATGTCGATCGCGTCCTGGTTGGGCGTTGCGTCGTTACTGACAGCTTTCTTACTGACGAGGGCCGCGCCGCGCCGCGATTGTATTTAGGAAACGAGCAGCGGGGGACATGCGTGCTGCCCGATGAGGGCCTGACAACTGCCTGACAGCGGTGAGTGCACCCCACGCGCTCATTTCCCGTGGGGGTTGGTGAGAGAGGCAGGCGCGGCGTCCTTGCAGGTCCTTGCGGTGCTTGGGCCGACGATCGATATTTCAGAGCGGCGAGCGCTCGACGGTCTGTGCGCGGAATGAAAGTTGTGTTTTGGAATTGCATTGCACATTGGCTGGATCGGGATACAAAGCGTGCGGAGCGAGACGGAACGCGGAGGAGAGAGAGCGAGAGAGAGAGAGAGAGAGAGAAAGAGGAAAGGGAGAAGAGAAAAAGAGAAGTCGGGTAGGAGGCAAGGTAGCAAGGCCAATGTCTGTCCATATCCAGAGTGTGCGTGTCCGAAATGTCTGTCCACATCCAAACGGTCTGTCCGTATTCGTATCCGAGTCCCGCGCAGATCCCCATGCTCCCCCCGGCTCCCCCCCGCCTCGAGCCCCGGCGTGGTTCGGAAGAAAGAACGCAGACGTGGTGCTCGCGAAACACCCCGCCCCCGCCCTCCCCCCTAGCACCCCGGCACCCGGCACCAACACCCAACGCCCAGCGACCCACAGCAACGACATCCCCCTGCAAGCGCGCTTCGAAGTCAATCAGCGCTCCCGTGTGGGTGGCAGAAACAAAAAGGGAGACCGACCTGCGCACCGTTCGCCCCCGCCTCGCCCCGTCCTGACAGAGCACGACGTCAAGTCGCCTAAGACTCCCCACGCGCGGATGCGAGCTCTGGCCAGCCCCCACCCGACACGCCGGTCGCCCCAGACACCCCACCGCCCCGCCCCGCCACCACCCCACCCCGCCCTCTCATTCATCTGCATACGCACGCATACACTGCATCTGTCCTGTCCTGTCACGCATGCGCGGGTCAGCACGCAGAGCCGCACGACATGAACGGAGGGACTCACAGTCGTGGCGCCGACAGAGCGTTGAATTTTGAGGAAAGACCGAAGACGCCCGAACGCCCGAACTCCCCACGCGCAGATGCAAGCTCTGGCCAGCCCACACCAAACACGCACGTCGCCCCAGACGCCCTACCGCCCTGTCCGCCGTCCTCTTCGTACATAAGTCTATAGCATATCAGGAAAGCAGTGAAACGCATCGACGGAAGGGCTTACTATCGCGGTCACACAGACCGTGGAGGAGGGGCCGAAGACGCCAACACGCTAGAACTCCCCACGCGCAGATGCAAGCTCTGGCCAGCCCACACCATACACGCACGTCGCCCCAGACGCCCTACCGCCCTGTCCGCCGTCCTCTTCGTACATAAGTCTATAGCATATCAGGAAAGCAGTGAAACGCATCGACGGAAGGGCTTACTATCGCGGTCACACAGACCGTGGAGGAGGGGCCGAAGACGCCAACACACTAGAACTCCCCACGCGCAGATGCAAGCTCTGGCCAGCCCACACCAAACACGCACGTCGCCCCAGACGCCCTACCGCCCTGTCCGCCGTCCTCTTCGTACATAAGTCTATAGCATATCAGGAAAGCAGTGAAACGCATCGACGGAAGAGCTTACTATCGCGGTCACACAGACCGTGGAGGAGGGGCCGAAGACGCCCGAACGCCCGAAAGTCCCACGCGCAGATGCAAGCTCTGGCCAGCCCACACCGTACACGCACGTCGCTCCAACCGCTCTTGCGTTTCATTGTCCTTCCCCGTACGTATATACCTGTCTTTGTCTTATAATGTGGCTGATCAGAAAAGTGATGAAATGCTTTGACAGCAGAAAGACTCACAATCGTGATCTCGACGCATCGCTGGGCTTCCCTCGCGCGGGCGCGGACTCTGGCCAGCCCACACCCGACACGAAGCTCGCCCCGGAAGTTTTCTTACCTACCCTACGTCTTCGTGCGACTACACCTGCATCCACCCCGTCTCCTCATACGTCCACACTTCATCCTGTCCTTCGCGGTCGTTCCGGCCCGCCGGAATGCTAAGAAGAAGAAAAAATCAAGTGCCCTTACCAAGACACACCACCGAAATCGTGCTCCCCGCTGTCCAATCTCCCAGCAACAGGTCCCTCCTGGCCGAAGGCACTGCTACTGAAAAACAAAACGTCAAGGAACCCGACCTCCCACTTCTGTTACTTGACCTTCTACTCCACCCGCTACCCAACCTTGAACCCACGCCGACTTCGAACACAAAACCGGCACCACCTCTCCTCGAGAACGCAAAACATCGAAGCGAAAAGTAAACCGAAGTAGAAGGAAACTTACCACATTCGATCCAATCTTCTTGAAGTATACTTACAACACATCCCGCCCGTCAAGCCCCCCCTCCCGTCTTGAACCCTCGGACCCGGTCCTCAAACGCGCCGGAGCTTCTTCATCGGACGGACTTCGTTTAGTTTCTGACTGGGGTACTCGGCTTCTGAGGCTTCGTCCACGCTCCTACACCTTTTGAGTGAGACCTGAGGCGTGCGACTCGACTCCCCTGCCTGGGATTCGACAACTGTAGGACCAGCCGGGACGGTAGCAGACAATTTCTGTTCTGGCGTTGCCTGGGAAACTCGGGCCTTCTTAGCTGGGGGAGTCCATCCTAATACCATTCCGTCGTCTGAGACTCTACGCCTCTTCGCTAGGACTTGTGTTTGAGTCATCGAGCCCAATCCGCGTGCCTGATGGGCGGTCACGTTTGAAACCTTGAACGGTTAGGTGAGTATATGCTTTATTACTGATGTCGCCCTGGTAGTACGTACCTTGGAAGGAAGGGCCATGGTCTCCGCTTCTGAGGCGGTTCTTGGGTTGGCGTCCACCGGCATTGCTTTCGCCTTGCTGAAGAGCTCTCTTGCCCTCATCGCTCCTCCGGATACCACCCTCCGCATCACGTGGGTAATCCTGCGCGACTTGTGCAGCTGAGACAGGGGCTGAGGGATGCCGACGAGGACCCATGGTTCGCCCTGAACTTCTGGCCCTGCTTCCTCCTCGACATCCTCCTCTTCGACGACGTCGAGCTTCTGTTTGAAGTAGCGAGCGGGATGGATTCTGGTCTTGTGCATCACGCTGACGCGGCGGCGAGATCTGCGGTGCTTTGGGCCTGGAGCCGACGGGTGGCGCAGCAAGGGAGAGTCTGGAACGAAGGAGGGGTCGGGTAGCCTTTGATTTGATACCTGTCCGGATGGCTTCCTCTCTGCCGAATTTCTCTCGAGCACCTGCTTGCCATTGAGCGCCGGTTTGGAGCTGAGGACTGGCCAAACTTTCTTGCCGGAGAGGTTGTAGATCTTGCGCGCAAGTGGCTTCGGCTCCTCGGAGACGGTCGGGTGAACGGCGGGAGCAGGAATGGGGTACTCATCGTTGAACCTCTCCTCCCTTGCGACCATTGCAATCTCTACGCTCTGTGAGCCGTCTCCGCTACCGCTGTCGTCAAGCATCCCTTTGATCGGCTCCGCTAGTATACCGTCCGAAGTCCCCTTGGCCTTGGGCACCTCCGGCTTACTGGAAGCCTTCGCGCTTTGGTAGACATTGCGATGGCCGACGACAGTTGGCGTTTTTGCCCTGGATGCCGATAGCTTGGCGAGCCGTTGTGTTATGAGGCTGATCTCGTTGATTTCGTTGGGGGTCTCGATTTGGCGGACGGCCTTGCGCGTTTCGGCTTCGAGCGGGAGCAGGAAGTGAACTTTGCGCTTCTTGGGGTCGTCGGGGGAGACCTCGCGCTGTGGCTCCCCGAGTTCAAAGCCTGTGGTCTGAGTGAAATGCTCGCTCTCTGGCCCCATACTGCTCTGGACCGAGAGGCTGATCGTGCTATCCTTGGAGGGCATGGAGGCGCTGCTAGCGCGAATACGCCAAACTGGAGAGCGGTCAGCGTCCGGCTCGGAACAGTGGGCGCGGAGGGTCATCTGGACTTACGCGGAGACAGCTCCATGAGCCTGGGCAGTATCGCCACGCCGTTGTAGACGCCCTTGGGCTTGGGCTTGTTTCCGCTGACCGCAGAACCAGCTGCGGTAGACGTGGGTGCTGAACGCCTGAACGGAGAGAACATCTTGGTCGGAGACCTTCGAAGATAGATGATGATGGAGGTGGAGGTGCGAGGTGGTCGAGGACGATAGAAGATGGTAAGAAGATGAAGGAGGAAGGGCTGTGATGTATGGATAGAAAAGTGATAGGGATTTGTGGGAAGTGTTCGATGAAGGTGGTGGTTGAGAGGCAAGTTTGGTTGGAGAGAGAGCGCGGTCGGGAGAAGGACCTTAGGTTCGTATATCAATCTTGACTTGCTTAGGCCAGACTGACGGCACCGGGATTTCCACATCGACTCGGCCGTCTCTGCTGGGAGAGAACGTCTTGTTCACGGTCGCCAGCAAGCGGTGAGCTCTTCATTTTCTCGTCGTATCTTTTGTTCTGACGTCTCTCAACACATATGCAATCCCCACTGCTTTACTGCACGACTTGACACGAATGTCGTATGTACCATGAAATAGGTATCTCAAAACTCCTGTCCTGGCGGTCCTATTTCAACCGCGCCTATGTAGAGGCTGACGTATCTGGTCCTTGCTGAAATACGCGGGAAAATTGTGATTTATTGCATTGTTCTCATTGAAGGGCGACCAGGTCGCATTCGCTATTTGACTCACCGGCACGAGCATCCAGGTTTCGTTTACAAGCCAACTAGAGTAGCTTCTGAGCAAACTCCATCGCCACACTCGAATAACGTTCGAAGGGCGTCCAGACCTCAGCGCTTCAGCGTGCGTCCATTTATTTTAAAATCCTATGTGTTCAAACAGTGAGGGCTCATTCAACGTATCTATCCACGACACACTCGTACATAGAGATATATTTTTCTAGTGAGCATCAACAACGTAATGTCGTATAGCCGCTCGATGAGTCCATGAAATACGGGACAGACCGGTCCACACTACCCAAACCAAGCGACTGATCTGCCTGCAGGCGTACCGGCCATCAAGCCCCTCCCAACCGGTGTACCTGTTCCTTCACGGTCCACGCCCATGTCGAGACCTCTTCCCGACATTGCGTGTGAGCAATCCCCTGCTTTCCATTCCCTGCTTTCGATGGACTATAGAAAATCCGCTAGCTCCCTCTCCTCTTCGTCGTCTTGGTCCATCGGAGACGACTCGAGAAATGCTCGGTAACTGCTAGTAAACATAGAAGACTCCCCTTCGAAGTCGATATCCATGTGCTCGCTCTCATCCTCCCTGGACGCGGTTCTGCGATCGTCCTCCAGCATCTCTTCCGCAAAATGCCTGGCTAAGTGCCTCGTAGACTCCTCCTCCTCGTCGACTTTCAGCTCTGTCTCGCTTCCCCACCCCCGTTCCTCGAGCTCTGCTTCGCTCTCCTGCTCGTAATCCGCACGCTGTTTCGCATTCTCCTGCTTACTTTCTGCGATCAGTCTCTGGCACTCCCGCATATCGTCCCACAGCGAGTCCAGATCGATGGGGTCTTCGACAGGAAGTGGGAGATTAGGATGAGGTCCGAGACGTGGGGTGACCACGTTAGGCGCGTGCGTTGCGTCGCCTTCGGTGGGGGGGAAGACTGCAGTGTGACGGCGCTGCCATGCAACACTGAGTGCGGAGCTGTCGTGGTGTATCTCGGGGTGGTGAGCCTGCTCGGATTCTGAATCATCTGTCAAGCAGGACGCTGATCCCGACTCCCGTGCTGAGTCGGAGTCGGAGACGGACTCAGACTCGGACTCGGCGATCGTTGTCTGGCTCTCAGATACGTTCACAAGAGCAGAGAAGGGAGGGCGTGTGCCCGATGGACGACGTTTTGCCGGCTTTACTAGGACTAGGCTCATGTCGGTGAGGCTGACTGCTGACTGAAGAGGTGGGGCTGGAGGCGAAGAGCCGACGTCAATGGGCTGGGTTGCACCCATGTTAAAACGGCTCTTACCGTTCTCGCTGGCCATATCTTTCAGACTGGAAGCCACGGAGTCTCTAGTCCCAAGCGCGGTGGTGTCGTCGCTAGGATCGTTTTGTGACTGGCAATTGGTAGACATTTTCGATGAGGTGGATAGATGATCAGGGGGATAGACGCATGCTGAGATAGGCCGAGCTTGGGAGGGTATGTGGGATGCATTTCATCCTGGTCTAAGGGATTGAAACGATGCCTGTGCGCTTGTCCTCGACGAAGAGAACCTGTGAACCGCTGGACTCGATCAAAGTCCGGAAGGCTGGGCACGGTCCTAGTTCATTGCTCCGTCGGGCTTCGCTCAATTGTCGTCACAAAAATGATCATTGTGTATCTGCTGATAGATGCGACATCGTGACTTTGAAAAAAAAAAACGACAATATAAATATGGATTGCAAATTATACACAAGTGGGACGGACAATCGAATGGTGTTGCACGAGTATGAGGTCGAGATGCTGCGCTCTACTAAATAAAAATGGTGTGCTCAAAAAGAAGAAGAAACCTAGAGTGCAAGTGCGAAGCCGTGAAAACGGACATCGTGCTTCGTGAACTCGGCCAGGAGTACACAAAGCAAAGATCGCAACGTGACGTGACGTGATGCAAAGGGCACAAAAAGGGAGATATCATCGAGGGGTCGTGACGATCGAGGGTCGGGCTGAGAAAAGAAGAGCGTTAATCAATGAGGTATGCACGTATTACTAGATCCACAGTGTTTCAGTCCGAATAGAGGCGAGGCGAAAGGAACAAGGAAAGCGAGGAGGCTATAGATATGGCGACGAGAGAGAGCAGAGGATGAAACTATGGTGGGATAATACAGGTGTGCGTTGTGTTCCGTGCGATGGGTATATGCCGTGCAAGATGAGGATAAAGATGGATGCATGGATGGGATGCAAGAGGTCCATGGACGTTGAATAGTGATAAACGCTGAAAATCGTGCAATGAGTGCTGGCGGCTGGGTGTCTGGCTGGCCTGTCGAAGCACGAGACGATCGATGAAGACCGGGAGCGCTAGCGCTAGATTCGAAGCTCCCTGAACCCACGCACATCCACTCGTCCGACGCCGTTGCGCGTCCACTCCTCGTCCCCGTCCGTGTCTTTCTCGTCCCTGGCAGCCTCCTTGCGCGCGGAGCTGGGCCGCCGGTATCGCCCACCGGGGATCACGATCTTGCCGGCGCTGCGCCCGACGACGACAGGGGAGCGCGGCTTCGGCACCCCAAGGAGCTTTCGCTGGCGGCGCGTTAATGGGCGCTCGACGGGAGCGGCGGGAGGTGGCGGTGAGGAAGAGGTGGACGATGCCGTTGAGAACGTCTCGGATAGGCCGGGTGTGTCGTCGTCATCGTCGCCTCCTTCATCTATGTCCATGTCTTCGTTCGGTCGACTGCGTTTCGCAGCGCTCTCCGACGCCTGCGATGATCCCGATGATTCGTCAAACGAGCGCTTAGGGGACCGCCGTGATGACGTGGGCTCCGGCTCAGGGGAGATGGATCGAGATGGGGGAAGAGGGATTTGGGAGGGCGTAGGAGGGGCTGGGGTTGGGAGGCGAGCTTTGGATGAGGTCTTTAACGCCTTGGCTTTGGATGGAGGCTTTGACTTTGGATTAGGTGGTGGAGGTAGATCATCGATGTCAACTGCAAGCATCTCTCGGACGTGTGGAATCCCTTGGTGGGGACCGCGGAGGTTTCGAATGGAGGAGAAATGTTCCCAATCATGATAGCTAGGAAGGTCGTCAACACCCTGTCACACAGAACGAGGTGTACTCACGCAACATAAATAGGTCCAGTGTCGGAATCGTCATCTGTTCCGTCATCAGGAGGCCGCTTCACAACCTTGTCCTTCTCCACACGCTTCTTCTCTCGTCTGGAACGCCTGGAGCGATCATCCTGCGACTCGACAGGGGCTGTCGAGTACAAGGGGGAGTCGGCGGGGAGGGTGGGAGAGTCCCAGCCAGATGCCCATTCTATCACGTAGACTAGGCCAGGTTGGATCACCTTGACGTCCCTTCGGGCCATGTGGGCAAATGCAGAGATTTCGAGGTGGCCGCCATAAGTAGCTGGCTGGCGCATGAGGCGCAGGTGAACGTCGATCCCACGCTCGTCCTCGACGAACGGCTCATAGCGAGCATGGTGTTTGTCGATCCAGTCACAGATATCTCTTCTAAGTTGTATATGGTGGGACTCTGTGCCGTAAAGCTGGTCAGAGAGCGCACGGAAGAGGCAGTTGCCGTCGCCGAGAGTATTTGCAGCGTAGAGCCCCAGTTGCCTGAGCTGATTGGTGAGCTGCTGTGTGTTCTCTGCCGGATCGGATAGGAGCTGCAAGCGCGGATGCCAGAAGGATCACGGTGCAGAAAGCACATGTTTCGCATGCGATTTGGTGAGATGAGGAAAGCCAGAGGGGTCTGCACAAGACTCACCTTGCCCTTGCTGGACCTCAGTGTGCGGGTGCGGACTACACGGTGATCAGCAACCACGAGCTGGCGACTCTATCGGAGCACGGCGAGCTCACGTTGGGGAGGGTTCTTGAGCCCCCTCTGGTGTCTTTTGGACGGGCTCATGTTGAAAAATAAAAGAAAAACGCGATTGCTGCCAGTCCGTTGCTGCTCTTTTGTGGGCTGTCCCCGGCTCCTCCCTCTTTCGGGGTCCTTTCCCTGTTGAAAAAGACCTGGGACACCCTCCCGCCACTTTGTCCGTCATCCTGCATCATCGGAGAGAATCGGATTTCTCCGCCAACCGGGCTGTGTCCGGGTCTGACCGTCGACAGTTGTCTACCACTCGTCTACCATCTCTCCAGCTTTGCCCGCCAGGGCCCCCCGTCTCTCTCTCTCTCCATCTCTCATAAATATCTGAGCAATAACATAATGAACGCCATCCGGCACCCGCGCAGCCTTTTTGTCTACAAATGGCCATCTCAGTACGATCTTTGCCTGATCAAAACGCTGTGATGCCGGGCCAAAGCTCTGATTGCAGCGATATCTAGGTCATCCAGACCAGAGCTGCTCCAAGAATACGACGATGGGAGAACCCCCCGTTTATTGATGTACACGCCTCCAACATGCACAAACGGTGCACTCTCCGCCTGAAGAGCGATCACACCCCATAGTGCTCAGGCTCGCTCAGGTCTCTGCTGAAACTATCACTCAGTTGCGTTTCATCAATCAGCTCCAGCCGTGGCAGTCCAGCGGGAGCCAGGGGAATCTGTCCTTCTCGGGAAGCTTGTTACATCATGCATTTTCGACCGGATCGCAAATTTTGTATTCAAGAATCCCTCGCCCAGAAGCCTCCAGCAAACCTCGACCTTCACACTCTATTAATGGTATCTGAGGGTCTTCGTACCTAGACGTGGTGCGGAGTTGGTCTCCGAGGCTGTTCTTACCAGTGTATAAGGTTCGGAGGAATATCGGTTCAATGATACTTGGTACCATCCATGTTTCAACGACCCCATTCAAACACTGCGGACCGATGTTTCTGTTCGCGACATGGCACATAAGCCGAAGCGCTGAACAATTGCATTATTTCTAAGGCACATAGGGTCCACGAATAAATAAGCACACCCATACCAGGTAGAAAATAGTTGAGGATAGTGTAGATTAGAAAGAAATGGCGCAAAAGAGCGATGATGGAGCAGTGTCCTGGCCAATGTGATAAAGAGGTGGAGGAAGAAAGGGTGTTTGGGGGTACAGGGGGATCAAGACTGGCTCTTGATGATGTCGGCGGCCTTAAAACAGAATGGAGCAACATTTAGAATCGGATCTCCAGTCTAATAGAGTATGTGGGCACGTACCTTTTCCGCAATTGCATAGATCGTGGACTGGAGATGGGCTCCAAGGTGGAGAGGGGCGATGCTCGCGTCGACGACTCTCACATTAGTAGTGCCGTACACCTTGAGATTCGAGTCCACGACGCCTGTGGTATGTACGTTATGTTCAATTGATGGTGCTCGGTGAATTTAGAATATGATACATGACAGTCACTGACCTCCAAGCTCACGGGCGGCCATAGCTGCTGTACCTGCGTTTCCGAGTATATGCAGTCCATCAATCAAGGAGAATATGGAGGTGTAACTTACCTGCAGGATGCCAACCGCTCTGCGAAACATGCGGAACCGCAGCGTCAGTGATAGAACCGTATCAGGTTGTCAAGAAACACACCCCCACGGCCTGTCTGATCCAGCTTCAATGCACACCAAGAATAACCGGTTATCATCGGTGGAAGGAGCAAAGCAGCGATAAGAATACTGACCTAGTCAAGTCTTCGTCGCTCGTTCCAGATGGTGTGATCCCATCATCAACGAAGAGATCAGAGAAGGGCGGGATAGTAGCCAACGAGCGTGCGTATCTAACACCGGCAAGCATCGCCGCGATATCTGATACAGAGTAGTGATAAGTTGTGCAGAAGAACCATAAACGACGGCTACTAACCGTAGTCTTTGCTAAGGTAATTCGGAGAGTTGACGGGAATAGCGAGAGGGTTAGTCGTGTTGATATGCTGCACCAGACGAGACGTGTTGAACACCTGTGTTGATGGAAAATCGCACGAGAACCCACCACAGTGCCTCGACTCAGAGGGTGCTATATAGAACGAAAGTTATTATCCAGAGCAGCCGGAATCGGAAAAGGGTACGGACCATGATCCCAACAAAGATAGAGACGTAACTCGCGTTGGCAGCAGGCGAAACGCGGCCCTTGTTGAACAAAAGGAACTCGAGCTGAGGAACGTTGGCGTGTTCGATCCACTGGCGCTGAATTCCATATTGCAGGCCTTGCAACTGTGTCTTCGCGCCTGCAGTGGAGGCATCAAATGCCCGCAGGAGAGCATCATTATTGTTCTGCCGAAGCGCGTCGAAAGTAAAGAACGTGATAATCGAGTCGCTGGCTGTGAGGATGCCTGTCTTGTTGGCAGCGCTGAGAGCGCCAATCGTGAGGCCAACGTGTCAGATGTGTCGAAGATTGACACATGCGTACTATTCAGCGGCGGCCTCCGCGGCAAAAGTAGAGTTGATTCGAAGCACATCTACAAGGGGAAACGTCAGAAAAAATAGCCAGCATGGGCGAGAATACACTGAACTGACCGAGAGTTTGGATGCCCGGCTTCACTTGGAATTGGACGGGAGTGTACAAGTGATCCTGGAATGTAGTCAGTTGAAGGATCATGACGCTCAAAGAAATGGTATACTTGTAGGTTCTCGCCAACCCCGGGAAGGTCAACGACGGTCGAGATGTTCAACGATTTCAGGAGAGTCGCATTTCCAATACCTGTCCATACATTCAATACCGTTTCAAAAATGAGTGCAGAATAAGCTCACCAGATAATTCCAATAGTTGGGGCGTTTGGTATGTACCCGCCGCTAAGATGACTTCCTTGGCTACATTCACAGTGTGAGTAGCTGAACCGGAGATAAATTCAACGCCTGTAGCCGTAACGTTTGCGCCTTTCTTGGATAGAATGATGCGCGTCGCCTACCATACGCGTGAATGATATCAGATTGCGTGATGCAAACAAATCAGACTCAACATACCTGCGCACCCGTGAGCACATGCAGATTGCTCCGGGAGGATGCTGGGCAGTAGTAGGCAGATGCTGAGTATGATCGGGTACCCGTGTATCGGTTGATACTGAGCCGTGAGTTGTGAACGCCCTCGGTATCGCCATTGTCCTTCATACAACGAGGGGCGCCAGTCAGATAAAGACGCAATTCAGGTCAAACAACAGCGCACTGGGTCGGAATTGGACTTGATACCCAGGCTGTTGACAGTCTTGATATATGGCTGAGCGGGATCTGCATAGTATACATTGAAAGAAGCCTGTTGATTGAGACGAGAAGGTTACTCTCTATGACATAGATTCTATATGACCAGACTCACCTGAACGGGACCTCCGACTCCTTCATAGGTAGTGTTGTATGGGCTCAAAGACGCCGATGCGGCGGAAAGGCCAGGAATGGGGTTCGTCTGATTAGGAAACACGTTGAACGACTTCTTCATGTATGGAACGAGGTTGTTCCAATTCCACCCAGGTTGAAACGAATCCCATGCATCATATTCCGGTTTAGAGGCTGGACACCAGATCATGAAGTTCAGGCCAGTTGTTCCGCCGATCATCTTGCCTCTGCGGATATAAATGAGTGTTGGACTGTCTGCGGATGCGTGATCATGCATACCTAGGCGTGGACAGTGATCGGTTGTTTGCTGCCGGTTGGGGCACGGTTTGGAAGCCCCAGTCGTAAGAGGCATTCCCTAAAGCAGCACCATCCCTCCCTGCAACCCGGCTCTCAGAGCTCACGTATCGTTCAAGGAGATAACGAGGCACACCTGGAATATCGATCAAGGGGTGCTCGAGGTTGAGGGCACCCGCCTCGATAACGCCAACTTGTACGCCCGAGGTCTCTGACAGCCTAAAATGTCAACCATGGTTGTGAGCGCTTCATCGAGGGAAGAGAAGACCTCTTTGCGAACCTCGCAGCCAGAGCCATTCCCCCGTTCCCGCCACCTGTGTCGTTGCCAACGTCAACAAACACGTCTCAAATGAAGACGTTTTGCGCATGTCGCATACTCACCGACCACAATATAGTCGAGGGCTGTCTGCACGAATGTTGCAGCATCCGTGGAGGCAGATTGACAGGCAAGTGCATCGACCGCCTCGATCCTTGCGATTGCCACCACGAACGCAAAAATCGAAAGAGAACGAAGAGCAGCAAAGCCGGGCATAGGAAACAAGGCGCTGCTGCTACGAAGAAAAGATACTGAGGTCGCAGCAACACATCGAAGGGTTTATATCATAGTCGGTCGCCCGGCTCGAGGACCAGTATGAGGCCGCGACTGTGCCCTGTGGATCAATCAAAGTGAAATGTATTGATTGCACTATTTCCGGCGCTGTCGAGTGCATAGCTCTCGATTCAAAGTGTTCGCAATATGATGGCTGTATCCCTTCGCTGATGCATGTTCCACTCGTGTTCCCCTGAGCATGTTCAAACGTCAGTATGACGAACCGCCTCAGCGCTGTTCAAAGAAGGGAGCTAGCCAGAGGAAAGAGACATACATGCGGGATTGACGGAGTACTTCACCATATCGGAGGTACCACGAGTTGCCTTGCCTCCCTCGTCGCCCTAGTTGAGAAAATTTGATATCCCACAACCTGAATAACGGCGGATAGTATCGGGCTCCTTCATCTTAGGATGATGTCACCACATTTGTCATTGACGTTGAACAGAAGAAGCTACCAAGAGATAACAATCGACGACTTGATAGGGCATATGATCGTGAAAGTTGAACGTTAGGGCAGCAGCTAGCGGCAGTTGGTCCTGGCAGCAGATCTTCAGCCATTCGGGGAGGCAAAGTTGGGGAAATATTGCCTGTGATGTGACAGTGACAGTATTGTTCGCAATAGAAGAGAGGCACTGGCTGGAGGCTACCGGAGAAATTGTCAATTCTCGAGGCTATGTCGCATGAAACGGCGTACAGCCGCTGTGCAACCTTCACTGCAGGCTACACTTGGGTACCACCATGTAAGTTTCACGATAGTTCTACACGCTTTCACTGACACATATGTCATCCATCCTTTCAACGAGGACAGGGCAATCATCTTACGGAACCTAAATTTAGGTGGTGCCACGCCCAGAATTATGTGAATATCGGCACAAATGTGGAGTGCTAAGTATGCTGAAGGTGAAATGAAAGAGTAGGGAGCGCCGCGCCTAGCTCATGTCGAGACAGAGATGTGATAATGATACCACTGAAATGGTGTGTCGGGCTGAATTCTCGTGTTGTAAGACTATTTATGGTCGTTGTTCACTAAGGTTCATACTTTGGAATGCAGGAACACATCAGACCCTCACGGAGATCTGTCAAAGTACCGGTGCTCATCGGAAGCAAAATGAATGATAGATCGGAACCTTGAAGCAACTCTATGGCTAGGTCCACAAGGTACCAACAGCCCTTTCACATTGTGAATACACAAACAGCTCATTTGCAAATTTCTGATGCTTATTGTTGACACATCGAGACAGCATGCATGTGAGTGGATTTTGCAGGGTTAATTTTGACTCCGTGTGGCTTTAGTAACCGGACAGCTTGTGATACCTACTATGCTGGGACCAGAGTTGAACAGGTTTTAGCCTTTCTGATTGTCCTGTGCTCAGTGTCCAGTAACTATAAAATCAGTGTACATATCTGACCAAATGTCTCAAGTTTATGATTTTTTTTTCATGATTATTGAAGGTGAGGAAAAAGTGTTGGACAGTGACCCCTAGTGAGAACCCCGGGTAGCATGAGTTAGCCCAAATGAGCGAGGTCTATTACCTGATTGGCTTATCTAGCATGTCGTAGTAATACTCTTGATTAATGGGTATTTGTTCTCTACAATACAAATAATAACAGTACCAAGGCAATCCTTCATCATTATGTCATTGTGCACTAGCATTTGGAAAAACCTCCTTTCTTCATTAGATCTAATTATTCAAAACACTAATCTAAGCTAATTAGAATATATTATCCATAATCAACTTTATAATCAATCCTATGGGTAAGGGCGACATTGAGTCATAAATGGCTGTTTAGGATGAAAGAATCCTAGGCCACAAATAATAGCATAGATGAGGAGATAAGGTAGGTAATAGAGGGTAGTAGTTTGGGGTTAATCAGGCTAATGTCTTAGAATCAGGGAAGACTAGAGAACAGCAGTTCCTAGATTGGACAAAAGTAGATAGCCTAAGGCTTCCCTGACTGTGCTACAGCAACTATAAATATGCATAGGCAAGAGCACAGACCAAGTATTAGTGGGATAGGAATATAAGGTATAGACTTGAGAAGGGTCCAACATGTCCTTATATGGATTGTGGTGAAACTCTAGTAAGGGAGCCAGTTTATAATTTTATCCCCCCCCTAGGCTGTCAGTGTCAGAGATAGTGGTTGAAAATTTGAGAAAAACATAAGCAATGCACTAGGTCAAATATAAGCTATAAAGGGGAAATAATATATAAGGGCACAGATCTCATTGCCCACTGCCAAGCCATAACATCATAGCCCTTGAGTATGAATGTTATAGTACATCACCTTGTTGGTACCATATAGGGACTGTGTCTTAGAACTGGGTCCCTCTTCTCATCATGATGGTGATTGCCAGTCTAATAGATTCAAACTATCATCTGCCCTAGTAGTTTAATATTATGCTAGACAATGGTCTTGGCCTTTAGAAGGCTCAATGATGATTGATGAGAGGTTGAGCATCAGAGTCACTAAAGTCATACTTGATAACAAGGGGTCTAGTTCAAAAGGGTAGGTTGTGCATATTAAAGGTCATAGGGATGATGTGAAAGCAGGAAGATATGCATATAAACTTATAAACTCCTCCTTCTTGTCCTGTGACAAAGTCCCTGGCATTGGACAAAGTGGAGCACTATCTAAGGCCATAGACAAGAAATGAGATATCATATGTTACGACTGCTCGTCGGTAACCCCAAGAGTAGGAGGTTCTTCCCTAGGTCGCTCGTGGAGGATGTGTGGAACGGTGGTCTCGACTGTACGTGTAGCACAGGAGCCAGAAGTGTATTGCGATATAGCAATGGAGACTGCAGTAGAAGGCTGCAGTAGAATGGAGGTTCCTGTATGTGAAGATACAGGGGAACGAAGGGTACTGTAGGAAGACAGTACCAGAACAAAGAGAATAGACTGAAGAACCTCAGCCTACTCTATGGGCCTTTTATACTACTTTAGGAAGTAGGGCGTGAGAATACCATATATGTATCCGTAGGTATACTCTAAGTCGTTCTCTCTCAATAACGACTACTCTTGTGTTTCTCCATTAGTCTCCTTCCGGCCAGGAAAGACTAGGAGCTCAATGCCCGATGTGTGAGTAGTTTGTAAGGCGGCGTTCCATGCCCGCTATTGCAATAGGCCCGTGATACTCGACCAACGATAAGGTGATCCGTTGGGAGAGGATGACCAAGGTTATCTGTACCTTGTTTGTACGCCTCACAAGGTGAGGCCGCTTGGTATTTGTGATGATCGTGTCGGTATAGACCGCCGTTAAGGCCCGACAGAACGTGATCATAACAATACCCCCTTTCTACGTCCTATTCGCCTGGTAGGACAGCGCTGTGCGCTTCATCGCCACTCCATATACGATTTGCTTTCTTGATCCAAAGATGGTCTCCGGATGCGACTTCCGGGACATGACTTCGTTTTCTGGGAGGAAGACCGACTTACGTCATTTGATCCTCTAGGAGTTTTCCATCTCCGTTGAGCTGTTTGTTTGTCGAGTCGTGAGGGTATCCAGACCTCCGCTCTCTAGGGTGTTCTTCCTTCACCCGTGGGATTGATTTTGCCGCGGGTAAACCTCATCGCGGTCTTACTTCCAGCCCGCTTCTGGAATGGTATCAAGAAAGGCGTATGAATGCGAGTGGTGTGTGGATGAATAGAAACTCTAGCATGTGGGTTCCGATTCGTGTCATCAGGTTCTTCTTCTTCCTTCTCCGAGGGCCAAACCTCAGTGTTTCCAGGATAGTCGTCTATCCTCATGATTTTGTTGTTTCCTCAATGGCGACCGGCGGCGTCCACGGACAAGTGGGTTGATCGCTTTACAAAGGCTTAGGCCTACTTCTCCAGACTACCTTGTACCATGCCTAAGCATGAGTCGAATGGCCAAGCAGTATTGCTCCCATACGGTGAGCTCATCTCCGGTGAGGGCGCCCAATCAAAATCCCAAGCAGTATTGTCCCCATACGGTGGACTCATCTCCGGTGAGGCAGTTTACGGCGTCCAGAGTTTGTTTTTCACAAACGTGGGCCTATGGTGGGGAATACCACGTGTAGTGTTGGGTTCGAGGCAAGGATGTGAAGAGAATTAGACTTGAAGGGTGCAGCGAGGAATAAGGAGGAGTCTGACTCCTTTTCCAGGTCTGCCCATTCGCTTGCACGAATTAGACATCGAGACCACAGCTGATATATTGGTCGGGGTGCGAGATATATCCACGACTGGCAGTTTAAAACGTCATGCGGGACGGTCCGTAGTTTATCGTCATTTCGGACGATCCGTAGTTTAACGTCTTTGCGGACGTCCTTCATCATCAACATGGAATATCTGTGGGGAAAGATGTTTCTGCACGCCGGAATTTCCATCGGTGATGTGCATAGGGCCATAGACCAGACTTTGCCCGCTCCAGATTCCACTGAGGCATGATGGACGGTTTATACTATATCAAACCGGATAACTTGTACGTCTCAATATTAGGAGACTGCTCAGTTTAATGCCGTGAGGTAGGCATCCTCGCAGTTTAATGCCGTGCGATAGGCATCCTCGCAGTTTAACGCCGTGCGATAGGCGGGCTATCGTCTGACTATGTCCCTCGAGTCACGATAGGCTTTTCCTCCGAGGATGAGGGTAGTTTAACGTCATCTCGGACGTTGTCGACACATTCTCGTCAAGGATGATGTCGACCGATGATCCCTATACAAAAAAGGGACAAGTAGTTTAACGTCATCTCGGACGGTTGGTGACCACGGTCTTGGTCAACAACCACAACTCCTATTCGGTAAGGAGCACGTAGTTTAATGTCATTGCGGACCGATTGACACCATGGCGGTCAATCCACAACTCCTATTCGGTAAGGAGCAAATAGTTTTGTGTCATTGCGGACGATTCAGCACCAGAGTGATGAATCACAACTCCCATGCGATCGGGAGCAAGTAGTTTATCGTCATTGCGGACGCATTGGTGTCCAGGGGATTGGACGTCAATGACAACCCCTAGGTTCAGGGGCAAATCCCTAGAACGAAGGGACGGTAGTTTTACATCGTTTCGGATGCCCGTAGTTTACCGTCGTTGCGGACGTCGATGCCATTGGCCTCGAACAATCCCTATGTGGAAAGGGACAATAGTTTAGCGTCATCGCGGACGTTGTTTCGCCACAAATATTGTGGAAAAACGATGCTTAGTTTAACGTCATCCCGGACGTGTCGTAGTTTATCGTTGTTGCGGACGATTGGTGGAATAGACTTCGGATGAGTGGCCCGCTCTTGTCGTTCTTCCGCTATGTGGGCCAGACGAGAGTCGCATGACCTAGTCCCTTCCTACTAGATCTTCGACTCGAGGCACGTGTCCTAGTTGCCTCCTGACTAGGTCTTGGAGCGGAATTTCTTGTACTTCAACTCCAAGACTAGACTGAGCGCTCCATGAAGAGATGCTTGCTCTTCCATGTCCCCAGACCCCTCGCTTGGATTTGAACCAAGACGACCCGATATTCTTTTACCGAAAAGCGAGTGAATATCGGAAGCGCTTCGACCTTTTATAGGCAGGGTTCTGTGACGCGAGTCCTTCCGCGCTTCGCC